GAAAATAAGGACGGGCAGTCTCGGAAATGCCCATTTCGTAATCCATAGACTTGATGATCGACGATGATGATGGTATAGTTATAAAAGAGGGCGATACCAACAGACATATGTCGTAGGCTGGGAACAGAGATAACCGGCATAAACAGTCGTAATAATTATAACAAATATCAGCCAACAACCGAGCTCCAATATGTGGGAGCCGGGGATTGCAGCTGGGTCATCTTCGCCCTGGAAGGGCGATAAGTTAAACTCTTACTAGTAACTTAGACTGCGCTCCTGTTTCGATTCTTTACCTGGGCTGTTTCAGATAAAACATGACCCAAGTGCTGGCTGGATACCTAACTGATGGGAACACGGGATGGAAGAAGGTTGGCGATAGTGATATGTGGGGCGTTGCGTATGGAAAGATGGAACTCGAGGATAGTCGGGAGCCACGGGAAATGATAATTAATAGATGCGGAGTAAAAGTAGCACACAACATGGTGGACCAGAGTGCATGAAAAATTGAATACTAATGAATCATCCGCTATGCCCGCTCCTAAAGAAACCCTTAGACGCCAACCAAGACAAGAAAGGCAAGACTAGAGCGGTGTGTGGGTGTGTGTGTAACGCCGCTCCCTGACTCGAATAGCAGACTTCCCCATATCTCGCCAATATAAAGATGCAGGCGGGATATCAAACGGAACAAAAGAACAGATAACTTGATGCTCCTTCCACCTCGCCAAGATATGCAGCCCATGTCCTGCCCCCTTATCCCAACATACAGAATACAACAGACTGAGTGACGATAGACGGTATACCCAGATTGAAATCACCGATAATTCCCCAAAACATTACACCTCGGCATCCTTAGCTAAATCTCCGCCTTCTTCACTCGCTCTTTTTGGTGAGCCTCTTCCACCACGAGCTGCGGGGTGTGGCGTCCGCAAACATGGACGAGTTCCGCCGGCTGTCCTTCCGGCCGTCACTCCCATCCGAGACATGATGCGGTTGTTCTCTGTGACGATCCCAGCCCCTGTCTTTGTCCGTGCGGTACTTCTCCCGCTCCCTCTCACGCTCCCTCTCCTCGCGGCGCTTCCTGCGACGTCGGTCATCGTCGTCTTCCGCGGTCATGCCTGCTGCCTCAGCATACCTGGCCTCAGCGTATTTGGCCTGGCGGCGAGCGTGGCGGCGAGCTTCGCGGCGGGCTTCTTCGTCGTCTTCAATGACCTCCACTTCCGGTGCTGGGGGCTCGGCCGCTTCAACATTGTCAGGAGGCGGTGGCGCGTCGGAGTGGTCTTTTACCCAGGACGACGTACCCGAGTGCGGCCAGGAACCGCCCGTGTTCTCACGGGATGCCTTGGGGTAGACATAGTTGTCGGGGGCTACTTCGGGCCGACGACGAGAATAGCGTTCATCACGCTCCCTGCCCTCCTTCGCAGCGCGCCGAGCTTCTCTACGGAGCCGGCGATCTTCGTCCTCCTCGCGACCGGACTCCTCGGGCTGGTAGCTGCGGCGACGTTCCTGGTGTTTCGCAGCACGGCGGGCGTCGGCTTCAACTTCGGCTGCGTCCACTTCGGCGCGCCGTCGCTTACGCTCAGCGCGCTCCGCTTCCTTCTGCTCGGCCGCCTGGCGCTCTGCGTCCTCCCGTGCGCGTTGCGCCCGTCTCTCGGCGCGGCGAGCCTCCTTTTCTTCCTGACGACGAATTTCATCTTCCTCCTCCTGCCTCCTGCGCCGCTCGCGACGCGCTTCGTCCTTGGCCCGGCGCGCTTCTTCGGCGGCCTGATCCGTCGTGCCGTACTGCGCGGCTTCTTTCTCAACCCTCCTAGCCCGACGCGCCGCACGGCGCGCTTCACGCTCAGCATCGGTCTCTTCGCCGCGTCTACCACCCAATTCCTCGTCAGTGGTCGGGTAGGTGCCCCGGCGACGGGGCTCTGGTCGAGGCGGTTCCATGCGCTGATCTTGCTTATCTCCGCCCTTGAAAACGCCCCCGAGAAAGGAAGAGAAACCCGATTTCTTGGAGGTAGAGCCGGAGCGCTTGAGGGGAGACCGCATGGGCGTTGCATCAGCAGGATCAACCATGACGATGTCGTCGTCCCGCGAATATTGCTGGCGCAAAGGAAAAAGAAAAACGTTAGTATTTGTATGTTAAACTGTGATAATAATCCACGAGTGGCAAAATGCCCGAGGTTGAAACTTACCTTTTGTCTCCGGCGATCGGCCCTATCTGGGGCTGGGTCGGTATCGGAAGCGCCAACCATGACGATGTCATCATCCTCTTCCCTCCGATTCCGCCTGCTTCCCGATCTCGACAGACCAAGGCCAGCGCCGACGGCACCAGCGCCCACGCCAAGAATCTTGGCCGCCTTGGACGACATGTCCTCCGGAGGTGGGCTCATCAAACCTCCGTCCATATCAACCGAATGCCTGCGCGAGCTCGACTTGCTGCCCCCGTGGCGCTTGTCGCGGGTTGACATCGAGCGGGATAGGGGCGGGGTGCTGGCGAAGACACTGGCGAAGCGTGCGGGCGCGTCTCTGGCTCGTGGCCGGTCTGCGCCGTCTGAACCAGAACCGCGCGACGGTGGTTGATCGTACCCGTATCTGTCCATCCTGTCCGCAGCGGGGGGCTTCTTCCGGGAACTCGACTCCCTTTCGGGCCTGGCGGGCCGAGGCGCAGGCTTCTTCGGCTCCCTGTCCGGTGCCGCCGTCCATGCGTTCCACGACGACGAGCCTTCACGATTCACGCGGGGGCGTTCTTTACGCGCCGCCTGAAACGCGGCTGGTGTCATCATCGGCGCGGGCGGCGCGTCGGGAACCGCAGGTGGCGGAGGTACAGCCGGCGGGACGTCGACGATTTCCGGGGCGGGTTTGGACCGCCTCGACGATTTCCTGCCCTTTTTAGGGGGGGATACTTCGACGACTTCGATGGTATCATCGTCGTCAAGATGGCGGCTGTGGTGGGGTTCCTCTTCACTCATAGGGAAGCCCCCAGGCACCTCATCTTCCGGGGGAGGAGGAATGAAGGGTGGTGGAGGCGGAGCTGGGGGGAAGCCCGCAACATCGATGACCTGCTCTTTGCCCTTGTTTTTGCTCTTCTTGCTTCTCTTCCTCTCCTCTCGACTGGGGACCGGCTGGGGCTCCACGATAGGCGGCGGCGGGGGTGGGGGGGACGGTGACGGCGACGGAATAGGGGAAGGGGGTGATTCGAGAACGGCTGGCGCTTCGGCTTCGGCTTCGGATTCCGCTCCTACAGGTTCCTCATCAAGCGCCTCGAATGCACGAAGTCGGTCCGCGATCTTGCCGCGCACGGCCTTTTTGGAGGACGAGGATCGAGGCTTGGGGACTTTCTCTGGCTCCGCGTCATACCATACCTCGGCGGCGCCTTCCCCAGCTGCCGTGGCCGTTGCGGCTTCCACAATAGGCGATGGCTCATCGTGCCCACTCTCTGGCGCATCGGCTTCGGCAGGAGGGGAGGGGGCCGAATCGTCGGCATCAGCCGTTCCAGGAAACCACGAGCTCAGCCGCGACTTCTTCTTCGAGCCTGACTTGGCGGCCCCCCAGAAGCTGAAGGCGTCATTGGCGGGTGGCGCGGGCTCCTTTTCAGCTGGCGAATCCTCTTCTTCTTCTTCGGCTGCCGCTGGCTCTTCAACTGGCGGCTCGAGGTCCTCCTCGTCTTCTTTCGGCTCATCCTCTTTGTGGTCATCTTCTTCCGGGTCGTCCTCTTCTGGGTCATCCTCCTTCGGGGCATCCCTTAATAGTTCCTCGACTTGCTCGGCGGTAAGGTTCACGTCTTCGAGGTCTTTGAACTCGTCGTCATCGTCGTCGCCATCGTCGTCATCGTTGTCGGCGGCGGCGGCAGCAGCAGCTAGAGCAGCAGCAGCAGCCTTAGCCTTCTCCTTGTCCTTGTCCTTGGACTTGGACTTGCTCTTCTTCTCCTTCTCCTTTTCTTTCTCCTTCTTCTTCTTCTCCTTGTCCCTCTCCTTCTCCCTCTCCTTCTCCTCCCGTAACCGCTCCCTTTCCCTCTCCTTCTCCTTCTCCCTCTCCCTCTCCCTTTCTCGTTCTTTCTCTTCCCTTAGTCTCTCCTTCTCCCGTTCCTTTTCCGCCCTTATCCTCTCTTTCTCCTTCTCCTTCTCCCTCTCCTCCCTCTCCCTCTCCTCTCTTTCCTCCCTTTCTCTCTCTTTCTCTTTTCTCTTCCTCTCCTTCTCCTTTTCTTTCTCCTCTTTTAGCCTCTCCTTTTCCCGCTCTCTCTCCCTCTCCTTTTCCTTCTCCTTCTCCTTTTTCTTTCTCTCCTTCTCCTCCTTTTCCCGCTCCTTTTCCCTTTCCCTCTCTCGTTCCCGCTCTTTTTCCCTTTCCCTCTCCTCTCTCTCCTTCTCCTTCTTGGCCTTCTTTGCTCTCTTGGCCTCGGCCTCGGCCTCAGCAGCCACAGCCTCAGCCTCAAGTTTGAGCCGCTCGGCTTCTAGCCGTTCAGCCTCCAGTCGTTCAGCTTCTAACCGTTCTGCTTCGATTCGGGCTTCCTCCTTTGCTGCAGCTTCGGCTTCGGCGGCTAGCCTTGCCTCCTCTTCTGCAGCTGCAGCTTCGGCTGCGGCGGCTTCTTCTGCCTGACGCTCCCGTTCAGCGGCCTCTTCCGCCTCGCGAGCGGCCGCTTCCTCAGCCACCTTAGCAGCCTGTTCCTCCTCCTCCTCCTTCCTTTTTCGCTCCTCCTCTTCGGCCTTCTCTGCTTCCCGTAGAGCCCTAACCTCGGCCCGCCTGTTGATACTAGCCGTTAGCTCCTCCACCCGCTCTAGATCTTCCTTAGCCTTCCCCTTCTTCTTTTTGCCCTTGAGCTTGGCTTGGAGACTCGCTAGTTCCGCTTCCTCTGCTGCTGCTTGGACTTCTTCAGCTTCTATGGCGGCCTGCTCTTCCGCCTCCTTTTCTCGGCGTTCTTGTTCTTCTGGGCCTAGAGTGTTAATACCTGATCCATCCCACTTGTATTGTGTTATACTTTGATAACATACCTCTTTCTTCCTTGTTCCCCGTGGCCCAGGAATCGAAGAAGCCGACGCTCTTCGGGTTTTCTCCCTTGTCAAGATCGATAAGGAGATCTTTATCATCATCATCAGGTGCCGGTGCCTCTGCGGTGGCCTCGGCAGCTTCGGCAGCAGCAGCAGCAGCCGCCGCCGCGGCCTGGTCTTCGGCAGCCTTTTTCTTCTTCTTGTCCTTCCTGGACAACGCCCCGCTCCAATCGTCGGAGGGGTCCGGTATCGGTATCGGTATAGGTGGGGGTTCCTCGTACTTCCCTTTCCTCCTACTAGCACTCTTCCCAGAGGAAAACCACGAGTAGCCACCTACATAATCTTCCGGTCCCCGATCCCCCTGTTCCTGTTCCTGTTCCTGTACTGGTTCCGAGGTTGGTTCAGGCTCAGGTTCAGGCTCGGCGACCGGTTCCGACTCCGGTTCCGGTTCCGGTTCGTCCTTCTTTTTCTTTTTCTTCTTGTCCTTGTCCTTGTCCTTCTCCTTCTCCTTCTCCTTCTTTTTGCTCTCTTTGTCCTTCTTGTCCTTCTTATCCTTGCCCGAGCTTCGGATACTGGCATCGTCCTTTTCTGGGGGTTCGAGGCTCGCCATCTCGAAACTATGGGGCTGCGTGTCAAGTTCAACCTTCTTATTCTTCTTCTTGGCCTTCTTGTCGATGGGGGCGGCCCAACCATCCTCGGGGACGGAATCGGCTTCCGGTTTTGGATCTGTATCTTGAGTGAGTAAATCGTCACGCGAGTCGTCCTTACCTTCTTTCTTCCCCTTCGACTTTTTGTTCGAATTCGTGCCCCAGGCCCAGGGCAACTCGCTACTCTGGTCAGCTGCTTCCGGGTCCGGCCCTAGCCCTTCTCCAGGCTTAGGTCCGGCTTCGGGTTCGGGATCGGCGGTCTTCGCGTCGAGCGCGGCAGCACTACTCCGGGGAGTGTTTTTCTTGGCACCCCAGAAGCCCCAGGCATCCTCGGTCGCTGACTTGACCTCTGAGGTCTTGCCGAAATCGTCATCTAAAGGCATTATCACGCCGTTCGCCTTCTTCTTTTTCTTTTTGGTGCCGGAAGGGTTGAAAAAGTCGTCCTCGGCCGCCGGGGGTGGGTCGGGAACGTGGACGGGGCCTGCTTCCAGTCCAGATTCTTCCCACACGTTCGGCATGTTCTTCATCTTCTTGTTCGCCACTGAGGCCATCAATGGTTCATCCTTCAAGGGACCGGTATCCTGACTGTTGCCCCAACCCGCATCTTCGGGGTCGCCAAAATTGAAACCCAGATCGGGTGCTTTGGAGTTGTTAGGTTTGTTCCAAGGTGCATCATCGATACCTTTTGCTTCTGTAACTTTTGCTTCGATAACTTTTGAGGTCTTCTTGAGCCAATTGCCGAAGCCCCATCCGCCGCCGCCTGAATCGGAGGACTTGCTCTCCGGCTGGCTCGCGGGGGGGTCGGGGGCTGGCTCGGGGGCTGGTGGTTGCGCGTCGAATCCAACACTTTGGAATGCAGGAAAAGCGCCGGGGCCGGATTCCACGTCTAGTAGCCCAGGATCGGTCGGCTGGGCGTTTTCCTCGATCGTCGTGGAGGTCTTGTCCTTCTTCTTCTTCTTTTTCTTTTGTTCGGCCATAGAAAAGGTTCCCCACGCATCAGTAGACTCATCTCCTTCTCCGGGCTTGCCATTCTCATCCTTGCCCTTATCGTCTTCACCACCGCCACCACCACCACCACCGCCACCACCACCACCACCACCACTTCCGTCGCCGCCGTCCCCACCGCCAGCTTCCCCGCCGGCGGCATCACCCCCAGCGGCATCACCACCGTTCGCATCGCCGGAGCCATCACCGCCTTTATCACCACCGCCGGCACCGCCACCGCTACCACCACCACCAGGGCCGTTGCCATCACTCTGGTTGGTTTTTGCTTTTGTCTTTTTATTTTTTTTGGCGGCTCGTACGAAACCCTGCTCGCTCATAAGGTCGACCCGGGGCGTTGTCGTTGGGGAGGTAATCAGGATGGAATCATCTTTTTGGCCGCCTCCAGGACTGGGCATGTCCGACCTCGCCGGCGCAGAAGGAGTGTGGCCCAACAGGGCCTGTTGCCGGGAGGCGTAGGCGTCACCCCCGGTGGGATCGGCGATGTCCGCGGATGGTGAATCGGAGTCCTCGGCGTGTGCTACTCGGCTGGCCCATTTCGGGCCAATGTGGGGCAAGACAAGAGGGCGACAAGATAAGGGTCGAAGTGTCTGGGGCTCATCCGTTAGTTTTCAAACTTGGGCATTGAGAGCGTTTCCTTCGTGTGTGCTTGCCCAGACCTATCCGGCGGCGCAGAGACAGTGTCGGCTGAAATCAACCAACACCAGCCTCTAACTAATGTGAAAGAAAGATAGGAAACACAATGCGCCAATCGCAAGAGAATCCCAATGCTTACCTCAACGCTGTCCCTGATGCTAACCCATGTCTGGGCAACCAAGCGCAGACTTGTCTCCAAGCCGATATCACGGGAGACTGCTCGTCTACTCTGTCCCCGCCATCTGGTTTTGCTCACCGACGGCGATGGTGTGGCGGAGGAGCGGCGAAAAAATGGGTCTAGGTGGGTGTTGAGGACGTACGTCTCAACGGCGGCCATGGCTGCGGTCGAGCGAGTTCACGGTCGGCTCCCAGCCTCGCAACAAACACATGTGGTGCCGTGGGCGCTGTGGCGGTCGAGCGCCGACTTTCTAGGACCTGATTCGTAAGTATCGTCGGTCGGGAAGGAGGCTGTTGCTAGTCGTGGTCGCGTCTTGGTCGTCGGGGTGGTCGTCGTCGGTGTAATGATGTTTTGCGACGAATGTCGCTCTCGTCAACCTCCCAAAACCTAAAGTCCCTTCTCCCCGCAAAAAAGTGTAAAGAGAAAAGAGACTATCGCAACCCCTAGGAGACCGCCTCACTGGGACGCGCAGGGGGGGTCGTAAAAATTGCGACCGCCTCTCGCAAAGGGCTGTGGTCGTTGGGGCCAATCGTCAAGCGGGATCTAACGAGACACGCGCCTCAAGGATGCGGATTGGGCGTGCTGGTTAAGGCTGCCGTGTTGTGCTACCACACACCGCCGACGAGTGTCTCTCTTGTTCGAATCAGATTTTGTCGCAGGGCAGGTAGTTGCCTCGAGAAGATGGCTTTGACGGGGCTTGCGCAAGGCGACAAGCAGCTGAGCGAACGGGTCGAAGCAGATTGGGGGAAAAAGATTAAAAGACTATGAAAAGAGAAAAAAAATACAACAAAAACCAAACTCGATAACAAGCCGCTAGTTGTGAATGGTCGCCGCGGCCTTGATCGCCAAACAGAGAAGAGGACGAAGGTCACCAAAAGAGGCGTTCATTCATGCACAGCGCCGAGTGCTCTCGCGTCAACACACCCCTCCCTGCTTTTCCTGCAAGCACGCGCGGCAGGCGGCAGCAGCGGGGCGGAAGCACTCCAGGGATACCGATGACGGCTAGTCCACACTGCCCAAAGTGTGGTGAGGAGGTTGATTGTCGGTGTAAGTGGCGGGAAACAGAATGAGTTCGCTGCAAGTGACCTCCGCCGGTTTGAGTCGAGTCAAGTTCGATTCGAGCCGGTGAGTCGCCAAAGGAAGTTGAAGTGGAGGGTGGATGGGAAAGGTCGGTGGCTGGTGGTTCGAGGTTGAGGTTGAGGTTGAGGTTGCAGATGCCCCCAAGGTGGAACGGGAAGAAGACAAACTCACATCCTCCTCACAAAGTCATCGAAAAGGACGGGATCCTGTTCGTCCTTCACCATGGAGCTTCCTGTTCTTTTCACAAACCCCTGCCACCATCCCACTTCTCAGGTGTGTCATGTGGGGTAACTCCCGGCGTCTTGTCTTGCCATCGCCCATTCTTCGCCCTCTTCGAGCATTTGGTGGGCGGGCGTGCTGGACCAGCAACACCAGCCTCTCAGCGAGACAGATTCTTTAACGGATGGCTGGGTGACCGGGGTTCTGATTGGTGAGAGGGTCGCAGGGATGGACGGGGCTCATGAGGCCCCAATCCCGTTTGGGACGAACCATCCATCACAGCTGCCCAGTGCCGTCCCGATGGCCGACCCCTTGCTGTGGAGCTTGTTCCCCCAAGTCCCCTTCCACGAGTGACGGGAAGCCCCTCCTGTGGATGAAGACGGACCTGTTCTCTCTTTTGTCTGAGATGGCGCAAGCAAGATGGATAACATCATCCCATGGAGCCGTAAATTGGACCATATGTCTTGCCGTGGTCTTAATGCCGACGTTAAGTGACGGGAAGCCCCCATGAACATGGAAAGAGCACCCCCCGGGCCATCAGACAAACCGGTTAAGTTACAGTCAAAACCCGCCCCGCAACCGAGCCCGCGCTGCGACACACTGCTGCTGCATGCCCAAAAAACGTCACGGGGACCACCTATCGACGGGACCATCCAACCTATCGCGGGGAGATCTCGCGGAGGGAATTGGGGGGCATCGTCTCTTTTTTTGCCTTGGATCGCGTGGCGAACGAGGCTCCGTCCCCAATTATCCGTCGCTCGTAGCGGCCGCGGCGCTTGGGTCAAGTCTCGCAGTGTAGTGTACACAGTAACGCGTGGATGGAACGGAACCCCTCGACAGCGGGATGTGAGCTACTGCACACGACGCGGGTAGGTGTTTAAAAATTGGTGTTAGGTAGGGCCCAAGCAAGCTAAGGCGGGTACCACGAGGCCGGAGACTGGGCAGCCATGCGCCGACGGAGAGTCATTGCGACAAGCTCAACATTGCGGCCAAGACAGGCGCAGGACAAACTGTCCGCGACAGTCATATCCTTATCGAATGCGAAGATAGCCTATTCGGCAAGCTCTACTTGGTTCTTTTCAGGGTGCGGATCGCGCGCTTTAGGCTTTTGGGTTCCGGATTTTGGTGAGTCAACTTCCCATCTTGCGATATCGCAGAATATGCCTCCGGACCAAGCCTGAGCTTGCCTCGGCTTATGAGGTACATCACCTTGAGCAGCAACCAAGCGGCCCGTCGCGGATAGAGGTTTGTTACCGCATCGGCTATGCTCCGCTGGTCTCTTGCCCTTGTCCAAGGAGGAAACACCCGCGAGCCCGCTCCGGGGTCCAGGATGGCCCCGCTTTTGCCCCGCAGGAAGGTCAAGAGCACACCCAAAATGGAGGCGAGGGGGGACTGAATCCAGAAGTGGCCCCTCCAGCTTGCATTGTCGAGCATTTTCAGCAACCCATCCAAGAACTGCCCTTTCTTCACCGCTACATTTCGCTGTTCAAGACGACAACACGCGACTGGTTGGCGAAGTGAGATCGCGCTGCGCGAAGTTTTCATTGGGAACTGAGCGACGCGCCTGGGCTGTTGCTGTTGGTAGCCTAACTTCTGAGGAGCCGCGTGGTGACTCGACATGTTGAATTCAGGAGGCGACCACATCGAGCCCGGCAGTCCCGTCGCTGGCACGCGGCGATTCGAGGATGCAGGTGATTTCGAACAAGTATGGATTACTTGGCAATACAGGCAAGCCTCGTCCGAATAGAATTTCAGAGCACGGAGCAATGCTACATCTCGAATATCTATCTACAAACCAGATGGCCAGTCTCCTGGAGAACGACAGATGACTTGCTTGTGTGAGGAAGGCTGGGGTTGAGTCCACTTGGGCACCGTTGTTTGTTTCACACAAGCAGGTTTGGACTCATGAACGCACGGGTGAAGATTTCATCAACCCACCCCTCTCCTGCGATGTAGCTGGAGAGGGAAAAAGTAAGAACCACGAAACAGGTGAGCAAATGGATGGAATAAGGCTGAGTCTACAACACGACGCGGTGCTAGGCTGAAAACACCGCTGAAACCGTCCGACCATCGATTAGGGACCCATCACCCCGCTACCATTCCTTTAGCAAGTGCCTCTCGCACAGTGGAAAGCGTGCCTCATGAAGCCCGAAAGTTCCATTTTGAGACGAAAAGTCCTGATGACGTGAGACCACCACGGAGCCGGCTGCTTCCGGGGGGTTTTGTTTGCGCCTCATCTTTGATAATGGGAGTCCGTGCCGTCGAATTCTGTTGTTTGATTCCAGCTTATTTCTTTGCTCTTTCCTACTTCCTCAATTCTCATGTTTGCATGAATTTAGTGTGGAAGTTGCGACCCACCCATCATTCTTATCCGCCACATCACAGGCTTCACCGTCCTTAGCTCATCAATCGCAACGATTCAACATCCTTAACAAATTTCGCGGCCACTCCGCAAACACGGACATTCCCTTATTAATTTTAATCAAGCTTATTGGAAAACACGTGGGAAGTACTCAGACCACAGCGCAAAAGAGCCAAGAAAGCCTCCAAGTAGAAGACGAGTGAAACATCATTCTTTGAACCGGCCCGTATCTTTTTTCCTCGACCGTACCCCGTCAAGTCTCGCCAAACATGGCGCCAGAATCATTCAACGTCATTACCCGGACTCCCATCCCCGCCTCCCTCCCGCCAGCCACCGTCCTTGCCGCCCTGCACACCTTCGAAGCCCTCATCACGCCTAATCCATACCTCGACCACTTCGAGCCGCGGGTCCTGACCTCCGATGAAACCGCCGGCGCCGACCCTTTCTTCTTCCCCCGGGCTTCCGGGCTCTACGGTTACGTTATTTACGACCGTGTTCCCGTCATCCCTGGCCTCGGCTCTTGGGCAGCCCTCAAGGTAGCCGTGCCGTGCGTGTTCCAGCGGTTTGAGCATGGCGTGCGGTGTTGTGCACACGCTCAGGGAGGGGTGGTCGTACGGAGTAGTTATGAAGTGAGGAGGCGCGGGGAGGTTACGGCCCAAGGGGTGGACGCCTGGGTTGGGGAGGGCGGGAGTGGTCCTGCTGGTCATGACGACGGGCAGTACGAGCTGGTCGACATCTCGAATGTTGAGTGCGGGGCGCTGGTGAAGCCGTTTGTCAAGATGCGGTTCTCGAGCGCTCACCAGGCCCTTCTAGAGAAGGTAATTCAGAATCTGTTGAAAGGGGGCGGTCAGGCGGGTGGTGGAACCTGGTAATTAAGGATGAATGGGAAGAAGAAGAGGGGGAAAGGGAAGGCAGTTCATTTATGGTGTGTATATTTCCTACAAGATACCCATCATGATCCGAGCCGCGGTCTCGGACGCCAAGGCATAACAAGGGTGCTAGACACTCGGTTCCATGTATATCTTCCTCGGCGTTTCCCATACGCCCCTATAACTACCTAGGTACCTTCAATCTACAGTCCGACGCCACCGAGTTCCCCTAGGCCAACCCTCACAGGGTGTAGACCAACTTGGCCCCGCTCACTTTGTTCTCAGCCAGTTCCTTGAGACCGACCACCACGCCCTCCAATCCCTTTCCGCCGCGATTCATATCCGCCTTGACCGCCTTCACCTTCCCCTCTGCCAGCAACTCCCTAGCCAGCTCCCAAAACATCTTGCCATACTCAAAATCCTCCGGGACAGCCTCCATCCAGATCGACTTCTGAATAGCTTCTCCAAACATGGTATACGCCAACCGCCACCCATTGTCAACCTTCTCATTCAGCTCCTTGACTAGCTCATCTGGAATTGGGGAGAGACTGCGATAATGCCCCGGCTTCGTCCGGCTCAGCGCGGCCACACTGATGCGCGCCGACGCTTCATTCGAAATACAGTCCCACGCGATCGTCAGCAGCTCGTCGGCGTTGTTGCTCCAGGCGCGGATGGCATCGACGACGTCGGGGGCACGGTAGTCAAACGCGGCATCGGCGCCGAGGGACTTGACGTAGTCGAAGTTGGATGGGGAGCAGGTCGTGGCGACGCGGTAGCCCGACAGCTTGGCGAACTGGATGCCGAGGACGCCGGTGGCGGTGCTGCCGCCGTAGATGAGGATCTCAGGGGGTGGATTGGAAGGAGTGATGGTGTTGGGATGGTTGGCCGTGCTTGGGAGCGGCAGGCCAAGCGTTTGGTAGAGACCTTGGGCCTATGGACGTCGTCGTGTCAATGAAAAAAGTTTATCGACGTAGGTAAGGTGAAACAACAGTCAAGAATTACTCACCACAGTACTGATCCCCACTCCCAGTGTAGCAGCCTCCTCATCGCTCAAATTGTCCGGCGTCTTGATCTGCAAGTCGCCCTTGGCCACGATGTACTCGGCAAACGAACCGCCATCCGGCCGCAGATTGTTTGACCCATGCACGATGCCACACACCCGGTCGCCCGGCGCAAAGTCCTTGGTCACCTTAGAGCCGACCTGCTCCACGATGCCGGCGTAGTCGCACCCCACGCGTGTACCGGTTGTGTAGGCGGTGACGCCGAGCGGGTTCCCGCCCACGCCGGCGTGTTTCCAATCAGTCGGGTTCAGGGCCACCGCCGTCGTGCGCACGAGGATGAAGTCATCCGGGAGGTTGGGCAGCGGTACGCGCTTAACTTCGACGGCGCCGGGCTTAGTGATGACCACCGCGTTGATTTCGGAGGGGGGAGCCATGGTTGTTGGTGGAGAGGCTGTGCGTGGTTTCTCAGGTGAGTGCGGGGAGGTTGATAACTATGTGTAGCTATGTTTGAACTTGGAAAGATGCTGCTAAGGTTGAACGAGTAGGAGTACCGATGCCAGGAGCAGAGATAGAGGACATTCCTCGGGTTATATATATTGGAGTGATTAGAAATCTCATAATCCATCAGGATCGCGGGCTCCCATTTCTCCATCACTAGTATATCGTCATGATCATCGTCATGGCCATACTCATGATCCTTTTCCCCACTCTTTGGGGCGGGTTCATGAGTAGCCGCGACGCCTTTCGGACATAACAACCACCCGAAAATCTATCGCCGCGAGTAACCACGAACGCCGATACAATAAAACGTCAATGCGGAAATGGCTCAAAAAGGAGACGCCGTTTGCTCTGAACTTCTGAGGGAACAACGTCCACACGGGACGATTAGTAATAACAGGGGTCTTGGTCCACGACAAAAGACGAAAATAATAATCCGCGGGCGTTTGGAAATACGCATGTACGTCAAAATGTTTCCGCATAATGTTTCCGCAGCGCTTTCAGCGATCCGGAATTGGTTTTCAACTCCGGAATTCCGTTCCCCAATGTCTCGGCGCTTCTCACCACCATCTTTATTAGCAAGTGAGTGTCACCACAACTAGGAAAACTGGGGCGGAAAGCTAGGGATTCTCAGAGGTGTCGAGCTCGGCTAGCCTCGGTGAGCGCTAGGTTTTCACTAGATTGCCCAGATGCGTGAATATGTAATGGGCATACTCCCCAGGGGCAGACATAATCACACAATAATCCAAAGAATGGATAATCGAAACCAAGCAGCAGTAAATACTGGTATATCTCTATGAACCCTGCGCCCCTTAGGTCTACAAAAAAAAGCAAACAAATATAACCCCAAGACAGCCTACGGTGCCGTTGTTGATGGCCACCGCCTTAAGTCGTGTTGCCGCCCATCAGACCGGTAAGTCTGACCACAAACCAACTAATAGCCAAAAAAAGAAAACCGAGCATACAACCACTCTAACCAGTGTGCATCGTATCAGAACGAAAGGTTTCAAAACAGGGTTCATAAATGTCATCATCAACAATCCCGCCCGTAAAGTGTCAACCCAAAAGGGAGGATAAGGTATAATAGAGCATGTCCTGTTCGAATCATGAAAAGGGGGTAGAAATGTAAAAACCCCCGCCGCCGCCTTGCCCCAAGAGAACCAAGAACGTGTAGGAAATAAAAAAAGAGGAAAAAAAGTGTCCAGAGTACATCCAGTCGAGAGGGAGAGAGGAAGGCTTAGCGACCTCCATAGTCACTGGCATACCCGATCTCCCCATACCCTTCTTGCATTCCCCCCGGCCCAAAGCCCGTCCCGGGCCCACTAACATAGCCGCCATCATCAGCATCATCATAGTCGCTGGCATCAAAACTACTCCTGCCGCTCAACTCGTCTTCAATACCGCTGCCACCGCCACCCATATCCGGCGCCGACCAATTCATCTGGGCTAGAGCTGGATACTGCGCCAAGAGGGCCTGCGGCAAAGCATAATTCCCGCTGGCATCCATCGGGTAGCCTCCGGCGTTGGGGTCCATCCCGGGCGGCATCATCAAGCCCTGCGGCGGCTGCTGATGCTGCATCACCATGCCCTGAGCCATGGCTTGCTGGGCCTGTTGGCGCTGGCCTTCCTCCCATTGGCGCATGCGCTCGGCAATCTCTTCGTCGAGTAACGGCTTGATGCAGATGCGGCCGGCCTCAGAGCGGAAGTGGCGGCCAAGTGCATCGGCGCGAGCAAAGCGCCGGCCGCAGCCCCACTGCCCACCGCGCTTGAGGTCTCCCTTACAGACGAATTTCTTCTCACCCGAGTGTAACCCCTCATGGCGCTTACGGTCGTGCTGTCGCGCGAAGGCTTTCCCGCAGACAGTGCAAACAAAGGGGCGCTCGTCGGTGTGGGTACGGAGATGCGACCGGAGATTGTACGCCCGTGTGAACCGCTTGGGACACAGGGTGCACTGGAAGGTGGCCGGGTGCTTTTGCACCCGTTTTGCCCCACCTGCGCCGTTCTCGCCCTGGGCGCCGCCGGTGTATTCCGGGTCGGCGAGGCGGAGCGCCATGACGTTGTTCGGGACGGACGAGGTGGACTGCCGCCGTCGACTCGCTGCCGTGCTACCGGCACGGTCAAGCGGAGAAAGGGAGCGGGAAGCCTCGAGCCGGGCACCCGCTGCGGCGTCTGGGGACAGGCCGCCCGACGCCGACACGCTGCGTTGGACATTGAGGAGAGCCCCACTGTTGTTGTAAGGGTCGGTGACAGCACGGGGCCGTTGTGCTCTTTGACGTCCTGCAAAACGGAGATTTGATTAGTGTCGTTGATCGAACCTCTTAGACCAGGGCTGGTCCTGAAGTTGGGAAATACAGCGTTGTTACATACCTCGCTCCGGCGGGGTTAGTGAATCGACATCGAGGCTCTTTTGATCCTCGAACCCGCTCCGTATCGCCGTCGGCGCAAAGTCGATGTTGATAGATGGCGGGGCCGGCATGCCGGACTGAACCTCTGGGGCGTCCTGCTGGAGCGTTGGGAACGCTTCCCCGGGTGCTTGCAGGTACGGTGACGGAGCATACCCGTTATTTTGATTTGGCAGCAGGAAGCTGTTTTGCTGATTCATATCAGGGAGCTGCTGGGGTAGAATACGCGGAGAGATCGCCGGACTATGGGATGGGCTCCTAGCGGGCCCATGGTTTGGGCTGTGCGCCCCCGTATCGGAGATGCTGAAGCTCCCGATTCCATGGAGCTCGTGGTATAGTCCAGCGTCCTGTGGCCGCTGCATGGGCGAGTGGCTGTCGAAATTGTCAAAGGAGTCGGCGCTAGCGAGGTTGGGGGACGGCGCGGCAGACGAGACGTCCGAGTACTCGGAAGCCGTCCGTCTATGGCCCTGGAACTGCGGCCCCGCCTGAGTCCAATCCAGCTGTCCTGGGAGCAGGGCCGCCTCTGGGCCGAGGGACACATTCCTGGAGTGTCGCCCCGGGGGTGAGGAGAACTGGTGCTGGTTGAAGCGGGGCGAGTGGTTCGCAGAACCGGGCTGCTGCGCATCCGGGTTGAGGAGGTGGGGAGGGGTGGTTGTGTGGTTCGCTTGAGCCATCATGGTGGGCTCATGGACGGACAGCTGCTGTTGCTGCTGCTGGCCGTCGCTGGCAAATAGGGGGGTGTTGAATTGGGGCTCGCCCGAGGTCGGCGGGAAGATGGTGAAGTCGCCGTCTCCAAAACCCGGAGAAAGCTGCTGCTGCTGCTGCTGCGATTGGGACTGCGTCTGCGATTGGGATTGCGACTGCGACGTGAAGCTGCCCGGGCTCGTGGCGTCGAAGTCCTGAGGCAGATCAAAGGCGGGCACGTTGGTGGGGTCCGACAAGTCGGGTTGTGAGAAGGGCTGCGGGGCAGACTGCTGGTTGGTGAGGAAATTACTGGTGTTGGTATCAAAGGCCGGGAAGCCAGACTGGGTCACGGAGAACTGTTGGAGGGCTGGGTCGACGAGACCGACACCGAGACCGATAGATGAGGAGGATCCGGGTTCGTTCGGGTTGGGAAATCGGACGGGCGACGGCGAGGGGGCATTCCTTATACCCCCGCCATTCGACGCGGCCGAGGGCGAGCGCCCGCGGACTTGGGAATGCTGTTGGTCCATCTGCGGGTTCGTTGCTTTGTGTGTCTGCGGTGTGTGTGTGGTCTCCCGTGGTAGGTCGGTCGATGCCAGACCGCGCGGTCGGGGTCGGATAGCGGAGCGGGAGCGTGGCGTGGCTTGCGACAGGTACGTAGGTACGAGTCGTCGTTGTTGCTGTGTTTAGAAGCAGAACGAGGCAGACTGGCGCGTGGTGGGTTGCGGGCCGCGGGTTTGCGATCAGCCTTCTGGGGGGGCAGTGGCAGTGCCGCGGGGCTGTGCTCAGTGAGCTGCGACGAACGACGTCCGAAGCGCGCTTGGGGCCAGTCTGGAAGTCCCGCTTGCTGCAGAGTCGCAGGAATGTGCAGCCGTTTGCTGGCAAGTTTGTTGCAACGGTTCCTGTTAATTACTTCCTGGGGTAAAAAAAGGACAAAAAGTATGTTCGAGGTTGCGTCCGGTCGGCCAGCTGGTGGTGAAAACGGGCGCGGCTGTGGAGAGGGGAACGGAAAGCTGTTGGATGATGGTTTGCACCTCCAGCCCGCTCGCTCTCTGTTCTTCTCTTCCTTTTCTCGCTCGTAGCCGCCGAGCGCCTCTCTCTCCTCTTTGCCAAATGAGGATGGGTGGGAGACGCCCGAGCATGGAGGGGCTGCCAAGCCGGGGTGCGGGCTGCGGGTGAGCCACAAGTGGGGCCATCGCCCCGCGGCAGCGAATTGTGTGCCGAAAAACCCCCTGGTCCCGAAATGGTCAGCAGTTTCCCCAAACGGAAAGCCATCCACCCCTCTGAGCCCACAATTGCACGCAAAGAACCCAAGTCGCAAACTCGATGTCTCCCTTGTGCACTGCTTTTTTGCTCTCGATTCCTCGAGGGGACCGAGTTCAACCACTCGGCCAATTTCGATCTCCCACCGCTCGGTTTCCGTGACTAGTGTACACGCTCGCCAACGTCGTAACTGGCCTACCGTCTAAATTTGGCAACTTAGCATGGAAGCCCCCAAGCTGCGGCCTTGCTTTGACAAAGGCAATCAGGGGCCAAAAACCCCCAGGCCAACCCAGTGCTAAGACAGGGTTCGGCTGCTATGTTGAAGCACCCTGTGAGCACCGTGTGTCTCACACCGCACTCGCCAACGCATGAGGGCTTTGCGCAGAACGTCATCCTTCTGTGTATGTGGTTGGTTCATTCGACACGGTATTCATGAGCTCTACGATTTCCCGCCTCGAATGAGCTGGACATCTTGAGATTGGATGGTATGCCATATGTGTGATGATTATTGTACACTATGGTATCTAATTAGGCAGGTAGGTATGTGGACATACATGTAACTGAACTGGTTCCCACTGTCAGGCTGCGAGTACCGAAACGGGCCAAGTTGAGACGCAACAAACACAATAGCTTGATTTAACATTCACGCCTCTGCCCATGGTAACAAACATGGCATAAAGACGAGTGAGACGTATGTACTGACAAAGATGCCCTCTCCCACCTCACCACTACCAGTGGTTCTGGCCGGATCCGGAGTCCTGGACATGGAGCGCCCGGCTTCCGTCCGCCACTTCCTGTGCCTTCCTCATCCGCTTGATTCGTCTTCCCACAAACCATTGTTAGTGTATCCATAGGAATCCCGAACGATCAACCCGATCGACCCTTCGCAGGGATCCGAGAGGAATCCTTCGGCTCGTGTCTTTCCTGTTCCTTGATGCGAGAGGCGAACAAAGGTCAGCAAAAGGATTTGTCGATTCATCTTTGTGCAACAAATACCCTACTCATGCCTACCTCCTGGGTTCGCCCCCCTCGGGATTTACCCGCATGATGCCCAACCAACAGATGTGGTCCAGCCCAGACCGCAGCAGCTGTGGGATCTGGGACCTGCAGCCCTACACGGGAACGGTGTTGTGGTGTTAAAACCTTCTATTTGTGGGGGGTTTAGGTAAAGTTTATTTCGGAGACGGGCGCATTCATTGTATTGGACCGTTTAAATGACTGCCTAGTGGCTGTACACTACACAGCAGCCCGGCTAGTTTGGTGTGATGTCACAAGCAATAACAAAAAAAGGTGAAGGGGAAGGGAGAAAACCGTGACAGTTAAGTGAATAACGAATTGCTCATCCTTATACGTTCCATGGATGGGATGACTGGACGGCTTCAAGAAGTATCGGTACTCGGAATCCTTGGTGCGATCGAATAGGCCCATCACTGAGTTCATCCAAGCCAAGTCCGGACCTGGGGACTGAAGAGGGACTGACAAAAACTTTGTATTTCCACCGAGCCTCATGCGGCTCATGCTTGACCTTTTATCCCAAATCTAATTTACCTAGAGTGGAGTGGGTATCGTGTGTCCAAAATACCCTCATCTAACGCCCAAAACAAATAACGCCCAAAAAAAGCCCCCCTTCGTGGGGCGTAAACGCGATCTAACAACCATAGTTCCGTGCCTTTTTTGATGACCCAAGAGAAAAAAAAACCTTTAGAGGCTAACACTCCTCAACCGATAACGTCGTTCCGCTCGTACCCCGTTGGCTTCAACCCAGCTTGCGGCTTACGCTTTTCCTCACCAACACGGTACTCCGACACGAATGGGTTAGGATCCTCCTTCTGCTTGAGGTTGCTGAGCGTGTGGTTGACACCGCGATGGACAGCCTCATCCGCCCGGATATAAAGGATCAAGTCCTTCATGGTCCTCTTCCCCTCTGGCATCCGCCAGTACGACACTGCGATCTCGGGCACCTCAAATTTGGGGTCCGACCACTTCGGTAGGTCCCCGCGTTCAATCTCGTGCAACATGCGCGTGTACGTGTGGACGGCTTCTTCTTCAAGATAGCCGACGAAGCGGTGGGTGATTTTGGGTGAGACCAGGTAGCTGAGGAACATGGCGTTGAAGAAAACGCCCTGCGCGCCCAGAATCATGGTCTTCATGAACCAGCCGGGAGCGCCGACTTTCATAAAGGTGAGGAGGTGCATGCGCTCGTTGTAGGACTCTTCCAGCAAGGTCTCGATCCAGCCGTTGTCGCGCTTCATGCGCCGGAGAGAGTGAAGGTGGCGGAGCATGCCGCCGACCATACCGGGGACGCCGGCGATAGACTCAAGGAAGATGACTCGAACGAGCTGGAAAATAGGTCAGTCTCTGTTGACAAGGGGTTATAAGATAGATCGCATAAGGTCTCGTACCCATTGGGCTTCGGTCAAGGGTTTCTCAGCCACCAGAGCCGTTGTGGGATTCTTCATGTCTACCTGCTGGTCTCGCCCGATGCCAGTGGCAAGGTCGGTAGCCCACCTATAATCGTCGTCAGTGTTGATTCACATTTTCGAGACAGTATGAGCCAAAAGACTGGATCCGTACCTGGCCAGGCGGACAAGCTTCCACGCTACCCAATCGCCAACCGTCTCAGGCTTGCGATGCCCTGGGACGACGGCGCGCATCTCCTCCTCGGTGTAACCGGGATGTTCCCAAGCTGGCGGTGTTTGCCGGATGTAGGGCGTGTCCTTGATCGGGAAAACATCTCGCAGTTGGTTGCTACCTGTCGTAGAGAAGCTCCGTTTGCCAGAACAAGGAGTGAGAGATTGAGCACATTGAGACTGATGAACGGCAGCAGCAACTCGGATGGTGGCCGGATACCCAAGTCCAACAGCGTGATGGGCTTGGTATAGAAACGGGGTCAACCCGCGGCTGAGCTGGGCCGCCTGTCGCGGCGAACAGACTTTCTTGCTAGCTTCGATAGTGATCATTGGGGGTGTGTCGGACAGTCAGACTTCTTCTTGTTATCGTCGTGATGGTTGAAGTAGATATGGTGAGTTTGATCTTAGATTGAACTGTGGTGTCTAGGGAACATAGAGACGAACAAAGAAACAAACGCCCGCGGTAAACATGATCAATCACTTGTTTTATACTCGGTGGTCGTTGGACCCAGAACTGAGCCACATTGACTCAGCAACCAACATGATACAGCCAGAACAGGGAAAGGTCGGGGGCTACCAAGGACCTCAGGCCGAGTTCGTCCGGTCCATGACGGAACAAACGCGGGTTGTCAACCGTCCCCACGAATTCCTCGATCCGTTCTCCGGGCATCGCCGCAGAATGTTGGCTTAACTTGCCCATTCAGGGGCTGCGAAATACATGTATTCTCATCGGCCGGGGCTTCCTGGGCCCGGGGCGCCGGATAGGTGGAGTTCGGGGATCTGGTTCGTGTCAGTTTTTGACTTTTTGTTGATGCTGGAGCCCGCCTGGGCTTGCTGTTGGGTCCACTGGGTTTGGGAGCTCGGAGCTCGGGACGATACGGGTCCGAATGGAGGCGCTGGCCGTTTGTTAACGCCCACCTCACTCACTGTCTGCTCCGTATTGTTCCGCGAGCATTAACAGCCTTGTTACGAAGTATTTCCGGTCGTCCTCTGCGAGATTTTGACTTTTGTTGGTCACCGGAGCCTCAAACTTTGCCATTTTTGTTTCTCTCCGCCGGGTTTCTGTCGTGTGACCGAGTATCTTCGCCCAGCTGCCCGATTTCTTCTTGGCAAATCTTTCGTTTCCATTGCACGCATAGGGTCTTCCCAATATCCCACAAGTCCACTCACCACAATCATTCTTGCTCGACCTTCGCCACCTGCATGTACAGTCGATCAACACAGAGTCTGGTGACGAACCTCTACACTATCTATCCTTCGACTGCACCATCCCGTTGCCATTCAAGCACGGAGATTCCCTCGTAAAGCGGTTTTGTCTGAATTGGGGATCCGCTCAGAATTTTGCAGACGAACTAACCCCCATGCTAACGGATGCAACGCAGAGCAACATCGCAACGACGATTTGACACCCGACGCCCAGCGAACATATTTGAGACCAGAGTATTCGTCGACGGCAGCGCCTTGCATTTGTGTATGTTTGACCATCTTGGTTGGAATTTCCGGGCGAGCTTAGGACGGTGAGGTGACATGGCCCGCATTGTTTCCTCATTGACGGGTCCGCACATCCATTCGGCGTCGACTTGCGGCAGTCTGAACCGGGCAGGCATATCGAGAGTTGCTCGAAACAAGACTCCTGGGATCTACATATTTTCTTCCTTTCACTGTACCGCCCACTGCCTTCCTCCACCCCCTGTGCCCTCTTACACTACATCCAGAGTGCGGCCCCCGCTGGATAATATTATGCACCCAGCCATTTCTGTGCACGGTTGAACCATTCGCGATCCCCGGTGTGCCAAAAGGCGCAACTCTCGTCAGAGAACGGCGCATGCCTTGGCGGCTTAAGATACTTGCATCGCAGCGCTTTCCCATTCTGTTTGAACGACCTTTCTCTCGACGCGGCGGAACATGGTGTGTGTATGTACACAGTCCTGTCGTCAGTTGTCATTGGCTTGAAGACCGCGGGACTTTGTCTGCTCGGACTCAGGTGTGTCTCGGTGTTGCGGTCGTGTGCAGACGAGCGAGTAACAAAAATCCACTGGGCTGGTTTGGGCCGTTTCAGGGTGAGGGGCGGTTGCGACGATGGTGGGGTGAGGGGTGTGGTTGGTTGGCGATGGTTGGCGGCGGTTGAGTGGTTGGCGATGGGGGCCGCACAGAGGCTCTCGACCATTGGCCTCACCAGACCAAACCAAACCAAGGGGTCTGACCGAGCCCATGGTCAATCGCTCCCTTCGCTCCCTTGGTGCACCAAAATACCGTCATTCAACATGCGGCGTTCGACAACGGAACCCCGCAGCTCGATAAAGGTTGTCCGAGCGCGGGGGTTAGGTAGGCACATAGGTTCGGAAGATGCATTGCATTTGTAGCTGGTTAAGGTATATAGGATCTGCAGCGGCCGCTATCTATTGGGGGCTGCAGCCGCTCCTGGCATGCGGCATCACAGACGGCGTTGTCGTCATCCTCGCGGTCGTCCAGTCTGTGTGCTTATCATCCACATATCCAAGGGCTTCATCCTCTTCGGTCTCAGCTTCCAGGTGCCCCGGTTTTTGCAGCCAAGAAAAACCTTAGAAAGTCTGCCGCTATCTCCACTTCTTTGCTGCAGCGGGCACCTGTTGCGTTTCGTGCTTCCCCGGGGCTGCAAAACGCCTATCATTCCCTTTAACCCTTCTTCAACCCGCCAACCCCTCTCCAGGGCCATCGAGATCCCCGATACCCTTCCATTGTCAACTGGGAATGTTTAAAAGGAAACGCCAACCCCACGGCGGCGGTTCTGCACCCTGAATTTAATGAACTGCGGCTACGGATAGTTCTTCCGCATTTCGCTTCGTTACACTTGCAAAACGGTCTAGATTTAACGTTATTTCCGATCCTAAGCCGGGCCTGTACCATGGCGGGCTCTCGGCACGTGGGCTCCATCACCGAGCTCAACCTGAGCGCCTGTCAACCCAATACCCTGGTTGACAGGATCAATGCAGTTCCTGGTCTGAAAACCAGTGCGGGTATGTTTTGAAGATTTCTTTTTGTCGATTATTGCTCTCTTTTTTTTACCTCTGCACCCTTTAAGTTCTCCAGAAGAATTATGCTCTACGACGTTCGTCCTCGCTTGCGTCTTTGCTGCAACCTTCAAGCAGAACTTCAACAAGAATCGGGTTGCGGGGCAATTTACTACAAGACCCCCACTGCGACGTCGAGTTACATTGCAATAGCTTAACTTGAGGAGCTTCCATTGACGCGTGCCGGCTTAGCATTTCTCACATTCCTTCGCGCCAACCTGGTGCTCCTCGACTCGAGCATGCCCTCGAACGTGTCAACGCCTACCTTGGGGCCCTCCGCATCACAGACACTGCCGCCGGTCTCACATTCTTCGCCCCTCGCAAGTAATGGCACCAAGCCCCAGGATATTCCCGACGATGATGATCTCCCGCCGCTCTCCCTTGAGGTCTTGACCTCCCGCGAGGACAAGGCGGCCGCCCTAAAACTGGTCGCCGACAGCATCGCCCAACAACGCCAGCGGGCCGCTCTGCACCTCGTCCTCCACCCTCTTCCTCTCGCTGCGCTTCTCGCCGTGCTTGCGGTCATCTATCGTTGTGCCTGGTCTCAAAACACGCAGCACGATCTTGGCACCACGCTCATGCTGGGAAGCGGTGCCATCATGACCTACCTCATGGCCATCCGCTTCGTCACCTCGGGCTACATCCGTGCCGCCGAGGCCATCTCCTGGGACTTTCTCACCACCGGCCCCGACGGTCTCGATGAAGAGGATCTCGTCATCGGCTCGCGCTACGGGGGTGAAGTTATTGGCGCCCTGGTCCTTCGATTCGAGCGTCAACAGCGCCCTTCCTCCTCTGACGGCACCACAACATCCACATCCAACGCCAATAGCAATGGTACCAACAACGGGTCGCACAGCCGCCGCAAATCCCAACAACACTCCCGCCAAAACAGCCTCAAGCTTAAAAAGAACGGCGGCACTGGCTTCATCCGAGCCTGGACCGTCCGCATGCGGTACCGCGGCCGCGGGCTTGGGGGTGACATGCTGCGGGAAGCGGTACGGATTACCCGCGAGCGTTGTGGACGGGACGCCCCGGTCGGGTTTGCGCAGGAGCATGCGAATAGTGCGATGGTATTGCCGGAATTTTTCAATAAGCCGTTCCGGAGGGGGGAGATGAGGGCGGCTAAGGCGCTGGAGAAGATTTTGGGGACTTGGGATGGAAAGAGGCGGTAGTGTTTGGCGATACGGGATTTACTATCTAAGGAGGGGGGCCAGGCTATGGAGGGTCAGGGTATATGTTGGAATTTTGGCCCGGGCAAGATACCGACCGGCGTCCCGGTTTTGTTTATTCCCTTCTTTCTTTATGTCGTGTGTTGGTTGGTGAGATCCGTCTTACCAGGCGTTGGATTTGGTGTTGAATTTCCGGATTGTCTTCCCTTAAATGATACCAAAAGATACCACTTAGACACTCGCTCAACAATTTCTCGGCTTGACCTTCAGTTTTCACTTAATCCTTTTGTACTTGGAACACCTAGTCGAAAATCTAGGCTCACCCCGTTACAAATAACCCAGCCTGCTCCCTCGATTCCTACCCCGAGTCCCCGAACGCCTGAAATTTATGCCCATGCAACCAGTCCTTCTCGTACCGCCAGGAATGAAAACAGTTAGCCCAATCCCAGTATCTTTAGGCTACAACCCAGGCTTCAACCATCGGTGACCGACAGGGACGACAGTGGAAGCCGATACCTCGGGCTCGAGTAAAACAGCGACAAAGGAAAACGGGTCATCAACTAGACGTCAGCATCATCTAGCTGGAGTTCCGCCTTCTTCTTGGGGACCTGGTACGTCTCCGGGTCGAAACCGTAGATGGGTCGACCAATGCGGCGCAGAGCGAAGATCACCTGTGGTATCACCCGTTAGCGCACGCTATGGAACGAATCTTCCCCCGAGACAAAACTCACATCGTTTGTGGTCACCGTTTTCGCACCACGATACTCCGTATAAGCGACGACATCCCGGATGATCTAACGGCTCGTGTTAATCGGGGGAAGAAAGGACTGGACAGAGTTAGGCAGGATTAGTTCTTATGTACATACCATTGATAGGTAGGTCTTTAGCGCGTAACGCGCCTCGTCGTAAATGCCACCAGAGATACGCTTGACACCGCCACGGCGGGCGAGACGCCTGCATTTTTGTTAGCGGGTGCTGTCTGTGAAAGGGCTGGGCAGTGGGAATGGGAGTGAGGCAGAAAGCGTTTGGGGCGGGAAAACCACTATTCATTAGGCACTCGGAGAATCGACAAGAAGATGAATGTGAAACTAGAGAAGACGATCCAGACGACGACAGCTCAGACCACCCTCATCTGCCTGGATCCGGGCATATCGTGACCGCCTTAGGAGCGTAAACAATGAGTTGCAATTGCAGCAGTTTGGCCAACTTAACAGACCCACTGCCGAGCTTTACATACCGAATGGCGGGCTTCGTGATACCACGAATACAGTCTTTGATGATCTTTCTGTGGAACGCGAGGAAAATATTAAAAAATGCTCCTGAAACAAAACCGGCTTGGATCTAAGGGATCAGCGTCTTGCTCACCTGTGGCGCTTTGCGCCCGTCTTTCCCACAGTTTTGCCCGCAATGCCGATGCGCTTCAACGCGCTCGGCCCCCCGCGCTGGGGAATCGTCGGTGGCATGGTTGATTGGTAGCCGATTCGTGTGGTTAGCGTACGACAGGCGACGGCTGAACAAAGCAGTTGTTCAACGCCTCATTCGGCTACATCCAACTTTACGGACGAAATTAGTTGTCGTCGGAGTGTGATAACCTTGGCAGCCTCGACTTGAAAGAAGGTAGGAAGCAAGAGGCTACCGGGGAGAAAATATGTGGGGCTTGTTGGCCTCAGATGAAGTCGCGTGCCTTCTACGTAGTAATATGTTGTCGACCTTGGGATCTATGCATAGTTGAGGACAGCAGCCGAAGTAGAGATCTTAGCCGTGGTAATTATCATGGTTTATTGCTTTCAAACGCCGCACTGGTTGGCGCCGGAAAAGACCCAGCCAAGCCAGCGTCGCCTCCTCCAAGGCCTCGCTGTTGTTCGTAAACAACCATAGGTATTTACAGTCATTACATGGTTTAGAAAGTAGCTCGAATGCACCGTGTATTAAAGTATATAGCGAGTGTCTAGTATCGCATTGTAATTCTCCACAACGCCAATCCTGAGAAATAACCGTGTCTCGAGATAGTGTACCCAAACAAAGCCCTTGCTGCCCTACACAAGAGCCATCTATTCGGAGATGAACGTCGCTTCGCTGAAAAGGAAGCCCTCTTCCGTAACTTCCTCGTCGCCAATCTTAAGTTTCAATGATATTTTCGACTTTTGCGGCGCATACTGGGTTTGTTAGTTCATTTGCTGGAGCAAGCAGAAAGGGAAAACGGACCTGGTAGATGTATGGCTTCGTGCCCGAGGCACCTGCTACGATCTTCTTGACGAAACCGGGAACCTCGGCCATAACGTCTATCCTGTCAAGCCTATCCTCCAAGTTGCCTTCGATGAAAGCGTCCACCGGCTTCTTGTCCTTAGTCTCGCCGGTCCATGTATACTTGACCGTCGTCGGTTCGGGCCAGTCATTTTCGCCGTCGCTCTTGGTTTCAAGGTGTGTCGCGTTGCTTTTGCAGCCACCGACGATGATCTCTCCGTCCTTGGCGATGACGCCCACGTTTACCACGGTAGAGCCGTACGACGGTGGCGTGGTGAACTGCATGAGGATGGCTGAGTGAGTTGGGCCCTGGAAGTTGCAGAAATTCCACTTGGCCGCCGCGTGGTGCGGCTTCATGCCTTGCAGCGCGTGGGCGAAGAGAGCCTTGCCCTTCAAGTCGATGGGGCCGTCCTTAGTCATGACCGTTCCCTCAGCTGTGCACCTCGGCCAGAAGACGTGGCGCATGGTGCCCCATGGGTTGGCTAGGTCGGTACCAAAAAGAGTGTTACCGGTCTTGCCTGCTTTAAATCCCGGCGCTACCCGCTTGACGGTGAGGTTGGTGATCGCTTGCTGGTCGGCCATGGACTTGATTGTCAATGTGGTGCCATCCTCAGACAGCTCAATGGCGCAATCGTCAGCGTAAAAGCCGGTCTTGTCCTCTGTAAAGTCGGGGTTGCTCAGGGGCGTCGAGGACCATAGGTGAGGCGTTGTGCCGTCGAGGCTGAAGATCTTGAGGTTGAACTGGGCGGTGGTTCGGATGCCGCTAAAGTAGGCCGGTTAGCCAGGGGTTACACACATACAACAAGAGTGGAGGCTATAACGGGGCGCGAGAGACCTACGCCACGTTACTATAGATGACCTGGGCAAACGCCAACTTCCCGTTGTCGGCTATGAAGTAGAAGGTCTGAGTCTCAACCGAGGTTGACTCCATAACCTCCCATTTTAGGTCGTCCCGAGTAAGCTCGGTGTAGGGTGTAGTCTCAGCTTCAACGGCGACCGACTTGATGGCCTCGGGGCCGTAGATCGGCTCTTGTGTGCCAGCGACATTGGCGAGCCTGTTCGGGTTGGGTGAATTGTGTAAGCCGACGAACACAAAAGGCGGGGCATCAAGTTATGGAAAACTGCCCAGAATGGGGGAGGAACTGGGGTGTTAAGTTGGACCAGGGGGGTTTCTTACTGCTGCTGCGCCCACTTAAACATGTTGGTCGGCTGTTTTCCTCGAGGCGCGACTTTGAGATCCGGTAGAGTGGAGGAGAGAAAAGGGTGGAAGGCAGAACGTAAGAATCTTGCACCAAAATTCGGGTGTTGTTTGGATTTGGGACTATTCACCGCTGTCGAGGGACCCCTCGACTAAAACGCTGCCCGAGAGGAGCTTTACGCTAACGCCCCCGGTCGCCTCCAGTGCGGCACAACCCGGACGTCACTGGCACTTGTGCAGGGATTCCTCGAGCATTCGAGCGTTGTGGCTGAACTTCAAGTGGATCCCGCCTTTTGGATTGAGCAAAGTGTGGCTAGTGCACGATTCGCCGGAAGCTCCAAATTTTTTGACCACCCCGTTGAAGACGGCTGCGATCCCAAACACGACCCCGCGAGACGGATCCCGCCCTTGACAACACCAATTCCCACGATCGATTCTCCGACGGCCATAGCCCGTGCTAGGAACGATGTCCAAGAAGCGCGCCGCTGGCGGCGTAGATCAGGTGGTCAAGATTCTTGTGGGAGCTGGCCAGGCGAGCCCAAGTCCTCCCGTTGGCCCGGCACTCGGTAGCAAGGGTGTTAAGTCGATGGATTTCTGCAAGGTGAGTAACAGTTGAGCAGGACTTTGAAGCTTCGATTCGGTGGAGCGGGAAATGCGGTATGTTAACGCATACCCTAGGAGTTCAATGCTCGTACCCAGCACATCATCGCCGGCACACCAACGCCAGTCCGCGTGACGGTCCGACCGGATAGGACATTCCACTTCGAGATCCGGACACCGCAAACTTCATGGCTTCTCATGAACGCCGCCGAACTTCCGCTAGGGAAGAAGGGCCAAAGGAGAGGCGCAAGCAACCCGGGAAAAGAAACCGTAGGGACGGTCAGTCTCAAGCACATTTACGAAATTGCAAAGATCAAGCAATCCGAGCTTCGTCTCTCCGGTCTAGCGCTGGAGGGGCTTTGCCGGGCTGTCATTTGGCAGGCAAAGTCCATCGGGATTGCTGTGGTTCCGTAAACCGGAGGGCTAGTTGGCGGAGCGATTAGGATTTGGCACACGGCGTTACGGGCATTTCCAAGCGGGTTGGTTGGGTGAATCGTTAGTTAGGGCGGCCAACGAAAGGTTAGGTGACCCTGGCTTTAAATCTGTACATTAAATTTGTAACATAACTGTTCAAGGTTGGGATGATGCAATGAAGTGCCAGAATTTGGCTGACGCCTTCAGGCGAATTGTTTTTGGACTAGGTCTGGCGTTGATATTAGTCTTCACTGGGTGGACGGCCAATTCTGAGGGCCGTGAAAGAATGGAAGGGCATACTGACGTTATAGTAGCAACCGGCGATTACTCCCGGTCAACCCGGCCCCGATGGCCCCCGGCGGCGTGGGCTGGGGTTCGGGCGCCACACCTGAACTCGTCTGGACGCCGGGGTTGATCCGGAGCTGCGTGATGTGCTCGTCCCTTAGTTGATTCGGGTATGCCGGACTGGAGCGGGGAATTTCAACACAAGGACCAACCACGCCTAGAACTTCTCTTCTGCCCCGAGATAATGTCGAGAGACCGACCTACCAGTCACACCACATTTGTCCTTCGTTGCTCGATCAATGGGAGCCGCGAATCGCACGTGCCAGCCCAGCTCGGCCTGATTTTGATAGCAAGCTCGGCCGCTGTTCGCTCCTCGCTTCTCCTTGTTTGCGTCAATCCGATTAGCGGACATTCGACACAAGAAATGGATGAAACCCCCAATCGCAGCGGCCAATCTACCTTGCCATCAGCCCTTTCAGCCCTTCCCGCTCGGGATCTTCGGGCATTCTACGGCGAGACCCCTCCGAGCAACCCCTCATTTGGTCCCGTCTCAACGCGTTTTTTTCTTTGCCCTGTTATCATCTGGACTCGGGCCAGAATTCTCAGACTCGCATCTGATGTCTGGTTTTGCTTGCCGCGAGTCATTTTGATCTAAGACAAACTGCCGGAAAAAGCCTGCTAGTCAGGGAATCCGGAAATAACCGCCCCCCTCACGTCTGCCAACAGCTGACGACGGCCTGGCAGGAGTTGCCGCAATGGCCATTGATGGTACCCGCGCCACCCGCAGAATTCAGCCAACGTTCGGCCCGCCATCGCCTTGCGTAATGTACCTGTCAAGTAGTTGAATGCCCCACTGCTCGTAACGGCTTCAATCGCACTCGCCCCAAAGTACTCTTTCCAGACTCCCAAACCGGGTTACTTTTTTTCTCATCCGTTTGTAATTCTCCATTCCACGACTCCGGCCGGCACCCTTCACCAAATTCCTCCTATACGCGCGGGCGCACCTCCGACTTCCTTGCTCGACTGTCACTATCATTTTATTTCCCCCTGCCAAGATGGCGTCGAACTCCCACCATGAGGAGCTTCCGAGTGACGTCCAACAAGGTAAGAGAACAGCGTTGTCCCTCAGGCCGCCCCGCATGTCCATTGCGAACTGGGACTCACCTGGACGGCCCTGTTCAACCGAAGCTATCGCGAAGCGTTTGCTAATCTGGTCTCCCGATTCACAGACCCCGTCCCGACCACCTCGGAATCTCAACCTAACCATCAATCCCAAGTTCGGTTTAAACCCACCATAGAAGAAATCGCACCCGACAACAGGTCCATCGAGGCCAGTCATCCGTCGACTGATGGGACTTCGCTCGGAAACCCCGGTGAAGTAACACCAGCAGATATTCACGCGCTATCCGACAGGCTAAGGATATGCCCACTTCAAGAGCGGAGGATGAACATCTTTTCTTATGAGCCGGTGTCTCTGCCCCCGTCTAGGGTACGTATTTTCTTGAAACTTCCCGCTTTCCCCATGTCTTTGACATCTGTGTATTATCTCGGGAACGAAACTGTGTCGGGCTTTTTGTTAGTTTGCTCATGTTTAAGTTGGTGACCGCCTTGAGCGATTCCGGGGAGAGCTTTCGCCCGCAATGTGTGCCTCTCCTAACTCATATTTCGGCAGACGATATCCCGCGATGAAGAATCTCGGGAGCCTAGCAGGCAACCTACTCAAACCTCGGCAACGCACGGCTCGCCGCACTTACGCCCCGACATGCAATCACCACCCTTAACCCCGTCTGGAACCGGCGCTACCGAGGGAGGACAGAAACGTGAATACATTAGCGGTCCTGATCGATTCAGCCGAGGGCCCGACGTTATTACACCTCAGGATTCTACCCACGAACCGCCGTCGCCTGGAGCGTCCCGTTTAATTGTTCCACACCACACTCCGGTCGACCGCGAACGAACGGGTCGCCGACCTGCCACTTCGGAGGGTAGGGAAGGTTCGCAAATATCACTCGGCAACCACCGCCGGGGCCTCTTTTCGACCGGCGCTGGGAGCGTCTCTACTTCACCTACTAGTTCGGTTCCGCCCTCACGCGACACTAGCCCCTCACGGGCGGCAGCAGCTTCACTCTTTTATTCCCGTCAAGCACCGCCCCCCGGAGACTCTGATGATCCTTACGCTGCAAATAAGCGGCAAGCCCAGAAGGGTATTGACCCACGCTTCGTATTTTCTAGAAAGAAGAAGCAGGGTTCTCCAAGCTCGTCGACGCTTAGCCTGCCGAGGCCGTTGGCAGAGAAGCGTTACTCGGACGATGGTCTTTCTCACAGCCGGAACAATTCGATGGCGGATTTGAAGCGCTTCTTCAAATTGGGCACAAGCAACAAAGCAAAGCGGACCGCTTCGCCAGCATCTTCAATTCGGTCCGGTATCAAGACCCCGCCCAGCTACAAGTCGGCTCAGATCCCCTTTGGCGACGACCACGGCCTCTCGTCCAAGTACGGAAAACTTGGGAAAGTGCTTGGTTCAGGGGCTGGCGGGTCCGTTCGGCTCATGAAGCGGGCGGAGGATGGCGTGGTATTTGCCGTTAAGGAGTTCCGGGCGCGCCACTCGTATGAGACGGAGCGCGAGTACGTCAAGAAGCTGACGGCTGAGTACTGCATGGGTTCCTCCCTCCATCACGGCAACATCATCGAGACGCTGGATATTGTTCAGGAGAAGGGCAAGTGGTACGAGGTGATGGAGTACGCACCGTTTGACCTCTTTGCCATCGTCATGACAGGCAAGATGTCGCGCGAGGAAGTCAGCTGCTGCTTTTTGCAGATTCTTAGCGGCGTTACGTATCTCCACAGCTTGGGTCTTGCGCACCGCGATCTCAAGCTGGACAATGTCGTGGTTAGCGAGCATGGCATAATGAAGATCATCGACTTCGGGAGTGCCCATGTGTTCAAGTACCCCTTTGAGACGAGCCTCGTTCTCGCAACTGGTAAGTCGACTGACAACCCCCAGCCCCTTGAGTTACTCTCTCCTCGCAGCCTTCCAGCAAAGCGGCTGATGGCTAACATGCAACAGGTATTGTAGGTTCGGATCCGTACTTGGCTCCCGAAGTATACGACGAAAAGAAATACGATCCGCAGGCAGTGGATATCTGGTCGCTGGCTATCATTTACTGCTGCATGACCCTGCGCCGGTTCCCGTGGAAGCTCCCCCGACTTACCGATAACTCCTTCAAGCTGTTTGCTGCAGAACCGACGCCGGGCCACGATCCGAAGAAGCTTCTCCTTCCGCCCGCCAGGTCAACGACCGCGTTGAACGAGACACCGACTCGTGATTTCGATCCGCAAACCATCCGTGATGAGGCTACTAAAGCAAACGCTCACAAGGAGGCGCCGGCCAAGCCAGCTACCCCTGCCACTACAACGGACGGTAGTTCCTCCAACGCCCAGGTGGCGGAGAAGAAGGAGATCATCCGTGGGCCGTGGCGCATTCTCCGTCTACTTCCTCGGGAAAGCAGACACGTTATTGGGCGGATGTTGGAGCTGGATCCCAAGAAACGAGCTACGATGAATGATATTTTGGAGGATCCATGGGTGGCTGATACGGTAATCTGTCGTCAAGAGGGCGGAGATGTGATCAGTGCTGAGGACCATAAACATGTGTTGGAACCACCCGCATCTGCGGCACCGAAGTCTTAGCTTACAGGTGCTTGGTGAGGTATTGGGGCCTTGGGTGTTGGTTTCGTTCCCTTTCATTGGTACTAGACATGGGGTCTTGGTTACCTTACAGTGGTTAGATTTTTCAGGGTGTTGGGTGGTATTTGAGGCGGTCTTAGGAAAGTGGCCTGGGGGTGTTGGGGTTCTCAGCGGAAGCATTATATAGATCTGGATCATCCATGAAGGGCCTTCAGAGGTCGGCATAATGTTATAGGAGGGGAAAAGTGTTGGAGCTGGCGGATGGCATTGATGCCCACTCTATGTGGTGGTCTGTCTACAGACCTAGTTGATCACTGTCACGCTGTTTGAATCCCCCGAGTATGTTAAAAGTTGAAAAGCGGGATGGACCGAGGGTTGAATAGACCTTGTTGTTTAATGTTGCCGAGGGGCAAGCGGGGTTGGTGAGGGGCATGCATTTTTGGAGAGCCAGGCCTAAGCTCATGTGGAAGGAAAATGGAGGAAACAAGAAAGCAAAATCTATACCAACATGATGCTCACACAGCGATCGGATACCACGGCGAGGTCATTTCCTCTCAAACTCATCCCCTTGCTCCGTATCACTGGTTCGATACATAGTACGTTGCGTTTCGTCAGGGTATGTCTTGCGTTGTCTTCGGTCCTCTGCAACGAACGTCCGTCATCCAATCATACCCCTTGAGATACCAGAATTGTGGAGACCTAGGGTTCCAGCAGCCAATTGGCGCCGGTGATCCGGGGACCCAGTAAAAAATTGGCGACATTCTAGATGTTCCTGGAAGCTCTCCTTCGGATCGTGGACCACTTCGACTGAAAACGAAGCCGCCTCTTTTCTCTTGCGCCAGAATCGACGTCTCTCCAATTATTCTCTCACATACTACCCACCGGTTCGAACAACACCGACTACAGATCATCTAAAATGGTGAGTTCGCCCAGATTCTCAGATTCCCAACTGCGAAGCTCCCCTGAGGAGGGGAGGGGAGAAACCTCTCGACGCCAATTCTCCCGAAGCTGCAGCTTATCAAGCATCCCATCGCCCACGCCCACCAAGTCTCCCCGCCTTAGACAAAACAGACCATAAAATGCTAACGTGTAGTTCAACAATCTACAGGCCACCTCCCTCCGTTCCATCAAGGCCCTCGTGCCGCTGCTCGACCGCGTGCTCGTCCAGCGCATCAAGGCCGAAACCAAGACCGCCAGCGGCATCTTCCTGCCCGAGGCGAGTGTCAAGGAGCTCAATGAGGCCAAGGTATTGGCTGTTGGACCCGGTGCTCTGGACCGTGACGGCAAGCGCGTGCCCATGGGCGTTGCTGCGGGTGATAAGGTGTTGATTCCTCAGGTATGTTATTATGAAATACCCTCCGGGAGTATGAGGGGGGTGGGGGATGGGGGCACGGGGGCACGGGGTAAAGATGCTGATGGATTGTGTGTGTAGTACGGTGGCTCGCCCGTCAAGGTTGGTGAGGAGGAGTTCCAGCTCTTCCGGGACAGCGAGTAAGTTTTCCCTTGCTTCCTTACCACAAGATCCGATGGCACATATGGCGCCGAGAGAGCCTAGTCTTTAACATGATGTGTGCTTGCAGAATCCTAGCCAAGATCAACGAGTAAATTGGGACATCGCCATGAAGGACGAAAGAAATAGATACCCACGACCGCAACGACAAAAAAGTGTAACCATTTAATGTACCAAAATACAACAGACAGCACAAAACAAACCATGTAAAAAAACTCTTCGGGCGGGTGCATAGTAGCTCGAAAACAGCTGCTCTTGGGAGGCGTATTATTGGCGTGATCTCGGATAGGGGCTTTTTTTAGGTGTATCTCTTCCGGCTTGGTTGGTTGGCGCCAGGAGGAAGGGAATAGAGAAACTCTCCACTCTTGCTAGTTTTTGTTGTATTACCTTGATTCTGCGGATGATAGCGGACTGTTGTTGTCTCTCCGTGATGGTCAAAGCCAGGGGGTTCGTTCGCTATGATCTCGGCCGAATTATGAGGACAACCTCCAATACCTTCCAAGACATGGTCTCTAGAATGCATCATCAGAGACTCATGAGGTTGTGTTGCACGTGGGATTTTACTCCGCATTTGTTTTTTAATTGTTCAAAAGGAACGGGGAAACAAACGCCAAGGTGGGAATTTGACTACCACCAGGAGGTGTTTGAGAAATACAGGGGTAAAATATAAGGGCAGCAGCAGCATTCCATCCAAAACGCGCCGATAAATCCTTTCATATCCGGTTACCCCCATCTGACCTGACTTATCAGATGCCTCAAAAGACCCGGTCTCGGCAGCCTACCGATTTATTTGTTTCGACGAGAACCAGCGTTTTGTTTAATGGGGGTGAGGAAACGGCCCTTACCCCTGACTCGCCCTGTAACCGCCGATTGCGACGTTTCTTTTTTGGCGCGCGGAAGCCTGGCCAGAAAGAAGTCTGGAGCCAAGGAACGGGAAGCAAAAACGAAACGAAACGCAACTCAGGGCGGTAAGCTGCTGCTCAGGCCCTGGCCCCCGTACCCTGTGCCTTTTTCGGGCCTTTTTGTGTCGTGTGAGTGAGTCGGACAAAAAGATCCACGAGCACGCAGTACGGTCGTACCCAAGCGGGAGAGAAACCCCTCCAGCAAGCTCTTTCATGGCTTTTTCTCCGAGTTGCAGGGGCAAAGTCCCGAACAATGACGAGTTGAAAGGCGGGAGGGCGCGTGGGTGAGCCCAGCTCGGTCTTGTCATACGCGACCTGCAAGGGGCGGGGGACATGTCTTTTTATCTCAAACTGCCACACTGCACGGCCAAGTCAAAGGACGTTGCTTGTTGGCGCTTGGCGGGATCTGTTTCCACGAAAGATTCCGGGGTAAAGGTAGTACGGATGACATGGATCGGAAACACAACTTCCCCCCTGCTTTTCTCCTTTCTCACTTGTACGTCGTCAAGGTGTAGTGTAAGTGGGGGTCGCGACTCGAGGAGGAAGGGTGAGAGGGACTTACAGTAGAAATGGCCATCTCCCCGCTCCCCCTTTTTGGGTTGACTCTCGTAGGGTTGTTCAGTCGAATTCAGTTGCAGCTCTAAGTGAGGGTGCTTTCGGCCGTTTGTCTGCAAGGTGAGAATCTCCTTTGTCTTTGTTTGATCTTACTCCGGCCTGTTCTCGGGCCTTCAACGCGGTCTTGGTGTTGGTCTTCAAGACGGCGGGCCCCCTTTTCGGGCCTCACCGGCCTCACATCCGACCCTGACATGACCCTCATTGCACCGCAGAATCAAGGCCGGCCTTGTTTTATGACTCTGATTATCTAAACCCAGCTTGATCTCAACTGATATCTCCCCCGTCTCCTCTAGGGCTCCACACACTCCCCTTCTTCAGTTTCAGGTGCTTAAAATCCCAGCCACTCCTTCAAGCCCCCCTGGTGGATAAGCTCCTCAAATCCCGTCCCTTCATTTCATCTTGGTGTTTCCTAAAGGGGAAAGAGACATAAACACTCACATATTCATCACGGCTGGACCTTCGTTTTGACAGCCAGACTGCCGCTTTTACAATCTTTCAAATCACCATTTTTTCACTCTCCTTTATCCATTCTCTCCATCATTTGGGATTTGCGGGTCATTCTCTTCCCTTCATTTTTTGGACATTTTTCTTCTTGCCTAAGGGCCGGTTGCAGTCGACACGATGCATTCCCTTCTTTTCACACTCGGTCTGGCGACCGCCTTCGCCCCCTTTGCAGCAGCACACACGACCTTCACCACTCTTTTCATTGACGGCGTCAACCAGGGCGATGGCACCTGCATCCGCATGGCGAAGAAGGGCGATGTAGCCACCTTTCCCATCGCCGGCGGACTTGGAAGCAAGGACATGGCCTGTGGTAAGAAAAACCGAGTTCTTTTCTCTCTTCATCTTGTGTCACTCTTTTCTTCTGATTTCTGACAGAGAAATCCCAGGACTGGATGGACAAGACGCCGTGGCATTCACCTGTCCAGCCCCCTCCGGCGCCAAGTTAACCCTCGAGTTTCGCATGTGGGCCGACGCCGCGAAGCCCGGCGCCATCGACGATTCCCACGTCGGCCCCATGGCCATCTATCTCAAGAAAGTCTCTGAAGACATGAAGGCCACCCCGGCCGCAGGCGGCGGTTGGTTCAAGATCTGGGACGAAGGCTTCGACGCGGCGGCCAAAAAATGGGCCACCGAGAAGCTGATCGCCGACAACGGCCTGCTCAGCATCGACCTCCCCACCGGCCTGCCCGAGGGCTATTACCTCGCCCGTCACGAGATCATCACCCTGCAGAACGTCACCAACAACGTTGTCGCCCCGCAGTTCTATGTTGGCTGCGCGCAGCTGCACATCGCCGGCGGTTCGGGGGGGAATATCCCCTCTGACAAAACCGTCGCCATCCCCGGCCACATCAGCGACGCGACCTCGCCCAGCCTCGACTTCAATGTCTACCAAGAAGACCCAACCACCTACAAGGTCCCCGGCCCCAAGGTCTTCTTCCCCACCTCCGGCAGCAACACCAAGGTAACCACCACCAACGACAAGATCGCCGGCACCGTCCCCGCCACCTGCCTCCTCAAAAACGCCAACTGGTGCGGCACCGCGGTACCCGCCTACACCGACGAAACCGGCTGCTGGGCCTCCGCACAAAACTGCTGGGACCAGCTCGACGTATGCTATAACACGGCTCCTCCGACAGGTAGCAGGGGGTGTAAGCTATGGGAGGAGAAGATGTGCACTGTGCTGCAGAACGCGTGCCAGTCGAAGCAATTCCAGGGTCCGCCTAAGACGGATCTGAAGGCTGATGCGGAGGGGGTGAATGCGCCTGTTCCGGGAAAGTTGCCTGGGGCGGTGAATGAGGGGGTTAAGCAGGTTGGTGAAGGGGAGGGGAACAACGGGGCGGCAGCGACGGCGACGGCGAGTGCGGCTGGACCCGAGGCGACCGGCGGGTTGAAGAAGAAGTGTGGGTTGAAGAAGGCGCGGAGGGAAGAGATTCGGAGGAGGAGGGTGGTGATGGCCTTGCCTTGAGTGCCCTTGAGTGCCGGCACTCGTTTGTTGGAAAGCTGGACTTGGTGTGGGACGGACGGCTGAAGAGCTGTCGGTTTGATTCGATTCGATTCAATTCGTGTGTGTTTTTTTGACATTTTTTTGTTGTTCATTTCTTGACGGGGCTGAGACCCTTGACTTTTGTTCGATTCTATGTTGGATCTTTTGACCATTGGTGGTGGACACTTGCAAAGTTGGAGGAGAAATGGCTGGGTACAACTTACGACTGTGAACGAACAAGTATCATTAAGAAGCCTTGTCTATTGAAATGAAAAGACATAAACATTACAAGCAAATACCTTCTACCAGCGAGGGATGGCACTGCAAGAAAAAGCGAACAGATTAGTCTACCCCCTGACCGTTCCTTAACGCCTGTTGGCACCACACTCAACCAAGCAGCTGCATGATATCCGCCATGCGCGTCTCCTTAGTCTTCTTGCCCTTCTTCTCCTTCTCCTGGAAAGCCTTGTTAACAAGCTCCCGCTTCTCACCCTGAATATTAAGCACCCGCTCCTCCACAGTCCCCTCCATAACAAGCCGCCAGACCGTTGTGGGTCGGGTCTGGCCCAAACGGTGGACGCGGTCCACGGCTTGGTCCTCAATAGCCGGGGCCCACCAGCTGTCCGCGAGGACCACCGTATCTGCTGACACTAGATTCAGGCCCACGCTGCATACGCTTAGACTAGCTAGCATAATACGAGTGGCCGGATTGTGATCGAGCGCGCGGGTGGCGGCGTCGCGTTGGGAGGTGTTCATGCTGCCGTCGATGCGGGTGTAGGTATACCCGGCTTCGTCGAGCTGGCGCTGGATGACGGTCAAGAAGGAGGTCCATTGCGAGAAGATGATCACCTTGGACCCGTCGTTCTTCAGTGTCGCTTGAAGGATCTTAAGGAGTGCTTCTGTCTTGGAGCTCTTGGAATCCGGATCGACATCTTCCGCTTCCTCCTCGCCTGAATGCTCCGGTGCTGGCTCCACCAGCTTGTCCTCGGCCAGTTCAGCGCGGCACATGGGGCATTTGTGTTGTATCTCGATGACCTTGGAGATGCATCCACGGCAGAAGACATGCTTGCAGTGAGTGATGACCGGGTCGGTCAAGGATTCCATGCATACTGGACACTCCTCTTGGCTTTCGATGACGAGCTGAAGGGCTTGCTGCAGCAGCGCTCTATTCTCGGCGTTGAGCGGTACTACATCTTGTTCCTCGAGAAGTTTCATAAGATCCGAGATACGTTCTTTGCAAAGTGTCCAATGGTTGCACCTGAATCTGTTGTCAGCCTCAGTCCCTTGGAGGAAAGTGGGCGGGGAAGGGCACATACGTTTGGCGAAGACGGAGGAGCCGCTCAAGCACGCCTTGAAATCTGCCCTTCTGGCCCAACTTGGACTTGGCCTGGTACTCCTCCAGGGCACCATGTGCCTCAGAGCTAGTAACTGTTAGTGACGGCACTTCTCGACAGCTATAGTCACGAGAACTTACAGCAAAGCCTCGTATTTCTTCTTCTCCCCCGGCCAGAAGGTGATGCGATGGATGTATTCCGTCTTGGCGGGGAGCTTGAGGTCAACAAACTTCATGTCCTTCCGCCGGCGAAGGCAGAGGTCCCTCATCAGGGACTGCAAGATTGCCTCCGCGCGGCTGTCGCCAATGGCCAGTGGCCTGGTAATGACGGTGTTGAAGATCTCAGACTGCTCTACGCCTCCTGTGATGTGCAGAAACTTGAGAAGTGAATGAAGATCCCGGATATTGTTCACACTGTGGTCCATCGTTAGTACTGAGAGACCAGCGACCGTAAACGGAGGTGCATAGTGTTGCAAACTCACATAGGGGTACCGCTCAAGACCCATCTTGACTTAGCCTTTAGCTTGCAAGCCGCTTCGGCTGCCTTCGTTTTGGCGTTACGGATAGCATGGCCCTCGTCTAACACAACCCGACGCCAGTCGAGCTTGAAAAGGGGGCCGTTGTTGGCCGCTTCGCTACTCAAAGTGCCGTAGCTTGTGACGACGACACCGTAGCTCCCTAATGATTTTGCAGCTGTTTGACGAGAGGGTCCGTGGTAGATGAGCACCTTGGGAAGGTGTTCTTCGTCGACATGTCGCTTGATTTGCTGTTCCCAGTTGCTCATCACGCCAACTGGCGCCACAATGAGTGTGCTTCCTTTCCCTCCGGTCATGATCAGACTAATGACCTGAAGCGTCTTGCCCAAACCCATGTCATCTGCTAGGATGCCACCAGACAGCAGGTTAGGGGCTGCCACAACCGTGAAGTTGGTGGCGATATTGGTGTATCGGCCATGGTTGTCACGCTTCCAGAGCTGGACAGACTCAGAGGAGCCTGGCGCGAGGAAGGTGGGCTTCTCCTTGGCTGCGAGCCACGCCAGACCCTGGAGCTGGTATGGCAGAAGGGTTGCTGATACCCCCTCGGGTTGTTCAGCCGCAGGTAGCTTGGAAAGCTGGTCCTCATTCATGGCCAGTGTCTGCGCAATATCCCCGCCGGCACGGAAGTTGACAGCCTCGCTCGCTCGGGTCAACTCCTCCAAAGAAGTCTCCTCGTCCACATCAATCGGAAGCCCGGCGGTGCCTCTGCCGCTCTTCAGGCCCATATTTTTCCGTTGCTGCTCATTCTCCTTGCGAGTCTGCTTCAGGTGCGTGGCTTTCAGGAGCTTATCGCTCTTGAGACGTTCTTCCAGCTTCGACCGGGCAAAGGAGTTGATGGGTCCATGGATGAACAGGCGAATTGGGCATTCGTAGTAGCCCTTCTCCCCTATGAGAATGGACTCGATGGCAACTTCTCCGCTATCCTGAAAGCCGTGAGCGGTCCTGGCTGGAGGTAAGGGGTGGTTAAAATATGCACACGAAAACGTACTATGTATGGCGCGAGTTTGGCGGCCAAGGCTCTTGGAATGTGGCCAATTTGATCTCCGAACACGTTATTGACCCGGATAGCATTGGAGTCGTACTATGACTAGCGGTTAACGTTGAGCCGCGGATAAAGGAGTGGAACAGACGAAACACATTACACATACTTGATTATAGGGTTCTCTCTTGCAAATGACCACTTCTCCGGCCGTGGCCATGCCATTGTAGTACCTCACGCCCACAATTTTGTCGTCTGTATGGTTTTTAGCCCCAAAGCCACGGGATAAGACAGCTGAGGAGACCTACCCAAAGAGCCGTATAACTCCCGCTGAGGCTCGTCATCACGTTGGGTTAGCTCTGGCGTTAAAGGCTCATCGTCATGATTTTGTCCCTGGCTATATCCAGACACACTTGTTTGCAAGCGAGGTAAGCTGGAGGAAGCAACACGGGGTGCCTTAGATGGTGGGGGTCCATGGGACCCAGGCACAGGTTGGAGCGCCTCGGGCTCACGATGCCGCTTTGCTAGACGCGCCATTGTCCGTCAATACTTGGGGTAAAAAAGGCGAAGAAAATTCCTGAGATTCCTCGTCAATTGGGCTCAAAGGCTTGATCAGGAAGGAGTTCAGAATGGAAACTCGAAGAAATGGGGTTCCGATTGCAATTAAAATGATAATTTGTTGATGAATGAGAAGAGACAGGGATGGGAGCTTGTAATGGCCTAAAGGGGAAAGAGTAACGCGCACGGTGGTGCGTGTGCACGTGATGAGGGAAGGGCAACCCTAACCCAAGGGATGCTCTGGAGTTATTTAGTCTCTGATGGGAATTTAACATTTATTTTCTTCCCAGGAGCATTGTCTCGAATTTATATTTTCCTCGCGATGAAACCGAGCGTTGACCACGAGATGACCGAGTGTTGATACCGCTGGCATCCGAGCAAAGTGGCCAGGGCACAGGAGGCCTGGGCTCAGTCCCACTCTTGCATTGACTTCAAGCAACGGTGCCGCCCTACGATATCATGGTGACCGACCACACATCCTGATCCGGTCTCTGAATTTTCTCAACGATGGTAAGATTCGGCAGCAGAGACAGCCTCTGATAAGGCACGAAGGACGATGAGAAAACAGTAGTAGAATCAAAATAACATTACAGCATGAGCATTACAATTAAACCACAGTTCTCAAACTCAACAGCGAAAAAAGACATGACCACCCATATTTTCCCTAACCGACCAACCTCATCGCTGGCATTCCATCTTTCTTACAGGTCCGATCTTTTTACTTAACCACCCAAAACACCACCGAGAAGGCCGCCGCCCTTCTTCTTGCCGCTCTTCAGGCTACCACTGAAGGACCCGAGACCGAGGCTTTCCAGCACACGATTCAGACCCAGAGTCCCAAGCAGGCCGTCGACTAGGCCGCCCAGTCCAAGACCGCTCAGCTGTTGAATCAGTTAGTATGGGCCTCAAAACACAATCATCAGGCCCGAGGGGCTTAGGGTTAACGGGCAGAGAGTTTAAACTTACCAATCGGCCAACAAGGTTAAGCACACCAGATAGTAAAAGCCCAACAGCAGCTAAGATCTGGAACAGCGGCTCGTTGAGCAAGCCCCAGAGCGGGTTGAGCTCCTTCTTAGCATGCGGCATGTCCTCGAGCTTGCGCTTGGCGTTGTCGATGCACTGCGTCACGTCGCCGGTGAGATCCTTAAGCACATCGGCGAGACGGTACTCCTCGGGCGTGGCCTCGCGCGCTGCCGTCTTGTGCTTGGCGTTGGCGGCGATGCGGCCCTCCGGGTCGAGGCCCTTGATGATGCCTTTGGCTTCGTTGAGGATACGACCGCCTTCTTCGATCAGCGGCTTGACTTCCTGGACGAGCGCCTCTTCGTCGCGCTCTTCTTCGGGGGTGCGCTCGGCTTTGTCGATTTTCTAGGGGGTTGTTAGTTAAGTACTTAGGTAATGGGGGGTAAAATCATGGCTTACCTCGGTGATCATCTTGCAGATCGGACGGATGCTGTCGAGGCACTGCTCGACACAGACGGTCATCTGCACGGCCAGCTTCTTGTCCTGCTCGGCCTGCTCGCGCTTCTCCTTCTCCTCGGGCGTCTCCTCTTCCTTGGGGATGTCCTCGAGCAGTGAGCAGTGACCCACGGTGTTGCCCTTGTAGTCGACCACGTCGCCGTCGTCGTCGATGTCCTTGCCCGAGCAGACGGTGAGCTCGCCCGACGTGAGCTTGCCGATAAGGTTGCCGTCTTCGTCGACGACGTTACCCTCGCGGTTGACCCGCCGGCCCGACATGGGGTTCTTCTTGCGCTCGACCGGCTCCGGCTCCCAACGCTCGGCATGTCCGATTGTATTGCCGTTGCGGTCGAGGACATCACCGTCCTCGTCAACAGCACGGCCGAACAAGACCTTACCGTCGCCGCTGGTGAGACGGCCGACGATATCGCCCGAGGGCGTCACGACAGTGCCGTCCTTGGCCACCGTGCAGCCTTGAAGTTCGGCGAAGGGCCCTTCCTTCAAGCCCTCACGCTCGCCCTCGGAGACGAGATCGGCCTTGCCGAGGATGTCACCGCTTTCGCTGAGGATGTTGCCGTTCTTGTCACACATGCGGCCCACCATCCTCTTAGCGTCACCCTCGATGACTCGGCCGAAGATAGCTCCAGTGCCATCCACCACGTTACCCGCCTTGTTGACACGCTTACCGGCTAGGATGGACTTGTCGACCTCCGGCTCCTCGGGTTCAGGCTCGGGCGCCCAGCGCTCTGCGTGGCCGATGACATTGCCGTTCTTATCCAGAACATCACCATCCTCGTCGACAGCACGCCCAAAGAGAGCCTTGCCATCGCCGCTGACTAGCCGGCCGACAATGTCACCAGCAGGTGTGACGACAGTGCCGTCTTTGCCGACGGTGCACTCGTCCATCTCGGCAAAGGGGCCTTCCTTCTGACCCTCGCGCTCGGCCTCGGGGACCAGCTCAGCACGGCCGAGGACATCGCCGCTCTCGCTGACCACGTTGCCGTTCTTGTCGCACATCCGGCCGACTAGCTTCTTCAGCTCGCCCTCGACAACACGACCCCAGATCGCGCCGTTGCTGTCGACCACATTGCCGGCCTTGTTGACGCGCTTACCCGCCAGCGCCGAGTTATCAACCTTGGGCTCAGGCTCAGGCTCAGGCTCCGGGGCCTCCTCCCAGCGCTTGGCCTTGCCGATGACGTTTCCATTCTTGTCGAGAATATCACCGTCGGCGTCGACCGTCTTGCCTCGCAGCGCGTGGAGATCACCCTCCTCGACCTTGCCGATCCGCTCACCATCGGCGGACACGACCCAGCCGTCCTTGTCGATGACGGCTTCGGGGAAGCTCTCAAACGGCGCGGCTTCACGCTCAATTTCCTCGCGCTCGTCGTCAGGGATCGGCTCGGCCTTGCCGATGATCTTGCCGTTGCGGCTCCAGATCGCACCCTTCTCGTCGACTTCCTTGCCGACTAGGGTCTTGATCTCGCCTTCGGCCACGCGGCCTACGACGGCCCCGCTGGCGTTGATCACGTTGCCGCCCTTGTTGACGGTGCCGTCCTTGAGGATGCTGAAGTCGACGGCCTTTTCGCCCTCTTGCTCTTCACCTTCAGCTGCGGGCTCATCACCCTCGGTGATATCAGCAGCAGCGATGGTCTCTTCACCCTTCTCCCCCTCCTCAGGAACATCGACCTTCTCCTCAGCGACATCATCAAGTTTCCCCTCCCCCTCCTCAACCTCCGTGTCCACCGGCCCCTCCTCCTGCTTCTCTCCCTGTTCCTCAGGCGCCGCAACACTCTGTCCCTCACCACCACCATTACCGCCGCCAACAACAGACCTAGCAGACCGGGACACAAAACTCAGCCCACCCCTCGCGGCCTTCAAGAACGAATTCCGCGCTTCATCAGTCGGCTGGTTCTCTGACGCCCGATCAAACGCCTTCTTCGCATTTTCTGTCAGCTCGGCCTCCTCGCCTTCGCCTGGGACGGTGGTTGCAGCTTCTGCCGCCTTGTCTTGGATGTTGACGTCGTCTACCTCGGCGGCCTCAGACTCAGGCTGCGGGTCGACATCCTTGAGCTCGATAGGCTTTTCGCTATCTTGCTCTGCCTGCTGCTCTGTCTCCTGCTCCGCCCCGTTGGTCTCCCCATCAGCCTGATCTAGCACCTGCTCCCCCTTCTGCTGCACATTCTGCTTCTGCTTCTGCAGCGCCGCCGAAGCTTGCCGGTCGCGGTGGGTATACTCCCCACTCTGGGAATCAGTGGTCGTGCCACCGTTATTGCTCTTAATATACCCGCCTTGGTAGTCGGGGACAGGAGGCGGCGAACGCGGGGTCTGCGTCTGGTGCTGTTGGTGCTGACCGGAGGAGGTGGCTTCCTCGCCCTTGTTACAGGGCCAGGAGCCTGGGGGGGCTGTTTTTTTCTGTTGGATGTTGCTGCTCATCGTTGTTGTGGGCTGGGGTTTGGTGTTGTTCTTGTTGTTGTTGTTGTTGGACTCGACGTCTTGCTTTTCGTTGTCTTGCCGTTCGTTGGGCTTGCGAAGACAGCAGAGATTGATGATGAGACGCTTGGAGGTGTCGCGAAATGCCGTTTTTTTGGTTGTGATGGGTGTGATATGGGTTGGTAAATGTAAAAAAAACGATTAAGTGCAAATGCGTGATGTGTGTGTGTGTTGTATCCAGTTGATCTACAATCTTAACCGATAAAATAAAAAGAATTGTTTATCCTGTTCTATCTTTCTCTCTCACATAACGTTCCATCAATACATCCTCTTATATGCCCATCAACCATTCCTTCCCCATCCCGCCCCCGATCTCAACTTGGCCAGACTGACGCCATACAAACCCACTGCCATCTCTCAGCTATCACTCGCATAAACCACCTTCCCTCCCCCTAGACGTCATCCGGGGCCCGTTACGTCAGGGGGCTGCTAGTCTTTTTATTCCTATCAACCCGCTGGCTCAACGAAGAACCAACTAACAACGCGCTCATTGGACAATGGGCCAGCTACCGGGATGGTGCCAGTTCTCAGAAGGGGAGGGGGGGCTTGGTTGCCTTGTCCATCCCGGCAGGCTCGGGTTCATCTTGAGCCGACCGTCTTCTTCCTCTTTCCCTTAGTATCACTCGGGATGGTCTAGACAAGCAAGACAAGGAGCGCCTTGCCACGCCGAGACGGGATGACTTCATCGACCCTTCTCCACTATTAGATCTCGTCCTTTTTCCTTCTTGCCTTCCCACCTTCCTTTCCCCGTGGTGTCTTGGCGTGGACTCTAAGAAGGGAGGGGATTGGGCCGGAGTATGCCTGTTTTCTTCGATTGCTCAGCCACTTACGTACTGTGTGAGTTGTGTAACGAGAAAGGGAAATAATAGGCGGGATATTCTCCGAGTGTTGTGGATGTGTCTACACTAGAGAGAGAGTGTGTGTGTGTCTCCTGCTGTGGCGTTCTGCAGTGGCTTAGTTCTACGTAGGTAGGGGGTCTGATGCGGGGGGTAAGGATATAGACGACTCGAGCTTCAAACCGGAATGCAGAAATAAATGGGAATCTGAGTCAAGCATGAACTGACGTCCATCTCTATGGAAAAGGAAGCCCATGAATACCGTTATGCGGTAATCTGGTCGATCGGAAGATCATCAAGACCAAACTCCATAGGTAGGAATCATAGGGAAGGAAGGCGAATAACCATTCACCGAGAAACTAACAGAGTCAGTCTATCCTTCAGACGAGGTAACTGACTCGATCTGTTACCGGCGAGTATCCCGTCCGTTTTCCACAACCGTTTCATCATAACCCCTATCCCTGTTTCCACACAGATCCAGGGATGCATGCGGGAATCAAAAAGACCCTTGTCCAACGGTCAGGAAAAAATCCTCCGGCCGTTTTTCACACCAAGTGCTGTTTCCCCCCTGTCCCCTATGTTGCGGGGACAAAGATCTAGATCCGCGCCGAGACGTCATAACATGGGTTGATTATGGCTGAAGTGTGGCTCAACAGGTCTTTGTGGCTCACGAAAACCTGCTTGTCGTTCGGCTAGACGGGCCAGTCGTTGACTATCCCACACACACCTTTACATGCTCTCAAGGCCCGTGCCTCAAGCTAGCTAGGTATCCGCTTGATTATACAGAAGAATGGAGGATTCCCATATCGACAAGCTCAAAGATGCGTGGATACCTTGAATTGTTCACTTGGCGGGGACCGTCTCCCTTGGGCTGTTAGTAGAGAAGATGTACCGCAGACTCGAAATGCTTGAGAGTTTGTTCTGCAGCTTTATGCAAGCTTGGTCTATTTTCGGCTTTCTTTTTCACCTATTACCTTTTCTGGGTATTCGTCAATATGGGGTCAGTCTGAAGAAAAAGTCAAAAGACTATGCCAAGGGTGAGTGATTCCCATCCAAGCCTATCCATCTATTTCCCTTCACTTCACTCCCCCTAAACCCCTACATTGGAACCCTCCCTCTTCCCAACCTCTATCTCCACCACCATATGCTTCTAACGGACCCGACCACCTCCGTTTCTCCACGCTCTGTGTTCCCCAGCCCTACGAGAACGAAATGTGCGGGGTAGTCTGCTGACCATTAAACACGGTCGGGATCCGAATGGTGAGCTGGATCCCTTCCCTCGTGGACTTAACATCCAAGAAAATATCAGACGGGCTCTCGTTGGGATTCTCCTTCCGCCAGGCCTCTGCGTTCTTTCGCCTCTCTTCCTCCGTGCGCCGTGGCCGTTTTTGCTGCTTCTCATCATTACCTCCGGGAGGCGATTGAGAGGGCTCCTGTTCTGGGTCTTCTTCATCTTCATCGTCTTGGCCAGATTCTTCCTCGTATTCCTGTTGGTGCTGCTCAGCCGACTGAGGTGGTGGTGGCTTTGGAGCCGGAGCCGGCGACTGCTCCGTTTCGTCGTCGCCCGTGCTACCCTTCTGCTTTTCAACCTCCGCCCGCTCTTCCTTCTCCTTTCGATGCAACGGGTTGTTGTTGTCATGAAACTTCCCAACCACATTCCCTTCACCATCGAGGATATTCCCCGCATGGTCAACCATCAGCGAGCTCGTGGCGCGTCCCATGAGGTCAAACAAGCTACGCGGCTGACCCCCAGTGGTAGTAGACGGCGGTGGCCGGGCTCTAGGCCACTCAACGTCAGCGACATACCCCAGGAGCTCGCCGTTGTCGCCGAGAATGTCGCCTTGGACGTTGGCCACGCGTCGTCCGACCATCGAAGGTAGGTCACCGGCGGCGTGGGCTAGGACTTGTCCGATCTTTTCATCGATGATGTCTCCATCTTCATCGACTAATTTGCCTTTGAGAAGCTCGCCAACAAAGTCTGGGAGCTGTGGACGGTTGGCGTCGGATATTTGGATTCCGGATATCCCAGGTGAGATTTTGGGAATGCCCCCTATCTTGGGGATAGGGGCAACGTAAGCTGGGGTCTTTGGCCGCTCTGGTGTTTTTGCTCCGGACTCTTTCTCCTCTCCCTCTTTCTCGGTCTCTCTTGTCCGCGCCTTCTCGTCTGGGGGCGGAATGTCCGATCTGAGCACCTCTTCTACCTCACTTTGACCATCCTCACCTCCCCCGTCCTCCCGACCATCCGTTCCTTCATTATCCCCCGTCTCATGACTTGCGGGTGATGACTGAGATTGTTGTTCCCGGGACTGCCGTTGTTGACTTTGACTCTGTTCTGAAGCCATGTCTGCCGCTAACTCCACCGTATGAGGGCCCGTTGAATAATCGCGTGTCCTATCCGAGGGAGACGAAGGAGAAGGGGAGACAGTGATACTCCTCTTGTCGCTGTCGTCCCGGTATCTGTCCCTCAGACTCAGACCGCGTTGAACTAGGCTTCTTCTAGGAGCTGGGTGCGACTCCACAGTGACTTCAGAATTCGGGTCGCCCCCGAAATCAAGGCGCGTCGAAATGGACGGAAGGCGCTCAGACTCGGGCGGCTCGGCCAGATCCAAGCTGGCGTCGCCGGGATGTGACTGCGGTTGTGGTGACGATGTGTGTGGTGGTGGTGTGGAGGTGGAGCCACGGGTGGGTGTGGATGAGCGATGCGGGGCTTGTGGCTGGTGAGAAGATGACATCATCTGGTTTAGTGTAGGGGGGGAAACGGTGGTCAGGACCTAAAGTAGAGCGGGTGGTGGGGGCAATGGAGGATGAAGATTGTGGCTGGCTGAGAGGAGTAAAACGTTGCAAACAGCTGCAGTGCTGTACCAAGCAGACGGCAAGGCTAGAACGGGATGAACACTGAAAACCAAAAGAAAACAAGAAAAAGTACTCGGTGCACAACCCGGGTACCGTCCCAGCCTCTCGTTCCTCCTTCCAATTTCAGCACTGGCTGTAGGGGAACGCATGAATAACATGACATCAGGAGCAGGCGAGTCCCTGTTCCCACCTCTTCAGCCCATGCGCCATCGTCCAATTTGGAGTTACACGGAATGGGTGTGCTCATGGCCAGTCTTGCCGTAACCAAGAAAAAAACCGGCAGACCAAGTCTATGGATAACTTACTTTTCTACAAAAGTGAAAAAAGACCAAAAAGAATAAATCAAAGAAATAGGGATTTTGGCTCTTCGATACATAATCAGGCCTAGGAATAGGAGAGACGACCGTCTTCAGGATCTGAGAGAACGGCGGCGATGAATGAGCAAAAGAGCACAAGTGGAAGCGGGCATAAGAGAGCCAAAGGGTCGCCGGAATGAATTGCGCGTCCTGACGTCGTGCGACTTTGGGCAGTGAGCGATCTCAAGGTGGTGGGTTAATGCCAAGAGGCATTCGGTCCCGTTTCTCGTGATGCAGGGGGGCTTCAGCGAGCGGGTATTTTTGGAAAACCGGTTTTAGGAAAGAAGCGCTAGCGAGCGCCTAGGAGAGTGAGATTAGCCCTTGCCGGCTTCGGACTTTGCAGGAAAGAGTAGAAGCAAATTGTCGTAAGTGTATGCTATGTATGTTAGCTAGGCGTTCAGATAGAATGGTGGTTAAAATTGAGTTTGGGGGTCGGCCCTGTCGCCGTTTGTTCGGCTGTGATTGTGATTTGCGTGGGGAGATCACATGGAGTGTGCCCACGCTGGGAACTAGCCTCAAAACAGGGGTGCGGATGGGCGCTCCTGTGGGGGCTTGAATAACATCCTCTGGCAGACCGTCTGGCAGTGAAACGGGTCACGACTCATGCGGGAAGCCTCTGCCTGGCTTTTTTTCTCAGTTACAACTTATTTTCTCCGTTCGGTGGAACAGAAGCACGGGCGATGATCGAGGGTGGATATTGTAATGAATTGGATTAAACATTGGGTAAACTCGCCAAAAACCCATTGGTGTTTATCTGCCCGCCGCTATAATATGAAAATGACCACCGTCTTCCACGACCCGTAAAAATATTAACAAGATCCAACCCTCCAAATTGCCCAAAAAATTTCAAAATCCCCAACCCAAATTGATGGCGGTAATATAACAAAAAGCGAAAATAATTGTCTCGTATCGGATGGCTCTCTGCTCTCTGGGGCGGACTCTAGTTGCTTCAGTTCCTAAGGAATTAGCCCCAGTGCCCATCAGCAAACCGAAAACCCCCATGAATAACAGCAGACACTGCAACAACAACGGTCTTTTTCAACCCTCAAAAACGGAATTGTGCGCAGAAGAGAGTTTCCCCAGAGAGCCGAGTGTCGCCTGCTCAGGTTTCTCTACATAGTCCTTTAGCCTAGGTAAGAGACAACACGAGACACAAGGAAAGACACTCTGGGGAGGGAGGTATATGATGTGATGTGTGGTATGCATGGTGCATGTGATGATTGGAAATAGCTGTGAAGATGTGGTGATAATGGTGGTGATGGTATGCGAACGACACTTGTTCTAAAGACTGAAGCCGCGTCGGTATTTTCAACCCGTGCATTATGGTGTTTTCGCAGGGCTGACGGACGCTTGAGAGAGGGGTGGGAGGAGAGCGAATGTGCGAACTCCTCACAAGAGGCAGGACAAAAAGGGACACAGGGGAGGAAAGCAAAGTTCACATACAAGAGAGCAAGCTCAAGATCACCATGGATCTTGGCCTTGAGTGTAATCTCGATGTCGAGGTTAAGGTCTAGCCTGAGCCTCAGGGTGTCGCTCTTGCCGCCGCCGTCACCCCCCTTTTGGTTCTGGACCGCATTCCCGGCTACACCGCCAAGGGCGCCTGTTGCTGAGTTCACAAGACCGCCAGCTGTGTTCTGAACATTGTCGAGTGCGAGGTTGTCGAGCGGGCCGCCGCCGCTTTTCTGCTGGCGCTGGTTGCGTCTCCTCCGTGGCGGGGGCTGGGGCTCGTACTCCTCTGACTCCTCGCCCTCGGACTGGTAGGTCTGCTCCTGCTGCTTCGGCTGCCGCTTCGCCTTTTTCTCATCGGAACCGCTTCGGGACGACATTTTGGTGTTGATGTTGGGGTTGTTGGATGAGGAGGGTGAGGAGGAAAATTAGTTTTCAAGTTAAAGATATGAACGTGGCTGGATGAAAAAACGGGGATCGCTGTCTCTTTAAGCTCGCTCCGATTGTATTTGATCTCTGTTGAAAATGGGCTGCTGTGTTAGGTGGGCTAGGGTCCGAGATATGGTCCCTCTAAATAGGGGTTCTGGGGACGCCGAGACGTTGGAACGACCTGATGAAGTGGAAGGGACATGACAAGCGTCACCCCACAGTGGGCAAAACCGGATCCGAAGAGACGAACCCCGATGATGAAGTCATCGGACGATTAGGGTGGCTTGTCGCTTTTCCCCTCCCTCCTTCCCTCTCGGAGTCGTCTCCAGTACCCCTTGGTCCAATCACAGGTGGGGCCTTCCCAACGTCCCCTCCCCCCCCCACGGGCTGTTTCGGGCTAGGAAAAATTGCGTGTTTCTACTTGGTGGCCCCAAGGGCAGCTTGCATGAATTTTCATTTCCAGCATTTTGCTGCGGTATCCCGGCGGCTTGACAACCTCCTGACCGTCGGCGGACATGGGCCGACATATCCGGGACACCTGGATACCCTTGTCTCCAACTGATTTCCCGATTTACATACCGTCAGACATGGGACAATCCGGACGATTGACCGCAATCCTCAAACCCCCCAAAACGTCACGCCGGGCCAAGAATTTTGCATTTTGACAAAAACCAAGGAAGAAGTAAGAACGAAGAAGGATCAACGGTATATTCAGCGGCGCAACGGCCACAACGGCTGCCCCATCGCACGCCCCAACAGCGTCACATCCCGTTCCACCCTCGTCATATCCCCCAGCTTTTCTTCGGGAGGATCTTTGTCTCAGCCACACCCCCACGCCTATCCATTCGCACCTTTGACGTATCGACTTTCCATCCCCAGCTGCATCTTACGGTGCAGCATGATGGGAACCCACTTTTGGGGTCGTCGATGTGAGCCAGTCGCGCCCTCCGATTCCGTTTCCGTTGCCGACTCTGTTCCGGTCTCCCCCTCCGTTTCACTTGCTCCCTTCTTCCCCCCTCCTTCTTTTTTCCCGCCCCGGCCCTTGCTGAAGCACCCATCGCGGTCTAGCCCGACCGCCCATTTCTTCCCTTCCACTTGAACGGCCACAAATCGCCACGACTCGCCCTCTAGCGTCAACCACTGCTCGTCGTCTGTCCAGTACCATGAACCTACCGTGTGCCCGCCCAATGTGTCTTGCCGCCCTCCATGGCGCACCATGTTGGTGTCTTTGTCCACGAACAGCCAGTTCAGCATTGGCGGGTCGTCGGCAATGGTGCTCACTAGACCCAAGGGCTTCTCCTCGGATGGGTAAGGGAAATAGTACCCCGTAAACTTGTGACCGGGCATGGGGAACGATGGGTGGTCAATCCATAACTGCCATGGCTGTTAGCTTTCGTCCCGTTTCTTCAGTGGGCGCCCGTTCGAGAAGATGATCGTAACTTACCTTCCCGTCTTTCAATATGCACCAGCATTCAACCGACCCTCGACCATCCAACGAAACGGTTGCCGTTAGGTGAAACTTGGCCTTCTCTTTTGCGGAAGCGTTGGCCTTCTTCTGCGCACTCAGGGCCTCGCATACCCCAATAGTCGTCGGGATACCCGCGATCACTAACAAGCCGATCGGCATCGTAGGGCTTTTCTCCCTGGGGGCTGGGCGTGTCTCGAAATCGTGGGGAATGGGGGATGGTAGACTCCGGAAGATGTCTTCCAGTCTCCGCAACCTTTCAGTCTTGTCCTTCCACAGCGGGTCGTGTATTGATCAGTGGGCTGCACATCGGCTTGTTGGTCGGGGCAGGTTGGTTGGGGCTGGATTCTTCTTGCAGCTGCGTTTTGGTGCTCCTAGCATGACACGATCACTTTAAACATATACATCAACACTTCAGTCAGCCACGATGCCCTGGTCGGCCGTTCCTGTGCCGGTTTCTCATCAGTTTCCCATGCCCCCGCTCAAGGGAAACGGTCAAGTTACCCTTTTCGGCTGAGGAAGGAGAAAAAAGGGTCTCGATCCCACCCCCTGTAAAGCTTGTTTTCGCTCCTTGTTCCCTGATTCGCTAGCTCGGCCGGGATTCCATGCAGACAGACGTCATGACCAAGGCCGTTGTGGCTTTGCTCGCTTTGACGATTCAAACCACTCACCTTCTCTCTCCGTTTTCCACGAGGAGAAATAGAAAACGGCGTGTGGCTTGCAGAAGCTTCGTTCGGCCCCCCCTTTCCGGCCTGCTTTTTGTCCACCCCTACACCCTCGGGTTCCGTCCCTTGCCCCATGTCCATGCTTCCATGTCGTCACCAAGTGTGGACAGGATGGGCCAGCTGGGAAGCTGCTCATCCGAAAAATCATGTTTTTTTCGGGTTATGATGCACAGGGTCTCCGAACCCCTGCTTGGTCCCGAGAACCCCCTCGGTGGTGTCGAATGTCTTTTAAACGTAGTGTAGCCTCCACTGGCTTGTCCCAGTGTCCCGGATATTCTCAAGTCGTCCAAACTTTGCAGGGAGACACCAACCAACATACAGGCCGACCAACCAAAGTAATACCATAACCTTCACATCGCAACCATGTCGTCGGTAAGAATGCTCTATCATCGGAACTCACAAGCCACTGAGCGTAACGGCGTAGCGTCTAACAACAAGGTAGCCTCAGAAAGAAAATGAGAACATCCCCAAGCAGGATGAAGCGGAGCAGAAGCCTGAGCAGCAACCACAAGAGACCACTCCCGAAAATGAGGGCGGTGAGGAAGCCGAGGCTAGCACCGCAGATATCCCTAAGGATAACAAGGACGAGAAGCGTAAGCAGCAGCAACAGCCGGAGCAAGATGAGGAAGGGGAAGACAACTACGAGGAGGAGGACCCCGAAGTCGAAGACCAGCAAGTACTAGACGAAGATTACGAGTCGGGTGAGGAGGAAGAAGAGCCACAACAAGAAGAAGAAGAGGAAGAAGAGGACGATGACCCCAGCCCCGTTCTGTCTCAGCCCGCGACCCCCCAAGAGGACGAGAAGCCACAGCCAAAGTGGGCGGGGAAGCAAAAGAAGCAAAATGCCCAGAACCAACAGCTCGACCGCCGCCGCCGCCGCAACCGTCGCCACCGCTACACCAGCGACTCGGAAGAGGACGAGGACTACGACGACGAGATCGCCTACCAGCGCCAGCAGCGCGAGCAGCAGCAGTTGCAGATGCAGCAGCAACAACAGCAACAGCAGCAGGTGCAACAACAGGGCGGCGGTGATGGAGGCGGCAAGAACCCCCTTAAGCTGCGCCTGGATCTCAACTTGGAGATTGAGATTGAGCTCAAGGCACATATCCATGGTGACTTGACGTTGGCTTTGCTGTACGTACTTTTCTTTTACTCTAACCTTCAGAGCTCTCTTCACCATCCCCCACAGACACCCAACACCTTCACATATGTCCACTGCCCCATGATCACCGCCTTTCTCGTCTTGCCAGCGCAAGCGTAACCAAACAAGGCAAATCCCTTCTTCTTCCCTACCGAGTGTGGAGGAGAAGAGTTTCCTCAACACGGGCTTATATTCACCAACGTCAGACAGTAACTAGAAGCACTCGCTCCATCATCACATTACATACACAGAAACAAAAAGAGGGATTCGAGGATCGAGATAGGCTAACCATGGCGTTCATCGGCTTCTTTTTTGCTGCTTTACAGCGACGGCATGTAAATGATTCGTTTTTCTTCCACCAAATTTGTCAACACAGTTGGATAACAGGGGTCACCCAGATGATGTTGGGGTTGTGCGAGACCTCTGTTGGGGCCGGGAGGGTGGTTGTGTCGGTTTGAGCATGATAATAATGGGAAAAGCTAGGGTGGGAGGGGAGTCATAGAGATCTTGGACGGAAATAAGGAGGACGGGGGTGTCACCATTTTATTTGTTCCTTGGTCCCTTCCGACGGCGATGGAAAGTTATGATGTGTCGACTTAATTAGGTCGGAGTCTACATTTTGTTTTTGGATACTTAAGAGTGTTAATATTAAGAGAATATTCACGTTGCTTGTTGTTTGGTGGCCTGCGTGATTCGAGTGGGCTGAATCTCAGAGGTTTCTCTGCTTTACCCCTGACTCTTCAATGAGTCAGCTCGCAGTGGCGTGAGGTCCGATTCGCGACTCATGAGATAACTAGTAATAGTATGTTTAGTCCACATACCAACTAACGTTAATTATGACCTCGAATGCGAAGATGTGGTGGATATCGCTTCGGCTGTGTTGTCACTGTTTAGTGGCAGAACCATCCCTTTTGGGAGTGTTTGGGTGTCGCAAGAATTTATAAGTCAGTACCACCGCGCCTCATGGTTTTCCCTTTTTGATACTCTGCACGCCCTGTCATAGGATGACAGCTGCCCTGGCCGTGATCTTCAGATCGACTCCGCATTCCGGGGCGAGCCCCGCCAAATTTCGGCAAAGTGGACCCACCCGGGGTCCGGCAATCGGAGCGTTGCCGGCGTGCTCCAAGTGATTGTCGCGACGGCCGGGGACGGCGGCAGTCAAGCAGACACTTCATTCTCGATGCCGCTGTACCAAACGGCTTGACTCTCCTTCGGGGGCTCCATCACCTCTCCTTCAACCGGGGCCTTTGGGGTTCAAGGTAGGGTTGCAATGTGCGTCTTCTGACATTGCAGCATGCTTTGCCCCGGCGGGTAATTCGAAACCTGCAAGTCGGCAACAGCGTATCCATGCAATGCATCTGCTTACTGCAGAAATGTGTGTCTTTTGATCGATGCTGGTGATCGGTCAATATTCGGGTCGTTGCGCGGGAGTGCAGGAGTGCAGGAGTGTCCCTTCCACCCAAGGACTGCCACACAAATGGGTCGAGCTGCCCCCGACATTCACAAACCGGTTAGTATCTCAACAACCGTCCGCTTGCCACTTGTTGAAAAAAAATCGGCCCCTCATCATTGGTCTCGGGCGTTGCAGCCCCGCAACACCGCCCGATATCCTCGGGCCACCAAGGTTCACCGGCCCGGTGTGATAGGTTAGACAATGTGGATGTTTGTCGTCGTCGAACGTTGTCACCATGTGAGACGACCAATTGATGGAAAGTGAATGTCAAGACTCTCAGTAAGCTATGCAGAGTCTGCCTGACAGCGCATATGGCGAAATGGACCTCAAAGTTTGCTCCCATGGTTGAGCTTTCCCTGAGAAATTGCCCGACCATGGCAAAAGGCGAAAAGTGAAGGCACACAAAAAGGTCCAGAAGCCGTGGGTTGACCGAAAAGCAGCCAATGGATCGCTCCCTCGCCTTCCGACATCGCCACCAAAGATCACCATGCAGCCCGTGCACACCCGGGCGCCGTTCGTTACCCCACAATCAAAAGCCAAAAATTTGAGACCACGCTGGGGTCGCTGTCGACTCACAGCCAGAGCGGGTTCCGTCCGAGGTCGAAGGGTTCTTTTCCACCCTCCGCATCACGACTTTTGGCTTGCTAGACCTTAGCCATTGACTCTTTCACCCTCTCGCATGAAGGACTTTTTGCCTTTTGGCGCGCAACCCTCCACGGTAGCAGCTTGATCTGTTACTCGTTTTGCTTCAATTTTTTCTCCTGATCTCCGTATACATCTTGTCTTCTATCCTCCCCACTCTTCCAAACCTCCACAATGCTGCGCCAGACCTCGCGCGCCCTCAAGGGCATCGCCGAAGCTCGGCCACAACATGCCCTCACCATGGCCCAAAGGGCCACCGCCTTAGCAACACGGCGCAACACCCCAACAAATATCAGGAATCAGTCTACCAATGCTGCCGCAAAACCATCCGCGACGTATGTTAGCGTGGACTTTCCTATGTTCTGAATTTTGAGGTGACTCACTGCTGTGTCCGTTTACTTTTTCACTAACAAGCTGTTGCATGTTCGACAGCGAGGCGAGGCCGAAACCCAGCCCGTCGTTCAACGCCGCCACCAGAGACCAGAGCCATGTGCAACCCCTCGTCAACCCAAAAAAGAGCGATATGGATGAGTCGTACGTGGGACAAGTTAGCCACCAACGCCCTGGAGCATGTGACTAACACGGGACGTGGGGAATAGGTTCATTGGGAAAACTGGCGGCGAAATCTTCCACGAAATGATGCTCCGCCATAACGTGAAGCATATTTGTACGTGCCCCTCTGCTGCTGCCCTGGGAAATTGTCCTTCCTGACTGACGAAATACATCGCTTGCAGTCGGATACCCTGGTGGCGCCATTCTCCCCGTCTTCGATGCGATCTACAACTCTCCCCACTTCGACTTCATTCTTCCAAGGCACGAGCAAGGCGCCGGCCACATGGCTGAGGGCTATGCGCGCGCCTCAGGGAAACCCGGTGTCGTGCTGGTGACCTCTGGCCCTGGTGCCACCAATGTTGTCACCCCCATGGCCGACGCCCTTGCCGACGGCACCCCAATGGTTGTGTTCACTGGCCAGGTCGTAACCTCTGCCATTGGCAGCGATGCATTTCAGGAAGCCGACGTTATCGGCATCTCGCGTGCTTGCACAAAGTGGAACGTTATGGTCAAGAGCGTCGGCGAACTTCCCCGGAGAATCAACGAGGCCTTCGAGATCGCTACCAGCGGTCGCCCCGGCCCCGTTTTGGTCGATCTGCCCAAGGATATCACTGCCGGTGTCTTGAGGAGGGCCATCCCTACGGAGTCTGCTCTCCCGACCGTCCCCAGCGCCGCGTCTCGCGCCGCCCTCGAGCTCACCCAGAAGCAGCTGAACCTTTCGATCCGCCGCGTCGCCGATCTTATCAACAAGGCGAAGAAGCCCGTCATCTACGCTGGGCACGGCGTTATCTGCTCTAAGAATGGGCCAGAGCTGCTCAAGGCCCTGGCCGAGAAGGCCTCGCTTCCCGTGACGACTACCCTCCACGGCCTGGGCTCCTTTGACGAGTTAGACGAGAAGTCGCTGCACATGCTTGGCATGCACGGTTCCGCGTACGCCAACATGAGCATGCAAGAGGCCGACCTGATCATTGCTCTCGGCGCTCGCTTCGATGACCGTGTGACTCTAAGCATTGCCAAATTCGCGCCGGCCGCCAAAGCCGCGGCTAAGGAGGGCCGTGGTGGTATCGTCCACTTTGATATCCTGCCCAAGAACATCAACAAGGTTGTGCAAGCCACCGAGGCCGTTGAGGGTGATATCAGCGCCAACCTGGAACTTCTCCTGCCCCACGTCCAGGCTAAGACCATGGACGACAGGCAGGCGTGGTTTGGCCAGATCAAGGAGTGGAAGGCGAAGTGGCCCCTCTCTGACTATGAGCGCGCCGAGCGTTCTGGTCTGATCAAGCCCCAGACTTTGATCGAGGAGCTCAGCAACCTCACTGCCGAGCGGAAGCACGACACGTACATCTCCACCGGTGTCGGGCAGCACCAGATGTGGGTTGCGCAGCACTTCCGCTGGCGCCACCCCCGCTCCATGATCACCTCGGGCGGTCTCGGCACCATGGGGTACGGTCTTCCCGCGGCTATTGGCGCCAAGGTCGCGAAGCCGGATTCTCTCGTTATTGACATTGATGGCGATGCCTCGTTTGCCATGACCTTGACTGAGCTGGCCACGGCTGCGCAGTTCAACATCGGCGTTAAGATTATCGTCCTGAATAACGAGGAGCAGGGCATGGTTACGCAGTGGCAGAACCTCTTCTACGAGGATCGGTATTCGCACACTCACCAGAAGAACCCCGATTTCATGAAGCTGGCGGACGCGATGGGCGTGAAGCACCGGCGTCTGGTAAAGCCCGATGAGACTGTTGAAGCTCTCAAGTGGCTGATTGACTCGGATGGGCCTGCCCTGCTTGAGGTCGTGACGGATAAGAAGGTGCCCGTTCTGCCCATGGTCCCTGCTGGATCAGGTCTGCACGAGTTCATCACCTGGGATAGTGGTAAGTTTTTGAGATAAAATCCTTCCATTTTTCGAGCAGATAGACTAACTAGAACCACAGCCAAGGATAAGGAGAGGAGAGACCGGATGCGTGAGCGCACAGGCGGTGTGCATAGCTAAAGGCTGTCTTCTTCCAACACCTCGGGAGAATTACACTTTGACTTTCGGCTATCATGTCTCTCCCATTAATCTTGACAGCCAACTATTCTTATGAGTTCCTTATTTTACTTATTTTTGGACGGGTCGGATCGGAAAAGCACTGTCTGGTCATATCACTCTGGCGTGTTGAGTCAGGATTTCGAAATGCATCTCGGGTTAGCCAAGAAAAGAAAAACTGGTGGAAGATGGTCATCAGGTTGCAGGATCTGTAGATTTTGCTGTGGGGTCGGATTTTTGACGATGCGTTGTGTCTTGCGTTCGTGGGCGAGTCTTGGTTTGAAGGGTGCCTCGCCGTTGATGGTATGTATGGTATGGCGTGGCTGTATATATGTTTCCGACAAATGGATACCACGTGAATTTGCTGAACCACACTGCCGAGTTCTTGGTTCCGAACGGTGGGTGGTTGAATGTGCTCATATACGATCAACCGTACCTGGGGATATTTTGGCCGGAATAGGTAATTAAGGCCAGGTAGTATTGTTGTAACAGTTATCATTGTCGTCCTTAATGAGACGACCCTAGTCTGTCTATCGCGCATCATATGCCTGGTAAACTTCACAACGTCTACATGGCCACAATCACGGGTGCTCCAGTCCTGGTACCTTGCAGTATGCTTTGCTTCAAGCATGTCTACTGTGCATGATGGGCCACTTACACTCTGCATGTCAGGACCAGCCAGTCATTATGTTGCTGTCTTCCCGGCATACATCAATCTGAGGCTTCGGCTTGACTTGCTGGTATTTAGATAACGGAGCTTCTACTCTGGTGATAACGATACCGGAAAACGTGGCAAAAAAGATAGAAAAAATAGCCAGGGCGCTCTTGACTCGGCCCGTCCCGCAGGCTGTAACCTGGCATCGGTTGAGAACCAATGCCAGTTATCCGGGGTGTGGGGGCTTCGCTCGTACAGCGTTGCGTTCGTCAGACTTCAGCTGGTGCGGTGCTTGAGATGTTCACCCGAATATACCGTGAATAGACACAGGAATATAACATGCAGGAAAAAAAAGCATCGCGAAATCGGTCCGGTACTCTTGAACTCACGCCATGTTCACTGTAACGTAACATGATGGCTTAGATGCCGAATATGCCGTCAATAGAAAGAATTTCCAGCTGCGTAATTACTCCCGTGCCATCCCTTTCTGGTGATGTTGGTGCGACGGATGCGGGGCTCCTTAATCTATGTACATCATTGCCCCTCCAACCCCACGTTTAAACACCCACAGCACATCACACACACCACACGCGACATCATCCGACCAAACTCCTCCTCAAATTTGCAGCGTCCGAGCCCGCCCTCTCTTTTCCCATTTACGTCCTCCACCACCGTCAGCTTTTCCCTTGTAATCCTCTTGCTCTCTCCATCACAAAAAAATCACGCCGGCCAAAATTTACCGTTCGGCGACAAAAAAATGGCCGGCCCTGTCCCCATCGCCCATGCGCTAGGTGAGATCTACACCTCCGACGCGCTGCCCTCACAAACCGAGCGATGGAGCAGCCTTCTCACCAAGTTTGAGTCGGCCTATGGCCTGCCCGCGCAGTTTGTCGCGCGCTCGCCCGGCCGCGTGAACATCATCGGCGAACACATCGACTACTCGCTGTACCCGGTGCTGCCCATGGCCATCACTGCTGATGCCCTGCTCGCGGTGTCTACCAGTCCCGTTACTCCCGGGGATGCCGCCACGACGTACAAGATCAAGATTGCCAACGTGCAGGATAAGAAGTTTCCGGCTCATGAGTTTGACATCCCGTTTGATGCGGTTGATATCGATGCTACGGTGCATGAATGGACCAATTATTTCAAGTCCGGGCTGAGGGGCGCGCTGGAGCTGTTGCGGAAAAAGCAGGCGGATGGGTTCAGACCGCAGAATATGAATATTCTGGTGGATGGTACCGTCCCGACTGGTGGTGGACTGAGCTCGAGTGCGGCTTTTGTTACGGCTAGCGCCCTGGCTGTCATGGCGGCCAACGGGGAGGAGACTGTTGACAAGACGGAGCTGACGGAGCTGGCTATTGTTAGCGAGCGCGCGGTTGGTGTTAACTCAGGAGGGTGAGTATTTTGATTGTTTCCTTTTCCTCGGGTTTGAATATGAGGGGGGATGCCGCTGACCTGCCTCAAGAATGGACCAATCCGCCTCCGTCTTCTCCGAGCGTGGTTCGGCCCTCTACGTCGCCTTCGCACCTTCACTCAGGACCCGCCCGGTGCAGTTCCCCAAGACCAACCCCGAGCTGACCTTCCTCATCGCCCAATCCTTCATCACCTCCGACAAGGTCGTCACGGGCCCAATCCACTTCAACCTGCGTGTCGTCGAGTGTACCCTTGCGGCTGCCTACCTCAACGCGGCCCTCAACCCCCCTGGCACGCAACTACCCACCGACGGCGGGCCCCTTGGAATCTCCCTACACGGCTTCCACGAGACCTACTTTGCCCTACAAGAACATGCCACCGGTGGGGCCCGGAAGTCTGACCAGGAACAGCTCCAAGAACTCGTCACGCTCACCAAAGAAACCCTCTCCAAGACCGAAGGCTACACCCGAGAGGAGATCGCCTCCGTCCTCGGCCTGACCACTGACGAGCTCAACGCCAAATTCCTCTCCAGTTTCCCCGTGCGTGGCGAGCGCTTCAAGCTGCGCCACCGGGCCCTCCACGTCTTCAGCGAGTCCCTGCGCATGTTACAGTTCCTCCACCTCCTCGAGACCGGCCCGTCTTCATCCGGCGGGGATAACACAGAAGAATACAACCAATCACTCGGCAAGCTCCTCGACGAGACACAAACCTCCTGCCGAGATGTCTACGAGTGTTCCTGCCCGGAAATCGACCAGCTCTGCGAGATTGCGCGGCGGAATGGGAGCTACGGCTCACGGCTGACGGGTGCCGGATGGGGTGGGTGCAGCGTGCACTTGGTCCCTGCGGATCGGGTGGATGCGGTGCGTGAGGCGTGGGAAAGAGAGTATTATGCGAAACTCCCCGGGGGGTTGACACAGGAGCAGAAGGAAGGTGCCGTGGTGGTGAGTCGGCCGGGGAGTGGGAGTGCGTTGTTTTTGGTGAAGGGGGGGAAGTTGGAGTAAGGTATTGATGTGTGTGTGTGGTGTTTACAAAGGGGGGGTAGTATGCGGGTAACCCCTTTTCTTCTCTCTTTGAGGACTAAGGCAAGGTCTGCCGTCGCTGCACTTGGCCTTTGTTCCTAGATCTGCAAGTAAGGACGGCTGAAAAAGGTATTTTTCGGCCAGCGAGCGTCACGCAAGCCTTATTCTTCAGCTTGCTGCTCCGAAATTTGATGGTCATATATTCTACATAACGGGCTACTCAGCGGACAGGACGGGACATGATGGTTACCGTCATCCAGATCGAAAGCTCCTCTGCCAACTAGTGTACTTTGAGCAAGTTAGCTTAACAACCCTAACAACCATCCTCTTACCCCGCGAATCCCATACCCGAGCAGCCGGCACCGGCAGTCCAATTGTCCTCCGCGATCAATCAGCAAACCTCTCCAACGATACCCCAACAACCTACTCAGTTGATCCATCCGCTTCAACCCCAATAATGACACTCCACCGACGTCATCACTCTCCAACCCCGCCCTCGACATCCTCTCGTATGCCCCCATTCGTCCCTACTTGCGATCCCATCTCTCGATCCCAACTTTGGCATTTCAGCTCGTCAGATGACTTTAGTTTGGGAGAGCTGGGTGGCTGCGATGACGCATATATAACGTGGCCTCCCCGCTCGTTGTCGTGTCATGGATTGCTCCCCCTTTTTTTCCTTGCCTCCCCGTGGTTCATTTCCTACAGTTTTGGTGTGGAAAGGTTTCCTTTTTGTTTTATCTCTTCTTTCTCTACCGAGCAACAATGCTTTCTCAGGTTCCTTTCCAAAACATAAAATAATAACACAACGACATCTCAATTCCTCTCTACCTTACCTTTACACCCCTAATAATCATCCATCAAAAAAAAATCATCCTTCTATCAAACCACCCCTTCATCATCATGAGCGACTGCGGGTGTTCCTCCACCGGGACCTGCAACTGTCCCCCAGGCCAATGCTCTTGCCCGAGCTGCCCGGTAAGCAAGCCCAACAATAATTCTGTCGTCTTCCTATCCGGCTGCATCTCCTCCTTTCCCACGGTGGTGATGTAGTCGCGTCCATGAGCAGAACGTACTAATGGCAGCTTGTCTGGGCGGTCCAGAAACCGAGCAAGTAAACCAACAGCAAATAATGCCTGCCAAACAAATGGCCATTTACTTTGCTCGCGTTCAACTTCTCCTCCTCCCTACCTAACGGACGGGTTGAACGTTCCGTGTCGGGTGAGGGCTTCAATCAGAATCAGACAAAGTATTCACGGGACAGGTTAAACGCAGGACACGCAGACGTCATGCCATCGAAGGCAAACAACCTAACATGGTGTTGGGGTCTTGTATTATCAATCTTCGCCCTTTTACTCTTCACGATGTGTTTGACTATGTGGAGTTGATGTTTTGGGTCGGAGTATCATGATTGGGAAAAAACTTCGAAAAATAGGACGCTCTTTGGCCGGGGAGTTTGATGACATGATTGTACTAATTACTCCTGTATAATCTGTATAATATTGTTTTGTTTTGTTCACTGTTCAGTAACAACGATGGGACATGAATTGGAAAATAGGCAAAACCAAAAAAAATAGTGTCGTTGGATAGGAGTGTATGAATACACAAGGCATGTACGATGAACATACCTGTAGTTTGAGATTTGCTTGTGACATGATTCCCGCCTTTCAGTTTGCAGCCCGCATTGTCTGTCTTGCGCTGGTGAGTGGATTGTCCATTGCCATGTCTATCCAGGAATACATATCGCTACCAGGCCCAACGAACGGAATAAAAACCCTTGGGGCTTCTCTATACATTTCACATACATTATTATCCTTATCAAAACATAACCACCACACACAACCTGAGTCCCGTTACCCAGACCTCGGCACACGTTTCTCCACGTTCTTGATCTTCCTCTTGCTCTTCACCTGCACCTGCCTGTACTTTGTATACAGCCTCAGCGCATCGCGCAGTACGATGAACAGACACCCACCCACTAAACTACGGCCCCAGCGATGGTGCAGCAGACCGACGGGTCGACCCGACCAGAGCCTGGGCATGGCGGTCCAGCGTCTGGGTAGCGCAGCGCGCAGCAGCTCGCCCATGCCGTAGGAGATGGTGGGCAGGAGGAGGGAGGTGACGACATGGTTGATGATGGCGGTGAAGTAGGATGTTCCGTCGTTGTTGTTGTTACGGTCTTCGTTGCGGCGGCGGTTGTTGTTGCGGGCGTCGTTTTGGGGTTGTTGGTTTTGTTGATTTTGTTGGGCTGGCTGGGCAGGGGCCGCTGCGGCTGGTTGTTGTTGCTGTTGTATTGGTTCAGCCCCTGGCTGGGGCTGGTCATCGTGTTGTGCTGCGTCCTCCGGGAGGATCTCGACTCCGTCGCCCCCTACTTCTTGACCCACCGCCTCTAATGCTTCTTCCCCTAGCAGCAGCTCGTCGTCGCTATCGTCGTCGTCGTCACCTCCGCCCCCTATATTAATCTCGAACCGTCCCTCAATTATCCTCCCGTCCCCGTCAGCCCCGTCTTCGTCGCCGCCATCGGTAAATATCCCGAGTAGGGCACGGCTAACGGTAGCGAAAGCTCCCCATACCCCTTCACCGTCTTCGTCATCCCGTGCACCCGCTGCTGGCTGCGGGGCTGCGATGGCAGGTGCCTCGGCTTGTGCGGGCTCCTCGACTGGGGGTAATCCGCGAAGAGCGCGGTTGAGGCGTTTTTCTAGTGGCCCAAATAGATCGTAAAATATGTAGGCGTAGCTGAACTGGACGAGCGGCATCAGGGCCATCGCCCATTGTGGCGATGGTGGCCACGATGGAAGGTTATCCCGAGCGACGAGTGTCGCGCCATACTAGAACAAAGACCAACAAAGTTAGCGAACTTCTCTAGTTGTATGCATGGCCGCCTGAGCGTGTCTGTGTGTATGGTTGTCTCACTATTGCGGTAAAAGGCAGGAGCAAAAAGGAACCGCCAGTTGGAAGAAACCGCAACACCACCAAGCCTGGCCCAAGGGAGGACAGCATCGCAATCTTCAATATCGTAGATGGAAGCTGTGTTGGGCGGCCCTTGAACCCAAGCCAGATCAACACCGTCTCATGCCCAGCAAACGTGCTAGCAGCTAACTCGCCATACCAGTAGGCGCCTGCAAACCCCCCACCACCTACAAACAGCGACAAGAGATACGGCGACACCCTGCTGTATCGCTTGTGTAGGATATCTCGCAGGGCCAGGACCGGGTCAAACGGATCCTCGACGGTGATCGGCTCCTTGCAGGCCGGGCACTGGAGCCCGCCTTTGTTGGCGTTCGCACGGCGCGGCCCGCTTTCCACCTCGGCGATCCAGCGCAGCATGCACTCTTCGTGGGCTTCAAGGCTGCATGGGCACGGGTTGACCCAGGTTGCATCGGGGGTGTCGATGTCGGTTTGGAGGCAGATGAAGCAAGCGTGCTGGTCGTTGGTGGCGATAGGGGCTGGGATGATCGTATGTGCGGCTGGGGTTGCGCCGCTGGAAGATTCTGGGGCCGCCATTGCGATTTAGGGTAGGATGGGTTATCGTAGGGTTCGTAGGGTATATATTCGGGATGTAGGTTGATCGTGGGATGAGGGGAAACGAATCGGATGTTGAGGGAGGTTCACGATATCTGCATTCCGAAGGTGCAAGACGGTGGAGTTATATCGTCGCGTCACGCTTTGGGAGCTCTGAGAGGGCTGCGGTCGCGTGGATGTTAGCAACAAAGAGAGTTGATTTTGAAACAATTCACTAACCAAGGTTGCCGTCTGGTAGGTCACCAGCTTTTGCCGCCGCCCGGCCGCTGGCGGATATCGGAGAGAAGGTTGGATGGATGTTGATCAGGAACAAGGCCGACGGGTCCCTCGGCTGGCAGTTGACATCAGCAGGAAGCCCCACGCTGTGAACGGTAATCACTGACCCCGGTCCGGTATTTCTTGGCGATTGTGGTAATTTTGGCCTCCGAAACGGGAAAAGACGAGGGGATTAATACACTACACTCCTCCATGGTAATACACGTGCAAAGAAATTACCGCCAGACGGAGACCGCGGCTGCCCCACTTCCTTTGAGCCCCTCCATTTGCGCTCCCAATGGACTGGCGTGGAATCTGGCCGACACCTTCTCTTCCCGGGGATTACTTTGGTTGATTCAGGAACCAACCGTGAGCCTTTTGAGTTCAAGCCGGAAGTTTTGAAGCCTAAGAAACAAAGGTGTTTGAAGTGAAGACCTCGTCCACCATGGTACGTATGATACGGGGCCCTGAGAACCCCTCCTTCTGACCCAACGACCACTCCCAAATCACAAGCCTAAATACCAAGCCCAAATCCCAACCAAAAAAAAAAGGGGGAATCTCGAGGACTGGTTAAGAAAAAGAAAATCAACATGATGCTGACTCCTCCTCCCTCCCCCAGCCATCTCCCTCGAAACAGCGCCTCGCGCTGGCGATCTGCGACTTCCTGTCGACCTCCCTCACCGACGGCACCCTGACCGCCGAAGAGAAAGACTCGATCGACATCGCCGTCAACTGCATCAGCGAGTCCTTCGGCGTCGACCCGACCGACACCAACGCCGTGTCCCAAGCCGTCGGTTCGCAGAACCTCGCCCAGATCTACTCCGTCTACGAGCGCCTCAAGAACAATACCCCCGCGTCGTCAGCCTCCACTACCTCCCCCAAGGCAACCCCTACCCCGTCCACTCCCGCGGCCGAACCTACCGAAGACCAAAAGAAACAAGCCGAAGGTCTCAAATCCAAAGGCAACGCAGCCATGGCCCAAAAGGACTACCCCGCCGCCATCGACTTGTACACCCAAGCCCTAGCCCTGCACCCCAACAATGCCATCTTCCTCTCCAACCGCGCAGCCGCCCACTCCGCGGCGCGGGACCACGAGGCCGCGCGTGCCGACGCTGACGCCGCTGTTGCCGTCGATCCCAAGTACACCAAGGCGTGGAGCCGGCTGGGCCTGGCGCGATTTGCGCTGGGAGATGCCAAGGGTGCTATGGAGGCATACCAGAAGGGGATTGAGTATGAGGGGAATGGGGGTAGTGAGGCGATGAAGAAGGGGTTTGAGACGGCTAAGCGGAGGGTGGATGAGATTACTGCAGATGAGACGGCTGCGTCGGCTGCGGCGTCGCCGCGGGGTGGGGCTGGTTCGCCTGGCGGTGGTGGTCTGGGTGATTTGGCCGGTTTGTTTGGTGGTGGTGCTGGTGCTGGTGGAGCGGGAGGTGCTGGAGGAGGAGGTGGTGGTATGCCTGACTTTGCGTCCATCATGAACAACCCGATGTTTGCGTCGATGGCGCAGAACTTGATGAGCAACCCGGACATGATGGCCAACTTGATGAATAACCCGCGCCTGCGCGAGATGGCGGATCAGTTTGGCCGGGGCGGCGGTGGTGGTATGCCGGACTTGGGCTCGCTCATGTCGGACCCGAGTGTTGCTGAGATGTGAGTTTCTTTCCTCTCATTGACAGCATAGAAAATACTGACTAACTGACCTTGGCACAGGGCTCGGAACCTGATGGGCGGAGCTGGACGCGGTGGTCCTGGCGGTCCCGGCGCTGGGAGGTAATGAGGGTGTTGTTTCGGCTTGAGTAACCATTTATACCTGAGATATATGGTTCAGCTTCCTGTATCAGGCCATAAGTGCAAATCTGGGGTATGAGAAGGATAGCTGTTGTTGAGGCTTGGAAGCCCGGTTACATACCCGGCCTACAAATGCCGCAGGCGAATCATCTCAAGATAATGATACCATTATGATTTCTCCTTTGCATAGCCCAGAGTCTTGCGAAAACATCCTGTTCATGTTTTAGGTGATGTGTGGTTTCTATCTAACATAACTGAAAGATACCTGCAAAATCCCATACGTACAAGCCAAACCTCCCTTCGCCTTTGTCAAGTTTCGGTATATCTCCTTTTTGTTCAACAAACGCCTTAACCTAGACATTGAAGAGAAAAGTACTCTTCCCCCATACCACTTACTTACTTCACTAAACAGTAGGGTAGCATCTACCCCACCCACCGCCTGGCACTCCTAAACATCCTCAACCACGGCCCAAACTCCTTCCACTCCTCCACCTCCTCCCTCGGCACATAACTCCCCACATCCGCCAAAATCGTCCGTTCCGGATGTGGCATCATAGCCAGCACCCTCCCATCACGGCTCGCCACACCCGCCACACCACCGGGACTCCCATTGGGATTGAACGGGTACTCCTCCGTCACATTCAGCCGGTTATCCACATACCGCAGCGGGATGCCACCCGCCTCGTCTAGGGCGGTGTAATCCGCGGGGGATGCAAACTCGGCGCGGCCTTCGCCGTGCGAGACGACGATGGGGAGACTGGAGCCGGCCATGCCGTGGAAGAAGACGGAGGATGTAGCCGGCGAAGTGGACGGTGAGACCTTCACCATGCTGACGCGGCCCTCAAACTGGGACGAAGCATTGGCGACAAAGGAAGGGAAGTGCTCCGCGCCGGGGATGAGTTCCTTCAACCGAGACAGCATCTGGCAGCCGTTGCAGACGCCGAGAGCAAAAGTGTCCTTGCGAGCGAAGAAGGCAGCAAGTTCTTGGCGGGCGCGGTCGTGCAGCAGGATGGACTTGGCCCAGCCCTGGCCGGCGCCGAGGACGTCGCCGAAGGAGAAGCCGCCGCAGGCTGCGAGGCCAACAAAGTCGGAGAGGGAACGGCCCGAGATGATGTCTGTCATGTGGATGTCGACGGCGTCGAAGCCCGCTGCGCGGAAGGCGAAGGCCATTTCGGCGTAGCCGTTGACGCCTTGCTCGCGGAGGATGGCGACGCGCGGGGTCTTGCCGAAGAAGCCGGAGATGGAGGCTGTTAGGGGGGCGATGTTTTCGGTGGGGGAGTAGGTGAGGTTGTAGGAGAGGCCGGGGTCTTGGGAGTCGAGGATGGTTGCGAATTCGGATTCGGCGCAGGCTGGGGTGTCGCGCAGCTTTTGCATCTCGAAGGAGGTCTTGCTCCACCATTGTTGCATCTCGGCGCGGTCGAGGCTGATGAATGGTGCGCCCTCGCCGTAGCGGATGGTCAGTGCCTGCTTGGTTGTGGGCTGGACGAAGCCGAACTTGCGGATCAACCCCGCAGGCGGGCCGCAGGTTGCAAAGCAGCGCTTGAAGTTGATCTCATCCGAGGCGCGGACCTGGAAGACAGCGCCTAGCTCCTCGTGGAAAAGCGCGTCGACCAGGTCGGGCAGGTTCTTGGAGGCTGCGATGCCGTCCAGCAGGATGTCGACGCCGCAGCGGCCGGCAAACATCATCTCGGCGACGGTGGTGATGAGACCGCCGTCGGACACGTCGTGGTACGCGAGGACCACGCCGCTCTCGTGCAGCTGAGCCAGGGCGTCGAAGTAGTCCTTGAGAAGATCCACATCGCGGACATCGGGCGCCTCGTGGCCGATGGCACCCAGAGACTGGGCCAGGGCAGAACCACCCAACGCCTTGCGGCCCTGCGCCAGGTCGACATACAACAGAACCGTCTCGCCCACGTCCTCAACGCGACGCAGCTGGGGGGTCCAGGTGCGGCGGATGTCCTCGACCAGGGTGAAGGCCGAGATGACGACCGACACGGGAGCTGTGACACTCTTCTTGGTCTCGCCATCCTTCCACGACGACTTCATCGACGTTGAGTCCTTGCCCACGGGGATGCTGATGCCCAGCGCCGGGCATAGTTCCATGCCGATGGCCTCGACGGCCTCGAACAGAGCTGCGCCCTCTCCCGGGTGGTTGACAGCGGCCATCCAGTTCGCCGAGAGCTTGACGCGCCGCAGGTCGCCGCGATGCCGGCCGGCCTTGATGTCAGCCGCGCCTAGGTTGAGCAAACTCTCCGCGACAGCCATCCGGGCAGAGGCAGCAGGGGAGATGAGCGCCAGGGTAGGCTTCTCCCCCATGGCCATCGCCTCACCCGTCCTCACGCCGTCGAGGTTGAACGCCGTAGCAGTCACCGCGACATCCGCCACGGGAGTCTGCCAGGGGCCGACCATCTGATCGCGGGCTGTCAGACCTCCGACGGTTCGGTCGCCAATGGTGATGAGGAAGGACTTGGAGCCGACCGAGGGCATCCAGAAGACACGCTGCACGGCCTGTTTGAAGAGATCGGTATCGCTGAGAGAGCCGCCGTCAACAGCTGATTTCAGGCTAGCGACGGGGTCAAAGACTGGCCACGCGGGCTTCTTGGAGTCGACGATGCGGTCCAGCTTGCGGCCCTTGGGGAAAAGGACATCCATCGGAACGTCGATCGGGCGTGGGTACTCGTTGGATTCCTTGTCACTGAGAATCAACTTGGAGACACCGTCTTGCTCGCGCGAGAGGACGGTTCCCACATCCGAGAAACCGCAGCGTTCACGGCCTGGTTTGGTATTAGTGGGCGTGGTTAGGGGTATAGTAAAAACAGGGAGAGAGTGACAGAAACTTACGGCAGATGCTGGTAAAGCGCTCCATTCCGTCGCTGTTGACAAGAACCACATAGCGCTCCTGCGCCTCGTTGCACCAAATCTGCAGCGGGCTCATACTTTTGTCCACGCTCTCGACCTGGCGAAGCTCAAAGCGGCCACCAAACCCGGCATCCCGGACCAGCTCAGGCAGCGCATTCGACAGGCCGCCCGCGCCAACGTCGTGAATCATGGCGATGGGGTTGTTGTCACCCAGGAACACGCAGGTGTTGATGACCATCTGCGCGCGGCGCTCCATCTCAGGGTTGCCGCGCTGGACACTGTCAAAGTCGAGCTCGGCGTTGCCCTCGCCCGAAGCATTGCTCGACGCCGCACCACCACCAAGACCAATGAGCATGGCAGGGCCTCCAAGGACGATAACATGTGCGCCCTCGACGACATCCTCGGGACGCTTCAGCGCATGCTTCTCCCGGACAGTGCCGACACCGCCGGCAATCATGATCGGTTTGTGGTAGCCACGGAACTCGCCCTCCGTCTGGGTGTCGTCCGCCGTAAGGAGCGTGCGGAACGTGCCCGCGAGACAAGGGCGGCCGAACTCGTTGTTAAAGCGGGCGCTGCCGATGGGGGCCTCGAGCATGATGTCCAGACTGCTCGCAAAGTGCGCCGGTCGGCCGACATCAAGTTCCCAGGGGGCGCGGTGGTCGGGAATGAGTAGGTCCGACACCCAGAAACCGCACAGCCCGGCCTTAGGCATGGAACCCCTTCCAACGGCGCCTTCGTCACGGATCTCTCCTCCAGATCCAGTGGCCGCACCGGGAAACGGGGCAATGGCCGTGGGGTGGTTGTGCGTCTCGACCTTGGCCAAGACATGCAGAAGCTCCTTGTTGAGCTTCCAAGACCCCGTCGAGTAGTCAGGGGCCCAGAGGTTGGTATGCCCGCCCTCCATGACAGCTGCGTTGTCGCTGTAGGCCGACACGGTGTAGTCCGGAGTCACCTTATGGGTGTTGCGAATCATCTCGAAGAGCGACTTGTCCCGGGTGATACCGTCGATGGTCCAGTTCGCATTGAACTGTTTATGCCGGCAGTGCTCCGAGTTCACCTGCGCAAACATGAAGAGCTCAATATCATGTGGCGGACGACCGAGCTGGGTGAACTTTTCGACCAGGTATTCCACCTCGGACTGGTCCAGGGCTAGACCGCGTGCCTTGTTGTACTCATTCAGCACCTGCGCTGGGTCTCGCCCATCGGCGAAGATGTCGACAATTTCGAGGGGCGCAGACACGCCCTCGGCGAACATGGTGTTGAGATCGGGTGTCTCGGTTGTGAGGGTCTCGGTCATGCGGTCGTGCAAGATGTCGCGGAACGGGACCGTCTTGTCGTTGTACGGCTGCTCGAATTCGACGGCAATGATGCGGCCACGCTCGATCTGGCGGATCTGTTTCTCGAAGCCGCAGACCTGCGCGATGCTGGTGGCCTTGGAACTCCATGGCGAGAGGTAACGCGGCGTCGCGTACCAGGTGCGCCCATGGCCAATGTGGGTGAGCTGCGGGGTGCCTTCCGCGGCATTGTTCGCCAGCGGAAGCAATTGGGCGAGTTTCTCTTGCGCAGCACCGGCGTCGCCCTCGATATGTGCGTAGTAGACCCAAGTGCCGCGCAGGTTCGCGACCTTGATGGGGGCGACCTTGTTGATCAAGTCCCGCAGTTTCTGGGCTTCAGCCGCTGTGAAGCAGGCGTCCCCCGCGAGAGTAAGATGCGGCATGGCGACGACGATAACAGCACGCCCAAAACTCTGGGATGGTGATGTACCGTTGACTTTAGGATGGACTACAAGATACAGAGAGCAACCGCTCGCTGGGCTCGATGGACGATAGTCATCGCACCAGCAAAGAAGACCAGAAGGCGGGGGCGGGGTCCTGAGAACTGGAAATTTTATAGCGGGCCCCTGTCAGGGAAAGGCGCGCAGTGCCGTCCGTGACTTGCCGTATCGAGGTTCGCCTGTGAAGTTCAGATGGATTATACAACCTTGGCAAGAGTCATAGATTTTGAAGACAAAGGAATATATGCCTCATGTTATTGTGTTCCGCGTCTCTCATCTTGCTGAATGTTATCACGCGAGCTAGGTGTGATTTTTCGCTGCTCTCCAAAAGTCTCCATTGGTTTGCAATCATCCTCCAATGGAGAAAGCGATTATGTGGATCTTTCTCTTGTCCAAATATGGCTCTCAGAACTCAACAGCCTTCTCTTCCTAGGATTGGAGTTACCCAAGTCATCCAGAACCGAGTTCTAGGACTGAATGGAATAGAACTCTCAGGCGGAAAAAAAGAACAGAGAAAACTTTAGGGTCCGGAGAGCGAGAAATCTTCGAGGCTACACCCCTGTAACGACCCGCCATGGAGGGACCAATGACGGCTTCAGGGCCGAGAAGCACGGCCCCGCCCGCCCGCTTGTGGCTCAACTTTTCAATTTTCCCATGAACATCCATGACCACACCTGAGTCCTACTCAGCAAACGTTACCGACGACAACCCGCAGTTACGATACCCCGAGGCGTCCTAAACGGTGGTAGACCCAATTACGGCGGAACCGGTTGGAGGAGAAGAGGTGCCGATTCAATTGGAGGACGACGACTTGGACCACAAACAAGCACCAATTCATCGAATCGAGCTTCGTCGGTTATCAGCATACGGATACCACCAGAGCATTCGTCGGCAACAAGAGAAATAACCGCCGCCATGTCGTTCACCCTCCCTTCCCTCCGGAGCCTTGCCACCCGGCTGCTCGTCCGACCAACCCCCCTCACAGCTGCCATGATGACGACGACAACCTCACCCTCGAGGCCAACACCAACACCATGCCCCCACCAGACCCTCCCCACGACCCGCGCCCTTTCCACGACCACCACCCTCACAGCCAAAGGCAACGCCCCCCCAAGGGGCGGCGGCAAGCCCGGCACGAAACCAGGCATCAAACCCGGCAGCAAGCCCGGCAAACAAGCCAAGAAAAAGGCCGGCGGCAAGCACGGCCTGCCCGCGCGCGACCCAAAGTTCATCAACATGCTCTCTCACTTCGCGATCCTCTCCCCCGACCGCATCCCGGCGCCGCTGCGCATGGGCCGCAACCGCCACCTGCGGCACTGGACGATCCACCGGGCGTGGATGCTCTTCCGGCGGCGGGAGCGCGAGGCCCGCGAGCGCAACCTCATGCGGCAGCACCAGAGCATGTATGCTGCGTGCGAGGCATTGCGGTTAACGGCGGGCCCTGGAACGCGCGATGAAGGGTATTTGTACCGGAAGGCGATGGATAAGAGGTATGTGTATGGGTTGAGGGGGATTCCGATTGATTATGCGCGGCCGCAGACCGAGACCCCGGCGAGGGTGGCGTGGAATCATGATTGGAAGCGGTGATTTGATTTTTGGTGGCGGTGTTGGGTGGAAGACGGGCTATGGGCGATGGGGGATCTCTCTTTGTTGGGAAGGATAGAAGGAACTGGGGCGTGATGGCTGTGCTAGCTCCTATCCTCAATTCCTTTTTGATGTGGATTTGGTTGGCTGCCCTGGGTGGGTTGAAATTGGGGGAATGAATGTAAATGTATACTATCATGTACCATACGAGTTGGCTGAAGCCCATTCATTATAACGCACGGTACGGAATACAGAGTGATGTTAGAGAATCTGCACCTTGCGTACTTCCACCAACTAACCCTCAAAAATGTAGGGAGGTACCCGAATCAGCTAATCATTAAGCAACTACCTAGTGACTTACCCGTCGGGACGACTCATCAGCAGCGAACAATGAAATGCATCCAGTATTACAGTCTGACCTCCTTTCCTCCGTACCTAATCCCCCTCCCCGCCCGATGACCATCCCATTTTGTTTCCGCTACTGCCATCCTATCCTGTCTTGGCCGCATCGTCCCTTTCCAAATTGATGCTCCGCCTGTGACACGCCCATATCCCGGTGTGGATTCCCTGTCCGAATAAAGCAAAGAAAACTAAAAGTCTATAGCGTAATAATACAGCATGGATCATGACTCGCTAGGCTCGCTATGCAATTGAGCTGGTGACAAAAAGAAAGCAGATGAACGAAAGGTGGCCGGTTTGATCCCAATTTCCTCTCACCCCCGGGCGAATCGGTCCGCCCTGGTTAATGAGACAACCTCGTGATGAGATGATAGGTGCTGGAAGGTGGTGGATAGGCGCCGTCATGGTAGTGTCGGGAGTTGCTGGGAACGGCCATGCCGAATTGGTTTGCCCGTCCTCGTCAAGTTACATGTCGTTGACTTGCGGCCCGGCAGCGGTGGCGTGCTCTTCACCCCTCACCAATCAACCTCTTATAATATCACACAGCACCCACTCCCCTCGCTCTTTTCAAACATCAGTAGCGAGGCCCGCGTAGCAGCCTCGAATACGTCGTCCACGCCCTCGCCGGTCAAGCTGGAGCATTCGAGATACTTGCGGGCACCGACCTCCTTGGCCGCGTGCTCGCCATCCGCCGGGGTGACAAAGCGCTGCGATCGCTTCCGCATCTCCTCTATCGTCACTGGGTCGTCACGCAGGTCCTTCTTCAGCCCGACAAGGATGATCGGGACGTCAGGACACCGCTCCTGTGCTTCAACGAACCACTGTGGTCATGCCGGGTTAGTCAAACCGTTATTCACTCGCTGACTTGCAACGAATATCTCTGCTTGTCTCAAAAGTCGGGTGGGTCGGACAGGTTGGAGGTGGGACAATCGTTACACGTTGCGACCGTGACATGACGTCTGAATTGGCCTAGAGCACTGGGAAAGACTGGACTGTCGCTTGACAGCGCCCGTTGTGGAGGTAGTGGCGGGAAGGAAGAGACACAGTAACGGGAAACTGCAACAATCAGTGCGCGCACCCACCTTGGTCTTGACATTATCCAACGAATCTGGTGTGTCGACGGAAAAGCCTATTAGGATCACATGTGCTTTCGAGTAGGCTAGCGGCCGTAACCGCTCGTAATCCTCCTGCCCAGCTGTGTCCCATAGCGCCAGTTGCACCGACTTGCCATCCACTCGGCAGTCTGTCACATAGTTTTCGAATACGGTGGGTACCTGGGACGAATTGGGTCAGACCGGAGCATCGACGTTATGTTGAATGTTCGGAGCGAAGACCTCGACTGGACGACGATGGGGAGTTCTGGGAACTAATTCGGATTGTCCGTGGCTATGGCAAGGAGGCGCTAACTCACATAATTCTATCGTCTCAGGTTAGTTTTGGAGCCGTTCGGGGCGAGGAATGCCTGAGATTTGTCAACTTACTTTCGGGAAGAAACCAAGCGTGAACACGCTCAGTAAACTTGTCTTTCCGCAGGCACCGTCACCGATAATGACGAGTTTCCTAAACAAAAGGGAAATGTCAGCCAAAGAGCTGCCTTCCAGAGGGTGGGCATTTCCGGAGCACCGGGCCCATGATCCATCGGGTGGTGCCTATCGTGGTCCTATAGGACCGGTTCTCGGCGAGTCAAGGTTGGAGGCCGCGTACCTGCGGATGACATTTTGGGCGGTGCGATCGTTGGCCATAGCGCGCCGGTCCGCCCGGGGTTTATCTCGTTGTGCACGCTTCGCGATAGGATTTGAGGAAGTAAATAAGGTGTTGACGGGGCGGAGTTATCGTTCAGTAACGCAGATTTTGGTGAGGACGTCAGGTCAGGAGCTAAAGGAGGCTGAGGATGATGTTGGTCAACGTCGGATGGAAAGGGCTGGATGTCAGTAGTTAATTAATACAGTGTGGATGCGTTCTGGCCCGGCTCGAGCCCGGGTCCCAGGACTCAGGACCCTCAGCAAATTTTGGGGGGCTTGCGGTTTGAGAAGAGCTCGGTAGCCAATTACATAATGCGGGAGGCCCCTGCTTGTCCTTGGGCTGCTGCTGCGGTCTCGCGAAACGCTTGGCATGCTGCTGTGTCATGAAGAGAACATCATCACTCTCCCCTGCCTCCCCCTTTCAGATTTTGCCGATATATCCTCTTTTTTAGACAATGTCTTCCTCATTAGATCCTTTTTTCCGTGACTCTACCATTTGTGTAACACGGCATTACCTGTCAATTAGAAACATTGCTGAATCTTGTTTCCAATCCCCAAGCTCTGAACGTGCCCCCGGCAAAAGGGGGAGGGGCCTTCCCCACGCGGGCATCTGTCATACTCCTGTCATACAGCTCGAGAGACGGTGAGGCCGCGGGCCACTGCGCTACACACCATGAAAATCGGCAATTGGTTGAATGCCTTCCCTTCGGAGATACGCTTCTTTACCACCGGTAGACTAGCATCTCCCTCCTCAAGGCCGGATTAGCGCCGACCAACTTCGTATCTTCGCTCTTAAACTTCCATCGGGCCGTGAAAGTCTGAAAGCTCGGGACGTTGAACGAGCAAGTCGTATTTAATGTGGGTCGACGGCAGCCGCGAGGGTTCTCAGCTCATCAAGGCGCTGGACGCCTGGGGCTCTGATAGGCCGTGAACGAACGCTGAGGTGGGGTGAGGCTGTGCATTGAGATCCCGAGTTGAGGCGTCGGTTGACAAACCTCCAGATCGTCCGCTCAGTACGGGGTGGAGCAACGGTTAGGCGAAGATCGTTTCTCTCTTGCTCTAGCTAGGATTTTGAGGTTGCAGTTGGTTCACTCAGAAAGCTCAGGTACGAGAGAAGGATCCGATGATAGGGCAGAAAGGTATCTTCCTGTTTATTCCGCCAGAGTTTGGGCGAGAAGGAATCAGATGGCCCTATTTTAGGTTAGGGAATTCTCGTGTCAGTCACCGTGCAACGCCGGTGTGTCCGTTGCGCGAAAGGATACGGACTGCCTGGCATACTGCAACATTTGGTTGTTGATTTCATCCCACAAATCGCAACCAATTACGAATCAAGGGGATGCTTTGCTCTCATACAAGTTACAACTTACGATTGGGTTGCGCTTGTCAACTCGCACCTATTTCGAGGCGAAATCGGTGTCCAGAAATAGACGCACGAGCTGAGTGTGGGTTTGATCGACAACCATTGACTTCAAATTTCCCTTTGGCCAGATCGCTCAGCTGTGCATAAAACAATCCAGATCATCTGTTGAAGTTGCTGGGTGTACTATGTGAGTGACGAGCAGTAAGTTACCGTGCAGTTAAGCGGAAAGGGTTGCAGCCAACGCCGAGATTTCCAACTCCATTTTCAACATGATTCAAGTTGCGGTCTTATTTTGCTGGTTTGCTGTAACGTTATCCACCTACCAGACATCGTTCATTACGGATTACTTGCCCTGGGGGTGCCTATCTGGATTTTGACCCAAACATGTTGACGTGCTCTAAATCTGCGAAGTGTCGATGTCCCCGAAAACAACGCTGCAACTTGAGGGCCCAAGACACTGCCAAAAATGATTCCAGTCAACGCCATGCGGGCCTTGGGTAATAGACTTCGCTGTCATAAGGTACATTTGTCGATAAAATTATTGTACGGTAGATGCGGGAGGCCAAATATAAGGTATAGGGACAAAGACAGCAAGGTCATTTTCCCTGGCGTGGGATGTTTTGCTCAATAAAGCTGTGAAAATTGCGACTCAAGGGACAGGAAGAATTGCAGTGGGCAAAAAGAATCGGTCGTACGATGTCGTTCCGTAGCCTGGCACTGCCTGGGTGTTTTGCCGCCGGTAGGCACGAGGCTGCCGGGTCACGTGCTGCGTTTTGGCCAATAAACGCTCCCTGATGGAGACCATGGAAATGCTGCACGGGTCGTCAGAAGCACAGAAGCACCCTTGGAACAGAACAAGTCGACCCAGGTCCGAACACCACTCACCTACGACGTCGCTCGCCGCATCGTGTCCCGCGCCGGAGACAAAAACGAGCACAGACACATCAACGAAGCGCCGGCCTTGCTGACGATCGATCCTTCTTTTACGCCCCCGATTTCCTAGAATTACACCGGACGCAGCAACCTTTTGTGAGTTTGTTCGACCCCTCTGTCAATTAGCCCGTGGCCCGTCCGCTCGCCCGCTGTCTCGTTCGCCAACCCTACCTTCCGCCGACCTGTTCTTGGTTTTCTATCTGGCAATGCCTTCCCATACTCGGCCCGCCTTTCCTCCCAGCCCTACAATTGCACCCCAGGATTTTTGCCCGACCCCTTCCGAATTCTATCGCGTCTTGGGGGGCCCATGCTTCCTGCAGCTTTGTCGCCTTTCCCGCCCACTGTTCCCCCGCACTACCGTGGTCAATCTGGAAACGTTCATGTCGACGTTGACATTGCCCGACACCCTACTACCCACCACCTGACCATCAAATACCGCACGCTACCTACGGAACCTACACAACCTCCGACGACAATAGGCTTACTTTGCTGTCCTCTAGTCCTCGCGCAGTTCCTTGAGCTGCGGCGGCTCTCTTTGATCTCGATTCATGCCCTCCACACCAACCTTTATTTTCTCCGAGACGCGGCACGCGAAACAAGATGAAAGGAAACCGCAATCCCCACCCGCCATCCTCCAGCGCCGCCCCTATTTCTCCCAACTCCAAGGGTACAGCCAAGTACACCAATAAGGACGGGTCGAAATTTATCACAGTACCTAAGATGAATACCCCGGTCGATTCCGCTCATCCGTCACCGACGGTCGCCTCGCCTTCGCCCGCCGCACAAGCCGCGACGCAGCCGATCCCCGACGACGAGCCTGCGCGCCCAGTGAATCGAAAGAAGCAGAAGCGACGCGCAAAGGCTGCGGCCAAGTTAGCTGCAGAACAGGCACAAAATGCCCCGGCCACGAACGGAATTCCCTCCCCACCCCGCACGAACGACCAGCAGTCCGCCGATGCTGATCTCGAAGACGACGAAGACGAACCGAGTGCGAGCCTGGGTCCCCAAGACCAACGTCATTACCAGGAAGGAGCTGCGCAACCTACACCGTCCGGGGCGTCCAAGAAACAGAAAAAGAAGAAAAAGAAAAATGCCTCTGCGGCACAGGGCGACGAGTTCCCAAACGACAACCAGTACGCGCAAAACGGGCAGAACCATCACCCTGCCTCTGTTCCTCCACCACCGCCGCCGCCGCCGATGGCAGGATCGCAGCAGGACCGACCGGGCATGTCTCGTGAGAAGATTTGGAACACCAACTCTCAAGAGGAGCGGGAGCGGATCAAGGAATTCTGGCTGGGGCTCAGCGAGACAGAGCGCAAATCACTGGTCAAGGTGGAGAAGGATGCCGTGCTGAAGAAGATGAAGGAGCAGCAGAAACATACGTGCAGTTGCACCGTGTGCGGGAGGAAGCGGACTGCGATAGAGGAAGAACTCGAGGGGCTGTATGACGCCTACTACGAGGAGTTAGAGCAGTACGCCAACCAACCGAACCAGGGTGACGGTCCCCCTATGTTGCGGCCCCGGAGATCGTTTGGGCCGATGGGCGGCATGCGGCCGCGCGGTCTCCACTCGCGCTTCTCCAACCATCAACCGTCTCGCGGGCGAATAATGGACGAATTGGGCGATGACGATGAGTTGGAAGAAGAGGAGGAGGACGAGGAAGAGGAGGAAGAGGAGGCGGAGATGGAGGACGAGGGCGAAGGGGAGGAGGAAGGCGAAGATATATATAGCGAGGACGAGCTCGAGGACGACATGTACAGCGATGCGGAACAGGAACCGTCGGAAGAGCTCCATCGATCCGACTACGCCGCCGATTTCTTCAACTTCGGGAATAGCCTGACCGTGCAGGGTATGGACCGACTTTCCATTCTTTCATCCTTCCTACACAGTTATCTTGCCTCCGGGGCTGGCAATAATGCTTATGGCTCATCTTCTTTAGGCGGCATCTTGACCGTGGCCGACGATCTGCTCAAGAACGACGGCAAGAAGTTCATCGAAATGATGGAGCAACTAGCCGAGCGTCGAATGGCCCGCGAAGAAGATGCAAGGGGCCAGTTTGATCAGGGCTACGACCACCCGAACGGTAACCGCTATGCCCACACTCACCCACCGCCTCCCGACGAGGAAGATTACGAGGACGAAGAAGAAGACTACGAGGAGGACGAGGAGGAAGAGTACGACAGCCAGGATGAAGAGGCAGGAAGCTTGGTGAGTTATAACGCCCCCTTTACCCTTCCTAGGAGAAGGGGCTCTTGTACTGATGTGGCGCGCACAGCAGGACCCCATGACAGAGGAGCAGCGCATGGAGGAAGGGCGCAGGATGTTCCAGATATTCGCCGCCCGGATGTTCGAACAACGGGTCCTCACAGCCTACCGTGAAAAGGTTGCTAGGGAGCGCCAAGCAAAACTACTCGAGGAGATTGAGGCCGAGAATCAGCAGGATGTCCAGCGAAAAGCCAAGAAGGCCAGGGATGCGCAACGGCGCAAAGACCGGCTCGCAAAGAAAAAGGAAGTGCAGGCCGAGGAGAAGGCCCGTAAGGAGGCCGAGAAGGCTGCCGAGGAAGCCGCTCGCAAAGCTGAGGAAGACCGCAAAGCCGAAGAGCAACGCGCTAGGGCTGAGGAGAAGCGCAAGAAGAAGGAAGCGCAACGGAAGGCGGAAGAGGAGGAGCGTCAGCGCAAGGAAGCCGAACGGATACGCAAGATCCAGGCCCGGGAAGAGAACGAGCGCAAAGCGCGCGAGGCTCGAGAACGGGAGAAGAAGGCCCGGGAAGAGGCCCGTCTGAAGGAGAAGGCGGCTCGCGAGCAACGGGAACGTAAAGATCGGGAGCGAAAAGAGCAGCAAGAACGTGAGAGGAAAGAGAAGGAGACCCGGGTGAAGGCCGAGCGGGAGGCCCAGGAGGCCAGGGAAAGGGAGGCCAAGGCAGCCAAGGAAACGAAAGAAAAAGCAGCCAGGGAAGCGAAGGAGGCTAAGGAGGCTAAGGAAAAGCGCAGGAAAGAAGAGAGGGCCGCGCACAAAGCCGCCACGCTTGCGGCCGCGGTTCCAGCGCCCGTTACCCTTCCAAAACGGCCTGCTGGTCAACAACAACAACAACAACAACAACAACCAGCTGCGCAACCCCAGGCTGCTGCGGTCCCTGCACTCCCACAACAGTCCACGTCGGTCGCCTCGCCCCAAATCTCCGTCGCGACGCCAGCGCTTCCGAAAGCACCAACGCCCATGCGGACGCGGCAGCTGTCCCAGCAAGATGAGTCTGTGGTCTCCGCGGGCGCGGCTTCGAACTCGGGCTCGGCTGCTAGTCAAAACCATTCTCCTCATCCTGTCACGCCCGTCCATGTAAGCCCCGGGGCAATAGGTCCTCTGGGCAAATCAGGGCCCCCAGCAGCTCCCGGATCGCAGAGCTCCATCCAACAACCACCACATTCCGCATCTCCAGTGAGCTTTCCCGCGAGGTCACTTCCTCCGCCGCCCAACGCTTTCGGCCTGCCTCCTCCAGGTACCGTCATGTCGTTCCCGCCAGGCCTGTCTCAGGGCCCACCTGGCTTTGGGAGTAATGCCATCCATCGCGAGCCTACTTTCCCGCCCATGCCCGGCTTCCGGCCAATGCCGGGTATGATGCCGATGCCTCCCGGGTTTGCTGGGCCTACGCCGAATCGTGGGTTCCCGATGCACCCGCCTCCAGGGTTCCACAGCGGCGCGATGGAATCCCCCGGGCCCAGCATGGCACAGGTTATGAGTCCGACCTTGCAGAAGGAAAGCACGTCTCCTCATTCTCGTCAGGGCTCGGGTAGCTTTGATGCGAGCGTGTCACAGCCCGTCGGTCGGCCTGCACCAATAGGAAGGCCAGGGAGCGTGGTCCAAGGGCAACGGCCCTCGAGCGGGTCGCCATCGGGTGGCCCCCCGAAGCCGGAACCAGAGGCTCACCTGGGCAGCCGGGCTCTGCTGGACGACCTAGATGATGCTCCGCAAGAGTTTTCGGGGCGTCTCTCCCGCGGTGGCTCTGCTCCTGGTCCCCGACCGGTGCCTGGGTTTCCCATTTCTCCGTTTGGGATGGACCCCATGTTCTCACATAACCCATGGGGGCCACCCGGTCCGGTCCAGCCCAACCCCTTTGCCCCGCTTCCTCCGCCCGGGTTTGGCCATAGCCCTCTCGGTGTCCACCCCCCAGTGAACCTACCGTGGGGCCACCCTATGCCCCCTGCATCAACCTTTGGAGCCCCGGGGGTTGTCGACCGGCCTATTGAGCCACGTTCCGTTGCCGTCCGAAAAATGCTCCGCCGAGCGTGCGAGGATCTCTCGAATGCGAACGCGAACGCCAATACCGACAGCAGCAATAACCCCCCGAACAGCACCGACAGCTTCATCCCGCTCGACCGCATCAAGACCCAGGTCGAGATGCTGAACCACGGTCTCCCTGTCGATGTGAAGGAACTGCTTGATATCTGCGAGACGGAAGGCAACGAGGTCAACGGCGGGGGTAGCTTTGACGTGCGCGATGAGCCACAAACCGATGGCAAGTCAATTCGGTTCGTCCCGGGTAACGAGCGGCCGATGGCCCAGCCGGCCCAGCTGGCTGTTGGTTACCACCCCGGGAGCCCCATTGGCGCCAGTGGTCAGCATCATGCGCCCGGCGGAAATGCGGGTAGTCCTCATGGCGGCACTCGCTAGGAATCGACGCCGGAGGAGCCTGGCCGCTCCCAGGATCGAAGACCACTCTAGTCGAGAGCCGTGGGCGCCGAACGGGAGAGAAGGCTCAATGCTATCCGGTCATCTGAGGGGCCAAGGGATGAAAGCCCGAGAGGTAGACGCTAGAGGAGTGCAATACCAAGAGGTGGGCTACCGAAGTTCCTGTGGGGTTTCTCTCCCTGTCTTACAGATGATGGGCCCTCCCAATGATACGCTTGATCAGAAAAACGTTCCGGAGTATCAACGGTGATAGCTCTTATGGGTACCGTACGTTATGGTATATCCTTCTTTCCCAGAGTAGCCTTTTGCATTGCCTTGCATTGTACCGAGAGTGGGTAAGAAGATCCAGGAACGGACAAGGAGAGAAGACCAAGTCAGCGGAGAGCGGACAGCGAAGAGGAGGATCGTCTGCCTACTTGCCTAGGTAGTATTTGTATGGGTCGAGTTGTCTTGTTGTTTTGTTGTTGTATGTACTGTTACTTATCGATTTGGGGAAAGGGACCTTGCCTTCTCAAGAAGAAGTAGGAGAAGAAAGCGAGCTTGGCAATGGAGGGATGGAAAGTGGTTTGGTCGAATCAGCGCAGCGCAGTATGGCAGAGCACAGCATCAGCGTGTGCCAGCGGTAGCAGCAGCAATAGCAGTAGCAGCGGCAGCAGCGGCTATGCAATATGTCATAGCGAGCATGGAGCCGGCGAGTTGATGCAGCTGAGCAAGTGCGTGCGTGTCGACTGCGTTTTAGGAGAATCGATTCAAACTCAGCAATTTCGGTCTAGGTGGTCGGTGATGAGTGAACGTGTTGATGTTTGTTGGTTGGGTATCCGCTGCGTATGTTGCTCAGTTCACCATGACTACACCCACGGGCCTGACGGGCAACAATCGAGAGTGAACAGGTTGGTTGAGGCGTTAGATTCCCAACTTTTGGTCCGGCAACAGAACACAGCGACTCCTCGCGGGGGTAACACCGAATTATTATCAGCTAGGAGGGAAATATCTCATCTCATACGATACCATCCCATCTCGTATCATGTCTTCCTGTGCCACCTCATCACATCTAGCTGAGCTAGTCCAGGTAGAACATGCAAGCATATGCCTGCTCTAAGAAATAAGCAACTTTAGCACCGACTCCGGCTGATTTGTTCCTAGCTACTTCCATAGGGCTTGTCCGTCATTACAGGAACCATAACGGCCAAGGCAAAGGATTTATTCGCTTGCTGTGCGGTTCGTGGCCGATGCAAAACACTAAGCGCCACGTTGCTCTCCACACGTTTTCCGCCCGTCAACCCAAATATCGAACCAAATATTGGGATAAAAAAAGAAAACAAATCCGTAGATTACCCAACAAAGTATTGACCCGACAGCACAGACACACACATACACACACACAAAAGACATACCACGACAAGGGTAGGGAGACAACAAGCACCTCTCCTAGTGGAAATGATTCTTCCTGGCTTGCCAACAATTGTTTCCTTTCTGTTTGTTTCTAGACCCTTCTCTCCCTCTTTTCTCGTTCTCCGCTCACTTTCCCTTCCAAACCCTATAGTGTGATATCAGGAAGAAAAGAAAGCAAATCGCGCCCTATCAGCTAGCCAGTCCGACTGTGGCGTAACGTCCGTCTATAACCCGCTCACATCTTCCTTACATCAATCAATCACAACCCTCACCACCTTGAATTTCCCTGTCTTCGACTTATCTCGCGCCCCATATCACTCACCCACTCGCTCACCCAGTCACTCCAGCAAGTCCACCTCACCTCATCGGGTGACCATCATGGCCACCATCGCTAAACGGGTTCCCGCCCTGCAGTCCCGGTGAGGGCGGACCACCGTGCGGCACACCCTGCGACATCAACGGCTGGCCCTCGACAGCCGGCCCAGACACGCCACCCGTGACGCTCTGTCCGGCGCGCTTCCCGGCCACGGTGGCCTGGGTCTTAGCCTCCTTGGCAATACGGGCGGCTTCGGCAGCGCGCTCGATGCGGCGGTGTTCGCTGCGCTCGCGGCAGCACATGAAGCAGATGGCGATGATGGAAACCGCAATGGCGCCGGCGAAGATGGCCGAGATAATGATGCCGTCGAGGCCGAGGGAGGAGTTCTTCCACATGCAGGATGGGTTGCCTTGCGCGTCGGACTTGCAGATGACGCCGTCGCGGCACCTGGGAGTGGCCATGACGGCGAGGAAGCAGGAGAGCTTCTTGCCGGCGTCGGTGCCGGTGGATTGGGTCGGGCACGAGGTGAATTCGGTGGTGGTATCGGTGAAGCACGGGGACGGCGAGGCCGGCCTGCCGGTGGTCGTGGCCGTGTCTTGTCGGGCCGCAAGGCTGACCACGCCGGGGGTCTCGCGCGGCAGCTGCATGGCAGCGGTAACACGGGCAAGAAGGGCGTGGAATGGCTCCTTGGCCCCTTTGTCGGGCTGGTCGCTGCCATTGTCGCTGCTATCCTCCGAGCCGAACTGGCGACGGCCGCGGCGCAGGTCGGCCGGGACAGCGCTGGTGGTGTCGCAGCGCTGGAACACCTGGACGGCTTCGATCCGCGACTCGTCGACGGTGCAGCCGGCCGAGACGAAGCAGCGCTCAAGCTCGCCCGATAGGGAGTCTGATTGCGTGGTCAGGGGCAGGTGTGAGAAGCAGTAGTTCAGCGAGCCCTCGTCACCGCACGCGGCGTACGAGGCGAGCTCGAGGCTGCGAGTGTGCAGGCATTCTAGACGGCTGGCGGATGTGAGGGTGGCCGAGGCCAGGAAAAGCGAGGCGAGGATGGTGTCGCGCATGGTGGCGGTGGTGGTATGGAGTTATTCCCTGGGATATGTGGTGTATCTGCAAGCCGACTTTCCCGATTTGTTTGGATTCGCTTCGTCGACTGGTTGTCCTGGGCTAGGTATTCCCTGATTCCCCCGTAAATTGTCCCAAGTTCCGGGTCCCTGCAGATCGACGAATCGTGCTTCTTGAAGGCAAGGCTTCCGGCCGTTGAACGGTGATCGAGTGCCGCTCGCCTCTCAAATGCCCCGTTTTTGCCGATAGAATATTCGGTTCTTTTTTCAACGGTTGTCGGCACGTAGCTGGAACCGCGAATACTTCATTCAGTCTAGGGAAGTTGCAGCACAGGAAGATCCCGTGAAGGGAAGAGCGCGGACCGCGTCGAGATGTTGCCGTTCCTCACTGAATTACAGAGCAGAGGGGGGGAAAGAAGGGATTGGGAAGAGCCCAACTTTTAATGAGCTGGGTTTCCGCACCTGGCCTCCTTTTTTTCGAGTGCCCCAGTCGTGCACCGCACTCCTCACTCAGCCCAAGCCCCTGCCTGGACTGGTCGGAGCGGGGGCCAGTTGACAAGCATTGCATTTTCCAGCATAACGGGAAGGAGTGGGCTGGGCACAATTGGCCTGTGAGGCTGCGCTTGATGATGGCACCCCAAAGCCGAAAAGTTTGGGCCCCCGAACCCCAGGGTCCAAACAGGGGGTATGGGAAATCAGCTTAAACTCTTGGCGAGTCCGTGTTCTGGACCCACCTGTCATCCTGTGGCAGCCAATAGTGCCACGCTGGTCAGACAAGTTGTGGCGCATCCCTGTTCCTCTCAGTGGGGACTTCATTGCGATGCAGATTTCGACACCCAGTGCCGGCGCCGCTCAGCCCAGTCGTGCGGCTGGTGGCAGCTGCGTGCTGCAACGGTGCCTAGCCTCCATTTCCCCTCGTGCTATGTATGGAATCCTCATCTTTTCTTCGACATGAGGACGGGCAACAAGTCTCAGAAGGAGAGTGTTCTCCATCTTATATCATATTGAAAAGAAGAACGGGCTCTGATCTCACTTCCCCATAGATAGTTAGTGGAGTTTTGATTCTCGACACTCGGCACTCAAAATATCCCGAGCTCTCGCATTCAGACGGTGCTGCGCCTTGTGGGGATCTGCAAAAATCATGCCGACCTCCGGCTCGAGAAAACTCCCCACAAAAGGAACAGGAGAGGAGGCCAGTCAAACACCAGAACGTTACTCAAACCTCGAAGACAACCAAACTCGAAGGTTTTGTTGCCGGCACAGAATATCCGAGGATTTTCTTCACATCAGGATTCTCCCAACGCTCACCTGATCTTTTCCCCGTTCTGTTCTCCAGACTCACCGCTTGTCATCCCTCAAAATTCCTCGCTGGCAGCTCGTCGCACTGTGAGTCGTGCAAACGCAACGGGCTCGCAGCCCGATGAAACGAAAGTGTGTTGGCAAGCTTTCTTTCTTCCAACCGGCAGCAGACGTGTTGGTTCCCGTTGCAGGAATCGTCTGCAGTTTGCCCTCCCCCACCTTGTGAAGCGGGGGAAGTTGAACAGGAACGACGGAACCACTTCAACGCGCTCTCGTCGGGCAGGTTGGTGTTCTCTAACCGGCTGTGAGCATCTGTCAGGCTTGTTGTTGATTCCAAAGACAACTCGCCAAACTTACTGTGTACTACACCGTATGTAGGAGTTTGGCTGTGATTCAGGGAAGGGAACCAATTCTCACCAACCAGTTGAAGCAAAGGATAACTAACCACTAACCCCAACCCTCTGATACTCCTCGAGACCACGCCAAGTTTCCTTTTTGGCCACATTCACTCTCCCTCTGGTAATACAAAGTATCTAATATGAGTAGGAGTGTGTATCATTCCTTCTCATTCCCATTTCCCCCTTTCACCAGCAAAAGGAACAGCTAGCCATCACATTTTCAGCAGGAATGTGTCATGCTAGTGCCAACAAAGAATGCTTTCATTTCTAACAACCGGGTATCACGACATCATTTTCATCCTCACAATACACAAACACCGCCAACTAATAACACAGCAACCCCCCAACTCGCACCTCGCAGACAGCACACCACTGTGCCGACCACGCCTTCACCCAGCCTCCTTTGCTTCAGAGCTTGTACTTTTGCCGGCTTGTTTTTTCGCCGTAGGCTCTTGATATCCGGCGGTCTCACTCTCAGGGCTCGCGGCCCCAGGGGTTGTATCAGGACTTGGGTCTGGGCTGGGGCCGTGATTCCTACTCTTCACGGGATCCCGATCGATCAACCTTTCCCGATCGTCGCTTCGTGCGGCAGCCTCGCGTCTAGCCACCGCTTGGCACTGAACACTATATAAGCGCGAAGTCAGTCAGTGGACTTGGTTTTGATGATGTCGTCCGGGGGGGTGGCCGTACCAAGGAGATACCCGAGGATGGTAGGCGTCGTGTATTTCGCACTTGACAAAGTGCGCTCGCTGGATGCACCGTCGCTTGACCTTTCCCCGGCAGTATGGGCTGGGAAGCTATGTTAACGAAAGTGTCATTTGAGGCATAGGTGAGGTTACTACAAACCAGTGGTGCTTGGTGAACGAGGGGTTTGGGCCTCTCATTTTTTTTGGCTTGTGATTCTTTTTGCGGGTGTGTAAACGAACGCCGAGAATGAGGTAGTTCTGTTTTCGGCTCTATATTGTGGCGAGGGGAGGGAGGGAAAGAGGTGCAGGTTGAAGTGCCTGTTGGGACATGGGAATGGTTCTAAGAGTGTTACTCTTATTTGAAAAGGCAGGTGGGAAACTGAACAATCAAAAACCAGTCGGGACTGTGATGTGGTCGAAGCGCCTCGGAGTAGGGTGCTGGTGAACACGCAGGCCTCCTGCTCGCAAGTGTTATAACAACAGTGTGAACAGTTGGGGTTTTCAGCTAAGCGCCCAGCAGGTGGTGAGAAAGGCGGCCAAGGAATGGATAAGACAAGAGCACCACCAAAATTAGGACACTCATTCTAGTTGGGATGGAATCCGTGTGGTATAATATGTAGTCTATGTCGATATGGACCTTACCATGGTGATCTGTACCTGTGTGTCTTTGCATCCGCCGCTGTCCATAGTTCATACATGATACTTGCAGGTGCGTTTGGTTCTCCATCGTTCTCCGATAGACACTAGGTACCTTGTATTTGCTTGACAGGTAATGTATGTGTTTGAACCTTGGTCTTGTGATAAAATTTTAAGAGACAAGTAGCCACCGAAAAATAACTTAGCGCTGAATAAAACTCCGACAAATTTTCATTGAGTCTTGCTCGGTACGGTTTAGGAAGGGAGGGTAAGAACTTCCAATTCAAATCACAGATTCTGGCAGCAAGTTTGGTTGTAGAATTCGGAAGAAGAAAGAAGAAAGGTAAGAAGTAGAGTAAAACGTTGATCGAAGATCAGGCTTGGTTCAAGTCTATATCGAGGATGCCGCTTGATGAGGTGCGGTGGGTATACTTGAACATTCAAAGCATTGTTGTGGTGTTAGACCTCATATTAGGGGATTTTGGGTGTGAGAGCCAGAATGTCCCGTAAAGTTGCCCTGTGATTAGAGTAGGCATATATCACAGACGCGTCGTAAGTGTTGAGGTGTCTTGCAAACAACTGGTTGTGGATGTGCTGGCTGGTGTGTTGTAGATAATGAAGGAAATGACAAAACAAGTCATAAAATCAAATGGTTTCGTGGTGTAGTTGGTTATCACGTCAGTCTAACACACTGAAGGTCTCCAGTTCGAACCTGGACGAAATCATCTCTTTGCTTTTGCACCTCCCTCTAAGGGTGAAGCATCCTGTCTTATACTTTTTCTTTCAACATGTTTGTAACCATGGGTTGTCTGGTTGGAAGTCATGAACTGTTTGCTCAATGATATGAATGATCCGACACGCACGGATAGCATCGGGGCGCGTGGCCGGGAGGTCGCGGCATTGATGTGGCTGTGTTTGGCTAGCTCGACCTACGTCATCGGAACAACCACTCGCCCAAACCTCGACTATTAAACAACCCTTGAAGGCCGCCCTCCATCAAAACTGATATGCACATTGGTCTCAGAAACCCCTACATAACACGCATTCCAATTTTCTTCCCACGCAATATCAGCACATCACCAATTCGGTTTCGCAAGTACCCATCAAAGATGCCTCTCGTCGTTCCAGGAGTTACCGCCGACAATATGGGCGACGACAGGATTCAGGAGTGGATGAACAAGCTTGCGGGAAAGAAAATCTCTGAAGGACCAACCTCTGAGACGGTTCGTTGACCTCCACCACCCCTCCTTCTCCTTGACGTATCGGAAACTGTTGCTGACAGGTATCGCTTTTAGACTTTCTGTAAGACCGACCTCCCTGAAGAAAGCCGGGTTATTGAACCAGGTGCGGTGGTGACCAGGGACTTCAAGCCAGACAGACTCAACGTGCATGTCAAGGAGGATGGGACCGTCTCTCACGTTTCTCACGGTTAAAGAGGAGGGGTTGGAGAGACAAAGCGGGGTTGAGGAATAGAATCAAGCGCTGGCTTGCCTCACAAATATATGTATAGAGGATATATAATATCTTCCTTTTGGACCTAAAATATGACTTAATATAAGCCTCAAATTTCTCAAGTTCGTTTTCCAAAAGATATCAAGATCTTTCTGTTGCGCTGTTGGGCTCCCTCGCCGCGACAGCTTGCACGCGGCCAGCAAACAAGCGGGCCGCTGAACACCCCACCAAAAGCTTGGCAGACACCCCACCATGTTTCTTCCCCTCCATTGAAGAACAACAATCGCGGGGCACCTCACACGACAGCGCGACGGACCAGACCACTGCCCGTGACAAACCAATTCCCGTTTTAGTGCTACCCATTGAATTAAAGAGCAGCGCGCGTTGCTGCCACCACTTCCACCATGTTCAAGAAAGAGTACGATTTAACCTCACCCTCCCCTGCCCATCTGTCCCCGAGAAATGCAACCAAGATGGCAGCCCCTTTCTTCCCGAATTTCAGCTAACAACTAGCAAAAACCAAAGTCTCCACGGCTCGCCAAAACAAAAACTCAAATCCTCCATCCAGCGTTCAATCCGGCAGTCCATCCTCACGACCTACCCTCTCCTAACCCCGCACATCGACGAGGTGCTGCCCAAGAAGGGCTCCCTCGAGCAGATCAAGCTGCCCGACCGCGTGCTGCTGTACGTGATCGAGGGCCACCCACTCGTATACCAGCAGGACAACAATGGCGTGCTGCTCCCGCATTTGCGCCTGGTGCACCGGTTCCCGCAGTGCTTCCCCACTATACGTATCGACCGCGGCGCTATTCGGTTTGTGCTGTCTGGCGCCACGCTGATGGCGCCTGGGCTGACGAGTAAGGGCGGGCGGTTGCCGATTCCGGTAGATCGGGATGCTGTGGCGGCCGCGGCTGGGGGTGGGAACGAGGCGAAAAAGGCGAGTGATGGGGGAGATGATGAGGGGGAGGGGAAGGAAGAGGAGGGTGCTAAGGTGCCAAATGAGGGCCCAGATGAGGAGGGGCATTGGAGCCGGGAATTGGAGAAGGGAGAGCCGGTAGTGATTATGGCTGAGGGGAAGGAGGAAGCTGCGGCTGTGGGCGTGTTGGTGATGGGGACGAAGGATATCAAGGAGAAAGGGAAGGGGCCGGTGGTGGAGGAAGCACATTTCCTTGGGGATGGGCTGTGGCGGTTGAACATAGACTAGAGAGTTTTACTGTAGGGGAGACGATGGATGATACTTTGAGGGGATAGAGAATCTGTATCTACCGCATAGCCAGCAACCAGGAAGTGAGGCTTGGTGTTTGATTTAATCACTCAACCTGATGCTTGCGAATGTATGCCTCAAGCCAAAGGGAGAATGTAACGGTGGGCGTATCACTTAGTGGGCTATTTTGGGAGTTGTTTGGTTCTCTTACCGCATATCCCCGTGATAGTACGCTAAGTCCCCTGAGAAGTCCCATTCTCCGGAATGTCTTCCCCAATGACTCCGAGAATAATATCAAGAAAACAGCCGCCCTTGCCGCCGTAATGAGAGTTGGGACACTTTGTGTCATGACAGGGTTAGGGTTAAGTATGCACTGCGACCCCGCGAGCCCAATTCATGATGACGCAGTGCGGGCCCGAGCTTGACGCCCAAGCTAGGCCCCACCTAGGCGCCAAGGCCCGGTCCAGCCCCTCCCATCCCCCTCTTGGTCTCCCCACGATCGCCGAGCAGCCAATGCGCAGCTTCCCAACTAACAACCTCTTTTTTAAGTTCCATTTCTTTTCCCTCGAGACTAACCGGAATTTCATTCCTTTGACACACAATACATTGATTCCATCACTTACCTCAACACCTACTACTCATAGGTCACGATAACCGCAACCATGGCCTCGAGGGGCGTTTCGGTGCTCAAATTCGTCGGCACCGTGTCGCTCGGTGTCATGACGGTGTGTGCTTGCTTTTCTTTACCTGACTTTGTGTTGGGCTTTCCTCTCTCCTTCCGCAGCTTCCATCGCCGTGTCTGTGGCAAGTGGAAGACGGGCCTGCTGGCCTACCGGACTGCTAGACCAATCGTTCTCCATCACTCCGCTTGTTACATAGTATATCCATTGTGAACGCCAAGCTAACTGAACAACCATAACAGGGCCTCTCCTACACCCTCTCTTCCCTTACCATCCCGGCCCTGTTAACCCTTCCCTCCGCCGGCTCCGCCGCGCGCGCCTTCGACTCTCTGACCAGCACCGCGACGCAACATCTGCGCTCGCTTGCCGCCTTGTCCTCGACCGCCTTCATCCTCGCCTACAGCCTCTCACCGCGCCCACTGCGCCACCCATATTTGTTGTACGTCTCGGCCCTCGTCCTCGGTAGCCAGATCGCCGCCACCGACCTTGCCGCGCCCTACTTGGTCTCTCTCGGCCCCGTACGCACTTCTGCGGCCGGTAGCTCGTCAGCGGCTGCGAGCAAGAAGCAGAAGGAGAAGGAGAAGCGTGCTGCCGCTCGGGCACGCATGGAGGCGAGCTATGAGGTGCTTGGCGCTCCTACTTCGGATGCCCACAGTGAGGGCAGTGCCGGAGAGGACGTTGAGGAAGGCGAGGTGAACGGGGAGGAAGTCCGCGCCGACGTGGAGGTATTCCTCAAGAAGCAGGTCGTGCAGAGTGCGCTTGCTGGGCTGGGCTTCTTACTCTCCGTTGTGGGGATCTGGGGCGACGGTGTCAGCCCGGTATACGGACAGGCTGTATTTGTTGACGTTTAAGGTAGGGCGGAGGAGGAGAACATGGTGGACGATTGGTTTTGGTCTTGCTTTAGGATTTGGGAACATACGAGGTGGTGTTGAGGAGCTATTTTGGTTCGGGCGGGATCACACCCCCTCCACTCTCTTTCATCTAGCCCTGCACAATATCTGGAGCATAAGGGAATCGACTTTTTTGCACGAGACTGTAAAATTACTATGGGAGAATTGGAGTCGGTGTTCTGGTTTTGTCTCAATGCCTTGCTCATCTGCAACATGGTGAATCCTTCATTTGTGCTGGGGCCAAGCTGAACTGGGTAAGCTGTTGCGCTATATTCTTTGTATGCATTCCGATTCTTGAATGCCCGACATGTTGACTGCAGACACTTAGGATTACACGCGCAGGAGCGCATCCCAGGTGTTCCTAGCCGCCTCGTCCCTGTGACCCTCTCCCGCTTTCCGAACATGGCCAAAAAGTATGGAAGGGAGGAGCTATCCAACAAGGCTTTAACAGTCCCTCTGTTTACCACCGACTCCTCTGAGTTGAATCCATTCTCTCCCTCTTATGCAGCATCCTTTCTTCTGGCATGTCCGTATTATTGGGCGTGAGCCGTACATTCGTTTAGCCCAGACGCTCCGTTTCATTTCTCCGGATATCACTCTCAATCCACACCACCAGCAGATTTGAGACGGTGTGCTATATCTCCGTCTCCCCGACGTGGCCCCATCCTTCTACGCACCCCCCCAACGAGTTTGACGGCTCAACCGTCAACATGTCTCGAGTAAGATGGACCACGCGGTGCCGCAGGCGACTCCGCAAACTCCGTCGTCGCCTCTTCCGCAGGCGCAAAGGGGGCCAGCAAGAAGAGGAAGAAGAAGACGACACCGGGGTAACCGAGGTATGCACCCCCGGGATCCCACCACACTCAGAGTCGTCGCCATCGCCACCACCGGTGGGCGCGGCACCCACATCGACGACCCCTAGTGTTCCAATCCTCAGTAAGCACGGCCGCCCACCATCCAACTTCTTCCCACCATGCCGCTTATACCAAAACCTTCGCCAACCTGCAGGCGAGGAGACTTCGTCGCACACCGGGCCCCAGGGCCTCCCCGTTCCGCCTTCAGGAACGGCTGCATCGAGGGGTAGACTCTTCAGGCTACCGAGCATCTTCAGCAGACGGTCAGGCCCCGGGACACCTGCTGGGCAACCTAGGAAGCTCACCAAGCCTCAACCCAAGGACAACAACGAAGGGGAGAACGTGACTGCACCGCAGAGCCAAGCATACCAGTCTCTCCTAGACCCGCCTGCTCCGCAGAGACAAGCACAGCCGTCTGCTCAAGGTCCGCCTGTACCGCAGAGTCAAGCATATCAGTCTCTCCTGGACCCACCTGCTCCGCAGAGTCAAGCACAGCCATCTCCTCCAAATCCGCCTGCACCACAGGTCCAGGCATACCAGTCTCTGCTGGAACCACCTGTTCCGCAGAGTCAAGTACAGCCGTTTCCTCTAAATCCGCCTGTACCGCAGGGCCAGGCATATCAATCTCTCCTAGACCAGCCGACTACCCAGAGCCAAGCACAGCCGTCTCCTGTGGATCCGCCTCAATCGGGGAACCAAGGCGAAGGGAAGAGTGCAGTTGTATCGCAGAGCCAGGCAAGTCAGTCTCTCACAGGCCCATCTATATCACAGACCGAGTTATATAAGTTTCTCACATCCCCGGCTGAGCCGCAGACCCAGAACCAAGCACCTGAGTTTCCCGCCGACGAGTCTCCCGCCGACCCAGACTCTTCTGATTCGTAGAACCACGCAGATCAGTCTGCCAAAGACTCGCATGGATCGTCGTCGGAACACCCCGAGGAATCCGATGGCCTAGCTGCGCTGGACCCACCCCCGCCGATGCAGAGGCCGCGTTGTCCAAGGTGTAGAATGAGCTACAATAGGAGGAGGGGGCATGTATGTATGTATGGACCTCTAATTGCCGCGGTAAATGCAAGCGGGAGCGGGAGTGGAGGTGGGAACAAGAATACGGTGGTGACTGGCCCCGGCGGCACACAGGGAGGAACACAGAACCAGGCTGGCCTCGAAGGCGGCAGTGGGGATGGGAACGAGAATGTGTTGGTGTTTAACTGGAGGGTGAGCGCCGTACAGGGGGGGGGGACACAGGAAGGCGGGACCCAGGCTGGGCCGAGCAGTACTCAGGGAGAAACGGGGACTCAAGCTGGGGTAGAAGGCGGCGGACTACGACCACCCGAGGACCCAGAGTACGACAGCGCTTCCGTTTATAGCAGCGAATCACATGAGGAACATCGTCATGAACGGGCGTCCACCAACCACACCCTTTACTTTGAGGCGGGCAAAGAACTATTTAAACAGTACTCGGCTGAGAATGGAGGGCCCAAGTAATGAGCTATCCTCGAGTCGTTGGCCTGGCGCCTGGTGGGTTTTGTGGTTCAAAGAAGGAAAAGAAAAAGGTTACATGATTGTCGAAGATCGAACTCATTAGAGTAGCTTCAGCGGATTATAGATCATAAGCATATTTCCTTTCAGCGAGCAAATTTGTTCTGTGCCTTTCGCGGACTGTTCAACGCTTCGTTTAATTCATAACTCTAACTTGGGGTGAATATGCACAGCTTCCAGACACAAACAGAACATGCATCTAGGGTGATGATCAAAGGGACAGCCTGTTGATATGTGCGGAGTAGATGGGTCTGCAACTCAAGATTGTGCGCATGTCTTTAAAATAGGTCTAAAACATGAATTTTGTTGTCTCATACATGCGGTTCAAAGAAGAAAAAAGAAATTAAACTCAGGAAATTGAAATGATTTGAAGAAAGATGAAGCTCAATACATTCATTGAACACACACCAATGCTGCTGTAGAGAAAGAAGGTTGAGTGCAGGGCTGTGAAAATATTCCCCAGTTGCACCAAAGGCGCTACAGGAAAACACCAAACCTAACCCGCAGAGCTCAAGCGAATGTTGTCAACTCCGCTGCAGTGCATTGTACCTTCCCGCTCGCCATTACGGCAATTCCCGCTCACCAACTCCAACAAAGACACAAAGGCAAGATGGCCGAGCGGTCTAAGGCGCTGTCTTCAGGTTTGGAAACAAACTTGGCAGTCCGAAAGGGCGTGGGTTCGAATCCCACTCTTGTCAGAATCTTTTGCTGTTTTCTTTTGACTTTTTTTGGTGGAGGAGGGGGGTATTTGGGCTGGGGTTGGTCAAGGTTAGTTAGCGTGGGCGGGTATGGAGGTAGAGGTGGGTTGAGCTGGTGGGGCGATTGATGGTAGGATTGAGCTGTCTGTCCGTGGGGAGTGCAATGCTAAAACATATGACCTCGACCCGATGGAGTTTGTGGTTGATGGCAGGAGGTTGTGTGGTGATGCTGGTGTTGGATAATGGTGGCGTAAAAAGGGGGTCTAGGGAGTATGGATGATGTTGAAGTCACTGGCAAACACGTTTTAACTACTTTACTCTTTGGTAACGCTGGCATATCCCAGCCATCATCTTGTTGTAAGTCGTTTTACGTAGCACATACCAACCACATATACAGTATGTGGTCGATGCCGCAAGCCATCTCGATGACACCCCAATTCCAAGCCTCCGCAGTCTTAGGAACCTCTAGAGTGCGAACAACATTCTTTCCCCAAACTCGTCTGAACTTACACTGCAAGCTTAGGTCACAAAGTTTCAGAGAGTAAAGCCCATCCTGACTCTCCAAACTCTGGGCTTCGTGTGGCGGGCTTGAGCGCAGCTTGCCACCACTGAGGACTGACTCGTGCCGGGTCTGAGCAGTTGGCAAACAACTCGAGTTGGGAGAGCAGGAGAGGTATTAAACCGCAACCTCGAGTTTGAACGGGAGATAGACTTCCAGCTCGAGGAAGGATTGGTGGCTTTTTGGCAACTGCTTCGGCCATTTTCGTGGTTTTATACACCGTTCTCCAAAGCTCTCGTTCAGTTTCCAGCAACAGCCCTCACTTACCTTACACTCACAACATACTCGCGATGGGCTTGAAAGTTGCGTCGTTGATTCTGCTATCGGTGATTTCGACTGTTTCAGGCCTGGATCACCACCGGCGCTGGCCATTTACCGCCCGCCATCGCGCTCACACAGCTCGTCAAAATGATCAAGCAGGCCAGAACCAGGGGCAGACGACGTCCTCTCCGTTTCTGAATGATCGTTCAAAAGGTAAGACCAATTTCCTACCTTAAAGGACCAAAAGCCAAGATGAATACTCACCGACCCCCCCAGAATTCGCCGTCAACGGCACATCCATCCCCCTGGTCGGTTTCGACGTAGGCGAGTCCTACGCCGGCTCCCTCCCCATCGGCCCCACCAACCCCTCCAACGACCTCTTCTTCTGGTTCTTCCCCTCCACCAACCCGACCGCCCAAACCAACAAAGAAATCCTCATCTACCTCACCGGCGGGCCTGGCTGTTCCTCCATGGGCGAACTCCTCCAGCTCAACGGTCCCCTCTCCTGGCAACCGGGCACGCTGCAGCCGATCCCCAACGCGTGGAGTTGGCATCGGTTGACGAATGTGGTGTGGATTGATCAGCCGGTGGGCACGGGGTTTGTTAGGGAGGGGGTGAAGGCGACGGCGATGGATGATGAGGATGTGGCGGAGCAGTTTTTGGGGTTTTGGGAGAATTTTGTGGAGGTGTTTGCGCTGCAGGGGTTTAAGGTGTTTGTGACGGCGTCGTCGTATGGGGGGATGTATGCGCCGTTTATCTCGAGTGCGATGTTGGATCGGGGGGATAAGACGGTGTTTGATGTGAAGGGGATGGCGGTTTGGGATGGGCTGATGAGCAAGATCCCGTTGACGGAGGATGTGCCGGCGGCGAGGTTTGTGGAGAAATGGAAGACGGCGTTGCCGTTGAATGATACGTTTCGCGCGGGGGTTCAGGCGATTGACCAGCAGTGCGGGTATTCGGCGTATTTGGATGAGTTTTTGGTGTTTCCGCCGAAGGGACCGCAGCCGGCGACGTTGCCGGGGGAGAACCCGGTGACTGGGCTGGCGCGGCCGGAGTGTGCGTTGTACATTGGTGTCTTTTTGGCCGCGCGGGAGGTGAATCCGTGTTTGAACGCTTTCGACATCACCTCCCGGTGCCCTATCCTGTTCGGTGAGTACATACCATACCGACTTACCCTTAACCCCAAACGAACAAACCACAAATTAATTCCCTTCTCCCTCTCAGACCCCATCGGATTCTCCAGCGGCACCCTCGCCATCGCCCCGGGCTTCCCAACCCCCTACTTCGACCTCCCGGCCGTCAAAGCCGCCTTGCACGCCGACCCCAACACAACCTGGACTTTCTGCCGAGACCCCGCCGCCAACCCCGTCTTCGCGCCCATCCCCGGCACGCAAGGCCCAGGCGTCGACCTCTCCCTCAACCGCGGCCCGGGCAGCCAAGCCGTGATCCCGCGCGTGATCGATGCCACGCAGAACGTCATCCTCGGCCATGGCGCGCGGGACTTTTTGGTGCTACCCGATGCCACGTTGTTGACCATCCAGAACCTAACCTGGCAGGGCCAGCTGGGATTCCAAGCGCAACCGACGGAACCGCTGTTCGTGCCGTATTTTAGCGGGAATGGAGGTGGTGATCGAGCGGCGCTGGGGTCGGTGGTGGTTGCAGGGAGCGGGGTGGTTGGGACGAGTCATAGGGAACGGGGCCTGACGTTTTTTGAGGCGGCGCTGTCGGGGCATTTGGTTGCGCAGGACCAGCCGGCTGTGGCGTTTCGGATGGTGGAGGTGTTGTTGGGGAGGGTGGAGGGGTTTGAGAGTACGGAGCCGTTTACGGTGGATGTTAGTGCTGGTGTTGGGGGTGGGCAGCTAGCACCGCAACCGGCGCAAGCAGCGCAGCCTCAAGAGCAGCCGCAGGGACCGCAGCAGCCGATGCCGGGGACGTTGGGGTTGGGGACGGTGAAGGTTGGGGGGACGGTTGGGTATGGGTATACGGGGTGGAAGGGGATCAATGGCTCCGGGTATGGAGGGGGGGATCTGGGCGGTGTTGTGTAGGGGAAAGTTGTGAATATCAAGGAGGGTTGGTGTATACGGGACGAGTTGATGTGGGATGACTAGACCTCGTTAAGCTTGACTCACGTATTTCTCCAATATTACCGCTTGTTCAATGTTCGAATACATAGTCCAAGTACCTCAACGTCGAGTTGATTAACAATTTGGGGTTTTGTAAACTTATGAAATTCAAAGAATAAAACGAGAGAATAGAAGATCGAAACATATTGCCCAGACATCCCTGTCGATAGGGCACGTGCATCATCTTGGCAGCAGATCTGGACCCTGAACCCTGCAACCCTGAGCGCAGCAGCGCAGCCGAGCGCAACCCTGAATCGGCGGGCCGGCCCCAGGGAAATCGTCCTCAAAACTCCGCGGCAGAAACCATCACAGGCTCACTTACCTTGTTACGTGCATGCTTTAAATGCGCCCTGCAGCCATGACCGTTGAGGTCCGGTCTTTCCGTCTGAATTCCACGTCATCACTCTTTCCAGGTTCTGCCTCATCTGCGCTTTCCGCATAAAACCGCAGTCCTGATGCAGCCCACGTTGCACCCCGCGCTGCCCCTCCTCCGGCATGCCGTGCGCCCCTCCATTGGAATTGTCAACACCGCTTTAACGTCTTTGCGCTCGCGTGCGTTTGTATCACTGCCAAAAACAGAAACAAGTAGTGTCGGCATCTTCCGGAATTGCTCCTCCCGCGCTCAACACCACCAACGTATCCAACTACATCAACAAAACCAACAACCCCCCTCCCGCACAATGGCCACTGCCTGCTCCTCCTCCTCCCCATCCCGCGGAGGTGGGAACGGTTTGGAAAAACTCCCCAACTCCTCCATCCGCGTCCTCCGCACAGTCCCCTCCCTCCGCCGCTGGCGCCGCCCCCACACCATCGACCAACGCACCGTCGCTCTGGTCCCGACCATGGGCGCCCTCCACGCGGGGCACCTCTCCCTCATCCGCGCCGCCGCCCGCGCCAACCACCACGTCGTAGTCTCCATATACGTCAACCCGGCACAGTTCGGCGTGCGCGAGGACTTGGCTTCGTACCCGGTTACTTGGGAAGCCGACGCTGCCGCGTTGGTGAAGCTGGATAGGGAACTGGCGGATGATGGAGAGAATCTGGGGCGGATTAGCGCGGTGTTTGTTCCGGGCACGGGGGAGATGTACCCCGCGGGGTTTCCGGGGCAGGAGGTGGGGAGTAAGGGGAGTTTTGTGACGATTACGCCGGTGGGGGAGTTGTTGGAGGGGAGGACGCGGCCGACGTTTTTTCGGGGGGTCGCGACGGTGTGTATGAAGTTGTTTAATATTGTGCAGCCGGAGAAGGTGTATTTTGGGCAGAAGGATGTGCAGCAGACGGTGGTGATTCGGAGTTTGTTGAGGGACTTTATGTTGCCGATTGAGTTGGTCGTGGAACCGACGACAAGGGCAGAGGATGGGTTGGCGTTGAGCTCGAGGAATGTTTATCTGGGGGCAAGAAGACGGGCAGTTGCTACGGTACTGTATAGGGCGTTGCGGGCTGCGGAGGATGCGTACAAGAACGGAGCGCAGGGCCGCATGACTATGTTGGGGAATGCAAACAGCATCTTGAGGCATGTCGCGCACGAACAGAAGGCGCTGGGCCCAGACAAGGGGGTGCGGTTTGAGGTTGACTACATCTCGCTCGCCGACCCGGACACGATGCAGGAAGTTAATGTGGTGGATCCTGCAAAGGGGGCTATCCTCAGTGGCGCAATCAAGATGTTGCCGGTCGAAGTTCCGGTGGTAGGTGAGGACCTTGGACATGATGGGGGACCGGCCGTTCGCTTGATTGACAACATCATCCTTCATCCTGCTGAGTGAAGGTGAGGTCTTTGTTTGGGGGAAAACAGGCTAGGCGGAACAGTTGTTGCATTATTTGGCGTAGGGGTGCTGGTATTATGTTTCGTTATTAGCGAGAGATCAATAGAAGTGTTTAGACGACGACAGGCCAAAGTAGCGATATCAAGTTCATAATAGATCGGCCGATCCACATGTCCCTTTCCCAAGTCCCCGCCTGCGCGCTTCTTGGACCTTTACAATGGACCCAGATTTCTAACTACGTCTTGAAATCCTCAGTTTTTTGTTAACCCTGGTCGGTGTACTGATATTCACAGCCCGCGACGTTGTGTCCGGCAGCCCCCTGTCGTACCCAGCGGGATTTTGACCCCCCTTTTTTCCTCCCACTGTGACCAACCAAGGGCTCCGCAATTTTTGAAGCAAGTTCCACACAGAACATGCAAAGTCTTCACCCCCAGTTCCGCCACTGCATTTTCATCAAAAATCAAGGTCCGCTGGCTCAATGGCAGAGCGTCTGACTACGATTTCCTCTGTTCTGAGATTTCTTAGAGAGAGGGTCAAGTAATCAGGAGGTTCCAGGTTCGACCCCTGGGTGGATCGTTTTCTTTTGTCTCTTTAAGGGACGATACTTTTTATCGTGTTTTCTAATTCCCTCTTACTTTGTCTTTCGGCTTTCATGGTTGTATCTGTCTTGTACTTCATGATCCTCGCCGTATTGTAGCGGACGGCTTGGTGACTAAGATGACATATGTACTTTGACTCTTCTAGTTCGAGGGTACTGCCTGCTACTCGATCTATGTTGACGACGTGGGTCGAAGATTACGAGTTTTGCAACCACTACGAAAGTAGCCTGTTCCATGACCTGCGAACCGTCTTTACGAGAGAGAATATCGTGCCCTAGGACGGCACACTTGGAAGTCCTGATGAGGGTGGTGACCAGTGCAGGACTCGGCAAATCTATCGGCGCTTTGGGTATCGTGGTAGGGCGGCTGGCTGCTGGATAATATGAACGAGCTCGTGCAGTAGTGAGGCACCTTTCCAAGCACAGCCACGGGTTAGGTGCATTCTAGGCCGGTGTGAATGCGTAGTTCGTAGGGTCAACTACTTGCCCTGGCGATCGCCAACTAGAGACCCGGTGAGCTGTCATGAAGATTAGCGTATGCTGTGATAATGCGGGCGAGATACCTACCCAACAACACCTTCCCGCCCTCATATGACTGGTCCTAGATTCTCGGCGCTGCCGCAGAATTCGAACCCTAGATATTCAAGGCGAGTTCTTTATCGATACTCCGAAAGAGATCCCCACTCTCACAACTTCTTCGAAAAATGCGCCCTAAACTTCCTCGACGCCCGATCCGCCGACCGAAACTGGAACTGCTCCCCATGAATCTCAAACACCATATTCGACATCTTCTCCTCCCCACCTTCTCCCCCCTCATCCTCCCTCCCATTCCCCCCCAAACCCGTCCCCAACACCGGCACCGGTACCACAAACCGAAACACCGTCCCCTCCTTCGGCACCAACCTCCTCGCCCCCCTTCTCGTCACAATCTCAAACGCAAACTTCGAGTCCTTCACCACAATCCCGCCAATCCCCACCCGGCTCACACACCCGCTGCGCACCACCTCGACACCAGCCCCATGGAAATCGGCACTGGCCAGCTTCGCTGCGGCACCTTCCCCGCCGGTGTAGGCCTCGCTGCCGAGGATTTCACGGATATAGCCTAGCCAGAGATGGTGGAGGGGTTCGAACACCGCATAGGCCTGCTTTCCACCTGTGTGGCTGCCGCCGCTGGTGCGGGTATCGTACAACCCAAGCCGGCGGCGCTGGGCGGCAGAAAGGGGTTTAGGTTTAAGAGCCTTTTTGCGCTGTTGTTTCTTTTTTTCTTGGGCGCGACGGCGGGCGGCGCGGGCGGTGTCGGAGGGAGGGGGGGAAGAGGGCGCGAGGAGGAGGGGCCGTTGTTGGATTTTCTCGGTGAGGATGCGGGCGGCTTCGTCGGTGTCGTAGGCGCGGGCGAGGAGGACGGCGGCTATTGGGGGGGTTTTGGAGGGGTTGTTTATGGGAGTTTGGGTGGGGTTGGTGTTGTTGGGGAGCCGTTTGGTGTCCATTGTGGTGAGGGGGGTGAGTTGATTTTGTTTGAGTTTTGTTGAGGTTTGTTTGGTTTTGCTTGGGTGGTGGTGTTTTGGTGATGCATTGGAATTGGAAGCTTGAACTTTTTGATGGGAACCTTGCGAGGTCTTGGCACCGTTTCGCTGCATGACAGCTTTGGCCTCCCCCGCACTAGACCAATTTAGGCATGGGCCGAGGTGTGGAAACTCCACTGTTTCCCTCAGGGGAACAGGGTCCCCCTGGTCAATGGATCAGATGCGAACCTCGGGAAATGGGAGGAAAGCAGCGGCACTGCGCTGCGCTTTGGTTCATGCACTGGTTTGGCTTTCCATTTTCACTCTTAAACGAACCCGCCTGGTTATGCCATGGCGCTGCATTGCCGCATACACATCTGCACGTCATCGGGAACATCGATCGGCTGCTTATAAACGCGCAAGCGCTCTCCCGCCATCGATTGGAGCGCAACGGGCTTGGACGGTTTTCCATTGGAAGTGCCGGGAGTGAAGGAATTGAGGAACTCATCAACATAACGACGGGAGCTACGATCCGGGTTGAAGGACCTACATTTCGACTTTCCAAACGCACAACCACCATCCCGTTTCACTCTTTACGATGGCTTCGGACGAATCCCATGACGCCGCGCCCGATTTGCGGATTCTGGGCGACAGCATCACCCTCCAACCTAGCGGATATGTTGAACCCGAGGTGAAAGATGACGAAGCGCTCATGAAGCACATGGCCCGCTTCCGCTCAGAACCATTACGGTAGGATAAACCATCAGGTGCTACTCGCGTATTTGCGTTCCATTTCTGACGCGAGCACCCCTTAGCTTCCTCCGCGAGGTATCCCTCTACGTCTCCGGGACAGGCTGGCGCGCCTACGACAGCGTGATCGGCCAACCCATCTTCTACTCCGGCTTCTCCGAGCACATCAAGTCGCAGATCATGTCCGCCCCGCTCCTTGAGACCAAAATTGCGCAGTTGGCCGACATGCGCGTCGCCGTGGAGGAGAAAGAGGGCCTACTAAACACGAGTGACAAGGAGTTTGTTGCCAAGCGTGCCCATCGACGCAGCGAGCTCATCCAGGGCCTGAGGGAAGTCTCTGAGAAGCTGACGGATAACATGATTTGCAAGTTTGAGAGCAAGCCGTTCATCCGCGGGGCGTATTACTTGGTGACGCAGTTGTTGCTGAGGGCGTATCATCAGGGGATTCACGTGTCGAGTGAGGAGGTGTTGCGGTTGCGCGCGGTGGCCGAGGAGGCGGAGAAGAAGAACCAGAGTATCATCTTTCTGCCGTGTCACAGGTCGCATGTGGACTATGTCTCGATGCAGCTGCTTTGCTACCGGCTCGGGCTGGCCCTGCCGGTGGTTGTTGCGGGCGACAACTTGAACTTTCCCTTGGTTGGGAGTTTCTTGCAGCACGCCGGTCAGTTGCCCTCCCCCCCTCCAATTTTGACAGCCAAGGACAGGCAAACTCACTCCAGCTAGGCGCCATGTACATCCGCCGCTCCTTTGGCGATGACCAGCTGTACACCACTCTTGTGCAGAGCTACATCGACGTTCTGCTGCGGGGTGGCTACAACTTCGAATGCTTCATCGAAGGCGGCCGTTCACGAACCGGAAAGTTATTGCCGCCCAAGTTCGGCATCCTCAACTTTGTCCTCGATAGTCTTCTCTCCGGCCGGGTCGACGACGCCATCATCTGCCCCGTTAGCACCCAGTACGACAAGGTTATCGAGACCGAGGGTTATGTTACGGAATTGCTGGGCGTGCCGAAGAAGAAGGAGAACCTGGCGGATTTCCTCAGTGGCGGGTCGAGTGTGCTCTCGCTCCGACTCGGGCGCGTCGACGTCCGATTCCATGAGCCGTGGAGTCTGCGGGGGTTTATCAACGAGCATTTGACCAAAATGGCTTCGGTGCCGTCGTCCATTAACGTGGACTGGACGGACATGAAGAGCCAGGTGCTCCGCCAGAAACTGCTCCGGACTCTGGGCTACAAGGTCCTCGGCGACATCAACGCGGTGTCGGTGGTGATGCCCACGGCTTTGATCGGAACTGTCCTGCTCACCCTCCGTGGGCGCGGTGTCGGGCGAACAGAACTCGCCCGGCGTGTCGAGTGGCTCACAGCCCGAGTCCGAGCCAAAGGCGGGCGTGTGGCCCACTTTGGCGACGCGCCGCTATCCGAGGTCATCGAACGCGGCTTGGACGTGCTGGGCAAGGACCTCGTGGGTGTGGTCGAGGGACTGGCCGAGCCAACATACTACGCCGTCGACCGGTTCCAACTCTCCTTCTACCGCAACATGACCATCCACCTGTTCATCTCGGAAGCCCTCGTGGCCGCCGCGCTGTACACGCGCGTGAAGCAAGGAGGCGGGCCAGCGGTCCAGGATATCCCGTACAAGGACCTGGCGGACCAGGTGCTGTTTCTCTCGTCGCTCTTCCGCGGCGAATTCATCTACTCGGGCGAGGGCCTGGCGCATAACTTGGAGAAGACGCTTCTGGGGCTCGAGGCGGATAATGTTATTCTTATCGAGCGCGACGAGCGTGGCAATATTGCCAAGCTCGGCCTTTCGGACGCAGAGCGGGCTGCCGGCCGGGAGAATTTTGATTTCTACTGCTTTCTCATCTGGCCGTTTATTGAGGCCAGCTGGCTGGCTGCCGTGTCGCTGGTGGGACTGTCGCCGCCGCTGGGCCAAGACGGGGATATCTGGTTGCAAGTGTCCAAGGCGCAGGACAGCGCGCAGTTGGTAAGACTTCCTTTCCTGAACTTGACTTGATTAATTTCACCCCACCACACGGCACTCTATCTACTAACACGTCGCCACCGTCACACAGCTCGGCAAAACCCTCTACCACCAAGGCGACCTCTCCTACTTCGAAGCCGTCAACAAAGAAACCCTCAAAAACTCCTACCAACGTTTCGCCGAAGAAGGCATCCTCCAAATCGTCAAGTCCAAAGACTCCCGCGTGCCCCCCCGCCTACGCATCGCCCCCGAATGGCGACCCGCCCGCGACCCCGAAACCGGCAGCCTAATCGCCTCAGGCCGGCTGTGGGATTTCACGGAGAAGATTGCGTCCAGTCGGCGGGAGGGCAAGAATCGTCGCGATGGGGCGACTGTGAGTACGCGGGTGTTGAGTTTGACGGATGCGTTGGGGAGGCAGTTGTTTGAGGATGCGGTTAGGGCGGAGGAGGAAGGGAAGGGGAAGGGGGGAGGGGCGCCGGCGCGGTTGAGTCGGGAGGAGAAGAGGTTGTTGGATTTGAGTGTGAGGGAGCAGAAGAGACGGAGGAGGTTGGAGGGGAGGGCGCATTTGTAGGTGTTACCTTAAGGGAAAAGATGACTTGCGTGTTCCTAGGGGGTAGAAGCTTGGTTAGTTGTTGTTTCCGGCGTTGGGGAGATAGACCGCCCGTGGGCGCGGGTTGATTGCATAAGTGTAGATTAGTTGTACTGTACGAGCAGAGCATGCGTGTTCTTGAATAGGTACTGGGGATACGCAAAGAGGGTAATAGTAATAAGACACCCTGAGAATTGCATAGCGCAAGCATAAGCATTTATTTGCTGAATAGAACTCGTCTCCATCGGTATCTCGGACATCAATATCATTCAGAACACATCCCACAAACTAACCTTCCCATCCTTACTCCCCGCCGCTATCCAATGCGCCTCTCTCGCCTGTCGCACCCTCTTCTCCCGCAGCGTCATTTCCACCAGCTTCGGTACAACAGCCACTTCCCGACTCTGACTCCCTCCTTCACCTGCACCGTCTCTATCAACCCCATCACCACCCACTTCCGCCCCCGTTCCGGTCCCCGTACCAGCCAGCGAAGCAAAAACAACAGCAAAACACCCCGTGGCATGCCACTTGAGCACGGCCACCTCAGCCAGCGTGGCCGTGCTGTAGACGCGGATGCGTGCGTCCCAGCCGGCTGTAGCGAATATCCGGCTGTCGGAGCGGATGTGTAGGGATTGTTGGCCGGCGTGGTGGGTATTGAGGGTTTTCAGAGGTGTGGACATCATCGCGGTGGTTGTTGTGGGGATGGTTGTGGTGGGTGTGAGAGTGGGCGGTTGGGGGTTGTTGGAGAGGGCGGCTGTGAGGAGGGATATGGGAGGTGAGGATTTGGGCTGGGAAGAGGGATGGGAAGAGGGAGTTGTCGATGAGGGGGGAGTAGGGGGTGGTGCTGCTGAGGATTGGGGCTGAGATACTAGAGACGGCGGTAGTGGGTGCTTGGCGATGATGGCGTCCGCGCTAGAGGTGAGGAAGAAGGCCCTGCTCGGGTCGACATCCAACGACAAGATCGGCTGGTTGTGGCATTTTGCCTGGTAGCGGACGGCCCAGTTGCCGTGGTCGCCGAGCTGGGCGACGATGGCCACGCCGTTCTCGTAGCCCGCGATCAAGGTCAGAGAAGAGCCTTGGCGGATGAGCGAGAGGGCCATGACCATGCCGTTTTTGTCGCCGAGTTTGACTGTGTGCTGCCGGGTTTGGGAGGGCACGTGGAAGATGTCGATCTGGGTTATGTTAGTTAGATGCCATGTCGTTTTGAAAACTAGACTTGGATCATGGACGGCGGTACTCACAGCTTCGGAGGCTAGGGTATTCGGCACGGCTACCAGAATCTCGCCTGGAGCAATGGCACCCGACCCTGCAGTAGCGGGGCAGTAAGAGAAGGAACAAAAGTTCATGGTGTTGACCTCCAGCATATGCAGCATCCATGGCTGCGGCCGGGTTTCTGTCGATGCGTCCAGCGGTAGTTTCGTGCTCAACTGGCCTTCTTCCTGGGCGGTAAATTTCCACACGATGAGTTTGTTGTCTCTCCCATGACTATCAAATACCCAAATTTCAGTCATCCACACAACTCTGTAAACGTAAGATACGTGTATGTATTTCGCCTACGTGATTAGCCGGTCGTCCCTCCATCCTGCGATGCCCAAGATGGCGTTCTCATGGGCCCGCCACACCGCGCGAGGGCGCATCACGGTCAGGTCCCAGGCCACGACAAACCCGTCGGCATCGCCTGTCAGCAACCGCTCGTTGCCTCGCACAAATGCGGCAGCGTGCACCTGCGCCTTGTGTCCGCGCAGGATGGCCTTGGGCTGCGCGGGCCGGTTTTCGGCGGCCATGATGTCTTGCTTTTAATGGACTGGGCGGCTAACGTCGCATATCGATGACGAAACCGCCGGTTAGAGTTGCCGGGGGTGGATGATGGGAGGCGGGATTGATGGTTTGGTGTTTGGTGCTTGGAAACGGAGTGGGTGGTATTTTGACATGTTTTGGAATCGTATGTTACACCGTAAGCAAATACGCTTGGCCCCAACATCCAAGTCGAGAGCAATGATCAGGCTGTCAGGCAAAAACGCAAGTTTCACGTGCTTTTATGTTTAATTTCTAGAGAAATATTTTGGTTCTTCGTTTTTGGATCCGAGGTCTGTGAGTATTCCATGTTGGTGAATGGCATTTATCCATCCGAAACAACCCCGTTCCAGCCCTGCCGATTATTTACCCTTTTCTGCAGTAGTGTAGCTCAAAAAGTGAATTGAGGGTGTTGGGCGTAATAGTGTACTCCGTAGTATGCTCGAATCTCTTCTGGAAGAGGGTCTCTTGTTTTACGGATTTTCGTACCGGCATAGCTGAAGTGAGAACACACCAAGGCATAAACTTGGTTACCCGGTGGCGTATTCGAGGGCTCTTTGTATCGCAAAAAGTGTCACATACAGTCAGATGTCGGCTCCTTCCGAAGTAGGGCATAGGTACTTGCTGTGTACACCATTTGAAGTGGGACACGTGCACACTTCGAGGTTCAACGGGAAGGAGCCACCGGGGACGGACGAGTGTCAACTACCAAGACAGCCCGCAGGTTTGACTCTTTTCCTCCTTTCTCACTTTATTCCCAATCCAACAACTGATAACCATTGTCCATTGCCCACTTATTGGCATCACAGGTACCCTAACTGAACTACTATTCAAGATACATCCCCGGAGGGCGGCCGGGACTTGCCAAGGAAGCTTATGGCCTGTAATGCGTTACGCCATGTAACTTACACCAAGCAACACCAGAGCGCCGAACCAAGTGCGCTCGGTCGCTATCGGTTTCAGGAGCGAGCCCCTGTCGCGATGCAACTCTGATGCTTCACCCGCACACACCCGCCGCACCCCTCATGACCCCTTTCAGCGTCCCCTCGCAGCCAGACGGATGGCTCCCTTGGCCCTGCTTCCATCCTCCCACGCTCCGTCCCGCCCGGGCGAACCTGTGACACGGCGTCACCCACCCCCCGATTTAGCCTTTCTGCGACCCCACGGTTTCGGTCGAAGACGTGGAGCTAAATGTGGTAACAACTGCGCGCGCGGACGTGCGGTGTTTGGTACCGTGATGGGGAATGCTTAGGACAGGGCAGGGGTACTGTTCCTGGACATTTGGGCATCTCGATGAATATTGGGACGTCTGTTCATCTGAAAGTCGGCCTCATCCCTGGGGCGAATCCTGGGAGGACGCTTCGCGAGCTTTCTTCGGGAACTTTTGTTTCGACAACTACTCGAAACAGAAACATTCTTGGCTTGCGCCAGCTCGCCCTCAGATCAATTTATTTTCGCAGCCCTTCCGAGGACTGAGACTAGAGCAGATCTGTAGGATCGAGGTCGGCGTCGAACGTCGAATGCACATGGACGAACGAGGCCTGCTGCATCTGGGCCTCGGACTTCTCTCAGGACCGTCTTGTCTTTGTCCAACTTGAACCTGTGCACCCCGCCGAATTCTTCACTGCCACATCTCCTCGCTTCCTGAGTCTTTTTGTTCGCCGTGCTAGCCCTCCCTCCTGGACCCCTTTCTCTCACTTGTTCCTGACGGGGCTATTGCCTGAGTCGGCGGTAAGGGAAGCGGGGCGCCGTCCAGTATCCAGTGGCTTTCGACCATGAACGCGATATTCCAGCCTGGCTCGCGCACAAGCCAGTCACGAGACGTCGTCCCTTTCGTCCGGGATCAACCCTCAGTCTCACGCCGAGCTGAAGTCGACCAACCACACATGACGCCCGGCAGCAGCAGCCATCACCCTAGTGCCCCCCGGTATGAGACGCCGCATTCGAACCGCCAGGGGACACCAAGCGCCTCTCCCGTCGGCGCAAGCCAGTTTAGGAATCCAAACTCTCGGAGGACGACTCTACCGTCAGCTCCTACAGGGCCCGTCAGCACCAACAACGATGGTCCTCGGAGGGCTAGTGGGAAGCCATCGTCTGCTTCAACAAGCCCCGCCGCGGGCAAGTCTAAGCGGGTGCGCACAGGCTGCTTGACCTGTCGGGAGCGCCATCTCAAGTGTGACGAGGGCGTCCCGGAGTGTAACAACTGCCGGAAGAGCAATCGGGAATGCAGGCGTGGGATACGACTCAACTTTATTGACATCCAGGTCAAGGACCCGCCATATTTATCTCCCTCGGCGGAATGGTCGGGTGGGTTGCTGCTCAATACTCCCTCATACCCTTACTCACACATAGGGTGTCTGGTTGTGTCGTATCTGGGAGCTGCTGGTTGCTGACTTTTCGATGTTAGTTCAAATATTGGATGAGTCGCGGTCCATCGCGTCCGAATATAAAGGGGGACTAGGACGATATGCGTCGGCAATACCCTCGCCACCACCTGCCGATTCGGACGTACCGGGTGGAAGAAGGGTCGAACGACCCGGGTTCTCTGAGCCCGCGGAATACCGTTTTCCGGAGAACGGTCACCATGGAGACGGCCCAGCCACTCGAGACCCGTATCACCCCCATGATGTCGGCCAGCCACCCCCGCCTCATGAACAGCCGAACTATCACGCCGGCCCGGAAACCCATGTGTGTCTCGGCCGTACGCCCCCGACGGCCCGACCAGCTCAAATGTCACAACCGAGCCGTGCTGCGCATGTGCGCGATTCATCCACTTATTCTACGCTTCATGCCCCTGACACGGCTAATGAGCACGGCCCCCATGTATCCCATGTTCCCCATATGAGGGATCGGGGCGTCTTGTTCACCCCATCACGATTAACTCCCCAACCTACCGAGCCACCATCGTATAGCTCCCGTCCCGTTACGCACACCATTCAAAGCCAGCCGCTTTCTACGCCTACTGGACTCATGACCCCATCAAGCGAGAACACTTCTTGTGAACGAGACTATCTCAGCACAGAGGAAGAGATTCGCTTCTTGCAGGTCTTTATCGACGACGTGTCAACCTGGATGGACGCGATGGGGAAAGTTAGACACTTTGCCAACATAGTGCCATATCTAGCTTTAAGATTGCCCATGTTGCTTAACGCTCTTCTGGCCTGCGGAGCCCGACAGCTTACCTTGATCGGCCAACACGACGGCGAGAGGGCGGATTATTATTACCACCTGGCCACCACCCAGCTCTCGCGTATCCAGCAAGAACGGGGCTCTGACCTAAGTGACTGCGCTCTTACGGCGGTTGTACTCGACGCATACCACATCATGGAGGACAACCTTACCCAACGTATGGGCCATATTGCGTCAACCCGCGCTCGCATTCGGGACTGCGGTTGGGATGCATCCTCAACCGGTCTCGGCGCTGCATGTTTCTGGGTCAATATTGGCATGGACGTCCTCAGTTGTCTTGCCTTTGGCTGGCCGATAGCGTGGGATCCAGACCAATGGGGAATGGATCAGGAGTTTATGACTGCTGGAAGCGTCAGTCGAAGCGGCAGCCGCAGTATTGCTGGAAGTGAGGACTTATGGCTTAGCCCCATTCACGCTGATCCCCAATCCGAGCACCACCAGTCTGCGACCCACGACAACCCCGACCACAACGATGAGGAGGTTTGGCTGCGCCGCATTTTTCACATCATGGCCAAGGTCGTCAACTTCCGCGTCCACACGCCACAGTTTCAAGAACCGTCGCCGCATGAGGAACAAGTGCGCTTGCAAAACCGTCTCTCCGAGTGGCGGCGGTTGCAGAATATGTGCAATGCCTGGAACCTCAATTGCCCGCGGTCGATGCGGCCGTTCGGATACTCCTCGGGACCGTCACCGAGATCTCTCTTTCCAAACGTTTGGTACGTTAACCACTTCGCCCCTTAGCCATCTCACTCATAAAAGCTGAAGTGTAAAGCTAACTAGTGACAACCACACTAGGCTCATAAAACCCTCTTCCAAACTCGCCCGCCTCTTCTACCACACGGCTATGTGTCTCCTCGCCCAGACCAACCCACTCGATCCTCGTGACAGCCGTGAGAACCGCGCCTCACAGTTACACCATGCCCATCACGTTTGCGGTATTGTCGCGCACGCCACCGCAGTTTCTACTACCAATACAAAAGCGACTCTCAGAATCAATGGCAACGGCGTCCACCGTCCTGACCATGTCAGAGACTCCAGACCAGCGCCGAGATCTGTATCCAACAACAACAAGTCTGACCGAGCGGTTATCTCCGTTGCTGTTCGCACACTTGCTGCGGTCAGTGATGCCTTGGTTGACCGGGCTGAGCAGGACGAGGTGTTGGATGTGCTAGACCGGATTACGGGGGAGACGGGGTGGCGGCTTGGGAGGGTGATGGAGGAGATTAAGGGGGGTTGGGGGAGGGTGGATTAGTGTGGGAGCCAGTGAGGGCCAGCATGAGAGTGAGAGTGAGAAGGGCTTTGGGGGGGTGTGATGATACGAGTGCGGGTATGTGAGTGTTATGGGTGGGAGAGGAAGGTAGACAGAGGGCGGTGTTGGATTGGTAAGGGGATTTCGGGTTAAAGGGGATGTTGTACGGAGGTTTGTTAGATGAATCCGCTCAAAACCGTTATCGCCCCACCACACTTGCGTTAGATTCATTTTTCGCACCAACCGAATTGCATTGAGCAACCGATTCTTCAATCGAATGTATCTCGACTCGACCAGTTAACCCTAACCCTACAGCTTCTATAGTACTTCTTCGATTTAATCTTCGATTCAATCTTCAATTCAATCTTCAATGTATGTATGGAAGGCTCGCTCAAAAACCTGGCCCCGCTGCAAAAAGTAGGCTGGCTCGATGGTTGGCTCAAAAAACCTAGCCCCGCTGTAAAAGGTGGGCCGGCTCCTCGGCCTTTTTCAAGGACGGCTAGGGTTAGGGTTAGAGCTAGCTCTACCATCGAAGATTGAATGGAAGATTGAATCGAAGATGGAGTCGAAGATTCGTGGTTGTGCAGAGTAGAGATACAATCGGTTTGGAAAATATTCGTATAATGCGAGTTGCGGTGGGGCGACAACGGTTTTGACTGGATTCATCTAACAAACCTCCGTAATGTTGGGCTAAAGGGTTCGACCTTCCTGTCTGTGTTATGTGGGGGGAGAAGCGGGCTCTCATCACATATATATTAATACATCGCGTCGAGCTCCAGCTCGGAGGCAACACTTTGGAAAGTGTTAAACCTTTTGTATGAGCTCGGCGCTGTGGAGCCTCGCCGAAAACCCCCTTGTACAGATGTGGGGCGACGCCGACACTCCCGTCTGTGACCCTTTCCGTTGATGTGGGGCGGCGCTGACACTCGGGCTGTGAGCCTGTGACTATTTCTGCTTTGGTTTGTTGAAGGGAATTCCTTTCTTATTTTCAAACGGCCGCATTAAGGGAAGGAAATCTGGCGTTGGAATGGGAAAGGATAGGGATTGTCTCGGGTGGGATTTAGCATCGGAACTGGGTTGATATTTGAACACGATATAAATGTACCACCACCACAGTCCTTCCTGCTACGTTCAATGGTACGCGAGTTGGAAGCCTCTGCTGTAGGCATTATGTACCTCAATTAGAACCACAAATTGAATTTCACCGGTCTATTAAGTATATTTTTGTCTACCGTGTGGGAAAAGAAACAGGCTGTGTGCATCTATTTTTGGAAAGCAAAAAAACGAGATCGCTCATATCTCCCTTTCCCTTCTCTATGAGCTCAGTATTAACCCCGAAAAACTGTCTCCTCAAAATGCACAACTTTTTAGTTCCCTTTCTCCCGATCCTTTTCTATGGCCGTATGTCGAAGCCGTGGCGCCAGACGCAACTAGGTCTGCCCCGTACGAGGGTGTCGGTTAAGCAGCCTGAGCAGCAACCTGGAGAGTCTCACCATCGACAATCTTGCCTTCCTCCAGCATGCCCTTCTCAAGCTCCACCTCAACAGGCGGCACCACAATACCATACTTCTCAAACGGAAACCCCACCAAAGTCGGCATGTACTCAGCCCAGCCATCGCCAATCTCGCCCAGCTGGTGCAAATCTACATCGCCGGCCTCACCGGTCCGGGCAGCGAGCACCTCCGCCTCACGACCGGCGTACTCCTTCTTCAGCATCGGGTGCGGGCACCAGATCACGCGCATGCCCGCGCGACGGCCGGCTTCGACGCCGGGGACGCTGTCTTCGAAGACGAGACACTCCTCCGGAGCGATGGGTTTCTCGCCTGCGGGGAGGGAATCATTGATAGTCTGCAGGGCGAGGAGGAAGATGTCCGGGAGCGGCTTGCCGCGGCCGGCGCCGATGCGGGGGTCGTCGCCGAGGACGCGGCGGGTGGTGGGGAAGACGGAGAAGAGATCCTCGAGGTGGGCGGTTTTGAGGCGGAAGTTGGACGCGTGGGAGGATGTTGCAAGGGCGATGTGCACGCGCTGCTGCTTGGGGGTGGTGGTACCGGTACCGTTGGCGTTGCCGTTCCCGTTTTGGGTGATGGTAGTAGCAGCAGAAGCCTTGCCCGGGAGGTCCCAGTAGCGGGTGCGGCCGAGGTGGGCAAGCAGCTCGGGCACACCGGGCAGAGGCTGGGTGCCGGGGAAGTGCTGGCCTTGGAGCTCGTAGAGCTGGGCGATGTACTCCTCGCGGGTGATGGGCAGGTTGGCCCAGTCGTGGAAGAGCTTGTTGGCTGCCGGGCCAGGGCGGCCTTGGAGGCGGGCCTTGACGCTCCAGGGGAGGTTCGGGCGCTGGTACTTCTCGAGGATGAGGTTGACGCAGAGCGTGTACAGGTCCTCGGTGTCGAGCAGCAGCCCGTCCATGTCGAAGAGACAGGCGCGGATGGGCGGGAAGCTGGTGATCTTTTGTTAGTTATGGTACTCTCCGGCTATGAATTAGATCATGGGCATACTTACTCAGTCTTGGGAGCCATTGTTATGGTTCGCTTGATGTCCAACTTCTAGGCTTTGGTGTGTTGTGAGAGCAAGATCGGGAGCAGGAAACCCAAAATCTGGCGGAAATTATACTGGCGGCTAGGTGAAAAGTTTTCGCCAACGGATTGGCCAAAGCGCCAGATATGAGATCCAAAACTGAAGGAGGGAAGGCACAACTTCTTTTGTTGATATCTAGTTGAGTCACGTCTTCGGATGAGAAGATGATTGAAGCCCATGAGTGAGGGGCATGAAATTAAAGGCTGGCAGGAACGTCCCCCTTGTTTGGGCTAGTGGTGGGGCAATCGATGGCGCCCAGTGAACAACCGTAATGTACAGTATTCAGTGTCTCCTTGGATAAGCTAGGTAAGGTATGTTCCTCCTAGCCTCATGAATCCGCTAGATGGTTATCTAGAGTTCTTGTCACTTGCGGGCAACTTGTTCGGCCGATATTCGGTCTTGGTAACGCCATCATCGGAATTTTCAGGAACATTTTGGAGGCTTGAGATCTCGAGCTGATAAGCTATTCTGTGGTCGGACCGACGGACAATGTACCACAGATGGTGCAATCTGTCCCCTGTTTATACATCTTCTTTTGAATTCTTGCGTTATTCAGGTTCTGGATCAAAAATAAAGCCTTCGATCACCGAATATTACCAACAAACTACCTATCCAAGTACCTGACAGACCTCATGTTGAGAATTCTTCAACCCGGTGTTGACATGATGCAGGGGATGATAGCCGAGGAAACGTCGCTGAACACCAGGGTGCCAAAAAACTAACAGGGGCCTCTCCAGGGCCCGCACGTGGAAAAATGGCGGGGCTTTCCGCTCGCGCGACAACCCCGAACGGTAATTACAGGGTACAGAAAACAGAAGCCCAATCGATTCCCAGCGTGCCATCACCATCTCGCCGATTGGAGTAACTCGCCCTTCCGTGTCTAGCCGGTGCTCGCTCCCCGACCTTGAATTTCCCCTCTTAGAACTCCCTATTTGAGCAAAGACTGGTCGGTTGGCCATGGCGAGCAACCAGGACAAGGCGCCGGCCGAGGCGGGCGTGGGAGCTCAAAACGGCCCCGGCCCGAAGCGAGATGCTCAGGACGATGGCGTGGAGAAGGACGCGGTTCAAGAAAGATTTGACCCCGAAGAAGAGGCAGTGAGCAGCCCAATTTTCACTTGATGAAATCCTGCTTGTAGACCACACCCAACAACTGACAGATAACCCTCTTTCTTCCTCCGGTCGGCAAAGTCCATGCTAGCCGAATCCAACGCGCACAAGGCCGAGGCAAACACTCTCTTTACATCCGGAAAATACGACACAGCCCTCAACAAGTACGATGAAGCTGTCGCCGTGTGCCCGAACTACCTGGACTACGAACTGGCCGTGCTGTGGTCTAACGTCGCTGCATGTCACCTGAAGTTGGAGGAATGGAAGGAGGCTGTCAGTAGCGCAACCTCGGCACTGGATGGGCTCGATCGGCTAGAGAAGCAAGGGAAGGAGGCGGAGGATAAGGAGAAAGCCGAAGCTGAACGGCGCAGAATCGAAGAGGCAGACGATGTCGAAGAAGAGATCGTCAGCGCCGGCGCCACCAAAGCCGGCCCGGCGTTGTCTACTACCACCGAGGACGAGCTGGCTGCGGCAGCCCGTCAAAAACGCCAGGATGATATCGCTCGGATACGTGCCAAGGCTCTGATGCGACGGGCGCGTGCAAGGAGCGAGCTAGGCGGCTGGTCGAACCTTGAAGGCGCCGTCGAAGACTATAAACGTTTGTCCACGATGGCAAATCTCACGGCTACGGATAAGAAGATTGTGCAGGCACAGCTGCGGATGCTACCACCTCTGGCCAAGGCGGCACAGGAGAAGGAAACGGCCGAGATGTGGTCCAAGTTGAAAGATCTGGGGAATGGTCTGCTGAAGCCATTTGGGTTGAGTACGGACAACTTTCAGATGGTGAAGGATGAGACGACGGGGGGATATAGTATGAACTTTCAAAATGGAGGAGGGAAGTGAGAATGAGAACGTAGGGAGTTCTGCTGATTTGTCAGGCTATCTTCGCCCAAAATATCCGCAGAGATCTTAAGAGCCTTTCTTTGAGCCGGGGAAGCCTCAAAACAGTGACTCATTGTAGTGGTAAGCAAAGGGCTGGGATGTGTGTGAACGCCACCATCTATCTCCATGCCGAGACTCGAGATTCAATGAGAATGAACTCGATGGCGGAAGCCAGGCACCTCGTAGCTATCGTCTTGTCGGGAGCGGATGAATCATGGTCGAGGCACGGGCTATATCCTCACATTTAAGCATTGGGGAAAAGATACCTTAGTCCAAGAAGCCTAGATTCTAGCGATTCAAGACCTTGATTGATCACCCTACCAATCTCAAGATAGTTGTTTAAAAGAGCCAAGGACGAGGACCACCTCCTCCCAAGCGCCAAGAGATTGTGGGTCCCGCAGCGCCACCGCCCAGGCCGATAAGCAGCTTATCAAGCAGCGCGGGGCAAGAATGTCAGTGAAGTAACTAAAATTTCTAGAGGAATAAGTTGCCCCGCCAGGTCACTTTCTGTTTATGACACCCAGTTTTCTGGTCATTTGTTTTCGACGATACCCCTTCTAATTTTCGGATTCATTCCTCAACTAAAACCCCCAATAAATCGAGATTAAAATCAAGGCCGTAGAGGCACCAAACAATCATGGATATCGATATGGACACGGGCATGGTGCCCATGCCCCAGGTCCCCATGGGCACAGCACGCACAGGAGCAACGTGAGCTCTCTTCTCCCCATGCTTCCATCTCCTCTCCGCTCACTAATGCTAACACGATGTCAGTATTCTTTGCTGCAACTGCGGCGCCCCCATCGACGGCACCGCCTCCGCCGGCGCGCTCTGTTACGACTGCATCAAATCCACCGTCGACATTTCACAAGGTATCCCCCGCGAAGGGACACTGCAGGTCTGTCGAGACTGCGACCGATGGTTAATGCCGCCGACTAGCTGGGTGACAGCCGCACTGGAATCGAGAGAGCTGCTATCGCTATGTCTTAAGCGGTTACGGAATTTGGGCAAGGTCCGGATTATCGACGCCCGCTTTGTCTGGACAGAACCCCACTCTCGACGTATCAAGGTCAAGATTACGGTTCAGGACTCCGTGGCGGACGGTGTTCTGATGCAACAGAGCTTCGAGGTGGTCTACGTCGTCACCAACCAACAATGCCGGGAGTGCGCCAAGTCGTATACCGCCAACGTGTGGCGTGCCGCCGTGCAGGTCCGCCAGAAAGTGACCCACAAGAGGACGTTTTTGCTGTTGGAGCAGTTGATTCTCAAACACCAGGCGCATCGGGACACAATAAACATCAAAGAGGAGAAAGATGGCATCGACTTTTATTTTGCGCATAGGAATCAAGCTGAGGCTTTCATCCATTTCCTGAAGTCGGTCGTACCAGTTCACACGAAGGAATCGAGGCATCTCATTTCCGCCGATACACACACGGGCAACAAGTCGTACAAATTCAACTATTCCGCCGAGATTGTTCCAGTATGTCGCGACGACCTCGTTGCGCTACCACTGAAACTCGCCAAATCGCTCGGTAACATCTCCCCACTAGTACTCTGCTGGAGGATAGGCACGTCCGTCAATTTGCTCGACCCCAACACCCTCCAAACAGCCGAACTCAGCTCCGATGCCTACTGGCGCGCTCCGTTCCACCCACTAGCCGGCACCCCAGAAATGGTTGAGTTTATCGTCATGGACATTGAGCCCACAGGTCAACGGAAGGGCAAATGGGTACTAGGGGAGGCGACTGTGACGCGCGCGTCCGACCTCGGCGTCAACGACAACACCTACTTTGCCCGTACTCACCTGGGTAGCCTGCTCCGGCCGGGCGACTCTGCGATGGGTTACATGCTGACGGGTACCAACTTCAACTCGGACTCTCTCGACGCGATCGAGAACTCGCGCGCGTACGGGTCAACGATCCCTGACGTGGTGCTCGTCAAGAAGCACTACGCCAACCGCCGCAAGAACAAGCGGCGGAACTGGAAGCTCAAGCGCATGGCGAAGGATGAAGGCGATCTGCTGCCCAAGCCGGTGGATCAGGCTCGTCTTGATGCCGAATACGAACAGTTCCTGCGGGATGTGGAAGAAGATGAGGACTTGCGGCAGGCGCTGGCACTGTACAAGAACACCAAGAAGAAGAAGCCGGATGTGGATGCGATGAGTATTGCGGAGACCGAGATGACGGTGGAGGAGGATGATGGGCCGAAGGTCAACATGGATGAGCTGCTGGATGACTTTGATGAGCTGGAGATTGCGGATAAGGAGGAGGAGGAGGAGGAAGTTTAGGGTGTTGTTTTTCGGAGATGGGATAGGGCGTAGCAGATATGTGAATCTAAAGCAATTCAAATTGGGCTAAAAGGCGTTGCTGAACGGTATCTTGTCCTGGCTACAGTAACCTTGCGAACTTGTTCCCAAGTCGCAAGTAGTATGAGCCTACAAGGACATCCGCCCCTCTGTCGATAACAACCTGTTGCCCTCAAAATCAAAAGATCTTGCTAAGCACCCTCTGCACCTGATCAGGCTGCTCTTCCTGCCTCCTCTTCTTCACCAGGGGTATCTGCTTAAACGTCCGCCTCCGTTCCTGAGTCGTCGATTCACCAGTCTCCTTCCCACTCGCTGCCTCACCTCTGCCCGTGTATCCATCTCCGTCTCCGCCCCGGTCTCCTCCCCCCTCACCGTCCTCATCATCAACCTTCTTCCGTTTCGCCGCTGCCTTGGACTGTATCCCGTTGAGAACCTTGGCCCGCTCGACATTCCGAACGAACTCTTTGTTCTCGCGGGTCGTCTTAGCAATTTCTGCGCGCATTCGACTTGCGCGCTCGGCGTTCTCGGCTGAGATTTGCTCCGTGAGGTGATGCCTATAGGCATTTCCCCAATTATTAGTCTTTGGAAGCACGGGAGAGGGGGCGGTGGGGATAAAGACGGAAAAACCGGGCAACCCACCACTTAAACCCATTCAAATACTTCAACGCCCACACATCATCATGATACCAACTCGACTTCTTCCCACCAATAATCTGCGCATTCAACAGATCGCACACCTTCTTCGCCTCCTTCTTCTTGACAAACTCCACCCATCCTTCGGTAAAAGAGCGCTTCTTGTTGCCGCCGCCGCGGACCCGGCGCGTGTGCTCGGCTGGGTCTTCGGGGGTCAGGAAGATGCGGTTGATTTTGCCGTAGGGCTCGAGGAGGGAGCGCAGCTTGGCGGGCTTCATGAAGGGGGGAATGCGGGAGAGGTAGACGACGCCGGATTTTTTGATGGCGGCTTCGGAGGCGACGAGGTTTTGTTTTGTTAGGGGTTTGGAGAGGCCGGGGAGGTCGGTTGTTTTTGGTTTTGTGTTTTGGGGTTGGGTTGGTTCGGTATCTTCTTGCTCGTCGTTTTCGTCGGCTTCTTCTGCTTCAGTCACGCCATTGTTGTCTAGACTTGCGCCGCCACCATCCTCTTGGTCCTCGTCTTGGTCGCTGAAGTCTTCAGCCTCGCTGTCGTCTTCGTCGTCAACCCTCCTCCGTTTTGCGCTGCGGCCGCCTTTTTGGAAATCGTCTTCGGAGTCGTATCCATTCCCGGCATCATCGTCGCTGTCGCCGGCGTCGAGGAATTGGTTGCGTTTGTCAGCCATGGTGCGTGGTTAAGAAAAGAGATAGAGTTTGAGAGAGACGAAGAGCTGCTCGGTTGGCGTCGTGATTGAGTTCATCCAAAAAAATTCCGGGGCCTGCAGGGGCGCCAATGCGCGATAGTGACGGTACTTGAAGATGACATATGAGCTACCAACGAAGTGTCCCATAATGCCTTTTCTATGGGGCTTCAATTGTCTATTTTGTCATTACACGTGTTTAGAGGTGCTATATAGTTGAATACAGATAAAGCCACCAATATTTACGATCGGTAGCGTGCTTTTGGCTGTGTTTTGTCAACATTGAACGGCCCGGTACAAGTACCGCCCACGTACCGAACGCTGTTATCAATGTCTCGCCGAGCCGGCCGAGTTGCCCCACTCGAATCCACCTGCATCCCGGCTTATGACGGCGGGGTACTTGTAGAGGGGCAGCTTACACAGAGGAAGGATAAGAAAGGACTCCTTGGTTCCTCAATCCTATTTCTTCCTTCAACGTACTTCATTCAACGTACTTCAAAGAGATTTCGAGCTTTAAAAATCCCAAGACAAATTCAACCCGAAACACTCCCACAAACCACCCACCCCTCCTCACTACCATGTCAGTCGAAACGATAACAACCATCTCCCCAACAACGGACGAGCCGATCCTCACCCGCGCCGGCATCTCCTCGCAAGATCTCGAGCGACTTCCCGAGGTCGCCACAGCAGCATTCAACTCGTGGCGTAAGACAACCCTCAAAGAGCGCCAGGACATCGTCAAGAAGGCACTCAAGATCATCTCCGACAAGCAAGATGAGCTCGCCAACGAGCTCACGGTCCAGATGGGCCGGCCTATCGCGTACACGGCTAAAGAGGTCGCCACGGCCGTGAAGCGGGCTGAGTACCTTCTAAAGATCAGTGAGGAGACGTTGCAGGATACTCCGGGCGAGGAGGAGAAGGGGTTCAAGAGGTTTATTCGCAAGGTGCCTGTGGGGCCGGTGCTTATTATCTTTGCGTGGAACGTAAGCCTTTGTCTCGAAAACAAAACTAGGAGTAAGGAGGGTTGAAGTGTAAGATGCTGAGAAAGACTTATGGCCGCAGTACCCCTACCTAATTCTCGTCAATTCCCTCATCCCCGCGCTTCTCAGCGGCAACTCCGTCATCCTCAAGCCATCCCCCCAAACGCCCACCATCGTCGAACAAGTCTCCAAGGCCTTCACTGAAGCCGGCCTCCCCGACGGCGTGATCCAATACTTCCACGCCGGCTCCCCGACAATCATTGAGTCGATCGTGCGGAACCCCAAGATTGCGCTGGTGGCCTTCACGGGGTCGGTGGCGGGTGGGTTAGCTGTTCAGGGCGCCGCGTCGGACCGTATCGTTAACGTCGGCTTGGAGTTGGGCGGGAAGGACCCGGCGTATGTCCGGGGGGATGTTGACATTGCGTGGGCAGCGGAGGAGATTGTGGATGGGGCGGTTTTCAACTCGGGTCAGAGCTGCTGCTCGATCGAGCGGGTGTATGTGGATGAGAAGATCCATGATGAATTTGTCACGGCGGTGCAGGAGGTGCTGAAAGGGTATAAACTGGGCGATCCGCTCGACAAGACCACCCACCTCGGCCCGGTGATCTCGAAGCGCTCCAAGGAGACGATCGAGGCGCATATCAAGGACGCGCTGGACCGGGGCGCCGTCAACGCCACACCCGAGAACGAGACATTCAGCAAGCTACCTGAGAAGGGCAACTTTGTGGTGCCGACGCTGCTGACCAATGTGACCCACGAGATGAGGGTCATCAAGGAGGAGACGTTTGGGCCGGTTATCCCGGTGGTGAAGGTTAAGGGGGATGAGGAGGCGGTCAAGCTGATGAATGACAGCGAGTTTGGGCTGACGGCCAGCATATGGACCAAGGATACCGATAGGGGGTATGAGCTGTGCGAGGATGTCGAGGCGGGCACTGTTTTCGTCAACCGCTGCGACTTTCCGAGTCCCGTAAGTTGCTTTCTTTTTCTTTTGTGCTACTCACTGACTGATTGACGGTCTTGTTGTGTGACCCAACCCCGACCCCGTCGTACACCCACACACGCGCGCACACACGCACACGCCACTGACCCCATTATTATTACAGGACCTGGCCTGGACGGGGTGGAAGAACTCGGGCAAGGGCGTGACGCTGAGCAAATTTGGGTTTGACCAATTCGTCAAGCTGAAGAGTTACCACCTGAAGGATTACCCCAAATAATTCGATATAGCTAGGTATGTAATGTAGGGAGCCGTAAGGAGGATGGAGAAATGCGCACATTGACGCAGAGAGATGGAGAGAAGGAGAGAGAAGGAGAGCAGGAGAGGGAGAAACTGAGTCTGACAAAGAGGATATTCACCGCCAGGCGCACGCACGCGATTAAGATTTAGAAATAATAAACTGAGGCGGTCAGTTCCCACACGCTGTGCCACATGAGGTTGAGATTCTTGTCCCACATTCCAAAGCATGGTGGTGGTCAAAGGGCAAGCAGGGCGTTGGTGATTTTCCAGGCGGGAACGGCGGCTTGGGGGCTATTTTGCTTGCGCTGGGGCCGCTTTTGAATTGAGTCGAGGCTGTTGATCACAGTTTATTTCTTCTCTCCATTCTGTTCAATGTATCGATCTCAGCCCGTTTTGGGTGTTTTCTCGTCGTTCCCTAACTTGTCCTGTTTTTCTCGGCCTCTTTGTGAGAAGCGTTTCTTCAGCGAATTCGCAAACAACATCAACCACAGAATGGAGTCAGCAACTTTCTAAGGTACGTAAAAAACAACGAGGCGAAGACCTTACTGCTTTTGTTTCTGATTTCAGTTTTCTCCCCATTCCACACCCTCTGTGGATTTCTACAGCAACTCAGTTCCCGGTTATTGCGTGTGGCGTGTGCATTGCGCCGCCCACCGCAGCCCCCAAGCCAATTTTGTTTTCTCTTTGTCTGTGACGAGCCCCCGTCTGCCGGCTCGGCCGAGTCTCTCTTTTTTCCCTGTGGGATTCCTTTGGGCTTGCTTGCTTGGGGGGCTTACCGGGGCTTAATGATGGGCGTACAGAAACAAAAGAAAAAAAGAAAAAGATTAGAAAGGACTTAGGGACCTGAAACATTTTGTTGGCGGTCACGGATGGGGATGGGGGGGATCCCTGGTTGGGGCTTGGGGGTGGGCTTGGGGATGGTTCTTTGTTTTGTTTTTTTTTATTTTCTTTGGGGTTGTGGTTTGAGGGAGGGCATACATTAAAGAGGGCCTTCATGGGGTTGCTCACTTGTTTACCCTTTTTTTCTCTGTGTTTAACGTCCTATCCTCATTAGTTCTCCTTTTTCTGTTCATGCGGGTGTCTTATGGTTTCTTTTCCTCGTCAGAACTGTTTTGTTTCCTCAATTCTGCTGTAGGCTTTGGATTGTTTCCTTCTGCAGCCGCTGATAATATCTAGTGTGTCGACGACAGATTGGGAGGACTCTTAATTGTTTATTGTTTCCAACACTGCCGGAGAGAAAGATCCACGACTCCAACGACATGGCCAGTATGCTCGTCTATTCCGAGGTCAAGAGACTCTACACATCTCTGCAGGAGATCATGGGCCGCCGGAGGAAGCGCCAGCTTCAGATCGTATGTTCCCTATCCTGAGCTAACCAAGTCTCTCTCTAACTTTCTGTCGTTGTTTAGTCCGATCCCTTTGACTTCAAAAAAGAAGTCACCATCATCCCCGGTCTGACTGAAGACGAGTACGTTACCGTTTCCATCAGCCCAACCTCAGAACAAAACAGATCACCCTTTCAGACAGCACAATCCCTACTAACACCACTTACTCCCACGAACAGAATAACAGTCCTCCGCGAAAAAGCAGCCGCCTCCCGTCTCGGCATCGCCCACGCGCACAGCAACCCCCAGTTCTCAACCCATCACCGCCATCACCACCATCACCATCCTCACCATCATCATCCCCATCACAGCCATCATTCCCTCCCCAGCCGCGTCCGTTCCCGCCGATTTACCACCGCCACAACAGTCCCCACATCCTCCTCCCCATCCCTCGCAACTCCAAACTACTTCTTCCACACCCAAAGCCACGACGACATTGCCCTGCTTCCCCGTACCACGGGTATCAACACTGGCATCAACATCACCATCGATAGCGGCTCAAATAATAACACCCTAGGAAGTCCCCGAAGTCCTCAAAGTCCAGACAGTCAACTCAGCCCTCTAACTATCCTCCCTCTCTCTTCCCTTTCCGCCCCTCCAACGCCGGCGCCGCCGTCTATTTTCTCTGCGCCGCGGTCTCCGCCGCTTTCGGGGGGGTTTGTATGCTCCCCTCCGCCGTCGCCGGCGCCGGTAGTTATTACCTTATCAGGCACGTCCGCGATGGGTGACGTGATGGGCGGCGGTGGTGGTAATGGAAATGGGAATGGAGACGAGGATGAAGACGGGGCTGAGGGTAGGTATGGACAAGTTGCCGGGGGCTGGGGGATCGAGGGTATCAGTCACAGTCACAGCACCGGAAACGGATTCCTCGCCGTCCCCCCTCTGTCTCCGCCCCCGCTGTCACCGCCACCAAGGGTGTCGATGCCGATGGGATTTCCTGCTGCTTCGTCGTCACGATCACCGTCGCCGTCGCCATCTCCATCACCGCCACCACCTGTTCCTTGGACGGGCAGTACCGGGGAGCATGGGAGGAGGTATGCCTTCTGCGGTAGTGGTATTACCAGCGGTGGTGGTACAGGCCTGAGACCCCCAACCCCGCCGAAGCGAAACAGTGAGATGGTAGTTAACACCGCTTACAATCCTCACACTTCGCACCAGTGCGAGGGGAATGATGAAACAGATCCGTTGATCCCGGGAGTGGATATGAGCACAGGGCTCAAGGGAGGGTGCGTTTCGACTTCACCAATGGGAGGAAGAAAAGGAGGAGGAGGAGGAGGTCGGGAGGGGGGGTTGGATGTTCCGCCGTTTGAGGTGTCGCCTGTGGAAGCGGGGGATTATGGAGGGGTTGGTGACTGGGAAAGAGGGGCGGGGTTTGATGCTGGGAGTCCGGTTAGTACTTTGTCTTGTATTGGGGTGAATTGAGTAATTTTGGAGCAGGAGAGGAAAAAGGGGGGGGGGGAAGGGGGGATAATTGAGGGATGTAGGGTTTGGGTGCTTTGCCTGGGGTTGTTTGGGAAAGTGGGCGGTGTTGTGTTTTTGTGTTTTTGTTTCCCATATTTGTATTTTTATTTTTCTGGTGTCACTGCATTTGGGCGGAAAACACTGGGTGTTGTTGGGGAAAGCGCCGGAATTAATGGAGCTGGAACTAATAGGATGCAACTTGGAAACCAGGAAGATGTTGAAAAGCAAAGAATCCATAATGGATAAGGGCGTTCTCGCAGAATCAAGTCATCCGTCTATTTGGTGTCTATTCACTCCGCAGCAACCCACGCCTTAAACTCCCTCGGATCCTCCAACCTGGCCCCTTCCGTCTCCCCCTTAACATTCATCAACCCAACCTGAATCCCATGACTCTTACTCCACTCCCTCAAAAACCCTTCCACCCTCTTCTCTGTCTCCTCATCATCCCTCAACACCACCGCCGCCGCATCATACCCCCCGGCCCCAGGCACCACACTCCCCAACACCCCCTCCACCTTCTCCAACGCATCCAACATCTCCTCCTGACTCTCCGGCTCAATCGCCGCCCCAGACTTCTTCCCCAACCCCCTCATCAGCTCCCTAAACGGGCCCATCACTTTCTCGACAGACTCAACCTCCCCCCGTTTCAACGCCTTAGCCAGCGCGTCCACCTTCCCCTGTAACTTCCCATACACCTCCCCAGCAGCCTCCGGGTTCTCATCCCGCCATGCATGCACCTTCTTCACCATACTAACCGTCTGTGTCCCACAATCCACATCACACATCCGAATCGCCACACCCTTCGGCAACCCCACAGACTCCTTATCAATCTCATAATCCCACTTCCCCCCTTCCTTCTCTCCATCATCATCCACCAACCCCACCAAAGCCTCCGCAAACCCCGCCTCCCCCGGCCCCGGCAACGCCCCCAATAACCCCGGACTAAACCTTCGATACACACACGACCCATACACCGCGCTCGCCACATCAAACCCGCTTCCAATCTTCCCTTGCGCCGAGCAGTGCGCGACCTGCGCCAGGTTATGCAGGATGCGACGGCCGTGTGGGGTGGAGAGGTCGAAGAGTGCGGGGGGCAGGTAGTGGGCTAGGAGGGAGGCGGTGAGGGAAGTGACGATGGCGGCGGAGGAGCCGAGGCCTGTTTTGTGGGCGTTGCGGAGGGTTGTGCTGAAGTGTTGGAAGCGAGGGGGGTTGGAGGTGTTGGGGGTTGTGGTGGAATCCTGGGGTTTGGAGTAGTAGTCGTTGTCGGCTAGGACGAGGAGGGAGGCGGGTTCGAAGCCGCGGGTGGCGCGGGAGGGGTCGGCGTGGGAGATGTAGGAGAGGACGTAGTTGAGGGTGGTTTCGACGAAGTGGTTTGAGTCCACGGGCGTCCCCCTGAGAAAGGTCAGTTTGTGTGATATAGATAGTAGAGGAATGAAGACGTACGATTGCAACTGAGTGACCTTGATTCCACCGCCGTTGGCAACAAGATGATACCCAAACCTCCACGTAGCATTGAGGAACTGCGGGCTGCGTACAACGATTTCGCGAAGATGGACGCCGCTGCTGGTGGGAATCTCCTGGGCCAGGACGTGGATGCGGGCACTGAGCCCAAACACCAACCCGGTGTGCTTGCGGTCTAGCACAATGTAGCCGCCGGCTAGAAGCACCTTGCCAGGCGAAGACACCACCACGGTGCGGTCTACAGGATTTCCGGTCATTTTATCCAAGCTTATGCGTTGATAGAGTGGGGTGATGAGGATTTGGATTCAGGAGAGGTAAACAAGGCGCTTTGGGCTGATGATGGACTTGTGTGAGATTGAAACCGAGCTCAGATGTAGCTCAAAAGTGGAATAACAAGATCAAGGTCTTGGTTGTAAGTGTCCCGAAGAAATAAAATCCCCAGAAAGCTTTATGAAGCCAAGTCCAGCCCGTTACTTTTGAGCTCCGAATTGTGGTCCGTGAAGTTGTTTGCCCGAGCGAGGGGTAAAGCTCTCCGGCTGCGGGGCATAGAGCTGAGTGTAAAAATGTGGGGCTTGTAACACCCCACGCGATCCCAACGCGTTGGACAGCTGAGGCAAGGCGACGGGCTCAAGTTTACCATCAAATGTTGAGAAAGTCCATGACTCAGCGGAACAAGTTCGACATCTTTCGCTCACTCAAAATGTATAGCTCTGTTTATCCACAAGCACCGTGAACGAGAACTTGGGCTGGACCGTGCTATCCTTTCTAACCTTGTGTGCCTTCCACTTTTTGGTACGAGGCTAGAGCGGCGAGTCCCACGAAGGCGGCCAATGTTTGTAGAGCAAGAGCCGTGACGGCGTTGAAAACGCATCCCGTGCGGGTTCATTTGGGGATCACGCATGGTTGATGAAATCAAATTCTCCTCCTCTTCTTTGAGAGTGAGAGAACGAGAAACCACAAGATCTCGATGATTGGCCGGCATCAACATTGATGATGAAGACACAGTCGGTCGTTGATTGCCCATGGTCAACGGTGAAGTTCGCGAGCTTGGCGGCGGATCTCCGCTGTGCCGGCTCGAGGCCAGCAAGACAAACAACAGCCGAGCTGCCATGAATTTCGAGTCGGCCCCAGGCACATGCGGCGCCGGATTGGTGGCTGAGGCCATAACGCCCTTGGCACCGAGGCAACCAGCCTCGATCTCCCTGGCAGTGGTCATTTCCACTTGCGATGCGAGCGATTGCAAAATCGCAAGTGATGGTCAGGGCTCAAGCCTGCTGTGTTGCAACCCTCCTGTTGCAAATCGGGGTCATCTGCATGGCACATTTTTCCATTTGCGGAAAACAGAAAACAGAACAAACGGCCAAGGTGGAGATGAACTCGGGACATTCCCCAGCGGCGGCCAGTGACAAAAAAAACATCTCTTTCTTTGAAGACACGACTCGATGTGTATTTTGGTGTTCGAGTCAGCTTTGTTTCGCTGTGGTTCGTTGCCATCGCCGTGAACATGGCCTTCGAGAACCTTCTCGTTTCCCAGTGGAGAGCCACGCGCGGGCGAAAAAGGCTGAGGACGGGGTTCACTTTCCCAGCGGGATGGCGACGGCTTGGATTTGCTCCGCAATTTTGGTCGGGGCACTGGAAAGTGCGAAGCCCGAGGGCTTGAGATTGTTACTTGGCAACACCAGATGGGCCCGTGCTACAGGTACCTCACAGGCGGTTTGCACCGAGAACAGTGACCTGTCGGCTTCTCGAGCTGCTAACAGGGCATTTTTTCAGGGCCAAGAAAACCGGGGTAATGGCGGGCCCCGGGTGGTGGCCATTACCCCACACAAACCCTCCAAGGTTCTCTCGTTTCGCGTCCTGCTGCCGGTTTTTCTTCGTTCTTTTGACGTGGCCTTGGCCAAAATCCCTGGCTCCCCAGGCCGCGTCCGAGGGATCCGGGGCTAGGTTAAATTCGACTCGTCATCGCGATGGTTTGCCTAGAAGAGATTATGATACCACTGCCTTGCGATATGGTGGGTGGGAGTGAACCGTGGAACTGAGGCAGTGTAGAAGAGTGCGGGTGAGGCACGAAAGATGGCGGGATGGACTTCCGGCCGAGTAGGAGGTTTATCTCCGAGTGTCCCTGGATAGTTCCCTGGACAGTTCCTGTGCAAGAGGCAGTTTGGCGATATCTCCACGAATGGGATGTTACTGTTTGATCTGATAAGGTCGGATGGGAGGGCTGGCCGGAGGCTGACGCAACACATCGCCAAAGTCCGGACGAGCTGACACGCTCACACGCTCACACGAGCAATGCATAGCTGGCTTCAATGGGAGATTCTCAGTCATTTAGTCTACAAAAGGGCTGCCATATTTCCCATTGTGGTTGTACATTAATGTACACTCACGACGAGCAATTGCCCGAAATCGAAAAACTGCGAACTTCCCTGCTTGAATGCGTGCATTGGCGATCGAAGCTGCAGCCCGCACGGCACCTTCCCTCTGACTAAGAGGCCTTCCGAGTCCACCCGCAGCGCCGTTTGGAGCAGCGGCAGAAAAAAGTTTCGCCAATCCACACACGGCAACCCACCAATCCGTGTCAGCGCCCGCGTTCCCACGCCCGGGAAACCACTCCAAACCTGCGAAAAACAGCCGTTCCGTATTTGACAGCCACACCTCCCACACCTTGGTTTCCCTCTTCCCTTTTTCGACTTATTTTTCTCAATCTCCAAATATCTCAAACCACCATTTTCGGGTAGCGCGTTTATTTGGCGGCGTCATTGTCGTCAAATGAACCTGCAATTGCGCATCGCTCAATCTCTCCTTGTAAGTTTCGCACCACTCGTCGATCCCACTTTTTTTTTAGGTGCAGCATTCTTCCCTGCGTGGTCGTCTGTTGTCCTGCCTGCACTGCAAGGGACATACGATGAGGTTCAATATGGATGGACAACATGTAGCCTTTTGGAGGAGGCAGAACACCAGAACACTGTAAACGACAACATTCGAGGAACTACCCCGCTAACCTCAGGCCCTGATAGAATCCCTCCCCTCCAGGTGTCTCCTAAATGCCCTCCGTTTACTCGTCGGTTTTCCAGAGCTTTATCCGACAAGGATTCACAAAGTCTTTTACCCACGGCTACGCCCAGTCGGTCGTTGCCGCCACTCACCCTCATGTTCTAAACCCACAGAACCGGCCGTCGTTCGCACGGCGGCGCAATGCCGCCCGCGTCGGCCGTCTCACCAACCTCGGCCTGCAGTCTGCCTTCCACAACAACTCGTCGAACCTTCCGGTCACGAACAACAACAATGTAGAACGCCGACCCGACGCCGCCGCCGACAACCATGGCGGGTTGGACGCCTACTACGACCAGCTGCAGAAGACGCAGGACGCCGAGGAAGATGAGAAGGATTGGGTCCAGTTCCAGTTCCCCAAGCAGATCGAATGGAAGCCTACGCCGGCTTCCGTGCTCGTTGGCTCTGACGCCAAAACTCTCGCCCTTGATGCCGAGGAAACCGCGGACTCGGTCGCCGCCGACGATGCTGTGTCTGTCGGATCGGGCGTCCCAGCCGAGGCCCAGGCTGCTTTGGCGCACATTGACGCGGCGCTTGAGAGGGAGATTGAGGCACGGAGAGAGCTAGCGGAACTCGAGGAGAAAGTCGAGTCCCTGCGCGCCACCTCTCCTGTCGAGGCGGAGAAGCTTGCTGAAGAAATTCGCTCGCGCACCGCCACTCCTCTTTCCGCCGTCGAGACTCCCGCTACGACCGTCACCCCGCCCGTCGACCAGCAGTCCCAGACCTATGCCGACCATCTCGCCAAGCTTAGCGAGGCCGGCCGCCATGCCGAGATTCCGGCCGTTTTCGAGGCCATGCTGATCGGTGGTGTGCGCCCTATCGCTGCGGCATACAACGCTCTCCTCCAGGCGGCCATCCACATCCCGTCGGAGAAGTGGGAGGTCGTGACCAAGGCGCTGGATGTCTACGCTGACATGCTGCGTCGCAAGGTTTCCCCCGACAGCGAGACGTACAACGTGCTTGTCGGTCTGCTGGCCTCTCGCTCGCTCGAGATCTCCTCGCTGAAGCAGAACCTTGAGGACAAGCGGTTGCGCTTTGGTGGCATGGATGAGCCCGGCAAGTTCATGTTCACCTCTCACGAACTCGAACACGCCATCTTGGTTGAGGATGACCGCCTCGACCTGGCCATGAACTTGTTCAGGTCGTCGGTCAACCACAGCAAGGCCCAATACTCGTCCGAGACCTATCTTCAGATGATCTCGGCGTGTGCCCAAGCCGGCCGCATCTCCGACATGCTCCAGCTGTTCGGGTACATGGAGGCGAGCCAGACCACGCCATTTGCCGCCACGTTCCCTGCGATGATCACGGCGTTTGCCCGGTCTGGAGATCTTGTCAGTGCGGTCGAGTGTTACAACGAATACCGCAGCCTGGCCATGGCCCACGACCAAGGGGAGCCTGCGTTGCATGACCGTTCCGATGCTGAGGTGTATGCTGCCGTTGTTCACGGTTATGTCATCTCGGACAAGCTCGACGGTGCCAAGATCTTCTACTCCAAGATCTCTCGAGAGTACCCGGGGCCGGACTCTGAATTCAGGCAGATCGTCCTCGCCAGCGGCTTTATGAAAGGCTTCATTGATCGGCAAATGTGTTCCGAGGCTTTCAACTTCGCGACGAACATGACCGGGGAGTCGAAGAAGACGGCCATGAGCGATCTAGCGATTGCCGCGGCCGATCTCGGAGACCACAAGACCGGCCTCGCTGCGTTTGCCTGCCTGCCCACCCGGAGCGATGCCGCTGCGTCTGCGATTGCGCTCCTTGCCTCGTGTGTTCGTGAGGGCAATGTTCCTGCGGCTACACGCTTCTGGGAGGTTCTCTGCCATTCCAGCGTGAAGCCGACCGTGTCGTTCATTGAGCCCACCGCGATGTATGCCGTCGCCATGATCGGCTCGGGGCTCGTTGCTGACGGCTTGAACCAGGCGGATTTCATGTTCCAGCGCATTCGGGACGAGAACCCTCAGTTGGCGGATGAAGTCGAGGAGGGCACCCAGTTTGTGTCCAACTTCATGACGGCACGGGGGATCGTGGACCCACGCACTATCCCGGAACCCACCCCGCCTCAGTCGTTTGCCACGCCGCCTTTTCTTCAGACCGCGGCCGTTGCCAAAGAAGAGGACTCCTTTGACCCGTACTCGCACCACGTGGACTTGAGGGTCTCCGCTTTGATCCAGCACAATTTGGAATGGGTCGGCCCCGAGTCGAAGATGAAGGCGAAGCGCTGGGATTCCTTTGACAAGCTCCACAAGATGCGCCGCGCCGGCCGGCATCCCCGCTACATCATCTACGCCAAGCTCATCACGGCTGCCGGGAAGGAGGACTTCAACATGGCCGAGAACATCCTGGCCATGGCTCGCGAGGACGTACCGCCCCTGCCCCAATACCCAGCCGTCCGTCTCGGGTGGACTTGGATCCTGGATGCCATGATTGCCGCCTGTCTTCAGCATGGTCTCCGGGAGTTAGCTGAAAAGTACCACCAGGAGGTGCTGGCCATGGGGGCGACGCCCTCGGCCAACACTTATGGGCTGTACATCACCACGTTGCGCGACGCCGGCAAGGCGGTTGACGAGGCCACCGAAGCCCTGCAGATCTTTCTGCGGGCCAAGGCGGAAGGCGTCGAGCCCACTTCGTTCCTGTACAACACCGTGATCGGCAAGCTCGGCAAGGCCCGTCGCATTGACGACTGCCTGTTCTACTTTGCCGAGATGCGCGCCTTGGGGATCGTCCCGACTTCGGTAACATACGGAACTGTCATCAACGCCCTGTGCCGTGTTGGCGACGAGACGTTTGCCGAGGAGCTTTTCAACACGATGGAGGCCATGCCCAACTACAAGCCGCGACCGGCGCCGTACAACAGCATGATGCAGTTCTTCCTGACGACGAAGCGCAACAAGGCCAAGGTCATCGAGTACTACCAGCGCATGCTAAAGAACAAGATCGCGCCGACCGCCCACACCTTCAAGCTCCTGGTCGACAGCCATGCCACCCTGGAGCCGGTCGACATGGTGGCCGCGGAAGGGGTTCTTGAGGACATCAACCGCGCCGGGATGGCCCCCGAAGCCGTTCACTACGCTGCCCTGATCCACGCCCACGGTTGCATTCTCCATGACATGAAGAGCGCGCGCAAGGTTTTCGACAAGGTCACGAAGTCCGGCAACCGCGCCATGGTGACAAGTGCGTGCCTCTACCAGGCCCTCCTCGAGGCCATGGTCGCCAACCACGAAATCGCCGAGACCGAGTCGGTCGTTGAGTTAATGAAACGCCAGGGCGTGTCGCTAACCCCTTACATGGCCAACACGTTGATTCACGGTTGGGCGGCCGCCAACAATGTCGACAAGGCCAAAGAGATTTACGACGCTATCGCCCGTGTGAACCGCGAGCCGAGCACATACGAGGCAATGACACGAGCGTACCTGTCGGTCCCGCGCCGCGAGGATGCCAACAGTGTCGTCAGCGAGATGCTCACTCGCGGGTATGCGAGCGCGGTCGTCAACAAGGTGCTGGAGCTACTGGGTGGCCCGCGTCCGGAGGGCTCTGCCGCGTAGTCGGCCACTCAGCGCACGCATCGTCCCTGTTGTGGCTCTCTTTCTACTTCTTGTCGATACATTTTTCTCACTCTTATTTTTTCCTTTGCCTCTTTCCCATCTTCTCTTTTTCTTTTTTTTTCCGGCATGATACCCCTTCTGTGTGGAACGGAGAATCCGGCGGTGGGTGGGGTGTACGAGGACAAGTCACGGGTATGAAAGTGAAAGGGGTTTCAGAGTTGAGAAGAAAAAACAAACAGACGAAAAACCAAGGGGTCATAATATGACATGGGAAAGGGTCGCGGAAACAGGCAGAGGTGTACCTCCAGTTTCCTTATTTTCTCGTTTCTTTTTTTCCTTTGTCACATCTGTCATGACGGTATCAAAAACGGGCGATACCGCGGATCCAAAGCAAGGCGTTTTCATCGGCATAGAGCTCTTTTTTCACCTGCGGTCCCCCAAACCTGGCGGTTCCCTTGTGAGGCTCAGTTTGGGACAGGCGGGTGGGTTATGGCTTTTTTTCGTCGGTCTGTCATTTCAGAAAGGGGTTATCAGCATCATCATCATCATCATCATCATCAACCGGCGGTCGGACTGTGTGTGTGTGTGTTGGGGGGATTATTTCGGCTGGGCAAAATGGGCACTGGACCGGACTGGACTGGACTGGACTGGTGTGGTGTTTGTTCCATTTAGGCCTAGGCGCTTGGACGGCCGGTTGGTTGGTTTGCGTTGAACTCCCTGGCTCCCTGGGTGGGATGCAAAGAAAGGGACGGTGATGGGACAGGCCGGCGTTTTTTGTTTTGTTTGGTTTTGTTTGGGTTTCTTTTTTTAGAGAAGACCTGGCAAAGACACATCTCCACTCTGCATAGCGGGCAGCATTGATTTGTTGTTGGCTATGTATTATGATAGTAGAAATATCCAAGATACATTACCCTGTAACATGGTTTCGATTTGCTGTGATTGTTTTGAGTGGCCTGTCAAGCTTGATTCCAGCTCTCGTTCATTCGAATTGTTCCACTGGTAGATTGTATCATGTCTGGTGTTGATGAGAAACAACACACACACTGACACACAAGTACCCTCCCCTGTTTGCAGAACTGAGTCTTCTATCAATCTATCAACGACGTTTCTACTCTATTTAATCCCATCTATTCTTCCGACCCCCCTTTCTCCCGCTCACTTTTTTCTTCCCCTATCGTCTCTTCAACAGGTTTAACACCAGCCCCTACAACCGTCACTCCTGCTCCTGTTGTATCCGCAGCCGGCGCTTCCACGTCCTGCCTTTCCGCGGGCAAATCGTCTCTGCGTATCGCCCATCCCCCTGACCAACCGAACCAGCCTTTTTCTCGGGGGCCTCGGACAAGGCAGATGATTATTGCTGCTACTATGAAGGCGACTTTTCGTGAAGGATAAATATTAGTGCTTTTTCTCGGAGTGTTTACGCTCAGTAGGGTCATCACGGAGAGAAAAAGCAAGGGATATGTAAAACAACTGCGAGAGAAAAGAAAGAAAACAAGAAAGAACTCACTACTACAACTCCCACTATACCCCCACCCCCCCTGCGCAAACAACCGATTCCCCACCGCCGTCCCCGTCAACTGCCCACAAAACGACACCCCCATATACGCCGTATTCACCCGATTTCTCGCCCGCGGCCGAATCCCATAAATCGCCGCCCTCATCCCAATCTGCGTAAACTGCGATCCCACATCCACCGTCACAGCCTGCACCACGGGACCCGCCACATGCCAACTCCCTATACACGTACCCACCACCACGCCGGCCAACTCAACCGCTAGTCCTAGTAGGGCGGAGGCGAGGGGAACGACGCGGTCGATGACGAGGCGGGAGTAGATGGGTGCGGAGAGGATGACGATGATGCCGATGAGACCGAAGAGGGAGATGGGGAGACTGGGGTAGGAGAAGGGGGGCGAGGAGAGGAGGAAGGAGAGGGTCGTCCAGTAGGAGGTGAAGACTGCTGAGAGGAGGAAGGCGATGAGGGAGGCTTGGAGGAGGAGGGGTTCCGTGGGGAGGAGGTGGATGGTTGAGAGGAGGATTTGGAGGTAGGTTTTGAGGGTGAGAGTTCTTTTGGGATGGCTGCTGGGTTCTTCGTCTGTTGCTGCTGGTGTTGTCGCTGACGCTGCTGATATTTCTGATGGTGGTAGTGTTTCCGACGGTGAAGTTTCTGATGTTGATGCCTCGTCTTCTTCCCCGTCTTCCTTCATCCCCCCCGGGTTCTTACTCGGGTAATCAGGCAACCAGATATACAACCCCCCGGCCACCAACCACTGCACGCCCAGACCGAACCAGTAGATATTGCGCCAGGCTGTGTAGGCGGCCATGACGCCGGACAGGATGCGCGCCACCAGAATCCCCAGGGACAAACCAGAAACCACGATGGCGAGGGAGCTGGCGCGGCGGTGGGCCGGGGCAAGGTCGCCGACGAGGGGGAGCATGAGCTGTGGGGTGACGGTGGTGAAACCGGTCAGGAAGGAGATGGCGCTGAAGACGGGGAAGGAGGTGGTTAGGCAGAGGCCGAGCCACTGTTTATACGTTAGTTTAACTAGCTGTCATCACGCAGCTCGTAGGTTGATAAGGAGATTGAAGCAGTATGAGTTGACTCTAAGTGGTGAGGACATACCATTGTCGCGGTGAATGCCACAAGGCCTATAATAAACGGCCTCCGGGGAAAGACATCGCCCAGCGGGCAGATCAGGACCAAACCACCGGCATACCCGGCTTGCATCAGCGTGGCCACTGACGAGGCGCGCTCGAAGGACACGGCAAAGGTCTCGGCGATGCGGTTCAGGATGGCCTGGTTGTAGTATAAATTTGCGACGGTAAAGCATGAGGCCTTGGGGTTGTCAATTAGATAAGACTTCAAATATGAGGGAGGATCAAGAGAGAAGCTTACAAAGCCAAACAGGATATTCAACCAGAGCGTGAACTTTGGAGGTTTCTCCGGGTCGTAGCGTGCCGGCTTGGGCTGCCATTTCCACGCTTTGTGTAGTAACACATGGTATCGCTGTAGTCGTGATGATGATGGATGTGGTGTCTCGGAATCTTGTGTGGTCTCTTCGCTAGATTCCGGCATCCGTTGTTCGGTGTGCTCTAACCCGGAAGCCGAGACAGCGGGGTCCCTTGTGCGACTGTCATGGGCGGTTTTCTCACCCACCATTGTTCTTATAATGTTTTAATATCTACAAAATCTCCTTTTTTCGCCTCTCGGTATTCAAGACAAAAATTGACCGAGGCGTTGAAAACACAGAACACCAAAGCGGGGGTGATATCATGAGTGCTACGCAAGACCAAAAAATCCAACGTTGGAATGTTACAAGGGTGAAAGTTGACCCGAGCGTTATCAGTCTACAATGTAGGTAGTTTATTCCCGTGCTGTTGTGCGAGGTGCTATGATAAGTAACCCAACTCGCTCGGGGACATCATTATAGATAAACATCCGGGAAGGCCCACTTGGAGTACAACTCCCGTTGTTGACGCCATCAAGCTTGTGAGAAGGAGAGGTTCGTGCGACGGTGCTCGGTGGGTTTCTCCCCCGCTATTGTTCTGATAATGTTTTAATACCTACCAGTTTTCCTTTTTTGTACACAAAAGTTCCGTTTCTGCTCAGAAGCACCTAGAACTGGTCGCCTTAAAGGTGAAAAATCACACCGTTTAAATAGCAAGGAAGCCCAAAAGCTGTCGTTGTAGGAGGGTGAAAACGTGAATCTGGACCTCCGTAATCATCAACTTCCTTTTTGGGGTCTAAGTGGATGACTCAGCATAACTTAGGTCACGTACTGAAAACGTTGTTTGGAAGTAAACGGTAGCGAACACGTACGGAGTACTATGTACTTCGTTTCTTAGTTCCGTTTTTCTCATTGATGTTGCGGTATGATTCTAACATTCGCCTTTCAATCGCCGCAAATCTTGTCCCTCGTCTTTCAAGAAGAAAAATTGGATTAAATAAAAATACCTTGCCGCGACATGCGCAGGGTTGCAGCCCGACTCTTTCTAACTACTGCGTATATTACGAAGTACACTCTCGACGGCCTGATGCTGAGTGCCAGGATCGGTTCGGTTACCGTTACGTAACGGCTGGCATCTGGGAGCGGCTCGGAGTCCGTGAGCGGTTCGGGATCCGTGAGCGGCTCGGAATCCGTGAGTGGCTCTTCCCCGTGTGCGGCTCGTGGTCACGTGGGCCCCCAACCGACCACACCTCGCAGAGTCTCCCACATAATTACTGCCTACTATGTAACCGCATCCTGCAGAGCATTGAGCGCACCCACAATAACCGAGGTGGATGGAGGCTATCAAATTGCGAGAGGTGGATTGAGCTACACGGCGTGCCAGCAAAGGGGGGGAAGGGGGGGTAATGTATAACGGCCCAACGGGACAAGAGAACCGACAAGCTGCATTGCAGAAGGGTAGAGCCCTGATTATCCCGGCGGGTAGTGTGGGTGTGGGTGGTACATGGGACACTCTGCAAGGTGTGATGGGTGTGTTGAAAACTCTGCAAGATGCGGGTATGTTGATGGTTTGGCAGGTGTGTGGACGGCTCCTTCCTTGCTTCAATCATGGAAGTGGTTTCCATAGGTATGTATGAACCACTTATTTTGTAAATAGCTCCTTCCTCGGAGCGGTGATTTTACTTTGCAAGCCGCCCCTGAACGGTCTAAACTTGGAGACTGTTCACCCCTGGGAGCCGCTCATTTTGCTAACCCGTGAAGTATAGTTACATCGTGCGTCAAACATCCAAAGAATCCAAATCAAAGTTCATCGTGTTGAGCACTACCCGAAACAATATCCTTAGCAATACCCGTCCAGAACGCACACGTATTCTTGGTATTTTGGCTGTCCGAGATCAAGACATATGGCTCCTGGCCGGCCGCAGCGCGGACCTGCAGCACGCCCGACAGCGCGTCGGTACTCCCGTCCGCCGTGGACCAAGAGGCAACGCCCGGCGGAGGGTCAAGCCCGCCCAGGTTGGCGTTGGGGTCGCCCGTGGCAGCGAAGGATGCCAGGCAGTTCTGATAGACGGGCGCCACGGTCTGATTGAGCGAGGCGGCGTACAGCCCGGCAAAAAAACTCGAAATGCCTATTTTGATGAGCAGGGCCTTGGCCTCGTCGGCGTTGTTCATAAACAGCGGGATCAGGTCGGCCGCGTGGTAGGCGTAGCCGCTCGTGGGGAAGCCGTACGAGATCATGCGCGACGAGGACGGGTAGGCGTCGAAGAGATTGCGCGTGTTGCAGGTGAAGAAGCCGTCTTGGATCACCAACCGGAGGCAGTTGTTGTAGTCGCCATTGGAGGGCGGCTCTGTGCAATTGTAGCGCTGGCGGATGGCCAGTCGCTCGGGGGCTAGGGCTGTGCCCGGCAGGAATGTCTCGAGGAACTTGTCGAAGGATGCCTGGGAGTTGACATTTTTCGGGGTGAAGGAATAGGCCTCGTTCTCGCAGTGCGAGATGATGGAGGGACCCACTCCCTTCCAGACTTTGTCTGCAGAAAGCCCTGGTTAGCCACTCGTGATACAGCGGGAGAGCTTTGGTCGATTCACGCGTACTCTGCGACAGGGTGACTGCCGGGATGGACTTGATCCATTTTCCGTCCACGGCTGGGCCAACAGGAAAGAGGCCCGTCTGCCGGACAGCATCAAAGAGGTCTTGGTTGGCACGCCGCAGCGTCTCGATGCTTGCCGTGCGTAAGCAGTCGATATCGTAATCGCCCTCACAACCCGCGAGCTTCGAGAACTGGCTGAAGATGTGGTCGAGTCGTCCACCGGGGCTGTTATCCCAGGCCCACTCAAAAGCCGGGCTCTGCGCAAAGAATGTCTGGAACTGCGGATCCTGTGTGCCATCGTTGCGGATGAGGTGGTGGAGGATGGAACCGGCACCGGCTTGGGGTCGCCGTTCGCAAGATGGATGTACTGCTGCACCCACTGCAACAGCAGAGCCTGGTCGTACAAGCCCGCATTTGGCTGCCCGACCTGTTCCATGTAGTGGCCGGCTAGCCAGCCAAAAGCGCCGACGCGGTAGTTGCCGACGACGAAGATGGTCTTGTACTGTGCCGCGCGCAGCAGTGCCCGTCCTGTGTATAACGGGCCTTCTTGATCCTTGCTCCCAAAGGCATAAGCGCCGCCGTAAATCCAAACCACAACGGGAAGCGATGGAGTTGACGGACCACCCGCGAGGGCACTCTTGGGAACGTAAAGATCGAGAAATAGACAGTCTTCGGTCTGGGTACCGTTGGGATCCTCGCCGATGGGATTGTCACCGCCTGGAGGATGTTCTGCTGCCGTGCGGTCGATCTGGATGCAGCTCAGGGACTCCTGGCCGAAGCTCTTGTAAACAGTGTTGTCGCTAGAGGTTGGGAAGGACGGAGTGCTGAAGCGTTCAGGCTCTGCGCCGAAGCGGACATTTTTGAACAAGATGATCTAAGAGAGAGAAGCGATGGTGTGTTAGAATCCACTCAGCTCCCACTTCTCAACACGAAGAAGATCACGCCTGCACTGGATAACTGAGATATTGCGACCTACGTTGTCCTCATCGGCCAGCGGTTGTCCTTCCCAAGTTCCCCACGGCAAGACTAGTTTTGGATTGTCAATTACGGCTATGGCCGGTGCGGATAGGGCCAGAAATGCCAGCCATGTAGATGAAGTCAACCTCATGGTGTGAATCGTGCGTCTAGGCAACCTAAAGACTAAGGACGTCGACGCAAGAAATCCCGCACATGGAGTCTACCTGAGGAACCTAAGTCCCCTGAGGGTAGTCCTTATACAAGTCCGAGCGATCTATCCATCTTTCATCTCCCGACACACTCCCCTTCAGTTGACTAAGTACGTTGGGCACCATGTCCACGCAAAGTCACTGCCAAAGCATACAGCTCATAGCCAACGAGGTATTTCCACATTCCAAGTATCAAGTTTGTTTGTTTTGATCCTCAATACCACCGAAACCGCCAGACCTAAGAACCGCCATAGACATGGCCCCCAGTGTACACTACACGTGGACGGCCCCAACGGCCAACGCCCAATATGCCCCCGCGGCTGAAACCCTGATGGGGTCCATTGGCTTACTCACAAGTCCCCGCCGTTGATCAACCCCAGGCCGGCCCAGACATCCTTTCCACTGCATGTCCGCCATGGATCCATGAACAAAGTTAATTACGTCTACACTACAACCTCGGTGGCCGCAATCAGGAAATTCAGGCCATGTTACCTTCAGCTCCGCAGGGCCACGTTAATATCACAGCTGCTGTATGTATGTATCTCACTAACTTCAGCAGTTTCAGCTCGTCGCATACCGTGTATCCCTTCCATTTCCAGTCTCCTCGCATGGGCGCTGAAACCACACAGGCGGCGACATGCCACCTACCAGACGCCGTGGTCGGCAAGAATTGTCCAGGAAAGGCCAAGACTAGTTAGCCCGCTGCACCAGGTCCCAGCTGAGTACTCTCGACCCGAGCCTTTGCAGGCGCCCATCGCGGGACCAGCCGAGCTCACTGTTTCCAAAAGAAATTCCCTGGTTGCGCCAAGCCCTTCCTTGGCGTACAGTATGCCAAACTCAGCCTTTAACCACTGCCTTCCAGATGCGTTTGGCGTTGGAGCGTTGGAGCCCTGGAGCCCAAGGGGCAAGAGGGCATACTTTGACTGCTCGAGACTGATTTATTTGGCTTTGTTGGGGAGCAAGGAGGAGAGCATGATGACCACGACGGCAACGTCAAGAACTCGACCATTGGCCGTGGAGGGGCAAGAGGGGTTAAGGGTGAAGGCTGGCCTACAGTATGAATAGCCATCTCTAAGCACTTCGCACATGGGCAGCGCCCTGGGCTTAGCGCAGCTCGGGAATTTCTTTTGCAACGGTGCTCCATGCAGAGTAGCATCAACGTTCCATACCATGTCGGGACGGGAGCACGACATTTGCACAACCCCCGGCTAGGTACCGAGGGAAGCGCGGCAAGGTAGGTAAATTTGACTTCAATTCAGGAAAACAGACGCTGGCCAGAGAGATCGAATGGAACTGAAGTACATGACACCCCGCTTTTTTTGCCCCTTCTCTTTCTCATGCTTCATTCAGAGACAGATGTCCTCAGAACTTAGAAGGCCAGGATCTTGTAGTCTCCGTCGTAGTGGCCGTTAAACTTGATCTTCAGGTCCAGGTGGATCCAGAGCTCGTTTCCGTTTTTGAGATAGAACTTGATCGCACCACTGACGACGAAGAGATCGACCGATAAGCCCACGCCGTCTTTGAGGTTTCCATAGATGTTGCCGAGGTGGATGCCCACCACGCTCACGCTGACTCCAATCCCGTAGGTGTCGGTATCAATATAGCCGCTAACCTAAACACAACAAAAGTCTACCGTCAGAGGCAGGTCCTCTTTGCGCACAGTCCCGTTAGGAACAGGTGAGTTGATACTAACCTTGATAGGACCGAAGCCCCAATCGATCCCAACGTGACCCGGGGCGTCTCCGGGGGGCAGGTTGTGCTGCACCTCCGTCTGTGTGGCTTTCCAGATGGTGTCGCCCTCCTCCGGGGCAGTGAGGCTGATGATGGCACCTAGGATACCAGTAAGCATGAGCAATCTTCGGGACTGAGAATCTCGAATACTCTAAACTTACCAACGTTGGTCTCGGACATGTTTGCGGTGGTACTGGGAGTAACTAAGGTGGAGGATTTGGGGATGGGTAAACAGAAGCTGTCAATGAGTTGGTTCGTTGATGAGGATGAATCTGTCAGAAAACGCTTCCAAAGCGGGTGTACTGGCCTCCTTAAATGCTTCTCTCGCGAGAGCATCAGACGTCCATGATGTGCTTGCCAGGAGGACTTGAGCAAGCCGATGTCGCAATCCCGTCATTCTCCTTGCCAAACTCAACACAGCAAACCACATATTAGTCTGCAAGCACGAGAATGCACAAAGGTTGCCGGTAAAAGGGGGCTACATGGACCAGTAAACAGACTCGCGCACGCATAACCAACCAGATGCGTTCGTCACGGCGAGCTGTCTCGCACCAGCTCCCCACTTCGCTGCAATACCCGATCTTTACACTTAGTATCTTGGCCTCCTGAGGGACGAGGTGCGTCTAAATGTGACGTTGGTCGCAGCTGGTACGGCACACAATATCTCGCCACCATTCTTGTTGGCCGCGGCTGGCGCGGTATAGAACATCTCACCACCTTTCGTAACCGATCTCTGATCTAGCTTGTTAGGAAAGAAGGGCTGGCGAAATCTGGTCTGCCTTGGAGAAACCCAGCAAGACGAAAGGAGCCCCCTCGGGAGATGATGCGTGTCTGAATGTAGCATCGGTCGCGGTTAGCACGGCACACAATATCTCACCACCATTCTTTTCGGTCGCGGCTGGCGCGGTGTACAATATCTTACCCCGTTTCTTTGCTGATCTCTGATCCAGCGGGGAAAGAAGCGGCGGGGAAACCTGATCCGCCTTCTCGAGATGCAGATGCATCAAGACCAAGGGAGGCAGAAGACATGTGGGGTGATGACGCATATCTGTCAAACTCGGACCATTCTCTTGATGGTGGCGCTGCTGAGAAGGAAGTGAGGGGAAGCAGCGGTAACTTCACTGGCGAAACCTCAAGGGACTTGTTGTTTGACGGTGGAGAGGAAGAAGGTGGGGGGGGGCTTCAGCGAGCTGCTCTGAACCTCATCGCGACGGTGTCTTGCCAATTCCACCATCGGCTTATAACCAACCGCGTTTGCCGCGCCCCCTCGGGTCTTCACTTTGTTTTAAAGCTCCACATCCGTCTTCCCAGTCTCTTCTCCATCCTTGCCAACAGAAGTCCGGTTTCGCTCCCGTCTTGCCCGTACCTACCTTTCCACAATGAGTGACGAAGTCCCGTACTACTGCAGCGCCGAGGCGCTCTGGGACGTCGAGGGGGAGGAAGATGTGGATCTCCCTGTTACCAACCTGACCGGCGGGGAGGATGGCCCCCCTGACATGGCTCTGGACCCTGCGTGGTTCTGGAAAAACGGCGAAAAGATCAAGGTCCGTTTTCTCGACGGCTCCCCCGTGTTGCAGGCCAGGGTTCGCACCTACGCGGAGGAGTGGGAGAAGTATGCCAACATTGACTTCGTCTTTGTCACCGAGGGCAACGCCAGCATCCGCGTACGCTTCAAGAACCCGCGGGACCCGAAGGACAAGACCACCGACTCGCAGCTGGGCACTGGGGCCAAGAAGTTCGTCATCGACCAGAATCAGCCGACCATGCGGCTCTACTCGCTCAACGATGATACCAAAGATGACGAGGTTTGCCGGGTGGTGCTGCACGAGTTTGGCCACGCGCTCGGTTGCGTGCATGAGCACCAGAGCCTGGCGGCCAAGATCGAGTGGAACGAGGAGCAGGTGTTCGCCGACGCCAAGAAGTTCTACCACTGGGACAAGGAGAAGGCGCGCAACCAGATCATGAAGGTGAACGAGCAGGCCACGCTGCACTCGAGCTTTGATCCCAAATCCATCATGTGCTACATGATCCCGCCCAAGTGGACCAAGAACGGCCGCGGCGTCAAAAAGAACCTGACGTTGTCCGAGACCGACATCAGCTTCATCCGCAAGGCGTACCCCTTTCGCACGCGCAACGCTGGCCGGCTGAGCGTGGTCCCGGAGATTCGCCCAATCTACCCGCCGCTCGCGCTCAACTCAAAAGTGATCGATTTCGACCCGCCGTACACGGCCACGCCGCGGGTCGTCCTCGGCCTGACGCTGCTCGACGCCTCGCACGAAACCAATGTCCGCGTGCACCTGCACACCCCGTCGGAAAGCGAGCGCGGCAAGGCCAGCTTTACGCTTAACTTGGATGCCTGGGCCGACACGAAGCTGTATAATGCTGCAGCCACTTGGCTAGAATTCAGCAGGGGTGAGGTCGAATACGAGGGTATGTTTCTACTATCCCTTAGCTCGTGCACCGTCAATGACCCCTTTGTCGTCCACTTATCCTGCACCACTGACCGTTCCCCTAATTACCTACCTACCCTTCCTCTCCTTTTCGCCCCGCCTTATTCACGGTTTTACATTCATCACTAACCAAGGCACGGGAATTTTCCCCAGTTGGCGAATACAACACCCTCGACACTCGGCCCAACTTTAGGCAACCCGCACTCCCTTCCCCAGACAATCCTGGCCTCCGGCGCGACATATCCCACGTCGACTTCCGCAAGGGGAAATACACCTCCCCGCCCAACATCCTCATCTGGCTCACGGCATTTGACTTCGACAACCGGTATAACTGGCGCGTGCGAGCGGCGGCACACAACGTGACTGCCTCCGGCTTCGACGTGGTCATCGAGTCGTGGGGCGACACAACCCTGTACAGCGCGGCGGCCGAGTGGGTGGCGTACCCCAAAGACCAGGCCGGTGTGTTGAGTGGGCGGGTGAGTTCGAACGATTACAGGAACTGGTTCCCCGCACAGGCTGGGAATCAGGGCAAGGTGAGGTTTGCGGTGCCGTTTGAACGGCTTAATCCGAAGGTGTTTATGGCGCTGAGTGAGTTGGATATGGACTCCTCGCGCAACTTGAGGGTCAAGGTGTATGCCGACAGGGTGTCGAGTGAGGGGTTCACGTGGCATGGGGATGCATGGGAAGATAGTCTCTTGTATTCCGTGGGCGCGGATTGGATTGCCTTTGGGTAGGGTTTGAAAGTAGGCAGAACGATGAGGAGAACGATGAGGAGAACGATGAGGAGAACGATGAGGAGAATGAGAGAGGGACGACGAGGAGGACAATGGGGAGAATAACTACCTTAGCACACTAGCCGGTAACCCGCAACACATAATATGCACAATGTGATCTGACAACGTACCATAGGTATCGAAAGACGTACGATACCACCAGCGTTCCTGCTGTTTTTGGCCGATGGAGCCTCCCCTTTTTGGTAATTATTGTAATTGATAAACTACCTTACCTAGGTAGGTACCTACCACACCACAACCACTAACCTCACAGCCACCAACCTAACAACTGCAGCAAGGCTCGGAACCGGGGGCGCGGTCCTGGTGCCGAAAGAATGCACCGCCATCGCGAATGCGCGGGGCGCGTGCTGAGGGGACTCATGAGGCAGGGAGGTCTTGTGGAATGGGGAAAACGCGAATTTGGACCTCTGTTTGGGCTCTAAGCTGCTGGCTCAGCATTACTTAGGTCACGCGCTAAGAACGTCGTCTGGAAGTAAACGGACGGTAGAGAACGCGGACACTGTCAGGTCTACAATTCCGTTGCTCAATTCCGGTTTTCTCATCTATCCCGCGGCGTGATTCTAAAATTTTCCTTGTAACAGCAAGTTCCGCCAACGCGTCCGCAAATCTTGTCTCCCTACTCAACATAGTACGTATGCGTCTCGACTCTTGAGGCTTATTACTTACTACTATGTATGTCATGTTAGCAGCTGGGAAGCTGAGTTGGGCGTGCCGCATGCGGGGTGATAAGCCCCATTCTTTCCATGGAACAACCGTTGGAAACGGTTCTCACTCCGGGGATCCTGATTGGAGATAATAATAACTTGTGATGAGCTTCATCGCGGCGGAAATGCTTGACTGCTCGATGGTCACACCGGCGAGCGACCTACCGGCCTTGGCGGGACAGGACAGGAGAGGCTTTTCCCAAGATGCTGGGTTCGAGTCTCATCATTTACCGGGACGGGTTTCTCAGCTCCCCTGTTGCATGTACCGTTGGGTACATATACGTTAAGCGGTTAGGTGGGAGGCTCGGTAGGAGGGTAGCATGTAGCTGTAGTTGATGGGGATCGACGCCGGCAGTGGGGAGCTACATACATCCGCCCATGCGCTAGTGTGTGAACCATGTACGAGACCACAGCTGAGGCAACTTTACGCAAGCGCCATTGAGCCAATTGCGCGACCAGACGAGTCATGTAATTAATACAAACTGAAAAACATGACGTTCCGCGTCTTTCTCTTTTCCTTTTCATGTTCCAGAGACAGATGTCTCAGAAAGTCATGATCTTATACTACCCCTTGAAAGGGCCGCTAGACTTAACATCCGGGTTCAGATCGATATTGACCTGGGCTCCTTTACCGATATAGAACTTGATGTCACTGCTGGCGGCGAAGAGATCAGCCCTTAAGCCGACGACGCCGTCCTTGAGGTTTCCAGTCACCTTGGGGATCGTGACGCCCGCCACTGTCACGCGCGTGAGAGAGATCAGACACCATAATGTGCCTGCCGGGAGCATTTGGGCAAGCTGATGTCTCCATAGCCCATACCGTCATTTCCCCTTGCCGAAGTGACCACAACAAATCACATATTAGTCCGCAAGCACGAGCATGCACGAAGGTAGCTGAAGAAGGGGGCTACGGAAGTTCGTCACGTCGAGCTATCCCGCTTCGCTACAATACCCCCTCTTTACGCCTAGTGACTTGCCCTCCCGAAGGATGATGTACCTCTGAATGTGACTTCGGTCGCGGCTGGCGCGGCACACAGTATCTAGCCACTTACGTGCTACCTTTCTTTACCAATTTCTAATCTAACTAGGAAAGAAGTGGTTGGGAAAACGGATTGGCCTTCTACAAGTGTCGAGATACAGCAAGACTGAAAGAGAGGGAAGATGTGCGTGTTAATCACGTATATCCGTCAACCTCAGACCATCCTCTTGATGGTGGTGCTGCCGAGGGGGAAAGCAGAGTAACAGCACCAGGTTCACGGACCAAACCTCAAAGACTTGCTGCTTGGAGTAACCTGATGTCTAGCTCACACGCTCCCCCAAACGGGAATAGCCGGACGAATGTACTCGACGCTTAAAAGGTTGGTATGCAAATGATCTGTTTTTCTCTGTGATGAGCAGCCTCGGGGAAATCAGCTGTTGCGATTCTCTCAGTGAAAAGCACAAAAAAGGTTAAAAAAAAAAAAGAAAGGACCCAAAAAGCTCACCGCCAAGGCCTATCCCCATCCGGAGGGATAGACATTGGCAGCTACGAAAATCTTCCGGTGAAGATTTTACTTCACTGGCCCTGGGAATCGAACCCAGAGCCACTTCGATTTACGACTGAAGTTGGCGTGCTTAGAGCGCCTCCCGATGCCGCTGAGCCAAACACCGCTGTTTGGCTCTACTGGGAGGCGCCGGTGAAAGGGCAAGCAAGAAACTACCTTATAAGGGGTAGACTGGGGAGGGAGGGCAGGCGCGCGGTTTGCAGGATTTGGCGCTGAATATGGGGGCTGGTTGGAGCCTTGGGATGGAAGGAGACCTCAAAATTATGATAAGAGGAGTTTTCCATGGGGGTTCACAACCGCCTTGGTTTGCGATGATCGAGGAGACACAGAACAGAAGGTAATAAGAAGTAAAGGTCATACAATGCCGGTATAAAGAAAACAAATTCACATCATGTATCCATATGACCCGAGTATCTCAACCCCGAGTACCACGCTCACCGGTAGTTGTGGTCATAAATGGTATACATCTCATGCCCCGCCTCTTCCTTCTCCTTCTTCTTCTTCGTAAACCTCCACATGCAAAAGTACACCGGTACTATAATGACCAGCAGCCCAAGAGCTACTGCAATGTAAGCCAGCAGAAATACCGTCTTTTGCTCCGACAATTTAAGACCCCTGTCATCATGATTGTCAGTCCGCCATACTACCCTCGCCATATTTTAGGAGAATAGACACCACTTACAGCCCAATATTTACCAACGTGAGCACCCAGATCAGCCGACACGTCCACCGATGGATAATCGCCAACAGGCGAGTGCTCTCTGGGGGTTCCTGGCCGCGTTGCTTGGCAGAACGCTTGATCCAAGACAGTGCAATACCCCATAGGAACATGATGGTGAGTACGGCAAACGCGATGAGGCCGAGGACTTGGTGGGGGGTGCGGTATTGTTGGGTCTGGTGAGGATGTTCATACATTAGTATTGGCTCCTTGGTATCATAGTCAAGCAGCGTTTACTAGACTTGCTTAAACCAAACGGGAGGTAAGTATCGTGGGGACACACCGCAACATGCTCCCGACTGATCATGACACCGGGCACAAATGCCCCAATCACAAAGGCAAAGTACACGGTCGCTGTGATGCCGTGCATCCAAGCCCATCGCGACCCCATTGCGCCCGCTACCAACGAGTCGAAAGGAGCCACCGCCAGGGTGGCAATCCCGTACACAATCCCGTGAGCCGTGGCGGCCGTGTTTGAGTCTTGATGCAATTCGCCGCTGTTGAGGATGGTATCCGACCCGGAGGCGGATGCGCTGCCAGAGATAGCTGAACTAATGCCGCCTGGGCCGGTGGCTTTCAGGAGGTTGATGTTGAACTTGGCTGTGCTCGACACGGTTAGCTTTTGTTCAGTTCCCAGTGGTTTTAAAAGGGGTGACAATACCATAAGCAACATGTCGACGGATTTCAGCAGCCAAATCATCAGACTTAAGGTCAAGGTCCGGACCGACAGCGAACATCATGGGCGCAGCTGAGCCAACCTTGGTAAATGCCTGGCAGCCATGGCAAGTGGCGTTCACGATCATGTCGGAGTTGTCGTTTACAGCGGACATGTGGACTGTCACTTTGGTTTCGGGTGCGTGTACCGGTTCCGTGTTACCCCTGAAAGCTGTGTTAAAGACCGGGTACCCTTTCGGTTGCGTGGAAGGAGGCCACTTACGTTGATCTGCGTGGACTGACAGTTACCCCTGTTGAAGATGCATACGATTAGAACTGTTAAGTGTTGGATAAAGCGGGGTGTCAAGATTTATTACCTTTTCCATCTTCGGATGGATACAGTACCAGAATCAGCGCATCTGACATGGACGTCCCAAACCCGATGGCCGTGTACTGGTACCAATCTGGCGTTGTGGCATAAAAGTTGATATCATCTGAGTTGGGGGGAATGTTGAAGGAGACGATGCTGTCGGTGTCGGGTACGAAGAGAGTTGATATGGCCGACTGTGCTCTGACTGGGGATAAATGTGTGATGGTGACTTTCTGGTCAGAGAGACTCATCAAAGTCCTGTTCCACTTGACTTACAAAGAAGCAACCATTGTAACCACCACCTGGTGCGGGCGTTGGACAACATGTTGGGATTCGAAGTGCTGTTTTACGACACCTTACCGAAATTTCGCCAGAAAAGCGGGATTGAAGGCTGATGACTTTTGGCGGTCTCTGCTTCCAAGAAAGTGGCTTGAAGCTCGATCAAGGCGACCACCGTGGAACGAAACTCTTGAACTCTAACCGTGGATATTGAGTCGTGAGGAGAATGAAGAAGTTTAAGATCCCCCCTCTTCCGGGAGGGCTGAGAAGCCTTTCTCTATCCTTCACTACCTCCATGGTCACATGGCAGCACCAGCACCAAACCGCATTAACGGTCTGTGATGGGCTCCTGGTGATGGCCCAGACAAGGCGCGTAAAGGTTGCAGTGGTCCATGACAATTGGTGTTGCAAGCGCCCAGGAACGGGTCTCCAGCCAATCAAGTTCTCAGGGTTAAAAATACACACTGGAAACCCCCCTGCTTTCAACATTTTTGGAGGAGTCTGTGTTCGAGAATAACAAGAGAAGGAATTATCTTTAAGAACCTGCATATGTGCGTGAGCCGTCCCCTTGAGGAAACCTCTCTAATAGAGGACTTGAGGAACCCAGGAAAGGGGCGGCCATGCTCTCAGAAAAGGAAGGGCCTCTGGGGTTGAGCCAGGGTTAGGGTTACCATGGCGCAATGCATAATCATGCCGTGGTTTGTTGGCTGCAGGTTCGCGCTCTGGCTCCTTTCTTCTTCTTTTAACCTGTCTTCTCTCAGCTTGTGATCAACGTCTATCACCGGATAACCCATCGCACCATGGCAGTCCGCATCTTAGTCCTCTTTTCACAACCTGTGTTGAAGATGAATGCTACACCGGTGCTTTATCTCCAAAGGCGCTGGCTTGGCACGTGATGCCCCAGGCGCGCAAAGCCAGTACTTGCCTTCCGTGACTTGCTTTGAGGGAGGAAGAGCATGGGACAACAAGACCATGGTACTCCATGCTTTCCTTTCGCTAGTGCTACTAAATCTTCCCTTTTCGTCTCATCACCACCGGGTTGTGTATTTTTTTAATTCTTTTTTCACGGATTTTCTTGCCCACCCGGAAGTTCTAGTCGGCCGATTCGATTTTCTTCTGAAGTCTATCCGCTAAGGGGTGAAAGCGAAAATCGAGGGAAAATAGAATACATGCAGCTTTACTGCGGTGTTGAGTGCCCCGCAACGCCACCACCATTCACCAATTGAGCCGGATTGTTTCGGCCCGGCTTGTCCCAGTCCTCCGAAAATGCCGTCCAGAAAGAAGAAAACGAAATCACAGGACCAAAAAGAGCAATCAACTGCCCAGTTGTCCGCACCCACCCCTTCTTCAGAGACGTTGCCCATACCTGGGGTATCCACGGAGGCCGGCACAACCCCACAACCGCCCGAACAGGTTCTTATGATATGTAGAAACAAGTACGTTCTCTTCCTGCTAACACTATACTATTCTGTCATTATATTGTGGACCGGCTGTCATGCACTGGCAATGCCTCCGTATCGGCGGAACACCCCCCGTTACACACCATTACACCCTTAACCGCTTATGGATGGTTAACTACTATCTTGGATGAATGAAGAAGAGACTGACTCCTTACCCATAGGCACTGGAAATACATCTCGTCCTTCATGGGATCATGGTCACACATCCCTTTTGAGGTTCTCGAGACTATTGCCAATGCGAACTACAGCGCTCCACGGCCACGGCCTGTTGATCCAGGGGTCCTCTTCGACCTGGTCAAGATCCGGAGGCTTGTCGATGAAGCTACGGACCTCGCCGTGCGTGCCGCGAGCGGCGTTGCCTTTCTCGGCCCGCAGAACACGAGCGGGGTCCCATCTCATATGCAGGCGTTAGGACTAGGGTTTGGTCACCAGTCACAGCCACAGACGAGATTGAGTCCGGAGAGGAAGCACCGGATGAGAGAGCAGGCGGTCCACAGGCTAGCAGAGGCATACCGGATTGATGAGATCATCGCCAGTGTGGCCAGCATGCAAAGCACATCGTCTCTCGAGGAGGTAGCCTCCTTGGTCCTTCAGCGCAATCCCGGCAACGCTGACGCCAAATACGTCCAATTCTTCCACGAGAAGATTCCAAGCCGGCAGGTGGCGGGTAAGACTGACCTGACCATCTTGGATAAGATCATTGGCGCTGTCACGATAAACCCGGGGCTTTTACGAACCAGAGGCGTGGTACGCACTTACAATGAAGACTACCAGAACGCAGCCAAGGACCTGACGGAAGCCCTCAGGGTTCATCTCCTTTATAATCCTGTGCACAAATCTCCCATCTTGAACCAGGACGAGCCATCTTTGGACACCGCAGCTTCGAGGAAACATGGGGAGGTCAAACTAAAAGAGGAGGACCAGCCCACTACTTTGGACATACAGTTGCACTTCCAGCGGGCTGGCGCCTGGTTGAATGTTGCTGCTAACTACATCAGCGCCGCTTTTCCTGCTAACGTGCCCATCGGCGAGGCACAGTCCGGATCGCAGGGGCCATCACCGACAGACGAGGCACAAAAGAAAATGGCTGAAGCAAGAAAGCTGGTACGACAGAATGCGAAGAAGGCGCTGCGTGACTACACCGCCTTTCTCTCTCATTTCGAATACTCGCCTAATCTGCCGATTGAGATCGCCGACGAATTCACTCGCAAAGTGGTGAGTGCCGAGGGCCGAACACCGCGATCTCATACCTATAAGCGGTTGAGCTCATCCGGAGCCGCATCTAAACCTCACCGCGTTTATGCACTCCCCGAGCTGTTTACTTCATCCCCGCCGGCGGGTCTACCGCCGTACCCGAGCACGGAAGACGCCTCTGAAGCTGCTCCTGGAGCTCCTTCGCTAGCACTAGGGAGTGAGCCTTGGATTACAACCGAAATCTTGACGTTCCACCCTTTGGTGCCTGAAGCGCTTCACTCTCTCCTGCTCTGTCACTGTTTGATCCAGACATCGACCAAAGAACTCCTCCGGCACGCGAACATGGTGGCACGACTCATCCGCCTTGCTGATGGGTATCCGTTCTTTCAGCCAAGCTGGTGTCCGGCTAAGATAGAATGGATGAGGGTGATCCGCACAACAAAAGATTGGTTACACCTCTCCGACACGTGGCATAATCTCTGCAAACTCGACCCTCTCCCGCAGTTTTATTGCACGGGCGAGGACACTGTGCCCGTGCCAGTCCCTCCACACATTGCCCAAATGGCCCAACTTACCACAGACCAACGGCTCGGCAGTTCTCCCGCGCAGCCCGACCAACCACCTACCTCCCAGGAAGACACCAAGCGGACTGCCTCCCACGACGATAGGCTCGCAGACGAACCCGCAGTCCGCATGGCCATCCAGGCACGCCAGATGCTCGCCGAACGCGAGCACCACATGGACAAAACTGTCACCTCGATGGATCCTGAGCTCATGGGTTATGACCTAGACGAGGCCCAGGCCGGAGCTCACGGTTCTAACACCACCACTACCATTCCCACTGCTGACAGCCGTACTAAGCCGCAGCAGCAGGAGCAGCAGCTGCGGTGGAGCCTTACCCCGGGACCTGGATCAGACCAACCGCCCGCGGGTGTGATTCACCGCGCCAATCGGATTATCCAATGGGTTACCCAAGCGCCCCCGCCGGCTACTAGGACGGGGGCAGGTGGTGGTGGTGAAGGTGGTACGCGACGGCGGAAGAAGAAGAAGGGTGGCGCTAGCGCGACTGCTGCGTTGAGGAAGCCTGCCGGGTCTTCTGAGGCTCAAGTTGGTGAAGGGGGTTCTCAGGGGGATGGTGAAGGGGAGGAGGGGCAGGAGGAGTAAGGAGGAGCTGAAAAAAGCGAAACAATACATAACGAGGTGCGCAGTCGTGCCCATTTGGGGACCGGGATGAAATCACGTTATGGCAGGTGGAAACCTGTCTGTATGAAGTGTTGTACAAGTAGCTAATAGTACCTGGAGTCTTCCAAGTACTATTGTTAAGATTAGTGTTTGGGTCTTTGGCCCGTTGTATCTCGTATGAAGCGCAGCCACATGTCGGGGATGAAAGTATAGCGCTAATGTAGAAATAGAAACCAAACAAACACTTGCCAAAAGCACTCGCACACTGTTACTGTTTGTGAATTCCTTATATTGATTGGTATAAGCAAACAATGCCCACAACTATAGCCTGGTTGAGACTGTCCGGTCACGACTGAAGTCCGATCACGACGAAAGCCCGATGACAACTAAAGTCCAGTCAGGATCAAATAAAGCCTGGTCGGTCTAGATCCAAAACAATGGGGTAATCTCTCCGGTATAGAGTAACCAAAAACAAAACAAAAACAAGACGCCATATTAGTAGTACCTTCAATCCTTCCAGCTGGCCGGCTCGCGGTATCTCCATCCAGATTTTAACCTGACAAAAACGCGCTTTCTGAAGTTCGTTCAGCTCTCCCATCTCTCAGACCCCCAAAGTCCGTCACAGCCCCCTCACATATCCATCCATCAATACCATCCATTCACACCTTCTATGAGCCCTCAGTAACAGTACCCTCAGCAAAACACCGAGTTACGTCCAAGCTGTAGGGTGTTTAGCAATAGAAAGAAACCCCTACCTAAGCCCACTGCACACCTCCACCTTGCCCGTGTCCTTGTCCCGGACCTTGACCTGGTACTCCAACATTCACACCTACACCACCCACACCACCCACGGGCACACCACCTACACCAACACCCATCCCCATACCCAAATTCAAGAAACTGTCAATATCACTCATCCCGTCCGTCTCTAGCATATCCATCAGCTCCAACTGCTGTTCATGGCTGAGACTTCCCTGCCGCAGACTCAAAAAGGCAGAGTCGGCCGGGTTATGATGGGGGTTGTGAGGATGGTGGGGATGGTAATAGTCGCCTGACATTCTTGGGATGGGACCCGGGTAGAGGGTGTTGTTGTTGCTGGTGGTGGTGTTAGGGGGTCCGCCTGGGGGAGCGAAGCCGTCTTGAGGGTTTGCGTTTGGCGTTGCGCCGAAACCGAGGTTCCAGTTTGTGGCGTTGGGGTTGGCGTTAGGGGCCCCGGGGGCGTGGGGTTGGTGTCCGTTGGGAGCGATTTCGCCGGTGAAGGGATTCGGGTTTCCGTTCCAGAAGGGTGAGGGGTTGCCGGTGGAGAAGACGTTGGGCGGGACGAACGGTGGGAGGGGGTTGTACCAGTCGGTTGGGCCGTGAGATGGCGGCGGCCGTGGTGGGGGATGTTGCGAGGCCTGGTGCTGTGGCTGTTGCTGAGAGTGTGGTACGGGATGTTGGGGGTTGATGAAAGTTGGTGGAGGCGGTCTTTGGGCTGCCTGCCTTGGATGTGGTTGTGGTGGTGGTGGTTGCTGCTGGTGGTTCTTAAAGGTCGGAGGATACATGTCGAGTGGTTCTTGCTTCACTTGGACCATCGGAGCCGGAGTTTGGTGAGGGCCCGGCACTGGGTTTACATGGTGAGGCGTAGGTGTCTGCATTGGACTGGCGTGACCCGCTGCTGTGGTAGCTAGCCTCGGTGAAGTATGGGCACCTTGAACACCCTGAGCCTGAGCTGATAACGCGGTGAGCGTCTCAGGGGGGGTGGGAATCGTGTTCATCGGAGGGGTGTTTATGAGCTGTGACTGCTCTTGTTTCGGTATCACTAATAAAGGCGGTGGTGTGGTTCCCATTCGCGCTGGCGCATGTGCATCGCTAGAGTCAGGTGCAAGGTTCGATAGTCGCCGGCCGTTGGCGTCTGTGGACGGGCTCATAAATATTGAGTTAGAGCGGAACGTCGGTTGGTGTTGGAAAGGTGAAGAGTCATCCTCGAAGGTGAACTGCGTGGTCAGTGGGTCCGTAGTTCCGTCGAACACGTATCCGAATGGAGACGAGTTATTGAACAGTGATGTCGCTGACTGCGGCTGTGTCTGACGAGTCGGGGTGTTTCTGGAGCCTTCTGATTCGGGAGATAAGGGGCCGGCTAGAGACACCGGAGTTCCAAGTTGGCTGCTGGACGGTGGCGAAGGGGTTTCCTCTTCAATATCGTAGCTTTGAAGGCACGCATTTGCTATGACCGTGTACAACTGAACGGCGGACTCTGACCCTGGCCAGCGATCCGAGAAGATTTTGATAGCCTCGAGAGCTGCGGCTACAATATCTTGAACAACTTCTCGGCTGTGGTTGTTGCGTACATCTACGTACGAGATAGACCATAGTAGAGCGTTCAAGGCCGCGTAGACGGATAATAACGACTCCCAGGTGATGTCAACGGTGCCTTCTTGGATTTGTCGACAAGTTAGATCGATAATGGTACGGGAGCTTTCAAAGCATTTCGCAGCTCCGTTGGTACTCGGCTTGGGTAGTTGCACCGAGGGACGGTAAAGGGAAATGACCATGCCGTGGTAACATCCTTGCAGCCTGTCACTATTGTTAACCAAATATCCCACCAGTGGCTAGAGATCCAAAACAAAATCTTACCAAGGTTTGCACCATGCGGGTTTCTCAGGACACCCCTCCAGCCAGTCCGTGAGCCTTTGTTCCATCTGAAGAAACCAAGGGTGGGTCTCATGAGCCGGTTCTGGTCGTTTCTTTTCGTAAAGTACCCGGCGAATTTCCGCTTGTAAAATTCTCATCTTGCAGAAATGAACAGCAACCATCTTTCCCTCACAAGGGCGACCAGGGCGAATTCCTTCTGGTGTGATGTCTTCATCCACGACCGTTTCGAAGAATTTGACATTCATGAAGTCGTCGGCCTTGGCGAACCCATTGGGGCGGCCCATGGTATTGGCCAAACCAAACTCTTGCGCGGTGACTGTCCAGCTCACTCGTCTTCTCACGTCGAGAGCTCGTGGGTCTGAGACGCCCACCCCTATCGTTCGTTCGTCGCCCAGGCCCATCTGTTGGCAGATCCGTGTCGCTAAGCCAGTAACGTAGTAAGTCGCTGTCCTCGTTGGCGTCATGAGTGAGTACTGGCTAATCAAAACCAAGCACTGTAGAGTCTTGAGGTCCTGAGGGCGAACGACATCTTCAAATCGGCGCATTGCGTTGAGATAGTAACTGTCGGGCAGCCCGGCGTATTTGCCCACTCTCTGCAAACCAATGGCTACCACCATGTTGACGACAAAGTGTTTGTAGGGGTCAGCGTCACCTGCAAACACCGCATTTAGGTCCTCCGCAAACATCGTCTCGTGTAAAATAGGGGTAAACACTTGAACTGTTCCTCAGGATTAGCATGGCCACATATCCCCATCGGTCGCAGATTGGGCAAGCGGGTTATCTTACTCCTATCGTTGAAAGCCCGCACCAAGCCATCAACAATCTCCCTACTAGGCAAGGCAGATGCAGGGATGATACTGTGCGCCGGGTAGCTCTTTGTCCTGCCAGATGGCCCACTGATGCTACTCCCCATCACGATGCTCTGCATACGGTCTCTCCGCCTTGCCAGCACAGCAGGAATCAGGTTGGCTATCCTCCGTGACTCCGCATATCTCTTTGCCTCTTCCATCAAAAGACGGGTCATAGCGGTGCCACTGCTGGGCCCAAGGTAGCGTGGGATCTCATCGGTTTCGTCGAGTCGAACAATGCCGCCGGGAAACACCATGTCGTCGTGTTCGTGGGAAGCATCCCCATCTTGGTCCGTGAACTGGGCGAGCTCAGCCTCGAGCTGGCGCACCTTCTTTTGGAGACTGACGACGTAGGAACGACTGATCCGCTTCCCCTTGGTGCTGTCGTAGTACTCGCACGTCGCGCCGGATCGTTCGCAAGGAAGGCATCGTGGTAAGGCGGGGTCGCATCTTGTTTTCCTCTGTGTTGACAAGGGCAGTTAGACGGGGACATCCTCGGCGGGGCTCTGTGTACAACGGGAGAAAAAGATACAAAGAAAGAACCTACTTGACGGCATCTGCAGCATGCCGTGAGGGTATGCGCAACGCGGTGGGGTGCATCATGTGCGTCCTGCTCAGGACTGTCCCATGGATACGGCCCCGGCAGTGGAGGTCTCCCGGCGAAGAAGTGCTGGGGCGGGAGGACCGAGCCCAGCGACTGGTGGAAGACGGCGGCAGGGTCCATTGATGCTACCGGCGGTGGCTATGCCCTTTCCCGACCCAAAGCTCTGCAAGACAACGGTGCCGGCAGTGTTTGCGCAGAAATGTCACGTTTGAACTAGGGAATCGCGGTGGTGAGTGACCAAGTGGTGATGGGGGTTCGAGGGTTTCGACTCCAGGAAACATGCAGAAATCCGGGTCACAGGCACTTCTCGCATCGTCGTTTGAAACATTTACCGGGCCGAGCCCACGTCGACTGATATGACGTTGAGTGAAGCCTCGATCGGGACATCGTGGGTGTGGAAAAAGGGAACAACTGAGCTCGGCAGATGCAAGCTTGCAGTTGGGGCGTCACCTAGGGCGGGTTTGGCACTCGACCGCCTCGTGCGCTTTCCCTGATTCGCTAGTTGCCTATTCGGGTCCTGCCGAGTATCAATGCAAGTCGAGGGCTTGCTCTTGAGACCTTAAAGCGGCCGTCTCTCGTCACTTTTCAGCCCGAAGCTGAAATTCATCCATCAAGCATTGTGGAACAGGCCCTCAAGTTTGAAATTTTCGTATTTCCTCTGTCAATTTCTGTCCGCATCGTAAGTCGATCCTCATCACAAATCCAAGACTCGAAAAGAAAGAAGCCCCAATCGATGCGGGGTTGGCAAAGCCGGCGCAGAGTGGGGCGCCAGGGTCGTCTCAGGTCTCTTACCCCACCTTTCAGGCGGCTGGCCGGGTTGTTGCGGGGCTGTCCGATCCAAGCTTCGCAAGCGCGCCCCACCAAAAAGGAAGTCGCGACAAAATATTGACACCGGAAAAGGGGCTGGGGTCGCCTGAATTTTGCCCAAACTTAAGAGTTTACAACGGTGGTTGTGAGATAGGGACCGATGATATAACCGCAGAAATAGCGTTATATTTTAATTCCTTAAATTCTACAAACCGGAACGTGTCTTTGGGAATCTTCATCGAGTCCGAGGTCACATGACGCACGGGCCACCGTCCCTTGGTTCCTGTCAACCGACGACCACAAAGAAGCATCGCAGCTCCCACCAAGTCGATCCTAATGAAGTTTGGAGCAAGAGAAACCGAGACACGACATTGTTCGCAATAATTCTGTTTGATTTTCATGGAACTTTGTCACGGAGCTGAAGTTCGCCTGTTACTCGTGCGCCCATTTGGCCTCGCCCACTCCCTCCCAAGTCGCTTCTGTCGCGACGTAGAGATACCTCAGAGACACAGTGACGAAACGCGATCTGCTTGAGTCCGGATGCGTTTTTACGCCGGCTCATAGGTTGGTGGAACATTCATTTGACCAGCCGCCGCAGACAGCCCGCAGCGCAATACGGAATATTCCCACCAGGAATCTCACTGCGCTTTGCCAAGACCCAGTCGGCGTTGCCTCACCTTCAAAGATCATCTCCGTCAGAACTCGGATTTGAACTGTTTCTGCGTATTTAACGATATATGTCAACATTTTGTTCCTAGCTTGTGATCCTCAGATAGAAACCGATTTCTGAGAGGACGCTCTGAACCGTCGCAGTTTGGCGGTGGTTTTCACGATGCTTCATTCAAGCTTGGTAGACAGCCCTCTACTCAAGGTTTCCAGACCGGTCTCTGCTTGCTCAAGATGTAAGAATCTCTTGAAAGTCATCCCTTGAGCTTCACTAATTCTTTCTATCAGGTCGTTCTGCCAAAGTCAAGGTACTTGACCTACACCGCTTCCGTGTCATGGATGTCCCACGCGGATGCTCGACTAACACTTTCGCCAGTGCGACAACAAACTTCCAGCTTGCACAGCTTGCGAGAGAGCCGGGCGGGAGAAAGATTGTACCGCAGCCAATGACCAATTTGCTCGCGGCAAGGAAAGGAGGTGAGAGATTGAATTGTCTTGCGAGGCTGCCGTTGCGTGTGGCTAACTAACCCCTGTGCTTTAGCTATGTCGCCGCCTTGGAGCTTAGGATAGAGAAGCTCGAGAGGAGACTCACATACGCGCGCTCAACCAAAGCATCCGTAGCTTTACACGGTCCCGAGGACCATCAAACTGCCGACCCAGGTCGGAAAGATTCCCTTGCCTTCATCCGAGCAGCCATCCATCGAAAAGCGGCTCGGACCCAAGAGAATGCCGATATCAACACGCTGGTGTCCGACTTTGGCTATCTGTAAGTACCCTCTGGGGATTGCTTGACGTGACAGTTAGACTAAAGGTCTTTGCAGCGCCGTTAATACAACCACCCGTGACTTTGAGCCGTCCGAGTCGAACATGACGTTCGCACGCCTGGTTTTAGCAGCGTCTACCAATGAGCCGGTTCCAGAGCCAGAATCCGGTAACCTCCCACCAGAAGCGACGGCGAGAAGCCTGGTCGAATTTTATGAGACCAGCGTCTTGCCACTTTACCCAGCATTCCCCGGCACCACTCTGCACGCGTTAGTCAGTGACCTCTACCAGGAACGGCCGCGTCAAATTCGGAGTTCTGAGTACTGGTTGTTCTGGATGGTTCTCGCGATCTCGTCTGTGGGACAAAGCCGCAACCGCCAAGATGAACACTACCAGAACGGCGTTGAGTTTGTCGCTCGTGCTTTGCCACATGCCGACCGAGCGCTAAGACCAGGTTATGGGACACAGGTCCAGTCTTTGCTGCTGCTAACGCAGTACTCGATGCTGGACCCGGCCCATTTCGATAGCTGGCACCCAATCGGGTTTGCGTGCCGTGCTGTGGTTGACCAAGGGTTGCATCAAGATCCACCAAACAGCCAGCAGATTAGTCCCGATGCACTGGACGAGCGCCGGCGGATTTTCTACTGCGTATACGCCCTCGATAGGTAAGGATTGATGCTGCACTCATCTTGTTCCTCCCGAAATCCCTTACTAACAATGTCCTAGGGCAATAAGCATGACCCATGCTCGCGCATTCTCTTTCTACGACGCCGCTGCTTCTGTGGCGCTCCCATCACCAGCACCTGCGAGTGGCGCCGTTGCGGCCGGTGCAATGACCAAACCGTCCCAGGACGCCTCTGTCCCCCTCTTCAGGCTCCGTCAGCTGCAATCAGATTGGTACCAAGCGCTCTATCAGGGCAACCCAGCGGAGCCCCTACCGGATGCCACCTCGTTCATTTGGCAAAAGTACTTTGAAATGTGGGAGTGGTCAGAAAGACTACCCCCCGACCTCCCGTCGACCATTCGTGAGCTGCTCGATCTGGAGTTGCGTTACAGCTATGTGTACTGCATCGCTTCCAGCGCTAGGGGTGCTCAAGTCCCAGCTTATGGGAGGCTGTTGATCTTTGATCATGTCATCTCGTACATTGACCGCATTTATGAGATTGCCAGTTCATCCGCCAACTCGGCGTTTTACACCTACCACGATGCTCTTCGAGTCTTTTTCATGGGATCGCAGTTTGTCGCAGTGCTTCGCGACATTGGCGATATCCTTCTGTCAGGTTCAAATATCCCAGTCCCCCCGCAAACCCCTGGAAAGGTTTCTGCGCCTCCGAGGCCGGTCAGACTAGACAGATCCTCGGGCGACAACTTGGATCGCAGCCTGCGCTGTTTGGAGAGGGTCAAACTTACACTCGGACTGTATGGGAACCGGTGGGATCACGCACTAGCATTGAGGAACAGCTTTGAGATGATCTCCTCTGAGGTGTGGACGAATTTGTCGACCAGACGGAGCATGAGAGACGGAGCCGTGGGTGCCCGGTGGTAGGCTGGGCCGCTTGGTTTGCTCGCCAAGTTCAACCGCCCTTTATCGAACGCAAGTCACAGAGCGTTTGGGAAATTCGGTTGCACAGTATGTACAGGATGAAGGCCAAACGATAGGTTCCGGGCGCGGGTTCTTCAGTAACGCGATGCGAGAGCGAGAAAAGATTAAGCTTAGCGGCGAAAGAGACGGACGAAGCTCCCTTTGCGGATGTCCCGGGCCGGCTTTGCTCTCCCCTGAGGTCCGGGGGCTTCGGAGGGCTCGGGTACCAAGAACATTGCCCGAACGGTCCCTTCATCATTCTGCGCACTTTCGGGTCGCACTTTCGGCGTTCGTCGAGTAGCTGACCGACCGCCCTGCACTGCGACCTGCGGCTTGCCTCTAAGCGTTGTTAGTTGCGGACAAAGGCGCCTAAGTCAGGGGTCAATCAGGACGATTCTATCAAATGCAGATTCATCATGCAGCCGGGTTCGTCTAGCAGGTTGGTGTTACCGGCCCGAAATGAAGTGGAGCAACACTGGAAGGCTACTTCGTCTTCGTGCATAGTGAAGCGCGTGGCTTGCTCGGGCGGGTGACTGCATCATGTAACCGAATGAATGGTGTTTCTGGTGGGAAGTCTCAGGCTGGAAAGGTAATTATGCATATCGACGTTTGAAGTCATTTCCAAGCCTTGCCGTATCCCTCGGAACGCATTCCGCTCGGATGGCGTAGCCGGAATTGGGTCCACTGAGAAACGCTGGCTCCAGATCTTGACCACGGCCCGCTCTCCCTGTTAAGCGGCATGACAGTGCGGGAAGAGGGGAAAGTCTCGGGGGTGTCTGACCATTACGTTCCCGACCCGCCACTTCGGTCCCGGAACCCGAAGGGGGGTGCCGGGCACAAACCGCGTCGTGAGGGATACTAAGGAAAACCGGCGTTTACTAGCGGGTACCAACCGGCCATTGGTGGTGTCCGTTTGTGAGCCAACGACACGGCCGAACAGCACAGTCAACGAAATAGTCGGAAGGCCGGGAACGGAGATGATATATAACATCCAAACCCAATATCATGCTGGTCACACCAAGTCTCACCTACCACCGATGACACCGGACGCTTGCATTTCCCGCCAGATTACACTGATAGCTCCCAACACGTACCTCGCTGCCGTGCATCCTCTCCGCAAGTACCGCGCTGACCCTACGACGTGTCTCGGGGACCTTATCAGATAGGTCTTTTTCTAAGACGGAAATCTGGTCCTGTGCCGTGAGAAATCAGGTATCAGGACGATCCTGTCTCCGTTTTCCAAGTTGCAAAGGGACATGCGATCGAAGCGATCAAGACAATGGAGAGTTTTGTCAAGCTTTGCGAGGCCCCCGGTGGCATACCGCCGAGAAACCGCGACATGCCAACGCCAGACCTCAGCCCGATTTCCGATATTGAAGAAAAGCACAAGCGGGACGGTAGTTTAGGGCTAAGACAAGGCCCAGTCGATAACAGCACACAGACAGAGAACATGGCAAGGGGCAGCAACACCATCACCAACCCGCAGCATGCTTCTCAGGGACCCGCAGTCCAAAAGTCTTACCTCCAAGAGCTTAGCACCAAGATTACGGACAACATCTCGCAACTCGGTCATGACGACACCGCGGGGATCAAGGCGGCCACGGCAGCCCTTGAGCTGGCGGCTTTACTTCGTCCGCCCGGTGATACCATCATGGGTTGGTTTGCCAACATGTCGGTCGTCTCGGCGGTGAGATTATTTCTTCACTGGGGTTGCTTTGAAGTTATTCCGGAGGGCAAAGGCGAGAGCATCTCGTATTCCCAGCTCTCGACAAAGGTGAACGTCGATGTGCAGCTTCTCAGTATGTATTCCCGCTCCTCTCCTCTAACGGAAAGTCATGACTAACCCGACTTGGCAGCACGGATTGCCTCGATGCTTACGTCTGCACACATCCTTCTTCATCATCCCGCGTCTTCCACATCCTCCCAGACTTCTGGCCCTTCCCTATCTCACACGCCGACCTCGGCCCTCCTTCGCCCCGGCCAACCCATGTGCGCCATGTTCTCCCTGATGTTCAACAATGTCGCCGCTGTTTCTACCATCCTTCCAGACTACTTTGACGCCTATGGCCGCGTCGAACCGCTTGGGCCTGCTCACATCCCAACCTCGTACCTGGCGGGCCACCCAGAGGAGGATTACTTTTCATTGTTGAAAAGGGATGAAGTGGCGTTGAGAAACTTTGGGATGGCGATGCGCATGACGAGCGCGAGGGTTCCGGTTACGACAATAGATGGGCTGGAAAGGGTGGTGGAGGATGTGGTGAGGACGCACATGGAGTCGGGGAGAAGCAGGGGCGAGGACAGGGCAGAGGATGAGAACATAATGTGGGTGGATGTTGGGGGCGGAGATGGCCATACTGTGAGTGATTTCTTGGTCAAGTTCCCGAGTATCAAGGGGGAATATTGCGTGGTACAAGATTTGGATGAGGTGGTGGCTAGCGCAGGGAAGGCCGGGGAAAGGGATGTGTTGTTGAAGGGAGTGAGATGGGTGGCGATGGATTTCTTACAAGAGGCGCCCGTTAAAGGTATATCTCCTCCCCTTTCTTTTCTATGTTTTGCACCGCTGCTCTCTCTTAGGAAGCTCAACTAACCGGAGACCAGGTGCCTTTGTTTACTACCTTCGTCATATCTTCCGTGATTACTCGGATCCCGTAGCGGCCACCATCCTGCGCAACATTGCCCACGCCATGACCAACCCAGCTGCGCGCGTCCTCATTTCAGAGCAGCTGCATCCAGATGTGATGGCGCCTGAACCCGGATCTGTGACAGCGGGAGGACAGACAACAGAAGTGAGAGAGGAAAAGGGGCAGGGTAAACCTCCGGTACCGCTGTACGCAGCGTTCAAGGACTTTTCGATGCTGGCCATTGGCGGCAAGGAACGCTCGCTAGAGCAGTTTCGAGGGTTGGCGCACATGGCGGGGATGAGAGTGTCTGAGGTGTACCAAAATCGGGAGACGAGGCATGCGGTTGTGGAGATGAGGTTAGCTGGAGGGTTGAGTGTGGCTGGGTAGGGTCTGAGTGCTGAAGTTGGGCACTGGATGGTGGAAGCAGGTTATCGGCCATCTAGGAGCCATAGTGAATTATGTAGACATTTTGAGTGAATGTGTCTGAAGCCAGTTTACCGAACGACGATATCTGACACCGATTAAACGTCAATATAATGAACAGTCAGGGTAAGTCCCTTCACTACCCGCCTACTTACACAACCCCCTTCCCATCTCATATCCCCTTAAACTTCAATCCTCTACCCAGCCTTGACATACCTAATTTCCCAACTAATCAATCCCTCCTCTTCCCAGCCCCCGTCCCAACAGAACTACCCGTCCCACTGCCACTAGCACTCCCACTACCACCCCCCGTTCCACTACCGCCAGCCGCAGCACCCTTACTAGCAGCCCCCTCACTCCGCATCCCCTCACAACCCGTCAGGCGCCCAGCAATTTCCTCGGCCCTACCATAGCCAGAGGTGGCTGGATCGCGTTGGCCTGCTGCAGCCTGGAGCGAGGCACGCGCGTGCGCTTTGTCTTGCGCGCCGGAGGCCGACCAGGCTTGGGAGCCTGTTATGGTTCCTACTGCTGCCTTTTGGGGACTTACGTTAATGGTGTGGTAGGGGGTTGTGGATGTTGCGTTGGGGGGAAAAGCTTGGGAAATAAGGTAGGATGGAGTGGGGTTTAGGGGTATGTTGTAGGAAGGCTAGCCCCAAGGGGATGATCTTGAATTTTGAGAGGGAGGGGGATGATGAGGGGGGAGAAAAGGGGGTAAATACCTCGGCGGCGCCCTTGATGTACTCGGCATGGCCGGACCAGAGACCGGTTTGACCAGGCTGGCCGGGCTGGTTTTGGGGGGTGTTGGAGGACATGATGATTAGACGCGGTTTGATAGCTAGATATTGTCTGGACGTTTGGTAAATGGTTTGCTTAATCGTTGAAGAAGCTAGAATGAGGGAGGATAAAGGGAGTTAAGAGACCAGAGATGATGTCGTGTGGGTTGGCATGGTGTGACGTCACGGAGATGGTGGGCTGATTCGTTCGGCCGTCCGGTGTCGACGGTCTAGGCGGTGCTATTCAGGCTGCTCCAATTTAGACACGAAGCTGAATAATGAAGAAAGCGGTTATTTCACTTCTTGAGACGTGAGTTTTCTCGAGACCCGAGTTTAATAAATAAGAAACATCAATAAAGGATACCTAACCTCAGCTTGGCTTATACCCACTTTCCTTCCTTCCCTCCCTCTCAACTCCAACAGCCCTTATAACCCACCCTTCCGCTACCAGTTTCCAACAGCCCCCCCATCCGGCAAATGGCCAACCGCGGATGGCGCATTTGGGGGGACGCGGGCAGCACCGCTGCCTGCTTGCTCCCCTTCCTAAGTTTGATTCAGGGAGGGGGCACCACAGCAAAATTCTTCAGGATTTTCGTAGCCGTCTACTTCCTCCCGGAGGAAGTGGGCAGTGAGCATTTGGAGTTTTGTTTTTACATCCTTTTCTTTTTTTCCTTTGTCAATTTGAGAGAAACGCTTGTTGACAGACAGTAACTATAACTAGTCAATTGGTTGTTAAATGGATACATGGAGTACATATATCCAAGGAAAACAATAAAATAATTACGGTAACTAAACTCCATTGCTATTTTAGAGCGACGTACAGCTAACGCAACAAGTGTAAGTTTATATTGCTTGTAACATGTCTCCGTATGACCAAACCACCAATCCACCGCTAGCTAGTCAGCTTCTTTCCTCCTCGACAGGTGTAAAGAAGCGATCGCCGGCGCGGTAGTACAAGCCAGCACCCTCGGATTAGCGCCGCACTTCTCGTGGGGAATGTGGCTAAACCCGGTATACCGAGTCTCAGTTTACAGAGTCCGTGGCTTGCTGTGCGTTGTCTACAAAACCCCCGCATCGGTAATCCGGATCTACCGTGTCGTAATCCAGGTTCTAGTTTGACTCTCTCACCTATCAAACAACAATTTGCGCTTGCCACTACCAATCATATACTCCCATCATTTAGTAGTCGAACCTACCAACCATTCGCCAAAGATCAAACCAATCAAGCAGGAACCCGGAACCCAACCAACTCGTTGGTAGCGACCTGTATCTACCCTCCCGCATCCCCACGACTCGGGTGGCGCCAACTGAGACATCTGCGGCCGCCGCATAGTTGGCGTTACCTTTCCCGATGGGACAAACCACGGAGATCCTCAGGAGGTCCGGGGGGCTAGACTCTAGGAAAGAAATGCTGCGATACTCTGGCGTGCTTCACTACAGTTTTATGTTTGAGAACCTACTAGGCGGTGAACAGAGGAAGAGGGGGAGTAGAGACGTTATAAGGACACCGCGCGTGACACAGATTCGCTTCTCCGGGCTATAGACGTGGAAGTGGCGGCCGGCGTCACGCCAACTGCCAACGCGGCATTTATGGACACGTCTGGAATCGGTCAACGAGCGAGTCCAGGTGGTACCCCGATCCGAGAGGGATTGCCTTTGATGGGTAGGATCACCTGGCCGCGTAACCACCTCGAGGTGAGGTTTCGGACAATCGTGAATGTTGTTGACTCTGCTCTGCTCTGATCTGCTCTACTACTGAATTCCTCAGGACCCTTTGAGCGTTCTCTCGGGGTGTGTGGGCTGAGACAGCCGGGGAGAAGTTAGGGATAAATAGAAGAAGACAATACCTATGTTTCTTTTACCCACAGACCCTTTCCGCTGCTCATCACAATTAACGTCGTGTGCCAGTGATCAAAATTAAACATTCCAGAACCGCCATTATCACAAGAAGGGGGGAGGACAACATACCTCGTCACCCAGTCCTCTGGTACACACACACATACACACACGCCAGTAACAGCCATCACTCACCACCATGCCATCAACCAATCTCCTCTACCACCTCCTCCTCGCGGTCCTCATCCCCATCACAACCGCCTTCCCCATCCCCCTCCTCCACCCCCGCCAATCCGTCGCAACCCTCTGCTCCGAAACCGGCTACTGGTCCGGCTCCGGCTACGAAGTCAACAACAACAACTGGGGCGCCTCCAGCGCAACCTCCGGGTCCCAATGCACCTACGTCGATTCCGCATCATCCTCCGGCGTCGCCTGGCACACGACTTGGACGTGGGAGGGCGGTGAGACGGATGTGAAGAGTTTTGCGTATTCCGGGTTGCAGGTGGAGAGGGGACACACGATCGCGGCGATTGGGGGTTTGGAGACGGAGGTGAAGTGGGCGTATAATACGACGGAGGGGGTCAGGGCGAATGTGGCGTATGATTTTTTTACGGATGAGGATCCGGAACGGGAGACGACGGGGGGGGATTATGAGTTGATGCTTTGGTGAGTTCTGTCACCAAATCGCCCTGTTCCCGTTTCTGGTTTGCTTTCCGTGTCGTGAAGTTGTCAACTCAGGTTTTGGTTGAACGGAACTGTGAGTTAACTCAACACTTGATAATTAGGCTCGCGAAATACGGCGACATCCAACCCATCGGCTCGACTGATGCCAGCGCGACACTAGCCGGACACGACTGGGATTACTACGTCGGCAACAAGAGCGACGGCATGCGTGTGTACAGCTTCGTGGCGATTAGCCAAATTGACAGTTTCAGCGGCGACATCAAGGAATTTTTCGATTATGTCACGGATCATGACGGATTTCCGGCTGAGACTCAGAACTTGATTGGTATGTTGACTGGGGAGTTGAAGGCCCTGTTCCTTATGATGATGTGAACCGTGATAGGTTTGAATTATTACTAACTGGGATTTTCCCTTGTGATAGTTTTTGACTTCGGCTCAGAGGCCTTTACGGGTGGCCCGACTGAGCTCACCGTTTCAAGTTTTACGGCAAGCATGGATACCTGAAGCAGGGCTAATTATCGTTGGTTTGATATTTTCTCTTTTCTTGTTTCGATTTCATTTTATGATATGAATTTTAGAGTTGATGTAATTAAACACTCGTTATGACGGTGGGAGCAATGACTGGCCAACGCTGAATAGAATAGAGGAACAATGCACATTACTTTTCAAGATTGTGTAAATGCGCAGGTCAACACACAATGATTTGATAGACTTAGGGCAAAGTTACCAAGTTTTCAATTCATGTTTCTGTATGATGTGATTACCTAGGGTCAACCCGGGCTTGGATCGGGCGTCTACCTCGGCCGAGGGAAATTCATTCGTCATCGAGCCGTCATTCGAAGAAGACTGCTGCCGTTGATGCAATTCGGAATATGTCATTCGGAATATGCCATAACTGACATGGACGGGCTTGTCTTTCAGGGGCGAAAATACAGTTCTCTCACAGTCTCGAAGACTCGAAGTGGATTCCTGCACTTCCGTTGAAGGAATGGCAACGGCGGCCCTTGCACAGTGGCAATAGCCGGACCCACAGACGCCACGATCTCATTCCCGGGTCTTGGCGAACGTGGGGTGGACCGACCAGGATGCCTTCATGAAACAATCGCTGGTGAAGAAAAAAAAAAAGGCGAAGCGATAAGTTTACCCCGCCAAAAAATCTTATCGTGAATAGCAGGGGTTAAACGCAACCCCGGATTTTGACGCCTGCCGCCGAGTGAACATGAACCAAGTATGGGGATGAGGAAGAAGTCTCCCGCGTTTGCGAACGCTGGAATTAGTCGCAATGGACATCTGTTGGGGAGGTCCAAAATGCGGTGAGCTGCGGCTAACGAGTTGCCCGATGTGCCGCTGGGTGGACAGGAAAAGTGGTGTGGGTGCTCGATGCTGCCCACCTGCACCTGATTGCCCACTGGTTGCGCCACGTGCCGAAGAGTTATCTGGCCCTTTTCATGCGATGCCGCGTTGCTGGTCCTGCGTCTGCTTGTCCTTTCAATAATTCATCGCTTGATGGACAAAACGACAGGAGACTTGTTACCATGTACATGTACACTCGAGCCGGGGAAGAGGGACGAGACCTGGTTCTAGGTCGGTCCATACTGGGTTCTTCGTGATTCTGGGACGTGCAGTAAGACAGAAGACAGAAGCCTTGTCTAGTCGAGCTTATTCTAGTGGCGAAGAATGGGGTCGCCTCACGGTTCAGGAGGCTAATGGGTTCTTCTCGAAGCACTGTTGTCTCGCTGTTGCCGCTGCCCATTGGCAAACTCCGAAGAGAACCTCCAAACACCGCGAAGATGGCACTTTCAGACCGTCCCATCGAGTCGCCAGACTCGACAGCGGATGCAGTTTGCCCACGTAGTTAACGCCAACGAAGCTAGGCATCGGCGTGACCTTATTGGAAAGCCATCGCGGCAAGCAGTGAGGTCAAGCTGACAGTTGGCAAGCGGCCCATGGGGAACCTTAGATTATGCCGGGGATGTCATGCCCGCCCGAATCAGAGTCCCGGGCACCCAAGTTTCATCCGAAAGGCAACGTTCGCCTTCTCCGATTTGCCATGCCTGTGCATTACCCCCACCCTGATTGGTTTGGAGGAGCGAGCGATCCCGACTCGAGGAGGGGCACGGACGACCCCTGCTCGCAGGGCCGCTTATCGCTTTATCGCAGAATGCACTTTCCCCGTTTCGGCTCCACCGGAGGGCGGTGAGACGGCGTGAAATGCAAGAAATTTTGAGGCAAAGGGCGAGAAAAAAGTTTTCGGCGCCGCTACCCCTCCATTTTCTTGCCTGAGTGGGGCTCAGCGACCCTGGCAACGCTTTTTTTTGGGTTCCCAAGGGCTGTGCACACTGATTCCCTTTTTTAAATTCCCTGGCATCCCACCACCCGCGGAATCTTCCCTCCTCCTTTTTTTCAGGTCTCCTCCCTCCTGTTTCTTTTCCTCACTGTTTTGTTCCCTTGCGGACGCCCTCCACTCTGTCCCTTACTTTCTTGTGACTTCTACTAGAAGGGCCAAGATAGAGTAGACATTTCGACTCTCCATCGAAAGTCTACAGGCTCACCCGTCGCCCGACAGGATACCCCGATAGACGAGGCTTCCCACTTCGATTAGACGGCGGATTAGTTTCCTTCCGGAATTCGCGATCTCGATAGACTTTTCGGTCTCTTCTTTTTCGATATCAACCCGATAGATCAACGAAAAAAAAAACCACAAAAATCGCCATCATGCCTGCCGCCACTTCCCAAGTTTCGGCCGAGAACGCTAAGAGCGTCAAGGTTCTTGACGAGTTGATGCAGAAGCTTACCATCTCCAAGGAGGCCGATGCCATCAAGGAGTCTGCTGGTGCTCTTGCGACTTTCATCAACGGCCGCATCGAAGACCTCGACACCCCCACCAGGTAAGATAACGGACGCCCCGCTTTGCCCCATCAACCCCGCGAACCCCTCGCTTTTTTTTTGAATTTGCTTTGGTGGGCATGGGTTATTCTCAACCTTGCTGCTCCGCGCTTCGAGAAGAAAAAAAAAAAAAGCGACCGCCGGCTATCCGTCGTGGCGGAGTTAGCCTAGGTTTACCGCATGCGGTTGCAGCACGCTGCGCATAATGACCGCCAGTGCGGCGGTCATTGATTTTGCCTCAATTGATTTGCCGCGCAAATTTTTCATGGGTCGCACCGATTCAATTTTGGAGAAAATCGGGGCTAACATGTGATGCCTCTTTCAGGACCGTTGAGGCGCTTAAGAAGCAGCTCGCGAACAAGAAGGACGCTGGCGCCCGTGAGAAGGCGCTCACTGCCATTCAGGCTATTGCCCAGCACTCCGAGGTCTCTGCCAATGTTGAGCCTTACCTCGTTGCGCTCCTCCCTGGCGTCTTTGCGGGCGCTGGTGACAAGATCACCGCGGTGAAGAATGCCGCCATTGCGGCTGCGTTGGCCATTGCTGAGGCCATCAACCCCAACGCCATCAAGGCCACTCTCCCGGCCTTGATTGACTCGCTTCGGAACGCCCAGAAGTGGCCCGAGAAGATGACGGTGCTCGACTTCATTGACACCCTTATTCGCACTGCCCCTTCGCAGACCGCGCTGCTCGTCCCCAACCTTATCCCAGTGGTCTCTGAGGCCATGTGGGACACCAAGAAGGAGGTCAAGGACCGCGCCTACAAGACCATGGAGAAGGTCTGCCAGTTGATTGTCAACCGCGATATTGAGCGCTTCATTCCTGAGCTCATTAAGTGTATCGCCAAGCCGGAGAACGTCCCCGAGACGGTGCACTTGCTCGGTGCCACCACCTTCGTCACGGAGGTTCAGGAGCCCACTCTCGCCCTTATGGTTCCCCTGCTCGACCGTGGTCTCTCTGAGCGCGAGACCGCCATCAAGCGTAAGGCGGCTGTCATTGTCGACAACATGTGCAAGCTCGTCGACGACCCGAACATTGTCGCCCCCTTCTTGCCAAAGATGATGCCCGGTCTCCAGAAGAACTACGACAACCTTGCCGACCCCGAAGCCCGTGAGAAGACCAAGCAGGCTCTTGACACCCTGGTCCGCGTCGGCAACGTTGTTGACGGCAAGATTCCTGAGGTCCGCAACCATGGTGATATTTCCACCATCATCGGTCACCTTAAGGAGATTCTCACTGGCAAGCATGCTGCCGTTTTCGACAAGTTCCTTCCTGTCCTCGAGTTCGCTGCGGCCATCGCTGGCCAGCTCGTTGACGAGAAGGCCACCGACTCTGCCTCGTGGGCGGAGAGCGTCAAGCCTTACATCGCCGTTGTCGTTGGCGAGGGCGAGTCGCAGGGTGTTGTTGACACCCTCCGCAAGCGCGCCATCCCCGGCGCTGCCGACGCTGATGAGGTGGAGGACGACGAGGAGGAGGGTGAGGACCTGTGCAACTGCACCTTCTCCCTTGCCTACGGTGCCAAGATCCTGCTCAACCAAACCAGCCTGCGTCTCAAGCGTGGCCAGCGCTACGGCCTGTGCGGCCCCAACGGGTCCGGCAAGTCTACTCTGATGCGCGCCATCAACAACGAGCAGGTCGAGGGTTTCCCCAAGCAGAGCGAGGTCAAGACTGTCTTCGTCGAGCACGACCTGGACTCTGCCGATACTGAGATGACGACCATAGATTGGACAATGAAGAAGCTGAGCGAGGCTGGTGTCGCCACCACCCAGGAGGATGTCGTCAAGCAGCTTTCGGAATTCGGCTTCACCGAGCAGATGATCAAGGGCGAGATCACCGCCCTCTCTGGTGGTTGGAAGATGAAGCTGGCCCTGTGCCGTGCCGTCTTCGAGGCCCCCGATATCCTATTGCTCGACGAGCCTACCAACCATTTGGATGTGAAGAACGTGAAGTGGCTCGAGGAGTACCTCCAGAACTCCCCCTGCACTTCCATCATCGTGTCCCACGATAGTGGCTTCCTCGACAATGTCTGCCAGCACATTGTCCACTACGAGCGCTTCAAGCTCAAGCGCTACAAGGGCAACCTGAAGGAGTTTGTGCGCCGTGTGCCTTCGGCTAAGTCCTACTACGAGCTTGGCGCCTCTGAGATCGAGTTCAAGTTCCCCGAGCCCGGTTTCCTCGAGGGTGTCAAGACCAAGGCCAAGGCCATCCTTCGTGCCACCAAGATGAGCTTCCAGTACCCTGGCACCTCGAAGCCCCAGATTTCCGACATTACCTTCCAGTGCTCGCTCGGCTCTCGTATTGCCGTCATTGGCCCCAACGGTGCCGGCAAGTCGACCCTCATCAACGTGCTCACTGGTGAGCTCATCCCCACCGCCGGTGAGATCTACCAGCACGAGAACATCCGCATCGCGTACATCAAGCAGCACGCGTTCGCCCACATCGATAACCACCTGGACAAGACTCCTTCCGAGTACATCCAGTGGCGTTTCCAGACTGGTGAGGATCGTGAGACCATGGACCGTGCCAACAAGATCATCACCGAGGCCGATGAGGAGGCCATGAACAAGATCTTCAAGGTCGAGGGCACGCAGCGCCGCATTCTCAGCATCCAGAGCCGCAGGAAGTTCAAGAACAGCTACGAGTACGAGTGCTCGTTCGCTCTTGGCGAGAATGTTGGCATGAAGAACGAGCGCTGGGTCCCCATGATGACCGCCGACAACGCTTGGTTGCCCCGCAGCGAACTGCTGGCTTCTCACCAGAAGATGGTCGCTGACGTCGACATGAAGGAGGCTCTTGCCTCTGGTCAATTCCGCCCTCTGGTCCGTAAGGAAATTGAGTCTCACTGCGCCAACTTCGGCCTGGACGCTGAGTTGGTTTCTCACTCGCGCATGCGTGGTCTCTCCGGTGGTCAGCGTGTCAAGGTTGTGCTCTCTGCCTGCTCGTGGCAGCGCCCTCACTTGATCGTCCTTGACGAGCCTACCAACTACCTCGACCGTGACTCTCTGGGTGCCCTGTCGAAGGCTCTCAAGGCCTTCGAGGGTGGTGTCATCATCATTACCCACAGCGCCGAGTTCACCAAGGACTTAACCGAGGAAGTCTGGGCTGTCATGGACGGCAAGATGACTCCCTCCGGCCACAACTGGGTCCAGGGCCAGGGCGGTGGCCCCCGTCTCAAGGGCGACGATGCTGAGGAGGAGGAGAAGTTCGACGCCATGGGCAACAAGATTGAGTCGACCAAGAAGAAGGCCAAGCTTACCAGCTCGGAGGCGCGCAAAAAGAAGAAGGAGCGCATGGCCCGCCGGAAGCGCGGTGAGGAGGTATGTTCATCCCCTTAACACCATCACCCTCATAGTCCTCACACAGTTGCTAACTATCATCCCAACAGGTCTTCAGCGACGAGGACGACTGAGCGTCTCGCTTTCTGATGATATTCCTTCTCATGATTCTAGCGTGAACGATCGGCTATACAAAAGTTGTTTTCCTTTTCCTTCTTCCTGGGTTCGGGGTGGTTTGCATGGTCTGGCCTTAATGGGATTATGTCGTTTATGTTCTTGCGTCAGGGATGCCTGATAATGTGTTTCTGATGCACCCTGCTCTGTATCTGTGTGTCTGGCGATGATGGATGACGAGGACTTGTCCTCTCTCGGGACTGGAGACCCTGGGATCGGCTGGTCTGGGTTCGTCGTTTCGCTTTGACTGGAAGGAAAAGATACCACGGATGGGCGGGAGTTCTCGTACAAATAGCTAGAGGACAAAATAGATCATGATAACATGTCTATGTATCTGATGCCTTGGTGTTTGTCTTTGTGATGATGATTTTGTGGATTGTATTACGTAGTTTGGCTGTTTGAGAGTTTGAACGAGGTTCTTCATGGAGCAGCGCCGGGCATAGTTTAAGTTAATCGACTATAAAATATTAACCGAGTTAGCCTCACCGGTCATCACTATTTACAAGGTATCAGAAGCATCCATGACTATCGAATCTTACTCATCACATGAATTATTAGTCGTATCATTCTACAGTCAAACCGAGGCGGGCAACCGAAGGGAAATCTATATGCCGACCACCTCCCCCTGATCCCCTAGGCGACCTGATGAGAAAAATTTAGGATTGCCTAGGTAAAGAGAACAAGGCATATTACAATTCAAGCGGTAGTCCCCCAGCCCCCTTTCCAGGCCGAAATACCATCTGTTAAAGCCTTTTCTTTTCCTGACCTTAGCGCATGTTTTCCCGCCCAGCCTAGTCGTTCCCATGCCGCCAACGCCGCTTTCGCAAGACCATCCAGTCTTCCGCCCAACAGTCCGTCCGTTCATCCATCCGAAACGCCGCGGAAAGCAAACAAACTAACAAACAAACAATTCGAAGCCAGGTGGTGAAACCTGGAAAGTAATGAGGAAGTAGCTGTGGGGCCGTGTTTTCTTTGTCTTTCCTTAGTTTCGTTTCCGGGTCGTATATATGTATTAAGCACCAGCATTCACCCAACGCCTTGTTTTGGTTTTCCGGGTTTTCCTTTCCTTTGTGTTATCCCTTGCTCTACGGCCGGCATTGACTGCTTAGTCCGTCGACTGTTTCTGTTTCTTGTCGATGTGGCCTGGCTCGTCGGGGGATCGGGAGGACGAGGGTTCGGATGTGGGGGCGCTGGGGAGCTCGTTGGCGACTGCTTGAGCTTCGGCGTCGAGTTCGGCCTCGGTTTGTTTTGTGCCGTTGAATTTCTCGGGGGATGCGGTGTTCTTGGTGCTCTGGTGGCTCTCGGAGGTTTGTTTGTTCGCGGATGTTTCCTCGGTATTGTCCTCGTCGGATGCTGGGCTGGCGCTGTCTTTGGTTACCGGGGGAAAGTAGAGTCTGTGGAGCAGGGGTGTTAGTTAGAGGTTGCTGGAGGGCGCGAGTTGAAATGTAATTCTGCGAGAGGGAAGCTTACGGGATATACTCCTTGTATGCGTCTTGGTCCTTCATCTCGAAAGTGACAATGATCACCTTATCGAGCTTGGCACCATCCGGCCCAGCCAAAAACTTGCGAATAGCGCCTAGAGCTGCCGGCGCGGCCTCCCGGCTCGGGTAGCCATACACTCCTGTGCTAATGGCGCTAAAGGCGATGGTCTTGCAGCCGTGTTCTACAGCCAGCTCCAGACTACGCGTGTAGCAGCCCGTCAGCAGGCGCTCAGAATCGTCCGGGCTCAAGTGGTTGTAGATCGGGCCGACGGCATGAATCACATGGCGCGAAGGCAACGAGTAGCCCCCAGTGATCTTCGCCGAACCAGTTTTGCACCCGCCAAGCTGCTGGCACTCGTCGTAAAGCTCGGGACCGGCAACCCTGTGGATCGCGCCATCGACGCCACCGCCTCCGAGAAGCGAGCGGTTCGCCGCGTTGACAATGGCGTCCACGACGAGAGACGTGATGTCGCCACGCAGCAGACCGACGCGGTCGTTGAACGATTTAGACGGCGCTGGGAGGGGGGTATCGGTTTTGGGGCCCAGATGGGTGGGAGGGAGCTCCGTGCCGGGTGCAGCAGGCGAGAGTTTGCGCAGCCTGTAGAGGAGAGAGAGCGAAGGGATGTCGGCGGCTTTGATAAGTGCCATTTTGGTGGTGCGAGGTTTCCGAAGGAACATCGATGTAGTGTGTGAGTGTGTGTGGTGGGGGTGAGTTGTGGATTGGATCGGTGCCTGGGTGATTTTGGTATTGTTCTTTTTGTTGTGGAGGGTTTTCGAAACTCGTTAACAAAGACCTTTGTTTGTCCTGTTTGTCGCGAGCGATCGAAGGGCTCGAAGAGGTGAATCGAATCGGCGACCGGTGCGGGGCCTAGCTGTTACCAGGGAGGAAAATGACAGTTTGTAGGAACCTTCCTAGGTGATGGTGTGCGGAAGGAAAAGAGGCGCAAGGCACAGCACAAAAAGCCTCGGACGATGCAGAAGAAGGCAACCAATTTCGGGCGGGCGAGGTCGAGAAGTTTCCGGGACAGGAAATTTGGAAGCCTGTGCGTGGGTGAGCAAATGAAGAATGCGGGGATGCGGCTCACGGTTGATTGTTGCAGGGCGAGGCTCGCTTTGGAGTAGCCATAGGTCAAAACCCCGTCAGTGGGTTGAGATGGAAGTGCAGTTGGCTCCGGCAAAGGTTTGTCTGGGGGGGTACGTGTGATGCATGCAAACTGTAAAAGTCAATGCAGCACATGCACAAGGATGGAAAGAACGTCGCGGGGTTGTCATGATGCTTGTCCCACCCGAAAACGGAAGCTCAACGGTCTGGACCATGCTCTGCAGCATCGCCCCTGGTGGGCACTGACCCCGCGCCCGTCCGCTGCACAACAGGCCTGGGTTTATCGCAATCGGGCTGGCCTGGGCAAGACAAGTGCTGAATCGGACCCCTGCTGATGGTTGTTTGGTCGCGTGGGGCTGCAAAGGTTTGCCCCTCCTTTCTGCCGTGCCCCTCCAACGGAACCCCTCCAATAATTTTGCCGGGTCCAACCGCGACAAGCTCCGGGGTTGACTCACCGAGACCGCCTTCAGATAACAGCACATATCCGCCTCATTGTATGCCGAGTCGGTATTGACAAGTGAGTTTCGGTGTCACAACTGTTTGGGAAGCACCTTGCCTGACGCGTGCAACTCTCGCCCAGCATTACTCGGTGGACAATTGGCTTCTAGGCCCTCGATTCAACTCTCAATTCGACCGAACTCGGCAACGCTCTCACTATCCGATCCGACAACCGGTCTGCAAATACAGCTAAACCTGAACAAAATACCTCAAAACATGGCGGACGCTGTTGCCGATGCTGCTGCCAAGCTCCAGCTAGGTGGTGGAGCCCCGGCCGAAGGCGGTGCGAAGCTCCAGCTTGACGAGGAAACCGGCGACTGGGTATCCAAGGGCGAGCTAAAGAAGCGGTTGGCGAAACGGGCGAAGAAGGCTGCCAAAGAAAAGAACAAAGACGCGGTCAAGGATGCGCCGGCTGCGTCTAAAGCCGCCCAGGAGGGTGCTGCGCCGAAAAAGCCGAAGGAGAAGGTCGAAGAGGCTCCAATCGACACCGATGCCATGTTCAAGCAGGGCTTCCTTAACGATGTGTACAACGAGCGGCCTGAGAAGGCCGTGTTTACACGGTTTCCCCCTGAACCCAATGGGTTCCTTCACATTGGTCATGCCAAGGCTATTGCGGTCAACTTTGGGTTTGCGAGATACCATGGTGGCAAGTGGTATGTGATTGCCTGTCTGCGACGTAATTTGGTTCATTCTAACATTGTGTGTTGTATTGCAGCTACCTTAGATTCGATGACACGAACCCCGAGGCGGAAGAGGAGGTCTACTTCACTGCGATCGAGGAGATGGTCCGCTGGCTCGGATTCGAACCCTACAAGATCACCTACTCCAGCGACAACTTTGACAAGCTGTATGAGCTAGCCGAGCAACTGATTAAGCTTGATAAGGCCTATGTCTGTCACTGTGGTGGTATGCTACGACTCGACGAAGTCAGCACTCGAACATACTGCTGACAAAGTACAGATGAGGAGATCAAGCTCCAGCGGGGCGGTGAAAAGGGGACAAGCCCGCGATACCGATGCAAGCACGCCGAGCAGTCTGCAGACGAAAACCTTCAGAAATTTCGGGACATGCGCGATGGGAAGTACAAGCCAAGGGAAGCGTTTCTGCGCATGAAGCAGGATGTAGGTCCCCAAGATTCACGACCAAGCGTTCCCAGGCTGATATTTTAGATCACCGATGGCAACCCCCAAATGTGGGATCTTGCCGCATACCGCGTGTTGGACAAGCCTCACCACAGGACGGGGTCAAAGTGGAAGATCTACCCTTCCTATGACTTCACTCGTAAGCGCATGCTAATGGGGAGTTGGGGACTTTGTGTACTAACACCGCTTAGACTGCTTGTGCGATAGCTTCGAAGGCATCACTCATTCGTTGTGCACCGTCGAGTTCTTCCTGAGCAGGACTTCCTACGAATGGTTGAACAAGCAGCTCGTCGAGTTCCAGCCCATGCAAAGGGAATACGGCCGACTGAGCATCCAGGGATCCGTGCTTTCCAAGCGGAAGTTGAAGGAGCTAGTGGAAAAGAAGATCGTGCGCGGCTGGGATGACCCGCGCCTTCACACCCTGATAGCCGTACGCCGGAAGGGTGTCCCGCCCGGGGCTATTCTCGAGTTTGTGAACGAGCTCGGTGTGACGACTACCAACAGCATTATTCAGAACTCCCGGTTCGAGCAGACCATCCGGCGGTACCTCGAACGGACGGTTCCAAGACTGATGCTCATCCTCGACCCGATCCCCGTTGTGATCGAAGACGCCGACGAGTTCGACGGAACCGAGCTCACGGCCCCTTTCTCACCCAAGAACCCCGCCATGGGCGAGCACAAGATCAAGTTCACCAAGACTGTGTACATTGACCGTTCCGACTTCCGCGAGGTTGACAGCAAGGACTACTTCCGCCTGGCTCCGGGCAAGACTGTTGGCCTCCTGCAGGCGCCCTTCCCCATCAAAGCTACCAGCTTCACCAAGGACGAGGCGTCGGGCAAAGTCACCGAGATCCGCGCCGTGTTCGACCGCGAGATAAAGAAGCCGAAGACCTTCATCCAGTGGGTATCTGCCGGCGAAAGCGCGGGGTCTCGCAAGTGCGAGGTGCGCTTGTACAACCCGCTGTTCAAGTCGGATAACCCGGCTGGCGTGGAGGGCGGGTACCTGAACGATCTCAACCCGGAAAGCGAGATTGTCTACCCCGACGCCGTGATTGAATCTGGGTTTGATGAAGTCAGGGCTCGGGCGCCGTGGCCTGAAGCCGCTGGGGAGGACAAGCTCGGTAAGGGTGGGCCGGAGTCTGTTAGGTTCCAGGGAATGCGGGTTGCGTATTTTGTAAGTTTTCAACGTTTTTCTGACCATATGTTAATATGTGTGAGGCGAGAGATTTGCTAACTTGACTCCTAGGCTATGGACTCGGACAGCACGGATGACAAGATCGTGCTGAACCGGATAGTGTCGCTGAAGGAGGACAAGGAGAAGAGCTAGTTGAGATCTCGTCTTGTGAGGTAGACTTAGCAGATGATTTCGGTCACGGCATTTGGCGATTCATATATTTCGCGCCGCATATGGCTACTCAATATCCAACCAGCCGACTCGCTTTGTTGATTTGGGGGTCCCATGCCGTGGTGACTCGGTTGGTTGTATGTTTCTTTATTCCTTCCTTGTTCCTCAACGTTCCCGTGCCCGAGGCACCGGAACCCGCCCATTGGTATTTGATGCCTCACTCAACACCCTCGTTCTTCTGTGGTATCTCGTCAAAAGGTCACCGTCTTCGCGCTTGGGGCATGACCTCGCACATTTTCCTCCCATTCCTTTCTTAACCACAGATCCATATCCTTATTTAGTACGACATTTTTGCTGGCCTGGGAGAGAAGCCGTTCTCTCTACCATCATTCACGGGCTCGGCCTGGTTCCTGGCGCAAATAAATGTTTTGTTTTAGGCATTGCCGGAGTTGAAGGAATTTCCATGCAGCCTGCTTTCGGTCTACTAGCTTCCAATGCCAATATTCGTCGAAATTCGGCGACACAAGGGCGGTTCGCCGTCTCGGCACCCCTGTACCGGCCCCCGTCAACCCAATATCAACGACCCTTCGAACCCCGTTTCGACTGGGAATATCTCAAACTCAGGGGCCGGACTCGGTAACCGCACACCTTTCCCCGAAATCGACCGCAATTATTGCTACATGGTCCCTGATCATGAGACACCTCCTACTACACATATATACGAGCACCCGGTAAAGTCATCCACCGGGATTGAGGTGCCAGAAGGGGATAGGGGGCGTTCCAGTCTACCTAAAACCCCCGCTAACACCCAGAAGAAAAGGTCCAAGAGCACGATGAGGCAACGTGCCCGGGCTATGAGCGCCGCAAGTTCTGTCAGTTCTTACGAGAATGGCCTCTATGAACCGACTGATCATCATGCGATGCCGGACTTGAATCTAGCTTCGGGGGTTCAAGACTGTCTTGCAACAGCTGGTGATGATTGTCATCAAGACGAGGATCAACGACGGGAACCAATGTCTGACAAGGATTCTGGATATTCTTCCGCGAGCTCGGCGACTGGGTGCCGTTCGGATTGCAGGTGTAAGGAGAACGACCCGCCGCCGACACCGGTTTCACGTCTGGAATCAAGATCACGGTTACGATCACAGTCTCGGTCTCGCGAGGAGTCACTGTCATGGGAGGAGTCCCGGGCGCGATCACGGTCACGGGCTCGGAAAGAAGCGAGATCCCGTGAGGAGTCACAGACCAGGTCACGGCCGGAATCACGATCCCAACTTAGGTCACGGTCTAGGGATGAGTTGCGTCCCCGGAAGAAGTCACGGGAAAGATCACATCTACCCCGGGGAGAGGGATCATACATGGCCCACTCCAAACAGGAAGATCCCCAAGGCTGCGCAGAATGTCTCTCCTGCAAAGACAAGGAGATACAGACTTGCTTCTGCTTTGACAAGGCCCGACTCGGGCGCCGGTTTGAGCCTAAATCGGGTCGCCTGCCGGATCCGAGTTTCACACATCCATACCTGTACCTAGGCGGCACGAACACGGTCAAGCCGGGTGCAAATGGCTCCCCTTCATCGCCTTCGTACCCTTCTTATAGAGGACCCCCGGCCCAATATCACCAAACTTCAACCCCCCCAGCCCCGGCCGACTATCCCATGTCTCCCGCGGGCCAGGACTACAAAGCTCCCTCTGCCTACCCTCCGCGGTATTCCATAGCTCCTGGGCTGAGCAGCACTTTCTCTAGTTCTAGGGGTGAACGACTGGAAAGTGCAAGGGATCAAGAAATCGGTACCAAGATTTATTACGACCCTCGGAACGGGAACGACGCCAACAACACCCACGAGGTCAAAAACACCCACAACCCCGGTATCAACCCCCTCAACCCGATCGGTCTCACAAGTCCCAGCAACCCCCACCCCCCTACTCGGCCTCTCGCAGACCGGTTCAAATACAGCCGTACCAGCCCCAGAACTGCCCCCAGAAAAAAGCCCACGGCGGGCCGGACGCACTCCCGTCGTAAGTCCTGGGTCCAACCTGCTGACACGGACTACCGGTATTCGTACCCCAGTCTGTATCCGTTTGACGATCCGCTTCTCGATTCGACACGTACGGAGGAGGGGTTGCTTGGAACCCAGACGGATTTGGGCGACTTGTCGAAGATGGAAGAGGGTGGGTATGGGCAGTATGATGGGTATCGTGGGTATGGCGGGTATGATCGGCATGGTCGGCATGGTGGGTATGGACCTGGGAAGGCTTATTCACGGGATGGGTATCGGGTTCGGCCGGGGAGAATTTATTGATATAGGGAAGGTTGGGGGCCTTGATGGGATCAAGGTGTGTGGTGAGTGAGAGGGGTGTTTCTGGTAGATGGCTCGGGATCGAGCGGGAGGGAGAGAAGTAAAATAGGGGGACGAAGGTAGAAGGGGAAGTAGCTCTAATTAATGAAAATTAAGACAACAGCCGGGACCATTCAAAAGATTGAGAGAAGGGCGCTTGGGAATATGGCGTAGTTACTGGTAGATTGTATGGAATCAGATAGTTACACCGAATTCCTAAATAAATGGAATATTCGGTTCAACATTAATACAAAGATTTGCCAAACAGACTCGGCCTTCTGTCGTCACGGGACCCAAACAACCTCTTCGGTATCTGCCACTTGGACTGTGTTTTTTTTTAGAATTAGGGGCGTTAACGCAGCGCTAACGTAATTTTGTGCTTTCCATAGAGAGCGCCTTACTGACGGGCCCTGCAGTTCCGACATCAGCTGAGTCGTCTACCTTATGTCGAAGAACTTGAAAATCAGCTCATCTGAGAAGGGGATGTGGAAGGAGGTTGCGATGCAGGGGTAGAGAAGACAAAAAGGGTAATATGCGGGTCCACTTTCCACCCTCCAGCCAATGAAAAGGTGAGTTCTACATGCTGTGGCTCCACTACTCACACGCCATGGGCTAACTTTCATCTCGTCTCATTCTCAATTTCTCTCCCGTTCCTTCCCTTTCACTGACAACCACAGCACTATGGATGCAGAACCCCAAGATGAATGGGAGCATTTCCAGGTTTCTCCAAGACACTCCGATAAATATCATCGTTTTATGACGAAGAAATTTGCCAATTCTGTACCTTCTGTCACGCCGACCTTGACGAGCTTTGTCAAACAAAGGGATTTCGATTAGCTGTGTCTCGTCACCTGGCTGGAAAGTCAACCAACCTGCCCGTTGCGTAAGAGCGGTTTTGTTGAGGTTTGTATGACCCAAACGGCAAAACGTACGGGAAAGTTTACAAAGTCCCCGAGCGCATCATCAACAAGCCTCAGGAACAAACCCAACGGAGCGAGCTACCATGGCAACACTCAAGCAACGGCCCTCCCTATAACGCGAAGACAAAACCATCCAACGACAGCGCACCATCTGCCGCCGCAATATTTACTTGCTCCGGCACTTCCGGGTACGCTCAAATAAACGACTACCCGATAAATCAAGATACCAGGAATCAACCCCGCACGTCTTTGCCACCCACCTAGAGTTGGCATGCCGGTCACAGAGGTTCAAATATGACTGCGACGTGAATTCCGCGTTTTCCGCTTCCTCGGCGGCACGAAGGAGCATAGCAATGACCGACCAAGGAACGGTTGCAGCCATGGCCACATGGACCGATGCAGACGGTCAGGGCAGAGTATATACACTACATGTTGGAGTATGTCATCATAATACTCAAGTCCATGGATGTGTAGGGTAGCATTGGCGAGGCGGAGGAAATGATCCGGAATTTTTTGGCCGTGATCATACTCGCTTTTATTACAGGATCCGGGAGCGTGACTGAGGAGTCCCTGTAGGTCTCGAGCAATGATTCCAGTATCGCAATCAAGATCCGATGCGCCGGATAGCGCGGGCGAGTGGGGAAGGCATTCGTGAGAATGATACCGGTTTGGGCCAGTCGACGAAGCAGCTAAGGGCCACACGAAAGAATAACGGCCGCTCGAGGATGCCACTTCAAGTCGTAAGAGTATGTTAAAATGTGGCGTGGTTGGCTGACGGTGAGCGCAGAATGAACTACCATACTCTTTGGCGATCCAACAATAGAAACAACACAAAACGACAACTCGAAGTTATTCAACTTGCGATCTGCCCAGGCCAAAGAACACCCGTACTTGTAGAAGGCGATGTCGTGAAAATAAAGCTCGAGGTAGCTTATTGATTGGTTGAAGGTCTCGACTCACGATTGTTTACCGCCAAGCCTGGCGCGGTCTGACACCCGACCAAAAAAGCTTATTCCAATTCAAAAGTCGACAAAATCCAACATTCCCTCCATCGTAGAAACAAATGCCAAGTCAAGGGACTTCAATAAAGGAGTTACCGCGAAGAGGAATTTGTGTGGAGGCTGGTGCTGCGTCTAGAGCCTTTGTCTCGTCCATTTTCGGTTTGATTGGCAGGCGCGACCCTCCCAGTGGCTCATGAGTGGCTCAGCGCGGCTCCGTTGTCACTTCCGTTTTCTCGGTCCCCTTGTGGGTGGTCCATGCTCACTAGCCATTGGATCCTTCCGTCTGTTCTTGCCAGCTTTTGGTTTTAACGTTAACGCTACACCGTGAAAAAGGCCGGCCATCAGCCTGCCGCAGCCCACTTCCTGTACTTTCCGCGCGAGCACACGCACTGCAAACCTCGATTCTCAATCCTGCAGCGCGATTCGTGGCCCTCTCCGCCTTTCTGCCAAGAACCCCACAGAGAAACCTCTCCTCTGCTGGGCCACCGGTCGACACGCGTCCTCCCTGCCCTATTATCCTTGTTCAATTGCCTGACGTTGGGTGCGCGCCCCAACTGGTACGAATCGGTCCTCTTCTGGTGGTCAGACACGGCGGTACGAATTTTTTTCTTGCGCTGACCCTCTCTTTCTGTTCGCGGCCACCAGAGCAAAAGCGCCCCCCCAAGAACGGTCCCGCCCTACGCCTGGTCGCGTCGCCTAAGCAGCCTTCCTGGTCCCACCGCCCTGTCTCGGCCGTGCAGCGCGTTTTCAACAATTACCCAGGTTCGACTCAGGCGCTCGCGCGTGCCCGACTTGGCTGGAGACTGACCGAGATTTTAGTTTCCATCCGGTGAAATCCCGACCTGGCCATTTTTGGCCCGTTTGATAGAGCCGCGGAGAGATCGTGACTTCAGCTCCTGCGGAACCCCCCACCATTCCAAACCAGGCGACATCCTCCCGGGAACGCCTGCACCTCGTTCGACTGCCACCAGTCATCATCCATCAACATCCAATCGTCGCGTCGCCAAAAATTTCCCTCCATCGAGCAAGGCGGGCCAAGTTTCCGGAGGTAAAAATCGAGGGGAAAAAAAAGCCGAACCGACCACCCCTCTCAACCATGGGTAAGTCAGTCCAGAATCACAAATTGCATCCCCCCAGGCAATATCAAAGCAAAGTTCTTTTTTAAGTCCGAGCAACTCCTACCCCTCCCCCTCCCTTCCCGCAGTGCCCAACCACCTACCTATCCCTGGGTCAGACGGTTATCGTGGTCAGTCCTCGGTGCTTCGATGACGTGTGGCTACGGTTCATAACTATAACGACCAAATACGGGACACTAGGTGGTAGCTGCAAACACGCAACAAAGGGGCCAGCGAGTGCCGGGCCTGAGATTCTTTTCTTGTCTGTCAAACCACAGCAGGCTCCCTCGCTACCGCTCGCGGGGAGGGCGCTGCAGCAGCGCGCGCCTCCTCCATGCGACCAGCCTCCATGTGCGGAAGTACCTTCACACAAGCAGACCCTTCCCTCCTCGGCCTCCCCCTACCCTGCATGTCTTTCCCATCCTGATCCACCTTCGGGTTTGTTCACCACTTCCCCCGCCGCGGCTACCCCCAAGTGCTACCTCCCTCTTCAAATTGCCACCCTTCAATTGCATCCGTCCTCCCGCATCCTCTCTCCTCCAACCCCCTCCCACGGTGCGAGCTTTCCTACCCATTTTCCTCCACCTTTCTTCACCTCGGCCGGCTTCTAACATTTCGTTTTCTCTACAGCAGATTCAGGGGATAATTATCGCTCGGTGAGTTATTTTTTTTCATTTCCTTTCCTCCTACCCTAGTATCTTTTTTGGTTGTTGGCGTTTGTTGCATTATTTCTCCTTTTCCTCGCTAGCTCTTGTTCCAAGAGTCGACGAAATGGAGTCCGCTTCCGCCTCTTGGAGCTCTCGACGTCGTCATTCTAGCAACGAGCCCATCCTTTCCATGTGGGCCGTGCTTCGCGGCGCTTCGCTGGGGTCAATCGGTATCCACAGTCATTCAAGCTGATGGATCGAGACCTCGACGATCCCCGCTATCCGTCATCCAGGCTTGATCCGCGAGGCGTTTGTCGCCAACAGCACCAACCCCACCAGATCGGCACGCCATCCCTACCTCGACCCCAATTCTTCTCTTAACATTCGTCTCGGATTCACATCAAACAATTCTTGAAGCTTTTCCCCAAACATACACTAATAGCTAGCAGCGTGAGAGGTCGCATTCTCCTCGTCGCGGACGTTCAAGGAGCCCAAACACTCGCCGATCATACTCGCCGCGTGATCGGTCGCGCAGCCAACCGCGGAGAAGAAGCCGGTCGCCTATGACCGGACAGGGCACAACTACTGGCGGACCAGTATCTGGATACACTGGAGCTCCCCATCGAAATTTTGAGGACCGCTCGGGGCACCGAGAGCCAGCCATGAACAACATTCGCGAATCCTCGCAGCAGGACCGTAGGGTCTACGTCGGCAACTTGTCATACGACGTGAAATGGCACCATCTCAAGGATTTTATGAGACAGGGTGGGTTTTTGGAACGGCGGTGGAGCGCACAACGCATGGTCGGATACTAACAGGGTCCAAACAGCTGGAGAGGTTCTCTATGCCGACGTGTTGCTTCTTCCCAATGGAATGTCGAAGGTGGGCGCCTATGAATGATTTGGCCGGTTCTTTTTTTGTGGTTCCTATTCTTTTGGCTCTTGATGGATTGTTGGATTGACGGGTTGGGACGTTGTCCGCGGTGATTTTAGGGATGCGGGTAAGTTGACATCTATATCATTCGGCCTTGGTTCGGTCACTAACTAACATCCTTTTTAGTATTGTGGAGTATGCCACGAGGGAGCAGGCACAACAAGCCGTTTCGACGCTGAGCAACCAAAACCTCATGGGCCGCCTCATTTACGTTCGAGAGGTGAGCGTCATATGTCCATACGGGTGGTGCATTTCTGGGCTGACAAGAGTTACAGGATCGTGAGGCAGAGCCAAGGTTTGGCCCCCCAGGTGGTGGTGGTGCTGGCCGTGGTGGGTTTGCCGGAGGCATTGGCGGTGGCCCCTATGGTGGTGGAGGTGGCGGCTTTAACCCCGGTCTTGCCGCCGGTGGTGGCGGCGGTGGTCGACAGATCTACGTCTCCAACGTTTGTCTCGCCCTTCCCTAATTGATTTGGGGAATGCTGTGCCCGCTAACGTCGAATCAGCTTCCTTTCAACGTCGGCTGGCAGGATCTCAAGGACCTCTTCCGACAGGCCGGTGAGTAGAGCCAACACAAGGCCCGGCGACTTGGCATAATGAAACATGGCACTGACTGCTCTTCCTCGATAGCTCGTGCAGGTGGCGTTATCCGTGCCGACGTTCATCTCGGCCCTGATGGCAGACCCAAAGGTTCCGGTATCGTAGTTTTCGAATCTCCCGACGACGCTCGCAACGCCATCCAGCAATTCAACGGTTATGACTGGCAGGGTCGCATGCTCGAGGTCCGCGAGGATCGCTTCGCCGGCCCAGCCATGGGCGCAGGTGGTTACGGCCGTGGCGGCTTTGCTGGTGGGCGCGGTGGCTTCGGTGGCGGATTTGGCCGTGGTGGGTTTGGTGGAGGACGTGGAGGGTTTGGCGGCGGCGGCTATGGAGCTCGTGGCGGTTTCAGTGGCGCCCCTGCCGCCGGCGGTTTCCACGATGCCGGCAACGCATCGGTCCCGCCAAACCCATTCACAGACCACGCCACAGGCGGCGTTGAGAAGTGCGACACGATCTACGTTCGTAACGTATGTTCTCCCCTTAGCATCCCACCCCCCCCTTAGCTCTAGGATTCATAACTAACAAATATATCAGCTTCCGTGGTCGACGAGCAACGACGATCTGGTTGAACTCTTCTCTACCATTGGCAAGGTCGAGCAAGCCGAGATCCAATATGAGCCCAGTGGCCGGTCCCGTGGCAGCGGCGTCGTCCGCTTCGACACTGCCGACACCGCCGAGACCGCGATTGCGAAGTTCCAAGGCTACCAATACGGCGGCCGCCCTCTGGGTTTGAGCTACGTCAAGTATATTACGCCCGGCGGCGGCGGCGACAGCATGGACACCGATCCCCACGGCGGCCTCACCCAGGACCAGATCATGTGAACGTCCCTATGATGCGGCAACCGAGAGCGAGCGTGTTTCGCAACGGATGATCTACTTTGGGGAGTTCGCTGGTTCTGATACGTCATACCAAGCCTGCTCATTTCTACTACTTGCCTTGCTTTTATTTCCTTTTCTGTTGCTTTTGATTTCCTATTTATGTTATCGTTCGATGGGACGATGTGTGTACAGTGGAAGAAGACCTGTCTTTCCGGGGCCCATAGTCTCATCGCAGTCTACTCTTGGGGGTTGCGATGGTGAAGGAAGATAGTCCTGGCTCACCGGTATGATGAAGTGTCTCATGCCCTTATCTAGTTTTCGGCACTCGGCAACCCACGATCGCAAAAGTTACTGGCGCGGTGTTTTTTCCACGTGTGGGGTCTTGTCCGCGTTATGTTTGGTATTGCAGAAATGGGGACATCGGAGGGCTGTTGAACCTAGAATGTATTGTCGAATAAGCATCTGATTCTCCTGTCGACGGTGGCATTCGATGGGCAGGGCGCTGGACGGTGGCAAACGTGTGTTACTACGAAAGGTATGACTGCGTACACGAAGATGGCTAGTAGGGCTAGGCGGGCCTCGGTCCTGATTCTTGTTCGTGGACAAGCGTAGGGACGGCGATCGGTCTCCGAACCGTGTGGTTGTAGGGTGTTATTGGCATTAGCGTCGCCAGTGTGCGTTTGGATGGCGGCATATGTTGCGGATGACCCGAATACCAACGACCTCCCACCCTCCGATGACGATATACCTTCTCCATCCAATGATCGATTAGACGAAACAACATGTGGGCAACCCAACACTTTGGTATGCGGGCTTTCTAGTGGGCAGTCTTTCATATGACCTCTAGCATATGGCTTGTTTCTGGCTTGGTGTCTAAAAGCAAAGCAATTTATGGTATCTTGAGCTCATGCTTTTGGTTGCTTCCCCCCCTGTTACGGCTCCGGCCAGTTCGCTCTCTGCCGTCGGGTGCGTCTCGTTTCTCAAGCATAGGTGCCTTGTCTGTCAGTACCTCGCTGGCTTACCTAGTCTATGGTGTCTGATGAGCGTTTTCCAGAAGCATGCGAACCAACCCAGGCAACCTCCGCAACAATGGTACAAACCTCGATCAACCAAAGTTATCTAGGTACCTACTGTACCTACTTGCTATCTCCATAATGTATCTCTTGAGTAATGATCTGCTGCTAAGACCCGATGTATACTTGGTTGGGTAGGAATATCATGTGTGAGATGGGAGTATTGTGATGCGGCGATTCCGTGAATGTGTCGTTGGTTCGCCGATATTGACGAGGCTGGGTTCACTGTGCTCTCACCCGTATGCTCATTTCTCTCAAATCATTGACAATCAAATACAAGCCAATACTCTCTACATCACTTAGTTTTCTCCCTTACTAAAAGGGTAAAACTCTGCGTACCAGCCCCTCGGTAAAGTTGACATCGATAGTGTGTTGTTAGAGTTATTTTGCAGCCAACCCCGAGCACCAAGTGCCAAACATATAGCACCGCCCCACCTGATATCGATCAAGTTAAACCCATGTTCGTCAGTATAATTTTTGCTCCCATTTTTCTGGCCGCGGTGAAAGAAGAACCTCTCCTTGCCGGCGCACGACAAAAACACGTCAGAGAATATCACATTCCCGGCCCGTCGGAACCCGCGTAGTGCTTTTCGACCTCCCACCACCAGCCAGCGGCGAGGTTCCGGCTTTAGATACTCGGGTCACCGAGAAAAACGACCGAATCTCGACCCTCCATCAGATCCCCTTTCCCCTGGAGCCTGTTCCATTCCAAGCCGTCAGCTCACAGCCCCCGCTAACTCCCATCAAACTTCAAGCAGCCCCCGCGGCCCCGCCCTTCCTCTTCTTAGCCTTAGCCTTGCGCTTCGTCTTGGTCCGATCACGCGGCTTCAACGCCGCCATACCAGCCTTACACACCTCAGCATACCGCGCGTAGAATCCCTCCAGCTCGTCGGGTTGGACAACCGTCGAGAGCTTGATCTTCCCGGATTTGTCGTTCTTGGGCTTGTTGGGCGCGGGTTTGGCGACTTTGGCGCTTTTGCCGTTGGTGGCGCGGATGAGGATGGGGAGGGGCTGAGATGGGTGGAGTTCCTCTTCGAGAGCATCACGGGCGGCTTGTTCTGTTGCTGCCGGTGTTGGTTGTTGTGAGGGGGTGGAAGGGTTGTATGAGACTGAACAATGTATTAGTGGAAAAGTAAGAGGTAAGCACTGCCGCGGGGGAGAACTCACGTCGTTTTTGGGTTAGGAAGATCGCGCCATGAGATTGGGCCTTGCGAGAGGTGAAGATCTCGGCAAGTTTGTTGAAGAACTAAGGGAAGAAAATTAGCGGTCTGACATCTTATAAGTGAGCAAGCGAGTATCCTTACCTCATCATGTGTTGAGTGACCCATTGTGCGGAATGATTTCCTTCAAGGAGTGAGGATGTCGTTGATGAGCTGTGGTGGGCACGAGGTGTGATGTTGGATTCAAGGCCCACCGGTTGTGCGGGAGACCCACTTGAAGATTGAGACCAAACTGCTGGAACACTGATTGCAGTGGTTTCTTGGGCATCACAGCAGGACGTGGATGGATACGAGTGAGGAATTTGGAGATGTTTTAGCAGTATAAGTGAGTATTGAAATCTTGATGATTATTGTTTAGTTTTCTGCGTCTCTCTTGTCATTTATTCTCCTTTTACCATGTACAAAGACGATGCTCATCGTCCCTTAGCTTCAAGAAGGCTTAGCGTCATCCGGATCCTTGGGGCCTGGACCTGTGGGTCTGCGCTGCCCCACCTAATTTTGTTATCGATAAAAAAAGTCCAAGAACGCCAGCCAACCCATCGTGAATGTCGCAAGACGCGATTCCAGTTTCACTTGTTAACAGTTCCTATTTCATTGTTCCCTAGCTTGACCACCGCCTCTGGGAAGGTAGCATTGGTAAAATGCCCCCATATGGGATAAAAAAGCCAACTCTCCCGCCCCATCTCCTCAAGGAACTTGGTGCGACCGGTAAGAAATCAATTCATTGAATCGCCCGCAGTTATGTTTGAGTGGATGTGAATTCGTCGGAATCCAACTGACACGAGGGTAGATTTCAAGCCGAACCAAAAGCGCCGCGGTAGAAACGACACGGTCTCGTCGAGAAAAGACCGGCGCAAAGCCGAGAGACAGCTATCTCGAAGTAATCGCGGCACTGCCGGTCGAAACCAGTTCGCCGCACAGGCGGCTCCGAATCGCGGGAAAAATGCATCACATCGGGCCGGTAAACCAGGGCCTGGGAAGCCTGTTATAGCGACGGGCGGGCCGAAATTCATTTTGAAACCACAAAGATCGAAGCTTAATCCGGAGGAAGATGAGAAGGCCCCTACTTTCGATGTGTTGGACGAAACTGATGAAGACAACGAATCGGGCAGTGAGGGCGGTTTTTCATGGGGCGGGGACATCGGCGAGGATTCCGGAGATGACGGAGAAGGTACCGAGGAAGCCGATGACGATGAAGCGGAAGATGCCCCAACACAACGAAAGGTCTCGAGATCGGTAAAGGATAAACTCGCCCAGGACGACGCGGAAATTGCAGATTTGGAAAGGAGGTTGGGTTTGAAGAACCGGAAGAGTTTACCACAGTCCTTCAAGGATGACGGGTTAGGGGATCTTTTAGATGGACTTGGCGGCAGTTTTGACGGGGAGAATCAGGAGAAACGCAAACGGAAAGCGGAGGCCGACGACTGGCTGGCTCAGAAGCGGAGGAGGGCCGAGGCTGCTGTTGCGGAGCGGAGTCGCCCACCCCCGACCGCGGCCGGAAGCGATGATGAACTTAGCCTAGGCGAATCTGACCAAGACACAGATGATTTGGATGACAGGGACGCGGAAGAGGGCTGGCTCGGTTTGGGTGGTCTAGATGATGAGAACTTCGACGAGAACGAGCAAGGAGGGAGCCAGGACGACTCCGAACCATATTACTCGGGAGAAAACGACCTTCCAGAAGATATACCCCAAAAGCCGGTTCGCGAAAACCCATATGTCGCGCCTACAAGTCAGCCAGCCGCGAAATATGTACCTCCATCACTACGCAAAGAATCCGGGTCGGACAACGAATTGGCCGCACGAATTCGCAGGCAGACACAAGGTTTAGTCAACAGGATAACGGAATCCAACCTGTTGACCATCCTTGACGGGATTGAGAAGCTCTATCGAGAAAATCCTCGGCAACATGTGACATCCGCGCTGGTGGACTTGTTACTCATCCAGATTTGTGAACCGACGACGTTGCCAGATACACTGTTGATCCTGTCGGCTGGTTTCGCCACGGCGGCTTACACGGCGCTTGGAACGGACTTTGGAGGACAGTTGATTACAGAGGTGGTGGGCCGGTTTGAGAAGTACTATGAGGAAGCTAAGGTGGCTGCGCTAGAGCGACCCGACGTATCGAAACAAACATCCAACCTCATCACGTTTATTTCGCAGCTGTATACGTTTCAGCTGATCGGGCCCAACATCATCTTCGACTACATTCGGATGCTGCTTGATAGCCTATCGGAGCTCAACGCCGAGTTACTGCTCCGGATAGTTCGCATGTGCGGCTCAACTCTTCGGCAGGACGACCCAATGGCGCTGAAGGACATTGTTTCGCTGATTCCGGCCGCTGTCGCAAAAGCAGGGGAAAAGAACCTTACGGTCCGGACCAAATTCATGATCGATACCATCACGGACCTAAAAAACAACAAGCTGAAGGCCGGTGCTGGCGCGTCTGTGGTGGTCTCCGAGCACACAACCCGGATGAAAAAGCTCTTGGGCCAGCTTAAATCCAGAAGGGTCAAAAATACGGAGCCCATGCGGATGGGCCTTAAGGATATTCAAGATGCCGACAAGAAGGGCAAGTGGTGGCTTGTTGGTGCCAGCTGGACTGGTGGGCCAACCGCTCAGAAGGGACCTGAAGCAGCCATGGGCGCAGAAGATAGCGACAGTGACGACGAGAGTATCCTCTTAGATGACGTCGAGCAGGGCCTTGACCTCGGAGAACTAGCCAGGGAGCAGGGGATGAACACAGGAGTGCGGCGCTCCATATTCGTCTCCATCATGTCAGCGATGGACTACCAAGACGCATACTTTCGTATTCTCAAACTACGCCTCAACAAAGAGCGCCAGCGCGAGATCCCCAACGTCATTATCCAGTGTGTTGGTGCCGAGCAGCACTACAACCCATACTACACCCTCGTTGCCAAGCGGCTCTGCTCGGAACAGCGCGAGGTCCGCTGGGCTTTCCAATCTAGCCTGTGGAAGATGTTTGGCAGGATGGGTGAGCCCGGCTTTGGTGGGGATGAAGGAGACTATGAGGAGGAAGACGAGCCCATGGACGTGCGGCGGGTGGTCAACACGGCCAAGATGTTCGGCGCTCTCATCGCCGGCAACAATCTCGGAGTCATCGTGCTCAAGCATCTCAACTTACTGTACCTGCAGAAGAAGACGCAGAACTTTGTCGAGATCATGCTTGTCAACGTGTTGCTCGAGTGCCAACTTCACGAACGGCCCGAGGAGGCCGTTGCGAAAGTGTTTGGTGGCGTGGATGCGGTTCCGGATCTGGCAAGGGGTTTGCAGTATTTCCTCCATAAAGTCGTTCGGAAGTCCGATCTAGCCGGAGGGAAGAAGAACACCAAGCTGTTGAAGGAAAGATGCAAGATGGCTGAGGCGGTTGTTCAAGCTGCATTAGCTGGCGGCGAGGATCTCGCTTAAGAAGATGCGGAATAGCGGTTTAGTGGGCGAGGCAATCCGGTATCTCCCGGACTACACTAGATAGGGATTTGAAACTTTGGAATACCCTCGCCGTCTTTGCCACTTCATATGCGTGTCCTCTCGTGATTGCGGCCTTGCGGGGGCGCAATGACTGACCAGGGATTACAAACCACCGATTACGGCGATCTCGGCCCCCCCCTTCCCCTTGGAAATATCGCAACACTATGGGGGTTTGCCTCGTTCGCCGTTCAAACGAGCGTCGCGCTATCTCGGAGCAGATCGCCAAGGCTGAGGTTGTCACCAGATCAGCAGTGGAGCGATTCGTCAAAGCGTAGCGGTGCGGGATTTGACGGCTTATGCGGAGCCCCGAAGCTCAATGTTGGCGAGCTCAGTCGGGTTTTAGAAGGCGGGAACCTGAAAGTTAGCGGCTCTCGCACCAGACAAACAGGGCCGTGGGCTTTTCTATCCAATGGGATTTCGGGCTTGTACCGAACTGGGCCCAGCGCCGGCGCAACGGTTGGATGGAGGGGGTCCAACTGGGGTCGTATTTTTTCCAACCCTGCCGAAACAGAGGTCCCCACGGTCCCTCAGATCCCCAACAAACTTCGTGACGCACCTTGCTCGACGAGCTACCACACATCCCGCTTCCCGAACTTGCCCACTTCCCCTGGAGGATTTGTGTTGTTCCTTTTTTCACCTCGTCGTATTTTAATCGAAGGATACCAACACACCCACCCAACATGTTGTCGCAGAGATTAATAGGCCGCACTGCGGTCCGGTCCGCCTTCAGGCCATCAGGGTAGGATTCCAGCGACATACACTCCGAAAATGGCTCTCGGCGTCCAACTGACATCCATCTCTGCAAAGGCTCCCCTCAATTGTCGGTGCTTCAAGGTTGGGGCGAACATATGCCACGGAGGCCGGTCAGTAATTGCGGGAGTACAGATCTTGTTGGTGGCCCCCGGGGCTGACTTTCTTCTGTGTGTTACAGAGGCGAGGGATCTCGTCATTATCGGCGGCGGTGTCGCCGGCTATGTGGCCGCTATCAAGGCCGGTCAGGAGGGCATGAAGGCAAGCTGGAATGGGAATACACACCGAACAGGGCTTCCGGACAGCCCGGCCCCGGCCAATGGCTAACATATCGACTTAAACGTCACCAGGTTACGTGTATCGAGAAGCGCGGCACTCTCGGCGGTACCTGCCTGAACGTCGGCTGCATCCCATCAAAATCGCTCCTCAACAACTCGCATCTGTACCATCAGATTCTCCACGACTCAAAACACCGCGGTATCGAGGTCGGCGATGTCAAGCTCAACCTAAAACAGCTGATGAAGGCGAAGGAACAATCGGTGTCAGGTCTGACCAAGGGTGTGGAGTTTCTGCTCAAGAAAAACGGCGTCGAGTACATCAAGGGCGCGGCCTCGTTCCAGGATGAGCATACCCTCAACGTTCAACTCAACGATGGCGGTGAGACCAGCGTGACCGGCAAGAACATCCTTATCGCCACCGGCAGTGAGGTCACTCCTTTCCCCGGCCTTCAGGTCGACGAGAAGACCGTTATCAGCAGTACCGGCGCCATTGCGCTCGAGTCGGTGCCAAAGAAGTTGCTTGTCATTGGTGGCGGCATTATCGGTCTAGAGATGGCGTCGGTATGGTCTCGCCTCGGATCCGAGGTTACCGTGGTTGAGTTCCTTGACCAAATCGGCGGCCCCGGTATGGACACCGAAATCGCCAAGAGCATCCAGAAGATCCTCAAGAAGCAGGGCATCAATTTCAAGACTGGCACGAAGGTTTTGAGTGGCACTCAGGCTGGCGAGGGTGTCCAGCTCAACGTTGACTCCGCTAAGGGTGGCAAGGAGGAATCGGTGGGTTTCTTCATGATTTAACGTCCGCTGTATTGTCAGGGAAAACTTGCTGACATTGTTTGTAGCTCGATGCCGACGTTGTCCTCGTTGCGATTGGTCGTCGTCCTTACACCCAGGGTCTCGGTCTCGAAAACATCGGCCTCGAGCTTGACGAGCGCGGCCGCGTGATCATCGACTCAGAGTACCGCACCAAGATCCCCCACATCCGCTGCGTTGGTGACGCCACTTTCGGTCCTATGCTTGCGCACAAGGCCGAGGAGGAGGCTGTTGCGGCGGTTGAGTACATCAAGAAGGGCCACGGCCACGTCAACTATGGCTGCATCCCCTCCGTCATGTACACTTTCCCTGAGGTCGCGTGGGTCGGGCAGTCAGAGCAGGATCTCAAGAAGGCCGACATCAAGTATCGCGTTGGCACGTTCCCTTTCAGTGCCAACTCGCGTGCGAAGACCAACCTCGACACCGAGGGTTTCGTCAAGATCCTGGCTGATCCCGAGACCGACCGACTCCTCGGCATCCACATCGTCGGCCCTAACGCCGGTGAGATGATTGCTGAGGGTACTCTGGCGCTCGAGTATGGCGCGTCGAGCGAGGATATTGCGCGCACTTGCCACGCGCATCCCACTCTCGCTGAGGCCTTCAAGGAAGCCGCGATGGCGACGTACTCAAAGGCGATCCACTACTAGGTGGAGAGACAATGAGAGGGTATTAGAAGGGCTGGGGGAAGATGGGATGGAAAGGAAGAGACTTGGCGGGAAGAAGTGCTGCATGCGGCTTAGCGTTTTCTTGTGTACCTGTACTCTAGCTTCCATGTTTTATCCCCCGGGTGGAAAGGTATCGCACACATACACACTGGTTAATTAACCAACCGACTGCTCACCACCGTCTAGGAGCAAGGGGGGGGCACGCATTGAACGTTTAAAACTAAGTTCCCAGCTAAGCGACGCAGCGAGCAATACTCCATATCAGGTGTGGCAAAGGAAAGAATATAACAAGGAGCGGACTGAAGAAGTCACATATTTGGTAGTAGAAATGGCTAATTCTAGCTTGCTGTAATTTTTGTGACAAGTTAGATCATTCGCAACACAATTGCATAATGTACGAGTTTTTATGTTCCCCATCCCTTCATCCCAACCTTTTAAAGTGCCATGTGCTGTGTTGGCACATGGGATGAACTATTTTGTATCTATACCCTAACCCTAGTCATCAACACTTTCCCCTGGTCTCAAACGAGGTTAGGTCTGTTGATCGTTCCACGCAACGGCTGGGGATCACCTTCCAGGAGTGGGTCGTGAAGCGGAAGCTTGCGTACCTCGTCTGGCTCTCCCATCCCTTTCCCCCTCTTGGCTCTGCAGGATTCCGTTTTCTCGATTCTCCTTTCACCTCCTCACTCCTCACTCACATTTTCTCCATTACCCCCGTCCCCGCCACCACGCCTTTGTTCAGGTTACGGCAAACGAGGGAGTGAGTGAACAGGGTCACAAACCCACGCCAATTGCGACCCGGGTTTGAAGCTTTTACACGGTACCTTTCAGTGAGCTAGCTGGCTGGACATTGCCGGTGTTGTTTTCGGCGTCCTGCTGTTCCGCGGCTCCGCATCTTTCGTAACGAACGGGCAGCTCGGAGTCGCTGCGTGCGTTCCCATTTGCTGTCCCTGCCAAACTCGCATTCTGGTTTGGTGAAGTCTGGTCCCAGGAACTCAAGCGGCACACCCACCACAAATTGTGATCCAAACACACCAATTGTCGACACAAGAAACGGCGCAGGTCGCTCGTCTGTTTTCCCACCATGGCTGTCCCCAAAGCGTCTGCCGGGGGAGTTTCCCGGCCACCACACGATAGCGGTGGTAAACGCCCCTACCCGGTGCTCTCGCGCCGTGAGATTGAGGCCCAAATTGCTGAGGGCAGGGCCGTGTTCATCCTCGACCAGCATGTCGTCAAGGCGGACGCGTGGCTCAAGTACCATCCGGGCGGTGACAAGGCGATCAGGCATATGATCGGGCGGGATGCGACGGATGAGGTGAATGGGTAAGTTTGCTCTTATTTGATGGGTCTAGAAAATGGGCGGGTTGTAAGGGGGGGATGCTTACTAGTGTGACAGCCTTCACTCACTTGAGGCGCGCCGTATGATGGACAAGTATCGGGTAGGCAGGATCGAAGGGCGGTGGAAGAACTTCCTGCCGCCAATTCAAGGCGGTAAATTTCGGCCGAGGCTGGCGGATGGGGAGGAGGAGCAAGAGGCGGAGTATGATTCCAGGACCAGCGGGAGGAAATGGGCAGACGCAACAGTATCATCAAGCGACGCAGGGTCGTCTCGCTCGCCATCTCCCACCTTCGATGCTACCGAACTTCGCAACCGGAAGGCAGGCCTTGCAAGGTCTGGGTCCGCCACCTCGCTCTCTTCGGTCGATGATGAAGCCGCTAAGCCGGAGCCGGAATCAACCGACGGCATGGCGCATCTTGACGCCCTCACACGCCAGGAGATCAAGCTCGACCTGGCCAAGTACCCAACGCTAGAGTCGGTGACGCAGGATGCCATTGTGGAAAAGTATCGGCTACTCAACGAACGCATCAAATCCGAGGGGCTTTACCAGTGCAACTACTGGGCGTACGGAGTTGAGGCCTCACGATACACGTTGCTGTTTGCTCTGATGCTGCTCTTTTTGCAGTGGAAATGGTACATCACGAGCGCTTGCTTTTTGGGTTGCTTCTGGCATCAATTGGTGTTTACGGCACACGATGCCGGCCACATGGGCATCACGCACAACTTCCAAGTTGACACCGTGATTGGGATCTTCATTGCCGACTTTTTGGGTGGCCTCTCGCTGGGCTGGTGGAAGCGCAACCACAACGTGCATCACATCGTCACCAATTCGCCCGAGCACGACCCAGATATCGAGCACATGCCCTTCCTCGCCATCTCTCACCGTTTCCTCGGCTCGCTACGATCAACCTACTATGAGCATGTCATGCACTACGACGCCTTCGCGCGCGTCATGATCCGCCTGCAGCACCATCTCTACTATGTTCTCATGCTTTTCGGTCGCTTCAACCTCTATCGCCTGTCTTGGCTGTATCTGTTGGCCGGTCAGGGCCCGCGCAAGGGCATCGCGGCATGGCATCGCTGGCTAGAAATCACCGGCCAGATCGTCTTCTGGACCTGGTTTGGTTACGGCATCGTGTACCGGTCCATCGACAACAACACGTCGCGTGTCCTGTTTGTGTTGGTCAGCCACTTCGTAACAACCCCCGTCCACGTGCAGATCACGCTGTCGCACTTCGCTATGAGCACGGCCGACCTAGGCGTCGACGAGTCCTTCCCGCAACGCATGCTACGCACCACCATGGACGTCGACTGCCCTCCCTGGCTCGACTTCTTCCACGGTGGGTTGCAGTTCCAGGCGATCCACCACCTGTTTCCGCGGATCCCGAGGCATAACCTCCGCAAAACGCAGCGGCTGGTGCAGGAGTTTTGCGATGATGTGGGAATCCCGTATGCGCTTTATGGTTTTGTGGACGGGAACAAGCAGGTGATCGGGAGGTTGGGGGATGTGGCGAGGCAGGCGGCGATTTTGGCCAAGTGCCAGAGTGTGTTGGCCAGCGGGGAGCATGAGCATCATCATTAGTATGGATGCTGTTTGTTACGTAGAGCGATGTATAGAAGGATGGGACGGGCGAAAGGACCGGGGAAAAAAGGCTAAGGGTAATTAATGTTTGTGTGTCTCTTCCAGTTTTGCGGCCGTTGTACATGTGTATTGAAGCTGTGTGCTTGGTATGTGTGTTCCTTGGCATCCATTTACATTCTCGAAAAGGCCCAGGTTTTTTTTTCTTGGGCTCTGGGTTACGATGCGGGTCTAGTTGTTTGTGTGTGTTGGATGTAAACAGTGGAAAAGAGCAGTAACTGAACATACGGGAGGGCATGCAGGTTACCGCTGCGAGAGCCAACTGCTCTCCTTCCTTTGCCTGTCATTGCAGAGACTTTCTTGGAGACTTGCCGCCTTCACAAACGGGACTGTTCAAACGGATTGGCTTCTCTCTCTTTTTTCCAAATCCGTTTTCAGAGGTCTTCGACGTCATGAAAATTTGACGCCACTTTCCCCTTTCGCTCTCCGAGGACTAAGATGGATGGGTTCAAAAATGAACGGAGCTAGCGGGTAAGGCACCCGGCGTTGCCCCGTGTGTCAATGTTGTGTGTGGTGGGTTGTGTAAGTGTGCGAGTTGTGTATGTGTGTATGTGTGTGTGTTAATGGTGGGACTTATACCTACGTGAGCAGTACCGAGCGATTTTTTGTTCCAATGTCAGGAATGAGGTCAAGTATTCTTCACGAGGTACGTAACCTATTGAGTTGATGCTTAGTTTGATGTGCTACAGAGTAAGTACATTAGCCTCCGAGGATATACGGAGGGCCCCCCGTCGTCCCACTCGGCTTTGGATGCCGCGCGGGCACGTGCAGGGGCCGGGACCCTGGGTATAGTACCTAGGTACTGTATGTGTGTGCTGTGTCTGGACAGTCGCTTGTTGTGTCCTTGTGCGAGTGTGTTCCTGTCTATCTATGTGTGTGTGTGTGTGTGTGTGTGTTTTGTGGCCGTTTTGTCTGCAGCATGCAGTACGACTTGATGTTGGCTGGTTCCATCGAGACGCGGGATCTGCAAACGCATGGCTGTTTCAGCCGTTGTGTCGGGGCTGCCGTGGGATTCTTTTCTTTTTTGCATTTTTTTCTTGACGAACACCAAACCGTTTGATGCATGTTTGTGGGGAAAGCTAAGGGAAGTAGGTAAGTACCTCTATCTGTGTGACTTCCAACTAACTGCGTTCTTCAGGCACGATGTATGACAGAAGCACTCTCCGTGTATGATGTGAGACTTCTCCGTGGGTATCTGACGGCATCGGATGCATGTCCAACGTCGATCTGTGCTTTTGTTGTTGACCAGGATGGCGAAGTAACCACCACGCCTAAACAACAGATATTGGTCAACATGTACTAATGTTGACACTTGACTCCGAGGCGCACCTGTTGGGCACCGGACATATGCCATAAACACCAATCCAGATGGGTGGTTGAGGGGAAAGGCTCGTTCTTACACTTGGTGGTTAACGGTGGAGAGCCGGTGAGGAATACATGCTAATCTGTTCATGTGTATCTACCAATTGGAATTCCCTGACAACCCCCGGAGAGCGAAAGCTGTTTCCCGTTTACATCCTGTCCGGCAGCACTCCCCTCCCGCGTCCAACGAGGGTTTGCGGAAAGCCACCGACCCGGCCGAGGTCCCTGTACCTCGCTGCTGTCTCCCGTTTCCTTCCTTAAACTGCGAGCGACGCATCCACAAATCAAGTGTGACTATCGTCTGTCACTTCATGTATGACGGTTCCAGAAACCAACGGAACAAAGTTGCTCTCACCAATGAAGTAGGTGAGGAAGGTTGTGAAAAGGGGGGGTTTGTACATACCACTAGCGTTCATCCGTCATGTCTGGGTTATCCGTTCGTGGAATTAAACACCGGGCGCCGGTAGCCGCGCGCGGCGGTAGCCTCCCGCACCCGCATCCGCATTCCTTGAGGCGCACGCTGCGAACGATAAACGCCACTGCCATTCTGATCCCGTGTACGGAGTGACCTCGTAACTGGTAATTCAAGGCCTTTTTCCCTTGGGAGAGGAGAGTGGAGCCGAGCTCAATGGCCGTTCGATGACTGCGTTTGTTTGCTGGTGTGTACGGAGGACGGGGGGGGGGGGCGAGATCGAACACACTGGCTAGAGCTGGCGATGGGTATAAGTATCTGGCCTCTAACCTCACCTTGGAGGCAGAATAACCACTATCACACATTGACAACTCAGATCGTTACATACCCTCAGAGACTTGCCGCATCTCGTAGCCCGTATCAGCCACTTTTTTCCTCAACACATAACAACTCACGTCACCCTTGTTTTTTGAAGCCGCCCTCAAACCCAAGCTCTTCCAACAACAACACCTTGCGGCCTTTGACGACACGAACATCTCCCCAACATGGGCAAGGTCAAGATGGATTCTGCCGCTGCCGAGCGCATCCGCTCGGCCCGCGGTACTTCAGTTAGTTTCCCTTCCATCCTTTACTTCGTTTCCATTACACTCCCGTCTTAGTACTTTTCTCTGTGTGTTCATCGGATCTTCTACTTTATTCTAACCTCTCACCCCAGGATGGGTTTGCCAAGCGTGCGAGTGACGCCGCGCGGCGTAATGAGCAGAGCCAATCTTCTTCCCAACGGGGCTCAACCTCCAGCAGTGGGAGCAGTGCCAGCAGTGGCTCCGGTGGCAAGTCCGGCGGTGGGAAGAAGTAATTGAACGGGGCTTTTCTGTTCCGGACTTTTCTGGATGAAGATGAGAGGTAGAAGGGCAACCCCATGGTTGCTAAGTGTTCTGTGGCGGTTGTCATGAGATGCCGATGAAGGGAGGGTTTGTAATTGAAAATCTGGGCGAGTTCATCTTTGGGTTGCTTTAATGTTTGGAGTAGAAGCAGGCGGTATCACACCACTGGCGTTTGTTGGATGGGTTGGGACCACATGCTGGGTCTATTATTCTAGAACCACCTTTTTAATCATCTCTTTTTAATCTTTAGAAACGGAGGATTTAAAACAAAGAAGACTGGTACGCTCGCAGCAACAAATTAATCAAGACTTACTACTTTCTGACGTGTATTTTGCACTGTCAACGAAGCAAACGACTTTCCTCCCTCGCATGACATTGACCATTCCAGCGGGTTGCCCCGTGGATCACTGGCGCTCAAGTTAACTCTGGGCAGAAGACCATAGGTTACGGAAGGGGTTGGTCCACGAGTTGAATCATGCGAATGTGGGAGCTTCAAGCGATGAGAAACGGAAGGTCGTGATAAGTCTGGTATCTAACAAATGTACTTGTATGTGTGCTCAGGAGGGGGGGTAACACAAAGGTTGAATGCCGCGGCTCTCCCGAAGGCTCCTGATACCTAAATGTTAAGGGCACACCTTATGACAGGACAGGAAAACCAAACCTTAATTCCACGGCAATGTGTTCTAATGCATGTACATTTGCACAATATAGTCCGTATTGTATCGCAACGCCGTTCTCAAGGAACGGCGTCCTAGTTGCCCAAATAGTGTTCCTTGCCGGCCGATAAGCTCCGACCGTGCTACAAAGCAAATGAACTGCCGATCTGGCCGGATGGTCACAAACAATAGTGTAAGTAGTTGTCCCGAAACCGAGCGAATAGAGATCGCGAGTGAAAGCTGATAGGGGCCCGGTTGATAAACCATGGATGGGAAGTTTCACTATAGAGGACTCTGCTGGAAAAGTAATGGAAGAGAAGAAAGGAACTACAGGAGAGAAAATCGATTGCTAGGAAGACATAACTATAGTTTGATAATCGTTATCACACCGTCGGTTGTTGCGTCGCGCAAGCGGGGATGTGTTCGCAGTGCCGAAGAGGTAAATAGGACGACAGGTATCGGCCGTTGCGAACAACATGGAGGAAATCAATGTAGTGAACTCTCCCAGATCATAGGGTTTGGTCAAAAGCTGGTGAATGTATTCTAGGGCGGAGAGTGATGGATAGAAGTCAAAAGTGGAGAGAAAGCCAAAGGTCAAGTCGACACTGCTCTCAGCCCGCTGCAACCCCAGGCGCGATGCGGGCTCACGGAGCGTTACCCCACTTGCCCTCCACGGCATTAACCCCACCATTTCTCCTGTGTACGTACTTCGTACTGTGTATGTTAAGACGACCCACAGCTGCTGATTCCCCTAACCCCAAGACTTCAGATGCTGAACGTGACGAGACACCCACGCATACCCGATCCCGAACTTTGCCTCACCCTCCTTTGCTCGCCATCCTAGGCTGCGTTTTCGTTGCCGAATACGGTCCCCAATCGAACGTATAAGGGCGAGCTCACCAATTAGATCCGACGACCGGCACTGTGCTGTGGTGATCGACGTTTCCCCCCTCTTGCCGTGGAACCGTGGAAACCCAGCCATCAAACCAAACTACCCACGAAATCGAAGGTCGCGAGGCGAAAGCTCCTTGGGTGTACGGTAAACCGCCTCTCACCCTGAGGAGGACGCCGCATCCCTTGCCTTTGCTTGGGTACATTGCTGTTTAGCATTGATACTTGGCGTCGAGCAATCAGTGGCGATCATCGGGCATCACTCTTTACCTCTTTCACAGCATGCTCTCCCGGCCTTGGGAGACTTGCTAGAGGATTGGAGCCATGGATCCTGCCGTCCAACGCGCCCTAAACGACAAGCTCTATGACAAGCGCAAGGTCGGCGCACTTGAGTGCGTCACTTTCCGTTTAACCTACCAACTGCGTGCTCTGTTGAGATATCTAATTTTACTAGGTTGGAGAGGCTCATTCGTGAACTCGTCGCCCAAAAGGACTACAGTAGGGTTGAGGCCGTGCTTGACCAGCTCTGCAACGATTTCGCTTATGCCGTCCACCAACCCCATGCTCGAAACGGAGGGCTAATAGGACTGGCTGCCGCTGCCATTGCTCTTGGCTCGGTAGGTTTGACATATATCCCTTGCTGTGATGCTACCATGCACACCGTTTCAAGGGTGATGTATTTTAATTCTGCGCCTTCCCACTAACCCATCTTTTCTCTTTCCACGAAACTCAGGAGCTTGCCAAACACCTCGAAGTTATTGTGCCGCCAGTGCTTGCGTGCTTCACTGACCAAGATGCCCGCGTTCGGTATTATGCCTGCGAGGCCATGTACAACATCGCAAAGGTGGCCAAGGGCGAGATTCTGATCTACTTCAACCACATCTTCGACGCACTGTGCAAGGTATGTTGCTCATTCGTTTAGCCTCTGCATTCGACCGATATCTTACTAGTTTTCTTCTCGTTGTTGCTGCATATAGTTAGGTGCCGATTCGGAACTATCCGTCAAAAACGGTGCCGAGCTGTTAGACCGTCTCATCAAAGATATCGTTTCAGAATCCGCGGCCACCTATGTCTCCGTCTTGGAACAGCCACTCGCGTACCAGGAGGACGATAAAATCTCCCCAGAGGACTCACTTGAGCTGCCTACCGCATTCTCACTAAAGCGATTCATACCTTTACTCCGAGACCGCATCTACGCCCTCAACCCATTCACGCGCACATTCTTGGTTGGATGGATCATCCTGCTCGACTCCATCCCAGACCTGGAACTCGTCACCTACTTGCCCGACTTTCTCAGCGGGCTTTTACGTTTTCTAGGAGACCCAAACAGAGATGTCCATGTCGCCACCCAGGGTTGCCTGGACAAGTTCCTCAACGAGATTAAACGCATCGCTCGCGTCAAGAAGGGCATCGCCGAGAGCAAGAAGTCTAAGGAAGGGAAGCGCAAGCGGGTTGACTCGATCGATAGCGGGAGTGTGCGTCCTCAGTTAGAGGAAGGTGATGAAGTGGATTCCGAGACGGCCGCAGATGACGAGGAGGTTGATAGTGAAGACGACTGGGTCCCCGGTCAAGACGTCCAAATCAACTATAAAGCTATTTTGGAGATATTAACTGCCACGCTAGATTCCCCATTAGGTGCGTGATGCCCTCTCCCGCTTTGCTTTCCGCGCCCGAACCAAGCTAATGAGGTCCACAGAAGAGGATGGCCTCCTGGAATCGCTGCGTTGGATCGTTGAGTTTCTTGAAATATGCCCGGAAGAGGTCCTCCCCTTCACCCCTAAGATTTTGGCACACTTGCTCCCCGCCATGGCTAGTGGCGTCGAGCCCATCCGCCAAGCTGCCGGGAGGGTAAACTCTTCCCTTTTGGATTACGTAGTATCCTTATCGGACGAGGCGGATCTGCATTCGACCTCGTCATCACGGATACCTGGGCCGCCGCCAGGGGCCGAACGGCAAGATGGAGCATCAAGTGCTCGAGCGTCTATTTCTGGTCCGAGGGACGGGGAAGTGCGGAGTCCCACGCCAGCGCACGTCCGGACCGCCCCGCGAACGCCAACCCCAAGTTTACCTCCTACCCAGCCTCAGGCAGACCTTGACTACGCCGCCGCTGTCAGCTCGCTCACGCTCTTGTTCCTTAATGACCATGAGGCGACTCGAGTTGCCGCGTTGACCTGGCTGATCATGCTCCATCGCAAGGCGCCCAGAAAGGTGCTCGCGTTCAACGACGGCACCTTTCCTGCGCTGCTTAAGACGCTTTCCGATCCCGCCGAAGCAGTGGTCACCAAGGACCTCCAGTTACTCTCACAAATATCGAGGAATAGCGAGGACGATTATTTTGCCAACTTCATGGTCAGCCTACTTCAGCTGTTTTCCACGGATCGCAGGCTCTTGGAAACGCGCGGGAACCTCATCATCCGCCAATTATGCACGAGCCTCAGCGCGGAACGCATCTACCGGACCTTGGCCGACTGCATCGAGAAGGAGGAGGATGTGGAGTTTGCCAGCATCATGGTTCAGAATCTGAACAATAACTTGATTACCGCACCAGAGCTAGCTGAGTTGAGAAAACGGCTGCGGAATCTTGAGACCAAAGTTGGTTGTCTCCAACCCACCGATGTCGACGTAGTAAGCTAACAAGTCGTAGGATGGACAAACGTTTTTTGTCACGCTGTTTCGGTCGTGGTGTTACAACGCTGTCGCGACGTTCTCACTTTGTCTGCTCGCGCAAGCGTATGAGCAGGCTTATAACCTGCTGCAAATATTGTTGGTCACTCGCTCTTCGATGTCAGAGATTATGCTAATCGCCTCGCAGTGCCGAGCTAGAAATGACGGTGAATATTCTCATCCAGATCGACAAACTTGTACAGCTCCTCGAGTCGCCGGTGTTTACATGTATGTTTATGCCTTTCTCTGTTCAATATGTCGCTCCCTTGCTTACTCACGCTCTCCAGACCTAAGACTCCAGCTCCTCGAGCCTGAGCGGTACCCGCATCTGTACAAATGTTTATACGGGCTTCTCATGCTCTTACCGCAATCATCCGCTTTCGCCGCCCTCAAAAACCGCCTAAATAGCGTTAGCTCGATTGGATACTTGCACATTGCTCCACGACCGTATGTCCCTTTTTTTCAACCCTAATCACCTTGGCCCCACGAAATTGAAGCACTCTTCTAACTCCCAACTCTACGCACAGTAACGCAACGACCCCTAATGCCTCCAGCTTTGATCGCCCCAACCGCCTCAAGGGCCGCGAAGAAGGCATCATCCGCTGGGGCGAGCTCCTCGAGAAGTTCCGTTCCGTCCAGGACCGCGCCCGCCGATCGCGACGTTTGGCTGGTGGTGGGCCCGGTGCCGACGATCTGGACGAGCCAGGTCTGAGGCTTGGAGACGGATCAGTGGAAAGAGGAGGGGGAGCGGGGCACGGCGGGAGTTTATTAGACGTGGGTGGAGTAGCGGGAGGAGGAGGAGCAGGAGCACAAGGGTCAGGCGGACGAAGAGGCCCGGTGCCGGTGATGGGGGGTGGAAAGGAGACACCGCCGTTGAAACCGGAGCCGAAGCCGAGGTCGGGGTTGGGAAGGCAGTTTGGACGGCTAGGCGGAGCTGTTTCCGGGAGAGGCAAGCGCTAGCCCTTTTTTTCTGTTTTTTCCTTCGTTTTTTTGGGATTTTCTGCTGTTGTCTTCTTGGTTTTCGGGCCTGGCGTTGTTTTCTGGTGGGGTTCAAGACGACGATTGCATGCATGCGAGTTTACTTTTTTGATATATCTTATGCTGCATTTGCTTGATACTTGGATGTTGTTTCTGCGATTGCTTGATGACGACGCCCCTTGATTCCGCCCCTGACGCCATGCTAGTTCTGTCCTGCTTTTGCCCTCCCCTGACGCGCCCCTTTAGCAATGCCCGAGCAGTCCGTTATCATGTTTAGCTGCTGCATTCCCCGACCGCTTATTCTAACACCAGTTTCTTTTGTCCTTTAGAAAACCAGAACCACAGAAGCCCAACCCAACAGCGGCACCCCCATCAGATCCGTGTCGGTGGGGTTCTTGTGGATTATGACAATAACAAGACACCTTCGGGAAGTGAGACGGAACGGCCGGATCGGATGGTAGGGAGGAGGGGGGTTAGAGTGGGAGTTGGAACTGGGACTGCTGGAACTGAAAGGGGGGATGCGAATAATGGGCAACAGGGTCAGGGTTGGGGTCAGGGATCCAAAAGGCATCATCAGAGGTCGTTGTCTTCCATTACGTAGACCCGGCAGGCTTCGAGGTCAATGAGATGCAGGGCAGTGTGTATGTCATTAATGTTATAGCCTAGTTTCGTCTACTCATTAAACCCCCCTGAGAGGCCTTCCGCCTCAATCATCTTTACATGCCCTTTCTGCTTGCCCAATTCACGCTGCATACCAACATCCCCCTTTCACCACACCTCTCCTTGATTACCTCCCCCACTCCCTCTCCCTCTCTCTCCCCCGCCTCGGCGTCTCCCTCTCCACAAGCTCCTCAAACGCCTCATCCCTCTGCAACGTCATCCGCCGCAACCGACCCCTCATACTCTCCACCTCCTGGCGCGCCTGTTCCGTATCAGGCGGCAAGCCCTGGAAAGCACGCACTTGATCCTCGAGCGCGCGTTTCTCTGATGCGAGAGCGCGGTGTGCGGATTCCGAGGTTTGGAGTTGGGTGAGGGACGGGAAGGGGAAGGTGCTGGTGGAGGTGATGGAGGATTTCGACGGGGAGTGGGAGTGGGAGTGTGTGGGTTTGGTTGGGGAGGAGGAAGAAGGGTGGGAGGGGTAGGTGGAGGAGAAGTAACGGGAGGCGGCGGCTGCGCGGTCGCGGAGTTCGGGGATGCGCGTGGTTAGGGCTTTGATGCGGCGTTGGAGAGCGAGGTTTTGGAGGGCGAGGTCGGCTGGGGGTTGGTAGCTTCCTGGTCGTCCTACTATTTTGGTGCTACGTCTGGGGTGGTTGGGATTGGAAGTAGGGCCTTGGTGGGGTTCGTCGTCTTGGGAGAGGTCATCATCGTCATCGTCGTCGGAATGGTGGTGATGGTGGTGGTTTGGAGAAGGGGGTCGTAACTCGGCAGTTAGGTCAGCCGTTGCCGCGGCTTCACGGGCAATATGACTCGTGAGCGTGTGAATGCGGGCGGTGGTTTGTTCCAGTTCGGCGGCTGCGGTGGACAGGTCGAGAAGCTCTGCGCCGAGGACTGCCGGGGTTGGTAGTGGTGTGTTGGTCTGGAGAGCGAGAGCGGCAAGCGCGGTGAGGGCGGTTTGGCCCTCGCGCGGGAGAGCAGTCTCGAGAGCGGTAAGGATTGCTTCACGAGCCGACTCAAGTGTGTTGTTGGTGATACCGTGCCCCTCGCCTCGGTCGCGGGAGTCCTCATGAGCTCGAAGTTGGTCGAGGGTCTCGGCTTCGAGCCGGGCGAGGAGAGTCTGCTCTTCGTCGGCGGCCTCGTTCGCTGACGCTATGGAAAGTAGGGCACGTAGTGTGTCGGGGTTGCGTTCAAACTGGGGAGGATCACCAGTCGGGAACTTGGCTTGTAACCAACTGTCCACATATGACCACTCTTTTGCGGCCGAGGCGGCTGCGCGGGCGACTGACGGTGAGAAGATGGCCATGTTGGGCGGGAGGTGGGCCATATTGCCTCCTCGCCAGAAATACCAGACCGGAAAAGGCGCGGGTCTTTTCAATTTGGCGACGGCAACTTGGGGTGTCGATGACGGTTGTTGAAAGAACCGACCTCCTTGCCGAGAAAGTGGTAAGTGTTGACTGCTAACAGTACGAGGTTCCTTAGCGCAAGTGTGTCTGGTAACACCCGAGGAATCCCAATGTTGTGACGCTTTTGGGCCTCGGAACCACAAAGTGGTTCCCTTTCTTGGAAATTCAAGTCGTAAATTAATCGGATGAGGCCTGAATTGGATGAACGGTCTTGTCACTCAAGAGTCTGTTGTTCGATGTGTAAGTTACTACTCTGTATGTAATTATTCTGGGCTTGAATAGAAATGCCCCACTGTGCTGCAACGCGGCGGCATCCGGGGTTGGCGGTGGAGCCTCGCTCAAAACGCTCCCTGGGAAGCTCGCTGATTGGTGCGTTTTGCAAAGTAAACAAAACGCTTCCAGGGGTGTTTAAAGAAACTCGAGGACTTCTGTCAAGACGCGACTTCCCCACTAATACACAATCTACGAGGCCCCAATAATTGCCCACCACGCGCCGACAATCACAGCTCTCCCCCTAATTTTGCTAGGTTAGCTACGACTACGGCGTAGTGTTTTGCTATTTTGGCGCCGTCGACCTCTGGCTATCAATTACTTTTTATTTTCTTTTTTTGTACCTCCTTTGGCCCCCCGTCACGCGACGGGCTTTAACTCACGATGGTGCAACCGGCTGTAGACGGCCTCGACACGCCGCGCACCAACGTGGGGGACGCGACATACCTAAACCGCCAGCCCGACTTCGATATTTCGCAAGAACTCTCCTTCCAAACCCCCTCTAAAGACGCGAATCTCCTGCAACAAATGCGAAATGGCGGCCGTCCCAGCCTCAAAACCCCGCGGGGCAGCCGCGCTCCCTTTAACGACCGACGAAACCTCCCCACCGGCTTGGGTGGCCCCGAGTTCACCCCCCTTCTCAAATCCGCAACTAGGAATAGCGTCCGGCGGTTTGGAGTTGGCAAGGAAAACGGCCGCGCCACGCCAGGCTTCCTCTCTAAGATCGACGAGTCCATGACCCCCATACCCGCAGGCGAGATCAGCATGTTTGGCGCCTCACACAACACATCGTCGTTTCTCGGTAGCACGCCATTACCCGAGGTGGACACCAGCAGCGTTGCGTCGACACCGCTGGTTATGAAGAGGCGTGAGGGCAAGGGCCCGCTAGAGGACGGGAATCAGCTATCGCTGCGTGAGCAAGAAAATGTGATCGACAAGATTGAGAAGGAGAATTTTGGCTTGAAGCTGAAAATCCATTTTCTGGAAGAGGCGCTACGGAAAGCTGGGCCCGGGTTCAGCGAGGCCGCTCTGAAGGAGAACACTGAGCTGAAAGTCGACAAGGTGACCATGCAGCGCGAGCTACAGCGGTACAAGAAGCATCTGACTTCGGCCGAGAAAGACCTCGAGTCCTACCGACACCAGATGCTTGAACTGCAAGAGAAGGCCAAGAAGAAGTACGCCGACGAGAACCAGCGCGCTGAGATCGAACGGTTACGTCAGCAACTCGAAGAAAAGGACGCCGAGATCGATAACCTACAGCAACAACTGGACGATCGGGGCGACGAGAACGACAAGGTAGAGAAGCTTCGCGACGAGATTGGGGATCTGGAGGCGGACCTACGGCGAAAGGATGATGTCATTACACAACACGAAGACGAAATCGAGGAGCTTCGGGAAAAAGTGGATGATGCGGAGGACCAGCTGAAGGATACCCAAAGACGCATGGTGGAACTCGAAGAGAAGGCCCAGGACGGTGACCGTCTCCAGGAGGCCAGGGACACGATCGAGGACTTGGAGGCCAACGTACGGCGGTTCGAGCAGCAAGTCCAGGAGATGCGGGAGAAGTTGGAGAACGCCAATGCGGAGAAGGACCGTGCCGAGGAAGATTTGGAGGAACTCCAGGAAGAGATGGCCAATAAATCGGTCGTAACCAAAGGTCTCTCTCGCCAGGTGGAGGAAAAGGTGGCCCGCCTACAACTGGAGGCCGACAAGGCGCGTGAGGCCTGCGCATCGCTCGAGGAGGTCCGCTCGGCCCAGCAAAAAGAAATGGACGGGCTGCGGGCAAAGCTCAAGGACGCCCGCGAGGAGCGCGACTCTGCGGAACGTATCCGTCTCTCTCTCGAGGCCAGGGCTGATGAGGATCAGGGTTCCTGGCGGAGAGAGGTAGAGGAAAGCCGACGTCAACTCAAGGAAGCCAGACTGGAACGCGACGCCGCTGAGCACAACCGGTTAACGTTGCAATCCAAGTTGGAACAAGCCCAAGCTGATCTCAACTTGCGCAACGACGAGAAGGCGCTTCTTCAAACCCGACATGATGCGCTGACTAGCGAATCGACCTCTCTGCAACGTGAAGTCTCCAAACTCAAGCACTCTATTGCTGAGCTTGAGGGCAACTTGGAGCAGGAACGCCAGCATGCCTTGACCATCGAGCAGGATATTCGCAGTCAGTTCCGCGCTGAGATTGACCGGCTAAACGACGAGGTTTCGGATCTTCAGGCCGAGTGTCGCGAGCGAGACAACTTGTACGATAACGACAGTGAAAAATGGGAGTCGGAGCGCAATAACCTTGTATCGGAACGAGACCGCGCTGAAGAACGGGCCGCCGGTCTTCAACGGACAATCGACAAGCTGCGCGACACCGAAGGAGCCTTGTCCAGTAAAGAGTCCAAACTTCAGGATGCCCTCCAAAGCGAAGCGGAACGGCACAAGAAGGACCAGTCAATGCTCCGCGCACAAATCGACCGGCTCCAGTTGGATTTGAGCTCACGGCAAGGCATGTTGGAGGATCTCCGCAACGAGGTGTCGTCGGTGCGAGACGAGCTCCGCCAGACCCAGTTGGAATATGAGGCGCAGCGGGACAAGGTCCAATCGCTGGAGGACGAGGTCGAGATCTTGCAGGCCACGATCGACGAGGAGTCGGAGAAGGCCCGATCCGAGCTCGACCGCGCTCAACAGGAGTGCGATCGCTTGCGACAACAGCTCTCGTCGGTTCGGGCCACTGCGGACTCGGCCCGCGCCTCGTCGACGGCTTCGCGGGAATCCGCCAGGCAAACGGACGAGACCGTCGCGCGACTGCGGTCCCAGCTTGCGGAGGCTACAGAGAAGGTGACCAAGCTCACCGAGGAGCGTCGGGGACTCCAAGACCGATCCTCGGACCTGAGCACCGAGCTGCGTTCCGTTCGCGTGTCGCTAGAGGCGATCAAGGCTGAACGCAACCAGTTAGAGGCCGAGATTGATCGGTTGAATGACCAGGGCGGGGATACGTTCAAAGACGACCAGGAACGGTTGGACCTGCGAGTCGCCAAGACCAAGCTCGAGACGGAGCTCCGCCGGCTGAAGGAGGAAAATAAGTCGTTGGCTGCGAGACGACGGGAAGTAGAGGAGTCGTTGGAGAAGGAGATTGGGAAGGCCGCTGCCGAGGAGGACCGCCTGAGCGACGAGATTCGTGAATTGCAGACAAGGCTGCGTGACTCTTCTTCGGACAACGCTGAGCACCTAGCTCTCCGCCGTACCATTCGTGAACTCGAACGCCGCGTCGAGGAGTACGAGACACAGCTAGCTGCATCGCAGAACCCCCTCAATGGCGGCGACGGCAACAGCGAGCTCTCGCTTCTCCAACGTGAGCTGTCCACTGCGCGGAAGAAGGAAATCGACCAGCTCAAGCATGACGCCTCGCAGAAAGACACCATCAAAGCTCTCAAACGGCAGATCTCGGACCTTGAACGCAAGGCCCACGAGGCTGCCCTAGATCGCTTCGGGAGCTCCCCATCGTCCCATTACGGTTCAGCGCAAAAGGCTGAGATTTCCGAGCTCCGCCACCAGCTTTCTGCCGCTAAACAGTCCGTCCACGACATGAAACGGTCTCTGCGTGAAGCCGAGCGTAAGGCTTCCGCTTCGGAACAGGAGCTTCAAAAACACCTCGACGAATTCGAAGACGAGAAGCTCGTGCTAGAACAAGCCTTGGAGGACGCCGAGACCGCCGCTGAGGAGTCCGCTGTGGCCCACGAGGAGACCCTCAAGAAATACAAGCAAAAGCTTGAAAAGTACCGCCGCGAGCGCGACGAACTAGCCGCTGCAGTGCGCGACACCCAACGCAACGGCAACCACCACAGTGCCAACAGTAGTGTCACCGAGATGCCGCTCGAAGAGCGCCGCGACCTACACCAGATGTTACGCGAGTCGCAGCTCACTGCTGACAAGCTAGATCGCGAGCTGCGCGACCACCGCGAGGCCCTCGAGGAGCTGGTCGGCGTCGAGACGACACTACGCAAGAAGCTAGAGCGAGCCCGCAGCGAACGGGCTGCGTACCGTGCGAGTGCCGAGAAGCTGCACAAGGACTTCAAGAGACTCAAGACGGAGAAGGATAGGGCGGTGGCCGAAGCGGCCGAGGCTGCGGCTGCGAACGAGGAGCGGGCTCTTGTGGTGCGCGCATCCAAGATGAGCAAGAGTGGGGGACATGGTGTCGACACAGACGCCATCATCCGGGCGGCCGAGGCAGCGGAGAAGAGGCACGAAAAGGAGATTCGTGGAATGGTGATGCAGATGGAGTGGCTCAAGGCGTGCTGGGACCGCGAGGCCAAGCTGCGCAGCGATGCGGCGTATGCCAAGCAGTATCTGATGATGCAGCTCCAGGTGCGGGATGCATGGTATGTTCTTTTTTTATTCCCCTATTTCTCCCTCCATGAGGGTGTCATGATGTCTTGTCTAACCATCCTATCTTCACAGCAACAAAGCCGACCTAGCCATCATCAACCGCATCCGCGCCGAAATCAAACCACCATCCTCCCGTTCCCCCTCCTCCTCCGCCATCACCCAACACAACCACTACCCTCTTCGCCAACAACAAAAACAACTCCAACTCGAACCCGCACAACCCACTTCCCCCTCCCCAACCGCGAAAAACCAACTCGTCCCTTACTCCTCCTCGTCACAACAACAAAAGAACCGAAGAACCGCCAAAGCAAACTGGCATCTTGCCCTGACTACTGCACGGTGTATTTCGCGTATGCGGATAGGTGCGCGTGCGTGGGCAAGACACGATCGCACGCGCCAGCGGTTGGCGGATTGTTTTGAGGGGATGCAGAGGGAGGAGAGGATTAGGCGGATGAGAGACGTTTGGCGGGGGGAGGTTGCTAGGAAGGTTGGGAGTGGGAGTGGGAGTGGGAGTAGGGGGGGTAGTAGCGGGAGTGAAAGTGGGAATAGGATCAGAGGGAAGAAGGAAGTGGGGGATGTTGATGGGTTGGGGTGTTGATTGATGATGATAACGATGATGACCGACTCGTTTTTGTTGGTGTTTTTTTGTCTTGGCCAAGTTTAGCTGGCTGGCTGGGATTGGGTTCTTATCTGAATGGTTGTTACCTAGGTAGCCAAGAGTCTGGTTGGATGTTGTACTGTTGGGAAACAAACCGGTCTTTAGGAAGGTTGGATCATGGTTGGACGTGGGACGCGGGACGTGGGCTCATCAGCAGATGTTTTTTTCTTCCTTCTCTGTTTTTGTTTTTCTCTCAACATGCCCTGCCCCTTTTTCTTCATAAGTCTGGGTGGTATTCTGGTCTCGTCGGGTCTTGTCTGGTCTGTTGTCTATTCATTGATTTGGGTCGGAAGGAGCAGGGTGTCAGGATATCATATATACCTTGGTAAAAAGGTGTAGGTTAGGTTGGTGTTGTGGGTATCATAAAGCACTCGCAGCCTGGGAAATGAGTAGAGTGGTCTTCTTCCTCGTTGAAATATTTCACTGGTCGTGTTTGAGTGTTGTCATTACTCGGGAATTGTCGAGATTGAATAGCGTCGCTTGACGATGAGTACATTTTCGTTCAGAAATCAATGCTGGGGCAATCACCGAGTTTCAGTCTCTAAGAGGGACCCGCCTATAGCTATCCGCGTTCCCTTCATTCAATGCGGACCAAGGCAAGCCACGAAGCAACTTTGGATTATTCAGACTTTCACCAACTTAAATTGCCAGTCATCTACCAAAAAAAGGGAGATGAAAACAAGCGCACTACAGAACGAACTCGGTTCATATTCCCAAGTCACGGACTAGAAAGACACAACAACAACCCTTTTCCATAGCCGTTCCAAACCTTCCGAATTCTCTCTCTCGCTCATTCCAACTCCCATACACAAATTGCACAAGACTTAAAAAACCCAATGGTTGATCAACATGGAAACTCAAATAGAATCCTAAATTCGGAAAAAGTCAACTTGTTAACCCCCCCACGCCTGTCTCACTTAGACCTGACCCTCATGATTCATACCCAACCACTTGACCAACCATATCCCAGCCCCCCGTGCCTATCCCATCCTATCCATTCAATACCTACATACCTACTCCCCTCCCTTCATACCCGTTTCGGCCTAACCAAATCCCCCGCCCACATCACATCCCACGATGTAGTGTAGCTCGGCCCACAACGACTTTACCATACCTTTTGTCGGCGCACGCACCCATAGGCGCGCGCCGGTGGCGGTTCGTTTTGTTTGTTTGCAATTTGCTTTCTACAATTCGCTCGCTTGCGGATCGATCGATCGATCGGATCGGATCGGTCGGTCGGTCGGGGTGGATGGACTGACGGTCGACAAGGGGAGGAAAGAGGGAGGAGGATGGGTGGAAGATAATAAAAGAAGAAATTGGAGGATCCGGTGGGAAAAGATATCAAAGATATCCAAAAAAAAAAGGGTTCGTTCGCATGAAAGGGTGGGGAAAAAGTAATTCGTTATACCAGTCCAGCCGTACCGTGTGACCCCTTAAAAGCCTATAACCCGCCGATGCCATGCCCACCTGGTTCCCATTTCCCAGTTCCGTTTCTCATCAGTCCACCCATGCACATGGGGGTCACAATCACATCACAAACAAGACGTTGGTATCTGTTTGCCCGTGGAAGCCGTCCATGACACCAAACGCGTCAGCCCATGATGCGTCTTTTTTACTCTCTAAAACAGAAAAAAGGGGCCAAAAAATTGCAAATTAACGCATAGGGGAGACAGCTGTTGTGGCGGCGGAGAAGTGGTTATGGTATTGATAGTGATGGAACCTACCGAGCGGATGGCTACATGAGAGTTGGGGTTTCTGGCTGTAGCGGGTCTGGAGCTCGTCGCGGATGCTATTGAGAAGCTGGACGTAGCTTTGCTGGGGGTTCTTCTTGAGCGCGGTGATAAAGGCCCACGACATGGCACCGGTGGCCTGCGAGGCGATATTCGCGTCGGCCCTAGAAGAGGGGCAAGAGAAGTGCAATGTTAGCAGAGTGCATGCAGGGAGTGGATAGAGCGAGAGAGGTAAAAGCAGCGCATACGAAGTCTGGTTGTCCTTGCTCCCCGAGAACATGACCACATCCGCAGGCGACGTTTTCACGGCCATGGACCTGGCATACGCGTCTTCGCTGCTGCTGGCCTTTTTGAAGAAGCCCACGATATTATTTGCCACGCCACCCAGATCACCCCTGCTGTACGCAGACACAGCGCTGAGAAGGCCCTGCCCGGCTTCTTTGGCGAGGTTGGGCTCCTTGAGGATGCCCTGAGTGGAATAGATGTAAGGAAGGTCGAGGGCGGTGCCAGAGTGGCACGAGTCAAAGATGGCGGTCAGGCGCACGCCCGCTTGGAGGGGTTGCACCATGATGCGGTGCATCTCATCGTCGGTGATGTGGCCGGTCTGGCGAAAGTCGGCTGGGTAAATGACCTCGTCGTAACCGTCTTCTTCGTCGCCGTCGAGGTCTTTTGTTTGCCCTCCATGCCCTGACCGAGGGGTTAAAATCGAAAGGATTTATGTGAGACTTCTTTGTGGTCGGGCCAACTTACCAGAGTAGTGGAAGAAAAGTGAATCGTTGGGACGGGCTTCCTTGACCAACCAGTGCATGGCTCTGAGGATATTCTGCTTGGTGGGCTGGCTCATGGGGTTCTGCTGGTCGTCTGTGAGGATGACCATGTCCTCGCGCTTGTAACCGAAGTTCTCGACGAGGTAGGCGGACATGTTGCGCACGTCATTGATGCACCCACGCAGCTGGCCGCGCTGGTTGAAGTAGTTGATGCCGATTAGCAGGGCTTTCCTCCGCCCCGTACATTGTGAGTATTGGAAGGCGAACTGCTGCTGGTATCCGTAGTGTTGAGTCGATGGAGGCGGAGGTGGCGGTGCGGCGTGATTGCCGTGGGTATAAGCGTTCGAGTTCACGGTCGGCATGTCTGCGGCTGTTCAGTACTTTCCCATACTCACCGTCGATCCGCATGGCGTAGAGGAGAGGGGGTAAAGGGGTAGGTAGGGTCGTGCTCACTCGGTCGTCCATAATTATTAGCCGGTTGTGGAGAGTGGTAGTTCTGAGGTGGAGGTGGCTGCGACGAAACTTAGTTGGCTCTGTTGTTTCGTTTCACTGGGCATGGCCGCATGGTGGAACAAACCTGTTGATAGCCTCCGTAGCCCGGGCCGGGCTGTTGGTAGCCATAGCCGGGGTTTGCGGGCGGGGGGCCGGGCTGGGGGTAGCCGTAGCTCGGTGCTCTTTTCACATTTAACCATACACCGTCAGCCTTTTGTGCTTCAACCCCAAGAACCGGCTGCCGAACGGCAAACTCGGCATACGTACGGGTAGTAGCCAGGGTATTGTTGCTGTGCCGGCGGGGCATAGCCACCAGCGCCGTAATTTGCACCAGGATATCCAGACATTGTCCCCGCAAATCTACCCTAACGGAAGGGGAGACAAAACTCGGAAATAGGACGCGCGGTCAGTGTCGTCGGCCGGTCGGTAGGATCGGTCGGTCGGTCGGGCGAACCAGCGGCCGGAAACCGCCGCACGGAGCGGACAAACGACACGGCGTCGGGCGGCCGATGGGGCGAGAAAGTCACAAGAAGAGGATAAGAAAACAAGAATATCCCCAGACGGTACGGTGTCTTATAGGGGCGCGGCACAGCGGGCACACTTCATTCGGCAGCGGCGTCGCGTAGCGCGGGAACTAGTAATGGGGTGATTGTTGTTCTTAGCTCGGAACGCGGGGGACGGCGAGGGGTAATGAGGATCGAAATCGAAAATCGAGCAGAGCTGCGCTAACTCAGAGATGGCGATCTACCGAAGCCCGTCACACGATGAGCAAGCAAGGAACGCAGGACACGACGCACCGAAAGGTAAAAAGAAAAATAAAAGATAAAAAGAGGCTTAAAAAAAGTCGCCAATTGCTTGCAGGTGGGCGAGCGACAGCTTGGCTTTGAGACAACGCACGGCAAAAAAGCGGCCACGGACGAACCCGACGGGGCGGTCAAGGGTTGGCAAGCTGGAAGAATGCCGCTTGGGGAGGCTGTGAATGTGGGTTTAATGCCCGTGCCAGCCCACGACCCAAGATCGCTCGTCCGAGGGCCGGGGTATGCGCGAGATGCGGCAGGCGAAGGGGGGGGTGGGGAACCTACGTAGGGGGGTGTAAGCTTGACAGGTCCGGGAAAACACCCATACCTCCGGAGAAAATTACCAGGCGCGCGTGAGACCGGTGTATTGTGTAGGTAGTGGAGTGTAATAAACCTCCAAAGACGGGAACGTGAAAAACGAGAAGAAGAAAGAGAAGCACGCAGCAATAGGGAACGAGAGCGACCTAACGACGCAAGAGGCACGCTTTCAAGTGTCCAGGGCCCGAGCAAGGGACCGACACACACGTCTTGAGCTCTAATTCGAGTTTTGCGGATGCGTTGGATATCTCAAACGGATGCCGGACGAGCAAGCTGGCAGTCAGGGAGTCAGGCAAGTCAGGCCATTTGCTGGGTGCCATTGCTCCATCGTCAGGCGCTGGGGGGACCGGAGCGGAAACAAAAAAAGCGGGACGAGGGTTCGGGGCCAGGCGAACCAGGGTTCGGGTACTCATCTCATCGACCCTCAAAATTCGTCCATGGAGCGCAGGCCGCCGGCCACGATTGGACATCGCGATGGGTGGAGCGCGAAATGGCCAAGCCATGTGGCCTGCGGATCCCGGCCTGAAACAGGAAACCGAGATCGTCCCGTTGTTGTTTCTCCAGTTTCTTTTTTCAGCTCTTCTCGACATCTCTTGTCGCTTCTCTCGGCCTAAAGCTGCAGCGAGCGTTACATAGTAGACGCAAAGAATCATGCCAATTTCGGTCTTGTCAGCATTCATCTCCCGTTTCTTCCTATCGTCGATAGACTTTCACTTCATGAAATTGAACCAACCGACGATACGAGACGGAGCATCGCGTCAGCGCTGGTGTGCTCTGTAGTGTATCCTAGGTCGTGTACGCTGAACAACGCCAGCTGAAATATTCAGCCAGCTTGTCAATTGGACTCGCAATCATCCTATGGAATCGAAACGCCACGAGCAGGGGTGTAAATGTTGCCCAACTGCCCTCACCTTCTCCCTACCCACCGAGCCACAACAGTATTTAGTCCGCGAGGCCACCAACATCGCGGAACGGCAGATGACAAATGACGCGGCCCCCATACATAAGCGGCCGGTGACTTGGTCGGTCGCCCCGGCCTGCGACCTGATCACCTATGTGCCTACGGAATACCTAGCCGACCGACGCAACTTCCCTCAACAAAAGCCAGAAGTCAGCGATCCGAAAAAGCTGTGTAACCACTAACCAGTAGCCCTCAAAGTCAGCCACGTCGCTTCCGCTGTGCCCTGCCTCAATCGAACCTGATAAAGAAACTTGCCCGAAAGCGAAACTTTCCACTAGTCCAAACCCTGCAGAGACTGCAGCAGTGCAGACAGATCCCCAATGCACCGCGCTACGACGCTGCAAAAGCCGAGCCTCGGCAGGTAATTTTTTTCCGTTTCTGCCGCGCTGTGCTGTGTGTGTGACGTCAATGAGAGACATTGACAAACTGCACTCACCCAGCCTCCCTGCTTTGCTTCCCCGTGCCTGGCCCAGACTCGGCCACGACAGAGCCATCGAGATGGTGTTGAGGGCGGTCGAGAGGTTCTCAACGACACAACACTCTGACCACAAAACAAATCATTTTTTGATAAGGATATTGCTCTCCAGAACCCTGGAGAGGATGTGCGATTTCGTACCCCTGTATTGTCGGTAATAGTATGTACACACTGCACCCGGATGAGCGCCCAAGGATCAATTCCCGTTCCCTGTTTCTCCGGGCCCCGGGCAATCCCTCAGCTCCCCCTGGCTTCCCGGCTGCAAGATGAGATTAAACGATCCCACCACCATGGGAACATGGCAATGATGGCACACACACACATGCCACCAGCCCACTGGTTCGTCCCCGGCGGCCGCTTCCGCTGTGCCGCTTGCCGGCGTTCATTGAGGACGGGAACGATTATCAACGACGTGCAGAATCGGGGTTTTGGCAGAAAACGAACCCCGGGGTCGCCTACGCACCTACACTAGCCCCGGGCATGAGCGCTGCAGCAATGCCCCCCCGTTGACCATTGCCCATTGGACAGCCCGACATCGCGTCGTTGATGCACGAGGACGGGCCTAACGGATTTGGGGACTTTTCGAAGCGGGGCGGCTGAACATGCCGAATCGTTCGGCCATTCACAACAGCGGGGATGCACGGGATGCAAGGGGGTTGACGACGTGAAGGGGGGGAGACAAGAAACGCTCGACGGCCAATATCAACGTCAAGACGCGGTTTCCAAACTGGACTCTTTCTCATCCCGCCTGCTACTCTGTATGTACGGACGGCCTCCCGTTGCGGGATCTGTTTTGCTCAGCCCAGCTCAATACAACTCAGCTCAATACTCAGTACATAGTACAGCCGAGCTCGTTAACGTTACAGCCCAGCTCATTGCAGGTCAACCGTCACAGCCGATGGCGAATCTTCCCTCACCCCCGCGTGCCGCGACTTACGAAAGCTGAACCAACGCTGAGGGCGCCCACCACCCCTCGCCTGGCGGTTTGCTCCATCTTCACCACCATTACCACCATGATGTTCATGTCCTTCTCCTTCTCCTCCTTTGCCAAGGCCCTTCGACCACCCCCGAGTAACCCGCCCCAGGACCCCGGCCCGTCGCTCTAACGGCAGACAGCAAGGGGCTAGCTACGCCCCCGACATCTTCACGTCGTCTTGGCTCTGCTGGTCACCGGTGCTAGCTCCTCCTCGTCCTCCATTCCGGGCATCCTCCTGCTTCACCTCGTTCGGCGGCGGCTGCTCTCGCATCGTCCAGGCCATCATGCACCAGATCAGCTGCATCGCCTGCACCCGCTCATCCACTTGGAAGAAGTCGAACCACGGGCTCCGCCACATCTCCAACTTGCCCCAACTCCGTGCGTCGCCGTTGCCACTAGCACGCTCGCCCTCATCGCTTTCCCCAGCCAAAACGGCCAGCAGACGGTCGGGCACGCGCACCCGCACGATGCTGACGTGATGTAGCACCGCACTGATCACAAAGACATCGTCGTAGTCCGCTCCATGAGCCCGGCCAATGGCTTCATATTTCGCCCGCCTGTCCCATGTGGCCGCGGGCGGGCGAACCATCCGGTAGTTGTCGTACATGGGGTGATTGCCCGACTTCTTTTGGCGCTTAACACCCTTGAAAGGTCCGCTACTACTGGCCATGAGACCGCCCCCAGCAGCATGGATAGCGAGACCGCTCGCGCCCGAGGGCCGCGAATAGGGTCCTTGCGGGGCTGCCGTTGGGCCGAAAGAAGCGGGCTTGGTATCCGGTAATGGCGCATCTTTATCCCCGACGGTCTGATCCGCTCCAGAGAGCATTTCTACCTCCCGGCCGATAGGGCCGCCCGAGCCGCCGCCCCAGCGTGGTTTCGTGCACCACCAGGCATCTTCGCCAATGCGTTTTTCCGTGTGGCCTTCCCGAGCGCGGTGTTGCGCGGTGATAAGCGCTGCAATAACCTCCCTAGCAAGGTCTAGGGCGGATTCTCGGTCTTTCCCAGTCGCCGATTCCGCCGGAGGGAATGTGATGGTGTGTCGAGCGCTTACCGCTGCGATTGGGCCCTCGACGATCCCGGCGCGGGCTGCTTCGCGAGTGGTTGGGGTTCGGAAAACGAAAACGCACCCTGAAGAGAAGTACGAGCTGCGGGGTGGGTCGTTGGGCGGTTTATTTGTGATTTGTAACCGTGGCTCAGTACGGGGCGCCGTGACGTTACACGTGAAATCATACGCCACCAACTTGAGGAAGACCGTGATCATGGTTTGCCGGTAATCCGGCGGCATCTGATGGCCGGCACCTGTGCGGGAGAATGCCGCAGCTTCGCCCTCCTCCGCGGGTTTACCCCCATCGGTTGCGGCGTCCGCATTCTCACCGTTGCTATCCCCGCTTTGGTCAGCCTCAGCGTCTGGGGCTGCCCGCGGCTTTGATGTGTCTTCCCAGTATGATGCGAAGAGTTCCAAGTGGCGGTAAAACTCGTACGCATTCCCCAAACGAGCTTGTGGCTGGCCCTTGGGGGCCGGCATGCGACGGACGGTCCGATAAGCAGCCTCGTTCGCGATGGAGAGCTCTCGCCTTCTCTCCAGGTAGGTTTGGCACCCGGGTGACAAGTTGCCCGTGTTCAGTGGTTTCCGAGTGCTCTCGTTAACCGTGTGGACTTCGTCAGCAGACAAGGCGTCCCAGGCCGCAAAGTCCGGGATATAAGCCGGATCCGGAAGGAGTTGGGCCGGCGTGGCATTCGGGATCACGTGGACTCCAAGAGCTTCGAAGTGTGACATAGAAAGTTCGGCAGGCCGAATTATCTTCTGTAGCACCGAGGTGAGCGGTTCTGGTACGCCACTCGAGGTTGACCCTTGGCGGTCCGAGGCCTTGCTTTCCGGAATCTCAGGGCAGCATCGCGGCAAGTTGATGGGTGTGGGGGGAGGAACATCCTTGGGCGGTGCTCTCTGCGACCCCGACGTAGGTACTGGAAGGTCGATTAGAAGACGGCCGTTTGACGCGAAACAAATAGGCAACACCCGTTATAGCTGCCGCAGACGACGAACATGCGAAACGGTATTTGGAATAGGGATCAAACAAGGGTCCGCCCCCGCATAAAAGGCACTGATGCGAACGGACATTCATGTCTGCCCAGTCGCCCAGGCGGGGGGGGGACAGGGACTAGCTCTGATTTTTCTTATTTTTTTAAGAAGGGCCGGACAACCACGGTGGTGGTTATTAAATCCCAGCTAGCAGCGGGCCGCACCGCGCCCAGCGGCGGTCGACATGACCAGCGACCGTCCGAGAAGGGAGAGCAGTGAAGTGGAGGTGAAGACGCAATGTTGTTGAGGACAATCTCAACACCCTCCGGCTAGCCATTGCCGCAGGAGAAGCCACGGGGAAGACTACGAAATAGAAAAGAAAAAAACAGAAGAAACGCAGCTTACTTACGCATAAACCCGATGTTGCCAAACATTGTTGCGTTTTTCGAATATGGCCTGGTAAAGCTCACTCAACCAAAGTTTGGGCGGTTCAAAGATGCTGCTGCTTCCGCAGAGCCCTGATCGTCAAAGCGCACGCTGCCTGCTGTCCGCGGCGTGGAGTCGAAACGGCGGCCAAGGACAAAGGAATCGAGCGATGAGATGCCCTCGGAAGCGGTGAATAATGCGCGGGAGGTGTGAGAAAGCTTTGATTTGGCGCCAGATATGTTTGGTGTTTGCTTTAGGTGCCCAATCCCAGGAGGAATGTCCGGAATCGAGCAAGGAAAGTTCTTGGAAGACTGCCGGCGGTTGTGACGGGAAACGGCTGGACCACGCGATGATGGGCGGAGTGTGAGCAGTGCAGGCAAGCAGGGGCTTGCAGCGAGCGCTGGCTGGCATTGCATGCGCTGTTGGACCGTGCACTCAAACATTGCACGCCCCTGAAGGTGTTCGGCTTCGTCTGATCGAAGGCAACGAGTGCCAACCTCCAAAGTTAATCCGGGCCAAGTTGCTTTTTGGCCTCTTGCCATTTCAACGATGTCGACTCCGTGGCCCTCCAAAGAATAGTGTGTACCTAAGGTAGCACGGTCTTTACGCAGTATGGCCTCGGTTGCGGCGTTCCATCAAACCCCCCACCTTTTATGTACAGACCCTCGCTCTGGCCACAAAAAGCGGCACACTAAAACAGATAGCTCAAGTCCAATCCATTAACATTCGATAAACTCTCAATAAATTTTGATTGATTTATCCTTTTTTGTCTTTATCACTTTCTGGATTTCTTCATTTTTGTCTTCTTTCACTTTCTTTGGTTTATACTTTTTGGTCTTTTTCAGTTTTGTAGCAAAGTAAGTTATCCATGGACTTGGTCTGCCGCTTTTTTTGGCCACAGCGAGCGACCCAGCGGAAGTCGCGACTACTGCGGGCATGAAAGAATTATTCTTCTTTCCAAACCCAGAGTCTTTGTTCTTGCCAGCTTCACTGGCAATCATTTTCGTTTCTCTATCACGCAAAAAAATGGTTTCGAGGAGCCGCATCAAAGATTCGTGGCATTCCAAAGGGGCATCTGACTCCCTCGTGGTACATACGTAACGTATCCTCCAGTATGTAGCTTTGGCACCGTTTTTTCTGACAGCCGGTGACGCCCTGTTTCAGGAAACTTCCAAACACGGGACCTCAACCCCTTCTTCCTAGGGTCCTTGCCGCGTCGGCACATTGCTTGATGCCCCGCCTGGACGTTTGACATTCCGTCTGTGAAATGCGGAGGAACGCTCGCAGGGCGAAAACCACTTATCCTCAATCGTCGTAGCATCGGATACAGGACAGCTGTTGCTTACTTCAACTATTTCTTATTCTTTGTGTTCATTAGGCCTTCTCCTAGCAACACAAGGGCTACTTTTCGCGATATTCTACGCGATCGGAAGTTGTCCTTTACAGCTCATGGATGAAGCTCACAGACATGAAGTTCACGGACCTCATCAGGGATCCCGTCTCGCGCAATTGCCTGCATCAGAAGCGTCGCAGAACAGGGGTTACCCCACCATAAATAACACCTGCAACAACCCCTGACGAAGAGCCGCAACGGTCAAGCATCAAGGCGGGATCTCCGTTGCGATCTCGTGGTCCTCGGCTCGGATGGAGTGTTCTCCTGGCGGTGTACGACCAATGACAGGTCTCGCCAACCCTTCCCGTTGCCCATCAAACGACTTACACGCTGTCTGCATATCGTCTTTTTCAAGGCTGGTCCGTTGGAGGGCAAGCTTCCTTCGGGATGGAGGGTTGCACCAAGGTAGCCGTAATGGCTTCACTCGATCCAGAGCTTGTTTGGTCCATGCCTTCGTAATCGCCGTACTAACCGAACAACACCGATTCTCTCTTCCCAGAGCCTGTCTCCTTCTCTGATCTTCTTCCTTTCTCACGACAATTAGCCTATCTCAAATTTCTCATTCTGAACTTAGCAGGCCGTGCTATCCCTCTCTCCTTTTCCAGGAGCATCTTATCTCCCTTCCCTGTTGTGCACATCTTTATCCTTCTCTAATGACTCCAACGACCTTACCAGCCAGCATCTTCACCTTTACCAATACCGTTTTTACCTCCACTTGAGAGTTATAGTTTTCGTATTAGTCTCTTCATTCCCGGCGACTGGTTTCGCGCATTAGGCTATCGAAAAGAACCTACCCATATGAAATCCAAGGATGGCGTCTAATGGCTTACCATCAGGTGCCTTCGTCACCACGCTTGAAGGTCGGCGATGCACAGCGGTCCCGAGAGTCGCGGTGGCATCGGCGGCATCAGACAGCAGCAGTAGCATAGCTACGACTACGAGTACGACTTCCGCCAGCTCTACAACATCAAGCCCGACAAATAACGGGATAGCAGTAGCGCCAGCTGCGGGGATAGAGACGGAGGCAGTGGGCCAAGATTCAACGAGTACGACAGCCTCCCCCCTGGTGGCTACCACCACCTTTAGAGACTCGACTGGGGCGTCACAGACCCAAGGCGGCAGCAGCGAGCCGGGTCCTGCGGCGAGCCCATCTCTTGATGCGAATGTTCAGCGTTTCAGTGTTTTTGCTGGCGATACGCCGTCGCAATCGCCAGAAGCACAGCTCCCCCCAAGCAGTCAGGCTGATACCAGCATAGCAAGCCAGAGAACAGAAAACGCACCCTCCGAGCCGTCAGAACGGCTTCTCACAACTACCACCTCCCCGAACCCGCTTGTCGGTCCCGCAGCCACGCCGCTCTCCTCTACCATTGGCACTACAATAACGCCAGCCGACCCTTTAGTCACGGACGATGTAAACACAGCCTCGTCGGACACTGTCGCCACCGCAGCCCCTAATCTCAACAGCAATGCGGTCCAGTCGACGGTAGCAATAGCAGGCGGCGTCATCGGAGGTGTTGTCGCTCTCAGTGTTCTGGCGTTCTTTGTCTGGTGGTGGAGGCGCCGAGTGCGGCGGAAAAGGAGGAGCACACTTCTCACACCCCTAGACATAGTTCCGACCCGCAACATGGAAGAGAAGAATGGCTATGTGATCTCCCGTGGAAGCATTGGCCCTACTCCTGTAGCCGTCAAGGTCAAGGCGGCCCTGGGTCAGAATTTCAAGAAGATACAGGGCCATATCCGGAACAGAACCGCACCATCGGTCAACCTGGACCGCGGCAACTCTCAGTTTATCGACCCCTCCGCAACACATAGCCGCAACAACTCTGGCGTCATCGGTGTCGAGCCGGCACCAAAACCATGGTGGGCGAGGCTGGGAGACAAATTTGGCCGGCGCAACAGCGGCTCTCTGGCGAAGAGCTCAAACGCCATACAAGAGAAGAAGCCCCCGAATTTGCAGCAGCCCGACTTCTTGACCCTCCTCAGTATGGACAACGGGGAACTCGACCGAGAAGCCCAGCGACGACGGGCGAGCATCTCCCGACTCAACGGCAGCGCCAGCTCAGCCGACAATTTCCTGGGTAGCCTAAACCTCAGCTTCGGCGGAGACAACCCCTTCAGCGATGCCAACGCCATTGCTCATGCGTCTGCCACACCAGCGCCGTTGGTCGTGCCCCAGACAAGCCCGGCCAACCCCTTCAGCGACATCAACGCTATCGGGAGGGCAGGACAGCAACAACCACCGCTGCCATCGGCTACATCAAAACCAGCAACCTACGTCGCCAACATCCGCCGATCCCGTAGCAACAGCAACCGCGGCCCCAACGCAGGCTACGTCAGCTATGCCGGCCGCGAGAGCGTCGGCTCCCTGCGATCCATGGCCACAGCAACAACCACAAACCAGCGCAACAAATTCCGCTCCGATCCCTTCGATCTCGAACGCCCCGAGCTCCTCGGCAGGGGCGGCAGCCAGCCACTCTCACGCAACCCATCCAACCCACGCCCCCCAGTCCGCGCGCACACCCGTGCGGACTCTTTCACCTCTCGCATGTCCAAGTACTCCAAGTACTCCTCCGGCATCAGCGCCATGTCAGATGACGACACCGTGGGCGGCGTGGGCAACGGGAGTATGGTGAGTATGGACTGGAGTGATCCCGGCCCGGATGTCGGGCCTGGGTCTGCTTCGGGTGGGAGGTGGGATGGATCAGGGGGTAACGGTGGTAACGGCAGTGGGAGAGGGGATAGGGAAGGACGAGGAGGGAATGAGGCAGATAGGAGTGGACTGCAGGGGCAGCGGGAGGTAGGGAACGGTGGTGGTAAGAGAGCGAGTGGTGGGAGTACGGGGAGTGTTGGGAAGGCGATCTGATTTGATCTGATCTGATCAGATGATAGGGTTGTACGTTTCATGATCTGTTTGTTTGGTGCTTAAAAAGCTTGCCCATAGGTATATTGTTTCATTGAGCTGCTGTGTATGGAGGTCATCGGCGTTCTGTATTCTAGGCGGCCCCATCGTCTTCTTTCCTATTTCCTCACTTCAGGCCTCTGCTTGCTTCTCTTGTTCTCTCTCTCCTTTTCCTTTTTCTTCAGCTCACTGCCACTCGCTTAAAAAGGGGGTCGGTCGTTGTGACCAGTGAGCGTGGCCGCCCAAGGGTGCTTAGGGATGTACATAGCAGAGAAATCAGCTCTGACATGAAATAACGGTGGCGGTGCTGCACTGGATGGATGGATTCAAGAAAAGGGATGAAGGAGGGACGAGAGTGGACGGGATGAAATGAAGGATACCCCAACGTTCGCTACCAGAGGTAGGTTTGTTTACTTGGTAGGCAAGAAATCAATAACTTCCTGAAGTTTTTTTGGTTGGTAGTCAAGGTAGTCCGCATTGGTTTTTGATATTATCTGCCATGTTGTTGTTTGTACATATGATGGAATACAAAGATACAAAAGGTATTTTTCAGACAGCCACCCCATTCCCCAGACCCCCCCCACCCCGCCGTGCTGCTCATGGCGTGTCGTCAAACTAGATCAATATTCAGGGGCTGAACCATCCCGTTGCTTCAGTCGTGCCGTGCAATTGGGCGTCGCCAAAACAAATGCCAACACGCCAACACATCACGCTGAGGTCATGCCCCGAGGTCATGCCCCCGAGGTCAGTCATGCATTTGTGCATTTTTGAATAACCCTCCAATAAACCATCAGCATCTGTCCATCATCCGGGGCAGCCTCATGCCAACAAGAGAAAGAGAGAGCAAGCCGCATTCTCATCCTGCCCAGCTGAGTGAGAGGAACAGCTCCTCTCACGTTCCTTCCCATTCCCCTCGGTGTTTGCCGCGCCATGATTGGCCCGCGCCGCGCAGCTTCCGCGAAACGCGAACCCGACTCGAAAAGTCGCGAGGCGCGTCTCCCCGCACGCGGGGTTTGGCAGGAGCTGATTTGATTGGCCATGCAAGCCCTCGAAAAAAGGGAAGGAGCTCAAGCTCGAAATCGCTTCTTTCCAGCAAAGCCAACAAACAGGAAAAAAAGGCAACCTAAAAAAGGTTCTCGGTGTGGTAACATCCCCCGCCGCAAAGCCCCCCGCCTTTCGTGGGTCGGTTTGCGTTTGCAGGCCTAATCCAGGCCCTGGAAAGAAAAAAGAGACATCCATCTGACTTCATCCATCGTCCCTTCGATCCGGTCTTCTCATCCCTAGCGGGCGGGTGAAGTCGGCAAAGCGAGCTTCCCTCGCCCCCGTATTGTAGAAGTCAAACTCGACTCATTGTTGACCTAAACGACAAGCCCGAGACTTTTATGACTGAAGGGGATGTTTGTCAATTCAGGTCCACGTGAGCGAAAAATCGTAGACTTTGTTCGTTTCATTCGCAATTTCGGTGAAATCGTGTCGTGATGGTGGTGGTGATGTTGGTGATGTGACTCGTCGTCGACGGTTTTGAGTGAGATTAATGTAAGGGGGTGTGTTGTTGATCGCCGAAACCAGAACGCCGATGCTCCCATAAGTGGACAGAAAAAAAAAAGAATTGTAAAGGGGGGGGAAGAAGCAAAGCCGTAAACGGACAATTTGCGAAAAGGTATCAACAAGTAATTCGAATCGTCAAGCAGGCAGGTGCCCGAAATGAAAATCAAAAGTGTGGGAAAGAACGGGAAAACAGAAAAAAAGCAGGGGAATGGTATCTGTGCAATCCGGTTCTTAAAGGAAAGGCAACGCTCGGGAAAATAGTTGGGAGTTTTCATGAAGGGATATCGTCAAATGTAAGGCGTCTCCGGGCCACACTGCGCGGGGTCTTCCCTGTCAGAGGAGTCTTCCACGGCTTCTGTGCTGGGCTGGGGGTCATATGGAGGAATTCGGCAAAGTCGAAGCCGAGGCCAGGTGTAGCTGGGTAAGGATTACCGCCGCCAGGGGTGGTCATCATGGACGACGGCAAGGCCAGCTTGTTCTTTGGAGGGGGTGTCGACGGAGGGTCCATCCGGTTCCTCTGCGGGTTGGCGGGTGAGGGTGATGCCGCAAGGTACAACAGAAGGTCCGCACCTTCCTCGCCGGACTTGGTTTCATTCATCGGCTGCCTGTCTCTTGGCTTCTTCATCAAGCTGCGGCTCCGCATCGGCGGTGTGCGCGGCGGGGAGACCCGGACATGGTTGACATGGAATGAATGGATAGGCAGGTCGTCCTCGTCATCCGAATTAGCCGCATAGTTCGTCACCGCAAGCGTGGTGCCAACCTGGCCCGAGGTGGAGTAGAACGACAGATCAGGACCCGTTGATGTTGTGAAATGCTGCTGGCGCCTCGGTTTTATCGGCGAGGAGTGTGTGAAGTGGTGGGCGGAAAACGACCTGTGAGCGGTGGGCGACTGGCGGAATCGCTTGCTCGGGCTTGAAGAGATATCGTCAAACGAGGCCATGTAGGTCCTCTTCCTGTGCCCGGTGCTACCGTTGCTGGACCCAATGGCATCCGAAAATAGGGGGGCCTTGAGCGGCGAGCTCATGAGCGTCCGAGAGGGGTATGGGAGCTCAGAAGCACTCGAGGACGAATCGGACAACATGTCGCCGTCTTGCACTCGTCGCCGGCGAAGCTCCTCAAATTTTGGCTCGATCATGTCCAGCGTCTCGTTCACCAAGTTGTGCTTCGTCTTGAACTGGGCGAGGGCGAGCCGGTTTTGGAGCCTGCGGGCCATCTGAAGCAGATAAATCAAACGCCGGTCAGTGTCAAGTCCCGACCAAACTCGACCAAAAGGGGGAGGAAAAAGATACCAACCTTGCTGATTTCCGCCCTTTTGAGCACCCTGTCCGCCACAGCCTCGGGCTCGTTCTTCAAAGGCGACGACATCATCTTGCCGGTGGTTGAGAGTCGACTAGAGAACGAAGAATCTCGGCCACTTCGTAAGTGGTGGGCGGGAGTTCGAGTCAACGGGGAAACGATTCAGAGTCGAAACCCAGGGTGATTGGATGATTCCCGCTCTAGGCGCCCAAACCTGCCGTGAACGAGAGCAGACTGGCCGAGAACTTTTCGAAGTGTTTCGTCGCCGACCACAAGCGGGAATGTAATCCTAAGGGGTTGATCTAATTCCCGGTTGTTCACTCTATTCGACGCACAGCCGCTGTCGGTTCAGGGACGTCACAAAGGGGGACTGTGCAGGAAGTTGAGGTTTGAGTGCTGGGCAGGAAACAGGAGCAAATTCACATTCCCGTGGAAACCGGCAGATGACAAGATTATCCAGCTGAGTCTTGGCCCACAATGGGGTCGCAGGGGCGGCGGCACAGGGCGATTTGGAGAGACTTCACCAGGCTCCCAGGTCGCCAGGGGTTGCTTGGACCAGCAAATTTCCTGGATGCACTTGCGCTGCTGTTGCATGCGAGCTGATCCTTACCAATCGACCCAAAGCAAACAGAAAGCTCGAATTCCCCACATGGAACCTCTGCATGGCAACAAGGGAACCAACCGACGGTCCTATCCGTACGAATACTTTGGGAGGAACAATTCCTGTGGTGGTACATACGGGGTCTCGGGGAATGGGTGCTCGAGGCGGCACCTCCATCTCAAGTGCTCTTACACAGAACACTAAGCCCCAGACCTCACCAGCCACCTGCACCAAGGAAATGGAAAATATCCATACTCTAGGAGCAGGGGCTCGCCGGCCGTGCCGCCGTGCTGGGAAGAGGCGGGATTTCTGGCGGTGTCCGGGTTGCGACATCATAGAGCTTGCCGGATATAACTGGGCCAGGGGGCTCCACAACCGCCGAGGCAGCCCCAAGGAGCTGTTGCGTGGGAGGATATTTTGGTGGGCTTGAGGGGCGATTGGCAGTCGAAGTCGAGGATCCAGTTCCCGGGAAATCTGAAGCAAGAAATGCAAGCAAGCAATGCGTGCCCGCCGGCTACCACGTGCTTTAAGCCTTTGTCCATTTTGACATCGCTGCACATAAGTATCAGTCCGCCTTTGGTTGGCTCAATCTCGTATTCTCCACCCTGAGTCGAGAGCATGCCGCCAAATGCGAGGCCTGAGCCATCTTGCAATGGCATCATTTGCTCTGTGGTTTGCGATCTGTCCCAGTCGGCATCAATTATCATCTAACATTGCTGTTAGCCCGGTACCGGCAAGATATTGGATGAATGTGTGTGAGAAGGATGAAAGAAAACATAACGTTGCCCAAGAGTGACCCTCCTTTCAAACCGGAGGAAACCAAAAGAGGAAAGAGCTCCCACCAACCCCAGACACCCGCCCTCTTACATCGTATTCATCATTCCCTCGCCAATTATTTCCTCTCTTTTTTACTACCGTTAGTGAGAAGAAGTCGAGGCCGGCCACTTAGCAAGCGTTTGAGATGGCCACTTCGCCCTCCAGTAGGGCACACGCCTTCTTCTCCCAGTGTGCCAGCCCAGGCGGGTACATAGGTACCTCGGTATGTGCCTGCGTGAAAGGAGCTTGTAATTGCACCGGAGGATTTCTAGGTACCTAGACAGGTATTGACTCGATACGAGCTCGAACCCCCCTCCGCGTTGGCTTTGGTTACGTCTCTTATAAGGTATCTTCAATTCCCGGTTTTCATCAATTGTGGGATTCTGCTTTTCCCAATTCCTAGCAACAGTGGCAACCCAGCAGGAAGGGGGGTTAGGGACAGTGTGTGCCGCAGAGACTGTGAGTTCCTTGTTTCGCCCGGGCCGCTTCCCGGTTCACTTGCCCTTTCCATTCCCTGCTCGCCACCATTTTTATTGTCCGTCCGATCTCGATTCTCGAGGAAACAGGCACCGCTTTATCGCGGGAGCCGTGGGTCCCCACGTTGCCTTGGTTTTGGCAGGAGGGCGGCAGGTATATCCACCCGCAGCCACCAACTTGATCGACGGACCAGTTGTCCGGCTCCATCGGCCATCTCTCACTCATCTCGATCGCGTGGGCTCACTGCTCATGAACACTGGTCGGTCTGGTCGCCCATCGCCAACAAAACGGCAATCCAGCGCCCTGTCTAGCGCGGAACACCGGCAAACTAAAATTTAGTGTTCGACTGTCGTTGGATGAGACAATTGTCCAATTGACCACGACATAATAGTATTAACAAAGGAAACAAATGTGCCAAAAAGGATCGATCACCTACGTCATCTGTCAACGGAAAAAGCTGAACGGGCCGCATTGCTCTGCGTGGGGGACGCTCAGCCACCAGGACAGTCCGGTCAACATCCCAACCTCTTGGAGAAGCATAGGCAGAGAACATAAAGATTGTGCTATCGGGGGTTCCGTGGTACATCTGTCTTGACACACGCATCGCGCCTTTCGCTATCAGTTCCTCCCGCTCGTTTCACACCGCACAGTGTTGATCACGGCTATCTCTGGTCGTGCAACCTAAGGTCTGGGACCCATATATGCGACACTTGCTGGTTACCTCTCTTTCTCACGCTCTTTTTTTCACACAATTTTTGCTGTCCTTGGCCCGTACAATTAGCGGCCATGGCTCCATCCATTTTTAAGTTGAAAGAGTTGCGAAGGCGGTCCAAGGCGAGCTTCAAAACCGAGAGATCGACAGACGATTCGAGCGAGGCTAGCAACAACACGGCCCTCACCAGCGGCTCATCAACACCCCCTTCAATTGGAGCGGTTTCGGACCCGGCTTTGGACCTCCAGCTCAAAGATCAAGACCATGTTTACCCCCAAGCTGCAGTGCCGCGGCCACAGTCCCACGTCTATCCGAATGGCGGCAGTAACCGGTATAGCGTATCGGGCATGATAGGCCTTGGGAGCCCGGTACCTGGTGGACGAGGGCCAAGTTTGCCAGTCTCACAGTACTCGCCCCGAATCACTAACATCGCCGACAATTCTTGGGTAGGTGACACCGAGCTCGTACCCGCAGGGCCACGGTCACTGACGCATTTAGTAGGCCTATCAAAAGGTCCTCCTAGTCCATGGCACCATCGGGGAGTCAACCCACCGACCAGTCGATGGGACATTGACGGTGAGCCGGCTAGATGACCAGTTTCCACCGATCTCGTGGCCAGTACACGATAGTGGGTTCAAGGCCCTCGTCTACCTGATGCCCGGCGCCAACCGCTTGCGGTTTGACTTTTCCAGTCCGAAACTTGCCAACAGCAATTCTTCCAACCCGATTCACAGCTCCCACTTAACTGTTCACATGATCCCCCCAGTAGGAGCTCCCCCATTACAACTGGCTATCCTGCTGGCTAAGGATTCTCCCGGTACTTTCGACGCGGTTCCCGCGCGGGTCGAACGAGAGGGCAACGGGCTGGACACCGCGGTCCGCAAGTTCCGCATGGCTGCTTATCTGTGGCAGGCTTTCACAGCGGAGCAAATGTCGCGCAACAAGTTGGGGCGGCGCGCCTTCAGGTTTGAGGAGGAATGGACCACAGGCGCGGCCAACCACCGGGATCGGGCGAACGGCGTTCAGCGATCCGAGGCGCGGGTACACATCATTCGTACCGAGAAAACGGTGAAAGAACTCCGAGATCTCGACCTTGCACAGCAAAACCCAAAGGCAAAGGATGGAGGCGGTCTCTACGGTATAGCTGCCGATGCTGTCCGTGACTACTTTGGGCCACAACCTGGCCAAAAGCTCTACGTCTCGGTCTTGTTGCTAGATGCACATTGGGACACGAAAAACAAGATGATTGTCGGGCACGCCGCCCTTGGGGGACAAGTGGGCGACCTTCATTTAGGCATCTTTGGCTCTCACTGCCTCCAGAGCTACCCGACAAGTTTCGAAGAGATTGTACCAGCTTTCACGGATTGCACCCCTACCGACACCAACTATGTTGGCAACGATTGTGGCGATGCCGGCAGCTCCTGGGAGGCGGCCAACATTGGAATTGGTGCTCACCTGCACGAGACTGGCCATCTATTTGGACTCCCTCACCAGGAGAGCGGTGTCATGCTGCGGGACTATGTTACCCTCAACCGTACATTCCTCTCCCGCGAAGCTTACTCGACTCGAACCCGGTCGAAGGGTAGCCCGGCTTCTACAAGTGATGAGTGCGGCTGGCACCGCCTCGACTGTCTTCACTTCCGCAGTCATCCCTGCTTCCGCCTGCCGAACGATACAGTTCTCAACCCGGACGACAGCGTTCAGGGTTGGCCGTTGGAAGGCGGTACTTTAACAGTGACAGCAGCTACGGGGATAGCATACGTCGAGATATACGCTGAGGGTGACGATGTTTGCCACGCATGGATCGAGTATCAGCCCGAAAACGGCGGCCCGGTGCATAAGTCGGTTACATTGGCCGAACAAGACTTGCGCGCCCGACTACCAGAAGGAAAGCAAAAGGGAAAACTACGCATATCAGTCAAGTCGTATGGTGGCGGCACGCTCGATATAGACGACTTCAGCAAGCTGTGCACGAAAGAGACCGCGTCGTTACGGATTCCGAGCACTCCATCGAAGACGGCGTTCAGGGGTAAAAAGCTGGGCCTGTCACAAATGGAAGGATCGGAAGGGCATGAAGTGGTTTTCACAAGCGCAATGAAGCAGGACCGGGTGCTTTCTAAGGTGGTATTTTATCACGGATCGGCGGTGGACGGGATTGAGTTTGTCTACGATGATGACTCGAGACAACTATTTGGGAAGAAGGGTGGGAAGCCGGGTGGGGATGTGTTTGATATGGGTATGTTGGTCGACGACTTCATGCACAGGGATAAGAGGATTGTTGTTGCTAACTTTCACTCTAGACGTCCGTCGTGGAGAGTACATTAGCGGCTTCTTCGTCCGCTCTGGGTTCTGGATCGACGGCATTCAACTGCTCACAAGCTTGGGGAAGAGAAGTCCGTTGTATGGGAACCCCTATGGCGGTGATTCGTATGTTTTCCTTTCCTTATTTATGTCGTGGTTGGTGGGTTCAACTTACTAAAACGTGCCCAGACATACCTTAATACCTCCAAAGGGGTACAGCATATGCGGTGTTACGGGCAGCTGTGGTCCGTGGTTGGACGGCTTTTCTGTTATCATTACGAAATGATCGCTGCAGTGTTGCAGGGCGGCGGTAGGGTGCATATGAGTGTCGTACCCTGTGGTGGTTTCGAATCACTCGACCGACATGCCCGAGGAGTGTAGGGTTTGCGCGGAAAGGCTGTCCAGTGGCACCCACGCGGGGAACGATGGGACTTGGGTGCTTTATTTCCCAATGCCAACCTCCCCCTTGTAGGACTGGAACCGCATCTTTGTTAGCCGGGCTGCGCCTTACAATCCCCTCACCTATGGTTGTGAGATGAGAGAATAACCTTAATTTCTTTTTGGCAGTAAGTAGCCTGTGGTATGGTTACACGCTGTCAGGAAGCTTTGGGAAACGGGACACATGTAATAGTGCTACTTGTTTGATGGATGTTAGGGAATGTCTAGACATACATGGGTTGGTTGGTTGGGTTGGGTTGGCTGTCTCGGTAATTGAACACTTATGTTTCACGAAGCAGAACGCTGCGGCACTGAGGGCACTGGGGTCGACTTGGGCGATTGTGTGACATTGTACTTTTTGGGCTCGTCTCATGTAGAGATGGATTCCTTGTCCTGTAACACTTGTAGCACTGGCGTTTAGAAAAAGGATATTGCGCTCTGTTCTCGACAACTGTATTGTTGAATTTTCATGCCCACAAACGTTGGTGATGTTGACCCTTTTCTGTTGCTCTAGCGACCCATCGGGTATCATCATTATTTAAACACCACCAGATGGTAGATGGGTTACTTCCACACAAGAGGAGGAATGAATAAAATGACTGGCCCAAGGCCAGGTGATCACCAAAACATTCCGCATTCGCGTCCTGTCTCAGAACCCCGGGCCCAGACCGCGTCGCTGGCGTGGCCCAACACCCTTTACCTCTTTCCCTTCGCCCGTTTCGGAGTGCCGCCACCGGACTTGGATAGTTGGTTGGCTTTGTTACACGGAGATAGGGGCTGATACATAGGGATGGAGATAGGTACGTAGGGAGAGGGGGATTAGGATGGTTCAGGAGTGTGGTTAGCATTTCTGTACAGTATTGTTCTTCTTATCTTCGTTCACACGGCAGATGTTGGACATGTTCGGAGACTTTGTTAAAACCTCGAGGAGGTGCATTATTTGCATAGCTAGCAGTCATGAAAAAGGGGGTTTCCCCCCATGGTGTAGTATACATCATAGCAAAACTGGGGCCCGCCTGCTCGAAAAAGCTGAAGGAAAGCTAGATGGATAAAACAATATAAAAGACCACCTTTTTTGGCCCCCGCGCCTGCGCCTTGCCTGCCCTGCCGACTGTCCTTAGCCGAAGCAAACCTAACGCCGTAGATGCCATGCCATGCCATACCAGAACGAAGCAGTTCCGGGCAAACAAAGAAAAAAACCTAGGGCGAGAGTAACCCGATCGCCCGGCTTTGATCATTAGTAGAAGTTATTCAACTCCATCCCACCACCGCCACCAGCACCACCACTGGGCTTGCCCGACTGCTGCTGCCCGTTTGCTCCAGGATAGAACCCCGGGTTCGCCGGGTTCGCCGGTCCCTTGGGGATGTTCTGGTTCTGAAACCGGGCGTGCGGTTCGTCCTCATACATTTGTGCGAACCCGCCATGGGTATTGTCGCGCCCTCCAACGTCGTCGAGGGACTTGTAGTGGTGGTTTCCTCCTCCACCACCCGCGTTTCCACCACCGGCGTTGTTACTGTTCCCACCTCCGCCGTGGCCACCACGACCGCCGCCACGGCCTTTACCGCCTCCTCGAGAGTTGCGGAAACCACGGTTACCACCGCCGCCACCTCCGCCTCTGGCATTGCCACGTCCAGCTGCTCCGCCGCGACCACCGCCACCACCACCACCATTGCCGGGGCCGCCAGTTCCGCCGCCGTCGGCGAAGTTCCGCCCTTGATGGAACTGTCGCTGTGGCTGCTGCCCACCCTGGGCGCCGCCCGACTGACGTGCGCGGAAGTCGTCCTGGCCCCCGGTATGCTTGCGCTTATTGTTTTGGCCCTTATGAAACTGACCGTCGTGATGATGGCCCTGGGTACCATGATGACCATGGTGTTGGCTGCCGGCTTCGCCTTCAATACGCAGCAGAATTTTCTCGCCGACGGTGGTCTCGAAGCGGAAAGCCTTGTCGGGCGACACGGGCTGCCATTTCTGAATCTTACCTGCGTCGATATGGCGAGCACCCTTACGCAGAGCCAGGACAACAAGTGGGACGGGGTCGCCGGTGTGGAAGCTGGCAGTCGCAGGTACGGGCTTCACACACACTGCCCAGATGGTGTTCTCGAACGAGGCGGTGCCCGTCACTTCCCAGGTCATTTTGCTGCCCAGTCCACCAACTTTCTCAAGGATCGCAGGAGGACATGGACGGGGGCAGATCATGATGTTGTTCGCGTGGAACTTGAGATCGCCCTCGGGGAGGTTCTGTGGAGTCTGTGCCAGTGTAAGTAGGCGCTGGGTGTCAGTGTTGCTGATCATGTAACCCGTGTAGAAGACGGTCTTATTGATGGCCAAGCGGTCGCCCTTGACTCCACGTCGCCGCTTAGTGAGCGACGCATTATGGTCAGTGATGATTTGTTGCACTTCGGCCACTTCGACAATGGGATCGAGGTAGGTAGCGACATCCAGAACCTGTATGACCTCGCCATTGATGTCATCGTACCCGTCCAAGAAGTCGCGGAAACCCTTGACATGCTTGATCCTGTCTTCGTAGATGCGCATCTCCTTGGCCTGCTTGTATGTTTGCATTAACGCATGCAGAAACGCTTGCTTGAATACCATGGTGTTGGCAAATCGCTCGTTGTTCGGCCCGACTGCGGGCTTGAGTGAGATCAGATCGAAATCCAGGCCTCTGCTCGCAGCCATACGCTTGATCAGCTCGCCAAAGCCGGACTCAGAGCGACCGGTGAGGAGCACACAGAGGGCGTCCTTCTGTTTGTTGCTCAGGTGGATCAGCTCGACAATCTTCTCATTCCACCACCCTTCCCAAGCGCGTGGTTCCTCTTTGGCAATGCCTTCACCCGTCGCCGCCAGGATGCGAGAGTCGTGCCACCATCCGCCATTGACAAATGCGTCGGGGTTCGAGAGCATGCCGATTGTCGGGCCATTCCAGAGCTTCGGATTGGGGAGAGGGGTCTTGAACACTACACAGAGCTTGTTATTAGCATTACAACAAACCAGACGCAAAACAGTACTTACGCGTGTTATCAAAATCATAGACATGGATTGCCCTGATGTGGTCGGTCGGCGGGAGCTGCTTGTTCAGAACCGACCATCTGCCCATGGCCGTGACTGTGTGCACGCCAATGCCGCTGTTCCCAGTTGCATTGGCGGCGCCATTCTGGTACGCCGTGAAGGCTGATGAACCCATGGTTTGGCGTATCAGATACTTGAAGGTGCGTGAGAACCAGTCTGCCAAAACCATAAAGAGAGCATTGCGTGTCGCGAATAAAACTTCAAAAGGTAGGCAAGGCAGTAAGTGAACTTATGGAATCGACGCGACCACTATTAACAATTTCGCCGTTGAATGGGAGAGAGCCAGGTGTGGGCTGGGAGTCTCCACTTGAGCCTTCTCGGGACGTTTGTAACATGCATCTACCGGTGACGCTGATAACTCGTTAGTTATTGATGTAACGGGATATCCCCAAACCTGAAGACGGTGGTCACGTGCCCTTGTCGACCCTTGGGCAACGCGGTGGTGTCAGTAGCCATGGATGATATCAGGGTGGGGGAATTGTTTTTATAAGTTGGAAGCAGTTTTGATTTGATATGGTCACGTCGGGAAAGGTAAAAAAAAGAAAAAAAAAGATGTGTTTCCTTCCACTCAAAAGAACCTTGACGCCTCTGGTGTATTGCCTCTGGCCATACCCACAACCCAAACGCCTGGCCATGCTGAATCCGTCCTTGGTAGTGACATAATAACCCGAGTAGCCGCCCGCATTCACGGCAACAAGATGCTACGACATCTCACGACATTTCGACATCCTGACTCTTGGGCTTCTCAGGCCCATTGTCCGTCCGGTAACCGATGGCAGCAGCCGCCTCTTCATGCGTGTAGGGCCCCTCGCGCAGCTGCTTGAGTCTGGAATCACTATCAGCAATGTGATTCAACATAGCCCGGTGGCGGAGGCACTTACCGCCTCTTATGAGGCTTCCCCTTCCTGTGAAGCACGAGACTCGATTCCGTCTCAAACCATTTGGCGCACTCGACACAGTAATGACGACCAAACCCTGGCAAGTCTTCAGCGGCTTTGGTCTCCTTGTACAGCTGGAGGTGCCGTGGAGACTGAAGGTCTGCCTTGATCTGGTCAACGTCGCTATGGGGGTATCAGTATTGTGCAATGGGAAAGGGGCATAAAATCTGTGGCTCAGCTTACCGGACACGCCGCCGAGTTTTCGTTTTTGTGCGCTTCGCAAAGATGCCCATTGCTAATATTGTTGTAGAGTCTACTGGGAGGATCTACAATGGCTTAGCTAGGTTTCGATGTTCTTTTGTGACGTTGATATCGAACTCTAGCGTTGAGGCTGTTCCGGGCATGTGGGGTAAAATTTTTACCGACATAAATTTTGGGCCTCTTGGGCGAGCGCTGACAGTGCGCAATTGGCCCGAAGTTTTTGCGGGGAGCGACATGTGAATATCAAAAATAAACTAGTTATTCCGAGAATGATTCTATGCGCGCCGAAACGTGTTCTCAAATTCTCTAAGTACTCGCAACATGTCGTTTTTTCCCATTCCATCGCCCAACCGTATGCTTCACCGTCACTGCCGTCGCCGGAACTTTCATTCCATCGGCGGTTCATGCCGGAGGTAATAACTGTTATCGCCCTCGGATCTCCAGCTTTCACCGAGCAATAAAGCGCCAAGCCGGCCGCTGCCCCGGCTGCGGCCCCACTCTTCAGGGTCTCCAGGCCAGCAGAAATTTCCGGGGTGCGACCGCGAGGGGCAGGCGACTCGAGAGGTTCCCTCTGCCCGAAATGATTTGACTTTTACTCGTCTCTGGCTTGATGAGGGAGGGCCCGCGTTTCCGCATCGCGGTGGGTCCATTTCCGCCAACCCGACATTCTTTAATGAGGACAGTGTACTATATTATGTTCTTGGATCTAGGTGTTGAGGATTGGACCGGCCCGGAGCCGACAGAGCTCGCCGTTTGGGCACGGAAAAGAATTATTTGTGCGTTTGAACCGGACGTCAAACGCCGTGATCGCTAATTAATCCGTTTGCGTCACTGCTCAGCCCTGCCGGTTTGCGCGTGGTTCTTCGGTCCAATCCGCAAAGCGCGCGGCACACCAGACCCATGGCGAGACTGCATGCCGCATTTGGTTGGTGATGTCAACCATTGGAAGCGGACGGCTTCCGGCTCTGTCCGGGTTTTCTCCCGATTTACGCCTATTTCGTCAAGTTGGCGGCGAGTGCTGCCGCCGAAACCCTTATCGTGACAAAATACTCGGGTTTCTTGGGGAGAACTACATAGTGGAATGTTTGTGTCAATACATCGACCAACTCTGGTAGTGCGGGGCATCGGTCATGGGCCTGACAGGCACATGAAGCACATGCCTGACCAACTGCCTCACTGGAAGCACCCGTTCGCCAGGGTCCCAGCCGAGCAATGCTCCGGGACTCTAACCGCCGCACGATTTTCAGGTAAAAAGGCCTCAGGAGCTCAAGAGAAAAGAATACACAGTACTGCAGTAACTCCTGCCTCGGCTCTTCTGTGCCTCGCGGGCCCGTTTCTTTCCTGGGATCCCTGTCAGTTTCATGGCGCATTGCAGAATACACCAAGCCGGTAACCCCATTTGCTTTCCTCAACGACAAGAGTACGTACCGAAATCAAAACAAGTTTAATAACCAAAAGCCATCGAGTTGAATCCGTGGCGGTTAACTGAAAGGAGAAATGGCTGTGTGAAAATCAGAAAAGGCTGAGCCGCGCTTGGGATGGAAACGTTGCACGTTGGATCGCATCGTCGGACGGCTTTGGTCGGGAATCCGACGGTTCTAAAGGAAGCCATTGAAACAAGCTAGCCGGATTGGCGCTGGGCTCGATGTCATGGGCCCCTCCTGCCCTCAAAGCCAATGGCCCCCCACATGCGGGCAGACATAATCGCCGGCGCTGTGATTGGCTAGGCCGGCCGTCTTCACTTCGGACGAGCCACTTTCTCGGCTATGACGGTGGGCAGGAGGCAGGAAAGCTCATAGCAACAAGGTCCCGGCCTCTCATTGCCACTGCGATGTAAAATCCCGCCTGTTCAAAACTCTCTCCACCTTTTTTTCTTTTCCCTCAAACCCGCAAAAGCAGCGTCTCCCCGCCTGCGATCTGTTTCTCCTTCCTCATCCCTTCCTCGTTGCCGTCACGAGGTCGATTGGGCGACAACTCTCCACTCACAATTGACCCTTTTCCTAGTGCTTTCTGTGAGCTCGTGCCGAGCTGACAACGTCATAAACACACAACATGTTGGCTTCCCGTCAGCTCCTGGGCGTTGCCCGGAGCCGCGCTCTCGGCAGCGCGAGCCTGGGCCTCCGGCGCATGGCGACCGTGTCCGACTCTCCGTTGGACAAGAAGGTGATTTTTTGTTTTTTTTTCTTTCCCTCTTGACTTGAATTTACCTCAAATCGGTTGGCGATGGTGGTGGCAGCAATCACAGCTTGGCGGGGTTTGCCCCGCCATGAACCTACACAACTCCTCATTATCACCAGCTCCGGCAAATACGGGACATGGCTGACTTCGTGTGCTTGGGAATTACAGGTCCGGCAAAACAACTGGGAGGAGAACAACTTCATCAACTACAAGAAGATGTCTGAGAACCTTGCCATTGTGAGGTCAAGGCTCAACCGCCCCCTCACCTACGCCGAGAAGATCCTCTACTCCCACTTGGACAACCCGCACGACCAAGACATCGAGCGCGGCGTCTCATACCTGAAGCTCCGTCCCGACCGCGTTGCTTGCCAGGACGCCACCGCCCAGATGGCCATTCTCCAGTTCATGTCCGCCGGGATGCCCTCTGTCGCTAACCCTACCACCGTCCACTGCGACCACTTGATCGAGGCCCAGATTGGCGGTGCCAAGGATCTTGAGCGTGCCGTTGGAATTAACAAGGAGGTTTACGACTTCCTTGCTAGCGCCTGCGCTAAGTACAACATTGGTTTCTGGAAGCCGGGCTCTGGTATCATTCATCAGATTCTGCTCGAGAACTACGCTTTCCCCGGTGGTCTCCTTATCGGCAGTGCGTCTAACCCCCGAACAAGCAAATTTTTTTTCGAGTGGACGGTAATAAGCTGACATGTATTGCGCAGCTGACTCCCATACCCCTAACGCTGGTGGTCTTTCTATGGCTGCCATTGGTGTCGGCGGGTAAGTTATTCTCGACCCATTCTCTGAGCAATTTGACAGCCGACTAACACCGCATTTAGTGCTGATGCTGTCGATGTCATGGCCAACCTCCCTTGGGAGCTGAAGGCCCCCAAGGTTATCGGTGTCAAGTTGACGGGCCAGTTGTCTGGCTGGACTGCCCCCAAGGACATCATCCTCAAGGTCGCCGGTATTCTGACTGTGAAGGGCGGTACTGGTGCCATCGTTGAGTACCACGGCCCTGGTGTCGACACCATCTCTGCCACTGGCATGGGTGAGTACATTCGAACTTTTACCCCCACCCACCGCGAGCCTGTGCCATTTCAATGGGGAAAGCGGACATGAGGTATTGTGGAATCAAGCTAACATGGCCGTGACCTTAGGTACCATCTGCAACATGGGTGCTGAGATCGGCGCTACCACCTCGCTTTTCCCTTTCAACGACCGCATGTACGACTACCTCGCCGCGACTAAGCGCAAGGACATTGGTGACTTTGCTCGCTCGTACGCCAAGGAACTGCGCGAGGACGAGGGTGCTGAGTACGACCAGCTGATCGAGATCAACCTGTCGGAGCTTGAGCCCCATATCAACGGCCCCTTCACCCCTGATCTTGCGACCCCCATCTCCAAGTTCTCCGAAGCCGTCAAGGCAAACAACTGGCCCGAGGAGCTTAAGGTCGGGCTCATTGGCTCTTGCACCAACTCTTCCTACGAGGACATGTCGCGCGCTGCCGCGATTGCCCGCGATGCCCTCAACCACGGCATCAAGACCAAGTCCGAGTTCTTCGTCACCCCTGGATCCGAGCAGATCCGCGCCACCATTGCGCGCGACGGCCAGCTCAAGACCTTTGAGGAGTTTGGTGGTGTTGTCCTTGCTAACGCCTGCGGCCCCTGCATCGGTCAGTGGGACCGCCAGGACGTGAAGAAGGGCGAGGCCAACTCCATCATCTCCTCGTACAACCGTAACTTCACCGGCCGCAACGATGGCAACCCTGCCACCCACTCTTTCGTCACCTCTCCCGACCTGGTTGTCGCCATGACCGTCGCCGGCTCCCTCCACTTCAACCCTCTTACCGACAAGCTCAAGGACAAGGACGGTAACGAGTTCCTGCTTGCCCCCCCTACCGGTGACTCGCTACCCAATGGCGGCTACGACCCGGGCCAGGACACCTACCAAGCCCCCCCTAAGGACCGCGCCACTGTGAACGTCCAGGTTTCTCCCAGCTCCGACCGTCTTCAAATCCTCTCGCCTTTCAACGCCTGGGATGGCAAGGACGCCACTGACCTTCCGGTCCTGATCAAGGCCCAGGGCAAGACCACTACCGACCACATCTCCATGGCCGGCCCGTGGCTCAAGTACCGTGGCCACCTTGACAACATCTCCAACAACATGTTGATTGGTGCTATCAACGCCGCCAATGGTGAAGCCAACAAGGTCAAGAACCAGACCAACGAGACCTGGGACGCCGTCCCGGCCGTTGCCCGTGACTACAAGGCCAAGGGCATCCGGTGGGTTGTTATCGGTGACTGGAACTACGGCGAGGGCTCTTCTCGCGAGCACGCCGCCCTCGAACCCCGTCACTTGGGTGGCCTCGCCATCATCACTCGGTCGTTTGCCCGTATCCACGAGACCAACCTGAAGAAGCAGGGTATGCTTCCCCTCACCTTCTCGGACCCTGCCGACTACGACAAGATCCAGCCCGATGACAAGGTCGACATCCTTGCCACCGAGCTTGCCGTTGGCAAGCCCATCACCCTCCGCGTGCACCCCAAGTCCGGCTCGACCTTTGACATCAAGCTTTCGCACACCTTCAACGCCGGCCAGATTGAGTGGTTCAAGAACGGAAGCGCGCTCAACACCATGGCTAAGAACGCCAAGAAATAGAGAAGAAAAGTAAATACCACGGTTGATGTTTGTTGTATTGTTTGCCACGAGCTTGGGAAGGCAATGAGATGGGAGTAGCATTCAGGGGTTGGTCGGTAGGCTGGCTCAGGGGTTCACCGGAATTTGGCGTAATCCGTAGCACTGTTTCTCGTTTGTATGTATAGTGGTGGGTTGCATTTGAACGGATTTATTTTCTCGCGTTATTACTTTGTTGGCTCTGTGAGATGCTCTGTGATGGCTTCAATTGCTCGAGTATACTAGAACTGGGTGGGCAGGGGTTAGGGTTGTGAATTTGCGAAATGCATCAATCGGGGCGTTGGTGTTCGCTACATGATTACCGATAAACCCGCGACCGTTTTACAACGGTCAGCTCACATTTTGCAACGGTGCGGTGGATGCTGAGAGAAAACAACCAGTTGCTTTTCTGAAACGGATTTTTTGTTATTCATTCTTCTCCTCTCTCGATAACGGGCACTCCTTTACACCATTCACAGCGTTATTCTTTCCACTTTTCATTCACACCCATCCACGGGCCTGTTTGTCACGAAACGGAACGAAGTTGTGACCGCGACGCACCTGATCGAACGAGACTGACGAGACGAGACGACACGAGACGAGATAGAACTGTACAATACTATGCGATAGCCCGCATGACTTGACGACTTTAACGAGTAAAATATATTTTTCGCGGGGCCGGTGTGGTTTGGGAAGATCCCAACAAGAAAAAAGTTCAGTCACACGACGCGTCAAATCCCACGGTCATACGGAATACGTAGAAGCCCGTGGGCGGAGAAGCAAACACTCCTAGTAGACGGGCGAGAGAACACGCCTCGAAAGGGACGGACGAACAAACCGCAAACATGAACAGCGTTACCAACTCGCTCAAGCTTAGCCTGGGGCGCACGGCGACTCACATCGACCGGCTGCCGTTATTCACACGTGTGGTTCTGGTGGTTATGGTTACGCTTGAGGTGTTGCGCGTGCTGTTTCCACGGAGCTGGTGGGATTTGGAGGAGTGGGGAAGGCTGGAACCGGATGTGATGGGGATTGCTACGAGTATGTTGTTCTTCTCGTCCGTGTATTTTGGGGATCCACGAGGCGGGGGTGGATGATGAGACGGGGGAAGGGGGTTGTGTGGGTTGGGTTTGGATAAAATAGAATGGGAACGGGGTGGACAGTTCGTTCATCTTTACTGACTTGGTGACAGTGTACCGGACGAATACCTACCCGCTCATACACACGAGCGCCATCCACCTGATCCTTAACTTGATCGGCCTGACGCCGTTGCTCGAGAGGTTCGAGGCGTCGCATGGCACGTTGACGTCGCTGGCGCTGTTTGTGGGGCGTGAGTCACGCCCTCCCATATCGTGCCGTGAAGAGATCACGGGATAACTGACTTGGGTTGAATATATCTAGCGTTATCCACCGGGCCGGCGTTGATTTATGTCGTGCTGGAGAGATTTATCCTGCGCATGAACACCCCTATTGTTGGGGCGAGGTGAGTGACCAGACCGTACATACTTGTAGCTGTGGGAAACTGGCAGCTTGCTAACCCCGGACCTGGCAGCATATGGGGTTTCCTCCTGTTTGGGTCAGAAGCCATCCGGCATCACAAAGTTACCCCGTATGTGGTGATCGCAGGGAAACCCACTATCCCTACCTGGACAGCGCCTATTGCTGTCCTGTTTGTCGCTGCCTTACTGTTGCCGGGCTCGAGCTTCCTTGGGCATGCCATTGGGCTGGGCGTTGGATACGTCTGTGAGTACTCTCCCCCTTTCCGTGGCATCTGGGGAGCGGAGATTAACATTTTATCTTTCACAGATGGTCTGGGGTATCTCAAATTCCTTTCACCGCCAGACAAGATTCTACGGTGGATCGAAGGCAAGCTAAATCTTAGGGTGAGGCTTCCGCATTTCGTGAGCGTGGATCAGAAGACGTATGGGCGATTCGGGGTGCTCCCCTTAACCAACCTTGCCCCGCAGCCAGTTGTTGCACCAGGTCTGGCGGGCTTGACGGGCAGCAACCAGCGGCTGGGGACGACTCCGGCGTAGAGAGTAAGCTTCAATGTGAAAGCTAGCTTATGTTGGATGATTTTATGCAATGATGCGTATAGACGGCGGCGGATTTGGGCCGGGGGTAGAAATCTGGCCAGGGAAGCGCATGATTTCGAGGTAATTATGGTACTTAGGTCCGTTTTAATGGTTGATTACAGTATTCTGCTTCTTGTCAATTACCGGGGAACGCTTTGCCGAAAACGGTTAGCGCTCCCGCATTTCATGCATTCGCTCCCATGCTCGTGAACTGGTCTCCTAATAAATCACCCGAACAGCCACATTCCAGACGAAGAGCAGACCCAAGCTCTCGAGAACACTTCGACGCGCAGTCACAATGCCGCGATTGCTGGGTACGTCATCGCCACACCCCTTCACAACCCTTTAGCTAAGAATAGGTAACTAATTGTTCTAATGCAACGGCAGCTACCGTGATGCAGCTGCGGCGCGACCCGCGCCTGCTGAAGCTCCCGCCGTACATTTCGCTGCTATGCATCGTCATCGGCGTCGCATGGCTCTTCTTACTCCCGCTCGACCAGTACTCGCGACGGACTTACATCTCCGAAAATGCCCTCCTCCCCGGCCAGGTGCACACCTACTTCAGCGGTAGCGACCAAAATGTGTTCCGCGCTTACAAGCACGAAGTGAACGAGCTCGTGGGCAAGGACAATACCGCGATCAACGACAAGCTCGAGCCGATCATCAAGGGACTCGGCCTCAAGACAGCGCGCCAGAACTTTACCTACCACGCGGCCGGCCAGACATTCGCCGGCGAGAACCTGTACGCCATTCTCCAGGCCCCCCGCGGCGATGCTACCGAGGCGATTGTGTTGGTCGCCGCATGGGAGAATGTCCGACACGAGGTCAATCGCAACGGCGTGCCGCTCGCTTTGACCCTGCTGCGATATTTCAAGCGTTGGTCGCTGTGGTCTAAGGACATCATCCTGCTGCTCACGCCCGACAGCATTGCTGGCCCTCAGGCCTGGGTCGACGCTTACCACGACGCACACGACCCGGCTCGGGTGGCTAGCCTGCCGCTGAAATCAGGTCTGCTGCAGGGCGCCATTGCCATTGATTACGCACAGGAAGGCCGGTTTGAGAGTCTGCACGTCGTGTATGATGGTGTCAATGGGCAGCTGCCGAATTTGGATTTGATCAACTCAATTGTCAATATTGCGGGTGGGCAGATGGGCATCGGCGTTGCCCTGCAGGAGATGTGGCACCACAACAACGGCTATCAGGACCGGCTGAGCACGATGCTGCGCGGGATGCTGAAGCAAGGTTTTGGTCTAGCAAGTGGGCCGCACAGCAGTTTCATCCCCTACCACGTCGACGCCGTCACGCTGCGCCCGTTCGGTGAAGGCTGGCAGGACGAGATGGCCCTGGGCCGCGTTGTGGAGGGCTCATTCCGTAGTCTGAACAATCTGCTTGAGCATTTGCACCAGAGCTTCTTCTTCTACCTGCTCATGCAGCGGGAGAGGTTCGTGAGCATTGGTACCTACCTTCCGAGCGCGATGCTGGTGGCGGCCAACTTTACCATCATGGCGATTGCTCTGTGGGTCAAGAGCGGGCAACCAGCATCAAAGACAGAGAAGAAGGCCGAAAAGGAGGTTTCAACTCCATCGGCGCCTACTACAGTTGAGCGGGACCTGTTTCTTCCGCTCGGCGTGGTGGCTTTGATCCAATCCCTCTCGGTTCTGCCCCTCTACCTCTTCAACCATGCCCTTGAAACCGTATGTCCCCCCCCACCCACCTTGTCGTCACTATCAAGGAAGCTCAAGCTAACAACCACACAGGCCCTTACCCTATTCTTCATCGTCTTCACCCTCCTCCCATCCTTCCTCGCCCACTTCCTCAACAACTTCCCCTCCACGCCCACCACGCCGCAACAGTACGACCTCATCCGCTCATTCTCCCTCCTCCTCCTCGGCATGTTTCTGTCGACTCTCGCCACGCTAAACTTCTCGCTGGCTTTGCTAGTCGGCGTGCTCGCCGTACCGTTGACCTTTGTGCCAAACTCGATATCGCCTAACTCGGGACTTCCGAGTAGGGTGTTGGCGACAATATTGTTGAACGTCTTTAATCCGACGGCGGTGCTGGTCGGGCTGGGATTGGTATATGGGTGGTTTGGCGGCGGTGGCGTGGATGCCGCTGCCGGGGCTGATGTGAGTAATGGTGTGAAGTGGATGACAGGGGGTGTGTGGGGGGTTCTGCGCGAGGCGGCGGTCGGTTGGCACGTGTGCGGGACGTACTCGCCTGTAGTGGTATGGTGCGTGTGGTGGCCGGCGTGGGTGGCTGCGCAGGTGGTTGTGTTGGGGAAGAAGGAGGTTAAGACGGGGTCGGAGGTGCCAAGGGAGAAGAAGGATGCATGATATAGGGAAGATATAGAAGGTTAATGGTGTGTCCCCTGAGGGTTGTTACATATTTATCATTTGATGAGGCTGTTTTGAGCCAGGGGTAGCCGAAAATAAGGGCCTTTAGACAAGAAAGAGGGAAAATATGAGATACCCGTTTCGTGCACAATTACCCAGATATTCGTTTTACATATTCCAAGGTCATATGAAGCTTTAGATTGCCCTTGTGCTTTTGAGGCTTCATTTTTATTTTTGGTTGATTACGGCCAAACGGAGCAAGCCTAGGGTTTGATTCATCATACAAGGCGCCATCTCCACTGCCTGTGAGATGCTCCCTAGCCAGATCTCCCCCCCTCTTTCGCACTCTTCCTTTACGCCGCCCATACATCCTGCCCAACATTTTCGATCCAGTTGCCCAGTTGATTGACACTCGAGTCCCACTCCTTTAGCCGCCCCCGCATATTCTCAATCTGCTTCATATCCAGCACCTTGGGCTGGACCCAATTGATGTGGGCAACTTGATCCACCTGGTCGATGGTGCCGCGCAGCAGGCCTAGGCTCAGGGCTTTCATAATAAGGTGCTCAATTTCACCGGGGCGCACCTTGGTTTCAGCGGCAATCGTGGCGAAGGTCATAGCGCGGTCGTGCGGAGGGCGACGGAAGACGGCCTCGGTCAAGGCTGCTAGGTAGATTTTCTCCCGCAACTGGCGGCTATGTTGCGTGAGGAGTGGGTTCGATTTAATGTGGCCGGACAGCACGTCGTATGCGGCTAGGTCGCCGCGGTTGAAGGCAAACAGGAGATCGCGGAGCCACTTGTCCTCGGGGCGCTCCTCGGATAACGCGTCCAAGATCGGGTGGAGCAGGAGCTCGCCAAAGTTGTAAATGCTCGTGCTCACCAGCGCGGCGATCGATAGGTCGTATGCGCGGCTGCGCTGCTCGTTGGCCGAGAGAGACTTGATGTCGATGCAGGCCAGGTATAAAAGGGCATTGCGATAGTAGGAGCCAAAGTCAGCCTTGGCCTGGTAGTAGTCGGCGTTGGCGCGGTAGAATGCGGCGTGCACAATCGTCTCGACCGAGTCGAAGCTATCCAGCACTTGTTCTGCTCGGTCTAGGTCTTTCCTCGCGCCGTCGAGATCGTTGAGGTCGAGCTTTACACGGGCAACGGCGATCGTGGCAAATACCAAAGCATCTTGCGATTCTTCGTTGTCCACCTTCTTGACGACAGCCTCCATGAAGGACAAGCGTTCCTGGTTATCTATTTTCCTTGTTAGAGAATAAAACCCCCGTACATGTTCCTTACTCTCCTTAACTAGCCTACCTCTACATTGTGTGGCTGCCTTCAGGGCAAGGTCAACAAGCTTGAGCTGGTTGATCTTGTCGGCGAACTTCAGTACGAAGACCTTATAAAACTGTAAGCGCTGGGGTGCGCTGCCGGGGTGGTTGAAGAACTCGATCAGCTGGTTCGTGAGCTGGTGCCATAGCTTGCGTTCCCATAGCGTCTCAAACTCGAGTACAAGAGGCTGCAGCTCCTCGGGTGCTTCATCCCGCTGCTCGGCGAGGAAGTCGGAGATCGTGTCGACATTCATGGTCGTCCAGCGCAAGCGGGGGGCAATAACGGGTGGCTTTTCTGGTAAAATGGGTTCTTTGGTTTTGAAAGGATGGGGGTGATCTTTTATTTTCGTGGTCCGATGGTGCGTTGGTGCCAAACGCTGGGGTATTTGGTAATTCTCGTGGGGCTGATGATGGGGCTTTGGGAGTTGGTGATGGAAGGCGGGAGCCGCCGCAATAGCAGCCCACCCGGCAAGCAAGCTCTCACTTGACGCGGCAGGGCAGCCTGGAGGTACATACAGGTACGTACCCTCAAGGTACCACAACCCGCTTCTGTTGGTCTGTGCTCTTCAACCCCCACCACGAAATATTTCCGTTTGTGATTGGCCAATCTGCTGGATCGCTGGGGGGTACAGTGGGTCGGAAGCTCTGCTAGCGGGCGCCGGGCGGGCATTTGGGTGTTTGATGAACTGCGACTGCACGAAGCTTGCATCACCAAGTGCCAGTCAATTGACGAGCCCAGCGCCGACCCCCGTTCCTGGGACACCCGCAGCCATCACCAGTCATAATGGCCTCCCTACCGGCTGCCGTGAGGTCAACGGCCCCGAAGATTGCGCGCAGCGCCCTGCAGCGCCGGGCCCTTCATTCCGACGTCCACATCACGCGCACCGGCAAGCCCGTGATCCGTACTTCCGGCGGCCGGTCAGTCTCCTCTTCTGTTGCGTTATGTTTGGGATCGTGCTGACATAGGATTCTACATATTGCAGTTCATCCCTCGGCGGACACACCGCTACCGTTTTCGGCGCCACTGGCCAGCTCGGCCGCTATATCGTTAACCGGCTAGGTTCGAACCGCTCCACGTCCCCCGAGGCAATTTCGACACTCTCCGAACCGGCAAACTGACAGACTTCTGTAGCACGACAAGGATGCACCGTCATTGTGCCGTTCCGCGAGGAGATGGCCAAACGCCATCTCAAGGTTTCGGGTGATCTTGGCCGTGTGGTGTTCATTGTGAGGAAGCCCGGGGAGGAGGGGTACCATGGAAGGATGCATTGCTGAACGGGAGCTAGGAATATGATTTACGCAACACCCATTCGATCGAGGAGAGCGTCAGGCACTCAGACGTCGTTTACAACCTGATCGGCCGGGACTACCCCACCAAGTAAGTGGTGATGGAAAGGTGTCACAAATTGGCCCAGCAAGGACTGACTGGACTTAGGAACTTTTCCCTCTCGGACGTTCATATCGAGGGTACTGAGCGGATCACGGAGGCTGTAGCGAAGTACGACGTAGACCGATACATTCATGTTTCGTCGTACAATGCCAACCCCCAATCGTCTTCCGAGTTCTTCGCGACGAAGGTACGGTGGCTTACCCCTAATGGGTCACTAAATGATATTCTGACATTTCGGATTTAGGGTTATGGCGAGAAGGTGGCCCGTTCGATTTTCCCCGAGACCACCATCGTGCGACCAGCCCCAATGTTCGGTTTTGAGGACAGGCTGCTGTTGAAGCTTGCTAGCGTCACAAACCTTTTCACTTCGAACAACATGCAGGAGAGATATTGGCCAGTCCACGTATGAGTACCCGGCTCCACGAACTTCCACGATGATTTCCCTAACGCATCCCCTAGGTCATCGACGTCGGCGAGGCGCTGGAGAAGCTCATGTTTGACGATAGCACGGCATCCCAAACATATGAGCTATACGGCCCACAAAACTACTCAACGGCTGAGATCGCTGAGTTGGTTGACCGGGAAATCTACAAGAAGCGCCGCCACATCAACGTCCCCAAGGCACTGTTGAAGCCGACTGCTGGGTTGCTGAACCGTCTCCTCTGGTGGGACATCATGTCCGCTGATCAGGTCGAACGCGAGTTCCACGACCAAGTCATTGACGAGTCAGCTAAGACCTTCAAAGACCTGGACATCGAGCCCGGCGAGATTTCTAAGTGGACTTATCACTATTTGGTACGTATTCTTTTGGTTGTATTGTTCTTACCCAGGTGGGCGTTTACTAACGCCCGAATAGAAGGGCTTCCGTTCGTCAGTGTACTTCGACCTGCCACCGGCAACAGAGAAGGAAAAGCGGGAGGAGAAGAAGTACCTTCACGTACTTGACAATCAGTAGAGGGTAGTGGGTGGTGATTTTGCCCCTTTTTCATTGTTTGCAGGTTGGTTTTCGCCAGTTGGGGGGAGGGAGCGAGGATACAAGGCTGGGCATCTCGGAGTGTATATATTGGTGCAGCCAGAAGTGATTTCCCTGAATCGACAGGCTCGGCGCATGGCTCAAACCACGTTGTGGGTATTGGTGTGGTAGTCTGTGCAATCAAAGCGGTTGGCTCAGAGGCCAGCCAAGTCAATAAACCGCAAATCGCAACCAATTTCTAACCCCAAGGCTTCCGTTGAACCCACCAACCCACCACTCAAAAATCTTTTTCGCCCCCCCTCACTTACAACAAGAAAGTGATGATTTTCAAAGCCCATAACCCACATTTCAAGAAACCCCTACAACCCCCCTAAAACGTGATTCGCCCTCACATCTCAAAATGACTAGTCCAAGCCTTAGCGATGACGACCTGTGAGTTTCCTCGTAATTCTTTTTCTTACTTCCCCAACTTGGCCTTCACAACAATTGAGATCCACCGTCGTACTACCCGCTCAAACTCAACTCACTTCCGCCTGACTAACCCCTTATTCTTCAGAACGCTCTCCTCCACCACCCTCGATGCACTTAAGTCCTTCTATGCTGAGCGCGACGCCCGCGCCGAGCAGTTCGCCAAGCTGCAGGCTCAAGCCGAAGCACTGCATGATGCTGAGACCGGCGAAGAGGATGTTGCCACCGCTGTGAAGGAGCCGGTGGTGTTGTCCATGGAGGCGTTTGGCGAGGATTGGAATGAGAGTCAGTTTTGGGTATGTATGCTCTTTTTCATCTTTGAGGTGGAAGAGAACGGTGGGGGGTTTGAGTCGGTTTGGGCCTCTCTTTCATTCGTCCCCCTTGTTGGAACTGGGACTGGGGAACTGGTGTTAGTGCATTTTGTTAACGATAGTTTGATGACAGTACGCGGATGAAACAGCAGACCTATATGCTCAGGAACTCCTTGACGGGGTCACGGCCGATTCCACGATCGCAGTCGTCTCGACACCAAGCGTGTTTGTGGCGTTGAAGAAAGCCTTGGTACAGTTTCCCCCTTCTATTACAGGGCCCGTCTAGCCGGGCTTATGTTGCTGACGATGGCGAAATATGATCCAGAGGTCTGCGCCCCCCGAGCAGCCCAAGCCGAAGCTCCTCCTGCTCGAACACGATAACCGCTTTGGTGTGTTCCAAGAGTTCGTCTACTACGACTTTGCGCAGCCGCTGAAGTTGCCAGGTATGTCTCATCCCTAATTACGGCTTGTTTTTATTTCTCTTTGCCGGCCAGTTTAGTTGAGGCGCGTTAACTCACTCATGTATGTACTTTGCAGCCGAGCTCAAAAGCACCTGCGATCGTATCATCGCCGATCCGCCATTCCTCAGCGAGGACTGCCAGACTAAGAGTAAGCTTTGATATCTGTTTTCTTACGCTCTGTCCCCTTTTCCATGCTACCATGTGCCTACCCCAACCCGAACTAGAACACTGACTACTTCCCCCTTCCCAGCGGCCCTCACTGTTCGCTGGCTCTCCCGACCCTCCAATGCCTCTTCATCTTCCTCCTCCTCCACCACCCGTGTCATCGTCTCCACAGGCGAACGGATGAGTGACATTGTTCAGCGTGTGTATCGCTCTTTTGGGATACGGGTCACCAACTACGATCCGGTGCATGCGCGCGGGTTGAGTAATGAGTTTTGGTGCTATGCGAATTACGAGTCGGGGAGGGGCAGTTGGGGGTGGCAGTGATGTTTTTTTCTGACTTGACTTTACGTTGGATGGGTGGTTGTGCGTGCGCTGGTGGTTTCGAATATGCGTGCTTGGGGGAGGTGTTTACTGAATAGACTGAGGATCGAGGGATGATCGGGGTGACGAACCGAGCCGGATACACTTCCTGCATGGCTGTCCATAGCTACAGCGATTTTGGTGATGTTAGAACGTTGGTGGGAGGGGTGATTGTTAAAAGGGCCGGCGGATGCCATATAAACATGCCAGATAGAACGGTGAGGTCCGTCGGTCCATGCTAGGAGGTGGATATACACGGCTCGAACTGCCGGCAGTTTTTCCAAGTGTTATTTAGACATCACATCACATATGCACCAAAGAAATCGAATGAGCAAGTGATCTCTATATGGCCATACTCTGGCTTTTTACCATATAAACATCCCCGGATGCGGAATCAATAAGCTAGCAACATAAGCAACGCCATGCTTTCTGGCCCTACTTTTGGGTGGTATCACGCCTATCCTCCCTATCCAGATCACCTCCCCTAGATAGACAGAAAAGCTGGCTCGTCCCCTTGACACCATCTCTTAGCCTATTGAATTTTCCTGACACCAGTAGTCAAGATCGCCATCCACTCATCCATCCATCCATCTTCCCTCCTTTCTGCAATGCCTGAACGCCGTGAACACAAACCCCCGCCGACTCCTTTCTTGTGATGCTGCTATTGCCCGAGTGAGAAATTTTTGTCACACGGCATGACTGTGTGGGTCGCTAGGTGACAGATGGAGAAACAAAAGACGAGAGAAGTGAAGAAGAGAAAATAAGAAACGAGAAGAGGATATAAAAATGCAACTATACAGCCACGGGAGTTCATCTAAGGATTATAGACCGTGGGCCTGCTGAATGAGGAACAACGAAAAAAAAAAACCACTTGAAACAGCTTGTAAAAACGCAGCGTTCAGCTACCGTCATTGTCCCGGCCCTATGATAGGGATCGGACGACGTAAAAGAGCAGATATGGTTTTGCGTTGAGAACGTCTGACTTTTGCGCAAGCTCGACACGATGGTCATTGAATGCGAACCACTGCCATGTTTTATTAGCTAAACAAGTCAAGGAAGAAAAAGGGGGACGAAGTGGGAACTCACCTGGTCACCAACCCGGCAATATGTGACATAATGACCGGTGTCGATCTCGCCGACATGCACCACTACACTGAGCAGGTCATATGTGCACGTTCGGGCGAGCTCAAAGTTCTCAGGCTTGGAGGCACCAGAGCCATTCACGCCGTTGATTCCGTTGGTGCCGTTCGTGGTATTCCCATTCGTGTTGCCGTCTTGAGCGCGGGTGGCGGCTCCGCGGTTGGTGTACGGAAGCATATTGAGTTCGAGAGGGAAGTGCACGGGAGTATCGATTTTGGCGGCGCGTTCGTTGCGGCCTTGTTTGTACTCAAAGCGCTAGGGGCGGTTAGCCTGTGTAATTGTAACACGCGCGGGAAGTAAACGTACCTTGAGCTGGATTGACAGGACATTGGGAAGCAGCTTGATGCTAGTCTGGCGACGGGCTTGCTGGGTGGAGCTGCAGTTGGTGCAGCGGTACTCGCACTTATCTTGCTTGATATATTCCTCGTCAAGGCACTCCTGCAAGGTCAATGACGTACGCTGCTGCGAGCCCTTCTTGCCCTTCTTGTGGCCGAGATTCTCGAGCGGTAGGCTGAGGTCCAAGAAACTCTGGATCTGTCTCGTCACACCGCCGCAGTTCTGGCAGGTGGTGGCGCTCTCCAACTTGCCGTAAAAGGTTTGGTGGATGATGCATTGGCACATGTGCTCGCTGGCCGTCTCGGGCTTTTTGCCGTCGCCGTTGCGCTCGTGCAGCTCCTCCGCAAGAAACTGGAAGAACTCGTGAGCATCCTGCTCCTTGGTAGCAACAAGATTCTCAAAGGCCTTGCGGTCGCTGAACCAGAAGCCGGACAGGATGCTGGCTGCCGTGTAACCGTTCGTTGTCTCCAGGGCATAGAAATCTTGAAACATGTCGTCCATAGCGCAACTCAGGCAGTATGGCACTTGGCACGAGCCGCTAGGATGGCCGTCACTGAGGTAGAAGTTGCGCAGGATGGGGTTGTGGATGAAGCCTTGCAGAACAACATTCTGGTAGCAGGTCGCGCCGGCGTTGTAGATGCCCCGCAATCCATTGGATTTGCACGAGGCCGCCGTGGTGTTGGACGAGAGATAGGTCGGGTTGTCTCTGACGGGGTCTGAAGTCTCGAACATCTCTTCATGTTTGCGCTTTCGGTCTGTAAGGAGGTAGGGGGAATGTCAGTACCGAGATCAGGGCCAGCCAGGGGTTCAGGGGGGGTGGCGACTTACTTGAAAATGTGCCCGTGCCAATCTTCTTCAATCGCATCTCCTCGAAGGTAGGATCCCAAACAATGTCGTCGCACATTTGGCAGTACAGGGCACCACTCCTTGAGTCCACATCTAAAAGCCCCAAAGTCAGTCAGTAAGCCGTGGATACCCGGACAAACCACCACCAAGACCAATGGTAAAACATACAAAATCTGTGTGACTTTTTGCCCCCATGTCTGGTCCTCTCCTCTTCGGTCAATGTCGAGGGACACTGGAGGCAGAGGTATGTCGGAGTGAGGGTGGTGACGACCACGCCTTCGCCAGCCTTGGCCGTCTGTGGGACGAGAGGGTTCGTGTCGTAGATGCTACGCAGGATGGCGCGGTAGTGCTGGATCGAGGTATTGGTCGTGACCTGGTCCTGATTGAAGAGTCTTTGAAGGTGTTCTATGGTTGTTAGGGATTGGGTCATGTCAAAAAGGGACAGAACAAAACATAGTCGTACCACAGCCATACATGGGCTGCCCAGCCTGGGGCGCCTTGACTTTGAAGTTGCGCGGCGACGCCGGCGTTGTAGGTCTCGCCGACATTTTGGGTGTGTACGTATCTCGTCAACTCGGAATCGGTGGATGGGATCGAGGGAGTGCCAGCTCGAAGGTAAATGTGGTTTAGGGGGGGTTTCGGGATAAGGTTCAGGCGAACGGGTAGTTGAGCTCGGGAGGAGTGCGATGGCACTGTGGATTGGCTGCGAACTCTGGTTGTAATTGAACAAAGACAGGAGGAGCCTTTGTAAGTAAGGGATAGCCGTTCGGAATACTCTTGGAGAAAGTAACAACAGGAAGTTCGTAGACGAGCGGGAGGACGGCGAAGATATAGTTTGGTGGAATCAGCTTTCGGGGGGTAATAAAGCACCGGGCCACGCGCGCATGTGTGTCGCTGCAAGCTGCAAGACAATAAGGGGTCTATTCATCGCATTGTTAGGTTTGGTGGGCGTGGGTTGGTGGCTCCGCAACAATACCTTCTCAATAGGGGCTGCAGAGGTGGCCGGTCGCTATTGTTCTGCGTGCTCTCTGATCTCGTCGCCAATTCACCCGCGCGCGCGACTCTCTCGCATCCGCCGTAACGGTGTTCCCAACCAAAAGCAGCCCGCCGGTGCGCCTCCGGCCGCTGGAAATTGCTTATCAAGACCACCGCCGGCCTTATCGGTAGGCGCGCCATGCCCCAGCCCCAGGCGCTAAAATGCCAGCCGCGAGCCCGTGACACGGGGCAGGGGAAGCTAAGGGGCGATTGACAGGGGTTTGTTTTGTCAAGGCTTCGGCCTCGGCACCGCTAAGGTTCTTCATTCAACCTTAGAAATCTTCCATGAACCTTCTATGTAAACCCTCAGCATGCGAATTCAGTTGCGAGACAGAGAACATTCCATCAGCGTGTCTTCCATCACATCTTTGTAGGCGATCCTACTAATAACCGCAAACTTAAGCCATGCTTAATGGGCCGTTTTCTCCCAGTTGTTTGATTTCCCCGTCTTCGTCTGATTTCATATTCCCCGTTTGGCTACGACTTACAAGTGGTCCAAGAGTCTTGATGTTTGCAGAAAACCTCCGCGCCATTTTCGTGTGTTCACGTTAAGGAAGACGCTAAGTTTCGAGATTTGTGCAGAAATGAGGTCATCCCACTTAATTCCTTGAGAAGCACATGTTGTCCGTCGCACCACTGCGAACGAGACCCTGCTTGGCAATCCACTTACACCCGATGGGAGTTCCTGTACCCCGCATCAACGCAAAACATCCAGTTTTAAGTGCACCACAGCCCCTGTCTCCCCATTGACTCGCGTTTCCATACCTCCATCTTGTTTCTAGAATCGACTGATCGAGAAAGAGGTCGCCTCGCCCTAGGTTACTTTCTTAGCCCCACATTAATTAACCACCCATTGTTACCATCTCGACTCTGTTGGTCACCGTCTCGGACTTCGATCTCTTCTTGACTTTCACTTGAGCGACTCTTTACAACCCCCGTAATGAAATAAGCGATCAAAATCCAGAAAAAGTAAACAATATGGCAACCCTCCCCCCAATCCCCGAAGTAACGCGCTTGACACCGTCCTGCATCCGCATCCTCGCCGGCAACCCAGGCAAATTCACCCTCCAAGGCACCAACACCTACCTCCTCGGCACCGGGCCCCGACGACTCCTCATCGACACAGGCGAAGGGCGTCCCTCTTGGGCGACCGCGCTGCGCCGTGTCCTAAGCGAGGAACGGGCGAAAGTAGCCCACGCGGTGATAACACATCGGCATGGGGATCATATCGGCGGGGTGGGGGACTTGAGGACGTTGTGGCGAGAGGCGGGTCAGGGGCAGGGGGAGGAGGAGGGAGTGGTGCATGCGTTTGGGGATGAGAGCGTGTTTAAAGATGGGAGTAAGAGTGACGAGGGTTCATGGACACATGCCCGCATTGCCGACGGGCAGCAATTCCGGGTTGAGGGCGCGACTCTCACTGCTGTGCACACGCCTGGCCATACACCCGACCATGTGGTGTTTTTCTGGGATGAAGAGGGCGCGCTGTTTACAGGGGACAACGTGCTCGGCCATGGGACGAGTGTGTTTGGGGATCTGGGGCAATATGTGTCCAGCCTTGAGAAGATGGGGCAGCTGTACGAGGAGAAGAGAGACACCAAGGGGGGCACTGGGGCGGGGACCAAGAAGGCTTATCCAGCCCATGGGGAAGTTGTCGAAGACGGGCCAGGCAAGATCGCGGAGTATATTCGGCACCGTGGGCAACGAGAAGAGCAAGTTGTACAAACACTTCGTTCGGTAGGCGCCGTGTCTACGACAGGAACGAATAATGGGAGTGAAAATGGAAATGGGGTCGCGTGGACTGTGATGGAGCTCGTCAAAAGCATATACCGGGATGTTCCGGAAAGCCTGCACCTCGCGGCAGCCAACGGCGTAGTGCAAATCCTCCACAAGCTGGAGAGAGAAGGCCGAGCCGTTGCAGTGGATGATGGAGAGCGGTGGAGGCTTGTTAACGGTGCGGGGAGATCTGCTTTGTGATGTGGTGGTTGAACCCCCTAATTTTCTTCGTGTAAGTGCTGAGTCCAGAGCGCTAGAAGTTACCCGGTTTAGACCCTGGATGGAGTTTTGAGGACAAAGAATTAGTACTATGTATGTACAGTACTATGTACATACATGGAAAATCTACATGGTAGCTGGCAAGGATCTTAGTGCGTGGGCCTATCTTGCCGAGCTGCTTCAAGTTGAGAAATGTGATAATGTAGAGTCTGCCCGAGGGTTGACGGTAATTTTCATCAACTTTAGTCTCGCTCTATGGAGCCTAGAGTTATTGGGCGCAAATTTACACTGCTACAACGAAAGAAGTTTGAATAGGCGTATAATGACGTCAAGTTCAAGATGTTGAGCTTCTCCAACTTACACGTGATCGTTACACGCTTCGTGCAAAAGGCGAGGACCCTTTTGGCCTAGATATGTCAGTTTCTCGGTCAAGAGAAGGGCGAGAAATTCTTCCTCGCAGTAGCGAGGAGGAGAGGAGGGGCGAGTTGTCGAGTAATCGTGTCCGTCTGTAAGCAAGAGGTCCGCTCGTACGACGAGAGCGCGCAGTGTGAAAGTAAGTGAAGAGCTAGCTCAGTAAAGGATGCTCCGCTTAACATTACTCATCGGAAAATGCAAAGATATTTCACGAGCCTTTTCCCTCACTCTGGGCAGGATATTCTAAAATTTCTTTGTATTCTTTTCCAATGAGAGACTGGCATAAAATCAAACTTTTCAATATCCTCACCTCGGACCGACAAGGTTGGTTAGTTCCTCGAGGTCGTGATGTGGGAATTAGTCAGTTTGGCCAACACCCCCACAGGACGACGACACCTTCAACTGACGCCTTGTTGGATTTGAGTGATACGGTGGAATATCATCCGAGTGATATGGGTTGCTCTGTCTTTTTTTTTCAGCCCATGCTAGCGGCGGCTAGGGGGAGCATCAATAATCACACCACTTTCAACTGCAGCAGTGACGGCGTCCCGCAATCGGCAATCGTGGTGGTTCTTGCTTGTTTCTATCATCTGCAGGGCGCAGATGCTTGCCAAGTGTCGATTGCGGGAACGTCGGGAGTGGTGGGGTCACATTCCCTGCAGCCAGCCAGCCTTCGGCAGCGACCGGCAGAAGAAGGAAGGGCCTGCTCTTCGCACTGCGCGTATTCTCATCGGAGAATTCAAGATAAATGGAAGGAAATGTGGCGGAAATGCGCCGCAAGACCGTCGGGCTTTTCCTGTGTTTGTTTGTCCAACGCCGACTCTTTGTTTCTGCCGTTTTAAGGGTTGTGGCTGAAGGTGAGATGAAGGGGGAGGCACGGAGGAAACTCCGGCTAGGCACGACTTATCCTGTGGCTTGGAGTTCGATTCCCTCAGGACCTTCTTGTAAGAAAAAAGCTACACAGTATAGCGCAGGACGTAGTTAGCGGAATGGGCTCGTTGGGGGTGTGGTGGATAGTCGGAAAATTCGCTAGCTGCGCGCTTCGGGCTCTGTCTCAACTCCGAAGACCCGTCGGCGTGTTGCCAAGATCAACGACTTGTAAAGTGGCGTCCCATCGAGCCAAAAAAGGGGGAAGGAAGTCACTGCTCGAAAGGGTGTCGGGGTCGCATCTCGGTACTGGGACGGATGCAGGAGGGTGGTATCGGGCTTGAAGGGTCGGGACTTGAGTGCTCGTTGAGAGGGTGGGGGACTTGGCTTGCTTGGGACTTGCATCATTTTGATTCATCTTTTCTGGGGTGGAGAAGCTCTGCTCTCACATCGTCGCTGTCGCTTTCGCTACCCGCGAGCCCGCAGAGCCCGGCTCCCGTTTTCCCAACCTCCCACCCCGCCGAAGCCGAAAGGATTTGGTTCTTGAGGTTATGGGAAGATCGACGTGTCTCAGCCGCGGCAGAGCAAATGAGAACTCCCCGGCTCGCGAGGTTCTTCAGTAACGGATTTAGTTAGTGTACGCTCGTCTTGATATTTGGGGAGAGATACGAAGTACGCACTGTCCAAATTCACACCCCCCTCGAATCACCCCAAACACCACCATGTTCAGTGTGCGCCGCTGTCACCCACCGAGAGGGAGGCACCGTCGCACCGCATGCAACCCGCGGGCCTAAATTCTGAGTCAACGACTGGAACCCCGCAGCTCGAGGAGCTCTGGACGGATAATCCGCCATGATTTCAGAACCCTCGTCCGCCCATCTTACACCACACTCCCACACAGTACGTCCACGAACTCGTGGGAAGCTCGCCGCCGAAGATTAACTCCGGCCCCACCTTGAACATGACAAACGCCGGCAACGGACACCGCGGACGGAGCGGATGCGGCCAAGCTCTCCAAGCAAGCTCCAAGGCTCGGCGAATCGCGTTGGAGCTTTTGCGCACTCGCGACCGCATCGGTGCAAATGGTCGGCGAGCCGCACCCGCCTACGGACGGACCTGGGCCGAAGGAGACTACACGATACGATTCGTATGATATGGGTATATCATCCAAGTGATGCTTTAAGCTGACGTGAATGCCGTCATCCCGTCAAGGCAACCCTCATTGGCCGAGAATGGCGGCGGTGGTGAAACTCAGTCAGCAAACGGAAAACCCAAGAAACGGGTTGAGAGGTTGACAAGCAGCAAAAAATTGCGTTCCGCACCTTGAGCCCTGTGGACCCACACAGTATGTCACACACCGTAAGACTCTTTTCCCGCCCGAGCCACCTGACAACGTCCCCCGCCGCACATTCGAGGTTTTGCAGTTCGGAAGCCTCGGAGTTGCAAATGCGCGCGACTGCAGTCCACGCGAAGGCATCACCAGATGGGCACCCAAACAGAGACAAAATCGGTTGGCCCGACCTCTCCGCGCCCCATCCTCTCGGCAATCTTTGCACCTGGATCCCTTCCAAACGGAACCCAAATTACCAATCAGTAGTCAGAATAGGAAAGCGAAGCTGCTCCGTTGGTCATGGACCGCTTCTTCGTTTTTCGAAGCTTTATTAAGCCCGTCCGTCTTTCCACGCCGCGACTCCCTTGACTTCTGGGTTAGGTTGGGATACCTGCCTACCAGATTTCTTGGCATTGGGAATAATAAGACGAGACACTCTCTCAGAAGTCTTTCCCTTTGTCTTTTGCCTCCTTCTGTGATCTGATCCCCACCCGTTTCATCATCCAAACAATCCATGATACATACAGTCCATAGGCAACGACTGGACCGCAACAAGCCCACACACGTACATATCGGACGACGTTGGACATTTCCCGATACCCGGATTTAACACCAGCCTTGCGATCCGCTAGCAGGAACCCTGGACGACGCCAGACCCTGCTCCTCTTATAATCCCACCACCTCTGCGTTTCTGATCTAAGTTCCAGCCTGGGGATTTGGATTTGTATAACACACCACAGCAATTTCCTAGCTTCACTTCGCGGCCGAAACCACCCCCGGGGTTTAAGAAACAGACCCTGAAAAATTACAGGTGCTATCGCCTTACAGGTGAAGAGCGCATCGATCTGTCTAAACACCACCGGCCATGAGGGCGCTCGAGGCCTCGTTTTTGAAGTTTGCGGTGGGCGTAGCTGCTCTGGGACTTACCCGAGCTGTGCTTGCCGACGGTGGCCATGAACACGGCCATGACCATGGCGGCGAAAGCGGCGGCATGAAGATGTCGGATGCGGACAAGCCACTACCTGAAGACCAATACCCGCCTACGTACTTTGCGCATCCAGAACATGGGGCGGCTATTTACGCCCACATTTCCCTGATGGTGGTTGCGTGGGTGTTTGCGCTACCCGTTGGTAAGATAGAATCTCGTGAGAAATGATACTGTTGAGAATGACATGCTAAAATATGCGGACAGCCGTTATGTTCTCCCTTGCCCGCTCCCGGTACACACTCGCTGCGCAATTCGCGTTCCTCGCCGCTAACGCCGGAGGCGTGCTGCTGGCTGTCATCTACAACGCCAACACCCCAGACTTGTACCCCAATAATGCCCACCACAAGATCGGCTGGATCGCCACTGTGGTTGTCGGCGCCCAAGTAACCATTGGCCTCCTAGCTCGCGTTGCAGGCGTGATGAAGCGCAGGAGGGCAACGGGAGGAAAGTCTCGGAACAGCAGTATCAGCATGACGGCGGTGCGGGCCGAGGAGCGCCAGGGCTTCATCTCCATCCCCGTGTCGGCTGAGGCCATGGCAGAGCACGAGTCTCGCTATGTGGCGAGCCCGTACTCGCGGTTCTCGAATGATAGTGGCCAGGGCACGGAGCCCAAGACCGAGTCGCTGCGTAGCAACTCGCTGTCGTCTGGCAGCGGCAGTGACTCTCCGTCGAGCCCCACGCGTCATCAGTACCCTCGCCATCCTGAGCATGATGAGGACGATGAGCTTGATGCCGAGGTTCATGGTGATCTTGAGGCCCACCTGCCTCTGTTCTCCAAGTCCACCAAGACCCATTCGCTTGTGGCTAAGGCTACGGGGATGGTGCCGGAGCGGTTCTGGAAGGTGCTGATTTTTGGGTACGACTTTGTCGACCGGACGGTTTTGATACTTGGCTTCATTGCGCTCTGCACTGGTATCATTACCTTCTCCCGCTTTTTCGTAAGTTTCTGCCCTGGAGGAAGAGATCAAGAAGTAACGCACTAACGGAGGTTTCAGGAGGGCCATGAAATTTTCAGCGGTCTGGCGCATTGGATCAAGGGTGGCGTATTTTTCTGGCTGGGTATTCTCACCCTTGGCCGCTGGGCCGGTAGTTTTGGGGATCTGGGATGGGTATGTTACCCCTTTGACGCAACATCATACGCATATTGAAGAACATAAGACTGACACAGATCCTAGGCATGGAACATCCGTCCCGCACGACCGGGTCAAAAGTGGCGCCCCTCGGCCGAATTTGTCGAGAGCGGCCTCATCTTCTTCTACGGCTCGACCAACATTTTCCTTGAGCACCTTGGCGGCTGGGGCGGTGCATGGAGCGCACAAGACCTTGAGCATATGTCCATCACCGTCCTATTCATTGGCGGTGGCTTGGTAAGTCGCCATCTCGCTGGATCACTACCTCTTTACCCAAACTAACACTCTCCTTTAGTGTGGCATGCTCATTGAATCCACCAAAATCCGCGCCCTCCTTAACTACACCGTTACTGAAGCCATCCCCGCTCACCGGACCCCCCCTTCCCCGCCTAACCACCACCACTCCGATGACCTAGAAACCGGCCAACCCCGGCGTTCCACCACCACCTCTGAACTCGCCGTTCCAGAATCCTATGCCTTCTCCACAAACCCCATCCCCGCCCTCGTCATTCTGCTCTTGGGCATCATGATGAGCTCGCACACCCAGGAGAGCATGGTCTCGTCGATGGTGCACAAGCAATGGGGCACGCTGCTGACCGGTGCTTCGTACGCGCGCGCGCTGACCTACATTGTCTTGTGGCTGCGCCCCCCAAAGTCGGTGTTCCCTTCGCGCCCGCCTACGGAGCTGTTGACGGCTTTTGGGTTGATTGCGGGTGGTGTTATTTTTATGGCTAGTGTAAGTTCTTACTTTTTTGTCCCAAAGAATATCGTGAGACACCCAGGACGAGCACTGACTCTTTTTTTTCTCTCCCCATAGGCTGGTGACGTGATCAATGGCATGATTCACTACGAGCTTGACGCGATGTTCATGTACACCGTTACTATGGGCCTGGTGGCGCTGTTAATGGCCTGGGTGTTGGTTATGCTTGCCCTTAAAGGGTGGGCTGCTCGACGGGAGACCGCTGCGAGGGCTTGATGTGGTGTTTCCACTCTAATCTCCCCACACAGCTCCGCCTTACAGGTTACGGCGTTGAGAGAAGATGGTAAAGAATTGGGGCGATGAGGGATGAGTGATGAAGGTGTGGGGTTTGGGAGTTGCTTGCTTGCCCTGTGAGCCGAGGGATGACGGGCGACGTGAAAGACGGGATGATTCAAGAGGATATGTGGACAAACGGATGGATGGGATGAATGCATGGACGGTGGTGGAAAAGGCGTGATTTTCTTTCGATTCTTGTCCTGCTAAGATACCCCCTTTTCTTTTTGATTTATGATGTGGGATGAGACGATACTGTGATGGAATAGGACGGCTGGAAGCGGTCGGGACGAGGGTTAGGAAGAAAAAGATGACACGATGTGGCTAATGGGGAGACGTAATGGCAATTCACTTTGAGTCCATCCTGCCCCTCTCGTTGAGATATAGCTGGCGAGAGTCAAGTTGGCAGGCGAAGGTACAAATACATCACTCGTTATCCTAAAGGCTAAATATGCTTTTGACTTGGGTATAACTGGGAATATGTGCATTATTAGCTTTTTGAAGCTAATCTGCTTATTCTCGTAGTCTCGTAAAATCTAACCTCTCGTTTCACAAAACGTCACCCGTCACCCATCGCTTCTTGCTTCTTATCTTTGTCAACATAATAAGAAACCAGTACATCCGCGGTGGGCAGGTAAGTGCTCCGTTCATCCAACTTCAAGTTCACCCTCAAAGTCCGCCGCCCCAGATCCAGGCGTTTCACCCTAAACCAACTGTCCCTCATCACCCCCTTGCTTTTCGTCCGTCGTCGCCGCTCTCATCCCTCGTCGCCACCCTCGTCATAAATCAATCATCAGGATAACACTCCTTCATGTTTGACACAAAGGTGCAGGTGCTGGCGTCGAATCTGCGGAAGAATTTACCCGCGAGGAAGAAGAGATCGTCAGGAATGAGACTCGGGTCGGTGATGACCACGACATTGTCTTGGGCGACACGGAGCCGGTCAACTGTTGTTTTCCTAGGATGACTCAAACGTTGTCAGTAAGATGTCACGGCATATGGGGAGAGGAAGATAGTCCTTGTCATGAAATTGGGGTGAGAAAGGGGGAGAAAGGTAGGAAAGACAAGGATGAGATGACCCACAGGGAAGTATAGTAGGTCCTTTGCGGCCCGAAACGGCTCGCATGCACCGACTCGGTCGGGTCATAGACATCCCCTTCCTCTTCGGCCTCGGCCGCATCGAGGTAGTGCGGCATCGGTAGGTCAACGGTTCCCATAGTGGCCCAACCATTAATGACACCGATGTAGCCGTAGCGGCGATGGCGGAAGACCTGGCCGATCTTGTAACGGACCCGTGTGCAGATATCTTCGGTGTAGCGCAGGCTGACCTCGGGGGTGCGAGCATCGAGGTTATCAAGCATCCCAAGAATATCATGCACGTTGTTCCAGCCGGTACGTGACCGGACGGCGGGTTGCGAGTTGACGAACTTGTCGTAGAGAGGTGCGAGGTAGCGCTTGACAAGCCAGGCATCCTCGCTCCAAGAGAGGGCAAACTTCTGGAGGAAGACGGCTAAGTGCGAATCCCAATGGAAGCCCGAGGTTTGTTTCATCAGGAGCTCGGCCCACATGGAGGCGTAAACAGCTGCGTCGAGGTTAAGGCCAGAATGCCCGCTCCGCAGGCGCGTCATCTCGGCCGACAAGGTATCGTTACCCGTGAGGCTGTGTACCGTGTCGTAGGTGGCTTTGAAATTTTGCGCCGTCCTCTGTACGATGGTGGGGACCGGTGATGGTCTAAGAAAGGCGTCTGGTCCCTGGGTCCATCCTATCTCGCGGAACCGTTCTCGCAATTCGCTGAAGGCGATCTCGTTGTCCGACCCATATGGATCCAGACACATCCGCCTCTTTTCTCCCTCCACCTCGTCCGTCTCCTCGCCATCCAAGTCCTTTCCTGGTGGCGCATATACCGCGGCGTGGACATGGCTTGGAAAGGCCAGGCAAAATGCTATGAGACCCAGGCGCTCTGCGACACAGGTGAAAATAGCACTGGAGATGATGGGAAGGGAGTCGTGGCTTTCCATGGACAAGGCATGGCCGATGAAGCAGTTTCTGAGGTTACGGTAATTTATCTCGGGATCCCCCATGCCTGTAAGGTTGTGTGCTCGCAGCCAACGCACTAGGGCCAGTGCCTTTTCCCTTGTCGAGAGGTCCTTGAATCCTGGGTGCTCGGCCCTGAACCGCTTCGCAATATCGTCGAGAGTGCTTACGACCTGTAATAAGGTTAGCGATTTGACATCTTCGGGTGCCTGCGCCCTCCCCGACCTACATAATCGAGGTCCTCGTCTTGGTCGTGCAACACAAACATATCGAAAGCGGCGAGGGCAGTGTCGAGGCCTTCGGAGCTCAAGGCATGGCCCTGATATCGCGACCACACATCGACAGCCACTCCTTTATGGATGCTGTCTAAGGCTGAGTTGGCGTAATACCTGCACCCGCATTAGTCACTGTAACGGGTCCTCGATTCCTAAAGGGGTAGTTAGCCTACCTCCTAGCTAGGACATCATCCATATCATAACTGGCGTGGCATTGTGTAAGGAGGTAGTCTTTCACATCGTATCCCATCTCACAGAGGGCCTGCATGCGCTTCAGCTGGGTGAACTTTGTTGCAATTATCCCATCGAGCAGTTCTGCTGCCCTTTGATTCCGCGATTTCCTTATTTTCCACAGCCCCTTCCAGTCCACCGACGACGCGAGCGCCTTCAGCTTCTCCTCGAGCCCATGTTCAGGATGCCAGAATCGAAACGAGGTGAGGCAGTGAAAGCGCCACAGTAAAGGCTCACTAGCCAGTTGATGGTGTCGGCGTGAGACCCGATGGATGCTGAGGAGGGTGTGCTCAGGCGACACATAAAGCAGGATGTGGCGGATGATCTCATCAGGGATGTCTTCTAGTGAGGAGCGCATGGTCGTAATGAACGCGCCAGTTAAGGCGTGAAACAATAGCTGTTGCTTGGCAGTGGGTTGCAATCGGGGCGCATGGGATTCTTGCAATCCCCGCCTTGTTCACTGGCTTGGTTTGGTCTGAGAGGCAGCTGAGTCGATTTTTAACAACGAGATGCACCTGGGCCGGCCCGAGGCGGGTGTTGTGCGACGGCCCGATGGAGGGGGTGCAAGTTGAGTCCGCGATATGTAGCGATGTTATCGTCAAGATTTAAGTTGCTCTAATGTGCCCCACAATGGAAGTTCAGTGAGTTGCAGCTTGTAAATTACACCTCTCCCTTTTCTCTCTGCGTCACCGTCGGTTGTTACAGAAGATTTGGTGCTGTGGTGGTCCGTGCGGCTTGCCCCCAAGGGACCGTTGATCTCTCTCGCTAGGGGCCCACAGAAGCGTTCTCCCATGCACCTGCACCGCGGGGTAGTCCAATGTTCCACTCAGAATAAATTTCCCGTTTGGCTCTACCCCTCCATCGAAACCACCGCGCCGTCCGAAGTGACTCACGAACGGGTTGTCAGGGGTCGACAAAAGGGCGATTCCAACCGGTCACTGCCGAATTTCAACAATCGAAGTTTCGTATCCGAAAAGCACCATGGAGAAAGTCACAGAAGCCCTGCAAAAAGCCGCCATTGGTGGGGGGGACAAGAAGCCCAAGAAGGAGAAGAAAGGCGCTGCAGGGGCGGCTGCTGCTGCCGATGCTGGACCTCTCGAACTGTCGCCGGCTCCGGCTTTCCTCCAGGACCGCATTGAGCTGTTCGATCGTCTGTACAAGGAGCAGCGGGAGGAGCTCGCCAAGAAGCCGCGCGAAGACATCCTGATTACCATGCCCGATGGCGCCGTTAAGCCCGGCAAATCATACGAGACCACCCCCGCCGAGATCGCGAAGGGCATTTCCAACAGCCTACTGAAGCGCACTGTGGTTGCGAGGGTTGATGGGGAGCAGCTGTGGGATATTGAGCGCCCACTGGAGAAGAGCTGCAAGCTGGAACTTCTCGACTTCAACGACGAGCAGGGCAAATTCGTGTTCTGTAAGGGACCACGTGGAAGAAAGAGATGCTGGGACAAGACAATGGCTAATATACGGCTTGAATCTAGGGCATTCCAGCGCCCATATTCTTGGCGAGGCCTGTGAACGCAGGTTTGGCTGTTCACTGTGCATTGGTCCCCGTATGTTTGGTTTGGTTAAATTCCGATTTCCGCGGTAACATTGCTGACTCGTTTGGGCAGCGGTGGACAATGGTTTCTACTACGAGATGGCTCTCCCCGAGAGTGGTGTTGTGCACGCTGCGGATTGGGCGCCTCTCGAAAGCCTTGTTGGTAAGATCGTGAAGGAGAAGCAGCCTTTCCAGAGACTGGTATGTTGTAAAACGTCACGGGCTGTCTTTGGCTTGGGAATGACGAGGACTAACACACAATATAGGAAATGAGCAAAGAGGACTTGCTCAAAATGTTTGCATACAACCCATATAAGGTGCACATTATCAACGACAAGATCCCAGACGGTACAAGAACCACTGTTTACAGGAACGGCCCTTTGATGTAAGTTAGACCATTCCGAGTCTTTGTCTTGGTCTGGATTGATGCTCACTCATACGCCTAGCGATCTGTGCCGTGGACCCCGTATGTTGGCCCCTTAAATACCTGCCCCTTTATGCCTTTTATTCGGGTCAGCGTATTTAATCAAGCTAACTCCTCCAGATGTGCCCGATACCGGCAGAATCGAGGCCTTCGCCATCATGAAAAACTCATCGTCCTAGTATGTGTTGTCCCAATGTTACATTCTAGCCCCTGAACTTGTCACTAACACACCCAAGCTTCCTCGGTGACGCCAACAACGACTCTCTGCAGCGCATTTACGGCGTGTCATTCCCAGATAAGAAGCAGATGGCCGCCCACAAGAAGTTCCTCGAGGAGGCCGCCAAGCGTGACCACCGTTTGATCGGAAAGCAACAGGAGCTCTTCTACTTCGAGGAGTGCTCCCCAGGCTCTGCTATGTGGCTGCCACACGGCATGCGGATCAACAACGCGATCATGGACTACATCCGTGATGAGTACTGGAAGCGTGGCTACGATGAGGTCATGACGCCGAACATGTTCAACGTATCGCTCTGGGAGCAATCTGGCCACTTAGCCCACTACAAGGAGGACATGTTCCTCATCGATGTCGACAAGGAGCAATTTGGTCTCAAGCCGATGAACTGCCCCGGTATGTCACGATCTAGTCATGTCTGTCGCTCCAGCTAACAACATCCCCTAGCCCATGCGATGATGTTCCGCCACAGGGTAAGTGACCTAGTTTAACTTTTCTCAGCACGTCATTCTAATTACTATTCTACAGGAACGGAGTCACAAGGAACTGCCGCTCCGCCTTGCCGACTTTGGCGTTCTGCACCGGAATGAAGCCAGTGGCGCTCTGAGCGGTCTCACAAGAGTGAGGAGATTCCAGCAAGATGACGCCCATATCTGTAAGCATAGAGTGTTTGGACAGGCATATTCATTTTGCTAACTGACTGCAGTCTGCCGTGAGGACCAGATCAAGGAGGAAGTCGCCGCTCTGTTTGACTTCATGAGCTCCTTCTATGGCATGCTGGGTCTGACATTCAGGCTCAAGCTGTCTACCCGGCCGGATAAGTACATGGGTGAGATTGAGACCTGGGACAGTGCCGAAAGCCGTCTCAAGGAGGCTCTGGACGAGTTCGCCGCTGCAAACTCCGGCGTTCACTGGGAGCTCAATGCAGGCGATGGCGCTTTTTACGGACCCAAGGTTGACATCGCTGTGCTGGTATGTTCTCCCCCTATTAACCTTACATATTACGCTCAACTACTAACTGAGGTCACCGACAGGACTGCCTTAACGTACGTTATATCCGCTCAGCATATTGATAGCTCAAGTAGCGACTTACACATAGCAGAGGCAATGGCAATGCGCCACCATTCAGCTCGACTTCCAACAACCCATCAACTTCTCACTCGAATACCAGACCGCGGAGGGTGGACCGAAGGAGAAGACGGAGGCCGCTCCGGCCGCGTCAGCCCCTGCACCCGCACCCACACCTGCGCCCGAGGCTGCGGCAGATGAGAAGAAGGACGGCAAAGAGAAGAAGAAGCCGCTTCTCATCAAGAAGCCCCTAGCACCCGGCTCGGCACGTCCTGTCATGATTCACCGCGCAATGGCTGGTAGTATCGAGCGCTTTACTGCCATTTTGGCTGAGCACTTTGCCGGCAAGTGGCCGTTCTGGATGTCGCCGCGCCAAATTATCATCATCCCCGTCGGCATGGGCTTCCTGGCTTACGCCAAGGAGGTGGCTGCTCTTCTGAAGAAGGAGCGCTTCTATGCTGGTATATACTCATCAGGTTCTTGATGTACTGCGTGTGCGGCACTAACAAACAACTCTAGATGTTGATAGTAGCGGCAATACTCTCCAGAAGAAGATCCGCAACGGCCAGTTGGCACAATGTAAGTGCTACCTGCGACGCTAACAGAGCCCCCCTGAATTACGTATTAACTTGACGTCCTCAGACAACTTCTGTTTCGTGGTCGGTGACGACGAAATGCGCAACCGCAAGGTCAACATTCGCTACCGCGACGACACATCCACACAGGCCCGCGACGTGCCCTTCGACCTCGAGGAGGCAATCGTGAAGCTGCGCGCCCTCAAGGCTGACCGCGGCATGTACAACCCATTCCCCCCCAAGAAGGAGGAGAAGGGAGAGAAGGCTTAGGTGTCTAAGTATATAGGGGTTTCTGAGCGAATGTAGTGGTGTAGAAGATGTGAATAGCAAGAAACCAGTCTTCGACACAACTGACGCTTTGCATTCGGACGTTGGCCAAATTCTTGTGTCCTAATTCCTGTACTCTTCCCCCAAGCCCTGAGGTCTTCGTGTCCTGTCTTCCATAGCTACCAGTCACTCGACTCCAATGTGAGAGAGGGCAAACAATGCATTCGAGATACACCACGAGAAATACATCACCATGAAGTTTCCCAACATTGTTAACCTATCACATTTACGCTGGAGAAATCGGAAAACATTATATGCTCGCTGGGTCTAAAATCCGTACCCCTAAATCCCCCCACAACCCCAACACCACACCCATCTGGTTTATCTAACCGCCCGAACCTGTGTTCCCAAGCTACTCCAGTCTTGGGTAATATCCCCAAAAATAACACCACTGCTTCTCCCTATTTGTTCTTTTACCCCTGGCCACGTACATCCGCCCCCCAATGATATCCCGACCACTTACGGCTTCGGGATATGAATAGTCCGGCTCGTCATCAAACACCCATGCACCACAAACAGCAACACAACAGGGTGCACCTCTAGCGCAGTCCCCTCCAGCCACACACCACCAGGCAGAGAGTCATGCACCCAGCCGCGGGAGATCCACCAGGCCATCAGCGCGTCGAGGCCGAGGGTAGTCGGGATGGGCGTGCCCTCGAAGTAGCGCGCTTTGCCGCTTGCGTCTTTGGGGAGCGCCGCGGCGGTCACGTTGAAGCGGGCGAGACGGGTTAGACCGCAGAGGACGAAGAAGGCGAGCGCGAGGTTGTCGGCGGGGGTGCGGATGCCGATGGCGAAGGCTATGGCTGAGGGGGCGACGCCGAAGGAGATCTGGGTGTTGTTGGGATTCAGGTTAACAATTTGCACATAGATCGTGACTGTGGGGTGTAGGGGGTGTGTGTACCAGATCGGCGAGCGAATCGAGCTCCTGTCCCATCATACTGCTCTTCTTGCGCCAGCGCGCAACCCTGCCGTCGAGAAAGTCAAAGAAGAGGCCGAAGGGCAGGAAGAAAAGGGCCAGCCAGAGGTTGTTGTGCTCTGACGGGTCGCCGAGGCAGTAGCGCATCGAGGAGAAGAGGGAGAGGACGCCGCAGAGACCTGGGGAGAGGAGAGGTTTTGTCAATTATTGTTCTTCTTCCTGACATTCTCGTTCGGCGGTCCTCATAGAAGGACACCGCCGTCGGAGGATTGTTGCTCACCATTCATCTCGGTAATGAAATCGGCCAGGTGCAGCGCGCGGATGAGCGAGAAGTGGCCGACGTCGGCGGAGAGCAGGATCTTCTGCTTGTCGGATGCTGTACGCAGTTGAGTTAGCGGATCAGTCTGCCTGCTTGTGTTCCCCCCTCCCGCCTATGCTATGTGCGGGTTGTATCGAGAAGCTGCAACATACTCGGCAGATTGGTAGGGCCGCTATCTTTGGTAGCCGCGCCATTCGCGGTGGACGCGCTGGTTCGTTTGGACATGGTGGTTGACAGTGTGGAATTAACGATGGTCTGCGTTGAATAAGCTTGGTTCCTATGAGGGTAAAGGTAGTATATCGGGGAGAAACGATGCCCGTGAAGAATTGGGTATGTTCAGCGTTGGTGGTGGGCTCGTGTGTGTTGTTGCCGTCGGTCACAGCTGAACATGCAAAAATCGCTGACGTCGCAAATACCCTGTCTTGGGCGGTTGTTGGTTGGCCCTGGCCAGTGACGGCGCAGCCAGTAGCAGGCCAGCAGTGGACTTTATCCACCCTGGCGCGCGGGAAGCTTGCCGGAGCCGGGGGTTGTTGAATGCCGTCATCTTATCGCCAAGCAGGGTCCAGACCGCCTTGCCATGGTTTCGTGTCATTACCATACGTCATTATGGAGGTCGCTGGCGGCTTGTCTGAGTTGTTTCGCTTGCGTAAATACAGAATTTGTCAAAATATTTGGGCATGAGCGATCTAATTGGTACGATTCTCCCTACTTTTGAGCCGTAGCTAGGTACCTAAGTGTAGTGTATGTCAATCCGTAAGATACTGCTATTACACAACCTGTTGACAGATCCTTTTCCGCATGGGAAGGTAAAAGCGCCAGGGAAATGATGCTGTGTGCCCACGAATAACGGAAATACAAAGGTAAAATGAAATATTAACAGGAAAAAAGAAAATAGACAGAATGCAAAAAAAAAAAAAGAAAGAAAGAAAAAAAAGGAAGAAAAAAGAAAATGGGAAGATGGGGAAGGATATGAGAATCTCTATCTTGTTTAGTTAAGCAGCTTGATTCACGTTCGTTCGTAGGGAATGTAGAATGATCTCGGTGTGATTTAACTGTGGCCTACAAAGAAACAGAAAAGACCAAGTAGAAAATATAACAAAAACACAAGAGAGACGAAAACTCCCGGCGCCCCAGCTCGGCCTCCTAAAACTCCTAAAAAATAAAAGCATCAAGCCGCATTCTTCTCTCCCCTCCTCGTCCCATCACGCGCCCCCGGCGGCGACTGTCTCGTACAACTCCCTCAACGCCCCCTTCTCCGCCAGTCGACGCACCCACTCGTGCACCGCAGGCGTGTAGTCCTTGGTGCGTCCGAGCAGCGCCTCCGGCCCCAGCCCTCCCAGCGCCTGCTCGGCCTCATACTCGGTCCGAAGCTTCGCCTGCTCGGCACAGAGACGGTCCCACAACTCGACAGCCGCGTTGGCATCGTCGGGAACGGGGGGAGAAGTAAAAGGGGGAGAAGGGGAAGACGAAGACGAAGACGGCGAAGCGGCCTCGACACCGACGCCAGTGCCCACCTCCACGGCGAGAATGTCGTCGACGTCGAGCTGGAAGCTCGATAGACGCTCGTCGTCCGCGGTGTGGATGACGTCGGTGCGGTCGGTACGCTCCCGCCACCAGTCTTGTCCCTGGTCCTCCTCCTTCTCCTCGCGGTCCTTGTCCTTGTCCTTGCTCTTGTCTCCGCCCTCCTCGCCCTCGTGGGTTCCATTCCCGTTAGTTTTGCTGTCACTGACGCTGCCAAACCGGCCCTCCAGGTCGACCAGACCACGGACGTTGGCAGCAAGCCGGCGCCGCACCTTGCCGAGCCCATCGCCGCAGAGGGCGAGCAAGCTGAAGGACAGCTGCTCAGTCTCGTACCGCATCATACGGTCCTGGAGGACCGGACACATGACGGAGGTCCAGTGCTTGTCCTTGGTGAATTCGCCTAGTGGAAGGAAGGAGAGGAAAGATGTTGTTAATTTAGGCCAGACAGAGAATAGACTGGAGGGGGAACTTACCGATGCAGACAGGCGACGAAGACGACAGCCCATCCAGCTGCCACACCTGGTTCCCGACGGGGACAAACGCGATGAAATGGTAGGCCGACGGCCCATCGGACGGCCGGCGGACCTTTGGCTTGGCCGAACCCTGCTTGGCCCTGGCCCTTTTGTTTTGGGCCGCCGCTTTACCCCGTTTCTTCTTGCGGTCAACCTCGTTTTGGAGACCGAGGGCGGCATCGAGAAGGTCGAGGCGTCTAGGGGATGTTAGCAACCGGGAAAGAAAATATCGCGGTAAAGGGCGAAAGGAGCTCACCGGGCAAAGGAGTTGTGAGCAACTCGGATCCACTCGCTGTTGTTGATCATGTTGCCCCTGAGGGGCGGGGACAGCTCCCGGGTCGCCTCCTTGAACTTGCGGAGCCTCTCGTCGAGGCTGATGCCTTCCGCGTTCATGATGATGTTGAGGAGGGCGATGGTGGCGCAGGCATTATGCGTGGTCTTCACGCGAAGGGTTAGCTTGTCAAAACCGTCACTCGCGAGGGGCATAGTAAATGGGGACGGGCCAGGGCTGAAAGAAAACTTACCTGGTTGGCGAACCAGACACCCTGCTCACCACCATCGTCCTCTTCCTCGCTATCCTCCGAGACGTACTCGTAGAGGAATACCAGGCCGTGGACCGGCTCTCTGTGTTGTGTCAGTGGCAAGTATTACAGGGGATCAAAACATGATTGATATGATGTAACTTACGGCAGGGTGGCCAGATTGAACTCATCGACCGAGAGCACTTCCTCTATCTTTGCTCCCTTGACACCGATTCGTTTCATGATTTCCGTGAAAAAGGCCTGTTTAAAATGGTAAGTACGCTATGGGATCGAAGGTGCGGAAAGTAATTGGGGGGAAGGGGGGAGACGAGTAGTGGTTGGGGGGGAGACTTACAGGATCGGATTCTAGCTCGATCCAGCTATTCCACTCGGCTGGCTCACCCTCCTGCCACGGGCCTAGGGATGCCTCGAGAAGGTTCTCCGGGACATCGAATGCCTCCGGAGTAGCCCTTCTCTTAGGGTTTCTCCTAGTGACGCTGTTGGTGTCGGCGTCGGCGTTGGTATTGTTGCTGCTGCTGCTGCTGTTTTTATTGTTATTGGCCGAAGCTCCGTTCTGGTAGTCGGCGTCGTCATCGTACTCCGCGGGTCTCTTGCGCGCGCGGCCGGATCGACGCAAGGTTAGCGGAGAGGCGCTGGGGTCGCTCTTGACAGTTTCCTGGTCGCGGGGAGGAGTTTGGGACTTGGTCTGCTCCATCTTGGTGGTTTAGGGTACAGTAAAATTGTGTTGGAAGGAGATGAGATGGGGTCGTTGATGGGAGAAATGGGAGGTTGAGAAGAAAAAGGTCTGATGATAGCTTGTTTTAGGAGGACGGCACTTTGCCGTCCCTTGGTTGTTGAGAGTTGACAATAGACCTCAACAGAAGGTTGTTATTACAGGTACCCTTTGGGTATTGTCTTGTTCAACAATACCCCCAAGCAAGAATAGAGGAGTAATTCACACTAAATACGGTAATTTGTGGATTATTAGCACGCTTTGGGATTATAGTGCCCATTTATGGCAAAACATCAAAGAACTGACCTCTACCACGGCCGTTCTGCCCACAGGAGGCCAAGCTCGCTATGGCCAAAAAAAGCGACAACTAGAACATATAGCTTAACTCCAATCCATTAACATTCAATCAAATCTTGACAGATTCTCATTGATTTACTCTTTTTCGTCCTTTTTCACTTCCTGGATTTATTCCTTTTTGTCGTCTTTCACTTCTTTTTATTTATTCTTTTTGGTCTTTTGTCGCTTCTGTAGAGAAGTATCCGTAATGGTCTGCCGCTTATTTTAGCCACGGCGAGCGAAGGCAAGGTATTAATAACGTGAGTGTTGGACCTCCGCTTTGCGTGGCACCTGGACATCCGTGATTTGATTGGACACTTAGCTCTCAAGGCTTGGCCCCACACTGCTGGGCCAGCTGTTGCTGCAACAAACCACAGCGCGGCACGAAGAGCGCGTCTCAAGCGTGCAGCGTTGACAGGACAAAGGGAAATTTTGGCTTGGAATTTCAGCAAAATGCGACTGGTGGACGCCACACCACAGCATCAACAACGAAGCCGACGACACAGTGACGCCCCCAGCCTACTAGCCGTTATTGTGGGCTTTTAGATCACAATTTTTTTCTAGTCGGCGTCATTCTGCTTTTGTGCTCCCAACTAAGTTAGCACGACGCGGCGACGACAACAACGACGACGACGATAACCGCCTTGACGACCTCGGCGAAAGACCGGGCAAGCACCGTCTTGGTTTGCTTCGTGGCCCCGGCCCGTTTGTTCTAAATACACGAACGATATTTCCTCAGACCCTCCCGACTCGGAATGCCATGAGCGGCGCATCAGCCATCGGCGCCTTTCCACAGACGCCCCAGACCTCAAAACGAGGGCCTGCGAGGGCACAAGTACCAACTTCCAAATCGACGACATCCCGCACAAGTCCATTACCCGTTGCTCCACAGCAAGGGACATCATCAGCGGCACCACCAGCTCCCGTAATTCCGCTCCATATCCTCGACGCCCCGACACAGCGTCTCTACGCTTTCGGCTTCTATGCCGCCCTCCTAGCCTGGAAATTTTACGACTGGGCCCAGCTGGTGGAAGAAGACACAGAGTCGTTTTGGCACTTTTTAAAATGGATTGCGATAGACTGCGCGTTTCTATTTGGGCTCCCAGAGCTGAGGATACCATGGCTTGAGCTGTCACAACCATTCGTGGTGGCAGCCTTCTTCTCACATGCCATCTTTGACTGGCTTCTCATGTTCAATATCGGGGTACGAGGTCCTCAGGAAACACAGGTTGTGCTGATGTGTGGGCTTTACTAACGTGTGAGCAGTTTCCCTGGCAAGCATGGATCCTTGGCTTTATCAAGGTTTTCTACGATCGCGAACTCGCCATCTCCGAGCACAATGTCAAGATGTCGAACATTTTGCATAATTCATCGTTAATCATGGGCCGTCAAATCATCAATATTCTTCCCGAAGGGTAAGTTGAAATGCTAGCCCCAGATTGCTTGTTGCACCAGGTCGGAGACTGACAGTGTTAGTTCCGCCGTTCTCAACCCAGAACTCCACCCGTACTGCCTTGGCCCCGACCGCAAGACCGCACTGCTACCCATCTTTTTCAACGCGACTATTCCGGTCGAAGTTGAGCTAATCCGCACCGACCTCGAGACCAATAACCAGGAATCAATCAAGCTGTCTAGGGTGCAACTTCGGGATATCGAGCGCAAGGTCAAGAGGGAAAGTCAAGAGGGAGTGCAAACCGTGGTTCAGTTCGATTACCCCGTCAAAAAACCCGGCGTTTACCAGTTGGGACGAGTCCTCGACGAGTACAAGTTGGAGGTCCAGAGGAAGAGCCCTCAGACCTTCGTTGTGCCGTGCCCGAAGGCTTGGGTCGGCCCCACGAGCTCCCCTGGACGGTGCTTAGGAGACCTTTCGGACGTTTCTCTCCAAGTTGAGGGCACGCCACCTCTCAAAATCAAGTACAGCCGCACTATCAACGGGAAGGACCACAGCTTCCACTTCCAAAGCCTCCAACCCGAAGGCTTCACTTCCCCACTTGGCGGTCTCCGCTCATCAACTCTAGTTGGTCTCGACGATGAAGATATTTCGTGGGCTAAGTCCCAGCGGGTTCCAGTCGGACTTAACGAGTCGATGCACGCCAGCGGAGACTGGCAGTACTCGGTGGATGAGGTCCAAGATGGGTTTGGCAATCTAGTCAAGTACGAGCCCTCGCCTGACGACCCCGATCTGAAGCCGAAGCCGAAGCATCTCGTGCAGAATTTTGTGGTCAAGGAGCGCCCGCAGGTGCGGCTGGAAGGCTGCGACCTTAGGAGGCCGCTGAAAGTTGCGAAGGGCGACTCAAAAGAGCTCCCTGTTCACTTCAAGATTGCGGGTCAGACTCCCGACAGCACCGCGCACACTTTAACCATGCAGTTCTCGCCGATCGATACACTTACAGAGAGTGGCGACCATGGCGATGTTGTCTCGACGGTGACACACAACGCTAAGAACGCTCGTGACCGGCCTTACATTTCGGCCCCGGGTCTCTACACACTCAAGTCCGTTTCTGCCGGTTCGTGCGAAGGCGAAGTGCAGGAGCCGTCTTCCTGCCTTCTCCTCAACCCTCTTGAGCCTAAGGTCACCTTGCGCACCGAGGATATTCCCGATACGTGTGCTGGCAACTCCATTGGCCTGCGTGTGGACATGGACCTTATCGGGACCCCGCCATTCATCCTCCGGTACGATGTCATCTCTAACGGGGATCGCCGGTCTGAGAGGGTTAGCATCCCCGGCCTTCGATACCAAATGGATCTCGTTCCTCGCGTTGCTGGACACCACAAGTACATATTTACGCATATTGGGGATGAGATCTATAACCGGGGGCGAAAGTTAACCGGGCCCGAGTATGTCCTGGAACAGGATGTCAAGCCTGCGGCATCAGCTCTCATCCAACATAGCACGGGCAAGTCCAGCTCGTGCCTTGGTGACGAGGTTTCAACTGACATCATACTGCTTGGCGATGCTCCGTTCACGCTCGAGTGGGAGATCATTCATGATGGCAAGAGGAAGCAGTACAAGGCTACCGACATTGAGGGACACACCTACAAGATCAAGACGCAGCCTTTGACACAAGGCGGCGAGTACACCCTGGGTTTGACTACGGTGCAGGATAGGCGTGGTTGCAAGAGCTTCCTGCAAGAAGAGTTCAAGATTTCCGTCCGGCGGCAGAGCCCGCGCGCCGCCTTTGGTCAGGTCGAGGGCAAGCGCAAGATGCTGGCTGTCGAGGGATCGACTGTCAAACTTCCGGTCCGCCTTACTGGGGAAGGGCCGTGGAAAGTCTTTTATTCGAACCTCGACGAAGGGCCGGATGGTAACCCTAAGGTTTTGGAGAAGGTCGTGCGAAATGATAATGGGTTCCTGGATGTCAAGGGTCGGGGCAATTACACTATCACGGACGTCTGGGACAACCAGTGTCACGGCGTTGTGGACACGAGAGCGTCTCGCTTCGAGGTCGACTGGCACCCACGCCCGGTTATGGATGTGGCGCTCTCACATGGCCTTACCCGTACCGATACCGGGTTTGTCATGGATGATGTCTGCGAAGGTGATGTGTCGGGCTTTGAGATTCTTTTGCAAGGTAAGAAACACTTTTCCCGTCAGAAAGTAGTAGAACCGGTTGACTAACAAGCGTAGGAACACCACCGTACACCGTGGAATATGAGCTTCGCCATAGTCCCCTCCAAGGGTCCAATGCTTTGAGCAAGAGGAAACTCGATGCCACGCTTGGCAAGGAAACAATCCAGGCGGATACGAACAAAGCAGGCACGTACACATACAAGTTCACCGCCCTGGAAGACAACCTGTACAGCAGCGATCGCAAGTTCAAGCCCTTGGTGGTCAAGCAAAAGGTCAACCGAAAGCCGGCCGCGTCGTTCGCCAAGCCAGGCCAAACCTTCAAGTACTGCAAATCAGAACAGGACAACGAGGACGGCATCCCGGTCACACTTACCGGCGTCCCTCCCTTCGCTCTGGAGATCGAGATCAAGCACCAGAGCGCAGCTGTGCCCGAGATCTACCGCACACCCGCCATCGACTCGCACTCGTACGAAATCCGCATCCCACGCCATCAGCTTCGCCTCGGCTCGCAACAGATCCGCATCCGCGACGTCAAAGACGGTAGCGGCTGTCACTCCATGGCTGAGCTCGGCGGGCCCGCGGTCCAAGTCCAACTCTTCGAAGCCCCCACTATCTACCCGCTCGAGACCCGCACCGACTACTGCGTAGGCGAGCGCATCTCGTACACCCTCTCGGGCACGCCGCCCTTCGATGTGTGGTACACCTTCGACGGCGTTGAGCGCAAGGCCAAGTCGCCAACCACCAGCTTCCGCCGCGTGGCCGAGGCCCCCGGCGAATTCGCCATCACCACCATCGCCGACCGCGCCAGCGAGTGCCGCGCGCCAGTCCACATGACTAAAGCCATCCACCCGATGCCTGCCGTGCGCATCAGCCAAGGACGCAACGCCCGCGTCGACATTCACGAGGGCGGCGAGGTGGAGATCATGTTTGAGTTCTGGGGCACCCCGCCCTTCGAGTTCACCTACACCCGCAGCACGAATGCGCGCAAGGGTCAGCGCAGCCAGGTGTTGGAGACGAGGCATGATGTGAGCCATGAGCATAGCAAGGTGGTCAGGGCTAGCCAGGAGGGCACGTATGAGGTGGTGGCGATCAAGGATAAGTATTGTGCGTTTTCGACGCAGGGGGCGGATGTAGGTGGAAAGGAAAAGATCAAGGGAAAGGGAGGGCAGAAAGTCATTGGGTTTTGAGTTGATGATGGATGGGAGGTTATAATGGGCCTAGGAAGGGGGGCTGAGAGGGATGTTATGAAAATCAAGACCTGTATTTTTCTTCCCTCTTTTTCTTCCTGTTATGTTTGCCATCAAGATTGGGTCTATCTGCGTATGAAAGAGCTTGGGCGGGCGAGGAGGTAGTATTGGGATCATTGGTAAAACTTTTCTTCGGTATTGTGTCTGTGTAGGTATGTATGTACATAAAGACGGGGGAGCAGGCAAGATGGCAACGGAAAGGGAGGAAGCGAGAAGCTAGCCTGGGAGATCATAGCACGGCGTTATGTGGGAATTGCAACATATCAATAATGCTCTTGTTTTGCTGGTGGTCGGTATGTAACCTGGTATCAACTCGTGTGTAAGTCATTTATTTATTAGCATGGGTTGTTTCCGTCCGCAGTTTCAATAATTAATGACCATTGACCAGCAGCTCCATTCCGTCACTCGGTAAATGAGGCATCTATTTTAAGTGTCATCCATGCCTGATCCAAAGGACTGGGAAATTGTTGTCTTCAAATCTTCAAAAATAGGGTGGGTGGCGCCCGGCTGTGGACGAACCCGTTCTGCCCTGTCTTTGATGCTTCGGCGGCTGGGCCCCGCAGCCTGCCAAATAGAGAAAGGCAATGTCCGGTAATCGCAGCGGTCATAGTTAGGTAGGATGCGACAGCTTACACTACGCCACTGAGAAGTCATATTGATAGTTGTGCAGGTCATCAAAATACGTTGGTCCATTTCTCGATCTAGGTTGTGGAGCACGGTTCACCTTTTCTCGTCCTCCCATCGTGCCCCAGCCAAGAAAGCTCAAGTAGCCGTAGAGAGAGAGATGACTTCCAGGTTCTTACCCGTCCCTTAAGAGCGCTGACGACAACTCAACCAACCTATCTAGCGCCACTCTGGGTAAGGATAACATAGGATAATAGAGACAATGGTATTGTAGAGTCGACAAGGCAGAAGACGATGCTACGTTGACTGTAAAGATATTTAAAGAGATAGCGGAACCCTCCCCTATAACCGGTAGCTGTATATGTAAGGAACTGGCCCTATGGTGGAATACAGATAGGCGTTTATTATGTTATTAAGAAAGCTTGCAGAAAGAGAACTACTTGGGGTTGTGCCTTGCCCAGGGCTCCTTATATCCTGATGTCCCTCCCCCCCCTGATGTGCGCGCTCGGAGGTCGGGCACCTCGGGCTCCACCTCCGAGCCGGGTCCGGGACAGGTGCGGGCCCGGAGCCAGAACAGCCCCGGCCTGCGAATGTCTCGGGAGAGGGACAGCCCCGCCACGTCCACCCAAGGCCATCGGCCACGATCCAACACTACTGCTCATGGCCCTAGGCCTGAGCCCTTGACACCTTATTTAATATAAGTATGATGTTGTATAGATTATCCAACGGATTACATTGCTTGGATTTACCTTGGAATGGTAGTACGGAAACCTAGGACTGCCACGATTCTAACCCTGTGTTGGACATCGGGCTATGGGGAAACCCTTTTATGGCGTCTCTGATGATTCGCGTGGTTCGCCGGGTCTTTGGTGCGACTGTGCACATGTTCATTGGAGATATCCGCACCTCGTGACCTCGCTACCGGTTTGATTCGTGCAACTCGACTGGCTGAAGAGCAAAAAATAACCTAGGTAAGTAGCACAGCAGGTTAACTGCGTATTGCTCTGACGAACAAACTGCCAGATTACTCGCAGAGTAAGCGCACATGACCTGCCACAAAAACCACCATAGCGTGATGTGGATACCAACCTGTCGCGTCATCTCATGTACGTTATTAGGGAACGGTGAGCCGCAGTTGGTGGAACGGAAGGAGGGCAAAGTCCCAAAGATAGGACCTCGGCTCCACCACCTTGCCGCCGTTACACAGGACAAGACCACTGCAGCGGAACGCCACAGCTGATAGGGAAATTGGGCATGCTTGCTCGGAACAGGGCGAGAGGTGCTACAACGAAACGACAGCGCTGGGCTTGGAGCCCTTTGTGGAGGCTGGCCTTGATATAAGCTGGAAGAAAGGAATCGGACCCAGCCTTTCGACTCTCCTGTCTTCGATCATGTGGTCTGATGTGGATGATGTGACCGGAGTTCCAGGCCCTCAGGGTCGTGAATCCTTAACGGTGTAATGTCTCAGAAGGGTGATAAAAACACTGCGTTGTCGTCCACAACCTCGACCCGGCAGTCGATCAACCATCACGCACACCTAGCAACTTACATCTACCAAGCCCAGTCCTCCATCTCAACTACTACAGTGACTGGCATCAGCCGCAGACAAACCGCCCGTCGTCAAAGCCTAGGCCGACATCGCCGACGGGTCCGAGGCTAATAAATTTTGGCCCGTTTCTCGTGCGAGGCTGCGAGCCGTCGCCCTTATATCCTCCCATCCATCTCATCTGATCCCCTCTCATGAAAACCGCGACTAATATTTCCCACGATCCGCCAAGCCATTTTTCATTATTTCTCTCAGCAGTAATTACACATCAAATAAATGACTCTCCGACAGCTATAATTAACACAAGATCCACAATAATTGGCCAAGTGTAATTTTACCTCGACACACGCTAGTTACTCCTCTTTCTTCTCAATTTCCTCCTTTTCCCTCTCAATTTTCTCCTCATCACCCGCATCAGCCCCCCTTTCCCTTCCCTTGATCAACCGGTGGGCCAACTTTGCGGCGGTCACACCGGCGAGCTGCAGCAGGGTCCCCGAGCCGCCAATCTCGAGGGTGTTGACAGACACGCCCAGGGCGCCACGCAGCCAGCGACGTAGCTCACCGGCGACGAGCGAGTCGAGGCCGAGCTGGGCGAGGGTCAGCATCACGTCAATGTCGTCGAGGCTGTCGACGGGCTTGAGGATCAGCTCGTGGATCTTGCGGCCGAGCTCGCGGGCCAGGCGATCGACGTTGACGGGATCCGTGACCAGAGCCGTGGCAACAGCGGGGGACTCGGCGGTGGAAATCTGGACGACGAATGCGGAGATCCAGGGGCTGGCGGAAGAGTTCGCTCCCGCGCGGCCGGTGGTCTGGGCGGCGTTGTGGTAGACGCTCGCGCGCATGTCGCGGCGCCAGGGAGTGCGGTTGGCAGGATCGTCGAGCGAAAGGTCGGTGCGGCTGGAGCGCAGGCCCATGAAGACTTGGCCGGGGTTTGTCCAGGACACGAGCACGCTGTCGTCGGCTTGGCTCGGGTGGCTGTCCATGTCCGCCCTGGCGGCAGCGTGTACGATATTGAACTCCAGAAAGTCGAGAAAGGCGCGCTCGCCCAGCATGTATACACTGTGGGCCTCTATGCTGCGACGCGTCTGGGCGTGGTCGGCGACGTAGCCGACACCGTCCATGGCGCAGATGTTGAGCACGGTGGCCGGCATGCCGAGGCTGTGACGGTACTGGCAAAAGGATTCGAGAAAGACGCAGGCGGCTACGTAGTTGGCCTGTCCCGGCGTGTTTGACATGGTGCCAAGCGAGCTGGCCATCCAGAATACGTCTAGGGGCTGTCCGGCCAGGGCTTCGTGCAGGTTCCACGTGCCGCGGACCTTGGGGCCGACTGTGGCGGTCCATTCGTCCCAAGTCATGTCGAGAAAAGCGGCGTTCTGTGGGGATGGCAGTCAGCATCTTGCCCAGAGACAGAGGAGATGGAAGAGGCGGGGGTAAACGTGGTGAGGCATAGTTAGCGCCCATGTGGGCGACCTACATTCATGACCATGGCAAACTGAAAGACGCCCCTCACGGGCCGGCCCGAAACAGACACGGCGGCCTCGACGTCGGCCATATTCTCGACGCTGCCGGCGACGGCGCTGACGGCACAGCCCACGGCCTCGAGCTCGCGGAACAGGCCGGCAGTCTCGGGGCTCTCGCCGGCGCTACGGGAGAGGATGGTCACGTGACGGGCACCCTGGTGGGCCAGCCAGATGGCGAGGAGGCCTCCGAGGCCCTTGGCGCCGCCGACGAGAAGGTACGTGGCATCTGGGTCGAGGGTCACCGGGCGAATGTGGCGAGGGCTCTGTGCGAGGGTGGTTGGCAGATCGTCTGGGATCTTGACAACAACCTTGCCGATGTGGCCACCGTTTTGCAAAAACCGCAGGGCCGTCTCGGTTTCGGCTGCGGTGAAGTACGTGATCGGGTCTGGGAGGCGGACGCGGCCGTCGTGGAGCAGAGCAAAGTAGTGATCGAGAAGTCTGTCGAGACCAGTTAGGATAAGATGCATAATGGGATAACGCTATATGGGGATAGACGGATATGTGGATATATGTATGAATGAATGGCATGCATGCATATGCATATATATATAGAGCACGGGAAGAAAGAAGAAGAAATTGAAGGTATCAACTTGCCTGCGGACATTCAACGGGTCATCCTGGAAATATTGCAAAAATTCAACGCCGGCGTAGGCGCGATTACCCAGAAACGGCGCCATGTCCAGACGGCCGGCGCCGAGGAGGTCCTTCTTGCCTAGTTCTATCATGGTGCCGCACCTGGACACACATTGCCAACTCGCGTGCAGCAGTTCGCCTGTGAGCGAGTTGAGCACCACGTCGACGCCCCGGCCGCCGGTCTCGCGCAGAACCCCTTCGCGGAACCCGTCGTTGCGAGAACTAAAGATGCGCTCTCTCGGCAGTCCGTACGTCTCGACGAGGAAGTCCACCTTCTCGGGGGTCCCCACAGTGGCAAACACGGTAACTTTGCCCACCGCACGGCACAGCTCGAGCGCGGTTAGGCCGATGCCGCCACAGGCAGAGTGCACCAGCACCGACATGCCCGGGCGCAGACGGGCTATTTCGTCGAGTCCGCGCACCACAGTCCCGACGCACACCGGGATGACAGCCGCGAGATCGGGCGGGATGGTCGCGGGGTAGCTGCAGGCATGGGTGGACGGGATGACGAGTGTCGTGGCCAGCGTTCCGGTGTCCGACAAAATCAGCGCGCGGTCGCCGGGCTGGAAGGTGAGATGGTGGGCGCCGTCGGAGGACTCGGCCCATTCGGCGGACTTGGGGGGCCCAACGGCCAGGACCGTGCCCGACGCTTCCATGCCAATCGCGAGATGCTGCGTCCCCAGCGGGGCCTGCAGGGTGCCCGTGGCCAGCAGGATATCGCGGAAGTTGAGGCCCGCCGCGTGGATCTTGACCAGCAGGTGGCCCGGCGGGATGGCTGTGGGAAGCGCCTCTGTGATCCACGTGACCGAGCTCAGATCGCCGGGCCGCGCAATGTGCATGATCGTGGTTGTTGTGGGCAGGTCAATGAGATCATTGTCCTTGGACTCCTCCTCTTTGGGAGCAGGCTCAGTAGACTCGGCAGACTCGGCAGACTCGGCGGAGGGAACCACGTCCTTGGGCGCGTCCTTGACCATCGCATTATCCGTGTTATTATGCCGGACCTTGGAGAGCGAAAAGGGCCGGAAGCGGCCGACGTAGACCGTGCCGCCCTCAATGGCAAACTCGCGGTCCGCATTGAGCGAGTCCTCGTCACGTGCACGCTGCACTTTCTGGACCAAAACCTCCGACACCAGCGGCACCACGGCAACTCCGCCCTCGCGCTCATAGTCCAGCTCGAGCGTGAAAACGAGCAGCCCCAGTTCGGCCCGCAATGTGCGCACGACTCCGAGCGACTGGGCCCCACGCGGGTTGCGGCACCGCATCTGGAAGGGGGCCATCAGCCACAGCATGCGGCACGCCTTGCCCTCAAGATGCCGCACGAGACGCTGGAAGGCCGCGAATCCGTCCTGCGTCAGCGTGTCTTCGTCGAACCAGCGCGACTCGAGGTCCACCGTCGCGAGGATGGTCTGTTCCCCGTCTGGCAGCTCGTGGCCGCCGAGTCGGCACGGCGTCACGGCCCAGCCCTCGCGCTGGAGGCCCGCGATGACCGAGGCAGTCGGCCCCGTGTCGGCAGCGCTGTGGTACAGCACCGTGACCTTCTTCTTGCTCTTCTTGCTCTGCTGCTCGTCGGCCGCCCCTTGCCCGTTCTCCCTGGGCGCCACTCGCGATACCATGGTGGCCCGCGACTCCCACGGCGCTTCGGCGTCCGCGCACATGGCCTCGATGCCCCGGAAGCCGGCCTGCCGCAGCTCCATGTCCCAGCGTTCCGGCCGCACGTACGGCTCCCACAGCCGGCCGTCCGCCTCGCCCAGCCACCAGCCGGGAAAGTGGCCGAACACAAACGACCACATCCGCATCCTAGCCGAAGACAGCTCGTCCAGTAGCAGCACGCCGTCGTCCTTGAGCAGCACGCGCAGGTTAGCCAGCGTCTCGCGCAAGCACGGCGTCGCGTGCACCACGTTCTCCGCTATGATCAGGTCGTACCGGCCCGCCTCGAACCCCTGCGCGAGCGGGTCCTTGGAAATGTCCAGCACCTGGAACACCATGTTGGGCATGTCCCGGAACCGCTCGCGTGCGGCCGGGAAGAAGCCCGGCGAGATGTCCGTGAAGGCGTACTCCTTGTAGCCCGGCAGCACACCACCGCCCACACCACCGCCCACACCACAGCCCGGCGCCAAGTCACGCCACAGCAGCTCCGTGGAGCTCCCCGTGCCTGCTCCGACCTCCAGCACCCGCATGGCTGGCCGTGAATGCGTCAGAAGCGACATCAACCGCTCGTGCCCGAGCTGCACGTGGTCATACACGCGCTCGTATAGATCGTCGTGCGCCAGCAACTCCAGCGCGTTCGCCTCGCCCGTGAACAACGCCGCTGCGTGGTCCATCACGCGCTTGGCTGCGAGTGCCCGGCCGTGGTACTCAGCCGCGACTCCGTCCAGAATCGTCCTGTGCGTCGCCTTGATGAGCGCCTGGCGGTCCGCGCGCGAAAGACCGAGGAGAACAGATGGGGAGAGGTCAACCGTCTTGCCACCGACAATGTGAGGCTGCGGCTCCGTCTGTTTGTGCGCCTGCGATACCTGGAGCTTGAGCCACTCGCGGTACTTGGCCAGGTGTGGCTGCCCCGGCGTCAGCGTTTCGACGACATCGGCGGACTCGAGAATGCACAGAAACACCATGCCCTCAATCAGCTGCGGGCCCGTCACGTCGGCCTTCGGGGCTGGCATGGTCGGCGACCCAAAGTCCAGGTCCGGCAGCCAGTGCAGCCCAGCCGCTGCGTGGTTGTCAGGCCCTCCCACCGCCGTGTCCTCGTCGCCACCGTCGCCACCGTCACCCTCCTGCGTTACCGCATTGAGCCCGCGCATCCGCAGGGCCACCCGCCCGTCGTCCGTCACGCACTCCACGTAGGCTGCGCCGAGCCCCCCCACGGTGGGCACCGTCGCTGTCACCTGCATCTCCCGCGAGCCGTGGGCCACCTCCAGGCTTTCGACCATCGTCGGCATCACCAGATCCTGGAACATCCAGCACGCCCCCTGCACATTGGCCACAAGCATCGATTGCAGACACGCGTCGATGGACGCCGGGTGCAGTGGGCCCACAATCGCCTGCTCTATGGAGGGGTCTGCCAGCGCCTCTGCGGAGCTCCCGTGAGAGGCCTCAGACGGGTCATTTCGGCCTGTCCCCGGCTCGGTGACCCGGGCTTGTGCCTTCCCCTCTCCCACGCATGCCGACACACTATCCAAACGCCGGAAGTCCGGCCCAAATATGAGCCCGGTCCGCGCCAACGCATCGTACAGCCGCCCCGTGCCCACCCTACGCACGAACGGCTCTGCCCCAAAGCTCGTCGTAGCCACAGGGACGGTCTCCAGCGCGGCTGCTTCTCCCTCGCAGTGCTTCACCCAGACCCCGCCGCTGCACGACGCAATGGAGAACTCGAGCCAGCGCGAGTCTTCCATGTGCGTGAGCCTCTGCTGCCGTACCGACGTGACCATCTCCACCGGCTCCGTGGCCGACAGCACCAGTGCCGTGCGCGCCACTATGCGGCGCAGCCGATATCCTGTCTCGCAGCCCGTGACCTGCCGGACCGCCTCCCCGGCTATCGCCACGTACCCAGCAAATGGGAACACAATGTTGTCCCGTATCTTGTGGTCTGCCAGCCAGGGCTCGCGTTCCAGGCTGATCACATTGCGCCAGAGCGGTGCTGTCCCGGCTGCCTCCACGGCACGCGCCCCCAGTAGGTAGTGTGATGGGAATCGACGTGTCCGCCAGTCCTTGGCGAGCCGACTCTCATACCAGAACGGGCCCGCGCTATGATCCCAAGCGTACGTCGGGAGCCCCGCGGCAGCCCGATCATGCGCCGGGAACAGTGCTCTCCAGTTGACCGCCACGCATTCCTGGAACAGCTGCCCGAGTGCTGAGAGGAAGCTGACCGCGCTGTCCTTTCCACGCACCTGCGAAGGTACATAGCCCGTGTGGTGCCCACCAGCTTTTGCAATTTGCCGCAGCGGCCCCGCCAGTGCTGAGTGCGGGCCAATCTCGAGTACAATACCCGCCGTCCGCCCAGCGGTAAGTGTTGCCGTTACCAAGCTGAGCAGGTTGGAGACAGCTTCGTTGAACTTTACGGGCGAGACCAAGTTGCCGACCCAATATGAGGGAGAGCTAAGCGTTGCCACGTCAGTGATTTGCTCTGTTGTGACGCTGGAGACGAAGAGCACGTCAGATTTGTTTTTCTCAGTTTCGGTACAGCGAGACAGGCCATCTTCTCCCTTGATCAACTCGAGATATTCCGTCGCCAATAGGGCCATGTGGTCTACATAGTAAGAACCGTCAGCGCTTCGCACCAAAATCAGCTTGCGGGGCCCTTACGAGAATGATAGGCCATGTCGACCTTGAGGAGCTTAGCCATTGCTTCGGGAAACTTCTCCTGGGCCGCCGCCATGGTCTCCTGCACAGCAGTCTCGTCACCGGAAATCGTCGTGCTCGATGGACTGTTCTCACACGCAACACACACACCAGGCCGTAACAATGGCTTCACGTCCGAAGCACCAAGGCCCACCGCAGCCATCTGTCCGACCGGGAGCACTGCAGTGTTGTGGGCAGTAACGTAACCACGGTAATACGCGACCGCCATGGCATGGTCGAGCGAAATATACCCGGCAGCGTAGGCAGCCGCGATCTCGCCGCTGGAATGACCCACGACAGCATTAGGCGTGATATCCAGCCGCTTGAAGTGACGGACCAGAGCAATCTGCAATGCCGTACAGAGTGGCTGAGAGAGTTCGGCGCGGTGCACCTGGCTCGACTCGGCGTCCTTGAGCAGTTCATCTAACAAAGACCACTGCGGTGGAACCCGTAGTTTCTGGAGAATCTCATCCATCAAGACGAAATCCTGGCGGAAAGATGGGTTGGACAAGATTAGTTCCCGGCCCATACCAGGCCATTGAGCACCCTGTCCGCTAAATACCATGATGATGGGCTGGGAAGCACACCCTGACTTGGCTGGGGCCGACATTTCGACGATATTCCCGTCTTGCACTATAGCAAATCCGGTATGGGGAAGTCGCTCCCGGTGCAGCGCGAGCGTATATGCAGCATCTTGGATTCTTTGCGGTTGCGCGGCAACAAACTTCTCAAAACGTTCAGTTTGGCGTTTCAACGACGCCGGACGATTTGCTGAAAAAAGAAGCAGCACGGGCTCCGAAGAGGTCCCGTTGTCCTTCGCAGCAATGGCATCGCTAGCGTCACTACTACCATGTCCCTGACCTTCGCCGTTAGAACGGGGGCCCGCTTGTTGTTGGTCAAACGTGGTGGTCGGGTCGGATTGCTTCGAGTATTGTGCCCATGACTCTAGAATGGCCTAAAATCAACAGTCAGTAGTGATGACCCAAGGTACCCTTCCTCCTAGCATCGAGGAACACAACTCACATGTGCGTTTGAGCCGCCGATCCCGAACGAGTTGACGCTGACCCTTTCCGCCCTGTCCTTCGGAAGGGGGGTGGATTTGATAGGGACGACGAGCTTCTTCTCTTCAAACGGAACTAAACACACTGTTCAACTGGTGCACTTTGAACACGGAGAGAAGCTTGGTGAATGGGGAACGTACTGTTGGGATTCGGGTTCAAAAACTTGATATTCGGTGGGATCGTGCGGTGCTCCAATATCAGCATGGCCTTAATTAAGCTCGTGATGCCAGAGCAGCCTTCAGAGTGACCGACATTAGGCTTGACAGAACCAATATAAACGCCATGGTCACCGAAGACATTGCCAACCGCTCCCGCCTCGATTGGATCTCCGACGGGTGTCCCGGTTCCGTGGCACTAGTATTGATCAGTTGCAAGCTGGGACATTATTGGAAGAATGGGATATCAAGAATTCGCACCTCGACATAGGCGGTCTCGGCCGGGTCAAGCCTGGTTTGCGCATACACGGTCCGCATCATGGCCTCATGTGCCTCGCCGTTTGGACAGGTGAGTCCCTGGCTGCGGCCATCGTTGTTGGATCCGCTGTTGCGAATGACAGCCCGAATAGGGTTGCCATCACGGATGGCATCGTCGAGGCGCTTCAAGTACACAGCCGTTATTCCTTCGGCGCGAGCAAAGCCGTCCGCAGCGGCATCAAACGATTTACACGATGCATCCGGAGACAGCACGCCGTTTTGAGCAAACATCATCATGAATGCTGGAGACAGGATGAGACTCGTGCCGCATACCAGAGCGGCCGAAGCATCTCCCGCTTGTAAAGCACGACATGCATCGTGTAGGGCCACGAGGGAGGCGGAGCATCCCGTCTTGACGACCAAACTGACATTCAACGTTAGCAGCCGGCGAGAAGGCTGTGGGTGAAAACTGGGCGCTTACCTAGGGCCGCGAAGATCGAATTCGTACGAGATGCGGCCGGCTAGGGCCAAGTCAAGACTTCCCATGACATAAGTGGCACTGCTGCAGGCATCCATGGTGAACATTCCTTCCCAGTCATGGCTGAAAGCGCCCACATAACAACCGATGGGCTGTCCGCGGTAGTTCACCTCGCCGGCATCGTCGAAACACTCCTTAGCAACTTCCAGAAGCATGCGCTGTTGGGGATCGCATTCCTCAATCTCCTTCTTCGTCATGGAAAAGAATGATGTGTCGAGGCATGAGGGGTCATCCTCCAGGAAATACCCGTGCTTGGAGGAAATTGACCTGTCGCCGCCGAGTGAAGCGTCGAACCCTTCAACGGAGAACCGGCTCGCAGGTATCTCCGCCCGCGCGTCTCGACCGTTAATAAGAAGCTCCCAAAAATCATCTCCATTCCGGATCCCGCCGGGAAGACGGAGTCCAATGCCACACACCGCAATGGGTTCGGGGGTGGGAAATGCGGTCGTGCTTTCTTTGGTACGCTGGACACCAAAGCTTCTGCGGGAAGGAGCGGCTGGTGCTGCTGGTTCAGCTGACCGTGTGCCGTTTGTGGTTGTCCCATTGGGAATGGGGCTATCTGAGGAAAGAACCATGGTGATGGGGGAAATCGAGACCGATCTGGACTCTGTTTGGGCGTCTGGTAAATAAAAGATACTCTGTATTGGCGAGATTTGGTGACGCTGGCGGAGGACAAGGCGGAAGAGCTCTGAGAAAGGGAGTCGCCTCCTCAAATACTACAACTCCACGATCCAGATCATCGCTAGTAGCTGCTGCTTCTGTGTCGTGGCAACATCTCCAGACTTGCCCCTCCCGGGATCTTCTCCTCTTCGCTCACAAACCCTGACTTCAGCTTCGTTCGACCGAGCGCTGTGTCTATTGGGGCTAGCGGTATGCTCAGAAAAGCCATGCATGTCGTCGGTCACAGACACACATAAGAGACGACTCGAAGAGAGCCCAACCCCCCATTGTTAACAGCCGACTCGGTTCCGGCGATCCTCTGCAGCGGGAGAATCAATCACACACCTTCGCAACGCCATGTCTTTGTTGATATTCCTCGCTAGTTACTAATACGCAGAATAGGTTGCTCAACGGATCATCCCATGGTGCCCAGTTATCATTTGCAGACGAAGCCGGGGTCCACGGTTGAAGAAGCAAATGCGCCCACGGGCGAGTTCAGGACAAGCCATTGCCCACGGCTCCGGAGTTTGGGCTTTGTATCCGTATTGCTGCCGGATCAACTCTTGCAGGATGCTAGGGAGCTCAGATGGGGTTAGTTGACTCAAAGGAGGGATGCGTGACGGTCTTGATTGATGAGAAAGAGAAACATGTCTAACTAACAACGCCAGGAGGTGTCAGACGAGCTTACCGCAGGCCCAAACGCCGAGCTTACCGCAGGTGGGTCTCCCCAGCCAAAAAGTGGCTTACACCAAGGTATTCCTAAACATATCTGCAATACAATAAACCCCCTAATAAAATACACTATAATAGTAAAAAATAATTTGAAAATTACAATAGTGAGTGTGATTTTAGAAAATATTATATACACTAATAAATATATATTTACTGATAATTGTACTTGTCATCAATTGATTTTATTCTTTACCTTATAATTTTGGCCCGTACTGGCCCGTGCTGGCCCAGCGAGTGCGAGGCCTCTGAGTGGCTATAAACTGTGGCATAACCCACCAGCGGTAAGCTTGGCATTGGAGGCTGCGGTAAGCTCGTGTGTATACCCCAACGCCAGCAGCGCGCGAGTCGCGGCAGCAAAGTGTGGGGCATGCTTGGCAGAAACAGCCCTGGGTGCTACACAGATAGCACCCGAGCACCCGGTTATGACCCTAACCCTGGGACATGCCCTCATGGGCACTTGAGCTGGTCGCCCTGCCGTCTCGAGGTCGAATCGGTACCCATATAAAAAAGAGGTATATGCCCTCTGAACATCGGGACTGTACACGTGACTTCTCCCATATATAACCCCAACCCTGACTATGCGCATCAATTCATCAATTCATCACCTACAATGGTCACATCAATCAATCTTGGAGCCGCTGAATCACCCAAAAACTAAGGTTAACGTTGCTTGCTGACCCCTACATCCGGATATCGGCACGGCTTGGACCCTTGGATGACGGTCAAAACTTTGCGAGGTCAGGTGAGCTGGAGCAACAGCTCCGCGACGCTGTCAACTGTCCACCACCCCTTCTAAAAGAGGTAGGGGTCTTCATTCCGTTGTCGGCCGAGCAATAATTGTTTCTAACGGTGAAACCGGGCTGGTGGCTCACTTCTTCAAATCACAGAGAACCATTTCCATAATGGAAGTATGAAGCGGGTGTTGATAGTCCGACACACCGAGGAGGCTGATAAGAAGTTGCAAGCATACATCTAGTGTAACGCACCGAGGTACCATACCATCGCCTAGCCTTAAACAAGAAGACAAGACAATAGAAGTTCTAGACCGGTGAGGCTCGATGCCTTACTACACTTTGTGGTGTACTCCATTGTTGTCTCCGTTTGCTAGCACGGAAGCGCTCCTCCAAAAAGAGCCCATGCAGGAGCCAGGATTCTGGGCCTTTCGCCCAGGGGTCCAACCCGGCTTGTGCACCTCGACCAAGAACGGAAACGCCACTCACGTCGCGGCTGCGCTTGAGATGGATGCTGAAAAACAGGGTCCAAAAAGCTGGCTGTCTGTTGACAGGAAGCTGCTCCCGCCCAGTGAAGACCAGCGAGAAGGGGTCTCAAACCAGCAAATGATAGTTATGTTGTGGTACTTCTGGAAAGAACCCTTATTATGTAGATCAAAACAAGAGACTTCGAAATAACGGGCCGCAACCGCGCGGGAACTGTTAAAGTTTCGCTGATCCTTAAGTCGGACCAGTTCCTCAAGGTTGTGGCCAACCAGTCATTCCCTGGAACGCACCCCCGCTCGTCTCTTCATGTCCTTTGCCTCCCGAGTTCTCGGCTCGTCGGCTTTGGAAGAACTGATGAAAGCCTTGTGCTGCTGCTTTGCCTCCCGGTACTTCGTACGACTCGTGAAAGCCTCCAGGTGGTTTTCTTCTCCCCCTCTTCTTGACAGTCGCCTAGTGTACGCCTACATTGAAGGAAACCGGGTCGCGCCCCGTTCGCTTGTTGGAGGCGATTGTGCTTGGTCCAGCCCTCCGTTCCCCTAGTTAAACCGCCGCTGCGACACGGCTCTCCCACGCCTCGGGTCAGCTCCGGCAACGCAACCCGCAGACCCCACCATCTGTCGGGGTGTGCCCCAATCGCGCTGCCATTTTCCAGGCTCGGACGTCACTCACCCAAACTTCAGCGGCTCGGCAGGACTTTGGTTTTTTCTCGCTCCCAACTCGGGTCCTCCGCCCGCCAACCCGGCCTCAACACGCCGCAAAGAAACACGCACCTCAACACGCTCGCCAGTGTTTTCATCCCAAGTCAACCTCGTTCCCACGGCCTCGTTCCCTCGTTCCTCCATTCCTTGGTGTGTGTGTGTGTGCTGTATGTGCATTACGTCGTGACTTGGACGGGGCGCAGACGAGAGCCTCTTGAACGCGACCCAGAACGAGGAGAAAAGTGGGGACTCGGCTGCAGCGGCGCGCAGAGAGCTCGAGCCCGGACCAGGGAAGGGAAGCCGTCGCATCCACTCTTCGACTTGTTCTTGTGGGGAATTCGAGAACCTGGAAGGGGGCGGCTTGTCGTTCAGACTGTGCTGCTGACCTGCTGGGGATCGCTTCCCATCCGATTTGGGCCCTTTTTTCACACCTCGGGCGCCAGCACAGGGCTTATCGGCCATCGCCTTTTGTTATCGGCCTTTTTCCATGGTCTAGAACAACATCGACCGCATCACCAACGACCGCATTCAACACGCATCATTACCTTACCTCCGTTACTTGATCCCCATCTCCATTGCGTCGTTGCGGAAATCCTGCATTGCGCCGTTGACGGGCCTCGTGCGAGTGAAATCATCCCGGCCCCTCTCGTGCGGCCCAGACCTTTCTTTCTCGTCCCCCGTCCCCTTCGGCCGCAACCATGCCGCCCGCCGATGGCGATGCGGCCTCTGCGCCGGCTGGGAACAACTCCAGCGACTTCGTGAGATTCCCTCTCTTCTCTCTCCGTACCGACGCGCTCAGCGCGCATCAGTCTGACCACACGCGGGATCTGTGCTAACATGGTATCGTCCTGGAAAGGTGCGCAAGCTCTACAAGTACGGATAATAAACCCTCTGCGCCACCCTTCGACGGGGTCCACGGCCCTAGGTGCTTCGACCCCGAGACACATGCTCACCAATGGCTTTGCAGGATGCTCGAGGACCCATCGTACAACTCAGTCGTACGGTGGAACTCCGACGGTGACAGTTTTGTGGTATTAGAGGTGAGCTGCCTTTGTGATGTTGGGGGAGAATGACGACAGAGGACCGCGAAAAGGAGGTCGTATAGCTCAAGACTGACCGATATCCCTTGGGTGGCAGAACGAAAAATTTACCAAGACGATTTTGCCGAAACACTTCAAGCACAGTAACTTCGCCAGTTTCGTTCGCCAGTTAAACAAATACGATTTTCACAAAGTCAGACACAACGAGGAGAGCGGCGAGTCTCCGTACGGGCGAGATGTAGGTGGTTGCCACATGATGAAACTCGAGGGGATCGTCCATATTAATAGTTCGGTGTGCAACAGGCATGGGAATTTCGACATCCCGAATTTCGGGCAGACAGGAAGGATAACCTAGACAACATCCGAAGGAAAGCCCCGGCCCCTAGGAAGCCCGTGCCTGCTGAAGAGTCGGCGTTCCCAGCAACACAACAACTTGTTGTGCTGAGCGAATCGCTCACGGCGACACAGCATCAGATCCTGGCGTTACAAGAGCAATACTATGAACTCGACAAGACAAACAGGTTGCTTGTTAGTGAGGTCTTGAGTTTGCAAAAAATGGTTCGCGCGCAGAGCCAAGCTTCCAACGAGCTAATCACCCACCTCAACAACATGGAGGACCGCCGCCGCAACAGCCGCCATTCTGCCCATTCGAACCACTCGGCGCAGGCGAGCCAGAACTTCCATGCCGGTACCATGGGCTTTTTACCCGACGGGACGGACGAGCCAGCACCCGAGTTGCGCCGGGCGAGGGAGATCCTCAACGGCGTGTCTCCAGACGTCCAGGCCGACAGGGAGCTTGAAAAGCTGTCCATGGCCCAAACGCAAAACCAAAACGGCTCGCCGGCCGACTCGGCAGGATCTTCCGTGATGTTTGCCCACCCGGCGAGCATGGGCATTCCCCTCGTCCATGACCCCCTTAACGATTCTAGGCATATGGTTTACCCGGTGGGTCAGACAACGGGCATCGATCCTTTCCATGCCGATCACATCAACAACATCCCCTACCAGCGGCCCCAAGGCCACCCCAACAATCCGCAGGCCGACGCTACGGCCCAGGTGGCCGCACCGACTAAGGAACAGGCTGGTTCCATGTGGCGTGCCAAGAAGCCGCATGTTCTTCTGGTTGAGGACGACAGGACGTGCATGAAGATTGGACAGAAATTTTTGAACAACCTAGACTGCAATGTCGATACTGCCGTAAGTTGAGCCCGACGACGTTCTGCCCAGGGAGAGGAAAACAACGGAACAGATTGCTGACCCGCCCCACAGAGTGATGGTTTGGAAGCTGTCGAAAAAGTCAACCGTGAAGCTGATCGTTACGACCTTATCGTTATGGATATCATCATGCCGAACCTAGACGGTGTCTCCGCGACTGCCATGATCCGAGTGGTGAGCCCGCACGTGCCCATCGTGGCCATGACCTCCAACATTCGACAAGAAGATATACAGACCTACTTTGGGTTCGGTAAGTTCGCAGCGCCCTGTTTCATGACTCCGGCCTTACCGTTACTGACCCTTCTTCCCCCTCTCCCTAGGAATGAACGATGTACTTGCCAAGCCCTTCACGCGTGACGGGATGGTTCGTATCCTCCGCAAACACCTTACCCGCATGCTGAAGGATCCGCAAGGATCCGGCCCCATAGGCGGCAACGATGAACTGGGCCAAACAATCGCCGGCGGCCAACCACCCAACCAGGTTGGGTACGGCCCCGCGACCATAGCCAACGTCCCGCAGGTCAAATTCGAGCACACGCCCATTCAATCCCCTTCGACTGCTTCGTCATGGCACTCGCCTAGCCAAATGCACCAAACCTCCCCCAATCTCGACGGTAGCGGTGGGGGCTACATGAATGCGGTTGGAGGTGGTGCTGGAACTAGCATGGTCCTCACACCGGGTGGCTCACAGCGGCCCGGCGGCCCCCATCAACAACACCCCCACCATCCACACCAGCAGCAGCAGCAAGGCGGGTATGGGTATATGGCCGCGCAAGTCGCCGGGGCGCAAGCTGCGCAAGCTCAAGCCCAAGCCCAGGCGCAAGCGCAAGCTCAGGCCCAGGCGATGCGGGGGATGGTTGGAGACGGCGCACACCTCGCTGGCATGCAAGGTAGTGGAGGTGGAGGCGGTGGTGATGATCGGCCTGAGAAGCGACAGAGGTTGTATGGGCCCGTACCGGGACAGGGAGGTGGGGGTTATGTTCAATAAGACGGAGGCGGGTGGAGGTTGATTTCGGGGCTCGTCGTTCGACATGGCTTCGGGAAGATCGGTGGAGAAGAGGTTAGCGTCGTGGCTGGTTGTGTTTGGGGCCGTCGTCGTAGGTTGTGGTCCGCATCGGTGTTTGCTCTTTTCGACATTGTCATGACCGGCATATCGGAGTCGAGGTTTTAGACAAAAAGGGGCGAACAGGGGGGTGAGAAACAAAACGCAGAAACGGGGAGGAAGAGAAAATATCGAGCCGGAGGCTGGGAATTGAGAAGCGGCCTGGAGAACAGTTCCAAGAAGTTGGCCGATCGAGACGAGGCGGACAGGCGGACGGACGGACGGACGAGACCTAAGGCGGTCAATTCGACATATAACACGGGCGGGTGGGCTGGTGGATAGCGCATCTCCGTCCCTCATTTCCCTTTTCTTCACTTCCATTTCGTCCTCCATGTGTTGGGGCAGGCGTTCCGGTTGGGTGTTTCATAAGTGTGGTGTCGAGGCATGGCCCGTATCAAGCCCTTCGCAATACGGTATATATGCGTGTCGATGTGTGCGTCACAGGAAACGGGCAAAGCGGGTCGCAGCGGCGTGGAGATTCCCATGTGTGTGTGCATCTTTGCGTGTGTATATATCCTGGTCTGAGGGCTTTCTAGTTTGGTACGGGCGGGTCGGTCGTACAAGGGAAAGAATGAATGACTCGAGACTTGAGAATCCCGCTGTGTTAGTTTGTCAGTTGGTGTTTTGATGTGATGTCCGATGTATCCATCGTGTCTGTTGGTTGTGGTGTAGTCGGGGACTCATGTGGCTGGGCTTGTGGGTCGATAACAGGTGCTTGTTGGTAGGTTGATTCCACTCTTTCGTCGGTGGGTGTGTGTGTGTGTTTGTACGGGTGAGTTGCGGAAAGATTCTTGTCGTCGTTCTCATGCCCATGCTCTTGTCTGTCTAGTGGTGTAGGTCTATTCAAACACAGAGACAAGAAAGGTGCTCAAAGCGGCGGTCGGATCGGACGGTGGATTTTAGAACTTGTGGTTTTAATTCGGAGAGATACGTTAAGCGCCTGTCCTGTGTGGATGTCGTGTCGTCTGGTCGAAATTCTAGTGGGTGTCTAGCTGAAGTCGAAGCGGTCAGTGAAGGGTCCCGTAGGTCGTCTGATGTGTGAGTGGGGGAGAAGAAGGAAGTTGGAAAACCGGAGAAAGGGAAAAGAAATAAAAAAGAGGGAAAAGAGGAGGAGCGAAGCACGAGTGTGGGACACACGGTTATGTGTCTGGAGAATATATCGCCGACTCCCATGCTTCCTAGGCCCATGCCACCTCTTTACTCCCCATCCTACTGGCCCCCAGCCCGCAGTTTCTCTTCCACACCAAATCCCGGCAGCCCGTCCATGTCTCACTTGACCCCCCTTCCCAACCGTCCCCCTCACCGCGGAGAACGGCGGGTGGGCGGATCACTGGCCCGTGAGCGAACATTTGGAGCCCAACAACCCCAGTCGAGGCTCACCTCACACACCCCCAATCCCGATGGCCGAGTCCCGAGCTCGAAGCGACCCCCGGTCCCGCGGAAGGGGCGGGCGGGAAGAGCAACATGGGGGGTTCGAAACGGGCGGAACAGGGACATGGAGCGAAGAGAGAGCTAGGGATCAGAGGAAGTGTTCATGATCCAAGGTCTGTGAGAAAAGGGAAGAACAAAAGAAGCTGAAGGAGGGGGGGAAGACCTGAGGGAAAGTCGGCGGTGGTTTATGGTTTGCGAGCAAGTGAAACACTGCGCCGGAGGGGGGCCGAGAGCGGCATGCTACCCCGGCTTTTGACTTTTTTTTCTTTTCCGGGGAGAGGGGAGGAAGTGCTGGATGGTCACAGGTCAATCAGGGACCAAAAAAGGATCGGGCCGTATAAGGTCGCCCCGTTGTTGCTCCCCTCGCCTTCCTTCGTCTTGTGTATGGCCGAGAGAAGCAGCCCCCCACGTGTAGGTTACCTTTTTGGGAGAAGAAGGGGTCCATGATGCGTCGAGCATGCGGCATTCATTGGTGTTTGGAAATCGTCAGCCCGCTGCCGTTAGCGGCCACCACGACGTTACCACGACCCTCACTGGGTGGTTGGCTCGCTTCTAGGCAGGTAAGTCAGTCTCGTGGGCGCCTCGAGGGTTCGTGTTGCTTGGCTTGTGCGTAGCCGGGTGAGGTGAGGTCTCAGGCGGTCCAGCCCTAACTAGTGCCATGTCTTGTTGGCGATGTCGGCGATGTGGCTCATGAACTAGTGGATTTGTCCCCCCCCTCTCTTTTTCCCTCGTGCTGACCGGTCGTTCCGTTCTGCCGTCCAACTGGTGGTAGCTTTCTGTTGGTTCTCTTGTATCCCAGGAGAAAAGAAGACGGAACCAACAACGAGGTTGGTGACGGCGGGTGACGGGAGATGTGAGATGACCAAAGAAGAAGAGGGACGGTTGGTATTTGGCCCGGACCGCCCCTCCTTTGGTGTTTAGGTTCTGGCACTTGGAAGTCAAGTGCTGACTCCCCTGGCTCCTTGTACCCAGCCTGTCTCTGCTCACTGCTCTCTTCTGAAGATCCTCACGACAACATGCGTCAAGTTAGTTACCCACTGTCAGCAAACATTTCTCTCCCGGACCAACAACTTCAGCAGGAAACCCTCGCGCTGCTATAGTGTATTGTAGTGGACTGTACGAGACTCGGTGCAGAATAAGCTGGACCATTAAACTGAGCAGGATTTCCCGTTTCACCATGGGGCTGGCCTGTTCTGGATTGCTCGGCATCGGGGCTGGACCGGGCTGGCCCGCCGTGCTGTTGCAGCGCAGCAACCGGCAAGGGGCCCGAATGGGTGAAGTTTTTTTGACTCGCATGCCAAACTGAGCGCGGGATGCGGTCGATCTGAACCAGGTGATACTTTCTGGATGTGTCAGTCAACGCTCTGGAAATCCTCCTAGGTCCGTCCTTGTTTTGAGTAAACAGATAACGACTCAACACAGACAAACAAACAGGGACGGGAGCGGCAAGAGCGGGCACCAGCGTTGAGGCTAGACCGGGAAGGAGCGAGGCCACTTCACCTACAACTTCCACTTGCCGAAAAAGAAAACCAAATCAGCACTCAGTCCTACCTACTCTCGGGGTTCTGACAAGAAGCACAATGAGGTCATATATTACTTTGTGGACTCTGACAAAAACCCAAATTCTGTCCAAATCCCATCTTCGTCGTCCATGGCATCTCTCCCAGCCCAGCGAACAAGAAGCCCGCATTTGGAAGGTGTGAAAGATGGCGTGTGGGCTTTCATGCTGGGAAAGGGTTCTGGGCCGGCCCTTTGGTACGCCGCAATCTTAAAGCTCTGACTTTCGGCTCGTCCAGAACGGCAGGCTGCATGCTGCCGCCATTGCTATAAGCCGTTGATTGGCACGTCCGGGGGCTTGCGCTGGCAGCGTTCAGACCCTGTGGGGAAGTGGGCCAGCTGCTGCCGGGGTGTGCAGTGATGTGCACGACGAACCTCCAAATCCGGAGCCTACCATTTTCTTTTGAAACGATCCTCTGTCATCGCGGAAGGTACGGAGTATTGAAGACGGGCATGATCACGTTATCTTGCCGACAGGTGTCTCAGTGCTCGCGATAAACCCTTTTGCGTGAAGCTTTCTGTCATGAAGAATTTGTGGCCGGGGACATATTACACAGAAGCCTTGAAAAAGCTGACAGAATTCATGATGCCCCATGGCAAGCAACGGGAAGTGGAGAAGGTAACCGACATGTAAATCATACACTGCAGTGTTTGTAGAAACCCTGTAATTTACATTTCAGCGCATCGTCTTTGCACATGGTTTTTCAGCCTTGCAGCCACACTTTGACCCCGCACCCCACCATTGAACTTTTTGAGGCGCGAATTGCACCTTGTTGACTCATACGTGATCGCCAATGTGGTGGTTTGCCAATTTTATGCTCAGCGAATTCTTTTGACATACTGATACTTCACAACCCTGATTCTGTTCCGAGAGGCGACGCAAAACTGAAATCGGAAACACCGGGTCTACAGAAATTAACCCATGTCTAAGCAAGGAGGCAAAGGCGGGGCAGCCGCTGGAAAGGCGAAGAAGCCAACAAAGGCCGGTGCCGAGGAGAAGGGGGAGGATGTGCTTCAGGCTGTGATCCTAGCCGATTCTTTTCAAGACCGATTCAAACCATTCACATTGGAAACTCCCAGAGTAGGTCTCAATGGGAACCTCTCCGCACCGATTGCGCCGCATCAGTTGTTTTCGCAAACCCCGCTAACTTGTAGCGACTCAGTGTCTTCTTCCGCTCGTCAACGTCCCTGTCATCGAGTACACCCTCGAATTCCTGGCGTCCAACGGCGTCCAGGAAGTATTCATCTACTGCGGCGCTCATTCTGAGGACATTGAGCAATACATTCACGACTCGTCTCGTTGGAGCCCCGGTAGCACCATTTCACCTTTTTCCTCCCTCGAGTTCATCCGTGTCTCCGATGCGAATTCGATTGGCGACTTCTTGCGGGATCTCGATAAGCGAAGCATAATTGGAGGCGACTTTATCCTAGTTCATGGTGATGTGGTCTCAAATATTCAACTCGACGCCGCTCTGGCCAAACACCGCGCCCGGAGGGAAGAGAACCGCGATGCTTGTATGACCGTGGTGCTGAGGTCTGTTGGGGAGCAACCCCACAGGGCTGCTAAGGCAAGGGGGATCATACCAGTCTTCGTCGTCGATCCAACGACAGGGCGATGCCTGCAGTACGAGGAGACACACCCGCTCCAAAGCGAGCATTACCTCAGTCTGGACCCAGCTGTCTTCTCCCACGGCGAGTTTGAGGTTCGTACCGACCTTGTCGATTGCGGCATCGATATTTGCACACCCGACGTGCTGGCGCTCTGGTCTGAAAGCTTCGATTACGAGTTGCCAAGGAAAAACTTCCTGCATGGTGTACTGAAGGACTGGGAGCTGAACGGCAAGATGCTCTACGCCGAGATTCTGGATGACGGCTATGCAGCACGCGCCACCAATCTCCAGATGTACGACTGCATCAGCCAGGATGTGCTCGAGCGGTGGACACTTCCCTTTGTACCAGACAGCAACCTCATCCACGGCCAAACATACCGAAGAGTCAAGGGTAGTAGCTACGTCGAGGACCACGTGGTGGCCGAGAGGGGAGCGAAGGTGACACAGTCAGCGGTCGGGCGAGGGACGGTCATTCAGTCAGGATCCAGCATCACCGGGAGCATCATTGGGAGGAAATGCAAGATTGGGAAAAACGTCAAGATCGAGAACAGCTATATCTGGGACAATACTGTAATAGGGGACGGCACCACCGTCCTTCACTCCATATTGGCCGGATCTGTGGTACTGGGAGCGAACTGCCAGGTTCCGGCAGGGTCTCTCCTTTCCTACAACGTACATCTCGATGACAACATCCAACTACCCTCAAAAGCCCCGGCACGGATTTCCCTATTATCAGACGAGAAGCAGCGAGCCGATAATGACGTTTCGCTGGTGGGTAAGGGTGGAAAGGGGGCGCTATACCAAACTATCACGGACGAAGAGGACTCCGACGACGAAGACGACACAAACCGGGATCCGACTATTCTCCAAAGTTCACTCATTTACTCCCTCGAAGGCCTCAACCTCTCGACCTCCTCCATCTCCACCTTTGTTTCCGAAGACGAATACGACTCCGACGACGACATCTCTCTCGCCGGTTCCGCCCAAGCAGATGCCTTCGGCCAACCCCGCGGCCGCCTGTCCTCCTTCGCCTCCGACGATACCAGCAAGGCAGACGGGTTCCATTCCGACGCCGTCCACGGTCTAGTCGACGCGCTCCGCGCCGACGACAGCGATGATTTCGACGGCGCCAAGCTTGAGTTCATGGGCCTGCGTCTGGCTAACAACGCTTCCGACGGCGCGATGCGTCGTGCCATCGCGGTTGCCTTTGTCCGTCGGGCTGCTGAGCTGCTCACCCCAGAACACGGCGGCCTCGAGCCAACCAAGGCCGCTGCCGAGGCGCTCACTTCCAAGAACGGCGCTGTTAAGTTTGTCAAAGAGGTCGGCGTCGGTGGGGAGACGGTTGCGCAGCAGGCCGAGTTTGCGCTGGCGTTGCAGAAGGCGCTTATAGGCATCAAGGACGTGGAGCCGGCGAGGGCGGGTGCGCTGCTGGCGGCGCTGCTGCAGCAGTTGTACAGTCTTGATGTGTTAGAGGAGGAAGGGATTTTGGCATGGTGGGCAGATAAGAGGGCCGCTGAAGGCGCGGGGTCGGAGGGCCTAAGGGAGAAGTGCAGGGTGTTGGTGGAGTGGTTAGAAAATGCTGACGAGGAGGAGAGTAGCGAAGAAGAGGACGGCGATGATGAGGATGAGGATTGAGTGTGTTAGTTGGATGGCCCCGCTGAGAGAGCTTGCGGTGATTTGGAGAAGGCACCGATCTATCTCATGCCTCCAAACATGTTTGATGTTATGTGGCCGGATACATAAAGGGGCCGTAACGGACCTGAGCTGATATCGAGACTCCCAAGGCATGAATGGTACATCTCTAACGGTGGTGGGAAATAAAACGTCTCGATTTTACCCAATTTACCTATTATGCCTTGATAAATGCGCATGTGTGCCCTGTTCACTCAACTTATATGCAACCGTCTGCCGCTGACTTGTAACCGCTTCAATTTGACTAAAAACAACAGTCAAGTAAATAAACATAATTTCAATTCGTCATTTAAACACAACTAACACCTGGAAAAACAAAGCCCCAAGAAAAGAGGCGACGGGAAGCGTTCTGGGAGTAAACGAAGGTAGTAAATAAAATAAAAAGCGAAAAAATGTATCGACAACTACAAGATTCGAACTTGTGAGGGCGAACCCAACAGATACCCAGAACGTGAAAATTCAAGTCTGTCGCCTTAACCACTCGGCCAAGTTGTCATTACAGGTTTTACATGGAACCGTAGGACGGATTCCTGAGTCATGAGGTAGCCTGTTGCGGAGGCCCAGCGGGGTCCAGTGGTTCACACAAAGGCCGCATGAGGGGTTGAAAAATGGGCAACGGTTGGTGCGGGGCAGAGTGGGGCGCTGTTGTGGCGGTGTGGGGGTCTTGGAGGTTGGGCTTTGAGATGTCCTGTGGCTTGACTCAATGTTGGAACTTGACAAACATTCACCCAAAGGAGGACAAAGAAGCAATTCCCAACCAACAACGGTTGTTTGATGGACGGAGGGGGGCTTGTGGATATTAAATTCTCAATTCTTTGGCGCATATTTGAAAAACGCCTCGAACATCAATGCTGCGCCGACTCCCGACCCTTTTGCTATGCAAGTGTGTTGTTTCAAATTTAAATGAGAACTGACGAAAACGCTCAGCCTTGCAATGCTGGATGAATTGCGTGCCTCTATCCCCCTCCGGTTGGGATCAAAGGCTAAGTGATCATTCCTCCCGTCTTCCGTCATCGTCACAAGGACCTCGCCCCATTGTGGGGGCAATGGTCATCGCCTAGCATGTTAGGTCTTGACCTTTGACCATCGTTCGTTGGGCCCTATTTCCCGTGACGAGGGCTGCCTTGCTTCTTGGAAGAATTAGGTGTGTTGTGTTCTGATACCGGCTTCCCCAATCACTTCTTGCTAGGATCCTCGAGGGGAGCGGCCGTGACAATTCTACGCTGCTCCTCCGGCGAGAAGAGTGCCGTCCCCTGCTGCAAAGCGCTTACGAGAATTTGCAAGGCGTCATTCTTGAAGTCGTCGGCGGCGCGAACCTTGTCGAGGTCCTCAGCGAACTCTTGGGTCGCTCGTTGGAGGTAGTATGAGGTGAACTCGGCGGAGATCTCTTGGTCGGATTTCTTTGCGGGTGCCATGTTGAGTGAGGTTGTCAGTTGTACCTGGTGTTGTTGGTTAGGTGTTGAATGAGTTTTCAAGAAGCGTGCAAAGGGTAGGATCCACTCTCTCAGTGGTCAGGAAAGCCCCACTTTTCGAACAAACAACCACTGTTGCTGCCGCTCCCCCTTTCCAAGGCTGATTTCTCAATTGCAAGAACTAACACTAATGTCACTGCGGTTAGGTACGTACCTATGTTGGCAGCTGTCGTCGGTCTCGCTGATGTCCAAAAACGTGCAAGTGTAACCCCATCAAACAACGCGCAGTCGGGTGTGGCCGTCCCAAACCCGCTAGGTTATCGCCGTCTCCGGACCACGGACGTCAAAGCGCTTGTCTTGAACTCCCGCTCCGGAGGGCCGCCCGGAATGTACCATGTGGTAGGAACCTCCGGTTTCAGAAACATGGACATATCTCGAGTTCCAGAAACTCGAACATGGCTGAAGCCTGCCTTGCAAGGTCCCACGCCGCTGCCGTGGCCTCGCTGGTTGGCTCCGGATAGTAGGTAGCGAGCAGTACGGAGTACGATGAATGCTCGCCCGACTGATGAAAGTCTGCCTTCAATGGCACGTCTTCGTTGCCCTGCGACGGCCCGCGCAAAGTTAATTTCGACATCTCTTTCCTCGGGTTTACGCTGATTGGCTGTCGTAGGTCCCTTGGGCGTCGCCGGGCGTGGGCCGTATTCAGGGACTCAATGCGATTGGTTGGTGTCGACAGCTGCGGCTCAAGCTTCGAAGGCTGATAGAAGGACCCACATTTCCTGATCGCGAAATACGATCAAACGCGAGACGAGCAAAACGAGGGAGACAAGGCTCGAGGAATTGGGTATAAAGTTCACGGAAAGCTGATGTCCAAAATGGTATGCTTGGAAGATATGCCAACGGAATCTGTCGACCCAGACTTACCCGATAGTTTTGACCGACAAGAGACTTCGAGTTGATCTTCCAGAGGAACCACTTACAAGGTACCCCACAACGTTTAAAGTTGGCCCATTCACATTCAAGATGGAGTCGGGGGAGTATGGTATGAACCCTTTCACATCCAGCGTCTTCAAACACGGCAGGGTTAACACAACATAGTCAAGGGGAGTGTTTACTTCTACGCCCCTAACAAGGGCGCTCCGGTGTTTTTTGCGATTGTGTTTGCCCTCTCTGGGGCGTACCACACCTACCAAACCATGTAAGTGAACTCTAATTATCTAATAGGTACATGACTTCATAAGGAACTGGGCTGACTTATGATGAACAGCCACTACAAGAGCTGGCGCCTGACCGGTCTCTACGTCTTTTGCGCCCTCCTCTTTACTGTGGGGTTCGTAATTCGCGAGCTTGGCGCCTTTGACTACGAAGACTTGATCAAGTTTATCATCAGTACTTGTTTGATTTATGCTGCACCGTAAGCGCCCTGTCCACCCTCTTTATGTTGATCTAGGTAGTCCCCACTAACACTTCTCCAGCCCCCTCCTCGAACTTTCCAACTACAACGTCCTCGGCCGCATCCTCTACTATGCCCCATATCACTCCCCCATTCACCCCGGCCGTGTGATCAGCACCTTCGCTTTCATCTCCTTCGTGATCGAAGTCCTCAACGGCAACGGCGTAGCTTACTCCGCGAATCAATCCCTCGCCGCCAGCCAGCAAGACCTCGGCCGTAATCTCCTCAAGACCGCTCTCGTCCTGCAACTAGTCGTCCTCGCCCTCTTCGTCCTCCTGGCCGCCACCTTCCACCACCGGTGTCTCCGCGCCGGCCTGCGCAACCCCAACCTCCTCAACGCGCTCTACACTCTCTACGCCTCGACCGCTCTCCTCACCGTCCGCACCATCTTCCGCGTCGCCGAGTACTGGTCCATCTCGCAGCACGATTTCTGGAAGCCCGGCGGCATCGACGTGAACACGCTCAGCCCGGCGCTGCGGTACGAGTGGTTCTTTTGGGTGTTTGAGTGCTCGCTCATGCTAGTGAACCACGTGCTCATGAATGTGCGTCACCCGCGCAAGTACCTGCCGCAGAGTACCAAGACATACCTGTCGTTGGAGGATGGCGTGACAGAGGTGCGTGGGCCGGGGTATAAGGATGGACGGCCTTTTGTGGTTACGTTGTTGGATCCGTTTGATATTTGGGGGCTGGTTAAGGGAAAGGGCAAGGAGAAGGAGAAGCAGTTTTGGGAACGGGGAGACGTTGAGTCGCAGGCGTAATTTGTGTGGGTAGGGGTTTCCTTTGTTTTTGCTGGCGTACTTCTGTGTAACAATGGTGACATTAATGGGATCGATCACCTGGACAGGCAGGGAGGACTAGTCATTGGGCGGCAAGGGGGGAACATTTTACTCGAGATACCTCATAGAATATTTTCTCGGACTGTTTGGCTTTTACAATAGGATTCCCGCTCGGGACCGTTCATCTAATTCCTTCTGCCGAATCCGGGAAATACATCGCATGATTATCACATCGCGTGATTTCAGGAGTCAGAAGTTTAAATAAACACAAATCAACTTACATTAATGTTCGACACGTGTCCAACCTTTAGCGGTCCCATCTCATTCTTCTCCCCACAACAGCGGCATAGAAGGATTCATCTCGCATGTAACCCATGATCTCTCCCGCGGTCCCGAATTTCATCTCACTTGCAGCACACGAAAAAAAAACACAATCCTTCGCCTGTACGCCAAGCCAGATCCGAACCTGCGCCCTCGCATCGAAGCCTCCATGGAAGGAATCGAAGGCTTAGGTGATAACGTTAAAAACCGAGGCGGTGAGGAATTAAACTTTTGCGCAAAACTCAAATACTTTTCGTGATCTAGCGGCGAAATCTGATCTTGGTGGCTGAGGCTATGTGAGTGCGTGAACCCCTGATGCGGAAATGCAAGGCAGGCTTGGGGGCTAAAAAAGGATCTGAAGTGTCTTGGCCTTCTTCGGCATCCTTCGGCAGGATCCGACTGATGGGGATTTATGGGGAATTTTGGGGGCTCCTTGGATGATTGATTGGTTGAGGCTTTTTGTTTTGTTTTGTTTTTTTCTCGAATGTTCGTGATGGCTTCTCGAATCTCGTGGTCTCGCGTTTTCCATCCTCGAAGCCTAGGGTTGGAGAGAGATGGGACAGGAATATCCTTGCAGGATCGTGTACTTCAGATCCCACCTGTTGAACTCTTGGGTCGTAACCCCACAAGGAAAAAGGCTACCTGACTCTTCGTTTATTGGCTTCCACTATGTATCAGTCTAGCTTTATCACCGAAGAGCCTCGGAAGCGACTGAATACCTGGTTATGTGTTAGTTTGATCGGTGGCCTGTTGATTATTTTTACACAATATTTTCGGCCCGTGTCAAACCGAGACCTCACCAAAGGCTCAACTTCGCCACCGTGAAATTGAAAGTAGACTCGAATACGGATACAAACCTCAGTCCAGTTCCAATGTGTGATTTAGTTCTCCAAGCAGCCGTTCTGTTGAACAAGGCTGACCCCATATCAACAAAACAGGACCCATGATCGGAGACTGCCTCGTTAACAAATGGTCTGTGGGCGAGTCAATGGCGTCAACTTAGTGTACACTCGAGCCACCGACGGTGTGATCACCTCCCAGGAAGGTGGTGATGGTACCCCTGCCCCCGCAAGCACTGGTCCTATTTATGGTAACTAGCACATCGGAACATACACTCGAAGACAACCCAAGCTTCGTGGGGACATCCCCGGCGGTGGAATTAGTGTCGTGTGATAGGTAAGGACTGATGCGATGAGCAGTACACTACAGTAACGTGGATTGTTTGGTAGCGCCAAGTGCTTTTTCAAAAAGTTGTGCTTCTTTTCGTAGACGCGTCGGCTAATAGTGTACTCGAACTATCGATGGCAAGGCTTTTCCGGGCTTGCATTCAACATTCAAGGCGGATAAGCTAGTACTATAATTAGAGAAGACAAACGAGGAGGCATATTTTTGATGAGGGGAAGTGGGTTTTAGTTTTGAGGGAAATGAAGAAAAGTGCCAATACCGGCGTGATTCTGTCCCGTCCCTGACCACCTTCAGCAAGAGATCATCATGCGGGGATTTGAGCAGTACCACTGAGGAGGACTGCCGAATAATTGCGGGATTGTGGGAGAAGACACGAGATTTTACATATTTGTGGTTTCTCTGATTGGGGGTTGAGTATTTTTCAAGCATCATCAATCAAGGGTTGAAGTTCAAACGAGCAATAAGATCTGTGGTTCATGGAGGATCACGGGAAGCAAGGGTTAGGGATGGTTAAGCTCCTGCGGAAGCAGGGAAAGTCAGCTGAAACACCCACGTGTCGAACCCCACCAGAGCTCGGGGAGAGATCCACGGAGATCTTTTTGAATTGATTGGGGGGGGTTCTTGAAACTGATTCCATCCGAGCCATTCTTGGGAGACGCGATGCACGTCGCTGCTTCCTTCAACAACGCGTCGCTCGCCACCGCGCGGGGGCCGGATAGAAGGAATTGGGAATGGCGCCAGTCTGAGTTAGTTCAGGAAGCGGAGATGGTTGTTCCAATTGCAAAGGCTTGCATGCTTTCACACTCTCACTCTTCGCCTTGCTGCGGTCTCGAGGAAAGAAAAGAAGCCTAACGTTAAAGCCTGAAGCCTGAAGTCGATTCCGAGATGTTTCAATTCGGTCGCGTGTTGTCCCCGAGGCATCGATCGTTCATCAGCTTTAGCATCGTCTGCGAGGCAGCGAGCTTGCTTGAGCTTAGCCATTGGGTGGTGAACGTGGAGTCTGTCTGACGGTTCGGATCCGCCCACAGATCCTTCTCCTTTTTTTCGCGTCCATTTCTCAGTGGTCTGAGGTGAGTGAAAGGTGCGGCCTTCATTTTAGTAGGAGCACTGCCTCGAGGATGCGCTTCCTTTAGGCCCGCAGAGCCCGAGTCCTAAAAGCCAAGCTGCCCGAGGAGCCGAGCTTGCCGTTTCCGAGAAAGCTCATTGCGGCTAAAGAAATCGAAGCATCACAAACAAAACAAAGAAAGAAGAAAAAGAAATGGAAAGGAAACAGGCAGACATGGCGCAGCAGTTGTGACCGAATAAACATTCCATGTATGAGTAGCCGCCCACTGCTTCCTCAAAGACCAACATAAGACGGGACGTCGTCGGTTGTGTCTCGCATTCCCCCGGGAGCTCACTCGCTGCTGCTTGGCTGCTGGCTGCTGCACGTCACGCGCAGCGGGCCTGTGACGGTGTGCAGAAATGGAAATTGGGAATTGGCGTTGGGACTTTCCACTTCGCTGTTTTCGGCGGTCCGGGGGATTCCAGCGGGAGACTCGCGAATTGTCCAGGGGCCCGGGCCCGGCACCGCCAGGCTGCCGCTTTTCCAACAAACCAAAATAATCCCCGCCCCAGCGGCAGTGCAGCCACCGCAGCACTCGCAGCCATCATCCCACCCTCCCCTGGTTCGTTCTCCCTTGGCCGCATCCATGGGCCGGACTCCCTGTCCCATCAACCCCACTCGTCCCCCCCCCCCCCCCAATCTGAGGTTCAGCCGGGGGCCCTTTAACATCAGATTGGCCCCCCATTCCCGACGGTCCATCCGGCCTTTAGTACTAGTAGATGCTGCTTGCACACTGGACACAAGGAAGAGAGCTGCGGTGGGTCAGTTGATTTGTTTCGCCAAAACGCCTCTTTCTACTCGAGCAGAAGACCAGCATCCAGAGTGCAACTGCAACGAGGGCAAATTCAGGTTTTCCATTCGCCACCACGACTTGCTATTATTATATCACAGGCCCTCGCCCCGGGTTTCACAGCGAGGGTTCACTTCCACTCGGCCCGGCACTCGCCTTGGACAGAGTTGGACGGCATTTGTACCATCTGGAAGGGTTCGAAAAGGAAGACGACAGGACAAAACACAATCATGTCGGCCATGATGGAGAGCCAACCACAACAACGGCGGACACAGACCATGCCGCAACCACGCAGCGAGCGATGGGGTCCCGAAATCTATGTGCATCTTGAATTCAGGGTCTCGTGGGGCGGCAAGAAGCAGGAGCCTTCGAAGAATCACCAGGTCACGTACCGATCTCGCAACGCAAGGGAACGGTCACCGGCATTCCCACGACAGGTCCCGGCACCAAACACCAACTACCTCGCGGCCATCCACAGCTTTGACCAGAGGCAATCGAGGATCCGCGAGGCCCGGCAAAGCCACCCTCTGAGGCACCACCAGATGCAGGAGTACTACCAACGAGAGCAGCTTGAACAATCATCACGTCAACGACAACAACAACAGCAACAACCACCAACCTCCTACCTCCAAGTCCCCATCATCCGGGAACCGCAGCGGCCAACACGAGCAAACGCACCGCCGTCTTACGAGAGAGGCCGCTCAGCTCCGCCACCCATTGGCGAGAACCCCTGGGACGTGGCCGTACCTCACGTCCAAGTCGGGGGGGACTCAGTCGTCACCCCTTCCGACCGCAACACCAGAGAGATCCGGCGCAAGCCTCTACCCGCGCCCCCATCAACGTTCCGTCTCGGTGACGGCGGGCAACCGTGGTCGACCTGGTCACTACCAGACGGCTATGACCCAGACATGCACCCCAAAGACGAGGACGATGTCGGCTACCGCGGCTATCGCGGCCGCAGCCGCGCCCATGACCACGATGACGACGACGACAATGTGGACGACGACAAAAACTACGAGGACATCCCCGTCATCTCAGCCCCCGCCGACCGCAACTCAACCACCTTCGCAACCAACCCCACGATGGTCTCCACCTTCTCCCCCGAGCCCGTCCTCCCGCGCGATTCCGCACTCACCACCACCCAACACCCAGACGCACCACCCCCGACCCCCGCCCACGCCCGCGACCTCGAAACCGGCCGCGCCAAGGAACTCGGCGCCCTCTCCGCGGCCATGATGACCGTCGACAACGGTTTCGAGACACAGTGGTGGTACCAAGGCCACCGCGACACCGTGCATCTCGAGTCGGACGATCACGAGCCGGAGCACGAACCGGAGCCGCGGACCCCCGACGAGAGTCCCATCCACCGTTGGTCGCTGACCCCTCTCGGCACGATGGATAACATCGCCGCGTCCATGTCCATGTCGGCCACGGCCAGCCCGACTGATCTGACGCTGATGCATCAGCAGTTGCAGTTGCATCAGTACCAGCAGCAGCAGCTACAACAGCAGCGGGGCCGAGGGCGAGAGCAGCAACTGGAGGATGAGGAGCGGTTACCGGCTGGCGTTGTTTCACCGATGAGCGATAATGCGCTGAGCCCGGCGATGGTGCCGGCTTCGTTGTTGCAGCGGACGCTGTCGACGAGGTCGGAGGAGTTGTGGTTGCGGGAGAGGATCTAGTTTACTACTACGGACGTGGGGTTTACATTTGTTGTTTCTTTATTTTACATCTGGAGTTCTGGTTTGCGGTCTATTTTGGGGATGACTCTACGAAACTTAACACACAAACAAGCCACAGCACTAATATTGTTGTTGCTGGCGCGGGGAAGGGGGGTTGGTTGTACGAGTAATTAGGTGGTTGTTGTTTTTCACGCGCATATGAGCGGGTTGGGATTTCATTGTCTTGAATACGGAGTTTTTCGGGCGGGCGCATTCAAAGCGCGGAGGATATATCCACCAAAAAAGCTTACAATGTTTTTTTTTTCTGTATCTTGTATTTTCACCTGGCCACCCGCGTTATCTATCGTTGGGGTTTGGCACGGGAGATAGTCTAGGTTGGTGTCTAAGCTATGGACATCTAATCTAATTCTTCATTACTACCTAACTTCTGCTGTTTGTTCGTCGTGAGATTTCATCTTTGGTCTCTTTTTCTAACTAACGTCACCCAAGCGTACGCGTCGGTCGACTGTCTCTTTTGCTCGCCAAGATGCACCCACCCCCCTCAAAACGAAAGAAGCCGCTTAGGCATCAAGTATCTCTCGAATACGCACCCCCCGTCCCCTTTGCTCCCCTGAAGCAGACCAGAACCAAGACCTGCCCAGGCCAAGCCCCAAACCAATTCGAAAGTCGGCCCGTCACGACCTCGCAGCATGCATTGGGCTAGGGGCCAATCTGTAGTGTAATTAGGCAATGTCAATGTCAATGTCAAGATGTCAACCTTCATAAAAATATACGATCCTCCCCTGATCACGGTATACACGTGTACTACCACTGCAAGCCTTGCAAGGGGGGCTTGTTACCTGCTATTCAAAGTTACGAAGCATGGCACGCACAATGAGGGCCAAGTGTCCGTCCGGGGTTGTTGCTGCAGGCAAGTAAGGCAAGCAAGTACGCACTCCACTGCAGGCAGGTAGCTATCGTAAAACAATTTGCCCGGCTGGGGGCTTCTGTTTAGATCGTGCATATGTGTAGGAAGCCTCTCGAATCTTTCCATGCCTCGGAATAAGTTTCCGAGGCGTATTGTGGAGCGACGACGTTTTTTTCTTCGATGCATTTACCCTGTCCCCCCCCGAACTGCCGGCGCTAGTCAATAACTCACTCACTCACGACCCCATCGTCAGTCATCCCATCTCATCGAATATACCTATTTCGGCCATTGATTTCCCATGGGCCATCAGGCACGCATTCATCGATACCGCCCATACCCCTGTTCAGGTTTGGTGGTGGCCCGGTTGGTGCCTTTTCGGGTCCGACCTCGATCGGGTTGACCATGCCTTTTCCGGCGTTATTCCCCCCTTGTTTCCCGCAGCGCCCCCTGGGCACGATCGAGGTACTTCGTACCATACCTTACCCGTATCGTCCAAACTCCGTCTCACCTCACTCATCGTCGCCTTGGTTTTAACCCTTTCGGGAGTCCTTTCGGGGGTAACTTTTTTGGTTCTTTTTTATTTTACCACAGATCTTGTTTTGGGTTCGCACCGAGTGCCGGCCGAGGCCAAGCCGGAATCGATGACCGAGGCTAGGCTGACGGTTTCTGGGTGAAATAAAGTTTTCTTGGTTCTTGACACTACACTAGAGTAATGGGGCTCCGGGAAGTGGGACTGCTGGACATGGCAGGGTGTTGACCTCGGATCAATTTGTCTACGAGTGTACGTCAATTAGACATTGGTGGGGACTGGGAAGGGTCATAATCATGCTCATACAACTGACTGCTTCTCACCCCTGGGCCAAGCGTACAGACGTTTTATGTTGGTCGTATCTCGGCTTGTCCGTGGTGTAGTTATTGCCATATTAGACTCGTTTGCTTGTATTGTGACCGAGATGTCTTTTTGTCCGGGACGGGAAATAGGCTTCTTCGTCTTGAACCTGCTCGTGAAGCAGATGGGGAGAATACTCAGTTAACCCTTGGGGGTGGGTAACTAACACCGGAGCTCCCTTCATCTTTCACTAATCCTAACTATCCATTCGTCAATGTCTTCTCAAGCTCTAGACCAGGCTCGTTCAACGGCCGGCCAGGCCAGGCCATCTCCGTCTCACCCTCCTCTAATACCAGCTCTTCCCGCAAATCCTACTGTACCGAATGATGACCACGGCTTCACAGCCGCGATGACCCACTGAATCCCACGCCCGCGTCCAAGCCCACCGCAGTGTAACCAGTCACCTCACGCCTGGCCTCCATCTTCGAAACTGACAGTGGGCGCGTACATGCCTTGCCTCGGGCGCGTAAGGAGACTCAGCAACTCCCAGTCAAAGCCCACAGAGCAACTCATCACAAGCCGACACAACTACCCCCCTGACAGACTCTTCACGGCAGTTACCGCCCAACGAGCGCTTCCCTTCCTGCTGTTACGGCCAGTCTTCTCCATGTCCCTTCGGTGTACTCCAACCCCGAACGGCCACCCACTGGCCCGGCCCGGCCGGCCGTAGCCATCCATCCGTACCAGTGTTTCGCCCTGGGGAACTCAGATCCCCTCAGAGCCCCGCTCCGTCCCGACTTGCCGTGCCCAACCCGGGGTACTTACACTATGATCGGGCGAGAGGATGTGCTCAACCAAACTACCACTCCCCCAAGGCGCAAGGCTTAAGCAGCCCCTCCGTAGATCCCATCCCCTCGTTCACCATCCCATCCAAGCCGCTGTGCAACCAACCCAACCCCCAAGTCCCATCACATCACATCACATCACGGACGGTCGTGTCATACCAATATCATCATCTTACATACATACATGTTAAAGTGTTGTTCCGGAGTCTTTCAGCTCCAGGCATCCTTCAATACTTCTCGGCTCTTCTCAGAGGCTTGAGGAGTGGATAGCCGCTGATCTGCCGTGGCAAAGCGCACGGGAAACTTGGGCGGCAGAGGAGGTGGTAGTATTCTCCTCCACTTAGGTGCGTCTGTTCATATGTAGGTAGGTACGGATAGGTATGTTATGTGGCTGGCTAAGCACTGAAGCAGCCAACGGGCGAGACGCCCGGTTTTCCCTACACGAGCCAGATGGAGCTGCTTGAGTGGGTTCTGTTTAGTGTAGTGTAGTGTAGAGCGGCTGAGCGAAGACGGCTCGCTGACACGCCGTTGCATCGTCCCGGGGAATTTCAAGGTTTGGGACATGTTTCGAGGTTTTCTTACGTGATCGTGGTCTAGATCTCGGTTCGGTGTTGTGGCTGTTTCGTTTCGAGTTGGTGTTTGATGGTATGGAGTTCCTCGAGACGGTTTCAGTGGGGAGATACTTTGGGGAGGGCTTCCCGGGTGTGGAATAGAGGTTCGCCACAGTTGGGAATTTGTTAGGCAGCGACGAGAATATCGGGAGTTGGGGTACCAGCCGGACGAGGCGCAGTTCGAACTGAGAGTTGAGATGGTAATGCTAATGTTCGTCATTGCTGAACGCATACTTTGGATATCATGTGAAAGAGGGGAAGATGAGACGGTGGACGATGGCCGCTGTTGAGCATCGTGGGAGAGTACCCTTGGGGGAGGGTTGCTCGTCAAGTTCAATATGGACGACATATTCCGTAGAACAGGTCGCTTGAAGGAAGCGTTTCGATGATGCTAAGAGTAACAAGCGCTCTCCGGCAACCTTGCTTTTATGATGTACCTCTACAGATATCTAACTGTTCTGTGAAGACACAAGTGTTACGAGCAAATTACAACTTCGGACGCCGCAACATCGCTGTTGAGTCGTTAATGGTTGTGTCCACAGCAAATGACAATGGCATCATATCACGCTCCCCTCTTACTTACCCACAACCGAGCTACCTAGACAAACACAATACTTCTTACTGCCCTTTTGACTCCTGACTCCTGAGTCCTGACCCACCCGGTCTGCCAGTTGGTGACCATGCCGCTAGCCAGCTTGATCACCAACTGCGGCGATAGGTAGGGAACCTCATCCTCCCGCCCGCCAAGCAGCCGGGCCCTGAATCCCCTCATCCGATCTCAAGTCATTCCGGCAAACGGTCTTTCGGGACCCGAGTTATGGCACAAATGTTTCTCCCACGCCCTGCCATCTATCCTCGCACTTACTTACCTAGCATCTGCCCCCTGGAGAGAAGTGTATTTACATCCTGTGGAGCTCGTGAAAAGGGGTAAATATGCACTACCGTGATGCCAACGTCGCTGTTGGGTGGATAGGATAGGGATGAAGCAATGATATACCTTTATCCGAAAGCAGCCGGTTGTTATTCTCCATCGAGAAGAAGTTGCGGTGAAATCCTTCACGAGAGAGATCGCACTTGCACTGGCGAGCGGCACAGTGAGATCCAGCGGGGGAGAGCAGTGGAGTCTTCTCCATCGTCGGTCGACAAGAACGGTCGATGTGGTGGGCAATCCCGAATCCTTCCAAAGGAAAAAAAACAAACATACCCCATTTCTTGGTTGCCAATTGACGGGGGGTTTCTGCTGCTGTCTTCGAAGAAGGAGTTGCGAGTTAGCGTATTGAGGGTCAGCTAGGGTTTGCCCCTGTTGGTTCCCGCTTCCTTCTGCGGGAGCATCCTCGCAACGCTGCACTAAAATAGCGATTTGACGTTGTACCCGGGGGTGGCTGATGGACGTGTGAATCGTGATCGGGCCGGGAGTGACGAGGAGTAGGGCTTGCTGTAGATCATGGCGAGCGAGCGTGTAACGTTGTCCTCAATGTTTCTTTGCTGTGGCCTGTGTCCCCCTTTTCGGGATGCTGTTTCGAGATGGGGGCCACAAACTCAACCGGTCCAGCCGGGTCGTTGTTTGTCCTAACGGTCGCAATCATGATGACAAGGCACCATCCACACACACACACACACACACACACACATGCGGGTCGGAGATGATGGCGTTGTTTCGAGACCTGCGGCCACGGGAGAGGATGCTTCAGCCTCGCGCCATCTCACCCACTAGTCATCGCGTACCTGCAGTAGCATGTGGCAGTTTACCCCTTTATCTGCAGTGCTTGGCCCTGTGGCTTGTCGGAGGTCGAGGGTTCCAGTGCGTTGAGGCTCAGCGCTTCGGAGGTTAGGAGACGGGAACAGAAGCGAGTTGAGGTCTCGAGTCCGAGCCTGCTCGGCAGCTACGCCCGTGGCCCACTCGGCGCTGTGTTGTCAATTGACGAATTGGGGGGCGGCAGATGGGCCGTTCGAGAAATAACGTTAGGCAACAGCTTTCTGGGGAAGTCTTGGTCGTTGGAGGCGGAAGATGCCGACTGGCCCCCAAGGGACGACAACGACAAGTGCTGCTCTATCCAAACTCATGTTGCCCAGACCTCTGGGTTCGCTTCGAGAATCCGAAATGATGTAGGAATAGCTTCATTTGCCAAAGCTAACAGGGAGCTTTGGTCCCTGGCTCAACCTAACCACAATCAGGGCCCGCGGAAATCTAGGCGGCCTTGATATGCAAGGAGGCAAGCTACCATGCGGGAGGGACTATTGGCGCGTTGGGCCTCTTGAGCCAGCCGAGGCTCTTCTCCATCAATTACCGAGCGACCAGCCAACTCAGGTCAAGGTCGTTGCCCTATTCGGCCCGCAATGCTTTCAAAACGCGTTGAAACAAACGTCATGGCCATGATTGTCTGGACCACGAGCAGACCACCCATGACAACTAGCGCCAGAAAAGCCATTTCGTCTCATATCCGAACATGTGCATGTGCATGTACGTGTGTATGCGCGCGCGTGCGTGTGTACGCGCCTGCGTGATTCCATGTTGTGTCGTGCGATGGGCGCGTCGAGAGATGAGGTAGGATTTAAGCTCCTCCCATAATTCTGCTGCCTAGCAGACCAACCCGCAGCAAGCCCCAACTCGACAACCCCATCACCATAACACCCCTGCATGCCATCTGGTCTCCAATCACAGTTGCCGGACATTTTTCGAAAATGTGTTATTTGGTTGGGTCGTTGTGTGTCCCCAGATTGGCAGTTCTTTGACCAAACGCTCGTCGGTGGATGAGGCTCGCGTGGTGGGGATGCTGTGGGCCAGGAGCGGTTAGGAAAAATTATTCTTGAAACTGTACCGTTGGTTAGCAAAGAAAACTTCAATGGTCAATTGGGGACGGTGGGGGAGGGCGTAGAAGAGAAGACCAGCTTCGTTCACTTTTCTTGTCTGTGAGGCCTTTCAGCATAATGAGAAAACAACGATGCATCTCGAGGGTAGGAAACTAAATTCAATATCACCAAGCCTACCTCCGCTAGTAATTGGCGTGTCGCCGTGTCAAACTGTTTCCCAAAACAACTTCCAAAGGAGGACAGCTAACACGCGACCTCTCTCCGTTCCTGGTGCATTCTCACAAGTGAAGTCCATGGCGAGTAAGCCAGCCTTCAACCCCTGTGAATGCACTCGCAGCCTCGTCAGCCCCATGCCAAGCCAATGGGACCATCATCAACAACACCACCTCTCGCATAAAAACAGTGACAAATAAAAAAGAATGGAAGAAAACTCTTCACCGAAATCCCTGTCAACTACTGGTCAGTGGTTGATGAGTTGTCCTTGGTTGTGCGAGTTATGAGTCGAACTCGGAACTTGCGATCTTGATCGTTGCAAGGCAGGTCCCACTTTCCGTTTTCCAAAATTTCCCTTTTGGGCCACAAGCCGGTCACAATGCTCCGAAATGAGAGGAAGCCTCTAGTAATTAACAAAAAATCTGTATGGGACTAGAAGTACGGATTACTGTGACGTTGGCTCACTGTGATGTTGGCTCACGATCTCGAGGCCATTAGCGATAGCGACGAATTAACTCTTCTTACACCTCTTTCTACCGCTTTTTTCTTGATACTTGCTGGTAATAAAAGAATAAAACGACAACATGCCGGAGCTATTCCTCCGAGTGTGGATTGTTTCAGAACCTGTCTTCCCACTTTTTCCATCCCCGGGATCTCATGGGGTTTGTTCCACTCCCGAGCCGGCGGGTCTTGTTTAGGGATTTTCAATGCAGGGAAGCAAGAAGCAGAAGAAGGTTTTTCAATGTTCTTGTGCTCACAATTATGCGAGCTGAACCGGTCCTGTTCTGCTAGTGTAATGTTACTTACATATGCATGTATATAGCGACTCTCACCCCCATTAATGCATAACGTAACGACACTTACGCTTAAGTCGATGACGTTGCTATAGACGGCTCGAATCTGGTTCGTTTTACATATCGCCACACATGACTCAAGCCCCCCCCCTCACAACGGTACCTGATCATCGGGCTCAATCAAGTACGTGTACACGTACACGTGTACCCTCCACTGCACTAACAGGCCTCCGGACTACATGGGATTTCCCCAAAATCCCATGTTGCCAAAAATCCCATTTCTTTTTCGCCACTTCGGTTCCCCATGTCAAGTTCGCCCCCTCCCGTCCCCCCTAAACACAGCTCGAGAACGGCATCCCCATTCGAAACTGCCGAGCCCCTTCTGAGGATGGTTGCCAAGATGCCCCGGCTCCCCGGGTTATTTTGGCACGTGTTTAGCTATCACCAGAGCTCAAGGTAAGAACCGAGACATTAGAGCAACGGGTATCACACCACACTGGCTGGGCGATAGGACTCGGGCAAGTGGCGAGAAGGTATACGTGTAAGTAAGTTGGAAGCCACTGGAGCAGTTGCTTCTAGTTAGAGGTGTGGAAATGTCTGTGGTAAATGAAAAGGGGTGAAACTTTGACAATGTGAGAGTCAAATCCAACGAGAAAATGCAATAAAAAGTGACCTGAGAAACAGATAAAATTAAATACAAGGACCTGAGGTTGGGAGAAAGGGCCAAAAAGTAGACCCTTAATTTGTCGAAGTGCACAAACACAACAATTCACACAAAGGAACCAAACCCAACAGGAGATATCTGTCAACTCACTCATCCACATTTCGTATCTCATCATTTGGGTATAAGCAACTCTCACTCACTCACACTCTCACATACAGATAACAAATAGATCATCCTGCTCCTCCTTCCCACCCTTCCCTAAATAACCCTGAGAGCAAAGAGACTCACCCCCTCCCGCGTCAATCCCGGCAACATCCCCCCCTCCCATTTCTTTTGTCCAGCCCATGGATCATCCATTTTCTTATCAAAACTCTCATCCATCCAACCCCTCCGCTACCCACCATGGCTAGCCGAGCCGAGCCCGTTTCCCTGCTAAAGTTTTGAAATGCCAGATCATGTGGGAGCGAAAGAGGGAGCCCGCTCCCCTTGACCACACCCCTTGGATACAAGACAAAATGAATGGGGGAATCGAGAAGATGGATACCAAGAGAGAAAAAAAACCAAAAAGAAAAAGAAAAGAGGAAAAGAAAGCTCATGAAGGTGTACCCGTGTATGTATGTCCCTTCGTCGGGCCGCATGATGGCAAGAAAATAAGGAAAAGACAAAGAAAATAGATCAGTCATTCATAACCGCCCGTTTTCCCCAGAAAAGCCAACAAAAATGAACAGCGGAAAAAACGATGAGGAACCGAGAAAAGAAAAGGGGTAACGACCATGGCAAACGAAAAACATGGGGGATGGAAGCCAGAAAAAAGGAGAAAAGCCCCTAACCGCCGTCCCAGTTGCCCGCATGCCCATGGTCTAGAATAAATGTGTTTGTGCGCCGACCGATAAATGAAAACATAGTTCCCCCCGTTAGGTGACGAAACAAGAGATGATGAAACCCCGTGCCATGTGTTCCATTTACCGGAAGGAAATCGAGAAAGGATGACGAGGAAAAAAAGATGTACTCGCAGGTGAAAGAGAAAGAGTAGGAGAAGAGAGAAGAAAAGAAAACGAAAGCTGTGGACAAGAAGAGAATAAAGGGGGCTTTTAGGCAAAACGGAAGATAGGAATCCCGACCATTATGCCCTCCTCATCCAGCGGGAGTACTGTAATGCGTGGTGTGTGGTTGGTGCTTTGGCCGACCAAAGAAACCGTTTGTTCAAACTGGGTGGTCGATAAGATAGAAGATGGGCGGAAGAGGTGAGCGGGGTGATTAGGACAGGTAATATACGAATCGGAATCAATGGGAGGCGAAACCCAAAAGATAAAAACTCTGAACGGTTAATGGGGGATGTGGCCACAGCGAATCTCGTTTGTCGGTTGGGGCCGTGTAGACAACTGTCAAGTCGTTGTCCAAGAGTAGGACAGCATCCAAAATGTTGGGTATCAGTGAGGCACCAAAACTATCACCCGTCCTTTCCACCTCTTCTTTTCTCCCAATGTTCCCTCATCGGCTCATTCACTCCTCTCGGATCGCCCTCATTTCCCTCCCGCTGCTGGTGCTGGTACTTCGTTCACCGGCGCTCTCCGCACTATCGGTCGACACCTCTCTCCTCAGCGGGGAAGCCGACGCGGGCGAGTTGGTGCTCGTCCTGCTGAGGCTCGGCCTCTTGCTGGCGGCACTGGCGTCGCTGCTGGCGCGGGACGTGTTTCTCGGAGAGACTTTGCCCGTCTGTTTTGTCCGAGTTTGAAAGTTGGTCAGTAATTGGGGCACCTCGGATACAACTCCGCAGAGTAAACAACAAAGGGAAGGGGCATACCTGCTTTGCCCATCGTAAACCGCAAGAATTACATAAATCTCTGTTCCCGCTTGGCCCTCTCCTCCATTCAGGTGTGTCGCGCTTGTGGCAATTGGCGCAGTCCCTGACAACTGGGCTCCCGGATCCATTTCCGCCGAACCCAGCGCCACCGCCCTTTCTCCGCTTCCTCTTTTTCTTGTTGGCCATAAGTTGTGTGAGCTCCTCGGCCAGTAGGCGGTTGACCTTCTCCATCTGCCTAAGCTCGTATTGCCACGACGTACACCTCGTTGTCTTGAGCTCGGCGAAGATATCTCCTCCCTCATCCGAAGAATCCGAGTCCATCGACAAGTCCGGGTATGTGACCGTTAGTGAAGCCTGTACTGTTGCAGGAATCTGCGCTAGTGACGGGAGTTTCATCAATGAACCCGCCGTGGTGTCGTCACCGCTCGGGCCTGCAGCCAACGCCGCTGTGGAATTTCCACTCGTAGTTGCTCCTGATTTGCCCGCGGCAATAACTCGACCGCCCTTTATTAGTTTCGTCTGCGCGATCAGGAAACTCGGCCCGGGGCTCCCCATGCCAACCTCGGTGCCGTCTCCCGGGAAAAATGTCGTCAAAGCCTGCACGAGTTGTCCCCTTTTGTGCAAGACCTCGTGTCGCAACCCGGTAATGGAACCTTTCCTTGCCTTCTCGATGACACGTCCAAACTCGGCTCTCGACTCCTTGCGCATCAAATCCTGCATGCTGGTCCCTTCCAAATCCCGCGGGGATAGGTCAAGCAGTGGTTTTGCGCTTGACGAAACGTACAGGAACATCCCTGACGTGGAAACCTTGCTCCAGATTTCACTCTCACCACCGATACCGGCATGTACGCCGGGTGTACCATTCACTGAGGCGGCGTGAAGAAGCACATCGCGGCGGCGGAGAGAAAAGACGGGCCGTTTGCGGCCAACTAGAATGATGTACTTGCGACCCTTGGCTTGTTGCTCGTGGAAGAGGGTGCCGTGGCTCTCAAACCAGGTGTAGCCGGAGTGCTTCCGGCGGATTCGGAAGGCGATGTTGACTGACTGGTTTTGTTGCGCGTCCTTGAGCTCTCGCGTCACGGGCACGATGTCGGAGGGGTGGCAGATGGAGGATAGAGAGGTTCCCACCAAGTCGGAGGCGTCATATTCGAGTGTCTTTTTGCAGGCGGGTGAGAGATAAAGGAAGAGACCCTTGAGGGAGAGCACATGAACCACGTCGTCAGCGTTCTCGAGTAGCATCTTATCCCAAGATTGTTTGTGCCACTCGCTCGGGGGCGCCTTGGGGTTGTGCTGTTGGATGAGGGATGAGACATCGTCGACACTGAGGGTCTGGCCACTCTCGGGTTCCCATTGCGCAGTGCTTGGCAGGGCCCAGAAATATTGGCCGATGTCACTGTGGCGATAGTTGACTTGCATATTGCCGGATTCCTGACCGGAGATGGCCTCGGGGCACTCGACTAAGTCGATCTGGAAGCCGATGCAATACTTGATTTCGTCACTGTCCCAGGGAATCGGAATCATGGTGAGTAGGTTCAGGAACGGCTTGCCGCCTTTGCGGTAATTGATGAGGCTCTGCTGAATCTCCTTGCCCTCGGCGACGGCGTTCTTGAGCTTGAAGACGGCATCATTTGCGACAAACTCACGCCTAGACCCAGCTTCGACCTTGCCGTCGGGGCTCTGCAAGAATCGGCAGTTGTTGCCCACAATTTCATGCCTATTGTACCCAGTTAAGTTTTGGAAGTTGTCTGATACGTAGATGATGGGACAGTCGTTGAGAGTGACATCAGTCACGACAAACGCGCACGACAGGTCGACAGCGCCAATCTCGACCGTCGGGTTCTTTCGTGTCGCAACGTAGAATAATGCTCTGAGCATGTCAAAGCCACTCTTGGAATAAACGTCTCTTTTCGGGTTACGGGAACTGATGCCTGGAGGGAGGAGTGGGCCGGACAAAGCGGTAGGTGCTGTTGACGCCGGTGTCGCGGCGCCGTGTGCGCCCGATCGGCCCCCGCTTGACATCGACACGGTCCGCGAAGTAGGCGATGCTGGAGAGCGGAATGTCGCAGAAGTCGGCGATTCGCGCGGCTCGGTGGGCGACATGGCTGTCCGAAACTGTGCCGGCATCATATTGGACCCACCCTGGGAAACGCTCGAGGTGTCGAAGCCGGCCGGGCCTCCCATCATGCCACTGCTGGGACCGACAGCAAACCCGGCAAGCGAGCTGACGCCAGACGCGTCCACCGGAGTGTTCTCAACCCCCATGTCCATGGTGAAATCCGGCCGGACGGTGTCGAGGTTGGTGGCGGAATACTGATTGGTTAGGTTAGGTGCGTTAAAGAGGTTCATCGAGCTGGGATCGGTGGTCATCGAGCCCATGTCGAGGTTCGAAAAGGCATTCATGCCCAAGCTGGTAGGAGACAGTGTCTCAAAGTTAGGTTGCCCAGCAGGCATGCCCATAAGGTCCTGGGAGTAGGCCTCCGAGTTGGAAGGCAAAGTCGAGCCGCCGGTGAAGCCAAACGAGAAGCCCTGCATGGCGTCGGCGGGGTTGTTATAATCCATCATGGTCATGCGCTGGTCGACGTCCTGCGGCGACAGCGGGGTAGTAAACAGCTGGCCGACACTGCGGCGGCGCTGGAACTCGCGGTTGTTCTGGTTAACGATGTCGTCAAGCGAGTCGCCGGCGGCCATCTGCATGCCCTCGACGGGCGAAATGGGCCCTGTTTGGCCTAATCCTGCGACATTTCCAGCGTCGACCATGCCGACGGAGTGGCTCGGATGCTGCGGGTGCGGGTGCTGGTGTGGGTGTGGGTGCGGATGGTTATGCCCGTGCCCATTCTGCTGCTGCATCGCGAGGCGCCGTTGCGCCTCCTCCGGCGACAGCGGAGCGGTATAAAAGTTGTTCATCCTGGCGGCATCGGCGATTTGTCGATTGCAAGGGCGAGGCCGATCGGATCGGCTGCGTCTGAACAAGGTAGAACCGTCGCGGCGCGTTGCTTAGGGAGCCATCATCGAATACACCGAGGACAGGACGGCTCGATCGATCTTTTGCGTGTGGTGCAAGATGCGTGGTTTGTGTGGCGTTCGCTCGTCTAGGCGGGAAATGGGATGTGGAGTGGGAGTTGAGCCAGCCTGGGCACGACGGAGAGTGACGGGATGCAAAGTGCCGGGAGGCGATGGTAGCGGGTGCCGGGCTCGCTGGGTACTCGGTGCTGGCCCTCTGGCCTTCCACTTGCTGGGTTGGTGGGTAGGTCCGGTTGTTCGCTCACCCTCTCTAGCCTCTCAGCAACAAGGGCGGTCCGCGGTGGTGTGGGGGGCGATCGAAAGAACCTGCGACGGGAACCTCCAAAACCTCCCCAAAGCGCGGAGTGTTCGCCCGAGCCCCGTGTGCACCCCTGAGAGTCGGGAGGCCTGTCTTGTCTGTCTCGGTGGTGTGCGGGCGGGTCTCTCCTCCTCCATGTCTTCTCCAATGAGTCGCGCTTGCTGCCGATTGGATTGGGCCTGAGGCGGATGCCACGAGTGAAAAGAAATGGAGCCCGCCCAACTCGGCCACAAGTTAGCTCGCAGAACGGAGGACTTGCAAACGCTGTGGTGGATTACGGATTTGTGTGGATGGACACCCATATGCACGCGATCGGGAGACTTGAGGGAATCGGGGGCACGACAACTGGAAAGGGCCCCGCCGGCTGGCGGAAGCGACGACAGGATTGACATGGGAATGTGACTCGCCCAGCGCTCTTTCCCATCCCAGCGTGGGCCACGCTGCTGGGATCCAGCTGGCACGGCGCGGAAGGGATGAGGATGGTTGGGATCGGGGGTAGGACTTCTTGGCGCGATGCAGACGATCGCCGGGGTGTTCGTTCTTCTTCCCCCCCAACGTCACATCAAACCGAAAACGGAACACCTCATTAATCGGCGCTTTCGAAGCTCATCGCTCGAGCATTGCGCCGGCTGCCCCTTAGGTCCATGTGGGCATCTTGCTGGCGAATTATTGACTGTCCCAGAGCGATTTTTTTCTTCTTCGGGGGCTTTGATGTAAACTTTTCTCGCCCAAACACTTCGTCTTCGCGTATATTTATTTTTTTCCTACTCCTTTTTGAGGGGATCGACGGCGCATCATTGGTCCTTGAGCACAAGGAAGTTCGGGTCGGCTTGACGTAAACCTTCCCCACCAACTTGTACCTTTACACAAGCGGGGCAACCGTTAGCTGGTGGGGTCTAGGCCCTGGACCCGAAAGCTTCTGCATCACGGTACATACACCCCTAACGTTATGTACAAACAAGAGAGCGTGGGAAGTTCCTCCATTTGCGCCTTCTAATGCCATTCAGCTAAAAAGGCTTATATGGAAACCGAGACCACAGACCGAAAGACCAAATCGAGAGACCCAAACCCGGCGCAGCGGGGTTCTCTACAAAACAGCCTCGGGTCAGCAAAAGGTGACCATGGGTGCTGCTGGTCGGTGCTGTTTCTCCCGACGTCATGCGCCACGAATGAGAGCACGCAACTCGATTGTGGCGGAAAGTTCAACATGGCGATCAGCGGGAAAATTACTGCGTAGCTGAATGATTATGCGATAAGAGGGAGTTGCTCAACAGTGTTCGTTTCCTTGTGCTTATGTCTATTCGTCAGCACATAAACATGCCTGAGATATACGCACTCAAACGTTAGCTATGCCTCAAGATACACCCCGGTGAATTGATAGAGTTAGTCACCCGTGAGAATACCGATTTTGAAGGGGGCAGAGCTTCAAGGGTGATTTTATGTGAGGGGCCCGGTAACCTTATACCGGGGAGCCGGGTGACACACCTCCCTCCGGATACACGTGTAACTCTGGAGTGAATTGCTTCTACGCGTGCCGTCCCTTGCTCGGTACCGCCACAGTCGAGCCACGCCATAACTAACGTGCCTTGCTGGGCTTTCCAATGCCGCGGTCCCGGCTCCCGACGCCGAATGGTGGCGTAACCGGCATGGCGCGGGAATGGGACTTGGAGACAGGAACGGAATGACGGCATCAAAACCCCAGCATGTTTCGCCGACACTAGATAACTAATGTTGAAGAATAATGGATGTGACAATGATGGCGGTACACATGCAAGGACGGTCCAATGACATTTGATTGTAATACAGTACATTTCTTATCCATTCCCAGGCGCTCGTTTTTCTACCGGTTGTAAAAGCTCCTTTGCCGGCTCCAAATGTCCAGCGCATCGTGAATACGCAGGATCCCAAGTGTGTAATTCCTTCGTGCGAAGGTCTAACTACTCGCCGACCATTAGGTCTCTGATATCATCTCACCACATCGCTCTCGGATATTCCCAAGCCGCCCAGCCACCTCCGCGGCTCCAACTTTCGCGACGTTGAATCGCCGCGTGCACCTGTCCCTCAACTACAGGACAGGATAACTACCGTATCCATCCCAGAAAACGTGACTTTCCTCGGCCGCGCCATCTCCTACGAAAAGTACGCCCGAATCACGCCTTGTGCTTCCGGTGAGAATTGCTGGAGCAACGGTGACACGTCAGTGTTGGTCCCCTCTACGAGGAGCTTGGTTGCGGCCACCACGCGCGCCGCATTTTGCCCGCTAAGGGCCTCGGCCTCAAGAGCTTGGGCAACGAAGACAAATATCCGTGGAGCTTGCGATGTGACCGCAGGGTGTTGCCTAAAAAATGTCAGTTTGGGAACGCTGAAGTGTGACAGTTCAAGAATTGTGAAGAAAAAGCGGGACCGGAGGGAAATTAGGGAGATAGAAAAAAGCACGTACTTGCTAATCAGTTCTGCGAGATAAAGATAAGCGTACGGCGCGGCCTCTTCATCGTTTGTGATCGGCAGCGTGTTGATCCACTCGCTAACGATTTGATCGAGCTGTGTCACGGCCGAGGCATTGAAGTGAAGAATTTTGGCAACGGCGGCGCAAGCGTTTTCCGTCGCATAAACATTGTCCTCATCACGCGCATTTGGGACGCGCACGACATCAAACAAGAATGGAAGGGCGCCTCCCAGGAACGCCGACCAGGTATCGCCGCCGTGGCGCGCCGCTACCCCGATTCCGTACGCAGCGGCTTGGCGGATCGCGGGAGAAGGGTCCTGGCAACCCTGGAGAAGAGGTTGGCTGATGTAGTTGGCGTACTGACCACTCTGAGGCCCGCAGTACTCGAGGACATCGTCCATGATGCACAATGCCCATTGACGCTGAGTCGGGTCGCTTGACTTGAGGAAGGCTTGGTAAGTTGGGAGAAGGTGCTCCCAATGGCGCAAAAAGTTGGCGCCATGGTACCTGAACACGGTGTGGAAAGCCTTGTTCATATCCGACAGCAGCGTTTGATCATCTTCGATGGCTATCAGTAGGTCATCTTGATCATCCTCCGCGTCTTCCGCGGCCACGCCCTGCCGTTCCTCTTCGCGCTGCGCAACGCGATCCTTGTAGTCCTCGAGCGTCGAATTAACACCTTCGATGAACCGTGTCAAGTTACCGTCGGTGAGGCAGGGCCTACCGATAACCTCGACCGACTCGTAAAAGCACTGATACATCTCGGCAAGAGTATCCACAGCCGGCTCGGCCGTGAGTACCTCAAGGAGCTTGTCGACTGTCGTGGCCCAGAGACCCGCAAGTTGGTCAGACTGAGGGCCATACGCTTTCTTGACACAGCTAAAGAGCTGAGGGATGAGTTTGGCTGCCACGAAACGGACAGGGTCGTGGAAGAAGAAGGCAAGACTAGGCAAGGCAATCTTCTCCATAATCTCGACCGCATGTGGCGCAAACTCTTCCTCCAGGACTTGTGCGTACACCACCAGAAGCTCGATGGCCATGTGCTTGTCATCCATCAAGCTCGTCTTGATACCAATGGTCTTGCCACGCAGCGGCACCAGCTCCCAACCATCCTCTTGTTGGAACTTCTCAATCTGCTCGTCGTTATCGAGTAATTGAATGTCCGCTTTGGCGCTTGCTAGCTCCAGTAGCGGCGGCATCACCTTCGGTAGGTATGGGAGGAAGGCTTTGCCCATGACACGGCACATTCTCCCCCAGCAGTGCATCAGGTACTGAGCTTGCGGGTCGTCAGCGTCCTGGACACTATCTTGGATGGATCCCAACAGCTGAACGAGCATCGCAGCGTCGTTCCCAAGTTGCTGAGCACCGACGGCGAGAGCAATCAAAGTTGCGCACTCCATCGCTTTCGCCCTGAGCAGCCTGTACTCTTTGTCGTTCTCGCCTCGGAGCACACCCACCAGTATAGGCATCAAAGTGTCGTAGTATCGGGAAAACGCTTGCTCCGCGGCGTCAGCAATAGTGGCGATGGTGGACAAGGCTTGTTCCTGGACGTAACGCTTCTCATTTTGCAGAAGTTGGTAAAGAGCCGTAAGCAGTCCGTCGAGGTACGGCTCCAGCACGCTCTTCTCAGCCTCCTCACAAAAGTTGACGAGAGCCGCGGCGGCATGGGACTTAACGCGGGCTTCAGGCGAATCGAGCACCGGGACAATGGCTGAGAGAACGGTGTCATAGTACTCCTTCTGCATCGTAGGCGCAAAGTCGGTGCTCATTTGGCCGAGTGCATTGCAGCCAGCCCAGCGGACGCGAGGGTGGGGGTCCTTGAGCGCAGGAATGACAAGCTCGAGGACCTGCTTAAGTTCCCCAATCATCTGGTCCCGACACCCCTCAGAGATAGCAGAGATCGCCATCAGAGCAGCATGGCGGTCCCTCCATGCTGGAGATGACAACATGCGGGGGAGCCAGTTGAAGGTGGGCTGTAGGACGACCAAGCCACCTAGCTTGTTGGCAAGACGGTCCATACAGTGTTCACCGGCCACATGGTTCTGGTCGCTTTCCGGGTCATCGAGGTCGTCCGCAGCGAGCCACTCCGCAGCATCGTCGTCATCCTCCCCGAGGTCCGTCATGAGGCTGAGACACTGAGTGATCATATCGTTGGTATAGTTGGGGTCCTTCTTGCACATCGTCGGAGCGTAGTCCGCAAATGTGGCCATGAGTTCCAACGCATTTTGCCGACAGAGGTCGCTCAGCTCCTTGTCCTGGATCACTGAGATGGAAAATTGGACAAGAACGTTGAATATTTGCTTAAACATGCGGGGTGCGCCTTCGGCGAGATCGATAAGGGCGACCAGCGCCTTGCTGAGATCCTCGGAGTCCTGCGAATCTTTGATGGGCGGCAGAATGTTGAGAACCTCAGGGAGAAGGACGTGGTATTTGGTCTGGTTTTTCTTGGTCAAACTGCGGAAAAAAGCGGCAAAAGCTTCCATGGCAGCAAGGCGGACCTTCTTGGAGTTAGCATATTGTTTCCGACCCAATTATACACATAGATACCCCCGTAGAGGCTTATCTATCGTACCTGCACAGAGTCATCCTTGAAAGCCTGCGCAAACGCCTGGGCCACGGCATCCTCGTGCTGCTTTTCGATGATGCCCGGTGTCGTTGTGAAGACACGGAAAGCCGTCTCACGCTTGCCTGCATCCGGCGCCTGGCTGAGCTGAAACAGAACTTGAAGCAGCTCCGCCCAAGAATCATCTAGCACAGCGTTAATGTTTGCCCCAAAGAATTCCCAAGGGATCGAGAGCAGGAAACGCACTAGTGTCGTAATATTGCCTCGCGAGCTCCGCCACAGCGTCGCTGATCTTGTTTCGGACACCCTTATCACTTTCCGTCACCAACGTTTCCAGAAGTTTCCCGCGGATAAGCGTGCCCTGTTCTTTGTCGAGAGAGATAAACATGTCGACATTGTCCGAGTTGCCCACCTTGCGGGTTTTCGAGGCTATCCGGCGGAAAATAACGGCCGCAAAGGAGCGCGACTAGGTGACAAGCGATTAGCACAACACACAGGCGGTACGCGGTAAAACACTGGGCGAACATACCGAGGTGTTGTTTGAGGTCCCAATCTGCTCAGCAAGACCCATCAACAGCCAGTCGGGGCGTTGGTTAGTCCACTGGTTCTGGAGGACATCCTCGGCCTGAGAGCGAATGCTGTTGTCGGGCGACTGAAGCTGCTGGAGCAGCTGGGCCAACTGGGCGTTGACCTCAGCCGGCAGGACCGACATGGTAACCAAGAATGCGGGGCGGGAGGTACAGTGATTCGGATAACGGTATGGTTGAGGTCTTTCGCCAAAACCACAGTCGAGCGAAGCGCTAGTGTAGTCACCACCAGAGGAGGGTGGATGCTGGCTCCTTGCTACCCGAGGCCTAGAGAGAAAGACGCGGTTCGGGCAGCAGCGGTGGGAAGTGCGTGGTTGCGATGGTCGGGGGACGCAGCTTGAGCCCGTCGCTCTGCCACCGTGGTCGTGGCTAAGTGGGCTTTATGGTTGAGAAGCGCGCTAGTAGTAGAGAGGCGCGAAAAAAAAAGTATCCAGGCGTGCGACGTGTTGGAGGACAGGAACGGGTCGCAAGAGGGGGGTGTTGGCGTGAGGAAGGAGGGGATGCAAAATGGTCCTAGATTTTTTTCTGATTGGCTTGGACGTTGGGTGGGGGAGGGGCAGCCTTCGCGCGTACAGTGCGGTCGACTATACACACTTCTTCAATGAAGCACAATGTACCGTCGGGGAGACCTTTTGCTAGAAGAAAACGCTAGAGTATCTTGAAAGGAGAGGAAAAGAAATATGTACTCGCGAGAACTATATCAATTCCCAGCTGCACTCAATTTCCGGGAAAGTGAACATCATTCCCTCAGCCTGTGGGCCACACAGTGCGTGTTGGTGTCCAGTTCAGTTTCAACAAAGGGACAAAGCCCACACTCTCCCCGAATTTGATCTGTCTTCGACAAAGCCGCCTCAGCCCCGAGAAGGGCGTCAAAGGATAGGTGAACTCAAATTTGCCGGTGATTCCCTGGGCAGATTGCTCATACTGAAGCCTGTTCACAAATCTTTACTTATTTACTGCGTTACGAATTGAGCTTGCTATGTCTTGAATTCTCGAAGGTGACTGACACAATAGTGCCCGGGCGTTAGAGGCGTGTCTCATCACCAATGGACTCGGCCCCAAGCGGTTGTTAAGGTTGTTTAGAAAACAAAAACTTAATGTCGGACAAATCCCTGTCGGTGGTCTGTGGTAGAGCTCTGCCTGGGCGTGATCCTCGAAACCTCGACCGCCCAGACTTCTCCTCGTGTCTTTGAGAGGTCCGACCGAATCTCTGTGGTCATGTGGTGACTTGGAAGAAGCCCGTGCGTGCTATCAATCTTACGCAGGCCGATGAAGAAAATGTCTGGTAATTCAGAGTCGACCGATTGAGGCCAGCACACTTGCAGACTGGGAACCCCGCATTAGCACCAGCTCCGTCATGCCACTTGCTGATCCCTGTAACATCTTAAGAGACCGCGCAACCTACCCTGCTGTCCACTTCCGCAAGCTCTCTCGCCTTTCCGAATTCACAGTACAAATTGAAGAATCTCAGTAGGTCAATGCGGCAAGGAACACGTCCTCACGAAACATACTAGACAGGGGGACATCAGCCCGTCATGGACACCGACCCAGCTACTAGAAGCGCGGGGAACACGACCAATCCGGCGAGCTCCTCGTCGAGCTCGCTCGGAGCAGTCGCCTCCCCGCCCATGGAGAGAAACAACTCCCAGTCGAGCACCCATAAGCCTAGCCACATCTCAGCGCATCGACAAAGCTTCGTTGAGAACCAAAGATACATCCCGCCGTCTCCGCGCGACCGACGCCACCCATCCTTAACACAACAAGCCGTTCTCGAGCTTATGAACCACCCGCCTCCTAACCGACACCCAAATCCCCGATATGCTGGGCGGGATTGGCGCGATATTACCGTAGGAGAGTTGGCTGTACCGGAGGAGGTTAAATGGGCCGACTTGGATCTCAGTGTCCAAGATGCTACCATGGTACATACTTTCCCCTCTGTTCGCGGCTGGTTCTGTTCGCCTACCCATATTGCTAGCTGACACAACTCTTTAATAGCTCCTGGTGAAGCAGAACCCGAGTAATGTTGTCCTCGTGCGCGAGACATCATCGGCCCAGACTGCTCTCACGACGTTCGACTACAGCGACCTCAATGCCTATCTGTTAGTCGTCGTCGGCTTGGCAACCCCAGATGAGGAGAACATCGCGCTGTATGACCAAATTGCGAAGAAGGCACAAGCGCAGGAGGATATCCCGTTAAGGGACATTCAGACGCTTTCTCGGAAGGAAGAGTTGGTGACCTTACCGGCGGACGAATACCTCGATAAAGCGATGGAGGCGTTTGGTAGTGGGATCCACCGGGTACTAATCACCAGCCCGACTGGCGAAGTAGTTGGCGTTCTGAGCCAGTTACGCCTTGTCGAGTTCTTCTGGAACGAAGCCGTCAATTTCCCGGTAATTGAACGGCTATATGGAAGTTTGCTTCGGGATTTGCAAATCGGCACCCATCAAACTATCGCCATCAAGTGAGTACCTCGGTCGAGTGTTTGTCTCGTGGTCCCCGTCTTAACTAACTCGTCTCGCTAGCCATGACCGACCAGTGACTGATGCTCTACTCCTGATGCACAACGAAGGGCTGACATCCTTGGCCGTCGTCGACCAAGGCCTCAACGTCGTTGGCAACATTTCGACGGTTGACGTCAGGCACCTCACCAACGCGGCCAGTCTCCCTCTCCTCCAGGGCTCCTGCATGAACTTCATCAGCGTAATTCTTTCGGAGCGCGGCATGGAACACGGCAGGGACTCATTCCCCGTGTTTCACGTCAACCCCTATTCGACTCTCGGCCACACCGTTGCCAAGCTCGTCGCCACAAGGTCACACCGCATGTGGGTGGTTGAGTCCGCCTCACCATCCCCCAGCCAGCCCGCCACCCCGCTGCTCCAGCCTAGCCAGCCCATCCCTTCTCATCCATCACCAAGTCCTGGATCCACCCCTTCGAGCAGTGGCGTGATCATCCCACCAACAGCTAGCTCTATGGCACCGCAATCCCCGCTGCCAAACCAGACGTTCAACACCACTATCATGCAGTCCTCACTCCCCGGCGCCTCCTTATCCGGCCGCTTAACTGGCGTGGTCTCCATGACGGATATTCTCAATCTATTCGCCAAATCGAGCGGCCTACATCCGTCAGACCCGTCGGAGCAACGGGCACGGAGGCGGCGCAGTTCGAGCTCATCTATCCGGCCGAGCTTGGACAGCGTGAGGGCTAGTCTTGATATTCGTAGGTAGGAATGCGTGGGGCTATTAAGTGAGAGCGCTGAGATGGAAATGCACAATTCCCGCAGCGACCCTTCCGCCCGTCACCTACCCGATACTACACCGACGGTTTAGAAAGCAAGTCTAGTGGGATCATCTCCGTCTCGAGGAAGGTTTAGCAACGTAGGAGAGACGAGGCTAGTCAGTTCACTTATTACAGGGTCTTCGTTGGTTATTGGCTTACATTGACAGCATGAAGCTTGTTCTCTTCTCAAAGGTACACGGGGCAAACAATATTGGAGTTTGTATGGATTGATTTGGAACCAAGGGAACTGCATCTTAATGGCGTTTACGCGCTGCTTGGGAGAATAGCAAAATATGGCACATTTTCATAACATTTGTGCATGTCGACGTGGTCTCAAAGTTCATTGCAAAACCGAAACGTGGGGAACTCGGCTTCCTATCCATACTGGCATTTGTCATGTCTATTCCTAAGGAGACAATCACTTTTGTTGTTCCATAACTTGTTCTGTGAACGCTAGGTAGGTACACGTAGATGAAGAAATGGGCTCCATGCCTAGTTCAAGTGCTGCTCGACCCCATCCCGCAGGCTCCGATTCATTCACATAGCTAGGTGTGCAATACAACGCTGGACATGTCTGTTCACCAGCTGCAACAAGAGCCACAGTTTTACCTAGTACAATCGTCAAATATACATTTAAAATACACCCCACGCCCAGATCGTTTCTTCACTTCATACACTATCATTACCTTTCTCTCCATTCATGCTCTCCCCCGTATCCTCTCATCCATATGGTCCCATCTGATGCAGCGGCTATGACACCCTCCTGCCACTCTCCAGGGCCGTATCTTCATACAATATCTTCATACAAGCAGCATCATCGCAAACACCGACCCACCCAAGAACCAAACCAGATCAGTCAACACCTCTGTCATCGACGCCGGCGGTGCCAGCGGCGTCGGTGTCGGTTCTGGCTGTGGCGTGGTGGAAGCGGGTGGAGAGATCCGACGAGACCGAAGCGCAGACTTCTAGTCAACGCCCCATTCAGCGCCGTTACTTTTTTGCGGTTCGCCTTCCGCTGTTCCGGGCTGTTGTTGTTGCACATTTGGTGTTGTCTTAGACTCTCGCCTTAGTGCTTGCACCAATGCTTCCCCCAGCGGATCGACATCTTCTGCGTCTCCGCCATCTTGCCCTGGACTGTCGTATAGATCATCGTCGTCGGTATCAGTATCGTCATCGTCGCTCTCCGGAAATGCTCCCGCCATCCGCAATTGACCCATACTTTTCCTGCCTCTTAACCAAATCCGTCTATCGTCGTCATCGTCATGATCAAACGTCCTTGTAACCCATGCGCCACTGCTCTGCCTGCGCGTCCGTTCACGGGCGAACCCGCCAGACCCGTCACGTCCAAGCCCACCAAAGCCGTATCCGCGGCCATGCGCCCGCTGCTGATAAGGGTCGTCGTCGTCGCTCCAATCCCAGGTGACACTAACCCGTTCACCACCTTCACCTGTGCCAAAGACAAGACCGCGCCACTCGCCAGCGGCGATACGCGCGGCAACGTTGAGCATGAGGTTGATAAGATGGGAGGGCGGGGACATGAGGATCTCGCAGGTCTTGTGTAGGACGGTCATGGGCAAGCGGCGGACAGCCGCGAGAGCGGCTTGGGAAGCGGAGGGGCGTAGTTGTTTTGCTTTGGGCGCGGGGCGCGATGCAGACGGCCTTGATACGGCTGCTGATGTCGTAGCGGTGGCTGTGGTTGTTGCTGCTGTCGGGTTAAAGACGGGCGGCGGGGAGGTGCGGTGAGGACCGGTGAGAAGGTTGGCGGCCGAGGTGAGAGGAGAAAGAACGCGCGATGAGGAAGATATGCTAGAGGAAGTGGTTGCGCGGCGAATCGACGGACGGGCACCTCCGGAGGAGGAAGAAGAGGAGGGAGACTCGGAAGGAGAAGCTGGCAACGGCGTAGAAGGTGCGGTTTTCATGGGAGTTCCGGGCGCTTCCTTCGCTGGCGCGGGCGCTGGCTCGCTGGAGTCAGCTGGCTGCTGCGGGTTACTCAGGTCGTGAACAGAGGACGGCGCTGTGGTGGTACTACAGTTTGAGTTGGGTAGGGAATCCGTGGTAGTGACACTCCATGTTTGGGATGGCTTAGAGCCCACGGTGTGGTGAGGGCCGACAGCTTCAGGGGCGTTCTGCACTGCCAGCCTGGGGGAAGAATGCCTCGGGGAACCAGGGATGGATAAGGGTGGAGACGGAGGAAGGGGAATTGGAAGCCAGGGCTCTCGCCTGTTGACTGACTCGGAGGACTCGGTCGGCGATAAGAGTGCTGGCGATTTGGCGGGCGACCGAGCCGACCTCATCTCTTTGATCTTCGGTAATGGATTGCCGTTGGAAGCACGATGCGGGGAAACTGCCGAGATACTCCGGGGTCTGTCGAACACGGGTTTCAGATCGAAGGAGCCGTCATCATGCTCAGTGCCGAGCCCCTTGTTTTCTTCCCTTTCCGCATAAGGCCCTGGTCTGCTCGTATGATCATTCATGGAGGCCCTTCTCGCTTCCAACCTTGAACGCAGATCTCCCAGAGAAAGTGGTCCTCGTGGAGTGCCTTCGTGAAGGCGAGCAATTTCGACGGGGGTCGTAGGAGTCAGAGGGAGTGATGCGCTGGACCTCCGCGCTGGAGTCCAAGGTCGCTTCTTGACTGGTGTATCGGGGAGTTCGGGTAGTTCGACGGTGAATGATCGCTGGAAAGGACATTCGGTCTTTTCGAACTGGAGGATCGAGTCGAAAACTTCGCGAAGCTGTTGTGTCAAACGTATCTCCCCCTCGTCTTCGATCGGAAGCTCTATTCGCCAGTATTGCGGCCGCCGGATTTGCAACACAAATTTGCTCGATTCTTCGTCAACACACCACACCTGGCTCTTGGGAAGAATCGGTTGGAGGGCGGAGCCACAGCTAAGGAAAGCTACTGAGCCGGGAGCACGGTATATTCGGAATGGGCCTTTATTGCAGAAATTAGAATCATGGCAAAACCACAGTTAGGGTTCTTATGCACGCACCAACTGCGATGGTCCGCTCCAACTGGGAAGTCCAGCGAAGCGAGCCTGGCTCGACATCCTGTACAGCGGGTGAGCGATGGCCGATCAGGAGAGAGTTTCCCGCCGTGAAGGACACAATTTTAACATTGGGATGGTCGTAGAGTGTGTCGACTAGTCCACCGGTGGATTGCGCAGGCGAAGCTGGTTGCGGGGGCGAGGGAGCTACCGGAGCCGTGAAGATGCGGCGCGGGGCCGCAAACCCAGAGCTTCGGGGTCGGGAGGCTTCCATTCTCTGGAATTATTCCTTCAGGCGGAGGAGCATTGCTGGTGGATGAAGCGGTTAAGTAGTCGCGAAAGGGATAGACGGTGGGGTATGAGATTTGCAGAGGGGTACAATCTCAAAGGTGTCTGGAGAAAGAATTGCGATGGCGATCCGAGGAATAAACGATCGATGGCCGGCGCTCTTGTCCCCTTCCTCAGCGAAGCGGGATACACAGAATGGTCGCTTGGTCGGATGCGAAGCTCGGGGTTGCGGCAGCGGAACAGTCAAAAGCCTGTTTAAGAGGGGCCCAGGGCGGTAAAAGTCAAGGAGAATGTCAAAATTCGGTAACAAGATGAGGAGACAACTTCAAGGAGAATGGAGTTGGAAAAGAGTTACACTAGTTGACATGGCCTGCTCGGAATTCCTCGCCCTGGCCCTTGCCGACTTCAGAAACGCGCATCCCACTTCGAGCGGGTAAGAATGCCCCACTGTGATCTGCAAACGCCCGCGCTCTCACTCCATTGGTGCGCAATCCTGGTTCAGCCTCGAGACCCCAGATGCGAATGGATCTTCGTCCTTCCGTTTGTCTTTGCTTTTCTTACCTCGAGTGCCCCTCTGCCCCCGAGTACTCGTTGACAATGACCTTTGTTCCTTTAGAGGCCCTTGGACCCGATAACCTCTTGGCATGGCTGTTCGGACAGGAAAGTGGTTCGGCCGATCGGTCCGATACAGACCGTTCCAGGCCGTTTCGGACCGTAACGGACTGGTTGTGCGAGCCAAAGTCTGTGCAAACAGGCATGCCAAGAGGTTATCTTTGTGGTTTCCTTGTTTCGTTGGCCTCTTTCAAAGCTCGCATGGAACACGGAACTCGTGGCAAATGCAGGTCATCCCATGCAAGGACGGCATTGTGGGCCGCGACGGGTGGAAGCGGGGCTAAATGCTTCCGCAAGTCTTGGAATTCTTTGACATCGCCATTGGTATCGCGGGGAGGGAATTGAAACTTGGAGGAGGCATCTGGACATGAAAGCGCTTCACCATGTTAACTAAGATGAATCGTCCACAACCCCGCGCCACCAAAGCTTCCCATGTGAAGGTTGTTCACGTGGACTGTCCCAGATGGCGTGCGTTTGCAGGACTGGAAGCAACAGGATAAGTTATGGGACAGGTGGCTACCTCGAATTCAAACGGAACGCTTCATTGTTTGTGAAGAAATTCATTTTCGCGATGTGTTTCCCTGTTCTTCTCAAACTGTGTTCCGATTTTTCACACAGAGTTGTCGTGACAACCAAGCTCCAGCAACGTAACAGTAATTTCAACCCCAACGCCAAGACAGTCGCGGCTGGCTGGCGAGGCTTGGCTCAGCCCCCTGCTCCCTTTGTTGATCGACATTGACATCATCGGCTGAGGGCCGACTTCCTCCACCAAATTAACACACATCTCAAGAGTCCAGAACCTCATTTTCACCCGCTCAGTGCCCCAAATAATGGCCGCAATGTCGGCCGACCAGACGCCGCGGCACCACCTCGATAAAGAGAAGCTCAAACAAAAATTCGAGCTCTCCAATTTCGACATCAATCCCATCATCCGGGGCGTGCAGTTGACCCTCGTTGGAGGCAAGTATTGGGCAGCCAAGGAATGGAAAAGGGGCGGATGATGAAGCTTACTGAAGAATCACTAACACGCGGCAGCTCACCGTGCACTCCAAAACCCGGGGATTTTCACCTCGGAGCATTACAAGCAAGCCGCCATAGCGGTTGCTGCGGGCATCGCGATTCGCTTACTTATCGCGGTCCCGGTTTGTGCTCCCCCCTTTTTTTGAACACTTAGCCTAGCATATGGCTGACTTTGAACGTAGATCATCGGCATCAAAATTTTGCTATGGTTTCTTTCCGTAATATTCCCCCTTGACCGAGTGTCTTGGGATGACTCCCTCGTCAGCGGCCTCACATTCGTTGAGAACCATGTCTTGCAAGCACCGCTCTTCTTCATGAGTCTGATGCGTTACATCACGCCAACCCTCGATGACCTGTAAATAAAAACCCCCCTCCGAAATCAACCCCAACAGAGCAATGCTAATAAATAACGTATAGCTTCATGTCTTCCCTTCGTTGGGTTGATCAGACTTACGCCGAAAAGCATAAAAACGACTCGGACCCGTCACATCTGCGCGCCATGTACTACCCATCTCTCCGCCTATACCGCCAGACTGACGGCCGAACCCATTCGTCCAGCACCGCCGAGTCGGTCTCCTTGTTCCTGTACCGCTTCGCCCGCAAGGGTGTCCTCTCACTCACCATCTTTGGCGCCTCTTACCTGCCTTATATCGGTCGTTTCGTCCTCCCCGCTGCGAGTTACTGGACCTTCAAGCAAGCCGTGGGTATTGCACCCGCGACGGTCATTTTTGCCACGGGTGTGGTGCTGCCAAAGCGGTATCTAGTGGTTTTTCTGCAGAGCTACTTTGCCTCGCGGAGCTTGGTGCGGGAGTTGTTGGAACCGTACTTTGCGCGGATTAAGTTTACGCCCGAGGAGAAAAGGAAGTGGTTCCGCAACAGGGAGGGACTGTTGTTTGGCTTCGGAATTGGGTTTATTGTGCTTTTGAGGGTGCCACTGCTGGGCGTGCTAATTTATGGAATTGCCGAGGCTGTAAATTCTTTCCCCCCTTTCACCTATCTCGCTGAAGGTGCCTGTTGGAAAGACCAAAACAACAAACTAACTACCGACAGAGCACCGCATACCTCATCACCAAAATCACTGATCCGCCGCCGCCGCCTTCGGAGAACCAAGGGTTTTCCCAGAGCCAGATCGAGTGGAAGAACAAGCAAAAGTTCCTCAGCCTGTCACTGGCAAATCTGGATGCCCTGCACGACAAGCCGCCGCCGTATTCGGAAGTTGACCCTCATCCTGTCACTCGTCAGCAATGAGATGATTCTTAATGGAGCATGCTTTCCACTTTCAGGATAGGTAACTGCGGTTAAAACTAACACTATCTACTTTTACCAACAGCGGTAGAATCGACAGATACCTGGCCATACAAAGAAAACGGGAGTCAACTATGGGTTGTCTCTCTTAGGGAAATCCTGTGCTACTGTTCTACATAGTAGTCATTCCTTTTTCTCTGGCGTTCCCTGAAAATATTGGCGTCGATATGAGTTTGCAGATTTTTTATTTGAGATGAGGGGACATAAATCTGCTTGCATCAGCCCGGCGTTGGCATATGTATGTTTGTACAGCAGAAATGTTTGGACCTTTTTGCGCGAAGTTCAGTGAAACAGAGTATTCTCAAAACTGCCGGCTTCCCGCTTGATTGCTTGCTTGCTTGCTTGCTTCATGCAACCTGCTCCTTATGCAATCTCGACTATAAGATGAGCCCACGCCATTCAAAAAATGCCTCGTCCTCCATCCCCCTTTTCTCTAATCCGTGATCTGCATTTCCCCAAACCGGCTATGCCCCGTCTCCTTCTCATGCTTGGCCGCCTCCCGCGTGCCCTGCCCAATCCAGTTGCATATTTCACACTTGATCACGAAGTCTGTGGTATCGGTGTAGTAGTGGAGATTCTGCAGGCGCTGGGCCAGCTGGCGGGCACGGTCGAGCACCTCTTCATCCTCGATCGGCCAGCGTGTGACGTCGACCTCGACCGGGTAGCTTAGGTCCATGCAGAAGGCGATGCGGTCGTAGTGGATACCGGAGTAGAGGATGATCACACGGTTGGATTTGCCTTCGCCGAAGCGGTCGATGCGGAGGGTCTAGAATGTGTTAGGAGGTGCAGGAGCTTGAGAGGGAAAGAGGGAAAAGGGAGTAGATATACCTTGACGTCTATCGAGCTGATTTCGATGTTATAGATGTCCGATAGAATCGATAATTCTATTGCGCCACCCCAGGTGTCCATTTGACGCATTCTCGTCGTGTAGCGTTGGGGGTCGTCCCCGAGGATGGCTTTGTTGTACTTGTCGGGATGGTTGAGAATGTATTCGGCCACTTGGTTGCGGAGAATTCTGGACGGGTTCTCCAAGCCGATAGCACCTCCCAGAGCCGTAACTTGGAGGATAATTATGTCAGTATCCTTGGATCATGTGGTGGAGCTGAAACAAACACTCACACATGCAGCTATTGTCATCCGGCATAACCCGGAGCACTATAAATCCAGTTAACCAAGACATTCTGGCCCCGTTTACCCTCGCAGGACCTCACCAATATAGCCCCCTCTTTTCGCCCATTCCAACGACGTCTCATCAGGTTCTATGCCCTTGGGCTTGAACGGTTCAGGAGCTGGCTGGGCCGGAACAGGCGGAGCCGTTTCGACAGGGGCAACAATGATGGCTTCCCCTCTCAACTTAAGGTCCTTTATGCTATTGCCCCGCAATGACGGGCTGATATCGAGACTCTTTAACGGGTACCCATACTTCAGCGTAAACTCGCCCAGCTCAGTCGTGGTCTGGATGAGCGCGACTAGCTCTCCAAGCGTGGCATCATCCTCGATCTGGACCCGGGTCTGCCCTTTGGGGGAACGGAGACTGATGGGGATGAGCATTTTCTGGGACAACGGCTGGGTTGATTGAGTCGAGGTGGAGAAATGCAATGTTCTTTTCTGCAATACTTTTAGCTTTAATAATGAGAGTGCAAGTTTATAAAAGGGACAGTACCAGCCCCTAAGATCAAATGAATATATCTAGACTGGAAGCCGCGGAAAGCAAAGGCGAAATGCAACTAGCAAAGTGTCAGCTTCTAGCATTGATATCTCTCGGCCCGCACCCTTAGATATATCATCATGTCATAAACGTTTGACTACAAGTGCCTTCCTTGTAAAATCCACATACATGATTTGAAATGCAGAACAAACGCCGGGGAAGTCGCAGAATGTGTCAGATGGCAAGTGTCTCCTGATTCTAGAATGCTCGGTTGAGATCGGTTGCTGGAGCGGGCGACAAGTTGCCCAATCCGGACGTTTGGGCTGGTTGGGAATCCAATGCCACTAAGGTGCTAAGGAATGACTCTCCCCTCGTAAACGATCACGCTATTAGTAGTTGAATCTGGTGCCAGTTTCTTTGTTGTTGAGAATTCACAAGTTAGAGGGATACTGATATAAACCTTGTGACCATAAAGACGTGTGCCTATTCTTCTAAGGCACGAATCAGGGTAGTTATAAAGGAAATTCCTCCATCGTTGGGGGTTGTTTCAGGTTGCTGGCTAACATCCTCAGTTGCCTCCGAATCCCCATTAACGAAGAGGCGCTCGGGCCACTCCTATCAACTGGCACAAGAGAAACACGCTAGGCATGTATCGGGGGTTGTAAACGCGCTACTGACAAAGAAAGTCATTTCTCCAATTCCTAATCGCGTTAAACAGCGGCTCACCAGCGTGCACGCTTTCGACTTGTGGAGATTTCTAGGTCGCAACTGACTCGGCTTTGGTCGCTTCGGCTTGGAGGATCCCTCCCTTTTCGCGTCGAAGAACCCTTGGAGACTTGGAATCCCTGGCCCTTCGGAGCAGCAATGCCCACCTTGCGCGAACGCCCTAGCCGCGGCGACATATCCCCAGCAAAAAGGGCGTCTCATCAACAAAATTCCCCGAGCGCGACACGATCAACCCCCCGTAAACGGCGAGGCAGTATGACTAACCCTGACGCAATTGAGGTGCGCGAGTCCATCGAGGCTAAGGGCGACGCCGGCCATGACATCGAGATGGAGGATGTCGCTCCTGCAGCAGCGGCCAGCCCCACAGCGCACCGAGGAACCGATGCGATGGATATCGATGCGGACGGCGATGCAGATGCAGATGCGGATGCGGACGCCGATGCCGACGGTGATGTGGATGTAGATGCTGAGGGAGAAGCGGATGCGGATGGCGTGGTCGATGAAATAGACGAGGAGGCGCGGAAAGAAGAGGAATGGCGCGACCTGTTGCAACTCATCAAAGACACCTCCGAATACTTGTGCAGCTACACCATCAAGGTTGATGGAGAGTGAGTTTTGTCACCTGCCACCCTCCTTCTGCTTGGATACGGCGCTTGGCGAGGGGGCCGGAATACTAATTGGTCGTTCAGGGACCACGAGATTGCTTCTGGCTTCCAGCGACTGGTCAATAAGCGTAGTCTCCCAGATTACTTCGAGGTGATCAAGGAGCCCATGGCGTTCAGTACCGTCAGAGTGAGTTGGATCTGTGCTAATCGATGATGTTCGAAGTGCGTTTGGCTGACCCATCTGTTATCGCGCCGTGCAGGGCAAAATCGGCAAGAAGACGTACACCCGATTCGACGAGTTCGTGCACGATGTCACCCGCATTTGCCATAACGCGCAGGTGTACAACCGGCCTTCTGCGCCCATTTTCTCGGATGCCGGCCGTTTGCTGGAGGTCTTCAAGGAAAAGCTCGCCGAGATGGTAAAAGAAGGCTCTATCACTGCCCAGGACGCCGTTCTGCCAGACCTTGGGCCGTTGCCCGAGTTTGAGGACTCCCCACCACCCGAGGAGGAGGAGGAGGACGATGCCGAGGAAGAAGAGGAAGAGGAGGAAGAAGACGAGGATGAGGACGATTCCGATGAGGACGGCAGACGTCGCCGCTCTGGTAGGCGTCGTCGATCAGGACCGAGGAAAGGAGGGGACGATGGAGATGATGCGTACAAGCGACGTGGTCGGCCACCGACGGTCTTCACACCTGTTGAGGCGCGTATCCAGGCAATTCTCAAGGGCTTGCGCCGGTTCAAGAACGAGTCCGGAGAGCTCCGGGTCCTCGCCTTTGAGCGACTCCCCGACAAGGCCGATTTGCCCGAGTACTACGACGAAATTCGGAATCCTATTGCCCTGGACACAATAAAGAAGAACCACAAGCGCAAGAAGTACCAATCTGTCGACCATGCGCTCCAAGACCTCGACCTTATGTTCAACAACGCCAAGCAGTTCAACGAGGAGGACAGTGAGGTCTATCAGGATGCTGTCGAGTTGGCCGCCCAGGCCCACATCCTTGCCGAGCAGGAAAAGGCTAAGGCTGACGAGAGCTTCCGCGATGAGGATGGCAGGCTGCCGCTGGCCGGGATTGAGCACCGGGGCCAAATCTGGAGAGTGGGTAAGTAGCTGTGTGACAATTCCGCACGCGCCCCTATTATCGAGACGCATGCGACTGACCTCGTGCAGGTGACTGGGTCCATATTCGAAACCCTAATGATTTGTCGAAGCCCATTGTTGCGCAAATCTACCGCACATGGTCAGATGCGGACGGCCAGAAGTGGGTGAATGCGTGCTGGTACTACCGTCCCGAGCAGACGGTGCACCGGTTTGACAAGCATTTCCTAGAGAACGAGGTTGTCAAGACGGGCCAGTACCGCGACCACCGCATCGATGACGTTGAGGACCGGTGCTTCGTCATGTTCATCACGCGCTACCCGCGCGGCCGGCCAAGGGGCCTTCCCGCGGACAAGTCAGTGTACGTGTGCAAGGCACGCTACAACGAAGAGAAGTACAAGTTCAACGAGATCAAGACGTGGACGAGCTGCCTGCCGGACGAGGTGCGCGAACGGGACTATGAGATGGACTTGTTCGATGCCCCGCGCGTCCTGCGCAAGGTGCCGAGTCCCATCAAGCACCTGCTGCAGGCTGATGCTAAAGAAACCGACGCCCTGCCCAGGCCGACCTGGAGAAGCCCGAACGCGCCGCCCCTGATTGGCGCCGTCCATCGTCGTCCCCGAGAGCCGAATGTGAGTACATACCCGTCTTTGATTCCCGATATCCCTCCTTCATCGCAGTTTTGCGTGCAACTTGTACCTTTCATGTCGCACAGCTCATTGCTGTATCCTCTTGTTTTTTTATGTTCCCGGCCTTGAAGAATCCTCCCTTTTAAAGACCCGCATTTATTGCCGCTCTTCATGGCCGCATTGTGCCCCTCGCGAGGCCGAGTGCAATCCATCTGGCACCTGCGGCTTCTTGTACCTTGTACCCACGCTCACTTACATTTTCCGGGGCTGTTCGGACCCTCTTCTTTCTCACCTTTTCATTGTCCTTGTGCATTTCACTCCCTTTCGTGTGCACATCGACCGATTCATCCTTCCACAAACCACAAACCAAGGAGACGTCATCCCTGAAGAGCTTCTCTGACAGAACTGACCGATTGAGAAGGCATCACCGCCCCCTGAGGCCAATCCGCTTCCCGTGGCCGTCGCACCTGTGCCCCTCGCCATGGCGCCTGCCCAAATCCCCATCAAGGCCAACACTGGGATGCCGGGCACACCAGCTGGTTACCATCACCAGGCTGTGGCGCCTGCGCCGTCGCCGGCGCCTGCTCATTTCCAGATGCAGCACTTCCAGCCGCGACCTATCCCGCAGGGCGCTCCTCACCATGGTCAGCCGCCTGCTCATCTACAACCGCAACCCCAGATGGCGATGCACCACGTCTCGCAGCATCATCAACACCCGCAACACCCGCAGCATCCCCAGCACCAGCAACACCCGCAGCATCCACAGCATCCACAGCATCCCGGGATCCCACCTCAAATGCAGCCAAGCCCTCACTACCCTCCCCAAGCGTACCCACCTCAGTACGCCGTGCAGCCCCAAATGGCCCCACAGCCGGTCCAATACCAGACGCCAACCCACATCGCGCCCGCTTTTGACCAGCACCACCGCCCGGTGCATCCAGCACCACAAGCCATGACGCCCTCGCGCCAGCCCATGCAGGCCGCACCCAGTATGCCCGCTCACCCACATGGCAATCCGGGCCACATCTACAACGCGCCCCGCGCGCCCGAGGTCTACACCCTTGCGGACCCCGTCGACGCCGCCATTCCGGCCGAAGTGCGCGAGCAATTTCAGCGCGACGAGCAAGGCCGTATTCTCTTCTTCACTGCGCCGCCCCTTAGCCGCCCCGCCCATGGCGTCGCTGAACAGAATGCCGGGCTCGGTCACAGCGTTCGCCACCTGGCCACCATCGGCGAGCTGCGTGCCGAGCGCGCTCGCAAGCGCAAGGAGCGTGATGATGCTCTAGCTGTTGAGCAAGAAGCCAACAAGAAGCTCGCGGCCTTACGCGAGCGCCAAGTCCAACTTGAGACTGAGGCTGACGAAAAGGCTCAAGCTGAGATGCTCGAGAAGGTACTTGTTGCCTGGGCCGGCGAACTGGATCGTGGTACCGCCGAGATCGACGAGGCGTTGGGCGGCATCGAGAACTGGAACCGTATGATGACCGAGGGTCGGGAGCGTGGCAAGAACCTGACGGCGGAGGAGAAGAAGACCGCGAATTTGGAGTGGTATATTGAGTGGGCTAAGGCGCGCGGATCCATGGATGAGAAGCAGGAGAAGTTGTGGCGAAGTTCGATTGACCAGAAAAACTAAAGGATGGACCAGAAGGCGAGATGATCGCGCCTCAATCTTCTCCTTGTATGTTTAGTCTTGTTGTACTTTTTTTTTCTTCCCTACCTGGAACGGCGTGGCTGTTTGCCCGAAGGAGAAAAGGGTGGCCAGGAGTATGGCGTTGATTTCTTGCTACTCGAACCACGGCAACGGGGCTGCTTCTTTTGGTGTTACGGTTGCTTTCTAAACCGATGGGAACGGGCTAGGAGAGGAGATGTTTTTGCTAGCGGGAGAATCCAAATCCCACATCCTGTATGTGGAAATTATGTAACAAAGAAGTTGGTGAGATATTTGGGGAGACTGGCTTGCTCGGCTCTACATTCGGAGGTGGGAGTAATTACTGTACTGTACTATCACATCGTCGTGTACGCACCAGAGACCTGGAACCTTTGGCCGATACTAGGCAAATTCACAATTGTATTTGACGCTTGCCAAAGGGCTGTTGGATAGGTAGGCAGGAGGGATTTCATCTCTCCCTTGGCCTCTCGACGCTAGTAAATTCGCTTGAAAACTCGCATAATCCATGATTTTTTCCCTCACCGCATCAGGTATCTGTTCTTGAGTTCTCACGTGCTACCCTGTCCTATCATTCTCTCGCCCTGCTATCGTAACTGCGTCTCGCCTTTTACGACCGGACCACTCACCACCTCTCTCACCGCCTTCCAATTCCTCAATGTCTTCAGCCAGCCAGAAACGGACAAATATCGGGAATGCGGTATCTTGCCCCACCAAACGGGTCCTTGCTCGTGCGAACGAACCCGGCGCCCGGGCATGTATGTACCTGCCCGTGCGGTTTTGACGGGATGCCAACGAACGGGTCTGAAGTGGAGAAGGGAAAAAAAAGAAGCGGAAACTAGTAGTGACACAAACATGAAAACATGAACTGGGACCACCTCAAAATTCGCCCCATTGGGCTCTGCTTTACGTTAGGAGAGCCGGGAATAGTAAAGTCACTGGTTGACGTATAATTGTTGTAAGGACTTATCGGAGCTATCTATGCTTTAGGAGGCTGTTTTGCACCTCAATTTCCCATATCTGGGCATAAGTATGACGGCTGGTTCGTTGGTGTGATGTTGTTGATACCTTGATCTTCGGGTTGGAGTAGTTCTATTTTGGCCGGAACTTTTTTTAGGAGCTACGAGTGGCGGGGCCAATTTGGGAATGATAAGAGGAAAATGAGGGGCGCGTGCCTGCCTGATTTATTCTTCCCGGGTGCGCGGTTTGGGTTCGCTCTCGAAGCCAATCTGTGAAATAACATGCGTGGCATCCATGGATGCCGTGCATTCAGCGGGGAGTCACGGGACTGGAGGAAGCTGGTTCCAAATCTGGCGGTTACCGAAGCGACGGATGGAAGCAGTTCGTCCCCAAAGTTCCCGAGTTTTCCTAAACCGGCGGATGCAAGAAGTTGAGACAGGATTTCATGCTTTTGTTTGGTGGGAGATAGGCTCAGACTTTGTGGACGGAATGCGTTGGCCGGTGGCATTGTCATGCGTTGCGTCTGGCTATTCAGATTCGTTGAATGGCGGGCAGCATGCATTGTGAAAGAGGCGCGTCGCAGACGTGGCGAGCTGGTTGAGGCAACAGCTCTGCGAGCCAAGCCCCGCTCGGAATTGACTTGAAAAGACGGAGAGGCACAGGGGTTTCTGCGGCTCTGTGGTTTCCCCCAGGATTGGGCAGCCAGTCATACCGGAATTGCCCCACTTCGGCCAAGTCATCAACTTCCCTTGGTTTCCCGTTCCTTTCCATTGCTTCTGAAACCCCCCCCAAGCTCTTCCATTTGGGTTCCTGCCCGCCACGCAGGGCGCATCACAGATTCTCGCCTGGTCTTCCGCTGCGAACCAAACCTAAAATAAAACAATAACGGAAAACCTAAATGATGCCTTTGTGGGAGCATAACCACCGAACCCCCATTTCGAGCATCTAAGTTCCATCCGTTCCGCTTCCGCCCAATCGCCCAAATCGCCCAACCACAATAACAATCAATCAATCCCAACCGGCTGGGCCGATCCGATTCCCCTCCATCTTCACAACTCAACCAACAAACCTTTGTGTACCACACATCCTCCAAACTTTCCCCTTTCCGAACCTCGACTTTCGTTGTCCGATTCCGTTCGCCGATTTCCGACACGATCTCGAGCTTTCCGAGGCTTTGCGGTGTACCGGCTATTTCGTTACTCGCATCAAGACTCGACCTTCCTCAATCCCGATCAGTCACGACTCGATCATTTGATCGATGCAAGAAAACTCATGAATCCGACTTCTTACTTCGGCCGCGCCGAGAGCGATGGCCGTCGCCTCGGCGCGGATTTCGACCTGCTCGCGAAATGGACGAAAGCCTGTTCCGTCGACCCGCCGATTCACTCTTACTACCTGACCCAACTCTCACCAGAAGATCGTGCTCAGCTCTTCACAGGCCCCGCCCAGGATTTCCGATTGGAGCAAGGCCCTGACAACACCGTGAAGCTCGAGACACTTGAGGATGAAGTTTCCCGCCTGGACCCGGCGATCATCGAGATGATAAAGTCAAAAAATTACCAGAGGTCCGAAGCTCGCCACCTCGAGCTCCTGAACGAGATTGAAGATGCCCAGGACGAGGCAGGTGGCGCCCATGCTATGGCCTTAGCCCATGCGCTTATGCAGGGGATGGATGGCCCTCCTGCTGAGGAGCTTGCTGATAAAGTTTCCGAGCGGATTCTTGATGCCGCGGGTGCCAAAGTTTGGGCCCGCTGGAGGAGTGCCCGGGATGAGCGTCTGAGGACACCGGACAATCAGAACCACACGTCGCCCGACCCAGCCAGCCCCGAGCCTCAGCATATTTCCGTCACCACACTGCTTGACGGTACAGAAACAAGCGATAGCAGCGATGCAACCCCGGGCCGCCGCAGCGCCACCAAGAAGAAGCGAAAGCAAGGTGTAGCAGTTCGTACCAGTTTTTCGCCTAGTCCGATTGAGACTACCCATTCGAATCAAATCCATGGCACCAAGATTCACCGCAACGGCTACGCCGCCCCTGGGCCCCCGCAGCTTCAATTTGGAGCCAATCTCAACACACCTCAGCAAAAGTTGGCCTCGTCAATTTTCTCGCCTTCGAGGACTGTTCCCGATTACGGAAGTGAGACGTCCACCGAGTCCACTACTCATTGGAATAGTCCGACCTATTCGGCCAATGACAGCCCGTCTTCTCCGGATTTAGACTCCGAGGTCGATTTTCTGGGTGAGGCCGATGGAGGTGTAGCGTTGCTACCCATGAGCCTCAGCGAGGAGCTGGGTCTCTACGACTCCTCCAATTCAGCGACTCCCACCCCTGCGTCGCGGGTCACACACAGCCCCTTCGCTCAGACTTCCGAAGGCCTTCTTGGTGCCGGTTTGAAACAAGCCTTCTTCAATGTACCCACCAACATCAACAGCATCTTGATGAATAACTTTGTTCTTACATCTAACCCTGCTGCGGTCACGGACCCATTTATTACTCCCCAGGTTGTTCATGAACCTGCCACAGAGCAGAGCGACCGGGAGACCTCGAGTCCGTTCTCGCCAAACTCGAAGGCCGCCGCCAAATATGCGGTCGCATCCGAGCAGCCTTGGATGGGTTTCACATGCTACGAAGTTCCGACTCGGCTTAGCAACGATCAGCTTGCCCCCAAGTACTGGACTACGAAGCGTGGGAAGGAGCGCTACATTCGTCACAAGCTTGGTGAATTGAAGCTCGATGACGCCAAGCTGCTCTCTGACCGAGGTACCGGTTCTGTCGCGCGCAACCCTGTCCATGTGTTCGTCGATATGTCGAACATCATCATTGGCTTTTACGACACGATGAAGGAGGCCCGCGGCATGTCCATCAACAAACGTGTCATGGCTCCTGCATTTTCGTTCAAGAACTTCCACACGATTCTCACTCGCGACCGAAATGTCGCGAAGAAGGTCGTTGCTGGTTCTGTGGCCAACTCCTACAACAAGCCTTGGCCCGAGTATATGGTTCGGGCCGAGGAGTTGGGGTATGAAATGAATATTTTGGAGCGCGTCCCGAAGCCGTCTTCGCCTATTCGCAAGCGCAAGACGAAGTCTGGGGTTCGGGAAATGGATGCGCCTACGTCTGGGGCTGACACCTCGGGCGAGGACTGTTTCGCGAAGCCAGCAAAGGGCGGCCCGGTCAAGCACGGAGAACAGGGTGTGGACGAATTGCTCCACCTCAAGATCCTTCAGAGCGCCATGGACACCCAGAAACCCGCCACAATGGTTCTCGCCACTGGCGATGCTGCCTCTGCGCAGTACTCGGACGGCTTCAAGAAGAACATCGAGCGTGTTTTGGACCATGGCTGGAACATTGAGCTTTATGGCTGGAGTCGGAATATCTCGTCGGCTTGGCGGGAGCCTGAGTTTTCGGAGGCCTGGGGCCACAAGTTCAAGATCATCGAGCTGGATGAGTATTGCGAGGAACTTTTTGACATGACCATCGAGTCATTGGAGGCTTAGGCTTCCCTCCTCAGCAACATTCCAACGGACGATCCGGCTTTGAGACCCGGTTCTCGATATCCCGCAGCTCCCTTGATGGGATAACCCTCGACGGCATGTATCACCACAATTTTTCACTTGGATGGCCCCAACTCTTTGGGCCCGAATGTGGCTGTCTGGGCGACCATTTTCTCGCCCACCATTGGCATGCATTCGGTCCCTTAAATTGGGCCCTTCGATCGACTTTTCAACACTTACTTTTCCGAGTTCATGCGCTTTTCCACATATTATTTTCGACAACTGCATCAATAACGTTTCCAGTGCCAACACAACGGCATCAAGCACGCGACCGCCAAAGTTTGCTTTGCTCCGGGGTTTGGCCAGCCTGGCCGGCCTTTGCCACTTCTTCAAGCACACCCAGGTCAACCCCCAAACTTCGCTCTCGGCCGACAATCTCGGATCTTTTTCCAGAGTATTGAGCCGCTCGGTATTCCTTGCTGCTCTTGCTTTCTCCGACTACAATCGTCCCTTGTTCCCCCAACGGGCGACGCAAGATGAGAGACCGATTCCAGCAATATGCAATTGTCAATTTTCCTTCGCGACATGGGCAACCACGACTTGCAGACAAAAACAAAAAGTACCAAAAAAATAACGAAATGACGATTTGATGACGACTACGACGATGACATGATGATCACGACTGACTTCTTTTTGGAACAACCTCGGCTCAAGGGCGCCGCATTTTCGGAATTGGGCACGGGGTGGCAGCTGTATGTTCCAACAGTTTCCACAGGTTCCAAACAGGTTTCAACCAATTCCAATCACGTTCCAAAGGATACGACCACCGTCGATCGCCCGGGGTGCGCCCTCTCAGCGTATTTCGCCCTTCACGATTCCATTTTCGGCCCCTCGATCTTCATCTTTCTTACACAGCGTCAGAAATCTCAGGATGGGAACAAGGACAATCAGACACGGAGCAAGAAAAAAAAGAGATGGAATAAATCATGGTGGTTTGGGCGGTGGACTCGCTGAGATGGATGGATCACAAGGGTATAAACAGCAACAAATGGGTACGACTTTGCATTCGGCAGGTTTGGGGTGCACGATCTTCGGCGCAAACTTCGGGATGGGCGATACGATACCCCCTGCATATTTGGGCTTCTGCTTTTTTCTGCTTTACTTTATTTTTATTTTTAGTTTTTCTTCTCGGTTATCAGAGCGCAGGATGCGTGAAGCCATATTTCCGAAACCGCTGTTTACAGCAGTTTTTGACGGGCTTTCCGTTCGGCCTGTTTGTCTTCTCTTCTTTTTCTTTTGGTCCAGTCGAGTAACCAACACCATTCCATACTCCTCTATTTCTGGAAGAAAATGGCGGTTTGGCGAAGGGATGCACGCCAAAAGGAACGGACGGAGTGGATACAAGCGGCGGGAGCGAGTATACCTGGGTTATTATTCCTTTTCATTCTTTTTCTTCTAGGCGTGGCATGCATTGCATGGTGTGAGACAAAGGCAATGGCGTTCTGGTTTTATTTTTCCCTCTTGTTCCTCGCTATACGTTGAATGTGGTGGCTGGTTTTCGGGTTTCTTCGTGATGGGCTGTTCCACCAAAAGAGAAGGAATCATCGATTGTTCTCTCAGATCATTCATATCCATGGGCAACTTGTTGCAACCAGACATGGAGAGGGAGTAGGGCAGGACAAGTCTTGTTTCTGTCCCAGAGCTGATTCCTGCTTCCGCGGATTGGAAATCATTTCCCTCTCCCTCTCTTTTCTTATCCCCCTGTACTAAACCACGTTGGAGACGGAACCTGGGTCTAGGTCCATTTTGTTCTCTTATCTTTCGGATGCGACCAAGCTTTGGAACAAGTTTGGCCCGCATTGAGGGATTTGAAATATGGGCCGGGTTTGGGACATCCCGTCGATGATGTCAAACTAATGGGATAGTGAGGGGAATCTGGATGGGCAGATCTGGATCTAGGAAATAGGAGAAGAAATGGTCATGGAAATAGATCAAGAGGTGGACTTGTAATACCCAAGATGTGGAGGTGGCATACTCCATGAGATATCTGGCTGAATGAGAAGTGGAATTTGGTGTGGACTCTACGTTACTACTGTCTTCGTGATGCACTGACTTGGTGATAATGTGGTGACTAACTTGTATCTGTATTATGTGCAGGATCACATCCAAGGCTTGTTGTGCGCAAACCATGTTGTTGCAAAAAGGTTTCTAGTATAATGTTGCCTCGCTCATCTACCTATGCATATCTAACCACCCCATGAACAAATGAACTAAGACTCTAAACCCACAACATCACCACCTCGACCATTCCTACCCAACAAACACCCCAACCTCACCACCCACATCCCCCCTCACCGCCTGCCTCTTCGCCCTCCCCTCCCCCAACTCAGCCATAATCCACTCATACACCGCCCACTGCACCGCATTCACAATAAACGCTCGCACACTACACACCCCCAACCCGCGGAAAAAAGGACGCAGCCCGCCTTGACGGTATGTTTCACGGGCTACTTCCCAAGCTCCCGGTGATTTTGATTCCGGTGGCCTTGTGCCGCCTGCGAGAAGGGATGTTCTTTCGCTGTTGGTACCTTGTTGTATTTGTGTTTGAATCTGGGTTTGAACGCGGGTTTTGATCACGTCGAGAGGGAAGATACTGGCCCAAGTGATGATGCCTGCCAGCCCACCGCAGAGGAGCACGCGAGCGGCGTCGCTGGTGAGGAGGTTGCTGGCTCCGGTATTGGAGTTATAGGTGGGGGAGGGGGAAGGGAACCAGCGTGTGCAGAGCTCGTATCCCCAGAAGTAGAAGCCGTATCCGATACTGTCTCGTAGGGCCGTGACGGTGCCGCCTTTGTAGAGGCCGCGGACACCGTGGGTTTTGAGGATGTCCTTGGTTATGTGCCAGGAGGATGAGGGGGGTGGTGAAGCCGGTTGGGGGGATGCGAATGGCCCGGGATATGGGGAAGGGATTTGCTGGCCGCGGAGTTGCGCTCGACATTTGACGAGCTCGGTTGGAGCTGATACTACCCAGGTTGCGAGCCCGCCTACGGCGCCGGCGAGCCATGTTGTTAGGAGATTGGTGCCACGTCCTCCGCTTCCACCTCCGGTGCTGTCTGCTGCTTGTCTTCCTAACCCAGCGCCGAGAACGGGATCAAACCATAATAAGTCGTTGAGAAAGGCTTCGGTGCGGTTGTAGGAGACGAAGAGCAGTGCGTTCAGAGCGCCGTAGCCTAACACAGGGGCCGCGGTCCCGACGAGGAATGGGCGGAAGTATGAGGATGCAGCAGACGGCAAGGATTGAGGGTTGAGTCGTTGAGAAATCGGGGAGCCAGAGGGTGTGAGTGATGTGGGTGGGCTGGTTACCGACGGGCTAATCTGGGTATGAGATGAAGATGACGAGAGTCCGGCTTGCAATCGGACTTTGAGCACATCGAGTGGGTTTCCCAACACGATACCGGCGGCGCCTGAGATGTAGCCCGCCCAGAAGTCGGCGGACATCTCGGCGGGTGGGTGTGATGATTCGCCGAGGTACCTAGGGAGGAGAGATACGAGCGGTATTGACACAGTCAGAGTTTGTGACAATGTAATTAAGAGGCTAGACCCGGCGGCGGGGTCTCACGGCGGGAGCGGGCCGATGTTTCGGGATCTTGAAGATCTTGAATGTACCTTTGTTTCCCACACCCGGGGTTGATGCTTTATTCGGTGATTGATGTGCTGTACGGTACAGGACAGCAGTATGGGGTGTGGGAGGATTACAGTACACAAACATGAAAACTCGCCCGCGATAACGGGCTCTGGGGTTTGCCATTTCGGCTTTCCTTTCAGCCGGGCTCCATAACAGCGAGGGGCTGCTCTGAAGCCCCGCCGGCTCCGTATTTTAGTTAGGTCTTGGCTCAGTCGAGGGAGTGAGATTGCTGGGAAGAGGGAATTCTGGCTGCCAGCCTGCAACGGCTCCCATTTGAGATGGTGGGGCACCTCGGCTTTGAGCCTTGCCAAGAGTTCCTGCTGTTGCGCCTGCAGGTCATCTAAGACACGTGAATGCAGGGGTGGTTGGACCACATCCAACCCTTCGAGTTCCTTCCTGCTTCTTCGAGGACTGACTACCCCTCACTGGAACGAGTTGGAATGATAGCCTTATTTTCTTCTTCACAGCCCAAGAATACCTGAGCATGCAATGAAAAAAAGAAGTCTTCATCAAGTGTGTGAGTGTGCGAACTAATCATCAGCTCAAAAATACAAGACAAGGGAAGGAACTAACCTTAGATCAAGGGAGATTACGAGCTCCAGGCGTTAGCAAAATCCCCGGGAAGGCTACAACCGGCACCCACTTTGGGATGGTTTCACAGGGCTCCCGAGCTCCTGATCACCAGTACCCTGCATGTTTAAAACAACGGTCGGTTATCCCCGAAGTGCGATGGGGACAAACCAAGACCGCCTGCCCCGTCTCTGAGCCCGGGCCGAGAAGGTCGGCCGGTCGAGGGGCCCGGGCAATCAGATGGCTGCATTTAGAGTGAGCTTATGCCTTTTGACAATGCCCGCGTGCGACCCGCGACAGGATTGCGGGGGTCTGCGGGATTGTCAAAGTCCGGGGACCCGGGTGTGTAAGGGTATGAGCAGAACTCTGCTAAGTGGGTGGTACGGTGTGCAGGTAGGTGGGGGCTGGCTAGGCCCTCTTCACATACCTGCCCTTGGTCCGTGTGTTGTGGTCGGTTGGTTGGTCGGTGGGCGCGCGCCATTTGTGTGTGGGGTGAAAAGAGGAAGAGAGTGTGGAAGAAGGTGGGAGGAAAGAGGGGGGGAAGGGGAGTATTTATACTTTTCGGGGGATGCCCCAAGCACGGGCTGAATGTTCGATTGTTGATCTGGAACAACCTGGAAATATCCGAGCGAGATGCGAGAATGGAAATTGCTGGGTAGAACTATTGTTCGGTCAACCTCGGTGCCCTTTCTTTGGGCCGTGATTTGCCAGAATTGGGCGAACAGGTAGGATGAAAGAACAAACCAGAATCTCGGAGAGAAATAAAAGGGACAGTGCCCATAAATCAACACCACAAAGACATTGACACAATGGGCACATACAACACGCACATACAATGCGCATGTTGAATAGAGTCAGAGTACAATGATCAGATAATTCAGATCACAATGGAATTGTAACGTCCACTGGAGGGTTGAAGATCGATAGAGCGGCTCAACCTGATATTTAGATTTACAGGAACAAAAAAAAAACAGATCTCATTACACAGTGGGGAAATGTGCCCAATCAAAGGTGAAAATGTAGAAATAAATTAGCCATGTGGTTCCTTCTAACTGGGATTTTGGGAAAGTGTTGTCAACTCCGACTCAACTGAGTTTACGGCCAACACGAAAAAAGAATGCACCGTGGCTGATTCTAGGATATTCTCCTGTATGTACGCACTGTAGTATGCAATGCACATGCAAAACACAGATGGAGTAGAATGCTGGTTTGGAAACTTGGAATGTCCTAGACTCCTAGATTCTCAGGTCTCGGTCTCTCGGAGACTCGGACTCTTGTTAATCGCTTCTGTAGTTTTCTACCGGAAATCGGTTCTTCTAGAAGAGGTAGATGCTTAATCTCCGTTACAAGATGAGGCCAGCTAATTCGACGGTAGATGATACTAGAAAACATATGCAAGGTTTACCGAGAATGATGCTTTTTACATCCACCTGCAGCGTGTTGGTTGACATCCGAAACGGGCAATGAGGCTTGACTTACAGAAATATGGGGCTGGAGGTGTGGCTGGTTCGCTGTTCTGCTCAAAGTTATGGTCACATGACTCCGTGGGGGAGCCGCGTTAGCTGCCTGCAAGCCCGACGCGTCTTTGAAATCAACACAACCCACTCCAATTGATTTGCCCCGTTACACCTCAAAAGTTTCCGAGTTTCCCACGCCACTGACCAGGCACTAAAATAATTGGACCACACGATTGTGAATTTTTCACTGGGACGTGGATTTGCTGTCTCTGGCCGTTGCATTAACATGTTCGTCCGTTTTCAAAATTCTTGGAATGTGCATACATGACTGATGGAAGAACATAGGATGGTTGCATTGCCCGGTACGCCCCTCGGCGGGAAACCGACTTCCGCGCCGCGCAGTCGCTTTCCTACACCACAATCCGTCGATCGTTTGCATAAACCGTTTAAATGTCCCGGGTCCGCGACACGAACTGTTGCCACAGACCGACCGGCCCGGAAGCGGAGGAAGGTCGACTACGGGGGCGCCGACGGCGACGCGGATGCTGATAAGCCATACACCAATGCTGACCGTCTCGCTTTGGCAAACCGCGATGTCAACCGGTTCCCTGTCTTCAAGGCCAAAGACAAGCATTTGGTCTTTCGGAAGGCCTTCTCCATCCCGCTCGTCAACAAGGACAGTGCAGCGTATAACCCTAATCGGCCACCTCCCACGCTGGGGCTGAGACAGGGCGCTGTGTTTATTGCGAAGCCGTTGCATGACCCTTCTGGAGAGTTTGCTATTGTTCTTCACGATCCGACGATTGATGACAAGCCTAAGGAGAAGCCACCGACGGAGGATAAGAAGGAAGCAGAGGCGGAAACGAAGGTGGACGCGCCCTTGATGCACAAGAGCTTGGCCGAGATTCTTGGCATCAAGAAGAAGGTCCAGGGTGAACACCCACGTGTACCTGTTGTGATTGACCCGAGGCTAGCCAAGGTGCTCCGGCCTCACCAGATCGAGGGTGTCAAATTCATGTACCGATGCGTGACAGGGATGGTCGACGAAAAGGCGAATGGGTGTATTATGGCCGATGAAATGGGTCTCGGCAAGACCCTTCAATGCATCACGCTGCTCTGGACGCTGCTCAAACAGTCTCCTGATGCGGGCAAACCCACGATTCAGAAAGCCATTGTGGCTTGTCCGGCTACTTTGGTGGGCAACTGGGCGAACGAGTTGACCAAATGGCTGGGAGCTGATGCCACCACGCCTTTCGCTATTGACCCCAGAAAGACGCCGAAGGAGGAAATAACCCGCCAGATTCGACAATGGGCCATTGCTACTGGCCGCTCTATCACGCGCCCGGTCCTCATTGTCTCGTATGAGACCCTTCGTTCCTATGTGGAAGAGCTCAAGAACACGCAGATTGGTTTGATGCTCTGTGACGAGGGACACCGGCTCAAGAATGAGGACAGCCAAACATTCGGCGCCTTGAACAACCTGAACGTTACCCGGCGTGTTATCTTGTCTGGCACACCGGTTCAAAACGATCTGACCGAGTACTTTGCTCTCATCAACTTCGCCAACCCAGCTCTCCTTGGAAACCGGTTAGAGTTTCGAAAGCGTTTCGAACTACCTATCATCCGTGGACGAGATGCCAATGCTTCTGACGCCGACCGCAAACGTGGTGACGAATGCCTCGCTGAGTTGATCGCCGTTGTCAACAAGTTTATCATCCGGCGCGCCAACAATATCCTGTCCAAGTACCTCCCGGTCAAGTACGAGCACGTGGTATTCTGCAACTTGGCGCCGTTCCAGTTGGACCTCTACAACTACTTCATTAAAACCCCCCATATCCAAGCCTTGCTTAGAGGCAAGGGATCTCAGCCGCTCAAAGCCATTGGCATGCTCAAGAAGCTCTGCAACCACCCCGATTTGCTCGACCTTGCCGCCGATCTGCCGGGCTGCCAACAGTTTTGGCCGGAAGACTACGTACCAAAGGATGCTCGCGGCCGGGATCGCGATATCAAACCGTGGTATTCTGGCAAGATGCAGGTTCTCGACCGTATGCTGGCCCGCATCCACGCCGAGACCAACGACAAGATCGTGCTGATCAGCAACTACACTTCGACGCTTGACCTCTTTGACCGTCTCTGCCGTTCTCGCGGCTACGGCTCCCTGCGACTTGACGGGACCATGAACAGCGCCAAGCGCCAGAAACTCGTGGACAAATTCAACGACCCCAACGGCAGCGAATTTGTCTTTTTGCTTTCCTCCAAAGCAGGTGGCTGCGGTATCAATCTGGTTGGCGCCAACCGGCTGGTGCTGTTCGACCCAGACTGGAACCCAGCGATGGACCAGCAGGCGCTGGCCCGTGTGTGGCGTGACGGACAAAAGAAGGACTGTTTTGTCTACCGCTTCATCGCCACGGGAACCATCGAGGAAAAGATCTTCCAGCGGCAGAGCCACAAACAGAGTCTGAGCTCGTGTGTCGTGGACTCGGCCGAGGACGTGGAGCGCCATTTCAGTCTGGATTCCTTGCGGGAGTTGTTCCAGTATCGGGCTGACACCCGCAGCGATACCCATGACACGTTCAAGTGCAAGCGCTGTCGGCCGGACGGGAAACAGCATATCAAGGCGCAGGCTATGCTGTACGGTGACACGAGCACATGGAATCACTTTGTGAATGATGCGTTGAATGGGATTCAGGATCATTTGCTGAAGCAGGAGTGTGGTGGTGACGAGGTTAGCGCGGTGTTCCAGTACATTTCTCACTGAGTGCTTGACGTGGGTGTTACTGTTATGAAGTCAATTTCTTACTCTTTTTTGGCTCTTCTTTTTTTCTTGACCGAGGCGAAATGGGTGGAAAGGGGACTCATTTCCAAGGATTGTGCTGTGTTGGGAGTCGACGGGTATTGCTGGAGCGAGAACTGCTTGCTGCCATGACTGATGCAGAGAAGATTATCACCATACAGTAGATAGCGGGAGTTTTCATCTACGAAGTAGACTTATGAACATTTCCGGGGAGTACTAGAGTACTACTACTATACTATCCTAGATGCGCAGAATTGCTACACACTCATTATAGCTCATCCTTACCACCCGCGGTCTTCACCTCCTCTTCCTCAAACCGCCTACTCTTCGGGTTCCGCTCGCTGCTCTCTTGCTCCCCCTCAAGAACCGTCACATCCCCAGGCCGCTTCCCCGCCGCCCTCTCCCTCGCCAACTTCGCAATCTCCTCATCATACTCCGTCCACTCCGGCACTTGGCGCCGTGCCCGGTCCAGCTTCGGTTCCTTCGTCTGCGGGTTATTACACAGATCAATGGTGCGCGCCTCCCGCAGCGTCTCATCGCTACACCACGTCTCACACCACAACCACTCCTGCGGCAGGCTGTGGATGGGGATTTGGAACTGCATGTGATTCGGCAGGTCCTGGTCCAAGTTCGCGAGCGAGTTGGGGTCGGCCGAGAGCGAGTGGTACTGTTGGCGGAGGCGGTCGCCAGCAGCCAGCTCGCGGAAACGGTGCAGGTCGACAACGTACAGCGCGCTGATGTGGTAGGGCTTGTCGCGGAGGTAGTTGGCCCAGTATCCCGTCTTCCAGAAGCGGAAGCCTTCCATTTCGGTGCGGGAATCGCACATGGGCGTGAAGCCGTAGGGGGCGCCGTCGAGGTCTAGGTTGACGAGGTCGTACATGTCTGTGCGGACGATTTGGTCGGCGTCGACGAAGATGACTTTGTCGAGGGAGAGGGGGAAGAGCACGTCGAGGAAGAGGATCTTGTAGCCCCAGATTTCACGTTGTTTTTCTTTTTGTTGGCGGAGCCAGTGCGGCCATTTGTAGGTGACCATTTCGTAGGAGAAGCCGTAGTGCGCGGCGAGGTGGGGGATGAAGTCTTTGAAGGAGGGGGAGAGGAACTGCTCGATGAACCAGAACTTGACGGTGTGGTTGGTGTGCCGCATGACGGAGACCATCATGATGTTGAGCATGCGCTCGTAAAGGTGGCCGCTGGCGACTGAGAAGATGTTGATCTCGGCGTGTTGCTGGGCGGAGAGTGCTTTGGCGTCTGGGGCTGCCGGCTTCGCGCGCCCGAGAAGGCCCTCGGCAAACCGGATGCCCTTGGAGACAAATTCCATGGCCCCATTGCCAGCCGAGGAGCCAGCTTGCGACCCCTCGAGCACGTCTTCGGTTTCCATACCCGGGTTCCGCTTCAGACGTGGGTATAGCGTTGTGCCTTGGAAATCCATGAGTGCGATCTCGGCGGTGTCGTCACCAGGTGATGGTTTCCAACCCAATGCCCCAACACTTTCCATGGCAAAGATGTCAGAGCTGCGACCTTCCTTGAGCCGCAGGCTGTAGACACCGGGATTGGCCTTGAACTGGAAGAAGCCGAGGTTGGACATGATGATGGTGTCGGCAAAGTGAGAGTCGTTTTCAGTGCCCAAAACGAGCTGCACGCCGCGGGGCGGCTGGCCGGCTGGGAGTTCGCGTGAGTGGCCTTCGATTAGAATGTTTTCGAGCTCGTAGATGGCCTCGATGTTTTCGGTTCCTCGCCTGGCCTTGATGTCTTTGATGCGGAGATTGTCCAGGTCGTCGACCGAGACCTTGGACGTGACGAGCCAGGCAGGCGGGACATCCATGCCCGCAACAAGCAGGGTATCTTGAGGGACACCGGCAAAGTTGGCCGAGAGGTCTTTGACTTTGCCGCTCTCATCGAAGCTAGGAGATGACTCGAGAACGTAGCGGTAGAATCGCTTGACGGGAAGCTCGCTCAGACCGTCAGTCGGGTTGAGGAAGACTTTGACGTGGACGCCCTCGAGCTCGGAGAGGACTTTCAACACCGGGGCCCATTTCTGGCCGACCTCGCTGGCGGGATTGATGGACGCAACGAAGAAGATGGTCGCCGTGGAAGGGTCACCGGTTTCGAACGAGGTGTGGGTCGAGTTAAGCTCCTGGAAGGCAGCCGTCCGGAAAGAAGATGCTGAATCAAAGATACCTTGCGGTAGGTCCGAGATGCCAGAGAGTGCCGTTACGGAGGTCAGCTTGGCCGCATCAAGGGGGCCTGAAATCTTGTCGCCTAGACCCAAGTCCTCAGCGGCTTTGTAAACTGGGAGAATTCGGCTCGCACGTTCAGCGTCGAGCAGCTGCTCAAAGTCCTCCTTTTTGAAGTCCTCAGCAGATACAATGGGGCTGATCACGCGGCCGTTGAGGATGACAGCATTGTCACCCGCGTTGAGATTGGCGCTGGCGAGGAACTGGAACAGAGCAAGGTCATAGGCACGATCAATATCCGCCCCCTTGCCTTCAAGAATAGTCTCCAAATCGAGGAGCCTGTTGACACTGACGAGGTCATTCTCTTTCGCTTTGATGACTTGAGTAAGCTGGGAAGGCGAGGCAGTGAGGTCCTTGGGGTTATGCACAATATCAATGCGCACGCCCGAATTCTCCTGGCGGAAGCGAAGAGCGAAGAAAAGCAACTTCTGGCCTTCGACACGGTCCAAGTCAGCAACAACGGTCAGAGCAGCCCAGTCCTCCTTGGTGGACTGCTCATCGGCCTCGACCACTGGGATCTTGCTGAGGGCATCGCGGTGCTCCGTGTACACCTTATTCACGTCGAGTATCCTGAGGTCCTTCGAGTCTTCGGGAAAGATTAACGTGTTGCGTCTCGCAATCGAGTTTTCCAAGAACTTGCTTGGCACCCAAGTATCATCGTTAATCTGGCCAAAGTACGCGGCATGCTGCAGAGCCTGAAGGTCGCCCATCAGCTTCTGATTCATGACTTTCAGCCAGTTTTCGTCGCGGGGGATCGCAAAGCCGTCGAAGAAGACGGACGGGACGTCGCCATCAGCACGGAGACGTTCTATCCAGTGCTTGGAGAGGTGTATTTGTTTCTCATGCTCCTCGGAGGTGAAGATGTCCTTGAAGGCCAGAGGAACGGACTCAGTGCGCAGTGCCCGGTCTTTGACGACTTCGTTGAATATCCCTTCATCGGGTTTGGCCGTCTTCTTCGCCTCCGCCGACTTTTCGAGATAAGCGATGGCCGCGGAAAGTCCATGGGTTTCAATCAGGTAGTACACGACCTTAGCTTGCTCGATGGACTCTCCGGTGGGAGTGAGCGGAACAAGACCAAACCGGATGGGAATAAGCCTCTTCACAAAACCGGTGAGATGCGATGTGACCAGTTCGATATCCTCTAGCTTCGTGAAGTCGACGGGCACGACCAGGTTAAAAAGATCCTTCCGGATCTGGGGCAGTCCATGACCAAAGTGTTGAATCAGCGACCAAATACTCGGCGAGAACTCCTGATAGCGCTTGTCCTTCTCGATGTTGTTGATCCAGACAATCACCCGGCCATCTTCGATCTCATCACGCCAATCGAACCGGCGCGGCTCATCGCCACCAGACTTTGCGTCGGCAATCTCGGGGTGTCCCAGCAATGAGATAGCCTGCTGACCGCTGAGGCCGAGATCAAGCACACCGTTGATCAGTTTGCGCTCGCGCTTGAGAAGATCCACCAGGCCGAATGGTTGGATTTGCCGTTCTATCAGCTGGAGGCCGTTCATCCATAGCAAGTTAGCGCCCTCCGGAATCAGCACCTTACGGTTCCCCTCATGTTCTGTCTGAAATTCTGCCGAAACGTTTTGCGTAGCGAGCGAGGTCGAGTACTTGGGAAAGTCCTGAGTGAGCTTGATGAGCGTGTCGAACGGGGACTCGCTGTGTAGGATGAACGACGCCGCCTTCATACCCAGAGATGCAAGCTCTGATTTCTCCAGGGGCGTGATGTCTGTGATCTCCTCTTCCGTCAGCACGGCCTCAGTCGACCGGATCGGTTTCTGGGCCTTATCAACCGGTGCCTGAGTGTCGCTCGTATCCCGGTCATCAATAACGATGTAATCGGTACGCTTTAGGGCGAGCTCAACTCCGTAGCCTTTGACGGACAGAGGCTGACTTGAGTGAGTCGCGCTCCGCTTGTACCTGATCCGGTACAAACCCTCGCTATTCCGGGCCATTTCCGCCGCAACCTGGTGAAAAATGCCAAAATTTGGTGCCGTAATGTCCGCATAGAGGATGACATCACGGGGACCACTGCCGGTTTTCCGATCGAACGGTAGCGTCCGAGATTGGGGGTCCTCTTTGACCTCTCCATGGACCGCATCCAGTACGGCACTGCAGAGTTGTTTCCCGTCCACAAGAAACCATATGTCACATCCATCTTGTGTGCCCGGCAACGTCGGCTCAACCGCGGTCGTGTAATATTGGTAATGCGCTTCGATACGGGGCGCTGCCGTCCGCATCGAGAGGGCTAACTTGAACGTCGACAGGGCCTCCCCATCCATGTGTCCGTCATTTCGAAGAATTTCGATAAACTTCTCGTATAATGCCTTATCTGTCTCGGCTTCAGCAAAGTCGCCTTTCGCGATCCGGTCGAGCAGCGCGAAGTATGCCGTGGAATTCTCGATGGCTGCTGTTTCTCTGTGTTCTGATGAGTTGACATTCGTAACGATGGAGAAAAGGTGCCTTACAGTAGCTCAACAAGATACGGGGCCGAAGGGAACGCTGCCTTGAGCGAAACATCAACAGATGGAGACCCTGCTACGTGGGTTGCGGGGAGCCATGACGCGAGAAACAGTGCCGTGAGGCCCCACGGGAGCTTTGAGAGTCGAAGCATGGCGCCTACAGCTGCCCAAGGGCGCCGCGATGAGTGGTGCTTTTGTTACAGTATTCCTTTTGTTCTGGATGTAGTGGTATTTAAGAAGCGTGAAAAGTTACGGAGTTCTCGGTTGGAAGGTGGTTGTTGCCACGTTGGCTGTTTGACGATGGTGATGGGCCAATGCCTCGCGTTGCAAGCCGCTCTTCACATCCAATGCTGGTATAAGTGAGACAATGGGTCTGGAATGGGTAAAGAAAGACGGTTGAATTTTCTTGGAATATTTGTCTCTTCGTCTTACACCCAATGCCTCTGTTTCCAGTAGAAGGCGGGGTGTTTATGAAGGTGAAGCTCGACTTTCATGTGGTTTAAGCTCCCATTATGGACACATCGCAAGGAGCAAAAGCCCAGCCAATGATGTTCACCTTCGCGTTTGGAGCTCTGCGCCCAGAGCTTGAACAAACGTCAGAAGGCCCGTGCTGATCCCCTGACAAGACCCCCTGGGCTTGGTGGGGGAGAAGCTCGAAGTGGGCCCGGAAAATTGAATGTGCGTTTGGCCTGAGGCTCCTCCACCATTGAACCCACACCATGTAACCGGCGGGAGATGCCACGGTTCCCGATGATTTGATTGACGGCGGAGAGGAAGCACCAAAAGCAGCCAGCCGGCCCCCAACTCCTCAAACCACCATCACCACCACGTACACACCCCACCATCACGCTCCCGGCTGCTGCTGAACGCACGGGCAACGCCTCGAGATTCGAATTCCGGCCTTTGCCACGACCGACTGCTCCTTGCCTATCACCTACCACCGCTGGATTTCCCCAGTTGATGCGGGCGCCTTTCAGGCCTCGGGTCCCCTATAGCCAAGATGCAGGCCTCCTCGGGAATGCTCACCAAGGTGTGTTTTCTTATGATGCAAAACAGGCGTCTGTGTAGGGCGCTAGAGCAATGTTGCTGATCTGTTCTTCGCATTGTAGTTTGAGTCCAAGTCGTCGCGCGCAAAGGGAATCGCATTTCACCCTAAACGGTCCGCCCCCCCTCCGTGGAGCTCCCCTCACCAGCTGCTGCCACGACGATAACCATACCATAACTATACCCTTCGAGACGCTAACGGATTGCCGCCTTACTACAGACCATGGATTCTCGTCTCCCTACACTCGTCCACGATCCAGCTGTGGGACTACCGCATGGGCACCTTGATTGACCGATTCGAAGAACACGATGGCCCGGTCCGCGGTGTCGACTTCCACAAGACACAGGTGAGGCTTCATGTAGTGAAGAGGATGGCTAGGATGATGGTAGCCAGGATGATGATGGCGAGGCATTACTGACGCTGTGGCAGCCCCTCTTTGTCTCAGGTGGCGACGACTACAAGATCAAGGTCTGGTCATACCAGACACGCCGGTGTCTGTTCACATTAAACGGGCATCTCGATTATGTTCGCACTGTCTTCTTCCACCACGAGCTTCCCTGGATCGTTAGTGCGAGTGACGATCAGACGATTCGGATATGGAATTGGCAGAACCGTTCCCTCCTCTGCACCATGACGGGCCACAACCACTACGCTATGTGCGCCCAATTCCACCCCAAGGAGGATCTTGTCGTCTCGGCTTCGCTCGATCAGTCGGTTCGGGTATGGGATAGTAAGGATTTCCACCGCCGGATACCCCCTAGCTTTATACGGAACTGACCAGCTGGTGAATAGTTTCCGGTCTGCGCAAGAAGCACTCCGCGCCCACATCGATGTCCTTCGAGGACCAGGTCGCTCGCGCGAACGCAAACCAAACCGACATGTTTGGTAACACGGATGCAGTCGTCAAGTTTGTGTTGGAGGGCCATGATAGGGGCGTCAACTGGGTGGCTTTCCACCCTACCATGCCTCTGATTGTTTCGGCGGGAGACGACCGCTTGATCAAGCTGTGGCGCATGAGCGAGACGAAGGCCGTATGTATTCTCAGCTAGGTCTGATGTGGCGACTTGGGCTCATACTAACCGATCGCAGTGGGAGGTTGATACCTGCAGGGGCCACTTCCAGAATGCAGGTGGCTGTTTGTTCCACCCGCATCAGGATCTTATTTTGTCTGCTGGAGAGGACAAGACGATCCGCGTCTGGGACCTGAACAAGCGGACTGCTGTCCACACCTTCAAGCGTGAAAATGACCGCTTCTGGGTGATTGCCGCGCACCCGGAAATAAACCTCTTTGCCGCTGGCCACGACAAGTAGGTGAATTTGAGCCCATGCAACTGCTTCAATTGCTAACGAGAGTGACAGCGGTGTTATGGTCTTTAAGCTTGAGCGTGAGCGCCCAGCATCGGCCGTCTATCAAAACTCGCTCTTTTACATCACAAAGGACAAGTGTGTCAAGTCTTACGACTTCCAGAAGGGTGTTGAGTCGCCGACGCTGCTGTCCCTTAAAAAGCTTGGCAGCCCCTGGGTCCCACCCCGCACTGTCTCCTACAACCCGGCCGAGCGCTCCGTTCTCGTCACCTCTCCGGCAGAAGGCGGCACATATGAGCTCGTTAACCTTCCCCGTGATGGTTCCGGCGCCATCGAACCCACGGAATCCAAGCGTGGCCAGGGCAACTCGGCCATTTTCGTTGCCCGGAACCGTTTTGCCGTTTTGAACACATCTACGCAGACGGTCGACATCAAGGACTTGACTAATAACACGACGAGGTCATTTAAGCCTCCTGTTGGCACCAGCGATATTTACTTTGGTGGCACCGGAAACCTCCTCATCATCACCCCGACAGCCGTGCACCTTTACGATATCCAGCAGAAGAAGACTACTGCGGAGCTCGCCGTCAATGGTGTCAAATATGTGGTATGGTCCAACGATGGCCTTTATGCCGCCCTTCTGAGCAAGCACAACGTTACCATTGTCACCAAAACGCTGGAGCAGGTCAGCACCCTTCACGAGACGATCAGGATCAAGAGCGCCACCTGGGACGATGCCGGTGTTCTCCTCTACTCGACCCTGAACCACGTCAAGTATACTCTACTCAACGGTGACAACGGCATTGTCCGCACTCTTGACCAGACCGTGTACCTGGTCCGCGTCAAGGGCCGCAACGTTTACTGCTTGGATCGCGCTGCCAAGCCCCGTATTCTCCAGATCGACCCTACCGAGTACCGATTCAAGCTTTCTCTGGTCAAGAGGAACTACGAGGAGATGCTTAACATCATCCAGAACTCTAGTTTGGTTGGCCAGTCAATTATCTCGTACCTTCAGAAGAAGGGTTACCCAGAGATCGCCCTTCAGTTCGTGCAGGACCCCGCCACCCGGTTCGAGCTTGCTATCGAGTGCGGGAATCTCGAAGTGGCTGTCGATGTGGCCAAGCAACTGGACCGCCCTAAGCTTTGGACAAGACTGAGCGCGGAAGCACTTGCCCATGGCAACCACTCCATCGTCGAGATGTGTTACCAGAAGCTCAAGAACTTCGACAAGCTATCGTTCCTGTATCTCACAACTGGCGACAATGCCAAGCTCGCGAGGATGGCGAAGATTGCCGAGCACCGTGGGGATTTCACCTCTCGCTTCCAGAACGCCCTTTACCTGGGTGAAGTTGAGGACCGAATCCAGATGTTCAAGGAGATTGATTTGTGTACGTATCTTTATGCTGTTTTGGTGATGTGCGACGCCTAACTAATGCTATTTTAGACCCTCTGGCATTCGCGACGGCCAAAGCACACGGCTTGGAAGAGGAGTGCCAGTCCATTCTCGAGGCCACAGGGCTCACCGAAGATCAACTCAACCTTCCTACTTTCGGCCAGCCCCTGACACCCCCTAAACCGGTCGTTCCCACGCACGAAGCCAACTGGCCCACCAAGGCGACTTCGCAATCCGTCTTTGAGATGGCCCTCCTTGGGCAGGTTGAGGGCCTATCGTTGGAGGACGAGCCTGCTGCGGCCAAGGCTGATGGGGAAGAAGATGGCGCGGCACGCGAGGGCGCCCTTGCGGAAGATGAGGATGAGGATGGTACCGGCTGGGATATGGGAGACGACATTGTGCCTGAGGTTGAAGAAGGCTTTGTCAACGTCGAGAGTGCCGATGCCGGTGGTGCTGGAAGCAGCGAAGCGGATTTGTGGGCGCGCAACTCGCCATTGGCTGTTGACCATGTCGCTGGTGGTTCGTTTGAGACTGCCATGCAGCTGCTCAATCGCCAGGTTGGTGCCGTTAACTTTGCGCCCTTGAAGCCCCGGTTCTTGGAGATCTACCAGGCTTCCAAGACATATCTGCCCGCGTCGGCTGGGTTGCCACCGCTGGTCAACTACGTACGCCGCACGATCGAGGAGTCCGATCCTAGGAAAGTTCTCCCCATCATCCCAAGGGATCTTGAATACTTGGCTTCCAACGACCTCCAGCGTGGTTACGATGCCATGAAGGCAAACAAGCTGGAAGACGGTTTGCAGATCTTCAGGAGTATTCTACACTCCGTCTTGATCAATGCTGTTGGCAGCGACAGCGAGGTCAACGAGGCAAGGAAGCTGATCTCTTCCGCCAGCGAGTACACCGTTGCCATGTCCATTGAGCTGGCAAGGAGAGCGCTCGGTGCCCCTAATACGGTTAACGCCGACCCAGCGTTGCAGAAGCGCAGCCTGGAGCTATCGGCGTACTTCACGATCCCCAAGATCGAGGTGCCGCATCGCCAGCTTGCGTTGCTAAACGCCATGAAGTTGGCCTTGACCAGCAAGAACTACAACTCGGCACTCAGCTTTGCCAACAGGATACTGGCCAACGGAGGTGCGGCCAAGATCCTGGAGAATGTAAGCTTTTCCCCTCCCATCACCCTTGTCACGCCAATGAGAGAGACCTAGATTAACAAGCATCACCAGGCCCGCCGTACCAAGGCTCAATGCGAGCGCAACCCCAATGACGCCGTCGAGATTGAGTTTGACCAGTTCGCCGAGTTCGAAATCTGCGCGGCCAGTCACACGCCCATTTACAGCGGCACCGCACACGAGGAGTGTGCGTTTGACGGGTCTAAGTACCACTCCAAGTACAAGGGTACCGTCTGCGTTGTGTGTGGAGTCTGTGAGGTCGGCAAGCACGGCAGTGGGTTGAAGCTTTTTGCTTGATTTGATTTGTGGGTTGGGCTGAGTGTTGCTTCTGGGTGGGGTGGGGAGAGGTTGGAAGGTCAATATTTCGGAATCAAGACAAAAGAAAACGGCTCATGAACCATGATATTGATGGGGCGGGCTTCATTGAAGCGGAGCGGAAAAGTCCAGGGAGGGACAGGGGCAGGCTAGGGGGTTGATTCTTGCGAAACAACAATGGGGATGGTTTGCATGTGGGAGTACGAGTTTTTAGCTGTTGTAGAAATGCAGAAGAGACTTTTGTTCTGACCAGATTTTGTAGCTTGAACGGGACGGCCAGAACGTGAGTGTGATCATCCGTTGCCTGGGTTGTTCCTGGATGTGTATTCTATAGATACAACCGTGAAGGAGTCCTCTTCTCACCCTCGCTTCACTGTCTACCAACAACCGGCCTCCCATCTCACCATCGCGTCCCCGTTAACTCATCCACCCCAGCCCATCTAGACAATCGTCTCAAGCTGGCGGGCATACCCTAGGGTATTCTCAATAACCATCTGGCTCATCTCCTGCTCTTGCTCCTCCTCACCCGTCTCCTGCGCCGAGGGGAAAAAGATCTGGCCGTCCTTAACGGTCCAGCCGCGGCTACGGGCAAACTCCACGACAGCACCCTCCGAGTCGAGGAACAGTAGGCTCTTGGTCGACGCAAGCGGGAGCGAGGGGTAGGCGCGCTCGCTAGAGGAGGCGATTTCGGAGCGGATTTGGGAAGTAAGGATCTGGAGGGTGCGGGGAGTCGTTAGCGGGTTTGTTGTGTTGTGATTTTGCGAGGTCGTGTGATCTAGGGGGGACGGGAAGAAATGCCGGAAGATGGGGGAAACAAACCTCAGAAAATACACCAAACTCCTCCCCCGGAACTTCACCTTTCTTCATCGCCTTCCACACCCTATCATAGCTCCCCTCCATCAACCACCTCTCCAACCGAATCGGGTACCCCAAGTACCGATCCCCCTCCACATCCACATCACCCGACGACAACGCCTCCAGCTCACTGTGGAAATCCCCATACAAGCCCTGCGTCAGCAGCAACAACAGGTACAATCCCGTGATCTTGTTCCTCTCGCCAGCAGCCTCCTTCTTCCCACTCTGTGTCGCATCGAGGAGCTCGTAGAACGGCCGCAGCTGCGCGACGTAGCGGGTGAACGCTTCCGGGTCCTTGGCGCGGATCGAGGCCAACGCGCCTTGTTCGTAGACGTCGCGGGCGAGGGCCAGGTGTTGCGGTGTGGTGGTGGGCGCCGGGGTCAGGGCGTTGAGCTTGAGGAGCAGGAGCTTGGCGCGCGAGAGGAGGGCGGCTACTTCGGGGTAGGGTGCCGAAGGGGGGGCGGAGCGCAGGCGGGCGAGGATTTTGGAGAGGTCGCGGTCGGCCATGGTTGTGTATTTTTGTGTCTGATACTCTTTCGGGGTCGGAGGGGTTCGAGCGTTTGCTGGAGGGGTGTTGCTCAGATGGTGGTGGGTATGTGGGGGACAATTGGCGAGTTGCTCGAGTCGGTGGTGGCGGTGATGGGAAGAATGCGCCTTGCTACCGACTATCGGAGAGGTGCAGTAGTGTGGGAAAATAGATTTCCAAAGTCGGAAATTATCGCGATGGTGGGGTGTTGGTTTTGTTAGTCTTGATGAAGGAGGGAAGGGAGCTAAAGTTGGGACTCCAGGTGAGGCTGTCAGGTGTCGGGCCGGTAATGGAGCGTGCGGCAGGCTGAAAGGCTGACGTGCTGTTGGCCTTGGCGGGCATTGCTTGGCTTTAACGAGAAAGCGCCTACCAGCTGTCGGCAACTGACATTGTCTCCATTGACGGCCCAAAGTTCCCTAACTATTTCGTACTTCGTACAACATTTTACATGTGTTAGTAGATCCTTTAACAGCTGCAGTCATGATGACTGCTTTTGTTTCCCAGGGGTTGAGCTGTTGACGGAAGCGAAAAAACATTCCCACCTTGGCCGTTGGCAAAATTTGATTAGCTTGTTCGGTTTTGATGCACAGCCTGTCTTCTTATTATGGATGAGGTGAGCTCCAAGCCCGCGTCGTCAAGCCACTACCAGTTTGCCGACCTCAGCTATTACCGAATTGGGACCGGTCGACTGGGCTATCTTCTTAAGAGAGAGACGACTGCGAAAACAGTTTTGGTGTTTTGATTGCCCCTTGTATCTCGAAGCCAATAATAACGGACTGCTTATATTCCCAATCACGCCGAGTTACTATCTTAGTGTGACTTTCTGTCTCTGCAAGATGCCGCTTCCATGATCACATCACACGAACAGACTTGTACTGAAAGGTGGGCGGCAGCGTGGGGTGTACGACCTGGAACTCGATGATTTTTGGGAGATATTGAATATGTGTCAGTTCACGTGCCGTTTACTTATCGAGATCGTACTCTCGTTTGCTCCTTCCTCAGAAACGGGTTGAGATCTAGTGTAGTTTCCCTTTTTCTTGACGCAGCACAAAAATTTGGCCAATGCTCTGAAATTTTGTGCTTGCTCCTAAACCGTTTTCTTCTTCACTTGCTTTTTAGGTCGATTTCGTCAATCACGGACCCCCGAGTGTTGTCATCCATCAAGTTCGCGCAGCACACGGAGAATGATTTGCCCCGCCAATTTGCAAATCGCTTACCCGCTCGAGCTGCAGGTGTAGTTAAATCTTCCGGCCCGTCCGGAAGACTTTGACCAACATGAACAACTTCCCATACGGGCAGGGTCACATGCATACCCGGCGATATGCCTCGAACGCGAGCAAAACTTCTTTCCCAACTCCCGGCCCGGGTGCCCGAATGCGTCCGTCAGGTACGTGATATTGACAACTCCACGATCCCGATTATCCAACTTGGTGCTCAAGTGGGGGGGGCAATGCATTCTATTTCTGGATGCACCTCCACAGAAGCCACGAAGAACAACAGGGGAGCTTGGATGACAGGGGGCAGAGCGCAAGGGGCGGCGGCGCCAAGGAGGGAAATCGGGCAGTGCATGTCCCAGCGAAATCACCGGGACCAGTGCAGATCGCAAGTTCCCAAGTCAGATTTTCCGCTTCCTGTCTGCGCCATAAACCCGATAGCGAGTGTGCTCCGGAAAAGGGGTCGATGTTGGGGGGGAATGGAGGATCCAACACGTCCCCGAGCTAGTTGAAACAGGGGTCTTGATTCCAGTTTCGGCACAACATCAGGGTGCAGCAGTGCAGCTCCACGCTGACTGCGGTCTGCTACTGTAGCCTTGAGATTTATCGGCCAGGCTTCCCTCCCACGCCTCGGGAGAGGCCGGCGGAAAAGCAAGCCATAAAGGAGCGAATGCGCCTCCTGTTGCTCTGGACCGTCCGATGAACTTCCCCCCTTGATTCGGATCGACAACCGACTCCTCCAGGCGTTGAGGAGCAACAAACAGTTCTGGTCAAAAAAGAAACGGTCCAGTGGATGACACAGCGGACAATTGAAGCTTGGCGCGCTGCTCACCTGCCGGGTCCCCGCTATCGCTGCACCCCAGCACCCCTCCCGTCACTGGTCGAAGCGGGGGAGACCGTGAAGAGCCACAGCACAACTTTTATATTCTATTTTTCGGGGGTTCGGCCGCATTCGGGCGTTGCCTTGGCTAACTATTCTGCTGGTTCAATTTATGCAGGTCTAGGCCTGCAGCCGCGCGACAGTTATCTCGACATGGCGCAGTTTGGAGCAACGTTTGTTCCCGGAGGCTACGATGACTATTCCATGCCCGAAGTCGTTGCGCCCGCCCCGCAAAGGTGAGTGCAGCACAAACAAGCCCAGAATGCTTGGCCCCTTTTATCCCACAACTGCGCAAGGCCGCGCAACCCGATTTCTGATGGCCTGCTCCTGGTCAAGATCGGGAGACACTGTCGATCCATCTACGCGGCATCTCTTCCGAAGCGGAGCTATTGGATGAGGCTCGGCCCAGACGCGGTGAGGCTGCACAAGGGCTGGAGGCTGACGCTAGTCGGGTCCGCCCGTCCCCAGGGTAATGCCCGAGGTGCCCCAGAACATGCAAGAAGATATCCAGCGCATGGAACTCGAAGCTCACGACGCTGCACCAAACCAAGACGGCAAGACGACGACGGACAGTGAGGAGGCTAAGGAGTAAGTACTATACGCCCGCCCGCGCAAAAGGCCGAAACGAGGGGCTCGGCCAACGTGATTGGACTGGGCCCCGTTCCCGAGGTGGATCGGGCTTCGCTGACACCTGCTGCCCGCGCGGCCTTCTTTGAACAGCTTCAAACCTTTCCAGACCAGTACCGCCGATTCCGCCGACATGGACGCGCCGTCCTTCTCCCCGTTCCCCAAGGTCAAGGGCGAAAACATCCCGCCCAGCGACGAAGAGAAGGAACAGATTCTGTGGCAAGCCCGTAACCTCGTCCTCCACTCTAACAACGTGTCGATGCAAGTAACATGGGCCCGCGACACTCTCATCTGGGTCGAAATCGCCCAAGACGCCGTCACACGAGAATGGAAGCGAGACGGCAAGAACAAGGAGCGGCCCTCCACCCCCAAAACCGAGCACGAGCTGCGTGTCGACGCAGTCAACATCCTCGATTACCTTGCCCAGCAAGACCACCCCGAGGCCACCTTTATGAAAGGAAAATGGCTCGAGTTTGGCAAATTCGGGTTCCGTGAGAACAAGCGCGAGGCATATTCGATGTACAAAAAGGCCGCCGAGATAGGATATGGACGGGCCGAGTACCGGATGGGCATGCTGTACGAGAACTCCAACGACATCCCCAACGCACTCAAGCACTACACGTTGGGCGCCCAGCTCGGCGACTCAGCTTCTAACTACCGCCTCGGCATGATGCATCTCATGGGACAGCACGGATACCACAAGGACTACATGCGGGGACTGGAGATGGTCCAACAGGCCGCGGACACAGCGGATGAGGATGCGCCGCAAGGGGCCTACGTATACGGCATGCTCATTGCCCGAGAGCTGCCCGACATCACCATGCCTGATCATGTCCTCCCGTGTGACTATGCGGTCGCTCGGCAGTACATTGAGAAGGCGGCTTATCTCTCCTTTGCCAAGGCGCAATTGAAGATGGGCCAAGCATACGAGCTCAGCCAACTTGGGTGCGACTTCAACCCTGCCTACTCGCTTCACTACTACGGTCTTGCAGCACGGCAGGGCCAACCCGAGGCGTCACTTGGCGTGAGCCGTTGGTTCCTCTTCGGCTACGAGGACCTCTTCCCCAAGAACGAGCAGCTGGCCTACAAGTATGCCATGGACGCCGCCCAGTCGGGGTTGGCGACCGGCGAGTTTGCCATGGGGTACTACCACGAAATTGGTATCCACGTCCCCAAGGACATTCGAGAGGCGCGGAAGTGGTATGAGCTGGCGGCCGACCATGGCAACAAGGATGCACGGGACAGAATCGACTCCCTCAGCCAGTCTAGGACACTGACCAAAGCTGACCACGAGACAACCACTCTTACTCGCATCAAGTCGCAGCACGGCTCTCAGCGCGGGAAGCGTCCGGACCGGTTCGCCAAGCAAAACAACATCATGCCTACTCTCAGCGAGGGCGACCAGAACAACAAAGGGCGTAAGTTTTACAAGTTTCTCCAGACGCACAATCGAGCTTAATAGCTAATGATATAGCAGCCGGTATTCAATTCCCCGATCCGTCTCCCAGGCCGCCTGCTTTCACTTTGAATCTCGACAACAACGACCCTTCTATGCGACCCAAGTCGAGTGCCCCATATCCCGAAGACGACGTCAGGGGCCCGCAACTTCATCCCGGTCCTCGCGTTCCAGTCAATGCTGGACCCCACGCAGACCGTCCGGGGAGTGCCTTTGGCATTCGCCCACTCTCTTCTGGCGGTCCTGGGCCAGGCCGACCGGTGTCGAGTCAAGGTGTCATGGGCGGGTACGGCCCTGGAGGTCCTGGTCCCGGCGGCCAGTGGCAGCAACAACCGCCTCACCCGCAGCAAGGGCGTGGCGCTGGTATCATCCCTGCCGGTATGCCAGTCGGCGACCCAACCCGTACACGACTTCAAAAATCCAACCCCAACTATCCGCCCGACCACCGAGGACCGCCGCCAGGCCAGTATCCTGGGGGTGGAGGTTACGGTCCTGGGCCTGGCCCCCAGCAACCAGGGCGGGAGTATGGACGACCTGGAAGTTCCCACAACCGCCCGCCCAACGACAACTTCGGTCCCGGCCCCGGTGGACCGTACGACCGGCAAAGTGTTCTTCCACCCGGTGGGCCCGGCCGTATGCCTGCGGCAGCAGCAAGTCAGCCTAACCTCCGTCCACATGGCGGACCCGGAGGTCCCGGACCAGGTGGGCGACCGATCTCGCATGTTGAGCCCGGTCCAGCCGGCCGCGCTAGCGCACCCCCTGCGCAGCCGAACGCTCGCCCTGGTCCAGCAGGCGCGACGCCGAGCCCTGGCCCCGCGGCGGCTGCGCAACGGCCACCCCCCAAGACAAATACTGGGAATTTGAGTCATCCCGACGGCAAGACTATGGGTCAGGGGCCCGCTACCTTCGAGGAGATGGGGATTCCGCAGGGTAAGGCCGAGGGTGATTGTGTAAGTTCCATTTTCCTGGTTCTATTATCTCAGTGATCTTGAATATGATGCTAATAGGCGACAACAGGTGGTCATGTAATCGCCTCATCTGATATTTTCATTTGGGGCTGGATTTACCAAGCGGTATCAGGCGAGATTTGGAGGAGGACAGGGCCGGGCTTGCAAAGATGGTTACGGCGGGAACCGGAGCAGACTTGCGTTCATCTATTCTCTCTCTGGCTTAGATTTGGCTTGGCTTTTAACCTTTTCTCTGGAGATTTCCGTGCGAATTCATAACGCCTTTATTCGATTCACAGCAGCCTGGCCCGCCATGTGAGCGCAGTTTCTGTAATCATCCTCCAGGAATGAACGGGAGGAACGATGCAAGGTACATCAGATTCATCATCCGATGGACTAAGAGACAAACCCGAACGGTTTAGATTGTATTTGGGTCGTGTAAATTGGCACTTGCCGGGGACAGCATCTCCAATTCGGGTCAGTGTGGGTTGGCATACGAAAAGACATAGACAGGTTTTTCTGGTGGTGATTCATTCAGGAGGGAGGCTCGGATAGCCAGCAGTTTGTTTCTGTGGCTGGGGGGGGGGAAACAAAATTTGTACTAATAACTAGATACATGCAAGCACGTATTGCATTACACATACACACGCCGGTGGCCCGCGGTTTGTGGCCCGGTTGTATTAATGGGGATGTCCCGTCAAGGTCGAGGACTATTCTTTTAATTTGACGTTTTTCCGCAGGATGTTTTTTTTGGAGTCAACTCTATTCGTGGCCCGTCTACTATGTACCTTAAAAATGGACACCAACCTATGTCGTTATTAGATCTATCAAAACTTGGTTGGTGACCAATGAGGGCGTGCGTGGTTAGAACTGGAGATTGTTAAAAACACCCCTTGCCGTGGCCGGCCGGACCTCCGTTGGTTGGTAATTTTCGGCTGGTAATATTCGGCCGGTACGGCTCGTATCGGTTACATGGATGTTTATTACCACTTGTCAGGCCGGTAATTATTCTGAGAATGAGCGAAAGATAACTAAGTGACGTCAATTATGAAGAGACGTCTACTTTGGACTGTAGGCCGTGGATTTCCTCTCCCGGACTAGTTTCTACTTGCTTAATGCCGTGCTTTCCTTACTTAGTTTAGAAAGAACCGTCATGCTTGACCTCGTGCCAACCTGCTGGGCCTCCCTGATAGCTGATCTTGTCGTTCAACGGAAAGGCTTTCGCCATAGCTTAGCCTACCTCTAGTCTCCAACGTTGACTATGTAATTATCTGTTTTGGCATTTTATTATTATTCTACAGAGAGGGACGTGATTCAAACTTGGTGCAAAGGACTTTACACATCAAAAGGGCTTGTGAGTTGATGAGGATTTCAAACTTGACATGATAATCAGTGGGTAATAACTCCTACCAACTCCAACACTTTCTTTGGAGTCCTGGATACACAATATCTTAGTCAGGTTTGACCATTGAGTTGTCAAAGTGGGCAAACGTGGGAATCATGATGATTAGGGGACGGCATAATGGAGAGCAGATATTAAATTGCATCATTTTTCGAATGAACTCTTACGCTAAACAGGCAGGAAAGTGTCTATTATACACTTACCGCTACTAGCAAGCTGACGGTCAACAATAGCCCAGCACTGTCCGTTTATCTAACGAATCGTGATCATCACTTGTCAGTCATATCCACGGTTCCCTAACTTGCTTACTTCCTCACCGTCCACTCACCTTTTACCCCTTGATGAACTCTAAGTATGTAGGTCGAGTAATCCCTCACATTCCCTCTCCTAAAACATCCCCTGCTTACTTACTTAATTACCCCTACGTCCTCGACGAATCTCCTCCTAGTACTGACCAAGGTGGGAAAAGCAGGTCACATACTCAACCAACCCCCATTCCACCCCCACCATCCCCCTCGTGACCCCCCCTCTCTTTGTCCCCCTCCCTGTCCGTCACCCAGTCTTGGCGATCCCTCTGGGCTTGTCGTAGACGACCACCCCGAGACAAACTCCTCCCAGATCTGGCGGACCCGTTCGGCCATGATCATGCCCCAGGATGAGGCGGCTGCTGGGTGGATCGTGTTGTTGTTGTTGGAGGTGTGGGTGTGGTCGGTGTAGGTGTTGGGGTTGTTTGAGGGGTGGGTGTATTGCTGGTAGGGGTTGTTGTTGTAGTTAAAGCTTTGGTTGGGGTTGTGGTTGTTGTAGTTGAAGTTTTGGTCTTGGTAGAGGCTGTAGTAGTCCGATGGGCCAGACTTGGTGTGCCGATAGTGAGCAGAGTTATAAGTGGGCTGAATACTCGGATTATAGCTGTTATAAGCCCCGTAAGAACCATAACCATACCCTCCAAAAGGACACCCCCCATCCAACGCATCCCCCCTCACAAATCCCACATTGACTCTCCAATTCGGACACAACGGACAACACCTTGCCTTGCTACCCCCCCAGCCCACCCTCTCCCGCTGACAAAAGGCATTGGCACAGGAACCCCCGGCCCAGACGGGTGGACCGCTGTTGACGTTCCTGTCATTGGTGGTGGCGATGTTGTTGAAGCCTGCTTGTTTATAGCCGGACCAGAACCCGGTGGGGTTCGCAGTGATTGCGGAGTTGGTCAGTGAATTATATGGTGGCGATCCATCAGGAATCACACCAGCGTAGACTCCCGGCCCCGGGTTAGCCCCCGCCCATTGGGCGAGTCGGGCCTGGTGGAGCACGGAGTCGTCGAGTCGGTAGGCGCCGGTGTGGTAGCCGGTGTGGGAGGAGGTGTCGTAGTGGGTGATTTTCTCTGTTTCGTTATTGGTTGTTTGGGGGTCCTGGGGAGAAGGATAGGGATAGGGATCGGGGTAATAACCAGCCGTGTTGGACTGCGCTCGGGGCAGGTTACAATGCCAGCGGTAACCGTCTTGTTGGCTGAGGTCGGCAGTTTGTTCCTCTACCAGCCAAGCAAGAGCCTGAAACGGGTTGGTGGTGGCTGCTTTGTGGCGGGCCGCGGAGGAAGTGTGTGACGAAGAGAGTTTGGACGGCTTGGAGACACCACGGTGGGTGTTAGGTCCCGGGAATATGGTTGTCGTGGATTGGTTTCGGCTATGCGACCGCGTGGCTGGAGGCGTGCGTCTGTACGCCGGCGGTGGGGTTCGGTAGGCCGGTGGGGGGGGACTGTCAAGCAGGTCTTGGTTTTGGATGTGGCTCGGGCTTGGTGTAGACATGGCGCTGTGGTGGTCCGTCACCATCGGCTCGGTGTCAAACATCCACGCGTTATCCCGGGGACTGTCCAGCGAGACAGGCTGACTTGGAGGTGGAAAGTCCAGGTCAGAGTCATCAATCCCAAACTGCCGCACAGTATTCTGCCGTTGTGCCTCTAGTTGTGCCAGCCGTTTTTGAAACTGTTCGTGGAACCCTTCCATATCCGTGCTTGGGTCCAGTTCGTTGATAGAGAACTCGTCGTAGTCCGTTGATCCAGACCCCGACCCCGGGTCTGATGTTGACGAACGTCGCCTTGATCGCGGCCGGAGGATACTGCCCCAGTCTTTCTCGCCGCTACTCCAACCCTTTTCCTCGTCCCTTTTCCGTTTCTCGCCCACGATCCGATGTACCCGCTGCCGCTGCTGCCGCTGCTGTGGTTCATCACTATCCTCCAAATCCCAAAACGTCACCCTCTTCCCTGATTTCCCCCCTTCAACCTCCATCTCCACCTCCTCAACTCCTTCCTCCTCCTCAAGCCCACCTTGAGTCCCTCGCCCATATCCCACCCCCCCCATAAACCTAACCATCCCCCGATAATTTTCATTCAACCTCCTCACCCCAACCGGATTCCACTTCGGATCCAACAACCTCTTCCTAGCCCCCCTCAGCGCAGCAGGCGGGAGATACTGCCTTGCCTCCTGCAAGTGTCGAAAACACGGAAACGGCAGGATGCTTGGCTCCCGACGGATCGGCGGCGTGCGGTTGTGTCGAAAGCCGGTGAGTAAGTGTCGGAGTTGGTCGATTTTGGGGGCTTGGGCGATGGCGCAGGGGCGGAAGTTGGGGGTGTGCGTGCTTGGTAGGTGGGGGTTGGTGTTGTTGGGGTTGGTACCGGTGGTGGTGGTTGGGTCGAAAGGGTGGTCGGGACAGCCGCAGAGGAAGAATTGGTAGAAGTAGTGGCAGTCGCAGACGGCGCGTTGCCAGAAGGGGAGGGGTTGGAGGGGCGGTTTGGGCCAGGGATTTGGAGGGGGGTTGAAGGTGTTGAACATTGTGAGCCTGCTCTACTGTGTTGTGTCTTGTTTATTTTTCTCCTTCCTTCTTTTGCTTTTGCCTTTTTCTTTTTTTTTCACACTGATTTCTTACCTTGGTCTAGGAATGCGTCTCAGACGGCATAAAGTTGTGCAAAAGAGAGAGGCCCTCGGTCGCGAAGGGTGGTCCTGTCGTTTTTATTCAAGTCTTGACGCCCGCTTGTGTTGTGTTGCTTTGATTGACCCATGTGAACAGGGCCGGTTCCCGGGGAACAGCCATGCAGTAACAATCAAATTGTCTGTCACGCCCCATCTGGGGACAAAGACACGGCCCCCTCAAGTCCATTGTTCTGATTTTCCCATGGTCGTGTGATGACACAGTTGCGGTACAGACTCCCACAAAGAAACCAGAAAACAGCACGGGTGTAAAAGGGGTGTAAAACAAAAAGCTCACCACCAAGCCCTATCCTCATCTGAAGGAATAGTGGTTAGTGGCTACGAAAATCTTTCTGGTGAAAGATTTTTCTTCGCTGGCCCCGGGAGTCGAACCCGGGGCCATTTCGATTTACGACGGCACCGGCGATGCTCCTCCCAATGCCGCTGCGCCAAACACGCTGTTTGGCGAATTGGGAGGAGCTGGTGACTGTTTCGCCGTGGGATCAGATATATATAGTCTGGGAGGGAAGGTACTCATTTATGGTCAGCTAGGGGGGTGAGGGGGGCCGGGTTTGGGGCGGAAACGTGGAAAGGAAGGTGCGGTTGTGGGTTGTTGAGAGTGAGCTTGGAGTGGAGCATCTTCAGTCAGGGAATTGGTTGGGGACTTGTTCGTTGGTGCAGAGGAATTGATACATTTCCTAGGTGAGTTGCAAAGACGGTTCTTTGTTCAATTACCGACAGGCACATCCAGTTGACCCCATGAAGGGATGGCTTACAGGTACGGTTCGGGTTCGGGGTTAGGGTCGGGTTGGGGTTACAATGTCAAGGAACTCGCAAGTTTATCTTTGACAACAAACATTTTGATGAGGCCAAGATCCCTCTGTTTCATGCGACGAATCTGGGCACACCAAATTTCCTTTTTCGTACAGCGCCCACGTGACGTCGCTCACCCCGGCTCAGGGCCGGCTCAGGGCCGGCTCAGGGCAGCTCAGGATTGGCTCAGTCTTGCTCACCCCCCGAACCATTTCTGGAAGGCTGCGCCGTAGCATCCACAATCACTTCAACTCTATTCGTAATCAAGCGAGCCCAAAATTGGTCCCATACATAGAAATGGCTACACCGGTCCCCGTGTTTAGAAAGCGAATAGTTCCACCCTAGCTTTTACTTCGATATCTCGCACCTACCTACAGTTAGCCGTATATACTCTTTTGTTATTCTATACCTTGAACTTTTTACTACCTGTCACGACCCAGGTCATAACCAGCATGAAGGAGCACGGACCAACCGTGCAACCATGTCTCCACGCTAGTCAAGCTCCTTCCCCACCCTCCAACATGGATCTCCCCTCCAGTACACTTGCTGCCCTGCTGTGTTTGGAACTGACAATCCTTCTAGGAGTTCAAGATGTCACGGTCCGACTCGACAACGTTTCTCGTTCCTCACCCTCCATCTGTGGACAAAAGTGTGACACACGCGGCAGAGTCAGGACAGTCCTGTGCGGCATGCTTCCCCTTGACAGTCGGCGACGGAGATTGCGTCGACCGTGATACATTGCTCAGTTCGCAAAATGGCGGATGCACGATTTGTTCTTTCTTCATCACAGCGATTACGACAGCTGTCGGGTCGACGGCGCTGTGGAAACATGCGTCAACGTGGATAGATAAGGGCATCTTGGGCCTCACTATCGCCAAAACCGAGCCCTACGACAGCAGCTGTGTCGCCGTTCTCGCCATCAACGGGGGTAAGACCAACCTCAGGGCAGCAACAGCGCATGCAATCACATAGGTTGACGATATGGTTTTCACTGTCCAGAGAGCGGTCCGTCTCCATTCGCCTGGATTCCAACGCTAGCCAAGTCGCCCTACTCTCGGACGTTCGCAAGGGATCTTTGTATGATCGAAGAGTGGATCCAAGAGTGCCAGCAGAATCATCCTCATTGCCAGCAACTCAGCACCCCGACGTTGCCGACAAGAGTAATTGACGTCGGGGGCGGGGGACGAGACCCTTGTCTTGTTCACAGCCAGGGCAGAGCCGGACAATACCTCGCCCTCAGCCACCGCTGGGGAGACCCCACCTCCCACGTCACGAAGCTTGTGACGATGAAAGAGAACATTTCCCAACACTACCTCGGAATTCCGCTGGCAAACATCCCGGCCACGTTCCGCGACGCCATCATCGTTGCCAGGCACCTTCGGATACCATATGTCTGGATCGACTCGCTCTGTATTGTCCAGGATGACCGCGAGGACTAGAATGCCGAAAGCGCCAGGATGGGCGATGTGTACGAGAACGCTTTTGCGACCCTCTTTGCCGAGCGCTCCAGGCATTGCGCTGACGGCTTAGCTTCCACCGGCCGGGATCTTGACACCGCAAGGGAGTGGTTCCAAACGTTCCAGTTCCAGCATGACGGCAGTCCAGGGAGCAGTCATGAGGTTTTCATCTCAGCCAAACTCACAGCTTATCCGAACTCTCTACAGGCTGCTTTCTGTCTCTTTGGGGAAACTCAATCCTACCTGGAGACCCGCGGTTGGATATTGCAGGAAGAGATCCTGAGCCGTCGCAAGATCTGCTTCTCTGCAACCGAATTGCATTGGCAATGCAAACAGATAAAATGTTGCGATTGCGGCCTTCGCACCACCGTCCTCCGAGGCGGACAAGATGTTCCTGACTTTACCGCGGGCTTGCTGCACAAAGTCTCCTGGGATGGTCAGGTCACCAAACGAATGCTCTCAAATAGACAGTACGTAAACACTCTGATAGCAATGGATCCCGACAAGTCATGGCGAAAGTTAGTCGAGGCCTATACACGGAGGGAACTGTCTTTCGAGGACGACCGCCTGGCGGCCCTAGCAGGCATTGTTTCGAAGATATCAAAGAGTATGAGAGAATCTAACACGCGCTACCTCGCCGGTATTTGGTGCGCTCATGCTACGAGTCAGCTGCTCTGGCGGGCCAGCACCTCCACTAACGCGGTACCTTGCCGAAGGCAACGCCCAGGCTTTGCGCCAAGCTTCTCGTGGGCGTCCGTTACCGGAAGTGTTTCGTTCCTTAATCCTGATAAACTCCGAAGCTGGGTACCATTAGAGGTGATGTCGGATGACTTGGGGTCGTTTTCTGGGTCTGACTCCTGTCTCCGCGTCAAAAGCAAAGCCCTTAGCGCCATCGGCTACAAGCGGCGAAAGACCGGTCCGCAAGAAGTCGGCTTCTGCGTGCTCAAACCCGGGAACGAGCCGCTGCCTTTCCAGCAACTCCACCTGGACACTCCTGAAGATTGGGAGTATTTCACCGAGGACGAAAACCGCAACTTTCTGTTTCTCATAACCCAAGTCGTCCCATTATCGGCGTTTTCCCGGTATCCAATGGGATTATTGCTGAAAGAAGCCACCAAAGGACGCTACGAGCGAGTCTGCTTGGTACACGAAGTTTCCCATGATTACAAGTGGGAAACGGTTGGAGACTGGGCGTTTGATGTTGAAGTTGTTCTTGTTTAACCCCGTTTAACCGAGGTGAGAGGGAAACACGATAGCCTAGCAACTCGTGCAAGTGAAAGGCTGACTAGAAAGGCTGAGAGACAGAGGAATGAAAATACAAATGTCCCAGTTCTGGGCCCTTACTTGAAGGGACCATTTTTGGGCTCGTCGGTTAAAATTAACCTTCTCAACAAGGTGATACTGCTTAATATGCATGGGTGGGTGTCGATTTTGGCTTGGTATAACACAAGGAACCATGCTCCATCCGCCCGCCTTGTCATACCCTCTCCATCGAGAAGGAAAGCCGCCTCGTACTTGGCTCATCCCAGTTCCTCGGCCTCGAATCGATCCCCAACCCCTCGCTCAGCCTCGCCTCAACCTTCCACTTTGTCCCCGTTTTCCGTCGCACCTCCTCCCACATCTCCTTGAACGTCTCCACATTATGCTTGAAGATCATCTTCGTCCCACGACTACTCACCTCCTTCCCAGCCAAATCCCCTACGCTCTGCCCCACAACAAGCACCCCCTTCTCATCCCTCAGCAACTCCGTCACCCGCTCGCACGCCTTGATCTGGCCCTCGAGACCCCAAATATGCAGCACCATGCCCAAACTGACGATGCTAAACGTACCCGCGGCCTTGCGCACCTCTTCGTCCTCCCGATTGAGCGAGTCCGCAGCAAAGAAAGTTGCCTCTCCGAAGCTCTCCGCATCATCAAAGAAGGAATGTCCAATCCGTATGAACTCCGCTTGCTTCTCCAGCCCAAACAGTGAAGAGGGAGGGGCCCCGTCGTACGCGAGCTTGCGCAGGTCTTGCGCCAGGCAGCAACCCACGTCCAGGATGCGATCGCCGCCGTGGACCAGGCGCTGCAGCATGGTGGTGTACGATGGGTTGCGCCGGAGGGAGAGGTCGAGGAAGCGGAATTGGCCTACGCAGGGCCAGGGGTGGACGTCCCAGATTTGGTCGCGTTGGGAAGTGGACGGATATTAGCCGAAGCTGAGCCGGGCCTGATCTGGACTGATCAATGCTAATGAAAATCCACGTGACTATGAGCATAAGTGGTCGTCGATTTTGGGGTGGTATAATGGTTTCACCGCGTCGCCTACCTAAGTACTAGATAAGCCAAAGCACTGACTACTAGTCCTGGCCCCTGCCTTTCTGCCAATTATCATAACACGAATTCTGTCTACCCTGTCTATAGCTGTCTTACCTATGCTAAACGAAGGAGTTTCGTCACAGACTATTTCTACTCGAAAAAGCACAGAACGTTCACCACTTTATAACAGTGGTAGTTGCTATTTTATCTAACGACATCTAATAACTAGGCATGTAAGTCGTAATTAGAATTATTACCTGAGAGCTATCCTTACAGATTATGCGTTATCTGCCTCTATCGATAGGAAACTTTAGCTGGGGGACTGAAAAGGGGCCTCAGAGGCTGTGCGGCGGCGGTGTATGGGTTCACCCTAGCTCAGGGAAAATCAGGGGAAGCTCAGGACAAATCAGCCACAGCTCACCCCAACTCAGGACGACGAACGAAAAAGGAAATTTGGTGTGCCCAGATTCGTCGCAGGAAACCAGGCTGTTTCGGATCGATCATCACTATAGAGTACAAAGTATTTAATTAATTAAGCCGATTCATCTGTCACCAATCACCGCGACCCTGCAATAAGCTCTCGAAGAACAAGGATTCAGCCGTACAGCGATTTATCAAAGGGTCATTGTTTAGTAACTGTCACGTGCCTAGATAGTTAGGACAAAGCGAAAAATTATTAGCCCATTGACTAATTAATTACGTAACCAGGTAATTGGCAAACAGACGTGCCTGGACTTTCCATGGGTGCCGTAGTCCTGTTGCACATCAACATCAAACAATGTTGACACTAACTTGGACACCCTATCTCCTTCCCCCTTTTACACGAGATACCTGACAACCCACACCGCATTTTCAACCACCAACTCCCTAACTAACCAATTACATGTTCAACTCACCACAATCTTTCACGGATCACGCTTATTTTTGACCGCGTCTTCGCCAACCAGGATCGGTTACACGGAACGGGACCTACAAAACGCCATTGCACCATACCTACCACACCGGCCGCTCTTCCCTTCGAAAAGCCGCCTTGGAATTCGGCATCCCCCTGTCCACTCTCCGGAGCCGAGCCCGTGGCCACCAGTCTCGTTCAACCGCCGCTGAATCACTCCAGCTCCTAAGCCCGGCAGAAGAAGCCAAACTAGCGAACTGGCTTTCAGATCAAGCGTCTCTCGGCCTTATATTGCCACCCCAACGGATCCGGGCGTTGGCGAGCTTGACTCTAAAAAGCCAAGGGTCCAGCTGTACTACCGTTGGACAGAAATGGGTGGCCGGGTTTATTCGAAGGAACCCGATTCTCAGTAATTACCCGAGAGTCCGTGGGACCAAGATGGCCCAGATCTGCCCGGTTCAGATCGAATCGGTTCAGACCACCAGACCCTCAACCCCTCCTCAACGCTCCCGACCACCATCAGAAGACGACTTGAGCACTCCAAAAACCAGATCCGAAATGCGTCGTCAACTGACCTACATCCTGAGCATCCCGCTTACCCCCTCTCAAAACCCCCTACCACCACCACCAGAGATCGATTTCAGCACCCCATACACCAGCGCACAGCTTCATAGGCAACTAGACCTTTTAGAGAACTACGACCTGCCTATGCGCGCCAAGCGGCGTTTATGCAGGCAGATTATGAAGGCCGCGGATCACCGAGCTGCCACATTGGCGCGTATGAGACAGCAATGTCGGGATATGAAGGCCCAGTTGGCTGCGTTGGAGGCAGCCCAGGGATCGGAAGGGGAGAGCGTTGATACGGACTCGGATATCCGGTCTGACGGGGTTCAGGTTGAAGATGGTTGTATTGGGGATGGTGTGGTAGAAGAGAGCAGGTCTGAAAGTGGTGGTTCAGAGGGGTCTTGTATTGTAATGGGCTGAAATGGTTTCAATAATTACGTGGTGGTGAAGAAGGTCCCAACTCGTGACAGAGGTGGTACATAAAAGGAACGCCCACTAACTATGGCATGACAGCACTGGGCTTTCACCTCGCTCTGTGGGATTCTTAAGTACGGAGAATACGGTGTCACAGCACTCAGATGGTTGGCAATCCCAGGGCTTATTGGTCATTAGTCAACGCCGCCTAATCATTTTATTGATAGGTAGAAAAGAAGAGACGGAGATTATTTTTGGTGTTGATTGAAGCGAAGCGTTCCTTCCTGATGCGGTGTTGAGATGTAGTATATACATTGAAGAAGGGAAGAAGGAACAGTCCAAAGTTTTGATAGGAGCAATTGGATGCCACAGCCAACCTGCATAATTGCTATGTGGCTAAAAGACGTACGATAATTATCGGAAGACGTACGATATCACCAGTGTTCCTCTTTTTTTGGTCTATGGTAACTCCCTTCTTCGTCTTGTAGTTGATGAACCACCAACCTCTTAACCACCGACCTCAAACCACCAACCTTACAACCACTAACCTTACAACCACTAACCTTACAACCACTAACCTTACAACCACTAACCTTCGCTTCACACTTATCCCTGTGGCTGGCCGGAGGCGGTGGCACAGTTAGGGATATTTTACTCGGAGTAAGTCGGAGCCCTGGATTGCGAGGACAACCGAGCACCCGAGCATTTGAATTTGACTTTGCATCTCCCGGCCTCATGAACTGACCGACAAGTGAAATACCCAAAGAATACCCACCGCTTAGACGTCGGTCATATATCGGCGGTCTGTGAAGCTTCAGCCGCGGCGCGATGACTAGCAATCGCATCACCCACTTCTGCCGCCGAACCAAACCTCCCATCCCAGCATCTCCGGATCACATCCCCCAGCGGCAGCCCGCTCACATCAGGGTACTTCCCTTCCTCGATCAACCTGACAAGCGCTCCCACTTCCACTCTACGGTGCGGCTGCTGACCAGCCAAAATCTCATAAATTGTCAAGCCTAGAGTGTGAATCTCAGACCGAATTGTCGGCAACTTATATTCTGCCGGGTCCGGATGATGGAACCCGGCCTCAGCCCAAATCATGGCCTTGACACCATCCAGTGAGGACCCGCTGAAATCACACAGCAGAATCCTCTTATCCGCCGTAACTGGAAGATTACGTCCCGACAAATCAGCATGCCGCACATTCTTACTATGAATATACTCTAGCGCGCGCGCCACATCCCTACACCACCGAATCCGGTCTCCCGCCGTCAACTCCATACCGGCGACACCACCATCATGCTCGTGCTTGGCGCTACCACCCTCATTCACCAACCGCAGAAAGCCGTACGCAGCCCGCTCCATCCAAATACCGTACTCGTCGACATCAACAACCTTGACAATGTTCGGATGGTTTGTGCCGAGGCGGTCGTAGATCTCCTTCTCGATGGCCATCGCCTTTTTCCCGGCTGGCGTCGGAGCGGGGACTTTGCAAACCAGGCCCGGCCGGTCCGGATGGATGTACACGTAGCTGAAGCCGCCGCCCATTATGCTCCTGGCGCCTGGGGGATGTTTGAAGATTAGAACCTTCACGCCGGGGGGAAAGGGTGGGCCTTTAATTTTCTTGGGGGGGGCGCCGTGGACTCGGTGTTTTGGGCTGGGCTCAGTGGGCTGGATTGGTGCGGTGGCGCATCGGGGACGGGGGAGTTGGTTGGCGGTTTTGACGACATGGTGGATAACGTTACTGGTTGCTTGCTGGGGATTTAACTTTGGGTGTTGGAAAACTTGGTGAATGCAAAGAAGGTAAGACTTCTGTTTGGAAAGGAACCAAATTCATCCAAACGACTGATTTAAAGGAACCGAGGCGGTCAGAGAGTGGTCGATCGTGCAATGGGTTGCCGCCTTCATTTTGGCGCCTGCCGCCCAACTAATTATGCCTCGCTTTTTGGGTTGCTTGGGCAAATGACCATCGGGCCAGTAATAACCATGGCAAGTATGGACCATTGCACCAACTGACCAACATCCCAACTAGCCCGGCCGGCGGCCGTTGTTTATGGCAGCGCTACTCCGACCAACCGACCAATCAATGGATATTAGCTGCAGGTTGCAAGATGGAGTTGCAGCGCATCGCCAACAAACAAGGGGTCGAGTGGCCGGATAGGAGGTGTGAAAATAGAATGAAGTTTGAGGGAGCTTGCATTGATTGTCTTTTAGCTTTTGGTATTTAACAATACACTCAGGTGTAAGTAACGTGCGTTTTGCGGTGCGGGACGGTAACAAGTGATTTCCCACAGAGATAACCCCAACCCTGGCACGCATGTCCCCCCTTTTCCGTCAGTCATCAATCATCAACCGCAGTCAACTCAATCATTTGTTCGGTTTACACAGTCGGCTTACGCACTCGGTCTGCTTGCTTGCTCAAGAACGCAAAACACCAACAACACAATTATCACATCACAGAGTTGATATAATGTATTTCCATATCAGAATCGAAAACGGATTAATACAAATAGACCTAGTTTCAAAAAAAAAAGTCCTAAAAAAGAAAAAGAAAAGAGAGAACGAATACAGCATGGTTGAACAAAAGCCGCTCTAAAGATCCAGCTGGGCTTTGCTCTGCTCTGCCATGTGTAAGTAACCCTGTATACCCCGTATCGCTGCGGCCCTGAGATTGCTGTGGCCTTGGTATTGCTGCTGTGGGATGTATATTATCCCCATCGTCGCGTCGTTTCGGCCCGGGATGTTGCCCCGCCCACCCAGTTGTGTGCTCGTCCGTCCAGCTATCCATGCTTCGTCCATCCATTGCTCCATCCATCTGTCAATATGTTTATTGCTTTGTCTTCCCATCCATCTATCCGTCCACCCATCTGTCTATGCCCTGTCCATCCAACCCCCTTCTGCCTACGCATGCAGTCCACCCCTAGACAACCTCACTTCTTCCCCGGCACCCCCAGCCCCCCAAGCACAACCTCCTCCTCCTCCTCCCCTGCCCCATCCTTACCCCCCAACCCCCCCTCATCCTTCCTCCCCTCCCTCTCAGCATAAACCCCCACCCTCCTCTCCGCAGCAAGTCTCAACCCCTCCACATACGTCCGAAACTTAACACTCTCCCTGAGCAAATACTCACTCTTCCGTTCCCAATTCGCCATCGCCCTTGCCGCATTCCCGCTGCGTGGCGAGAAGGCGCCCAACATTGGTGATCGGAGGGCATTGTGCGATTGCAGTTCTGTTTCGATTGACCGGACATATGCGAGTAGGGAGACTAACTGGTCGGATTCGGAGAGGGGAGAGGCGCGGGTTGGTTGGGTGGGAGGGGTCCAATCTGTGATGTGGATGCGATCACCGGGGAGTTTACTCGTGCTCACGCCCTGGGTGGTGCTGCCGCCGGTGTTGTGGCGGGGGATATTCGACGAGGAACCCGTAAGATGCCGCGGCAGGGAAGCACCGCCCAGGACGCCAGAGGATCCCGACCCGGGCCGGACGACGACAGGAGCGAAATCGAAGGAGGCAGAGCGCATGGACCGGCCGGATTGCATGGAGGAGCGGCCGAGGCTGGTGAGGGTTGCGGCGGCGGCGGCGGCTGCGTTGACGGCGCTGCCGGGGCGGGAGTGGCCTTTTGTGCTGCTTGGTGGGCGGTTAGTGTTGCTGGCGGCGCCGCCGACGCTGGTGGTGCTTTCGCTGGCGGCGGCGGCGGTGGCCGCGCTGTTGATGATGGCTTCGCTCCAGCCGTATTCGATGTTGGAGATGCCGCCGACGAGGGGGTGGGTGCTGAGACGCGCGCTCCAGTAGTTGGCTGTGTTGACGAATTCTTTGCAGATCTCGGGGGTGCCGACTTGGAAGAGATGCACGGCGCCCGTGGGCAGGGAGAGCGCCCACACATGCGGGCGAGCTCGGGAGTAACCCGGAGGGGGAAGCGCCGAGGCGAGGGTTTGTCGTAGGGAGAATGTCCCCTGGCTCGTGGCGTTGTCCTGCCAGTTACCGCCGCCGACGACAGCCCCCTTGGGCAGCTGGCTGGCGCCGAGACCGCGGCGGTTCTTGTGGCGTGCAGACTTGTTCGGCGAGAAGGAGAACAGACTGAGCTGGCCCTTCTGGATGACGGCGAACACCTCGGTCCAGTTGCGGTCGCGGGCGCGCTTGTCGATGCCATCGAGATGGTGTTTGTGCGTGACAATACCCTCTTTAATCCACGGCGGGCCGGCCAGCTCGAGGGACTCATCGTCCAGCAACTGCTCGCTCTTCAGCGGCACATGCACCTCATCCTTCCCGCCAGCTGTGGCCGACGCTTCCAGCGCGCTGTCCTCGCGGATAATCGCTTGGCTCAGCGCGTTGGCAAACCCAATCGACTGCTGGAAGTCGCCGCGCGGGTATGACGACCCGAACGAGTCCATAGACATGGATGTGTGGGTGCGGCCAAGCGAGAGCTTGCTCCAGGTAGCGGACGAGTCGGTCGGGGTCCAGACGGAGTTGGCGTCCTCGAAGCTGGTGCGGCTGGATGAGAAGCCCGTGTTGAAACCGCGCGGGCGCGACCGGCTCTTGGAGTTCCACCGCGACGAATTGGCCTTGTTTGTGTTGTTTGTCGTTCCGCTTCCCTCGGCTGGCACCCGGCCACGCGTCGACGCGACCCCTTCCGACGGCGCCTTGCTCAGCACGCTCGGCGACCGCTTGAGCATGCCCATAACCGACAGCCCACTCGGGGTTTGCGGGGTGTTCTCGGCCCCGAACAGCGGCAGTCGGTCGTCGCGGATGGACGCGTAGATGTCCTTGAGCACGATCTCGACTTGGGTTTCCCATGCGCGGATGGGGCCGTCGAATGGTGCCTTAACGAGCGGACCACAGGTGTCGGCGGGCGATGAGTCGGTGAAGACGCCAATCGCCGAGGTCGGGCGTCCGGCGGGCTTGATGAACGACGCGCGGAAGCTGTTGTGCTTGAACTCATCCGACGTGCGAACATCTGCGTCGCCGCCTTTGCCCGGGAGAATACTCGGCCGCTCGAAGGCATCCGGAGCCGAGTCTAGCACGGCCTGGCGGATGGTGGTCATGGTGTTCTTGATGAACTGGCTGCGCGTCATCTTGTGCTCGATGTCGGCCATGTGCAGGTCGGTGTTGAGCAGGATGATGGAGTAGCAGATGGTGTGGATGACGTCTATTGTTGTTAGTACAGTCAGTCGATTCACTCCGGGATCGAGTACTTAGGGAGGAATACGAGGGCAAACTCACCACTCGACTTGAACCCATGCCTCACATTACACGCACACCACCTCTTCGAAAACGCAATCAAAATCCGATCCACCTGCTGCGTCTCGGCCCTCAACAACAACCGCTGACACACCATTCTCAAACTCGCCACCACGCTCTGGCCCTCCAAATCATACAACTCCATGTACGCCCGTAGCGTCCGCTGCCGCACGATGCCTTCCTCGCCCATCCACGCGGCGGCCCGGTCCTTTTGGATGAAGTCCTCGTTGCCGTCGTAGATTTGCTGCGCTTTTTGGCGTTCGTCTTCGGTTGGCTCGCCGATTACGATTTCGGGTTCGTCGATCGATTTGGAGGGTTGCGTGGCGGGTTTGTCTGCGTTTGTGCTTTTGCCGCTGCCCTTGGGACTGCCCTCGGCGCTGTCGACACGCAGACTGGGCACGCTATGCACGACGGTGGTCACCTCAGGCGTGACGCCAAGTGTGTTGGAGTCTCGACGTGGAGTTTGTAAGAGGAGCGGTGGTGGTGGTAATTGATCTTGCTGCTGCTGTCTCGTCTCGCTTGTCCGCACCGAAAGCCGCGCAGCCTTATTCAAGTTTGGCACGCTCTTCGACTTGGACACGGCCGGCGAGAGCGACCGGGTCCGCCCATCAGCGCGCGCATTGGCATTCCCATTCCCAATCCCGGGCTTCAACGTCTTGTTGCTGTTCTCCCTAGGCTCGGCGGGCCGTGGCGTCGTCTTGTTGCTCTTGGTCTTGCGCTTCGGCATCGGGCTCTGGCCGTCCTCGCTGTCGCTATTATCCCGCAAGAACGACTTGGGCGGCGATTCCATCGGCGACGACTCAACCGGTGCACGGCTCGGAGTGGCCACGGCGGGCAAATGGTGGTCCTCCGGGTCGACCTTGCGGATGACCGCTTTCGGACTCGGCTCGTAGTCGGGCGAGAAACCCCGTGGCGTGCGGCCTTCGTCCTGGGCAGCAGCAGCTGTTTTGCCGCTGGAATTATTATAATTATTATTGTTGTTTTTAGGGCTATTATTGTGGTCATCCATCTCATCATCATGCACATCGTGAGGCTCAATCGAGGGCAAGACCGAATCCAGCGCTCCTGTGTCGGGGCCCTGGATGGGACTCCCCTGCAAAAAGGGGTCCATCGCCCGTCGCAAGCTGGTAATGGGGCTCGGCTCCGGTTGCATGGACATGGACAGCGCTTCGACCCGGTCCATGGCGGGAATCCGCACGGACGGCGCCATGGGAATCGGTGGGGGCTCTGAGTCCGTCATCGAGGGTTTCCGCCGGCGGAAAAAGGACGACGTCTTCTTTTGCAGCGTGTGCGTCGTGGCCTGCTGCGCCATCGGCCCGTCACGAGATGAAGTCGGTGGAGGGGTCGCGGACAGTTTGTGAGGCGGGAAACTTGCTATTTGCGGTGTTGTAACGGGGCTCGACACGGCGCTCTTGGACGATCCGAACATGCGGCGGAAGAAGCCCTGCTTCTCTTTGGCCTGCGGCACTCCATTGCTCGACGGCACCGGGTCTTTGGACTTGCCGTACCCGATATGCGGGGCCGGTGCAGCGTCATGATCCGGCAGCAGCGGTGGTGCATCGCGGAGGGTGTTGAACTTGGGTTCCGCCTTGCGGCCGAGCGTCGCGCTCCTCGACGACCGGGTGCTTCTCCGGCGTTCCGGGACGGACCCCTTGCTCGACGACTTCGCATCAGCCTTGGGCTCTGGCGGGGCCATCACGGGCATCACAGGCATCGATGGTGCTGTGGTTAACTTCCGGGGGCCTCCTGGGATCGTGGGAGTGGGCGCGGCGTCGAAGTTGTCGTTGAGGAACGAGCCGGCGAACTCGAGCTGCCACGGGGCTGGTGAGGAACGCGTTTCCCCGTCGAAACTAGAAGACCGGCGACCGATTCCCTTGGCCCATCGCTGGCTGCCAATGACCTGGGCATACCCACCTGCCGCATCGACGCTCGTCATGCTGCTGCTCTTGCTCCCTTTTCCTCCCCTCGAATGCAATTGTCGTCCTGGGCTCCGTTGCGAGACTTCGCGCAGGCTATTGATGCGGCCTAGGCCAGGCGTTGGGTGGTGGTGCTGGTGATAGCTGGGTCCGCTGTTACTACGGCGGCGGTCGCGCGGTGAGATGCGGCTTGCGTCGTCGGTTCCTTCGTAGTCGGAGCTGTACGAATGGCCGTGGCCGTGGCCGTGGCCGTGGTTGTGGGAGTGTTCGTTGACGCTGCGACTCGGACGTGGCAGCTGTTGGTGATGGTGATGGTGATAGGACGAATTGAGGGTCAAGGCCCGGTCGTGGTCGTCACCCGCGTAGGTATGGTGTTCGTGTGTGTGAGACGAAGCAGATGCTGCAGATGGGCCAAACGACATGGACAGCTGGTCGAGCGACAGCAGCATGTTCGCCACGAGGGAATCGCGGGTGACTTGGCGGGGCGACAGCGAGAGATCGTGCGAGTCGCGTACGGTGGGGCGGTGTGGTGGTTCCGGGCGTTCGTTTGCTGTGTTGGGCATGTCGATCGGGGGTAGGTCGACGGGGGTGAGGCCCTCTAGGAATGTCTCAATGTCCGCTCCGTCGCGTCCCGTGCCTGGGCCGCCGTCGGGAACCCGCAGCGCTCGGCTTGTGCGAGGTGAGCAATCGCTCGGCGTGCGAGGCAGGCCGTGCAGGTGCTCATGCAGGTCGTCTCGGCCTCTGTCCCTGTCTCTGTTTCTGTCTCGGTCGTAGCCTCGATCAAAGTCTTGGTCCGGGTCCCGTTCCCGGGCTGGAGTTCGAAGTTGCTCGTCGCGGCCTCCGTCTCTTTCACTCTCTCTTCCCCTATCCCTATTCCTTTCCCTGTCTCGTTCTCGCTCGGGAGCGCGTGGTGGTGGAGGTGGAGGTGGGGGGGAAGGCCCTGCGGTATCAATGTTCAGATCAGGCTTACGCCGGCCGCTACGACGGGAAGAAGCGGCGGCATTGGCATTGGCATTGGCATTGGTGGTCGTGGTGCTGGTGCTGGTGCTGGTGACAGTCGTGTTGGTGACAGTCGTACCGGCCGCGGTGTCGGGGGCGGGCATAATAGCGAACGTGGGCGTGGTGGGAGTGGGAGTGGTCGAGCGAGAGCGCGTGGTTGGTTCCCCGGACAAGCAGCGATCGGGGGCGTCTAGGGCTGGGAAAAGCAGCAAGCGACGGGATCGGGACGTGGCACTCGCAGCCCGCGTAACGCCATCCATCCGTGGGCGTGGGACAAAAGTGACAGGAAAAGAAAGAAACAAGTTGGGGAAAAAACTGGGAAGCCAGCCAATCCCGGCCACGCGTTTCCTCGCAGGCCAATGCCGCAGCAGCAAAGAGCGTGACTGCGGAATAACTCAAATTACACGGCACACCTTGGGGGGTCAACCGTGTATTCCGTCTCCTGTTCTGCCGTTTTCTTGTCTCGTCTTGTCTTGTGTTTTGCTGCAGGTGGTTTGCAACATACGCGGATAAGAAGACTGGATGAAGTGAAACTTGGAATTGGAAGAATGGAGTGTCTCCGGCATGGAATGGATCTGTCGGTCCAAGCAGTGTTCGTGCCTGGCCCTGTTCGCCCAGGGCCACCGGCGTGATCCCTGGGGTCCTGCGATTGGGTTCCTGCAATGGAGCGGGGATCTGCCAGCCGGGGGGGTCGCAGGGACCCACTGATGTTCAGCGGAGAAAAAGCCTACTGTCAAGCATCGAGCCCGCTCTTGAGCCGATTCACCAAGCTGGGATGAACGACTGCAGCAAGTCAGATTGGATGAGCGCCGATGAACGCAGGAGAGCGTGGATGCAATTTCAGCCGGTTGGTTTGACTGCAGGAAAACATACAGCTTCATTTCCTTCTTTCCGGTGGCTTCATTGTCGACTTCTCTATCGGTACCGTTCTTTTTCTTACTACACACTTTACGAAGGTACGACGTCCTGTTCGGCACGATCGTTTCGACCAGGACCCGCACTGGCCCGTTCCTGCAGCGCAAAGCAACATGCCCCTATTCCCCTGCAGTCGCCGGGCAGGTCCGTGGGGAACATCAAGAAAAAGCAACCCCTCGGTCGGCCGATTTGACGCCAAATTCCGCCAACTTGACCATGCAACAACGATCCAGCTTCCGTTTCTGTCCAGCGTGCATCGACTGCATTTAAACATGCCGCTGCCACATGTTAAAAACATGGGAAGAGCGCGCAAGAAACAAGGGGAACACGTTGACCAACGCGCTTCGATGGGGCCCGCGGACTTCCACAAAAATTTAGAAAATTGTTGGTAGCCCTGCTCAAATAACTATATTCGATATCGCAGACCGTCAAAATGCGCCTACCTCGGTAACACGACCAGTGTTTCAGACAACACAAGACTGATTCCCATGTCCGAGGTCAAAAGACGTCCGGGTCCCGGTACATTCTGTCAAGAAAAGGCCTGGGCACGGCTCCCACAACCGACCGTGGGTCCAATGTTTCAAGCCTCTTCCCAGGGTTAACTTTCTAGAGAAAACTCGCGTTGGTGCAGAACTGCATCACTTCCAACAATCGAGGACATCTCAACAATCGAATGCAAAGGTTAGGACAAATTCCCTCGTCCAGATAACGCCTTTTTCAACTTCCCAATCACCTCATCAACGCTCCAGCCAGTCATCGGTGCTCAAGGGTCCTGTTACACCCCGTTCCGGTCAGCATCTTGTTTCATCCACTGCCACGTGTACACCGTTGCAACCCCGAACCTGCAGGGCTTTCGGCAACCGTGGAAGACTGCCTTGACTGGGCGAAACGGGACGCGGGTGGCAACTTGCTGCTTTCGGCTTATGGTTTGCCCCCTGTCTTTTTTTTGTTAGTAAGGACTTTGTAGAGTAAGCCGGGTTTAGACAGAGGAACTATGCCCAGGCTCGGGGATTGAATTGGATTCGCATCAATCTTGAGGCTATAACTGCAACAGATTTCGTTTGCTTGTTTCGGGAAGAGTGGTAAACAGATTGAAGGGTTGTAGTTGGAGATCAAGCTGTTTACAACAGGAGATAATGCGGTTGATAGGAGAATATCTCACGAAATAAAGATTCAAAGCCCGAGCAACAACAATGTGGGAAAACTCTAGGAAAATCTGTAAACAAAAGAGACCCTTGGCGACCTCAGGATACACTTGCGTTCACGTAAACCATGTTGCTAAATTTAAGACCCCAAGGTCAACATTTCAAGCATACTCCCGCCGCTAGCATCTCAATCCTGACGCCCGGTAAGCACTACCATCACAATCCACACAACCCCTTGGATCGACAAGCACCTGCTTTGCACACCCGACAAACGGTTGAAACGACCAATTCACATCGGCGGGCTCTGGGCAAGATCTAGGACCAGCCGCTCTTTGCGAAAATTTTACCCCCGCTGCGAACCATATATCACTACTCGCCCAAGTGACCAAGCTCAACTTTGTGTGAACCTGCCTTTGAAATTTCCTCCCCCTTCGCTCCCCCCATTTCACCCCTTGCGTGCTTCCCCAGGCCGGCTATCTGACGACGCCTCAATGTCAACGTAGGCCTTGTGGTCGTTGTTGGCGTTGTTGGCGTTGTTGTGGGCGTAGGGGGGGCTGGCAGACAGTCGGGCATCGTAGAAGACATCGATCAGGTCTTCCCCCAGGGGTACGGTCAGAATCAGAGCCGGCGGAGTAGTCGGATCGGGCATCGTAGAAGATGTCCCGGCAGGCGGCCGCAATGTTTCTTGGGGAAGGCTCCTGACGGTTCGCTGTCCGATGAGTCGACGAGTGCGTCGCTTAGCAGACAGATGCTGTGTGTGACCGGGCTTCGCCTGTTCTATTAGATGGCGGAATTGCCGGCCCCGCTGCGGGCGGGATCATGATGATCTTCCTGTCTAGCACGGTTCCTATACCGTCCTCCAATGATTCTTCCGCCTCGCTGCCCCGCCGGCATGCTTATCACCCCAGGTGAAATTAGGACCCCGCCGCCAGCTCCGCCGGTGTTGTCAAAATCACACAACCATCCTGCTGCTTTCCTGATCCCAAGGCATTGAGCCAGCGATGAGCAGGCAGGCAGCCAAGATCATCCACCCTTCCATCTCTGTGTTATGGCCAAGGTACTGCTACCTTCAAATTGTACTTGACGTAGGCCAGGTCCTGAAATTCAAAGGCGAGAGATGACTTGGCGAATGCCCGGATTTTGTAGCTGGAACCGCCAGCCGTGAAGCCCAGCCCGCAGCGGGGTGGGCAAAACCGCCGTCTAATAGAGCGAGCGAAGTCCCAAATCGAATCGGGCGAACTCAGCAACCGGGGTGTCAGTGGGGTCTTCCTCCGGCTATAGGCCACCGGCTTGACGGTGAGATTGTTGGTGTTAACATTGTGCTGGCGTTCTTGGCCGGCACACCTCACTGGCTTCGCTCCGCCATCCTCGTCTCCTGTTCCCCACCGATTGTCGCTGGAACACCTCCCTTTCAGCTATAAGACAACTGGTCCTCCTCCTGTCTGTCTTCAACCGGCTAACTTGTCTTGGTCGTCATGAACTTTGTAATGGTTGTCTCAGGGGTGAGAGATACAAAGAGGTACAAGGAGGTGCAGGAGTATGTGAGGTGGACTTACCTAAAATCCCACTGTGTCGGGCCGTTCCCTAAACACTCAGGTAAAACCCGTGAAGTTTTGTGAACTCACCCGTGTTCGACGCGGATCCCAAAACCGCTAAGGGGCCGGCAACCCGGGTGGGGACATGTGGGCGATGGGGCAGTACCCGGCCGATTCTTGCGAGAGGGCCATGCGGGAGTTGGAGTGTGCGAGCCTGCCCACTTTAAAACGGCGTGGAGAAGAGCGATGAGAGGATGGTATGGGGAACTAGGAGCAAGAGGATGGTATGGGGAACTAGGAGCAAGAGGATGGCGCTCTGAAGCCATTCTGCCAAGGCAGCCAAGCAGTAGGTTGTGGGTGTCTCCTCCTCCAAGGTTTCGGAGAGATTACCTACCTATCTTTCCTGGCCCGCTCTTGGGCATCCCGCTTTCTTAAGGCGTGCAGAGATGGCTATTACCCAAATGCAAATTCTGGCTTGGTTGTTTCCGCCGCCCTTTATTTGGCGATTTTGGGCGCCGCACGGCGAAAACCGGCAGCCCGGCGCGTCGGGGTCCCCAATGTTAAAATTCTGCCTGGCAATCTTCCTCTGTCCTGGTGTTCCGTTCCCTCATCCTTGGTGTTCTCAGCGGGAGTGGCCTCGGTGATGTTCATCTTCTCACCTATCTTCTGGTCTGGGGACAGATCAATGGCATGGTTCTTGGTGGGTTTCACACTGATAAACTGCTGCGCTGGCCATTGATCGAATGTATCCTGCCTGCCTTTACTTTCACCATTCTTCACGTCCAATGTCCATGACGAGCAACACTCCAAATTCTAACATCTTCACCTTCATATGCATCAGCGCATCTACTTTGCACCTCTGGTGGGAATCAGGCCATATAGCATTAGGAAAGGCTGCCCTGGGCGGTTTAGGCCTGATGCTATCAAGTTAACTAGCCTAGGCCGAAATTGGGAATCAACAAAATTTAGGTTCCGCTATGCTCTTGCCTTCCAGCTCACTGCCTCACGCAAGGCTGGAAATCCCCGGACCCGCGCAGCAAAAATAAACTGCCCTTTGCGAAAATTCTTTTTTTGTATGTCGAAGCTTTTCCCTCCGGACAACAAATATGTTAAGAACTGCGACCTACTCCAATATACCAATCGATCTTCACCCTTCATACAGACACAGGAACAGGTCGTTGGGAGTACCATGTTTTCTTCTGTCTCTTATCCCCAAAGGCCTATTATTCTCACTCACATCGGTAACTCTAGACTGCGAAGACAGATTTTGTTTTCGTACCCCATCACGCTCAGCAAACCACCTCCAAAAGGCCGTGAAAAGGCAAAGAAAAAACTTCAAAATGTACAAACAACACTGTTGGAACACTGGGCACAGCAAAGCCTGACGACAGTGTGCAAAGACTTCTCCTAAACCAATGGCTTAAATCCCGCCAGCCAGGCATTCTGGAAAGGAAAGGTCATAACATAATGAAAGGCACGGAACAATGGTCAGCATTATGTCTCGCAGCCCACATCGCTACCCAAAAGCTCGGAATGAAATCAGCTCTGACTTCAGCGGCCTCATGTCTAGCATGAAGTTCAAGAGTTCTCGGCTTGCTCTGTCACACCCCGTCGGTCCTTGCGAAAAGTAACGACGCAAGGAAAACCACAGGGAAGTGTGGAAGGGAATGGTGACGAATGGCCATGACAGGTGTGAATGCCCAGAGGCAAAAACACATATTGTCCTTTTGAACTAGAGAAGATGGAGTTTGAAAGAGGATTTGTTGGGTGTGAAGCTCCAATAAAAAAATCGTTAACATTCTATCCTCGACATGTTAGGCTGGGCGCCAGCGAAGGGGCCGAGACCGACGGGGCGGGCCATGCTTGACGCAACGGGCGCCGTCCGACTCGACGATGAAGGGCGAAGCGAGTTACAGGCATGGAGCGAAGGGGGTGGCGGGAAGAGCAGTGGGAGGAAGGAGAAGGTGAGGAAACATGCGATGGAGGTGAAAGAGTGCTCGAAGCAGCACATCAAGAGCGGAAATACCAGAGGCTGTAGAGCGGCTAGAGGAAAGAGGGACTGAAGCTCCGAGCAGCAAGGACACACCTCGCCAATTTACGGACCCTAACAACATGGCCTTGCTGCCTCTCGCCCATCACTCATCATTCCGCCATGCGCCTTCCGATGTCGCCATCTATAAGAGGGGCACGCTAGCTGAACAGCACCGAACTGGTAACGACCACGACCGCGCTCACATCTTGCTCCTGTGCGGAAACGAGGACCCTTTACAATTCACCCCTTAATGCCACCCTCTCATTGATTCCCGTCCAGCCCCGCCGCTGTTTTTGGACGCCCTCCCAGGACCATGAGGCCGTATCGCTACTCGGTTAGGGTTATGGGTAGCATGCTATGTCGTGGGGCCCCAGGGCTTGAGGGGTCTTTCCAAGTACGCTTTCAAAGGTGGGAAGGACAAAGCAAAGCAAGGTTTTTACACAAAGTCCCCAGTTTTAGCTTTCAAGTAGAGGCTGTGGTGTCGGGGTCTCAATTTAGGAGTCAATTTGGGTCAATTTGCAAGCCTTCTTCACATGAGCCTTGTCTACCTGCATCCACAAATCAGGACGATATGATCTGGGTGAATTTGGAAATGTTCTTGATTGTGTTGTGTCCCACAACCCCATATAAACAAGGTCTGATCAGGTTAGGTCAAATGACCCCTTGAACCGAGGGACCTTGTAGTTCACCATATATTAATTAAAGACTTTCTATGGCAATAGGGTTTCCGTATTCTGAGTGGGAAATGTCAGGAGATCGACGTCATCCAATGAACGTATAGCGTCCCAAGACCACTGTGAAAGCGGCTCCCAATCTCAACGGGAGATCCTTCCATGGCCGGCGAGGAGGCTCAACAGACAAATTAAACGGCAATAGTACATCTAATTATATCAACGGAAACATAACGTTGGACAAACATAGTATACAGCTACCTTGGTACGGAAGCTCGAGATTCCCCCCATATACAACATGACTCTCCCCTCAACCCTGTCTAGCATAAGAACAGTTGGGGTAAGGCGGTTCATATTCTCCTTTGTATGGCGAACCCTCTTCTTGACAGCTTCAAGGAACCCCCAACATTAGCCCTAAAGTATCGAAAACTTATGTAGACGCGGATATAGTCTTGCAAACATTGTAAAAATGTAGGTCGAGGGCAACATCTGTTAAGTTGCCGTTGATTCCTATTTAACTAGCACACCCTCGACATCTAAAATGTACTTGACACAATACTCTGCCTCGGTGAGAATAGTCTGTCTATATCTTAATTATGTTGCCCCGACACCTAGAGCCTTTCCCAAGACTAAAGGATCAATTTAACAACGGCGGACCAGAAACAAACAAAGTCTAAGACCCCCTGCGAATCTAGAATCTGGGGATTGCAACTCGTCTACCAACACCCGTCGTATCTAGAGTCCATCGCTATAGAAGAATTAAGAACTCAGCTTAAAACATGATGGCAAGTCAGAGCCACATATTTTGAGTTGTGGATTGTACTGAGCTTCAGGTAACCGCCCAATGTCCTAGATCGGGTTGATCCCTCTAAACGCAGGCCAGTCCCGAGCAGAGGCTGGTCGCAGAAAGCCTCTTCAAACTTGTACCTGATGTACTGGTCGTTGTAAGAAATTTGCTGACCAGGGCCCGGGGATCGTGTGTGGATTGATTGCTGCGATCGTGGTCAGTGAGAGGTCTGCGGCAACACGCGTTCTGGTGGACGTACTCACAAAGTCGAACCCCATCGGCCAGGGAGGTATAACCACAATTGATATATTGATAGATGTCGTGTCTAATGACTCCCCGGGAACTGTGGCCCAGCGGCAGTGTTTTGCTTTACCTTACTTTCGATCGTATTTTCCCCTTTATTGTTCCCGTCGTTTTCTTTCCTGCTCCATTCTCATGTTTGGGTTTCTGTTCTTTTTTTCTTTCCTTTCTTCCTCTCTGAGGTCCTTAGCGATTTCGCCACGAAGAATAGGAGCCATCTCCCTCTCTCGGGCGCGCATAGCAGCGAGAGCCGCGCGGCCTTCGGTGCGGCGGGACTTTCCGAGACGGCGAGCTACGCAACGATAGCTGATTGATGAACTGGGGGGGGGGGGGGTGGGGGGGTGGCTGTCGACGGGCTAGTATGGCATCTGTCGCCGACTGCCCGGGCGGCAGAGCCCAGAAGCGCAGAGAGTAAGGGGGTAGATCGCGCTCAGCGGCACACCGCGGTCCCTGAGCGTCTGTAAAAAAACGTTCCAGGTCCCCGCGTCGGAGATGTGGAGGGAGCGCTGATGCCCTTGCTCGTCGGGCGGGAAGATGTACTAGATCGCCCGCTCGCCAAGTCCAAAGTGTACAAATAGGTCGGGTAACGTGTACTGGATGGTTGTATTGTCATGGGGAACGACTCCATCGTGTAGCTGGATACTGGCCAAAACGTCTCGTTGGTTATCCTGGGGCTGGCTGGGATCGTCGGGAAATCTGGTTATACCGACAATGAAACTTGCCGGCGACTTGAAGCTCTTGCCACAATAGGGATGGCACCTTCCCCCAAACACAGACCAGAAAGCTCGAAAAGTTACGGTAGCAGCTGCCAAATCTGATTTGTCCCGTCCTCGTCTTCTTCTTTAACGATTTACAAACCAGGCCCATCAATTTCATCGTCGCAGCCCAATCTAAACTCCTTTTCGCTGTCTATGCAGTAAAAGGCCTTTACACTTTAATGGTACTGCCCCAATTGCACAACCACAGTACAAAGAGGTTACATGACATGGCGGTTAACGATTCATCTTTCGTAACATACACTCACCAGCACAGGCAATACAAATCATCATGAAACCCATCGCAGCCAGTCCATTGAGGGCCATGCTTTCCGAGCCATCACGCCCATCATAACCGGTAATACACCACAACAACGTCAATTGAAACCCATTCATTCGCCCCGTCATATTCATAAGCAATACCATACGTACGTGGTTAGGCATAACCGAGGTAAGGTAACCACGGTAGGTAGGCATGTAACAAAAAACAACGCCACGATGGCTGGCCTCAGCCATAACCAGGACCCTAACCCTAACCCCTAACCATAACGTAACCAAAACACCATTATCATAACTCATGCATGCTCATATCCAGCCAGCCTTTCAAGACCGAAGACTGAAGACCTACCCCATCACCATCACCACCAACCACTCAGAACAAAACCAAACCGCAACCAACCAACCATTCAACCAACAATACACACATGATACAGCAAGGCCACTACCTCCTCCTCCCCCTCTCCCGCTCCCTCTCCAAATTCTCCCTCAACGCCGCATTCTCCACCTCACTCGCACTAATCCTCTTCATCGCCTCCCCGCGATCCATCACCCTCGCCTCCCGTTCCGCCTTTAACTTATCCTCCAGATCCCGCAGTCGCAGCATCCATTTTGTTTCTCCACCACCCCCGCTCCCGCCGTTTCCATTAGCACCGCCGACACTGTTACTGTTAGATCCGGTGTTGTTGCTGGCGTTGGACTGGCCGCGGTCGCCGGTGTTAACGACGGCGCTGGAGGTGTTTTGTGGGGGGATGCTGGTGTGGGAGGTGCCTGGATGGGGGTGGCCGTTGTGATGATTGTTAGCCCTCTGCTGTTGTTGTTGTTGTTGTTGCTGTTGAGAATGCGACGCCTGTGTCGGCGTCGGCAAAGTAAGCGTATCATCATCTTCATCCTCACCACCACCAGCACCACCCAATCCACCCCGCGCACCACCTGGTCCACTACCAGGTCCCCCCACGGAACCAACCGCGCCCAAACTCCGCCTCGGTGTAGCCGGACTAGGACCACGCGACCTTGCCGGCATCCCCCCGCCACCAATATCCTCCACCGACGACGCCATCAAGCTCTGCCGACTATGATGCTGCTGCTGATGGAAATAATGCTGGCTCTGACTCGCACTGCGCGTCGGGGTCGTCGTAGACGACCCAACAGGCCGGGACAAACCGCTACGACTGCCCGACTTGGGGATCTTGCTCGCGCTGGCTTTGGCTTTGGGGCCCGTCGGGACGGAAGGGGAAGGGCTGCCGCCTGGGGAATCGCCGTTGGGGTCGATGACGGCGGCGGATGCCGAAGAGGAGGAGACGCCGTAGGCGGCGCGGCGGGCGTCGGCAGCGGCGCGGAGGGTGTGGTTTTCGACTTTGAGTTGGCGGTAGGCGTCTTCGAGGCGGGCGAGGCGAGATTGGGCTTCGTTGAGGCTGTGGGTGGAGTGGGGGGCGATTTGGCCGGTGACGATGCCGTTGCGGACGATGGCTTCGAGCCGGTCGAGCTTTTTGGTGCGTTGGTCGAGGTGGTTTTCGAGCGTTTGGTATTCTCGCCAGAGATCCTTTTCCACGGCTTTGATCTTGTTTTGACACCCGCCTAGCATGCCCTCGATGGTTTTGATGGCAGCCATCAAATTCTTGCTGAAACCCGGCAACATCGTGGTCACGGCCTCCAAACTAGGCAGGGCGCGACCGTTGATGAGGCTATGATCATGGGCCCAGTCCGTCCCACACAGCCCAGACAGACGCGTCCACAAGATAAGCAAAAGGTTATTCCGCTCGGTTAGCTGGTCCTTGAAGGTATTCTCGAGCTGCGACAGCCGTTTCTTATCTTGGGACTTGCTCTGCTCGAGCTCCATGATGCGCTGGTCCTGGGAGCTGACGGTGCGTGTGACGTGCTGGTGCGTCTTCTGGAACGTCTCGAACTGGTGCTTGACGTTGCGGTGGGCGCCCCGTTCCTTATCGAGGACCTCGCCCATCTTGCGGAGTTCGAGCGCTTGCGACTCGAGCAGGGCGTCGCGCTGTTTGATGACGCGGTCTTTGTCGACGAGCGAGGATTTGGTGGTGTCGAGGTCACGCACCGTGTTTTCCAGATCGCGCTGGAGTTTTGCAATGGACTAGAAAGTTAACCAAGTTAGCTTCATCACCCCCCTGAGAATAGCCCATTTCCCGAAAAAGGACAAACAAAACAAAACAAAAAAACATACCTTAAGCAAACTACTCCTCGTCCCACTCAAATCCCCAAGCGCCTCCCTCAAATTATTCTCCAACTCAATCAACCTCTCCTTCCACTCCGTGGCCTCTACCTCCCGACTACTCAAGCTCTTCCTCAGCCTACGCACCTCGTCCTTAGCCGTCGACGCCTCCTTATTCAGCTCATTCACAAACTGCTGCACCTCCTCCTTCTCCCGGCCCGCCACGATCTCCCTCTGCCTCCTCTCCGCCGCCAACCGGCTCTCAATCTCCCTCGCACGTTCCTTTTCTTCGCGGAGCGCCTGTTCGGTGTTGGCCACGGCGGCTTCCAGGTCGCCAATGCGGATCTTGTCTGTTTCTTGTTCCTCACGCAGGAAGGCGATCTCCCCCTGGCTGGACTCTTGCTGGACCGACAACCGATTGGCTTTGTCGTTGGCCTCGAGCAGTTTGGTGTCGAGTTCTTCCAGGTCTTTGTTAGCGTCGGCCAGTTCCTGTTCAAGTTGCTGGATCCGCCGGATCTTGGCTGCCTGTTCGTCTTCCAGGTGCACCAGCCCCTCGCTCATCTTGCGCATTTCGGCCTGGAGCGCGTCGAAGTTCTCGGTGCGGTCGTTCAAGTCGAGTTGTAGCCGCTCAATCTCCGTGTTGCGCTGGTCGGCTTCACCCTCAAGCGCATCGATTTCTTCTTGGGCTTCTTTGCGCAACGACTCAAACTCGCTTTCCAGTGTCGAATGCTCCTGCAGCGCCTCGTCGCGCTCAGCTTGCAAGGCCATCAAATCGTTCATAGCCGTTTCCAGATCCTCTTGCAACGCCGCAGCCAACTCCTCCGCCTGTTTCTTCGCTTCCACCGCCGCCTCAAAGTCCTCCATACACGCATCCAGTTCCCGCTGCAGGTCCTGATTCTGCAGCTTCAAATCATTATTCTTATCCCTCAACTCCGCCATCCGATTCTCCAACTCCTCCAAATCCGCCTCATCCACCGCCGTGCTCGCCGCCCCGCGCGTGCCGATACTCGCCCGCGACTGCGACCGCTCGTGATGGATCCCCGCGCGCGACGCCGACCGTTCCAGGAGGCTATCAATCGTCGATGGCGCAGGCCCCCCGCGCCGTTGCGCCATCTTGAGATCTTCGATCTCCTGGTATAATCGCTCCTTTTCGCGGTTGCGTGACGTCAGCATTGATGTTTGCGCGCCGACCTCGCGACGCAACTCCGCATTCTCGTGTCGCAGCTGTTCGCTTTCCCGACGGAGTTCGTCCACCAGCGTGCTGCCCGTGCCGATCGAGCCGTTGAAATCGTGATCGCCTCCTGCTCCCGACACCGATGCGCTCGCCGCGCCACCGCCCGATCTAGCAGCTGACATGGCGCGCTCGCGGGACTTCTTCGTGATGTTGTAAATGTTGGTGGTATGGTGCATGGGCCCGACACTGGAAGAGTGCATGCCCAATTCCTGCTTCAACCGGAAATTCTCATCCCGCAACCGCCGATTATCATCATCGCCCTGTTCCCGGCGCGCCGTCTCCTGCTCCAGCAAGTCCTTCCACACATCCGCCTCCTCCTGCCTCTCAAAATCATCCCCCAACCTCTCCCCCGTCTTCTCACTAAACGACCGCACCGCCTCCGCCATCCGGCGTTTCTCAGCCTCTTTATTCAGACTGTCCTTCCTTAGCCGCTCAATCTCCGTCGCGTACTCCTCCAGCTGTTCCCGTAGGTAAATCAATTCCTCCTCCCGGTCCTGCGCGTCCTGGTCGTACGTCTGGTCCTCATCAGACAGGGTACTCCGCGCCGTGCTGGGGCGGTCCTCGTCATCCTTGGCCCGCTTCTCCAACTCCCTATTGCGTCGTCGGAGTTGCTTGTTATCCCGCTGGAGGACGGCCAGGCCAGTTTTCAGGTCCACGTTCTCCGAGATCATCTCCTTAATCCCTTCCTCGGAGAGCTTGTCGAGCCGGTCGCTGAGGAACATGACTTTGAGCTTGAGGTCGAAGTTCTCTTTGCTTAGCCGCTCGATGGTGCTGCTTTGCTCTTTGAGGGTTAGACTGCGTCCGTGGCGGCTAGCTGTGGACATGCCGAACCCGCCTGCGTCGGATGTACCCGGTCGTCCGGGAGTCGTCAGGCCACCGCGGTTCCTATAGTCATTGGCGAGTGACTCCGGTACTTGCACGTCTCGCACGTGGCGGGCGATGACGGTGTCGGTTGGGGGGTTGAGTGCTGTTTTATTGGCCTTGGGGGTATGTAGTAAACTGCGGTCTTGCTGCTCATGGCGGGGTCGTGATGGCGGTTGTGGGCTCTCGACTTCGTCTAGCGTCTCGAGGTGCCCAGGTCCAGGCCCATGTCCAAACGCCGGACCGGACGAGTCATGGAGGTCCTCAATCCCACTGGCCATGCTTCCCATACTGATGGACCTGGACAGGGGGTTGAACGTCCGCGGCATGCCGGCCGAGGGCGCCGCGCCTCCGGACTGTAACGCGTAGTCTGCGCCCATCCCCACGGTCACATCGCTACCGGTGTCCGTGAGGAGAGACGATACCGACGACCGCTGACTGCCGATGCGGCTGCGGAGGTATTTGGGTTTGCCACCGTTGCCAGACGACGATTTAAGTGAGTGCCCTGGTGTGCTGCCCGCGTCCACGCTGCCCGGGTCTTCATCAAGCTGGTCCTGCCCCTGATCTTCACTTGCCGGCACCGTGGACGTATCCGAATGTGGTGGGAGTAAAGAGTCATCAAACGACTGCTCTTCCTGTTGCGCTGGCAGATGATCCGAGGTGGTGGTTGTCGACTCGTCGCGGGCATCCCGAACCGAAGCCGCGTGCACCGCCGCAACCCTGGAAACGGACCGCGCTGCGGCTGGGGACGAGGAGAACGCTTCCAGCGAGGCGGTCCCGTTCCCCACCTCATGATCATCCAGCACAGATTGGTCCCCTACAGACGGTTGTTGTATCCCCGATTCGTCATGGTTGTGGGATGCGCGTGATGCGGCAAGGCTGCGCGTCGGGAGGACTTGGGATCGGTCGGGCGTGGGCAGTTCGGAGATGTCGTCGTCCCCTGCTACTGTCTGCGCGCGGCGCTCTGGGGGTGGTTTCTTAGAGGGAGAGTCAAAGACAAAGGTGTCGTCGAGGCCGTTGCTGGTGGTTGGGAGAGGTGAAAGCGGGGCGGTGAAACTCGACTCGATGTCTTGGAGGTGTTGGCGGACAATGATCTCGGCTTGGGAGTCGGAGTGTTGTTGGTTCATGCTCGGGCTCTCGAGGTAGCTGTTCTCTGGGGCAGTCTGGCCGGGCGGGCGGAGGTTGGGTATGTTTCCCGGTCGGAGGGCGTTGCCGTTGCCGGTGGTGTTGGCATTGCCGTCTGTAGTGGGGTGTTGTTGGTCGGGGTTTTGTTTTGCTGGTGAAGATCGCGCCTCGTCCTCTTCCTCTAGCTTCCGCGCTGTCGACGGCCGCGACGGGTCGGTGGCGGGAGGCTGCCCCTCGTCGTGGTCGTCCATACCGTGGCGTGTTTATTTACTTTGTTTGCCTATGTTGTCCCTATTTTTTTCTCAACCCCAAAGGTTCCCCACCGCGAGAAAAAGCTGTTGCAGGTTGGCGGGTTGGGCTGCGTCGCATCTGCTGCTGCTGCTGCAAATGTCGGGAGCATGGAAACTCGTCAGGTGCGCATGACCGGTCGGATAGTTTGTGCATATAGGTCGGGGCGAAAGGGCATAAACCGTGAGGGCGGGGATAAGACAGAACGCTCGGGACGCAAGTTGATATCCACCGAGAGTGCTTGAGCCTGGGTCGCACCTTTTTGAGCCTGCAATTGTCGCGCGTTGGCCCTGCACGGTTCTGGCCTTGCCGAGCGGTCGAGACGTCCACAAAAAGCGGAGTCATTTGATCCTTTCTTGGCCCGTGCTCCTTCCACCTGCCCCACTCTGCCCGCCGTTTCGCCATGCCCTTGCACCCAAAACAACCCGCCCAAATCAGCTTGCCCTATGAGCGTGCTCACCGAACTTCTTCCCGAAACATCACTTTGTGGGAGGTTGGATGCACGGGCTGCGCGTGGCACGGGGCACGAAGACATAACATGGCGGCGTCGATTCAAGGTCACATGGGAATCGCGATCAACCAAGGAAATGGGAAATGGACGACCACCGATCCCTTCGAGATTTGGCGCGGCCTTGGCTGGAACACGAGACCATGCAATGAAGACGACGCAGAACGACAACCTCAGCCTTGGCCTGACCTGGTTGGCCCAACACATATCGATACTAACAACATCCGGCAATGAGGCATACTGACTGATTAAACTCTCCATTCTACGAAATAGCATCCCAAGAACCACCACTCGAATAGTTGTCCAAGCTTGCGGTCATCCGCGACGACCATGCATTGTGAACTATTCCATACATCCAAGCCTCTAGTCCGAAGAAGAAAGCGTTTTAGTATCTTTTTTACCATTGTACGAGAGCAGGTAACTTACGACACACTCTATACACCTAAACAAAGGGTCCCCCTTCTTAAGATCGTGGCAAAGGTGAAACCCGTCTTGGCCGTTTTGCAGTCTGCACGCCGCCCGTGATTCCGGGGTGTCCTGACACGGACTGCGGCGTTTGAGATGCCCGCAGCGACGGTGCTAGATGCAACGGTCAGTCCCAGCAGTTAGGGTGGTCATATAGTGACAATCTCGTGTCGTTCCTCGTGGCTAGCTGAGCATGAACGAGGGTTTCAATGATCGGCTTACTTACATGACATTGGCCGCAATACTCGGTCTCCCAACTTTTATCCAAGGATGTGACTATTCGTTCACATTTCGGATTCAGTCCGGGACGGAGCTTGCACTTAGCCCACCGGGTGCAGGCGCACCACTTCCTCTCAGCAATTCGGCCGTCAGGGTAGACTACGACTGGGGGATCCGGGACCTACAGTAAGATGTGGTTCGCTGAACCGGCCTAAGTTCCAAAGCAAGGCTTCAAAGCTTGCATAATCATCAGTGAAAATGGACGTAATACCTGTTGCTTGAACAAGTTCACACATTCCGCGCAGTAATTCGAATCCGCCACGGGTATCCGGATACAGCCGGGTGTGTGACAAGGGTGTATAACGTTGTTCAACGTCACATTTGGATCAAACAGGGAACCGGCAAGTCCCCTCGTCGTGGAAATGATACAGTATAGAATCTGATATGTCAAGGTTTCTTAGATAGTCTGCAGCAACGCGGTATGGATTGACGTTGCTCAAGTCCTTAAATATCATTTTCAGATCCAAACCTCGACGCCTCATTACACTTCCTTTCTTTCTCGGTCGGTCACCCAGTCACCATCAGTCCTTCGGACTGTCCGTGGGACCGCTCCGTGGGAGCAGCAACAAAGAATGAGCCGCGTCTCATTGTCGACGGTAACTACATTCCAAGGTCATCGAGTCTCTTGGCTTAGGACCACGGGCAGAGGTATAAAAAGCAGTAACTCCTCACTGTTGAAGGTTACTGCCCCCCGGTGATCCCTTCTACACCGGCAGGTTTGAGAAACAAAGAACTGGACGTGTCCCATGATGTATTGCCCCATCACGCTACTGATACTGCTTTGATGAGGCCGGCCGACGTGACCATCCCCTAACATCTCTCCCGAACAGCGACAAACTGGGAAGAGCCAGGCCCAGCTAGCTTGCAAGTAGGTGTTGTAATTTCAAAGAAAAGCGGGGTTTATTTAATCGCTCCAACTTTAGTTTTCACTCACGCTAGATGTAAGATACCTACTTAACCAGCCGCGGCCCAATAACTGGCCAGCTGTGGCCAGTCGTCTGATTGTAAGACACGTGGTCAAGATACAGGTGGATGGGTCAATTACCTAGTCAAGAGAATCTATAACTGAGCTAGATTTAGGATTTGACGATCAGGATGCTCTATAAATTAATAATTCCGCAGACTGACGCTGAGCCTAATTTCTCTAGGATATGAGAGCATCATTCGCATGATCAACCTTACATTCCGATGTGCACCTGATGTTCGATGGGCATCGGCCGGGAGGAGACCACAGCGGCCACAATGTCGGCCACCCTCACCATCGATATAACATGGCACCAGCAACACAAGTATGTCTTCCGGTGACCTCAGTTAGCAGTAAATTAACAACAATTGATTTCTTCCCAAACGCTTTACACATCCTTCAACACATCCATGTCCTCCAGCAGAGGCTCCGACCAAACCAGCCTCCGATTCGGCGTAGAACTCGAGCTCGTCCTGCGAAGCAAGCACGAAACCCACGACAGCTTCGCCAGTATTGCCTCTGAGCTCCACCAACATCTCCGAAATGCAGGCATTTCCAACCACATTGGCGATATTGCCCAGAAAGCCCACACCAGCCCGAAATACGATGACTGGACGATAATCCAAGACTCTACGCTCCCGTCTAAGCCGGATAAGAATCTGTGTACGTACCACAGCTCCATATTTTCCTCTTAGCCCAGCCAGCTAACTTTACCAACGTATAGTCGGCATCGAACTAGTCTCCCCCATCTTCCACTTCCCCCACATGTCCCTCTGGCTTCCCAACCTCCACTCCCTCTGGCACGTCCTCACCACCCATTTCTCCGTCCACCCAACCCCCGAATGCAGCACCCACATCCATCTCTCCCCTTCCCCTTCCCCCTCTTCCCATTCCTCTTCAAACAACGCCGCCGACAAACCAACATGGACCCTCCCCTCAACAAAATCCCTCGCCAAATCCACCATCCACTTCGAACGCGCCCTCGACGCCCTCGTCCCCGGCCACCGCCGTACCAACCCGTACTGCATGAGTAACCGGCGTAATGCCGCCTACGCTACTTTATCCCAATCCCAGATTTTCGCTGATATTGATGCCGCGAAGACGCTGGAGGAGTTGGGGGAAAGGATGTGTTCCTGCTCGAGGGAGTCTGTGCACGCGAAGAATCTCATGATGATGGGGGATGAGGGGGAGGAGGGGGAAGGGTTTGAACACCCGCATTTTAAATGGAATTTTACGCGTCTCATAGAAGGGACGAAAACGGTGGAGTTCCGCCTCCCGCCTGCGTCTAGGGGGGTGAGGGATACTGTAGCGTGGGTGGTATTCACTGTGATGTTCGCACAATGGGCTGTCGAGCGCGGGGGGGTGGTTCTCGAGGCTGATGCGAAAGGGGGGAAGGTCGGGGAGTTGGGGGAGTTGAAGAGGGTGGTGGTGAACGGGGCGAGGGGGAGTGGGGTTGCGCGGGAGGTGGTAGGTTGGGTGGAGGGGTTGTTTGAGGGAGTGAGGGCGTTGCCGGCTGTGAGGGTTGATTTGAAGGGGGTGGGGGAGGGGGAAGTGGATAAGGAGGCGGGGAGGATGGGGATGGAGGTTGGGAGGTGGAGGGAGTTGTTTGGGTATGAGTAGGGGTGTGTTTGGGAGTATGTGGGAAGGTATATATTCGGTGTTGATAGTGTACATATTAGGTTGGAACATATTACGACGGGAGTAAACTTGGGAATACAGTGGCGGTTCGGAGGTCATCATGGACGGAGAGCGGTTGTAAAGCAAGGCAAGTTATTAATTAAATGTACCAAGAACTCCACGACCAAAATGATTCATCCCATGCCCGAGTTATCCCCTGATACCCCCGACCCAAACCCAATTCCCTTCCCATACCCTCCCAAGTCCCAAATTAACCACCCTCGAAATTCCTGAGCTATCCTTGCAACTTAGCCCTGAGTTATCCCGCAACCATCCCTACCTCCCATCCACCCCCTCAGCCCATCCCAGCTCCTCATTCGTCAAATCACACGCAAACAGCTAACCCCGTCAGCAACCTCGACATGTCCATGACACACCCCAGACTAGGGTGATTATTCAAAGAGCAACGATGGGGAATAAAGGGTAAAGGGTAATTAAAAGTAAATAAATAAACTTACCACGCACATGTCACACCTTTCCCCCTGCCGATGTGTCCTCCCATGGCATAGTTCGCTGACCCGGCATGGTGGCTCACCTGTGAGGCAGTGGCACTGTGGGATTCCGCGGTCCTGCTTCTGCGGGTAGTTGACGATGCTGTTGTTGGGGTTGGCAGTGCTGCTATTGCTGCTGTTGCTGTTGTGAGCGTTGTTGGCTGTGGTGTTGGCGTTGTCGTTGTAGCTGTGGAGGTTGTCGAGGCTGTCGACGTTGTCAATGTAGCTGTTAGCCCCCTCCGCCGAATTATCACCCCCCTCGAGGACATCACCCCCTTGGCCACCCCCTTGGCCACCACCCAGATCAAAACCATCACCACCACCAACCCCATCAAAAGGCAGGGAGGGAGGAGCAGTCGAAGGATCAGTCGCTGCAGAGGCCGCACCGCCAAAATACCCCCCGATAACATCCGGCAAATTATCCCTATACCCCGTACCAAAATCGATAGCAAGACGCCAGTCGAAGTTGGGGTCTTCCAGGCCGGGGAAAAAGTCAAACTCTTCGGCTTGGTATTGGTCTTCGTCTTCGTCTTGGTCGGAGGTGGATTGGCTGGCGTCGGAGTCGGAGTCGGAGGGTGGATTGGGGTTGGAGGCTGAGTCCAAGTTTGGGGGGCTCTTCCGGTGGGTGTTGGTCGCGGTGTTGGTCTTTGGCCTCGGCTTCACGGCGATGGGGGTTTTGCTTCCCACGGCTCCCACGGCTCCCACGGCGGAGGGTTCGGCCGCAGTAGAAGCCGGCGCTGGGATCTGGGTGGGAGGCGGGGTAGAAGCAGGACGAGCCCCAAGTCCTCCCCCCACGACGGACGCAGCAGCCACCACGGGTTCGGTACTGCTGCCGGGGGCTGCAGCCGCCTCCGGCCGTGGCAAGATCGGCCGCGGCAATTCGGTATCATGAACCCCCCACGCATCAGGAAACGGCACAGGCGGCAAGTTGTTCAGAACAGCCTGGTCCGGCAGCTGTTCTATCTCGTGACGCGTCCGTCGGGTGATGAAGTATAGGCCGGTCACGGGGGATTGTTGCTTGAAGTGGTGCTGCTTGTTGAAGGGGTGGGAGAGACATTTGTTTTGCTAGAGGGCACGACATTTAGGGATTAGTTAGCTGTTTTCTAGTAAGAGGGTTGAAGGGAAGGGAAATATGAAAGAGGTAAGGGAAGGGGGAGAGAGAGGGGGGGGGGGTACCCGGCAAGCAGCGCAGTACCCGCTCTCATCACGACCGTAGAGCGCGCAGTCAAGTGGCGCGGTACACCCGATCATAGTGTCATAGGCGCAGAGGCACTTTACGCCGCCTGAAGCCTTGCGCCAGTCGGGGTCGCGCGACTTGGCGATGGCTTCACATTCGCGTTGGCGGCATTTGTTGCTCTGGGTAACATCTTGTAAGCATATGGCCCAGTCCGGCCAGACGTGACAGCAGAGGATAGGGGAGTATGGGCTGAGGGATGGTAAAAGTACTCACCACGCAAGCCTCGCAGTAGTCGCCGACACCGGCAGCCTCTGATCCGAGACACTGATGAAACTTTCGGCATGCTGGTCCCAGGATTTGGGTTCGGGGGTTCCGGCATTGACATTGATTTCCTCGGTTCGCAGGCGCCGACATGTTGGTGGTTGTTGGTTGGCTGTTGTAAGTTGACTGTTGAGAAGGCAGAAGATGGCGTTGAAAAGGTAGAAATATCGAAGATCTCTAGGCTCTCGTAGAGTATGGAAAGCTCCCAGAGTGTGTGATGTGCAAGGTAGAAGATATTATTGAAGAAAATAGGAAATGTCAGATATTCCTAGGCTCTCGTAGAGTGTGTAAAGGCTCTGGTGTGTAAAGGCTCTGGTGTGTAAAGGCTCTGGTGTGTAAAGGCTCTGATGTGTGTAAAGCTTCTCGAGTGTGTGATGCAAGAGGAAGAATCAAGAGTTACCCAACCTGGGAGCCAGCTTTTATACTCCCACTTCGAACAGCCCAGTCTCCGCTTGAACACATCAGGGCTGACCACCGTGTTACCCCGGGCTCCCATCCGAGGAATTGCCCCGGGACAGCGAGGTCACTTGGCCAGTTGGTGACAATAACACTTGTTCGAGGGCCAGTTCGGCGATGTGTCAGTGAAAGGGGCGGGCCCGCTTGCGGGTCTGGCATGGTGTGAGGTGTTGAACACATTGTGCTGGGCGCCCTTGTGACATCGTCGAATGTTGGGATAGAAGCCGTACCGTTGCATCATAAGGGTCTGGCATCGCGAGTCATCGCGAGCATGACATCGTCGGGAGCGCAACCGGGAACCGGGAACCGGAATGGGACGCGGAATGGGGCATGTAGCAACACGGGTGCGTGCATTAATTAGCACAGAAAAGACAAAGATGTGCTTTCCACAAACGGCTGGTGCACAGCCGCCAGTAAGGGAATTCACAAGCCGGACCCAAGACACCTAGTTCCAGGAAGATGGGTGAGTAACACCAAGGCTGTTGCGTATCACGATTTGTTGATAAACTCTGAAGGCATCAATGTGGTCCTGAAATTCCGTGGGTTACACACAAAACGCGAAGACAGCTATTATGTGAATAGAGGGGCAATGGCCAACTACATAGATAAACAATGTATAATGTGGCGGAGGCAGCCGACTCACAGCTGCCACCCGACTTATCATCCGAGCTACTTTGAGATCTTGTGAGCATCCACGTTGAGCATCAGGAACAATACAATCGATATGCATGACCTCGACCTTAAGACGTTGCACGAGAATTTGTCGGGCGTTACAATCTAAGGATTCCCACTTCCCTAAAACTTTCTTCAGACGTAGGTTATTTGTCACGGTTGGTTGCAGCTAACCACTGTGTAACATTTTCAAAAACCGAACTACCGAGTCGGACGAAGAGTTACATTTTATAAACTCATTAACTAGTTACATTATCATGATTATGACATTATTTTCGCAAAATAATATAAATTGAAATGCTTGGATGGGCGCAATGAGAAAAAGCGCACATTAAATATCACTAAGGTTAAATAGGCCCCTTAACAAGCCCTCAAATCACGTCGCCTACTGGATTATGGTTTCTTTTTCAACTACATTTTGGTTAGACCCCGAATCACCGACGAATTGCCCGAAATAGAATGCCAAGGCCGGCCGCCGGTCAGTGGGGCCCCGGCCCGGCCCGCTTTTTCGGCCGCCCTCCGGCCGCGCCCGGGCCTCAAACCATCACAGCCGCTGCGCTCCGACCCACAAATGATTCCATCTTCCCTTGGAAACGTTGTACATAGTAAGCGAAAATGTGGGTTATGACACGATAATTGTATTGAGGTAAATCTCAACTCGTAGAGTTACTTGATCAGCTTATTTTTCCTTTCGATGCCCTTATGCGGTGGTTAATGCCGTGGTGCGTAAGGAGCAACTTAGATGTAATCCCTCGAGACTGAGCGGGTGTCTGCGATAAACTTCGTACTCGTAATCCAGCCCATTCAAACCTCACAACTGTGAATGGAATGGTCTCAGCGCAGGCCATGGGACAGGCCTGGGGCTGAGTTTCCACCACCTGGTCTTCCGCAGTTAACTCCCACAAGTTGTTTTAATGATTCCAACGTGTGTACTACACCAGATCACAATATAACTCCCAAAACACCAACCCACCTTTTGTGAACTCCCCATCCCCATACCAGAACCTCACTCATCACCACAACCAACCCATCCCACCCAACTCCACTCCCAGACTCCCCAAGACAACCAAACAAAATGTGCTGCTGCAACCCCTTCCGAAGAAAGAAGAAGAACTCCAAGAAGCACGGCGCTTCCGGCGGCGGCGGCGGCTTCGCCCCACGCCCGATGCAGCAAGTGGTGCAACCCGACGGCAGGGTCAGCTATAAGCCTGCTGCTGCCGCGCCCACACACCCAGAATACGGTGCGCAGTTTGACGCCGATGTGGAGAAGACGAAGGGGCGGATTGAGAAGGGCGCGAAAAGTAAGTTCTTTCTTTCTTCCTTCTTTCTTTTTTTCTTTTTCGTTTGTTGGGGGGGGAAAGGGGGGGGGGAGGGTGGTTACGGGTGGGTTTTGGCTGGATAAATCCCAAGTCTGAACTAACACACCTTGATTAATTAGTCGTCTCCTACATGGGGCCCCAGGGTCGAGCCGCTGGAACTGTGGTCAAACACGGCGCGGGGTTTGCCGCGGAGAGGTATACTGAGCGGCAGTACAAGGCCCGGGAAACGGAGGCTCTGCAGCAGCAACTGCTGGCTCAGCAGCAGGCGACGGAGCAGGCTATTTCGGAGGCGGAGAGAAAGGTATGTGATAATTATTGATTGATTGGGCGGCTGCTGACTGTGTGTAGAGGGTGGCGGGTATGGAGGCGGAGCTTGATCGCATGGAACAGAACTTGCGGTCGTGATCGTGATAGGACGGGTTGAGGGGTGAAGTGTTGAGTTGGGATTCTATCTTCGTGATGGGGCGTTGCTGGGTGTTTATTGGGTTTTTGGGGTTTATTAGAGATGGGTTATGAAATGTTCTCAGATTCTAGATTTGAGCCATACCAAATAGACTGTTCTTGGTTTTGCTCTGCACCGTTTAGCTTCCAATGGAGCCCGAATCTGGCACGTTCTCCCAACACTTCACTTTGCGTACCACACATCATTGCATCAAGCTTGCTTCTTTGATCTGCTTCATCTCTCATACACATATTTCGCTCATTATGACCGCCGGCTGAACACGCTCCCAATATAAACAATGCTTCCACCCGCCCAACCCAACTCCATCTATCCATGCATGTGAAATTCCCAACCCCCGCCCCAAATAATACCCAAAAATAAACAATAGAAAAGGCCCCCTAAATAACCCCGAAACAGCCCCTTAAATAACACACCCGGTATCACCTCCAGTCACACCCCTTACGCATCATCAGCAAAAACCTGATAAGCCATAACCATAATCCACAACAAAAAGATCGCCCCCACCAACCCAAAAGCAAACACGGCCTGCCAGCTCTGGCAAATCCCGCGCTGTTCCAGCCACGCCAGCGTCTGCAGCGTCTGGCCCGTCGGCGCCGGGTCCGCCCCAAACACCCACAGGTTGCAGTTCGAGCTGACCGACCCGGAGGGCCCCCACAGCTGGATGGAGATGACGACCAGGCCGACGAGCCAGAGCACGAAGAGGATGAAACCGCCGATCATGACGATGGAGGGGAGCAGGCGCCGGCGGAAGATGAGCCAGAGGAGGAGGAGGATGAAGGAGACTGTGAGGGCCGAGACGGTTATGTAGTAGGGGAAGTACCTGCGAGGGTGTGTTAGCAGACGCACGTATTATTGTCTGGATTTTGGATCCTGGGTTCTGGACTCTAGATTCTTGATCCTGAGATCTAGGTGCAGGAAGTAGGGACGGGAAAGCAAGATCAGACGAACCATGGTATTGGCAGCTCCAGAGTATTCTGGATATCAATAAACGCCGCAAACACGCCAATGATCAGACACGACGCAACCATCATGATGAGCATCCACAGGTTGAGCTGCACAGCGGGCCAATGGTATTTGTGCACGCGCTCGATGACGCGGCGCTCCTCGTAGACGAGCGAGCCGCTTGTTACCGTCGAGGTCATGGTGGCGGTTGGTTTGTGGTCTTTTGGGTGGAAAAAGGAAACGGGTTGTCGTCGGGGTTATGCTCGAAGCTCGGTCTTGTCGTTTGCAATGCGCCGGCGTCAGGAAAAGCACTCTCTCGATGAGCGCGGTGGTCGAATGGGAGTATTTATTCCTCCTCGTCGTGTGTTAAGGCGAGTCAGGATCGCAGAACCCCTCCTTTTAATCAGTTGGTTGAGTGAAGCTTCGGGTCGACGAGCAGGGTAATTCCTCGAAACCTCGATACCAGATCGGGCGCCTGGCCTGGTTGTCGCACAATGCGCAAGCAAAGAGCTCAGCGAGAACCGCGTCGGGCGGGGCGAGAACAAGAGCTCAGAGAAAGCAAAGAGCAAATCGACCCACAATTCGCTGTCGCGGGGTGGTGCGAAGCAAGCGGGCGACTTCTTCTCGAAGTTATTGGTGGTGGCTGGGGAAAAAAAGAAGGCCGGGTGGTCGAGAAAATCGGTCGGCTGGGGAAAAAAAAGCTGGGGAATGTCGACGGGGCTGGGATGGAAATAAAAAGGCAGGCCGGATCCCTCTTTCCTTTCTTTTCGAATGTGTAACTAACCTAACAGACCAATGCGGCGCAATGCAAATGGCAGCTTAAGCAAGACAATAACTAGTCTCGGGAGCGAGGCAGGCATGAAGGACCGGAGAACGAGTTGAGCATTGGGTTTCGCTCCTCGAGGATGCCAACGCCGCGTTGCGCCTGTCTCGTCGTTTGCGGGACGGAACCCGGGAGCTAAACGCAGAGGGTCTTGGCAACGGCCCCGCTGGACTTTGCGCTGGGGAGTTTCTCGGTGCCTGACTGGATCGTTGGCCAGGGGGTGGCAGGGGGTTTTCGTGGGTTGTGTGAGTGAACTTGGGGCGAATTGGCAGTTCAAGAGAAAAAGAGAGAGCAAACAGGAAAGTTTCTCAATTGTCAATTCGGCTGATCAATTGGGCAGAATCGTGCCTAATTGTTCTGGACACCTCATCTCTGACCTCATAATTCCCCTTGGAGCAAGACAACTCATCGGGGGGTACACACGGCTTCCATGGTTCCCGTCCATTCCCGCAAGCTTGCGCATGTATTGGTGCCGCGGGGTTGAGTGGGGCAGCAACGGTTACACTCGCTGTTGGTGGTGATCGTTGGGCTCTAAAAATTGACTATCGCGGGATAGAGACATCGGATGAAACAAACAGTCGTGGAACAGCCTCGAAATGGCATCCTCCCACAGTCGTTGAAATGGTGTCGGTTGAATAGAAGGAGGCACGGTGCTTTCATATCTCCCAGTAGGTTCAAAACGGCTTTGAAGTCGAGAAATGGCCGTGACAGTCGTTTTCCACATTGAACTTGCATCCCCATGTCTACCCTATTGAAAGGGGATCTGGTCTATGGACAAAACGATAGGTATACGAAACATGTCTAAGTTACCATGCAAACACTGCCGAGCGCTAGGCTGAATGCAACAGGCTTGTGCTGTGCCCTGTGGACGCCTCGCATCGTGGGGAGGGTTGGTGAGACCGAGACGCCGCAGATTGTGCGCCGCGAGATCGGGAAGTATTAACCAACTCGCATCAAAAAGATGTCCCAAACCCGTGCCCCAATCCAAATCAACGGCACACCAACCAACACTCCCCCTTCCCAAAATCGCTACCCAAAAGCTCTACCCAGCAAAACAGAGCTCTTCATAGCAAAGTCTCACCCAGTGCGCACCGCACAAGCGAGCAGCCCGCACGAATCGTCTCGCGCGCAGCCCCTTCCACATCAGCCGCCAGGCGCGGGTTGACCTCGACCAAGTCCACCGCGACAAGGCTGCCGGTCGCGTGGACCGACTCGCAGATGAAGTCGCCCTCGCGCAGCGTCAGACCGCCGCGCACTGGGGTACCGGTCGAGGGCGCCCACATGGGGTCGAGAGCGTCGACGTCGAAGGACAGGTGGATGGGCGTGTCGTTGCCGATGTGGGCGAGCGCCATCTCCATCACGCGGCCGATGCCGTGCCTGGGGTGTTCTTGTTAGTCTGTGACGCCATTGACAGGGGCGAGAAAATGTGACTTACTTGTCAATGTCAAACATGCTAAACGCCTTGATGCCATTCTCCCTCAAAATCTTCTTCTCCCCCGAATCCACATCCCGCAGGCCAATATACACCAGCTTCTTAACACTAACCCGATGCTCATCCTTCAACCACCCAAAAAACTCCTCCTTATCCCCCTTCGCCAAGCCCGTCGCAAACGCCACCGGCATGCCATGCACATTCCCACTATCACTCGTCTCCGGCGTGTTAATATCCGCATGCGCATCCACCCAAATCACCGCAATCTCCCTGCCCAACCGCTCACGCGTAGCCCTGGCGCTGCCTGCCAACGTCCCAATCGCGATGCTGTGGTCCCCGCCGAGCGTCAGCACCAGCCGGCCCTCGCGTGCCTGCTCGTACACCTGGTCTGCGATACGACGGGTGACGGCCGACACGGCGCGCGGGTTTTTCATGCCGCGGTGCGGGGGGTCGTCGGCGGGGACGAGGTCGGTGTACTGGTCGACGGTGGTGTGGCCGTGGAGGTTGTAGCCGAGTTCATCACGGACTTGGGTCAGGAGCCCGGACTCGATCAGCTCTGTTGGGCCGGTGTCGACGCCGGCTTTGCCTTGCCCGCCGGAGAAGCCGACGGCGACGATGCCGAGGTCTTCTGGGTGGGAGAGGAACTTGGATTCGATCAAGGAGTTGTTCATGTTGCCGAAGTAGCGGGGTTTGCTCTCGGTTGTGGTGTTGGCGGTGGGGGGAGATTTAGGGACGGACGACGTGTTGTCGCTGAAGTCGCTGATACGGGACGGTGACATCGGGGGGGTATTCGGGGCGGCAAACGATATACGGGCCTGTGTGGGTGTGAATTGTGAATTAGCGGACAAGTTCCGTTTTGGTGTTTGTGTTTGACTGTGTGAGATTTCGCGACAACGAGACTCGGCGAGACTTGTGCCAGAAAAAAAAGGGAGTTCGTTAGAAACCCGTTATCAGTGAGATGAAAAAGATCTTGTCAGCCCAGCCCTGGCGGGCGCGATGGAGCCCTCGTCACGGCACATGCTCGTAACAAACAAGGACAACCCCCCGAGATCGTGGACTCCATGCCGAATCCGTTCTTGGAACGAGTCGTGGGCTGCCAAGTACCTTGACGGCTGCAAAGTGGGGTCGCTGGGCGCTGAGGGGAAAAGTTGGGGAATCGACGACAGAAGCCAAAAACACACACCTCGAGTTGGGGTTGAGGGTACCGCTGATCGTAGGTGGGACGAGAAACTCAGACTAAGTTATTTGTAGGTTGAAAATAGGGTTTTGGAGAAATAGCACAGGTTGTTGTCGGTCAGCGAAGGATATGCGGCGACGAAGAAATACTACTTTCCGCTAAGCAAAAAGAGATACCTCCCACCATCAAGACCAACAAAAGATAAGGCCCTCCTCGCTCTTCTTATACACGCCACTCCCTCCTTCCCTTATTCACATCACGTAATCCCGACCGACAAGCAAGCCAATAACTCGGTCCTATCGCCCACAAATCCCTGGATTTGTCCCCTCGTTTCTCTCTCTCCCAGCAGCCTCCCTTGTGGGCGGAGAGGCGGAGCGGCAGAAACAGCCGTCGTCAAAATTCACTCACGTGGAGCGGGTTCGGTGGCCGTTAAGTGCAAGGTGCGACATGATTCTCGGAGCCGATTGCCGTTAAGTTATAAGCGCGATTGCAGTTAATGGCAGGCGCTTCCAATTCGCCTGGCCCGTAGCGGATACCGCCGGCAAGCGCCGGCCCACTTCCGTCGGAGCCACTCAGAGAGGTTCTCGGGCGGTCCGGGTTTTTGTGGCTTGCCCGGCACGTCCGGTTTGCTCCGCCTTTACGCCGAGTTTTGCTGCTGCTGCTGCTGCTGCTGCTTCACGGGTTGGATCTGTTTGTTGCGGGGGCTCGGATTCTCTTGTTTCTTTACAAGGTGGTCAGGTCGCTTGCATGCATGCAGTCGCTGGTAATTACAGGTTTGAATGCCTGCTTTAGCTGTCCTCATTCTCACCGCTGGCGGCTCGTCTCGCATCTCATCACATCGCATCGCATCGCCGCAGGCTCAGCCCTGCTTGCCAACTTGCCAAGCGGGATGTCCACGGGATCGCTTTTTTAGGTAAGAAGAATCGCGGACCCTGGCTGGGAGTGGAATGCGACATGATTCGTGATGGGGCTTATCGGGCGTGGGTTTTTCGGTTCCAGGGCCGTCGTCATACGGAGTTATTGTTTCGGGCTTGAATGGGGGTTTGCTGGTTGGAGTTCACTGCCGGAAGTTCTACCAACACACTACACTAATTTATTTCAGCTGCTAATAACCTCAAAGTGGATCAGAGAATATTCTGTGTAGAGCACAAACCATTTCCTAATTGTCCACTACATAGTAGCCGATGCAGGGACAACATAAGGTTTCCCCGAGGCGATACACCTTGCCTCTTGCTTCCAGGTTGCTAGTCTCACTGATTTCACAACATGAGCATGATGCAAGATGCAACCGATGTCCCAGACCCGACGCAGCCCGCTTTGCCCTGCATTGCCTTTTGCGTCATCAACAACTCCAACTCTTCTTCGCTGAAGGCCAACAGAGGACTCTCGTCACATCACACTCGGCAACTCACGGCGCCATGTAAACCTCGTTTTGGTTATTATCATCATTGCATTTGTAGCTTAAACGGCAGAACTGGGAAAACATCGTAGTCCCTATCCGCACCCACAAATTAAGAAGCCGTACCGCACCAAATTACTTCAAATCCCCCACCCACCCCAAAACCTCCCGATCATCGCTCGCCACCCTCGCATACTCCAGCAACAACCTCAGCACATACACCTGCATATCCTCCTTCCTCAGCACCCTCGCGGCCCACTGCTTCCCAGCCGTCGCAATCCTCTCCGCAACATGATCCCGTGCCGGTTTCGTGTCCCCATTCCCGACAAAATACTCCAGCAAACCAAACCAGTCCCCAAACCGGCTGTCCATCGGCACGAAATGCTTCCATGCCACCAGCCGACTGTCGTGCCACTCGCGCCATAATGTGGCTTTGATGGGTAGGGAAGTGGACCGTAGGAAGCCGAGGTAGCGCCCGCTGAAGGAGTTGCCGTCGATGTCTGGGAGGAACTTGAAGGCGAACTGCTCGGCCATGGGCATGCCGGGGGCTGTTTCAAAGTATGGTGAGGTGTAGTTGCACCATGGTTCGGTGTCTTTGAATGCGCACATCATGTTGGTGAACGCGACGGAGGTGGTTTCTGACGTCCACCGCGCGAGGTCGTCGGGTGGAGGTAGGTCGTAGCGCTTGTCGGGTGGGATGAAGTTGAGTTTGGTTTCTGGCGAGGCAAGCTGGGTCGTGTTGTGCATGGCTACGAAGCGGTGTCGTTGGAAGGAGCGCCAGTTGTCGGGTCGGTTGAGACCGCCTGTGGCGACGCCGCGCCAGATCGCGGCGGTGTATTTCGCGAACCAGGGGGTGGCGGCACCCTCGGCGCCTGTGAAGCGTTCTTCTTCACTCCAGTACATCGGTGCTGGGAGGAGGATGTCGTTGTTGACGGCGAGTTTCGAGCCGCCGAAGAGGGGGAGGAGGGATTTGGTTGCTGAGACGGACAGGGGCTCGACGAAGATCCCTTCGAGGGCTTGGAGGTCGGCTTGGTGGCAGAAGGTGGTGCTGAGAGTGTAGTTGGAGACGTAGCCGTTGCGCATGTGGTCGAGCGCGAAGGGGCCCGTGATATCGGGGGTGCGGTTGAAGTTCGTGATGATGGGCGCTACACGCGCGTCGCTCGTTGGTGGACATCCGCGGCGTACAATTTTCCAGTAGTGCTCTGTGAGGTGAATTCTATCAGCAACCACGTTCCGACAAACCTCAAGACCAAAGCACCCGCGGTTTAACGAGGGAACCTACTGTCACGCTCCCACACCGTCTCGGGCATCTCCGCCTCGTCGTCCGACGGTGTCTCCCCAGGCTTCGGCAACCGGGGAAACCTCGTCACAACGTCCGCAACGTCCACAATCTTCCTCTTCTTGCTCGCTTCCTTCATGTACCGATCAATATCCTCCCACGGCACCACCAGCCGCGGCTCATCCATAGCATTCAGCGCCAACACCATGTCCGGGAGCATATGCTCGATCGTCTTGATCATATCCAGCCATATCTGAGTCCAGAACCAATCACTCCCAGTCGTCGCCTCACCATCACGTATCTCGATATGCATATCAAGCTTGTTCGCCCCCGCCCGGATAACCGCGGGCTTGATCGCCCAAAACGGTTCCAGGTCATGGTAAATCTGGTCCCAAAACTCCTCCACAACCACCGCATTCTTCTCCTGCGCAAAGGCATGCCATTCCTCGAACCCAGGCGGGGGGTGTCGCCCGCGACGCCTGCGGTAGGCTGCTGCCGCATCGGAAAGTGTGTACGTCTCCTTGGCCAACTTGTCGGCGAATTCCTGCTCCGCTGTCTTGATCAGGTCGTCGATGGGGTGTTTCGGTTGGTGCTGGTGGTAATCCCCGCGATGTACGAAGACCTGCTCTGCTTCGTACCCACCCCACGGTCGTGCTATGACCAGGCCATCATTTGGCGCGAGGTTTGTAGGTCCGAGGAGAGCGTAAAAGGTGACTGCTAACAGGATGGCAACGAGGAGATAGCGGAGTGCGGCCGAGGGTCGACGGGGGAATGCCATCCTATCACAGGATCATGGCGTGGATCGAGTCGTTTCCTCCGTAATGTCGAGCGCAGGAAGGATCGGGTTGGAAACAATTTCCGTCAATTAGAAAGGTCTTGACTCTTTTTTAACGGTAGGGTATCTGCATCTGATCTCGGGCAGAGCACTCGGTCTTTGCAGCAGGCCAACCCGGATCTTCCAATGGGAATCATGGAGAAAAAGTAACAAAAGAAGGAGCGTTGGTGTGACCTCAGCAGGGTGAGTGTCAGCAGTTGGAAAAAGGGAAAAGTCAAGGGAAAGAAAAGGAAGGTGAAGGGGAAAAAAGAGTTATCCGAAGAAGCGAGGACAAAAGATGGGACGAAGGGACGAAGAGAATGACGAACGACGAACGGAAACGCGCAAACGAGTTGCGTGTGTTCCTGTCGTACAGTTTGGTTGAAACGAGGGACCTGGGAAAATCATTGAAGATCCCGCCAGAGCTGGCAATTGTGACGTTGAACACCATCAAGTCGAGACTCTTCATTCGACAATTGTGGCAGGGGTGCTGCCCGTTGATATGCAGGGGCGGGAACCCGCCTGCCAGGATGCGGGGTGAATGTTCGGGTCAACTGCCGGCGACACCACTGATTTTCCATCGAGTGCCAGCTGGTGGTGGATCTCTAGCAGGCCCTGGCAGCTGGGTCTTCAAGCCTTTGGCACTAAAAGTTCAGAGAAATCTGACTCAAACCGTTGAGCTGGGCACGTCAGGCGAAAGTCGCAGTGTGAAACATCCAAAATATTGTCCGTTGCAGGGCCTGTTTCAGCCCGACCAGCTCACCGTAGCAAATCCGGATTCTCTTCTCTGATCGCTCTGGAAAAAGGACCCAAGGGCATGACGATCCGGAACGACATTCATTGGCCCCCACTTGCCCGTTTGGGTCAGATCCCGCTGGTGATATGCAGAACCAGTGACATTCCGGATTGTCCGAGTCCTTTGACCTAGTGTATTCGTCCAAGGTGGAAACGTTCGAGAAAATTACAGCCTAGGGGGTGGGTGAAGTCATACGGCGTCAACTTCAGTAGGGCAAGGGCCGTTTGTCTAATACAAAGAAAGTAAGGACCTAATATCGGAATCTATCGAAATACATTGAGATTGAGAGTAAGTATTTACAAGTCTATCTAATTTTTCCTACCTCCATGCTTCCGATCGCTATTTCCATGATATAGAAACAAGTATATACATATCCATCGTACACGCCGACCTCTAACTCTAAAACAATCCAAACGCCGTGGGAACTATGCGTTTGTCTTGATATACTTCACCGCTTCGACAACCGGACACGACAACCACCCCCTCCACGCCTAACCCAGCCTCCCTCCCGTTTCAGAACGTCAAAGTGTTCTACAACTCCATTGGAAGTTTCAATTTGTTTGCCTCCCGACCGTCCTCGCCAGGTTCCGCATCCGCCTCTTCTATCGTCCGCGACACCAGTTGCTCATACGAAGGCCGGAACGGCCACTTCATCCACTGCTCGGTGAGCTCCACCAGGTGATCAGTGCTCAGGGTGCGCGTCGACGGCCAAAGCAGCCCCGGCACGTGGCCACCGACGGTCGGGTCATGCATAGTTTTGCAATGCGGCACGACCCAGTCGCCCGCGCCGGGCGTGATGGTGTTCATACAGCCGTCGACCGGGTCGAGGATGTGCTGGACCAGGCCGCGGAGAAGGAGCTCGAACATGTCGCCTCCGCGGGAGGAGGTCGGGCCGATCTCACGAAGGATGGAGGGGACAGCCCTGGGCTGGATGTCGAGGAGCACACAGGGGGCGGCGGGGAAGAATTCTTGGGGTTCTGCGCGGAGTGGCTCTATGTAGCGTCGGTCCCAATTCATGAAGGGCTTGTCCTGCTTGACAACGTGACGATTGTCACGCAACAATACAATTTCATTCCGAGTCTTTTTCTCGAATTTGTTGATGGTGTCGGTCCAGGCTTTCGCCCTTGCGAGAACTTCTTGTTGCTTCGCTTCGTCGTCGCCGGCTTTGACGTAGTCCCTGACGATAGCATCATGCTCGCGCATGAGGCGCTCCGTGACGACGGCACGCCTGGAATCAAAGGTTTGAAGATGCACAAGGTGGCTGAGGCGTTTATGCTCTTTGGATCCTTCCTGGATCGTGCCGTCGTCCCACTCTTTTTGTAGTTGCACAAGTTCGATATCACCCGGGCGTCCCTTTCTTGTAAATTGGTTCTTGGGCCCAGCACTCTTGTCCGGGTCCACGAAATCAAAAAATTCCCTTACGTGCTCGGGCTCACGCCCTCGGATCAGCTTGAATCCCTGGTCCTGCATCCGTACAAGCGCCCGGCGAGCGCTTTCGAGATTGAGCGACTCGCTGCGAAGATACCAGCGGCTGGCACCCGCCGCTGTTGGCCGTGGCGCATCGGGGCTAACCAGTTGGGTAACCCAATCGGTCGAGAGCTCGGCTTCGATGGCTAGCTTTTTGCGTGCCTGGATAGTGCGAGGGAGAATGGCTTTTGTGTCCGCGTCTTCGGCCCAAATGAGCATTCGGACGAGGCCGTACTTTTGAAAGAGCGAGCCTGGGCGGATTGACGATAGCATTTGGAACATGACAAGCTGGGCGAGACTCTCAAACGACCGAAACTTTCTTCTTGGGGACATGGCCAAATTCATCGTCACCAACAGGGTGTCGTTCCGCTCTGGTGTTTCTTCCGGGGTGTACTTGCGTTCCACTTGATGGGGCAGCACCGTGGGATTCAACACCTTGTTGAGCTGCTCCCAGACAATCCCCGATTCGGGCAGGAGCTGTGTGCCAGGTTTCTCAAGCAGGGGTTCGAGATAGGGTTTATAGAACTCGGCGTCCGGCTCCATGAGAATGTGAGATCGTGGTTTCACCACGTCGTGGAGCCTCTTACTCCAAATACCAGGCCCAGGGAAAATGTCAAGGAGGTCGCAGCCCTCGTGGCGTTTCAGGGTTGGACCCATGTACTTGAGCGTGTCCCTAGCCAGCTGGTCGCTTATAAGGTTGACCCGGTATATATCGCGGTTTCCACCCTGCTTCAGTCGACGGGCGGCTAACCAAGTCCCGTCGCGGTCGAGTTCCTTTTTTAACTCCTTCCCATCCGCATGGGGGTTCACATATTTCCTGGTCTCGGGCGCGCCAGCCCTGATGCTCTTGATCTTTTTCTTGGGTTCGGGGTCCTCTTCCGGCTCGAAATATTCCATAGGCTTGAACGGCTCGGTGGGTTCGATCTCGTCGTTGGCAATATCATCTGCCGCGGCTAAGCTGTCCTCATTCTCTAACCAAACTTGGGCCTTTTTGGCGATTGCGGGGGCCTTCCTAGGTGGTTTGGGGGGGTCGGGTGTGCCAGTAGCAGTACCGTTTGCATTGTCGACGGGTTCGTCTTTTCGTGGGCGCCCCCTAGGGCGGGCTAAGGGACGGTGACCGTACAAGCGGGGGTTGCTAGGCTTTTTCGGTTTGATGAGTTCGCTAGGCTCGATCGGCTCGAGGGGTTCGATTCCTTCGCTGGGTTCGCTGAGCTGGCTAGGCTTGCTGGGTTCGTTGGGTTCGCTAGGCTTGCTGGGTTCGCTGGGTTCGCTAGGCTGGCTGAGCGTGCTGGGTATCACCGTTGCTGTGCGCCCAGGGGCCCGTTTGACGATCTTGATCTTGAACTTCACAGGTTCGGGAACCTTCGGTGGGCGGCCAGGTTTGCGTTTTACGGGGGGCTCGACAGGTTCAACAACCTTCGGCGGTCGGCCAGGTTTCTTCTTGACGGGCTCCTCCGGTTCGCGGACTTTGGGCGGACGTCCCCTCGGCCGCTTGACCGGCTCGCCGGCGGCACTCACTGTGCTGGCCCATCGCACATCCAGGAGAAGCTTGGGGTGCGTCGCGCGCAGCAGCACAGTCCTGCGCGCATGGGTGGCGAGTGCGAGCATAGGGATGAGGGTGTGGTGTGGTCGACAATCGCGGGGTTGCGACAGCACGTTAAAAGTTGCATGGGATGAAGGGTTCGCATTGGGTAGCCCACTAAAAAGTTGGGAGGGTCCAACTTTCTGCCGGTTGTGACCGCCCAGGACCCTGAATGCTCGACTGTGAAGTTATCGATAAGGGTTAGGGTTTGTTTCTTTCTCAGGGGCTCAGGGGTCGCGCATAAACACCAAAGCAGTCTCTCGATGGTAGCGTTTCCTCCCTGTGATTCAACTTTGTTGCTCTTGTAAATGCTCAACTGTAACTCACGTAACAACATAAACCCCAGATAGTACACCAAAAAAAAAGAAAAAAAACACCCTCCCGGAAAATGACCGGAAGCCTAAAAAATACAAGACCGAAAAGTTAAACCAATACCCCTAAGTTCTAACACACCCCCATCACACAGCCAACCCAATCCCGCTTTCCCCACCTCGATATAGCCCAGGCGACATCGGCCCCATAACCCCCGACCTCCTAATCGGACTCAACAACCCCCCACCAACCCCCCCAGGCACCGGCAACGTCAACTCCTCCGGCAACCTGTACCGCGGGCTCCTCGGCATCCACTCCGTTTCCCGTCCACGTCCAGATCCCTCACCCGAGCCCAACGCCGACGAAAACGGACTCACAACCACAGTCCCGACCGGCGTAACCGGCTCCCTCGCCCCCCTCCTCCTCGAAACATACGACTCGCTCGCCGCCAGCTTAAACAACTTCCTCAACACCCTCTCCAACCGATACCGTGCTCCATACACCGGACTTAAAAAGTGAGCAACCCCACTGGCAGCATTCCCCATAGTAGCATTCACACCCCCCGCCTGCGCCCCCGCAGCATGCACCCTCAAAATAACATCCGGCTCATACGTCCCCAGCAACGAAGTCCAGCGTTTCCACAAGCGGAATTTATTCGCCGCCAGCGCGGCGAGGAGTTCGTGTTGCGGGAGGAAGTAGCGGAAGGGTTGGGGCGCGAGGAGGTGGTGCAGGAGGTGGGTGACGGCGTAGTGGAGGAAGGGGTAGGAGGACATGACGAGGTGGCGTTGGGTTGAGATGGTGGTTGGGAGGAGGGGGTGGTGGGTGTGGTGCGGAGGGAGCGGGGGGGAGGGTTTGAGGGGGTGGGGTTGGATTGGGAGGTGGTCGTTGTGATAGTGGTCGTTGTAATAGTGGCTGTTTTGGGTTGGGGGGGAGAACGGGGAGGTGTGTGTGGAGTATGAGGAGGTTGAGGAGTCGCTGTTGGTGGTTGTTGGGGATGGCACCACGGGGACTTTGCGGCGGCGACGGGCGCCGTGGCCGATAGACTCGAAGTCGCGCATGTTGAGGTAGGTGAGGCAGGCTCGGAGGAGGGTGTAGTGGGTGATGTCGAAGAAGTCGGAGATGGGGAGGGTGGAGGGGATGAAAGGATTGCCGGCGGCTAGACAAGCGAAGCCCCGGCCGGAGAGGAAGAAGTTGCGGACTGAGGAGTGGATGGGATAGACGCGTTGTAGGCCGAGTGGTTCGCTCGATGGTTGTGAGTGGTGGTGGTGGTTGTCTGACTTCAACTCGAGCAACCCGATCGACCGAGCACGTAGCCAGCGGTGGAATTGGTAGGGGGTATCAGAACTGATCTCTGAGTTGCGCAGTTGCCGGAGGTCGCGGATTGAGAACGGCGTGCCGACATCGAACGCCATGAGTGGGCCTCGCTGCTCGAATAGCGCGAAGGGGTTGGGTTCGGTCAGTCGGATGGCCATGAACAGATCGTTCAGGCGCATCGGCTCGGCGGATAGCATGGCCCATTGGAAGAGGACCAGCGATTCCGCTCGTTCTCGCTCGTTCATGGTCGAAAGCATCCACTCGTACAACCCATAGAGATCCCCAGGGACTTCCTCTAAGGTGTACTCAATCATCTCTTCCGTAGCCCCCTCAATAATAGCCGCGTTCAGGATATTAACGACAATCTCCGCCCACAGGAACACGCCCCCCGCCTTTTGACCAATTCTGATAACCGTCTTGTTCCTCTCTTCCCACTCGGCCACCAGGTTCAGATTCACATACCGCAGGACATCGTCAGCATTACGAAGCTGCATCGGCACGCTGATAACATTCTCTTCCTCGATGATCTCCGGATGATAGCCGCTGGCAACGCAGATGCTGAAGTCCGAGTTGTGCGCCAAGTGAGATAGCCGACCGAGGAGTTCGTGCACATAAGCCGGACAGGCGTCGTCAGCGACCTCGATGAAGATGAACGCGCGCCGGGTTGGGGTGCGCAGCTTTTGGTTCACGTAGTAGTCGGCGAAGAACGAAACGACCTGGGCGTCGTCGAATGATCGTGGATCATCCCGTGGTTGCTTGTACAAGGCTAGGAGAGCTTTCCGAAGTGCTGGGTCGTGGGGGAAGAGCTGGGCGAGTAAGCTGCGGTACAGTCCGGCAAGTCGAGGGACCTGGGAGTCTTCTTGTGTTGGGTAAGGGTCCTTTAGTCCACCATGACTTTCTGCCGTTACGCAGATGAACGAGGCACCAGCTGGTCCCCATTGCCGTTCCAGTCGTTTCCGGAGCGATTTGACAAGTACTGATTTGCCAGATCCCGGAGCACCCCGGATCCAGAGGATTTTATGCTTGCTTGGGCCGCTGCGGTGGTGCCAAGCTTGGAAATCGGGGAGATCGTAGAGCCAGAGACAAGTGCCTGGGTAGGTCGTGGCCGGGAGGACATCGGGAAGGGATTCTTGCAGGGGGGCAAGGGCAGACACGCATTCTGAAGTTCGTGTTAGAAGGTCTCAACGAGTAATGATAATACTGGGGGAGTTGGCTTACCCGTCTCCTTCAAAGTCAACACATGCCGCTGGACCATGTTAGCTCATTATGCCTCTCAAACATAGAGGAATTTCGCAACTAACCCCATCCTCTTCCGCGCTAATAAACGCCTCCAACGCCCTCATAACAGCGCGGTATCCCTGATCCTCCGCCGACCCAAACCTGCAAATCCCATCATGCAACGCCGCAATAGTCTCAGCACCCTCCCTCGGGTCCCCAATAAAACTCGCCAGCCGTCGAATAGTCTGCCACAATCAGCGTCCCCTCTTCGTACCAACCCCATAAGATCTCAAGCAGCTCACTCACCGTCTCAGCCCTCAACTCCGGCACCCGATAACTCGGCATAACCGACTCCTGAAACGTCTTCACCCCGAAATTATAATCATTCCACAACCTCACAAACGCCTGGCGGCCCAACTCCGCCTCGGCCCCCTTCGCACCGGCTAGTGCAGCCAGAACGGGATCGTCAGGATCACTGCCGCGCAATGTGACGCTGGCCATGCTGCGGATGGCATCGCTTAGCTTGCAGTGCTCTGTTCCGCGGTGTGGGCTGCCGAGGAAGAGGACGGCGGAGGTGCAGAGGAGGACTTGTTTGAGCGGGCCGTCGCGTTCGGCTTCGGATTTGCGGAGGAGCTGGGGGGGAGTGTTAGCACATAACACTACCTACAACTTTTTCTCCAGGATTGGGGGGGATGGGCTGACCTCCTTAACGAGAACGCCCCCCGTAGAGTGCGCAACAAAGATAATCGGCCGCGCTGCCTGCCCTAACGAGGCGCGAGAACCAGCAAGGTCAATGAGGAACTCCTCGGCCTGGGCAAAGATATCCCCTTGTTGCCGGACCGGTTTGCCGTCTTTCACAAGGGTGTGGTAACCCCATGTGAAGATTCTAGCGTTTGGGCAGGATGTGGGTAACAGGTCTAACGGCCAGTAGACACCGACTTTTGGCGAGGGCGGTGGGGTGAAGATATCGATTGGTAGATCTGGAAGCGGTTTTTGGATATTTTTGAGGGATGATTTTCGCAGGACTGTTCTGGATCTACCTAAGGAACTCGGCTCTGGGATGTTTGACGATCCATTGAGGTCGAGTCGTGAGGATGATTTCGTCGAGTTCCCCCAGAGGAGAGTGCGGGCTCTGCTCTGGGGTCGTGGTGTTTTCCCGGTCAGAGGCTCCGAGTTGGATCGGTGTAAGGGGGTGGATGGTGGTAGCTTCTTCGTCAGTCTTCGCTTGAGGCCGGGATACGGCACGGTCACTTTGGGGGTTGTTATGGCTTCGTCGTCGTCGCTCTGCAGCCTCCATGTGCGAACTGGGTGTCCGCCGATGCCGTGGACAAAAACGATGCTGTTTCCTCCGTGGTCAGTTGAAAGTAAAGGGAAAGTTGTAACTTGCTATATGAACACTTACTCGACCGCCGGGTCCGTCGGCCAGTCTGGCTCATACAGAAGCGACAGACCAACCGACTTGACATCGCCCACTGTAACCTTCATTGCATCAACCTCAAAACAAACATCACAACCTCACACACAGATACAGATACAGACACAAACAAGAGTCGCAATAATGCAGGGTTGCGGTACAGTACAGCCCCCAGGGGAACGCGGCACACACGCCCATTTAGAAGGGTGCTGCCCTCCCCAGTCAGTCCTTTGACACACAACAACAGACAAACCCATGACGTGCAGGGCGGGGCGCAGCCGCGCGCAGCAAGAAACACCATCCTATCTATCCCGGCTTTGGGTCTAACAGTTCAAGAAAAAGATATCGCCGAGCCGCTTGGCTCGCGCCCAGACCGGTCACGATTTGTGGCCGCACGCACACATATTGCAGGTATCATTATTATTAGCTTCCCCCAACGGCGCGAATCGGGACAGGGGGCTGGAGCTCTGGTAAGCTTTTGCTGGTGAAACACCGTTGGGTTTTGGTGTGTGCTGCTGCTTTTGCCTGTTCTTCTTTGAGGGTGATGTTAGGTGCAGGCTACCGGAAACGGGCCGGTATGGACGGCCAACTTTGTGACGGACGGCTGTGCCGTGTGTGAAGTGCCTCTTTCAGACCCACTCGCAGACCCGGTCAGTATAACCGAAGCGGCTGTTCGTTTTGTTGGAGGGGAGCGAATGACATTTGTCCCGCGGGGGTAAACGAGGAGAGCAAAAACTTATGTGGGTGTATTATTTTTGTGTTAATTGGGCGGGGCCTGTCAATGGTTAGGTATGTTGTGTTGAGAGAGACGATGGATGCGGTTGCAGCTGGGGCGATGCAGGAACAGATCGTAGCTGGTGCAGTGCCGTACGGACCGATGCAGACGCAGACACGGGCGCAAGAGCGGATGCATACGCAAAGCAACGCAAAGCAAAGCTTTAAATCAACGCTGGGCGAAGAAACTGGAATAATTAGACGGAAACTGAGAGGGGAACTCGAGAAAGGTGTTGTCGGCTTCCGGGCCGCCAACAACACGGCTCACTCAACCTCTTCCCATGGCGACCAACCGGACATTTTCTCAGCGCACGGCCCGGGCAAAACAAGCGCGGGGAATCCGTGGATAAATTAAGACAGGAGGTTCAATTTAGAGGCTTAAAAGGCTGTTTCTCGGTTTGTTGCTGCGAGCATCAAATGGATCAATTTCAAGCTGTGAAAGGTGTGTTTTCCTGTCATTCGCGACAGACTTGAACGTTCATGACGGGAGCGAGTTGAGCAAGGGGACCAAGGGTCGATCGTGATGAATCAGCATCCCCACCCGGCCCCTCATCCCACGTGGCCGAGAACTTGGCACAGTGTGGGGCGAACAATCATCCCCAGAACAACCTCCAAACAACGGGTTTAACAAGACCATCCCAAACCCAATGACTTAGCGAATCATGGCGCCGTGGGGACGGCTACTATGGGCTGTGTACCTACGGGTTGAGGTATGTTGCATCTACGCCCCCATAGCTTTTACAAGCTCCTCACTAACTTGCATAGGACGTGATCGTGGCCCAGGTACGCCCCCCTCCATCGAATTTAACGATCCCCCTCCCCTCCGACTTATCACTGACGATAACCCCGAAACAGATCCTGCGCAGTCCGACCTTCCACCGAGGCGTCCGGCGAGTCCACCGACACGTGGAGGATATCCGGTACGGACGCGATCCGAACGATCCGTTGCGGCCGGGCGAGGCGACAGGTACGGGCTTTCTCGACTGCTCCGACTAGGAGAGGCGGTTTCATGGACCTGGAGAGATGACTGACATGTGATATAGCCGAACAGAAAGGGTCGAGTGGCTTTTTTAAGCATTTTGTTGAGGAATTGCGGAATCAGGCGCGGGGGAAACCGACTGAGCCGCCTCCGGCTCCGCCGAGGAAGTGAATAGATGGGTAACAAAGCGATATGATATGGTGATTTAGATGTTTTGAGAGGAGTAGCTTGGGTTTTGGTGGCTACTGCCGCAGCTACGAGGGAGCCGAATAGAAGAAGATCCGTGTTTCGACGGGTTTTCCGTGTTCTCTTACATTATCCATATCGACGTCAAGGCGTTTGTAGACTCTTTGTCAATGGGCTAACAGGTAAGCGGGCGTGCCGGCTCAGACATATGCCAGAAGTCTGGGCTTTTACTCTGTAGCTGCTACGCCTGATGGCCAACATCAATGAAGCAGCAAGGTCAAACTCATCAAATTAACTCCATGTACCGATATAATTCTATCGCCATTGAAAGGTATCCCCACATTCCCATCCATCATAACAAACACAATTCTCCCTCCTCGACATCTAAAGCACAAAGAAACTCGCCAACCCCACTCCAACCGACATCCCCACAGCCAACACCACCGCACCCAACTCTCTCGCAGCAGCACTCTTAAACCCCTTCTCCGCCGTAAAATGCTTCGGCGTCTCCGTAACCACCCCCTCCGCAATACTCGCCTGACTCGGCGCCGGCGTCGAACTCGGCACAGTCGCACTCAAACTCGCAAACGGCACCACTTTCGACGTCGTCACATTAAACACCGTCTGCGCCAACGCGACCTCATCATTCGCCAGATCATACACCACAAACGCCGAGCGCAGGAAGGTATCGCCTAGGATGAGGGTGCTGTCGGCGGACGCGGCGCGGATGCCGAAGAGGCAAGCGTCGCGGCCGTTGTGCTCGCCTGAGGTGAAGGTGCCCACTTGGTTGAGGACTAGCTCGGACATGGCGACTTGGATTACGGCGCCGTTGGGACCGCCGAAACCGAAGCCGAAGTGCGCGGTGGAGGAGATGTAGGAGCAGGGGACTATGGGGATGTCGTCGCTGCTGCTGGAGGAAGAAGATGACGAAGAAGAAGAGGAGATAAGGGTGACGCCGGCTTCTGTCCAGATCTGCTGGGCGAGATCGGGCGGGAGGTAGGAGGAGGTGGAGCCGGAATCGAGGACCACGGCGGCTGGGAAGGAGGCGGAGGCGAGTTTGTCGGTCCCCGAGGCGCTGACGGCGGTCACGGAGGTCAATGCGACGGCGAACTCGTTGATGGTGGTGGAATCGCCCTTGGTGGGGTACAGCTGCAGACGGGTGAGCGGGCCGCGGAACTTGGCGGTGTCGATGCCGCCAAACAACAAACTGCCGGCGCTGGACTCGAGATCGTTGAGCCAGATGCTGTAGGCGGGCGTGCGGGTGAGGCCTTCGTTGACCATTTGGAGGGGGAGGTTCGGGTAAGGTTGGATGGTGCCTGAGTCGACGCCGGCTTCGTTGGAGGGATAGCCCACGCCGACGAGGCCGAAGGGGATGTCGGTGGTGAGGCCGATGCCCATGGTTAGGTTGCGGAGTGTGCCGCCGCCGATTTGGAAGACATCGTTGAAGTAGTCGCCTTTGGCGGAGGATTGGTCCACGTAGGAGATGGAGAAGGCGCCTTGGGCTAGCCTGGTGGTGTAGGTGGATGACTTGTTGGGGTCGACTGTGTGGAGTTAGCAATCGCTCGCTCACTCACTCAAGTCACTCTCTCCATCACTCATTCATCCATTCGCTCGCCAAGACCGACATGATTCTGCAAGGGGAATAGAAAGAGGGATATTCACAGCTGCCATCGGCACAGTCTCCGCCCTTGCAAATCGACGACCCAGTATACACCACCCAAGTGTCGCTGCTCCCCGTATCCAGCTGCAAAGTCAGCGTCTGCAGCGGCGTGCCGGCTTTCACGTCCGCCATGTAGGCGCCCTGATGCACGTCATTGTCAATCGTCTCGACAATCGTGTTGGCGCGACGGTCGAGAGCCCGCTTATGCACCGTACTCCGCCGTTGGATGTCGAGATGGACGACGCCGTCGGCAGCGTATACTATTTGCGCGGTTGCTGCGAGTCCGGCGGCTAGGAGGCCCAGCGCTGGGAGCGCGCGGGGTTTAGTGCGCGCCATGCTGCCCGTGTAATGTGGGGTGGGTGTTTGTCGGTTTATGTTCCCCACGCTTTCGCGACTCGTGATCAGTGGGATTTATCGAGGTATGAGATCTTGAAGTCACGGCTTTTGAGCCAAGCCAAGAAACTACCGAGCCTGCAGCGGGAGTAACGTACTTTAAAAGGGGCCTTGTTCCATTTTCAGCCGCAATTTGTCCCACGCGACGCGATGGGGGACAGCGGCCACGCAAGCCTGCCCGCTAACGGACCTGGACCGGCTGAACCCCCGCGCAAGCCAGCTGCGGTAGGCTGCGGCTGACGAACGCATTTCTCCCCCACACCTGCGCCGTTAACTCGCCCAAAACAAACGCCTTGGCTGTCTTTCATGCATGTGTGTTAACGGGGCTAACAAAAGAATACCCAAATATTGTTCGTGGGCAACGTTGAACCCATACGGAGTCAAGCCCGGTCTCTTGATTGGAATTGTCTCTCCGCCCCGGCGAAATGCCAAGATCGCGCTAGTGAGGGCTGGGCACCTGGACCTATCGATTGGAGAAGGTTGGGTGTTTGTTTCTGCTGCTCATCGCGCCCTGCTATCAATTGTACGACCGATGCAAGCCAACGGTATGGTATGGTCCAATCGATGAGGTCCCCGGTTTTTTTCAGGTCTGACAGATCAGGCGGGTTGGAGGCTGTCTCGTGGCTGATTTCTCGAAATTCGGAGATTGATTCTTAGCATTGCGAGGCTTTGCAATGAGGTTGAATCGTGAGAGCCTCAGCGTGATGATTGGATGACGAAACCCGAATCATGAGCTGGGTTGGGACTATATCGCCACGGGCGACTGCTGTTAGGCCGACTTTGTGTTTGCGCGAAAAGAATCACGGCGGTTCCCCACTTGCACCTGCAATGTTTAAAGCGCATCGTCAAACACGACACCATAATGCTCCTCGGGTGGAAGATCGGTTGGATATTATCTCTAACACTGTTTTGTGTTCCACTACTATATACTACTACCCAATTACCCCTGTCCCCTTTCTCCATAACGTTCAGTACAACCACTTGTCACGCTTTTCTCACCTAATTAATTCTAGCTCCAACACTTCCCCTTGACTTGGCGACCGACGGTCAAAGACGAGGGCAGAAGGTAAACCGAAAACAGGATAACAGGAACCATAAATGTGCTCGGGTCTTAGAAGGATACAATAGCTTAATGTTGTGTTCAATTACACCTTATTGTAGCTGTAAACTCATGATATCATCCATAGTACGCTAGAAACCCAGAGTTCTGGGAAGTGCTCTGGCAATCCTGGCGGGTTATGAAACCATATGTTAATTAGTTAGTTCTTTACTGCTTTATCTAAATGAGCCAACGAGTACGATTTCCGCACCCAACTTTCACAACAAGATTTCGCCCAGTAGTCCCCTCAGATCACTCTTGGCAACCCAATAACCTTAAGCTTGCCCCAATCCTTCCAAATCCTTCGCCACTCCAGTTAATATATCCTTGAGTCCGAGCTTCATTTAACCGTCAAGCGGCAACACCCAGTTGGTCCAACAGCCAGGTATTGGGTAACAGTAGGAATTGGCTCTGCACCTGTTCCTGTTCCAAGCATCTCTGTATTGCGAGACTCGGGCATGAGAACATGGATTGGCCAATGAGAAGGTGGCTTGCAAATGTTGGGTATCCGGTTTTGGATGTTGTCAACGGTGGATGAACGATGTCCGCCAATGAGAAGTTAGATTTTGGGGTTATTGTATGTGTTTAACTTGATAAGGAACGGAAGATGGTCTTTTGGATGTCTGCAGTCAGCTTTCACCGGTGACTTGGCGAGAGGGGGAAGGAGTGGAAGAGGGAGAGGGTAAAAGATATAAAGTCTCATGGTTCGCCCTGCACTGGGACTCAAACTCATACTCATCTCAATAACCCGCTCGTCACCCAGCTCAATCCGTATTACCGTTTCAAACCCTCAACCCACCTCTGTAAGCCACACTCAGTCACCCACACACTCACTGACTCACTCACTCCATCCTCAACCTTCAGCACCCCAACACACTAACACAAAACCAGACCAAAATGAAGACCACCACCTTCTTCACCGCCGTGGCCGTGCTCATCGTCAGCGCCGTCGCGCTCCCCAACCCCAACCCGGCCCCCGAGGCGAGCCCGCAGATCTGCTCCTGCGTCCTGGGCTGCTACGACACATGCGGCGCGAAACTGTGCTGCTAGGTTGATTATTTGATGGTGTGGAGGCATAGCTGGGGGTTGCAGACTAGATAGTGGATAGGAGGAGTCAATGCTATCTTAACGTTTGAAACCATACCGAGTCTTGTGTTTGTGGCGAAATTGAAGCATGCTTGTCCCTGTATTGATTTTGTTTCTATGTTAATTGCCCCTATATCTGTAACTCTAAGGTACTCGACGGCTGAGTAACTCTCCCTCTTCACCCCTCCAACGCTCTATTCTCATATTTCTTTATCAATCCTCTTTCTGACGCTTCCCCGATAAATCCACTCACCACACTGTCTCCTACAAGCTGCCGCTCTACTTTGATCCTCCACAATCTCACTTTTCCGGCCCTTTGAAAGCAACACAAACATCACGTTCTTCTAGTTTGTATCCCACATGACGTCCCATTCTTCCGCAAATACACCAGCTACCTCAGTGTCGGCCCCAACCCAAACCTCTAGTTAGCTAGAAGTGTCAATCAACAGGGCTAGAGATTGTTAGGGTAATCTGGAAGGGTAAGGATCGGGCTATGTGGGGGGCTAGTAAATCCATTGACTTTGTGGAGAGGATTTCAAGGCTCAACTAGGTGAAGACAAACCAGGTTCGCCGATGGGGCGGTTAGAATCCGGGCGCGTCAAGGTTATGTGAATTTTACCTTGATGTTAGTTGTCTTTGACTGGGTTGTAAAAGACCCATGTCCTGAAGGGTTTGGCCCGATTTTGACGTGGTTAAATGACACTGCTGGACTGGACCTTGACTGAATTTACCTGCAAGTGAGAGGGAAACCATGGGAGGTTGTTGTCAAATGTAGCACAACTCGATTCCATCCTACCTCCCTACACTTATCGGTAATTAATGGAACAATCACCGTATCTCACTAGAAAGAAACCAGAAATCACGTACGGAATGCCAAACTCTTTGAGAGAAGTAATGACTTCATGTGGTGGGACATAACTTAATCTGAGGAAAGGTGAGTACGAAACTAGGGGTAACCTCGTTGAAGTTTGTGGTAATTGCCTTAACACAACATCACCCATTTGACTAGGTGGGCACCTAATCGTCCCCACCACTTCAGTTCACGATTTTGACTGCTCCTCCTCCCTGTGTTTCATAGTGTAATTACAGGTGCTTTAGTAACTGAATCTCCCGTTGACGGCCGTTCAGTCCAATTTATTTTCGTCGCCAGTTTCAAACAGTCGGCAAACTTCTCCCTGTCGTCGTTCATCAGATCTGGAATCATGTCCCCCGGCTCTAGGGACATCACCCCCAGCAGTGGGAAGTCTCTCAAGTTGCTTTCGTTGTCAAAGAATAGTCTTGACAATCTCTTGACCCCCCTTTTTAAGTAGGTTCTTAGGGCTATACCGAAGGACGACGTTGATATTTTCCATAATTAAGTTCTGGTTGATCTCGTAGTGGCTACTTGGGCGGCACCGTCCACTCAAACATGCAGATGGGTGGAATGAACATGTGTTGTGTACCTATGTACATGTACCTCGCCGAGATAATTTGTATGTCATTCATGATGTTATGATTTGGAAACAATAACTGAACTAGTAGAGGGGCCGGTCCTCATAGCGCAAAGATCACAAGCAAACCAGATGGGAGAGCGTCATGAACGGTTTATGTCTTGTCTTGAAAGTATATACATCTGAACAGCGCATAACAGCGCAGCCTGCCCTAACTCAGGACCCAAAACTTCCGTCACTCCGACGGACTAAGCTACAACATCCCTTTCATCCTCCCTTCCACACCTCTCCACAACCCTCTAGCAGCTAACGACGGCCGGACCAGGGTTAATGTACTCCGTGGGCACGGGGTAATAAAGCTGGAACAGAATACCGGGGTCCTGGGCGGAGTACGCGCCGGGGAAAGAGACCGCCGAGGAGGTGTCGAGGGTGCCCGAGCCGCCAGAGATGGAAAGCTGCGCGCAGGCGAGATAGAACTGAGCCCCGCCGACTTGGCTGGCGCTGTGCAGCGCGATGTGCTCGACGCGCAGGAGGTAGTCGCCGTCGGCGACGCAGGAGGGGATGGTCACTGTTACTTCGGCGGCGCCTGGGGGTGTGTTAGTATTTTTCTTCTTGTTCCTTTTTTTCGTTGCGGGAAAAAGGGAAGAGAACGTACCAGAGCTAGGCCAGGTGATAGTATCCGTACCCAAGCCGGACGGGCCATCCTGGTAAATCTTGAACCACACATCACCGCTGCCGTCAAAGGTAGCAGCCGTCTGGCCCTCGGGAACCTTGGCGAGGTAGAACTGGAGCGGGCCGGGGTGCTGGATATCCGGGTCGACAGTGAAGGTGAAGTCGGAGCCGGCCTTGACGGCGACGGTGTCGGCGGCGGCGGCGAAGGACGACTGGTAGCACCGGATGAGGTCGCTGCTGACGTCCTGCACGGGGCCGTGGGAGTTGTAGTTGTCGGTCTTGCGGACGGTGGTCCAGTCGGCTGAGAGGGTGCCTTCGTAGTCGCTCTTGGGGAAGTTGTCTGGGGAGTATGTGTTAGACAAGACTGATGAGGCTCATCGAGAAGGACAGGAAAGACGTACAGTGAGCCTGGGCGCCGGTGGCAGCCAGCAGGGCAAGGGAGGAAGTGGTGAACTTCATGTTGACTGTGTGTAAGAAGGCGGGTGTTCTTGGCGTTGATGACAGTTGGGATGATCAGCAAGACAAAAGATGATCCCCAGGACAGGGCAGAGACAACGAGGCTCTTTATACTCGGTGATCTCCCGCCCCCTGTCCCCCATGGCCCATGGGACCCCGGCGTGGAGAAGCATCAACCCTGGGCTTCCATTCTTCTGGCGCTTCTTCTTCCGTCTCTCCGAGAGTCCGAGATGCCTGCTCCTCGGCTCCCCGGCACACTCCCCCCTACACTACAGGCCCCCCTGACGGACATCAACAACACAAGAAAGCGCGTGACAACTGCACGCAATAGTGTGTGTTCGTCATCAGTGGAAGGAAATATCTCCTCCGGGCACTTATTACCGAGCCTGGGCAGGGAATGGGGGGGCAGCATGCCGTTACATGTTCTGCATGGTGGACGCCAGAGGGGAGAAAGTAGCGAGGAAAATAAATTAAAAACCCAACATCAGGAGTTCAGGTAGCCTGCAGCCCCACACGCGAGGACAACAGGATTGTCCATAACCCGGTTTTCGTCAACCCCTGCCAAGCCCAACGAGAGAAAGAAACGCCGGGATCGATCCCAACGGAATGCGAGGAGGGCAGGAGGTCTGTTCGGAATCTCCTCTTACGAGCAGCGCTTGTCTGGATTGGCTCGGCACAGCTCACGGCGGTAATACACGCCGTGACGGTGACATTGCGGCTTTGCTTTCCGGGCGTTTTCATGGGCCATGGGGGAGAAGGACTTCATAGTGTAGTTGGTGTGTGCAAGCAAAAGAAGAATTTCGATGCCCAGGTTGCCCAACCTGCGGCCTTCCCGGGCCGTGTTAGCTGCTCGTCAGGTCTCCCACTTCCCTGCTAGCAGCTCTCCTCGCCAACCGAATTCCCGGGGTTTGCCAAGCCGGCCAAGCGAGCCAAGCTGTTTCGCGGGCTTTTGTCTTGTGGGTTATTTCCAGGGATAAGTTCGCTGCGCGTTGGACGGAAATACCACAGACATCGCTCGCGCGACCTTGCTTTCCCTTGCTGCTTTGCCTTTGACGTTGCGTTGTTGGTGGGCTCCCGGGGTTCGCGGGGCTGCCGTTCGGTACTCGTTCTTCCATGGTCCCCGTTCCGGCTAATACGCCGTTGCTACCTTGCCGATCTGCTCCCGTCTTGGCTGAGATGTGGGGAAAACTGGGCGCCTGGTCGGTCTTGGCTTTGGAACGACGGAGGGGCGTCAGAAGTTCAGAACGTCAAGGCTCGAAAAGGGTGGTGATGGTTCTGAAAAGGGGAGGTTTGGCGAGAGAGAGGATGATGCGGAGGCGTCACGCTCGCGGAATTTCTGTCTTGTGATGGTGGGGTTGGGAAAGAAAAGGGGGGATTTGAGCAAGGCTCGCCAGAAATCGAGAGAATCACGTCAAGTTGTCTGGGTTCAAGCGAGGGTGTTTGTCGCCGAGAGTGAGCGTCGCTTCTGGAGATAGCAAGGCCATGTTTGAGATCGGGCCGCCAGAGCCGGGAAGCGCGGCGGTTTTGTTGCAGAAAGCTGAGCAAGTTCTTTTCTCTATTTTTGTCCTTGAAACCCGGATAAATAAATGAATGAGCATGTTTTGTTGTCACTACCACAAGAGCAAAGCCGGGTGGCCGAAGATGGGTTGAGCTGACGTCTCGTTTCCGCTTGACCGGCAACCGAGAAGCCAAGAAGAGGGATGTCACCATTAATACCGGACTTGCTGATCTCTGCACATCGACCAATGCGGGCAACTCTCCTGTACATACATATAAACGCCGTGAGAGGCTGCAACTGCAGATTTGACCTATGTCTGCCTCTAATTATGTACTGTGTTGCTTATTCCCGATTTAGGCGCACGAATGAACTTGGGAGCTGGCCTGACTCTTGGGTCTCTTCCATCAAACATTAGAGTTTTCCCTATCCGATTCAGATACGCAGAGCAGGCCCATAACCTTTTGTATCAGAGACAAGTCTACATAATTAATACAATTAACATTGACGTCTTGTTCATTGCTACGATAACCGCAAGAGCGTGGTGAAAAGGAAAGAGGGCGTCTGGCTGGACTCGTTACTGAATCCTTAACTTCGCACAGATGAGCAGTGGGAGGGTATAGCTGCGCTCCATATATGGACGCTTTTTGATTTGGTTAATTATAAAGTCTGCTTGACATTGTAGCAGCACGCCAAGCGTTAATGACCACAGTGGACAAGAGGAACAAGACCGGCCGAAAAAGAGCGACTGTAAAATACACACAGAAACCATCACAGCCGGTCACCCGACGTCCAAAACTGCACATTGTTCTCGAGTATCTAGCAGCATATAGCAAGCACGAATAAGGTAGGCAAGGACGGGAGACGTCTTGACAGCATCTCTTGTATGCTGGCAGTAGAAAGCGTGGGCAGCAACACACATGTCCGCCCCCACTGAACATCGTTAACGAGTGGCATAATAATTATCCCTTAGCAGTATGATTAAGGCAGTGACCAGAGAAGAGCGATTGTGGTCCACACGTTAGGTGCTCTATAAACCCGTGAACAATCGTTTAGTACACACTAATATCGCTTGTTTTGTCTAGTATTAATTACCTGTCCCTAGGCTCTTCCACGTGATCACAGCGAGAGAGAATGACAACCGATTAGAACGCGTTCCTCCAAACTAGAATCTTCTTTCTACCTAATTAACCAACAGGTCACCGGATTCACAACCATCACTGTGCCACCAATGGCTTCAACAAACATCACCCATCCGGCATTGCGGCCATCGCTCGCCTCTTCTGAAAATGGCAGTTGGTTTAATCTAGTAGTTCTTTCCTATGGTTTCCCCATTTTTCTCGTTTCCATCGCTCGATGCGAACCACGGTCGCTAACGCATCCTAGATTGAGCTGCAGTCCCCGAGCATCGAGAACATCCTCGACCGCATCTTCGAATCCCGTCTGACCCCCAACCACGGCTCAATTTTCCAGTTCTCCTGGCCCCAAGACCACATAAACAATCTCGTCTATGAGGTCGAGGGTAGGCTGCGTACCTACCGCCACCAAAAGCAGCTCGCCAGCGTCGACTTTGACCACGATTCCAGCACCTTGTACATCGACTGCCGAACCAACACTGCTTTCTGCGATGAAATCATCCTCGGTCTCCTTGATTATATCTGCAGTCAAATCGAGAACCCCGACCGCACATCTGACTCAGTACTCCAAAAGACGGTACCCCGTATGCGCCGGGGATTTCGGGTCGACATGGACTTCCCCTACCTAAGGCAGCAAGCCTATTTTGCCTTTGGCCGGGACAGGCCCTTTCTGGTTGGCGAGGTCTCGTAGGACGTGCCTCGTCAGTATATTGAGAGAAAGGTACGCCGGTACATCCAGGACTCGGAAGGCACCATCGAGGCCGTTCTCGTTCTGGATGTTCGCTACCCCGATAGGAAGAAGGCTTGGGTGAGCTTGTACACTAAGGACCGGTGGGTTCGGTACCGTGAAGTTGTTTATGACGATACAGTCGACGAACAGCCTGTGGGACAGGTTGATTTCTATCTGTCTGATCTGGCCGGCCCTGTAGGTCTGCCGCCGACCTATTGTCGCCCCTCAGTTGCTGAGATTGCGGCTGGAGTTATAAGGTTTGTTTGATTTGACCTCCTTCATTTCACCTCATCATTTAAGTATGATGGAACGGACGCCGTGCTGACTTGGCCTTTCTTTTAGGGAGCCCGTGATTCGAGACGCCCCGTTCCCGGCACCTTGTGATGAGAGTGATCATGACCCCGTTGAGATATGAGTGGAGATGCTGGCCGGAGTGTACGAGGCAAAACATGCTCAGGATGGATGTTGAGAAGCAGCGGCGCCTTGCTGGTCGGTTAGCAGAACATCTATCTACCAGGGAAGTGCCAGGAGGCCGGGTAGCATCTGGGAGAGACATATTATAGTAACTTAACCTCGTGGTGGTGGATCGGAGGCCAGATAATATCGGAAACGGAGTTTTGTAGAGATTAACATTCTGCTATAATGCATAGTTGTCCTGCAAAAAGACTCGACCGACATTACGAGATAGTAGCCAAAATAATCTCCTCCCCATTTCTTCCGCAACGGAAACAGAGTGATATCCTGACTTGTGCGTGCAAGTGTAGAGAGACCTGATGCCGTATGCTAGCTAGTGTTGGTAAGGCTTCTTATAATGCGCTGAGTAATGACGTCCCTAAATTCCAGTCTATTTCAACCTGCGCCGAGTTGGCACAGGCATTCAATTCGAGTTTTACCTTCCGTATAACCGCGATGACTCGCTGAGAACAAAAGCTAAGACTCTTGCGTCGGGCTGGCACAACGACACGGTTTACATTTTGGGCTCCGGTGATGGGCCGGTGCATGTCGGTGCAGAAAGTCCATGCCATCCATCCTTCACGTCAATGCAGTCGCTTTGTCACAGTTTGAAAAGGTTGCAAGTTTGTCAGAGTGCATTTACCTACATTCTCCCCTGATGTTACGAAACAGGTTTGCACCCCATAGATACAAATCAACCTTCTTTGCATTTACATTGATTACACGTCGGAAATATCCGTTATCCTACAACGATTTACAATCCAGAACCTCACCAACAGCCTACCAGCTTCTGCAGTTCGCATCACACTCAATCCGCTTCTTGACCCTCTCCATCCAGTTTGCCTCCAGTGATGGCGCCCTTGTTAATTACGCCCCCGAAACCCCCGGCAGCGCCGCATCAACGGTAGCCATATCAAAGGCACCACGTGACGGAGAAGGAGTAATGCGTCCAGAAGCGTTGTCATCACTCGTGGCCTCCCCGCCCACCACGGACGGCGTGATGGCCCCGGTGGGCTCGGGTGACATGACCGACGAGGACGGAAGGATTGTTGACCCAGGAGTAAATTGGCCGCCGTTGCTGCTGCTGGACTCCTCCTCTTTCCCGTCAGCGGAAACCTCGACACTCCTGTGGTCAATATCGACCTCCAAAATCCCAAGTTCACTCAGAATATCATCAGTCGCAGACGCCTGAGCGTTCAGCACGCTCTGAACAACAGGCACCGCTTCCTGCCAGACTGACAACAGAGGACGACCCTGCGTCGCGGGATCTGTCAGGATCCATTTGCATAAGCGGCGGGGGAGTATGCTGTGGAAGCAGACTTCTTGACGCTTCTTGTCTGCTGGGACGTAGATTTTCAGGCTGTTAGGATCCTCCTGGATGTGGAGTGAGGCTGAGGGTTTTGATACGCGCAGGTCGGTTTCGTCTTGGGTTAGGAGAAGGTCGGTTGTGATGGCGTCTGTCTCGAGCGTTTCCGATTTCTGGAAGAGTGTGTAGAGGTTGTAGAGGTTGGAGATACTGCCAGTGGTTCTCGGGCTGTTATACGTTACTGCAATGCTGGAGAGTTTGTGGTGTTAGCTTATGAGTGGTAAAATAGAAATAACGAGCCAACATACCGAAGCAAAGAGTGTGCATGTCTGCTAATATCGCGATGAGGCGTTGAAATTGGTCGTGCAGATTTCATGTCCGGGCAGGTGATCTCCTCGACTTTCCTAGACAAGTACTTGCGTCCCAGGGAAGCCCATCCCAACACCCGTTGCAGCCTCCGGACCTCTTCCATGTCAAAATCGAGAAAATTAGCCAGTCCCGCAAAGTCTTCACTCAAAGCCTTACGATCCCTCACTGCGAAATCTTTGATGCCTGGACAAAGCCGGACCTCGCCGCTCGGAAACCGAACCGGGAACACCGGATTCCGAATCACACGTGCCGAGACCAATACCTCGCCGCCGGCTGCTGCTAGGAGCGAGTTAAACACACGCAACGTCTCCTTGGCCTCGTCGACGGAAAGCACGAGGCCGTTCTGGCCCGTTGCCGCCGCGAGTTTATCGTAGACCAGCCGGACCGTCAGCTCCGGCACGCCCAGGACGCTGACGAAGGCGTCCCGCAAGTCGTCGCCATATATATTGTCGAGGATGAGTTTGTTGTTGATGGGAATGCTGCTGGACCATAGGCAGTCGGAAGCGGTGTGCCATTTGTTGTCGAAGCCGTAGATGAGCGCTTCGCGTGAAAATGTTTCTCTGGACGTTGGTGAGAGGTAGAGGTTAGGATGCATGTCCATGTGCTCGCCACCACTAGTTAAGCAGTGATACGTACTTGAGATTACGAGCCGGAGTTCCCTCCAACCGCATATCAAAAAGACACTTGTACAACTCCCTCGCTCTGTCCAAATCGAAATCATCGAATACCCCAAGCGAGTAATGCCTGATTTCGGCCACGATATGTTTCCAGGTGCAGTTGGGAATATCAAGAGTGCGCACGAAGAATGTATGAAGGGGGGCGAGAATGTCATCGCTGTCTGGGAATGCAGACGTATACGCTCTGGCTAGCGTGTATTTGGTGACTATTGGGATGGGTGAATTCCAGAGACAGTCTTGAGGCTCGGCCCAAGATGGACCATGTATCTCAGTTTCAGGGACAAAGATTGATGGTCGGGACGCAAATGCACTCCTGAATTGGGTGTCAGCAGTGTTTGGCTTACAATTGTGAGTTGAGAGGGCTTACCGTATTTTTTCTCTACACGACGTGCGATGTGTAGATTCATCCACTTTGGCCTGAAGGTACGCATAGACCTCAATCACACGTGCTGGGTCATCTAGATTCTCGGCAACAGGATTCGCCTCCACGATGCAATTCAAGACAGCCAGGGCAATGGGGAGCATCTTGCGGTCATATCCCAAGCCAAACGCCGAGCCCAAGCATCTCCACTCAGCGAGAGTCGCCTTGTCGATGCCCATCGGAATCTTCACCACCAACCAGGGAAAGAACTCGCCATCAAGCAAACACTCATTAACCACCCTCATCACCTCCTCATCAGGGAGAAACGTCGAGTTGAGCGGTCGAAGGTTGATACCGGGCCCCAGGCGCAGAACCGGGACCCAGCCGAGCTCTTTGAGAACGGCGCTGTCCCTGGGCTCATTATGGAGTCCGTAGCGTTTCCAAATGACACGGAGAAGACTGAGGAACATCTCAGGCCGGTGCTTGGCAACATGGATACAAGCTGGAGTCATCTCACGCTCTGGCGTGTCAGGTCCGGTTTGGCGGAACCATGTGACCTCAGCCTGAAGCCCGCAGGTATGAGTGAGCCAGCGCTCCCAGGTGTTATCATCATCGGCACCTCGTTCGGGAGGATCTTGGAAGTAGGCCGGATGTGCAAAGAGAGCTCCTTCCAGTCCGGGTGCACCAGCGCCCGCATCAGGTCCAGGTGCCGTCGCTTGTAGGAGCTGCGCTGCCCCGAAAGGGTCGTTATTTACGACAAAGATATCCGTTTTCGTTGCGTCCTCGAGTCGTTCGTGATGAGAATAAATTCGGAACCTCTCAGTGAGATCGTACATCTCCTTTGAAAGAGGCTCGGTGAGGTACAGGAAACGAAGATAGGACACACTTTCTGACAGCGTGGGGTTGGAGGTGCTGCACCTGTGGAAAACGGCTCCTCGGACAAGATCTAGCGGCGCATTCTTGACGCCCAGAACGTCAAAGAGTCGTTTCCGATCGGCGTCGGCAGTAGCCGTTGAATCCACGACCCTAATATTCAGAGCTAGACCCGGGGGGATGTCTAGATCAGTGCCTTGAACCCTAGAGTAATAGATAAAGCCAGACGCCGCTGAGGTCCAGGTACCGTTGGTCAGGGGAACCAGGTTCGACTCCATCAGCTCACGGCACAATGCGCGACGCGCCCACTGCATTGTGATGTTGACTGTTGTGTCCTCCACAAACAGTCCGTGCAATAACCTCGCCAGGCGTGATTGCCAGTCTTCGTCCTGAGTCGTTTGGATCCTCGATATTTGTGCTGCAAGATCAGACTTGACCCTCAACACGATCCCCTGCATGTCCAGATCCTGGAGTCCAAGATCGCGCAATCGGTCCAGATCCGCGCTCTCGTACCGAGGAGACAGGTAGGGCCACGGGTCAATGTCGGGAAGTAAAGGTTCACCAGACGCATCGAGATGCTCAGGTCGGAGTCTCCGGACGTTCTCGATCAGCCGGGGCGGGCCCGGGATGGCTGGGCAGAAAACTGGCGTCTGCTTAAGTTGCTTCCTGATACCCTCGACGACTCCCTTCCAGAATCCGTCCCAGGGATATAATTCACTTTCCTCGGGAAGGTACCGCATCCACTGGTACAGAAGTGTTTTCTGAGCGCACAACCGAACAATCTCCTGGACGAAGCCCTTCGCGATATGCCTGGCAAGCTCCCGGTTCCGGGCAGAGGTGGGAACAATGTCCTTTTCGTCATCCTGCATCACAAAGTCTGCGTGAACCAAGAACTTGAAACCCATCCGGTAGACGGGCAGAAACGAGAATACCCATTGGTCTTCTAGGAGGGGTACCGAGTCCGCCGTCACGGGAAAGGCCAGAACAATCTCTCCTCTGGCATAGGCCTCGGAGTCCTTTTCGAGTTGTGAGTAGATGCGGTTCTCAGCTTTGGTCAACCCTGTCACGGCAATCTTCCTGACGTGGTAATATCGAAGGTGTGTCTTTTCGTGGCCCGGTCGAGATGTGTGCTTCTTATAGATAGTTCTCGGGCCTCGGCGACTTATTAAGTGGGTCACGGTGTTCACTGGGTCAGCAGCGCTGCCTTGTTCCTGATCATAGAACTTGATCTCAATCCTCTGAAGCCTCTTCATGAACAGAAGCACTGCGTCGTGGATTTCCTCGAACTGCTGCCGGATCGCCTGGGTGCGGTTTGTTTGCTCTTCCGGCGTCTCACCCTTCTCCAAGTCTAGGGTGATTCGCGTGCACCTATCACCGAGATACGGTACATCTTCCTCCCAGATGGGCGTGATCATGCCGAGCCCGGAATCGCCCTCGCGGTGTCGAAAGTAGAATGAGAAATGGCCAGATTGGATGTGGACTTGATGCGCTGCCATGAACACCGACTTGAACCCGATGCCTTTCTCGCCGATGTACCCTCCAGCTCCAGTCTTGGAGCTTTGACCGACGCTGCAGAGTGCTCTCAGGTTCTCTTCCGTAAACCCGTCCTCATTACATTCCAGCACCAGCTGATTGGGGTACACGCTGAACGACACGAACGGCGCCTCGCCTTTTCCTTGGGCCTTGGTGTAGTCGTTGTCTTCAGCATTCTGGAGCAGCTCTAAAATGGACCGAGCATTGCTCGTGTAAAGGCTCTGGGCTAAGCTAGAATTTTCACGGTCAGAGAAGGTATGCTATTTGATGCACAACTGCCACAAGTCCGCAAGTGAGGCGAAAATCTGCCCGTAAGGACCATGACTTACTACGTCAAACCAGAAGAACCAAGCTTCTGATCCTTCCTAAGAATGGCATTTTCAACCTGCCGACGATCCATATCCGACATACGACTCAGTACTTCCTCGGGGATGGGGCGATGGTCATCGGCAATGCTCTGCACCAAGCGTTGGGCTTCCGCCCGGCTTGATGGACGATTGCTTTCCGCCATCTTTCGCGGTCTGTGAGTAGATGAAGCGCATCAATTGCCAGAGGTTGGTAACGTCAACTGCGAGGGTGAACTGATACTGGAAGGTGCAGTGGGACAAAAATTGAGGGTCGGGCCTGCCAGCCTTGTGCCTTTGTTGCTCAGGTGTTGATTAATTATTAACACTTGCCCGCCAGCTGCGCCACCCGTTTCCGAGATGCAGGGGCTGTTGTCCCAAACGCAACTCGTCACAATAGCCGCTTCCCCCCAAGCTTAGGAGATACTTTGTCCAATCGTTAGTCTTGGACTCCCAGAATAGAGCACACTCCGCATAATTTTACCGCCTCGCGCAGGTGCAGACCAACAAGGTTTGAAATCGGCAAGATCCTATCTAAATGGGGTAAGTTTCCGAACCAACATGAGAGACCAAGGGTTCAATCTTTAATAGCACTCACAGAGTCACAAAGCCCAAATTTTGGCGAGAGTGCAAAGGTTTCATAAAATAACCTCCTTACGACGGGGCCGCCTACTTCCTGGACTAACCAGCTCGCTCCCCTGATCTCACAATCCAATTCACAATACGTTTCGCAATGCAGTTTGCGATGTAACTGGGTATCTACCTACACAATTACTTTACTTCTCGATTCTAAAATTTTGCTAGTGCCGCTTTTCAACGGCGGCAGAACTGAAATCAATTTTTTTTAGACGAGAAGCAGCATTCGAGCGCCCATTTTCTCTCCTCGTACATAAACATATTATTGACCCGGCTCATTCGCTGAACTGCGCGGCTGGACGCTGACATCGGAGTTGTCTGTATATTTTCATCACATCTGGCACCCGGGAGACCCATTTCGACCGCCATTGGGACAACGGTGAGTACCGGATACTTTCAACCATTATCACTTGGCACCGGCCATCACCACCTTGTCCTTGTGCGCATGCCCGGAACGGATAATAAGACGAAGTACCGAGAATTTTCCCAGCCTTAAACCAGTCTTAATCATGGATGATTCGTCGTGGTCTCCCAGTACACATCGTAATTACGAGAGCTCCAGATTCACGGGAATATATAACTATGGGCAAAGAAATAGGTGCTTTCGGAGATTATGGTGTTCTTGCTCCTCATAGTTGCCTGATTCGTGTCGGAGACAATGTCGGTGCTGGCGGTAACTGCCCCTACCCGTGGGCAGAACCCAAACACAACCCATAACCCATTTGGGTACCCATTTATTTGGGTTTGGGTTCATATGGGTAAGGTCCAGAGATACCTAGAAACATGGGTAAGGGTCGGGTTCCATTCTACGGGTTTAGCTCAAAACAGACAGAAATTTAGGTACTGATCATAAATGTAATCACCACCCCCGGATTAACGCTGCCTTGGTGAGATCATCCACAATACACAGAGACTTGTAAATTTGAATAGTTGGATGGGTTTTAAGTTTTACAGAGAGTAACCATCCAGGTAACCATCCAGCCAAATCAACGCGCAATATTATTAATGGGTTCCCAGCCATATCTCCTACCCATAACCCATATGATTTGGGTATTACCCAGCCAACTCACCATTCCTTAAGCCCAGCAGCGTTTCAAATTCCCACCAATCTCAATCACCTTGACAGACATAGTCTACACATGTGACCACAACGTAGACCATCCCCGCTACACCCCCCTCGTAAGCCTCCCAATATAACTCAACACCTCCCCCTCCCGCTTCGTCACATTCACACACCGCTCCACCGTCAACACCGCCTCAATCTCCTCCTTACTCGGCACCTCCTTCCGCTCATAATTCACCTCCCCGTCCTCGATCGAATGCGGAATGAAATTGGACCCATTCGTCGTGATGGGCGTCTTGTCCTCGCGGATGCCTAAGCCTGCGACCTCGCCGTCGACCATCCAGAGCCCAAGGACGGGGTAGTGGGGTGTGTTGGTGCGGGGGTCAAGGAATTCGGGGAGGAGCGCGAGTTCTTGGATGATGTAGCCTTCTTTGCCGTAGAGACCGGTGGTGGAGTCTTGGAGGATTTTGCCGTCGGCGTGGAGGGTGACGTCGGCGCCTTCGCGGGCGAAGATGGGTTTGCGGGCGTATCTTGTTAGTCCTCCTGCTAGCTTATTCTTGGTTTCGTCGTCCTCAAAATACGTCGGCAACAACCACTTCCCCCGCGGGTCATCCTTAAACAGCTCCCAGAGAATCGCAAACAACCCCTTATTACTCCACAACATCTTGTACGGCGGCTCGATCCAAACAGTCCCCGTGCCATCCTCACGCGCCATATCGAGGAAACAGTCCCTCGCAAACTCCTCCTCCATCATAAACTCCCACGGGTACAACTTGAAGATGACGTCGATGTGGTCACCATCCAAGTCGTAGAACCGCCCGTCCTCCTCCGACCGCGCAATCTCGTCCATAAAAATCGCCTTGGTCGGCCACCCGGCCTGCTGGCACGTGTCCAGCAGCAGAAGCGTGTTCATCGCGTCTTCTCCCGTCGGCTCGTCCCGGGCTATGGCGAAATGCACCGTCATTTTCTTCTTTTTGCCCTCCCCACCCTCCTGATCATCACCATCCGCACCATCTTCACCATCACCATCCCCATCCCCCCCAGAGCAAAATCCCTTCTCCCTCTCCACCTCCCTCAAATTCCTCCTCCACCCCTCAATCAACTTTTCCGCGACCTCATTCCACTGATCCCTCCCCAACCCCGTCTGCTCCAACCACAACCACTGCACACTCGCCGCCTCCACCAAACTCGTCGGCGTATCCGCATTAAACTCATAAAACCGCGGCGTCCTCAACCTCTCATCGGGATGATCCAGCCCTCCAAAACAGACATCAAACCGTCCGTACACACTGCCCCATGCCGGCTCGCGGTTCCAGGACGAGGCGATTTGTTGCAGGGCGAAGGCCGGGATGGCGAGGCGGGTGGTGATGAGGTGGGGGTGGGTCAGGAGGTAGTCGGCGGCTTCGCAGCAGAGGGTGAAGACTTCGGTGGCGGCTTGGGAGAGGAGGGAGATTTCGGTGGTGGTGAAGGAGTAGTAGCGGTTGTCGGGCCAGTAGGGGTCGGTTACGTTGTTGTCGTCTTTGTTGGTGGGTTGCGGGGGGTCGGTGGTGTAGACGAGGCCTTGGCTTTGGACGAGGCGGGTTGCGTTGGGACGGGGGGTGCAGGGGACGCGGCGCATTTTGGTGATGGTATTTTCTGTGAGTGTTTGGTGTTGTTGTTGTTACTGGGTGTGGTGAGTGGTTGAAAGTGGGTAAGTGGTAATTACGGAGGATGCAGGACGAACGGCGGCTGTCTTGTTCCCGTTGTCTTCATCGCCTTCTTGTCAGCCCTACCATGGAATGCGAGGCTTGTTACTCCCAACGGGGCCGTCTCATGTTGGCCGCCTCGGCAATGCTGTGGGCCAACGGCCAGGTCACGCCGTGGGAGTTGACGTTGAATCCTACTGTGGGATGAATCCTCTGCTGTTGTTTGGGGAACCTCTGCGAGACCGTTCTTTGACATACAGTGTATGGTGTAAAATACGGGTTAGGTCCTTGGCAGCTGACTTGTCAATCCCAAATAATTAATTTCGATCTTATGAAAGGCAAACAAATGAACACCTTTATCCTCCAAAATTTTCTCTCTTGAACCCCAAAACTCAAAGAACCCTTTGACATCCTCACGCCGCAGCGGCTGCACTGTCATCCGGCCGTTATCCCATCCAAAACCAAACGTGACCGCGCCGTCCTGCGGGAAAACCGAGGCCGGCTGCCAGCTGCGGGCCCACCAACAAAGCCAACTGGCAGAAGCCCCAAACCGCCTCGGGGTCAGCCCAATCAGGGACCCCAGCACTGCCCATTTGGAACAAAGGTCAGCCCGCCTTGGCAGCTCCGTTTGCCTTTGTTTCACTGGCCGGCCCCCAAGGCCTGTTCTGCAAGACTGCCAATGCCAATCCACTGCCAAGTGAAAGCTTGACCTTGTCTGACCGCCGTGGTGTGCCGGCCAGCAGGGTGTTGGGCAGGCAGGGATGGATGGATTGAGAAAAAGAGGGCTAAAAAGAGAGGCCGCTGCATCTTGCGGAATGTCCTGGCGAGGCGGGAGGGTGTGCAACCGCCGAGAAGGATTATTATTTGATATTAACCTTTTAGCGACCTTTGTCCCTTTTTCTTTCTTCTTCATTCACCAAAACGGCGCTTGAAGTCCGACTTCCAGCAGTGGGTCCACAATCACTTTCACAACCACACATTCACAACATCATCGATTGAACCAGACCCCAAAAATACACCACCGCCAAAAAAAAAAAAAAACAAAAAAAAAACACAACACCAAAGGAAAAAAACAGCGAAAAAGAGAGCGAAAATGAAAACCTCCATCATCCTCCCCTCCCTCCCCCTCGCAGCAGCAGCCTTCCTCGCCCGCGGCGCCATCGCCACAGGAACCCACCATCAACACTCCCACCCCCAAGCCGCCAACATCGCCGCGCGCGGAGCCGAAGACACCAGTATCAACCCCCGCGATCAAGTCCAACCCCCGGCCCCAGCGCACAACCCCCGCGCCGCAAGCCCAGACTCCAACTCCAACTCCGACTCCGACTCTGACGATGAAAACAGCCATGTAAAAGAGCGAGCAGGAACGCAAGCGAAAAAAGCCAAGTTAGTCCGAGGCGGATTTGGCAGCAGCAGTGGTGGGAGCAACACTGGGAATGGCGGACATGGTGGGGGGGTTGCGGTTGTGCCGTGGGTTTATCCGATTGGGTATACGGGGAGTTCACGGGGGGGTGGACGGGGGTCGGGGTCTTAAGATACCTACTCTTAACTTTTAAGCTATGGGGGATGTGGAAGGTTCGGGGGAGGGTTGAGAGAGGTGGAAAGGGTTGAGCAGTGGGAAGGGTTGAAGGGGGTAGGTGAAGAGGGAGTCTGGAATTTGGGTTGAGCAGGTTTGGAGTTGGGACTAGAGGGCTGTTTCTTTGCTCTTTAGACGGTGTGCGGCATTGCGAGGGCGCGAGGGTTGCGGTGGTTTACTTATCCGGGAGAATGATATCACTTTGCTTTGGGTGCTTTGGTCATCGTGGGACAGTAGACAAGGCCGACTGCTCAAGGGTATCCTCATTTCAAGCTCTCAAATATTTACAGTCCTTACTTGTCATCACCATCGTTACATTCATAAACCACTCCCTCTCTCTTTAATTCCCATCACCCCTAAGGAGTACCCGGCGAGCCGTTATCCGTGTTAACATCAAACGACACCGACCCCGGCTTGGCCGAGTTGATGTGGGAAGCAAACGTGTCGTCCTTGAACCCGATCGTGGCCTTGCCAAAGTCGTGCGCGAACAGCGCGTTGCGCAGGTCGGCCGAGGGGAAGCCGTTGTACGAGACCAGCGCGCCGCGGAACCACACGCCCTTGGCGTTCTCGATGTTGTCGTCGTCCGTGTTGCCGAAGCGGAAGCAGTGCGTGCTTGCGCCGTCTTTCTGGGGGGGGTGTTAGCTTTTATTTTAAAGTTATTCAAGGGGGAAAGAGGGAAGAACGTACGTGATACACCATCTTAGGGTGTTCCCCATCCCAGCGCACATCGGCCGCCGCCTTAATCTCAAACCCCCCATGCTGCGACGCGCCCACCCACTCGGCCTTGCCCGTCTCATCACTCACCCACACGGCAATATGCTCCCAGTCATGCGTGTGGCCAACATCAATAAAATCCGCCACGGCCACATCCTTCTCAAAGTAGTACCCATACAGATACACACACCACCCGCTGTTGCACCGCTGGCGCGAGTAGACATTGTTGTTGTCCAGGTCGGACGGGTCACGGCAGTCGGACGAGAGACCGACAAAGTTGTGCTCCAGCCCTTGCGCGATGTTGCCTTGTGCGTCGATGGCGGGGACGTTGTAGCAGCCGTCGGTGTCGAAGTCGAGGGAGGGTTGCCAGCGGAGGTCGTTGGCGGTGGCGGATTGGGGGAGGGCGGTGGGCGGGTTGACGGCGCGGGGGAGGAGGGAGAGGAGGGATAGAGGGGGTGCGGGAGGGGCCGCGAGGGCGCCGGCTGCGAGGAGCAGGAGGGCGGTTGGGGTGAGTTGGGGCATGGTGGTGGTGGTGGTAGTGGTGATGATGATGGGATGAGAGATGGGAATGGTGTTGATCGAAAGCAAGACATGGATACCGTTATTGGGAACGGCCTGTCTTATACCGCCCTTTGACCCTCATGTCAACACCACTGCGACCATCTCGGCATCAGTTCCTATTCGAGGACACCGAGCAGCTGTTCACCTCGCTGCCTTGAATAGTCGCTTGAACGTAACATGTCCAAAGTCGTCGAATGTGTAGAAATCCCCCCTCGGCGCATTATGTTGAGCCTCAGCTCGTCCATCCTCCCACCACGCGGTAGTACCCGCATGCCATCAACACCACCTCCCATTCGCCCCCTTGTCAACACATCCAGCAAAGAACAGGAAGGTGGTCTCCCCAGAGTACACCTCCAAGACTCCTCCCCCGAAAGCCTCCCCCAAATCTCCGCAAACGGCCCGCAAAAGACCTGTAGGAAAGCTTGGTTGCCTGTCCCGAGCCGAAAGAACCACTGAGGATGCGAGTTTAGCCACTCATGTCGCATTTTCCGTTGCTCTTTGGCACGTCAATTGCCGTTCTTGGGCGAGCAGTGAGGGGTTGATTGTCTTTGCCAAGAGCTTTTTGCCCCGATGCGCTCCAGTGGTCCGTCCCCAAGCCCCGAGGTCCCCCAATGCACCCCGAGACGGGACCCCCCATGCGGCCAAGTTAACCCCCTTTTTGCGGCCAAGTGCCGGCCCTGAAGCGGCCCACGATCCGAGCTTGTGACATGCAATTGGATGTTCACCTGCCGCGTTGAGGATGGTTGACAGGTGCAGGCCGTGCAGATGTGGCGGTAAAAATAGGCGTTGGCTCTTTGATGGCGCCACGCAGTACTACACTAGGTACTGTGAGCTTGTGAAGATTCCAAGTTGCATTTGGCGCGGCTCAAGCGATGTTTTGGGACACCGACGATCGTTCGGACTTGGGTCGGTTCTGGCTGTCAAGTGTTGCATTTGCAGTTTGCTCATTGCTGCGAGATCTTCCCCACATGTTTGTTGGCCTTGCGACGAAGTCCCACCTTTGTTGACTTTGAGAGTTGCAGACTTAAGAGACTGAGCATTTACAGCTTGACATTTATGAGGTAGATGTCGCTCCTTCTTTCTTGCTGCGTTTAGTTAGCCGCTCAACTGTAATTACCTGAAATTTCACCATCACATGGAAGACTGTCAGAGGGACTCACCTGCGGGGTATCAGGGACGAACTCCATTTCCAGTCGACCTACACTTGCAGAATGTTGAACCCCCAGATTCGTTATACTCGCCCGTTTGTTGTGATATCCATAATGAAGGCGACAACGTTCAAATCAGCTTTGGGTATCAAGACGCGACGGAACCCGCGTTGAACGAGCTTTCCAACCTATCATGGCCTCCAGGCTCTTGTCCTTCGAGAGCATTTACAGGCTTGAAGCAAAAGCAAGACACGTGTCGGCGGAACCTGGAGTCTCAAACCTCGTTCTGTTGAGTCTTATTCGGCTTTCCCATTGATGCCCGACTTCGACAGAGTATTTGACTGCCCTGCGACTTCCTCTCTTTCTGTTTGCGCCTTCCTCGCGTTGTCCTACTCGAGTTGCTCTGAAGTGCCAGGTTCAGGTCAGCTGTCGGCATCACCTGCCAGCCGAGTCAGCCCTCCCCTTCAGCTGCCATGCGCCCTCTGCCGATCCGTCAGCCCCACATCGGGTAGTTCCGGCGCAAATTCGCAGACAAAGATGCAGCGCACCAACACTTGCGACCCAAACCGGGGCCAAACTTACATCGCATCTCACTCATTCGAGATTCACAATCTCCAGTCGCTCACTCACTACTCCTTCACTCACTCCCTCACCCATCCCCGGCCCGTCGAGACCCTCACTGCCGATACCACCCCTCGGCGCCGGACCGACGAAAAATGTCATCTCACCATGTCCTCCCCTCCCAACCGCAGCCGAGGTGACGGACCTTCCACAGCTTCCCCTAACCCGAGTCCGTCCCCCTTCGAAGCCGAAAATGCAACCTCACAACAACACCACTCGGCATCCTTCCCGGCGCTACCCCCGGGCTTCAACCCGGGAATCCTCCCCGCCATTCCCGTCGACACGGTGTTTCCCCCAGACAAAGCCCCCACCAGTAATGCCGCAACCGGTGCTTCGGCTGCAGGTGTCCGCGCTCTGACATCCCAGGCCGTGGCCTTTTACTTCCGCGCCCCGGTCAAAGCCTTCTTCCGCACGCGGGTGGACTACCTCGCCTATGCCCGCGCGATCCAGGAGCAGGAACACGCCGCCCAGCTGTTGAGTCGCCAGGGGTCCTCTTCTGCATTATCTCTCGCATCGGCCGCTGCTTCATCTTCCACGCCCACCTCCGTATCATCATCAACCCCAACATCAACCTCCACAACCTGGCTCCGCGCCCGCCTCCGCTCCACCACCCCCGCCGTCCTGGCCTCCGCCGTCCGCCACTACGGCTGGCGCGTCGTCCCCGACCAGATTCTGCCCCCCCTCGTCGCCAACGTCGGCGTAGGCGCAGTACTGTACACCAGCTATCTCCAAATCCTCGCCCGCTTACACCCCGACAGCGGCCGAGCCACGCGTCGCGTGTACCCCCCGCCGGGCCCCGCGGATACCTTTGCGGCTGGGTTTTTGGCCGGTGCTGTGCAGAGTGTGGTGGCGGCGCCGTTGGATGCGGTGCAGGCGCGCTGGGATGGGGTTACGAGTGGTCGGGTGGTGAATGGGAATGGGGGGGCAACAGGGGCGGTGGAAAGGCCGAGGAGTATGTGGGCGTTTAGTGCGGCTAAGTTGCGGGAGATAGGGGTGCGGGGGGTGTTTTCCGGGTGGGGATTGTCGTTTCTCAAAGATAGCATGGGTAGCGGGATTTTCTTTAGTGTGTTTGAGTATGTGAAAGCGCAGGGGTACTACAACTTTGTGCGGTGGTACTACGGCTCGCTGAACGAAGACACCATTGTGCTGCTCTCTCGCAAGCGGCCGGCCGAACAATCGACCCTTAAACACAGATTCGAAGAAGCCGCCCCGCACATGCCCACCATAATCCGCCCACACTACGCCATCGAACCGGCCTTCCTCCTCCTCGCCGGCATGAGCGCCTCCCTCGCCCAACAAACCATCCTCCACCCGCTCTCCCACGTCCAATCCGAGCACTGGGAACGCCTCGAAAGCCTCGACGCCCACGCCCGCAAACTCCGCTCCGTCGGCTTCTTCTCCTCCCCATCCAACCCACGACATCAAGGGCAAAAGCAACAACACACCTGGCACATGTTCCGCGCCTACCGCGACGCGTACCGCACGACCTGGGCCGCGTGTCGCGCCGAGGCTAAGGCAGGAGGTCAGACGATGAGGCAGTGGCTGTACCGCGGGTTCTGGTGGAATACGATTAGGCAGGTGCCGAGCACGAGTGCGGGGTTAATTATTTTTGAGTTGGTGAGACGGAAGTATGGGTTTGGGGGGGAACAGGTGCGGATTAATAGGGATGGGTATGATATTTTGTTGAATTAGATGGATTGGGGTGATGGAGCCATCATCTATGAAGACAGGGTTGGATTTGGGCGTGATATCGGGGATGGATGGTGAGTGGTGGATGGTGGGTGGTAAGCGGGTGTATGAACGGGAGGACGGTCTGATATCATTAGCGTGCGTGGTTCGGCGGCTGGGCCAGGACAGGACAGGATACGATAGACTTTACCTGGGCGTTTTGGGAAAGGGGGAGGAACATGGCTTGCGAAGGCCTTCCCTTTGTTGGATCTCATCTCTGGCGCATTTAACTACGGCGGTTCCAGATTCAGCGGGCGAGCGAGCGTTTTTTTCAGCTTTAGGGATGTAAAGCGCTATGTATGACAGACAGACTTAGACGGATCTCATGAGGAGCTAGTTTTGCTTTGTATTTTACGGTGGCAGGCAACATGCAATCCCCTTTGTCTCAAGGATATATCTCAACCCTCTTCAGTATCCACGGTAGTGCGTGCCTGCGGCGTTGTATGCTGCCTCCCTTTGACAACTCCACGGTATCGTAGTCTCGCTTGTGAAAGACTCAACCCACGAGTAATACACCGCACAATCTACCAACGACATCCAGCTCCTCACATAACTAGTCCCATCATCATCATCATCATCCCCCCCAAACGACATGCCCACCGAGGCACCGGCGGCATAGGCCAACTAAGGGAGCGTGTTCTTGTTACTGGGGACAATGAAATTGACAGATATGTTAGCTAATTAATTCAACATCCGAACTGATTACCTAAAGCCCCCCGCAGCCGCAGGTAGAGCTGGTCACCATCGCCGATAACACGAATATCTTGATCCCCATGCCCATATATGTTTAACCCAGAAGGGGGAGAACTCAAGTCCATGAAAGTTGGGTATGAGACGATGATGTGGAAGGTATTACAGGCAGTAAATATAAAGGTTACAGCAATATCAACTGAGGCTGTATGATGAAATCGCAGATTTTAGTAGAAGGGCAAAACTATTTATCCATCCCAGCATCATCTCACCGCCAGTCCCTATAACCCAACTAATGTCACCAGGTTAGGTCATATAATTACAAGCAGGAAATGTTGCGCAAAAGAAGAACTGATAAATAAACAACAAATCAACGCTGTGCCACCTTAAACATCGAAGGACATATGATGGAATAGCAGATTTTAGCAAGAATATAAACTATTTAGCCATCCCAGCATCAACTCATCGCCAACCCCTTAAATTAGATAATATTCCCAGCCTAGTTCATATACAAGAAGTAAATCTTGCGCAAAAGATGAATTAGACAGTAGTAAATAAACGATAAATCAACGCTGTGCCACCCTGAATATCCGGCCACCATAAATCCGCCCATAAATACCCGACCCTAAATGTCCCCGCCCCAAAGTTCCGACCTCGCTGGTGTATCAGCCCCCGGGTATCCTAATATACACATCAAATCTTCTGACCACCGGCATAGGTGAACCCTACAGGGCCATTACTCCGGCTTTTGGCCGTACACCACCCAGCTGAAAATACCAGGTTAGCAATCCATTTGTGGCCACCTGGCGTCCTCCAAGGAAAGGATTGGAACTCACATCGGCCACCAGGCATGCATCTGCCTATTCCTCAAATCCTTCCTCACTTCGACCAAGAACACCTCGACCTGCTCTGCTGTCCAGCCGAGGGCGCGGGTGAACAGCGCTACGGTGAGGCCGTACATGCCGCCGCAGAAGTTGTGTTCCGACCACATGCCTAGAAACGAGCGTTGTTTAGTACCACCGTGGCTGAGAAGCGGGACCAATGTCCGGGCCTAGAAAGCGGAAAGGGGTTAAACGGTAAGACTGACCAATCTCCTTGTACTTGGCATCCTTCGGCCATGCATTGATGGGCCACTTGTACAGCCGCTCCTGGACATTGATAAATCCGGCATCCAACATCTGCTGCTTGTAGCGCTTAGCGCAGTCGACGGTGTGGCTGATCTGGTGCCCGGCGCTGATGACCATTTCGCACCACTGCGCTAGTGCCGAGTTTGGAGGTAAGGTGCCGTCGTCGGAGCAGGCAGGGAAGGTGATATCGGCGAGTTCGAGCCATCCGCCAGGAGAGAGGTTCCTAAGGGGCGCAAGTTAGGCTAAACTAATCATTGAAGACGAAGGCAAGGTCGTACTCATATGAGCGCTGGACGAAGCGGGGCCAGTCGGTGAAAGCGCCGGCCAGCATGCGGCCGTAGATGAAGTCGAAGGGTTCTGAGAAGTCCCAGTCCTCTTCGAGATCGTCGACGTAGAACGCGAGATTTGGTGGGACGCTTCAGGCAGGATGTCAGCGCACTGTTTGGTCGAGAGTGATAGGTGTCAGAACATACAAGTTGGGCTGGATAGGACTTAGGTCTAAGCCGATAACCTATAACTTTGTGTAAGTAAAGGGACAAGGGGCGTGTCATAAGCAACGTACGTGTGACCCTGGGTGCGTATCGGCTAACAAAGAGAGTCAATAAATGCCCGTAGTAAAACACGTGGATAATTAGCGAGCATACCAAAGTCCATCGCCCAAATCCCCGTCCCTGTCCCAGCGTCCAGCACCCGTCGTAATGGCGGGCCTGACCGTCCTGCTGGGCTCACGTACAGCTCACCATCAAATGTCAGGTAGAACACATGATGTTGCATATCTGCCTAGGTTAGTGCCGGTGGACTAGCCAAGAGGAACTTTCATCATCTGCTTACCTAGCCTGTCACTTTCTTGCTACACACACACGACACCGTCAGTAATGGGCCACATGGAATCAAGAACTCTCCAGGATTGATATGGAATCTCACTTCGTCACTCGGCAAGATATACCCTATCAGATCCGTGTCAGCGCACATCATCCTCGAATATCCCCAGCCCCGGTTTACTTTTGCAACCGGGTCGGGTCACGCCAGGTATGCGCACTCACCCCTCTCTGGTTTCCAAGCATGATACGACCGCCCATTTTCTAGTCGGAACCTCCGGATGCTCGAGGCGAGAGACGTCGACGAGCTCGCTAGCGACTATGCGCGTGTTAGTCTGTGGTTTTATGTCGACCAGAACGACCTCGACGATGGTTTGGGGAGGATAAGACGGGGCGCTAGAGCTAGAGAAGGTTGCGCGGGAAACGGGACGACGACGAGTGGTAAAGGGAGGTAGGTGACTTGCCCCATAGGTAGAATCGGCATCGGCATTTTGGTCCTACACAATGCGCCAGTATCCAATGTCAGTTATCAATCTTGCGTCGCGATTCCAACTTCCGAGACATGCGCGCAAGCACACGTGCGCAGAGCGATATCGAATGCAGGTATGGATGGGACGGCACGGGACGGCACTGCGCGGAAGGGCCGGCAGATCTGTTATCCTCCACCATGCGCCTCCATGCCATATGCAACGAATATTTAAGAAAATAAACGTACGTCGTCAACGACAATCTCCTCCACGTCGACATGAACTGGTTGATGGAATTGCTCCTGCGGCGCATCCCCGCCCAGTGGCGGAGAGGACGCGGGAGCGTCCGCCATGGGTGACGACATTTTGAGTGGGCGCAGAACTCGCTCGTGCGCGCGCGGATTCGAGGGACAGAGATACAAGACACGCGGGCGGGCGGGACGGGATTCGGCGAGCTAGGGAAGCTAACGCCTTTTTTTGTTCTTTTTCTTCGAGTGGTTTTATAATTCTATCGTCGTTGGCGGGGAGGCGTCGGGGATTTCAGATCCGGACGGGGGTGGTGCGTGGTGTGGCGTGGTTAGTGTTTCCCTCTGTTCGGGTCGGGAAACTTTGCTTTTTGTGGACGACACGGGCAACTCTGCCGTGGAATGCGCTGGGGTCCACCGGAGAAGTATTGGCACATGCAAGCAGGGAGCTGCAGTGAAATCATGGAATGGGTGCGCGGCTGGTCTCACCAACAGCTTGGTTGGTGTGGGGGGTAAGGTAAGACAACGGGATGGCCGAATGGAATATGGGGGCGTGAAGGAGAAGAATGAGCGGTGTCGAGAAATATTGTTCGAGTTCATACATAAGCGAAAGAACCAAACTTGAAGAAAAGGGCAGGAGCCATGGAAAGGTCCCTCCAAGCCGAGAAACCCATCAATGCACCTGCAGTTCTGTCCACCTGGTGGGATGCGACTTCTTCTCCGGCAGGCAGCGCCGCGGCGACTTTCATGCAGCCGGGGCATCGACCGCAGGGGTTGATTGGCGGCCTGTCGTCCCAAGAATCGCCAAAACGCCGCTAAATCTCGCGGTGACAAATGTGCGTCTCGTCGGTGCAACACAACGCCAGAGACGAGGCAAAATCGAGATAATTAGCCAAGCGGCCAAGCAACAAAGCGAGATGGCGTCAATGGGTTTTACGGTTTTGCCCTGACTGCTTGGTCAATCGCTGGCTTTGTTGTTGATCTTCTTGAGCCCGCGATTCTATCCCCGGCTTGGGAAGATTGACGTCCTTGACGTCCCAGCAAGGTACCCCCCTGGCCGATCCCTTTCGTGAGCCAAGCAACCCGAGCTGGTGGTCGATGGGGGGGCATAACAGGGGTCCCACGAGGCACCGGCTGACTGCTCCAGGCCCTCCTCTTTTTAATCCCAGCACTTATCCGGAGCTGCCCACCGAAGCAAGTCGGGGCGTTCGGGTTCGATCAAAAACAGATCTTGCTGTTGTATTTGCCATCGTTCGGCATCAAATCGTCAGACCAACCAACCTGGAACCTCCGGACAAATCTCCGGAGCCAAAGCACGATAAACACGCCAATCAATCCCGCCGGTGTCCAGGCCACATGACTCGAGGTCCCGTTACACACGCACAAAAAAATCAACGCAAACATTGACCCAATCACCAGCACACCCGAAAATGCAACTGGCACACCCGCAACGCCCGCCCGCTTCGGGCTGCCGATAATGATACACAAACGCCGCGGCATGGCATCTGCACCTTGCAAACCTCCCGTCGTTGCCGGCAGCCTCCCAATTGGACGCCGCGTTCGGCAGGGTTGGGCCGGGGGATCTGGCCTGGCCAGGTCCGTTCCCGTTGCTGCCGTGAAACCACCAATGCCGGGAGGAAATCTCGCCCGACAGCATCTGCTTTGCAGTCGCGGACGCGGGATGCGGACAGTTTCGGGGGGAAGTAATTAATTGTTTGCTGCGCGATAGCACATGTCGAACGCCACGCCCTTTTTCGTTTCTCGCACCGAGACTTTCGCAGTGCACCATCAATTCCTGCAACCTTTACCGACAGGACCCGTCACATTCAGGTACAATATCTTACCAACCAATCTCGCTTGGTCCGCCACGACCATGCGACCGTGCACATCGCCGCCCGCCAAAACTATCAACAGATGACAGCCGAGGACAACAGAGACAACACACATCTGAGCAAGGGACCCTATTCCCCCACGTTGTCACCTACGTGCCGCAGAATGTCGATCCCCATCAAAGTCAGCTTCTCGCAAGTGGCTACCTCTCGTGGAAGCTGCCTGATACAGTTGTGTTAGCGAAATAGCCAACCGGACACGACAGTGGTGAGACACGTCGGCCCGGCTGGGGTCGGATGCGAGCGCGGATATCTCAGGAGAATTGTGAGTAATGCGGTTTGTAAGGCTTGGGAACAATATCAAAGCGAGTGGTAAGTTTAGGGCATCGTTGACTAAATATGTTTATTCGTTCCATCACATCAAGCCGTCGTGACGGTCAACCGTGACGCTTTGGTTTTAATATTTTAGACAACACATGTAGTAATATGTGGACGCCCTCTCACAGCCCTAGCACGACACATTGTGCGGCCCAAACTCGTTTTGTTCGGACCCCCTGAACAAATGGAACATGACAAGCGGGATCATCGTCTCCGGACCAGGGACAAAACCTGAGTCTTCACCATCGAGGTCGCGGCAGAAGTCCGGTTCCAACTTCGATCTTTCTTCAAGGGGGGTCAGGGTGCCCGTAGGCTCCGCGATGACGAAAGAATCACTAGCTGGCCGACTCGCCCGCACTACCTCTGCTCAGCGCCCTCTCTACATCCTGTATCTTGGCTTGGCTTCCATTTTTCATGCATGAAGCAGAGCGAGTATGTTGGCCCCCGCTCTATGTATAAACTGTGAAGAGGATCAATGCGTGAAAACGACATGAGCCCTTGCGATAAAAGATGGTGGCCAAGCGTCCGCTAGGTCATGAGCATGAAGGCCAACTCGCGCGGGAGCATCTTGTTAGATTCGCGGTCGACACGCAGGCTCGTTTCGCATCGCTCTCAGCAAAGCGGAGCCACGACCGCTTGGGTAAACCCTCCGACATGGCTATCACCAGCGTAACTATCGAGACACGCCGCAGCGATCCTTGAACAGACCCGCGCAACAAGGAAGATATCAATGAAAGAGAAGGCAGAGGGCCTGAGGACTGAGGGGAATGAATAGGAAAAGGATTAGAACTAATCAGGTCATCGCCTACGGTCATCGCCTACGGTCACTTCCCAATAGTAACGATCAAACAACTCCTCGAAAAAACAGAGAACATCGACGAGTAGATGTCGCTTGACTTGAAGGACCCTCGATGATTTCAATTGTACGACAGTAAACTGCACTTCATTATTTGACCTTTTAATACTGACTACTATTCTAAGATCCCTTATTGGATAACGCCGCCGCCGCCCAATGTCCAAGCGCCACAGCTACCTCTTAATCCGCATTATCGATACACGGGAACTGCTTCTGACGCTTTATCGTTGACCAGCTATGAACCGCGTGAACAAGATCTCGCGGAAGTGGCACGGGTACGGAAACGAAGCACGCGCCACAGCCACAGAGGACTCGGCAACAGTGCCGCAACACCGAGACGCAACGCGTCGGTTGTAAACGATCCCAAGTTATCTGCGGCAGTCTAGACGGGACCAGTGAGGGAATGTCTAGACCTTCTGCTGCTAGTAACGCGTGTTCGCAGAAAGAAAGCCGTCGTTTGGATGAAGGCCAGGGCCATACCGCCAGCAAGGCGCAGTGTCCACTCCCCCGGGTATTTTCCCCGTTCCAATCCCGCCAAGAGAAAATAAAGAAAATCGAAGCAAAAGAGCCCCGACTCGGTAAGTTAATAGCTAACCGATTGTTTTTATTCGAACTCAACCCCCCGATCCGGCGTGGTCACCGTGTGGCAGCGCAACGGGAGGATTCATTTTGAGACGGGTTATGGGCTTGCAATGGGTCTATTTAAGGTTTCCTCTTGGCTGGAACGAAGGGGTTGTGGGGCTGGACTTCCGGCGAAGGAGCGGCCGGCAATCGGCGGTTCGAGGATCGGTGGATCGGGGGAATAGGGACGCCACAAAATTTGGGTGCGTCTACTATGGACATACTATTAGGGAGTCTATTGCGAAACGGGGTTGCTTCTCGTGGACTACCGAGAAATATATAAGGTTCTAAGGTCTGCACGTCTTATACTACTTCGACCAGACAACTACAACTACACACCAACACCAACTTACCTACCTACCTAAGCACTTCAACCCTTATAACAAAGTAAACAAACAAACTACATACCAACCACTAACACATACCGACATACTCGCTCAACTCACCAAAACCAACCACTTCCCCACAACAACCTCCCTACTCTCCCACCATGTCCGGCCGCAACGTCTCCTCCCAGGGCACCGCCAGGCGCAACCCGCCCAGCAACACCAACTCCACCGCCCGTAACAACAACAACAACAACACCGGTAACACCACCACCACCGCACCCTCCAAACCCCGCACCTCCAACCGCCCCACCTGGGCCGACCTCGCCCACCCGATGCCCCCCCTCTCGCTCGAAACCCCCTTCCTCCAAGCCGGCCTCACCACCGTCGACATCCCGCGGCACCAAGCCTCTCTCACCAACACCATCCGCGTGCAAGACCTGCACAAACAACGCGAACGCTTCCCCGACTGCGGCACCACCTTCCTCGTCGTCCTCACCAACGACACCAAGCGCGAGCGCGACCTCTGCTTCAATGCCGTGGTCGCGCGCATGAACGCCCGCAAGCCCGGTTCCAAACCCCTCCGGCTGTGCCGGTGGGATCAGCAGGGGTGGCCGGGCAAGGGGGACCAGGCGTATGAGGGGACCGGTGCGGCGCGCGCGGTGAATAGGGTTTTCACGGCGCTGGGCCCGTTGTTGGTGCATGAGGGGAATGTGAAGATGTTGAAGGATAACAAGATTGGGACGATTTTGGTGTGTGCCGTGGACGATTTTATTGTGCGGCTTAATGGCCCGGGGGTGGATCCCGCGACGAGGGAGCTGGTGACGGAGTGTCCGGCGGATTGGGGGTATTTGACGTTTTGCCGGGTCAAGTTGGCGGCGGACCCCGGGTGGACATGGACGAGTGGGATTACGCAGGGGGCGCCGGTGCCGATGAATCATTGTATGACGGCTACGAAGGGGGGGTGGGTGGATGGCACGAAGACTGTTGGGAAGTTGAGTATTGGGAGTGTGATTGGGGACGACTTTAAGGCGAAGGGGGAGGGCAGGGGGTGGGATGATCGCGACTGGCAGGGGAAGTTGATTGGCAAGTCGTGGTATGATATTCTGGAGGATGCGCTGGGCAAGATTCGCATTCCTTTGTAAGTGGTGCGTTACCTACTGGTAGGTGCGCGACTGGGATGTAATTAGCTGGAGTGAGTTTTGTAAAAGCGTGCTGGTCATGCTTTTGGAGTTTTGGTGTTAGTTATACAAATTAAACAACGTTAGCAACGGGAACCGTCGACCATTCTCTCCCAGATAGGCACAACCAAGAACCAGGCGACTTAGCGCCTTTGCCTTGTAGGAGAAGACTATCCTAGTTGTTAGTGATAACGTGCTTGTTGACTAGATAACACCTACCCGGTAGACCTCGTAGGGACCTGAGTAGCCGTCAAATCCGGCCTCGCGAGTAGAGAAACGATAATTAGCTCGGCTCCAATATTCGCCTATAATGATCGCAGGAGAGCGCTAAGATAAACACTGTTCAGTCACATGGAAGCCGGGACAAACTTCAGAATGATTCCAACCTCAGCAGCTACGGACTCCTGGAGTGTAGATCATTAATTAGCCGCGCAGCCAACCTTGTATCGGCTTCTAGTGACTTCGCCATGCAGTTACGTGAACTAGGTAATGGACATAATAAACAAGCGGCCAACTTTCTATCCAGCCGATACCTTCACTGCCAACAAAACTATCCCTCTACCACCGTCTAAAGCGTTCCCTATTATGAAGGGAGCTAGAGAGTCGCGACGCTACAACCTCCCCTATGCAATCGCTCTCCAAACGAACATCCCATGACAAGCAGTCAAGCACTAATTACATCATGAAGGTGGACAATCCCTTGTTATATTCCTTACATATCAATGTCACATACGCAACGGTTATTTAATACGCATCATGGCCTCACTATCTAGGTTCTTGTGGTTTGCTGAATCCCAGATCTTGCCATCGGGAGCTGTACGGGTGTAATACCTAGGCATTATATAATCATGCAGGTTGCTAAAATGCTCACGAATCTGCGTTCAAGAGTATGTTCTGGAAAGAAACACGTATCACGCCCTCTCTATAAGACCCCTGAAATGGTTGTCTTCATCTCCTATCGATAAGCCCAACCAACCACCCGGCCCTTTAACACAAAGGCCACAGTAGCACCAGAAGTTGCATCCAAGGGAAGCCACTGGTGTTGTAACTCACAGCGTGTATTCTGCGCTATAAATGTCTTGCATAGGTAGGTAGCCAACAACTCAACTGGAATCTCAAGACAGATCACAACTCAGCTCTACCCTTATTCCTCCACAAATAGCGAATCCAAATCCAGGTATCATCCAACTTCTACAGTTGCCAAAAAAATGCATCTAAATGATCATCCCAAATAAAACCCCCCTATCATACCATCCTTTTCACGTCACCCCCCCCCAGCAACCCCTTTCCCACCCAACACCCATCTTACTCCTCTGATAATACTTCCCGCTCCGGCGAGTCTTTCGGATTCGGTTTTCCTGTATCTCCCCCCCCCATCAAATTGTTTAGACCACTGCTTGAACTCCTCGTTCGTCATTTCCCGCTCTGGAATTTCTCCTGGCTGCGGTGCCGCGGGTTGGGATGTCTGTTGGGCATGTGTTTGTTGGGATCGTTGTTGTTCCGCGGCAGCCTGTGCTGCGGCCTGCCGTGCTAGTTCAGCCTTTGCTGCCTCCCACTGTTCTTCACTCCACTGTGCTGGATCCATCTGTGCTTGTCGGGTCTCTTCCGGCGTCAGTGGTTGCGATTGCGGTTGTTGAAATGGTTGTTGTGCCTGTGCTTGTGCCTGTGGCGCCGGTGGTTGTTCAACTCCTTTCCCCTTATCTTTCTTTTTCTTCCCGCCAGTGCTTTTATTTGCCCCTCGTCCTCTTCCTCCTCTCCCTCCTTTTCCTCCTCTTCCCCCCCTTCTACCGCCTCCCCCTGCAGGCCCTTCTGCTGCAGCTCCCTGTACTGCAGGATCCCCTGCCGTAGGTTCTGCCCCAGGACCCTCCAGCACGCGCGCCCGATTATCCGCAGATATATATATCAGTCTCCCCACCACGCCTACATCCTCTTCTATTCGAATCCAATGTGCCCCGACGGGACCATTCGGGTCAATCCCCCCCACTTGCATGCACGATTCTCGCAGCGGCCCCTTACACTGTCCTGGGCCCCACAGCATAGTTTCTGCCTCGGAGCCCAGGCCCAGACTCCTAATCCAGAGTCGCTGGGTGACGACGGGGACTATCCGGAGCAAGTTGCCGTCCGGATAAACAAAGTTCAATCCTGGTGTTGGTCTTGGTGGTGGTGGTGGTGGTGGTTGTGCTCCCACCCCCGGCTGCACCGGCGCGACCTGTTTTTGCCTCTTCTGTGGTGGCGGCGGAGGTGGTATATAAAACCCATTTTGCGTCCCGGCCCATCTCACCCAATGCCCCTTTTTCCCTGTCACGCTCCCGGAGATTTCTATCTCACCAACAGGCTGCAGGTTCCCCAGACAGACCGCTTTCGGCCAGCTTTGAGCCACCTCTCCCGAGGCCACGAGTAGCGCGGCAGCCCAGTTGCGAATGCATGGGAGCGGGACCTGTCTGAACTGATTATCTGTTGCGGCGGTGTAGGAGTCGTCTGGTGGTGGTTGTGGGGGTGGTTGTGGGGGTTGTTGGGGGGGTGCTGGTGCTGGCGCTGGTGCTGGTACTGGGGCTGCTGGAGGGGGTGAAGGTTGCCCTTGTGACGGAGTAGAGTTCGACACAATCCCGGTTTGATGACGCGGCCGTTTCGACGATGGCTCCGTGCCCTCCTCACCCTCATACCCATCACCCCCCGCGCCCTCATTCCGTTTCCGCTTCGGCTTAGCGTAATAAAGGTCCGCAGCATCATTTCTCTGGTCCGGAGTCATATCCTTGAAAAGCTCCGGGTCTAGATCTGGCGGTAGAGGCCTAGGGGTTCTTCTAGGACCCCTCTGCCGCCGAACACACATCTCACGCGGCAAGTGTTCGTCTCCCGGGACAGCGTGTGCCGCATCCAAGACGGTCGGGTCGGTCAGAATCCGGTTACCATCATCGTCCTTTGCCCAGTATCCAATCACACGGGGCGGCATGGTCTTGCTCAGATGGGGCTGGGCCAGCGCAGGCGGGGCTAGTTCGGCACTGCCGCGGAGGTAGTGGTTCGGGCCATCGGCGATGATGCTGCGGCCTTCTTGGGTTTGGGAAGGAGTGGTTTGGAAGAGGTAGTTTTTGGTGTTTTGCCGGGTCATGCGGGGGAGTTTAAACTCGGTGTGGAGGTATTCATTGGGGATCATGGGTTGGAAAAAGTGGTTGCCTCGCTGGGAGTGGTGTTAGTTGTGCTGCTGTAATTGTTGAAGTTGTTGTGTGAAGAGAAAAGGTAATATTAAGTTAATTGGCAGCTTACCGTGTAGCTCAGAAAGATATGCCGGCTGTTGTACGCCCCAAACGTCTTCATATCATAAACATGGTGGTGCTTCCACCGGTACTTGTACAGCACCACATACAGCTTGTATAAATCGGCCGTCAACTGACACGCCTCCATAGTGGCCCAACACCCCGGAATTTGCAGAGCATCCCACAGGCTGGCGTCAAGCTTCATGTCTTTAGCCCTTCCATAGGCCACCGTTGGTCGCCTCGACGCCCGATTCAGCGCGGTGTATGCCGCGTGCCGTGGGTGTTCCTTGTTTTTCAGGATGTCCTCCAGATGATACAGGTGCTCACACTTTACCCGCACCCAGGCCGATGCCTCGCCGTAGATCAGCAGCGCCAACGCGGTCCAGTAACTATTTCCGTCCACGATCGCTTTGTTGCCCTCGACGGCGGGGTTTTTGGGTTGGCCGTCGCGGTTGCTCCAGATGTTAGGGTGTTTAAGGAACACGACGTCCTCAACGAGCGGGTATCCCTTGAAGAGGAGCAGGTAACGGGTGTGTCGGATGTAAGTGTCAAGCCAGTCCGGGCCGCCCAGCATGGTGCGTTGGTCTTTCCAGGCGGCCGTGCTGTCTGCTGCGCTGGGGGGATGCTTTGGATCAGTGAGTAGACGGAAGGGCCTAATGGCGGTCCAGACCTCCGAGGGGAATTCTTCCTTGTAATTCCCGGTGTATCCGATCTTTTCTCGGATTTCCGTGAACTCGTAGCGTTGGGGAGGGTCTACGGGAGGGGGATTAGGAGGGGGATTAGGAGGGGGGTTAGGCGGAAGGTGAGTAGGAGGAAAGCTGAGCCCAGAATCTGTGACAATGGTTGTGCGAATGGCAGGCGCGTCGTTTACCGGGCTAGCGTCTCCACCACCTGGCTTGTCCGAGCTGCCCGGTTGACCAACGTCTCCGTCACCGGGGTCGTCATCGTCAGACCGATAACTGCCGCTAAACAGAGGGCTCTTGTCGCTCTCCTCAGCGTCCTCATCTCGAACCCCATCGTTCCCACTGCTGTCAGGCAGCCTCGAAAACTGGTCTTCCAAATCGGCTGCATCAAACTCATCATCACCTCCACCGCCTCCACCAACCCAATCTCCCCCATTCCCATTCCCATTCCCATTCCCATCCCCAACCCCCGGCTCATCCTTCTCGTCGTCCGAGTTGGTCTCCCGAAAATCAAACTTCATATCCATCTTCTCTCCGCCCGTCGTCGACGCCATCTTGGCCATCAACACCTTTGCAATCATCCGCGGCCAGTATCCAACGCCCCGACTCCACCGGCCGCCCACACGGTTGCCATTCCGCTTATTACGAGTGGCAACATGCTTGGTAACGACCGCTTTCGCTGCGCCGGCGGTCCAGTTGGACGGCCCCGGTTGCCCAGACGCGGGAGATGGGGCCTGGGGAGCTGGAGCTGGAGCTGGCGGATCGGGCGCCGGGGGAACTTGGGCTGGAGATCGTTTTGACACGAGGACTGTTGTCAGGCGAGTGTGGGTGACCAGCGGTTCCGACAGCTTGATAGTCTTAAGCTCGTGGTAATAGACTAGTTTGGCCAGTACTTCCTTGCCCTCGTCGGTAGCATTGCCGAACAGGTCTTTGCAATAGGTGGACTCCTCCGACTCCATGGTTGGGTTGAGAAGTGTGGGAGTCGTGGGAGGTGTGGAAAACGGTCTGCCATAGCGCTGTGCATTTCGTGTTGCGCGTCTCAGTGTGGGATATCAATGGGATGATGTAGAGGATTCGGGGTACAAAGAGGTAGTGGGATGGCCGAGAAAGGAAACGCGACTGCCGGATTCGGTGAACAAGCCCATTCATTCATTTACGGAAGGAACGATAGAGTCAGCCACTTTCCTTTGTTTTCCTCATTTGGGGCAGGAACAGTAGCGGGGAAAGGTCAATTGCGACTAGCTACCTAGCTTGGCTTGACTTGACTATGAGCTCAACAATTTCCCGATCCCCTTTTCTAGGCCCCGTTTTCATGAATCCCCCTCAACAACCCACAACCCCTTACAGCCCTTCATCTCCTAGCCAACTACCCCTCCGTCACTCTCTCACTCGACCCTATCATCCTCCCACCATCCATCTCATCATCCCCAATCTCCCCTTACTAACCCCCTTAACACTCAGCACCATGCCCACTTCCTAATAAAACCCCTCCAAAAAACACCCCTTAATAAAAGCAAGTGCACTCGCAGGTGCTCCAGCCAACCACACATCCAGACCCAGTGATATCCGAGTCAATGTTCTTGCACTTGTACCCCTTCTGCTCGGCCTCGCCAACGCACTGGGCGTTGCAGTGGCCCGCCCAGTCGGTCTGGCAGCCGTCGGCGGCTTGCCATTTCTTGGTGGCTTGGATGGAGGCTTCGCCGGGAGCGGCGGTCGCCAGGGTGGCGATGGCGAGGGTGGTGAGGGTGGTGAAAATGGTGGTCTTCATTTTGGTGGTTGGGTTGAAAATTTGATGGGTTGTTGGTTGTTTTGTGTGTTTGTAGGTGTTGAGTTGACTTGTGTGTGTGTGTGTGTGTGTGTGTGTGATGTTGTGATGGTGAGAGGGAATGGCAACAGCTGGAGAGGAAGACGAGCTTTTATGTCTTTTCGTTCAGGCTTTTGGGATCATCTTCTCGTTGAGACTTTGAGCTTTCCTGCCGCCTCGTTAACAGTAAGAGGAACGACTGTTGGTCCGTCTGTCTCGTTCAGCCTCCAACAACATCTCTTCCTTCTCTCGAGCTTCTCCATATTCTCGGTCGATACTTCGGGATGTGCAACAAGATACCATGACGCTGACCCGATGAATCCGAGTAATCTGTTGATCTCCAAGTCTTGAGTTTCTTCAGAGGCCGTTGATGCCTGGACTTGGAAACTAACTTCACTCAAGCAGGAAGGCGTCTTGTGCGAGTAGTGGGCCAGCCTTACACTGTTAGTCAACGATACCAAAACTGGCGATATCTCCTGGAGATCAGCAAGTAATACACATCAGCGGTAAGGCTGTGGTTCTCTGATTTGCTGGCCAGTATCCGGGCTGAGTCGCTGCTCCATGCGGCTCTCGGGTTCAAAGCGATTGGCTGTGATTTTAAACTCAGTGTTAACATGTGGAGGCTGGTTCTCCAGACAGTTGCTGCACCGGGTTAGATGTGCTGTAATCGATAGTTAGGCGGGACTAGCCGGAGACTCCCACCACCAGTATCCCCCAGGAACATCAGTAATTAACCATCAACCCCAATAAGGTTATATTCTCCACCTAAAGTCGGATTCACACGAATTCCAAATAACATCCCCGTTGATCAGCCTGGCATTCTCCAACCAGGTAGCTCGACCGAAGTTGTGGAGATGCCGATCACTCGGCCCGACCGAGCCTGCTTATTCGTATCTCCCTTACCTCCTTACCTACCGTAGTACCGTAATCCGACCAATACGTGTAGTTACCTATTTTCAGCATCTGACAGCTCTCGGATGGCAGTGCCTTTGCACTTTGACTTGACATCATTGTACCCGGAACAAAGACGCAAAGAACGTCGAGTAAGTAAGTTCGACCCCGGAACCGGGATCCCGACGCAACGGGAAGTAGGGAAGAAACAAAGAGACGAAACCATCACCCCCTCCCTATCAAACAAGGGGAAAAACACTCGAAAACCCAAACAAAAACCGAAATCAAAAGGAAAAGGAAAACAAAGAATAAAGACCGATCATCCCTTCGTACTTCGTAATTGTGTACGTCCCCTCAGCCGCTAACCTGTCTTTTCTGCTACGTTGGTATGACGTCGAAACAAAAGTCGGCATAAGCATGTCGATCTTATGCGGGACAGCCAGGCACAGACTTGTGGGACAAACAGACGACGTGTGGCTCGCGGGACACAGTGCAGCGTGCTACACTAAGAATTGCCACAAAGGGAACGCTGTCGCGTGCCAGACAGGTAACGTTAACGTTGGCATTGAGGTTAATTCCAAATTCATCCCAGAAGGATCGGATTGACCTCGGTTGAGGGTCATATTTCGTTTTCTTTTTGTGTGTTTCTTTTGTTAGAGAAAGATAGTTCCCCATGAGCGAAAGTTAGGTAGTTATCCGTACCTACGTGTATATCCTTTCCGAAATGGCAAGAGCAAGGTAATTGAATCCTGGGGAACCTGGTAACGTTGAATCCAATGGCTAGTCTGGGGGGTTCATCGGACAACAGAACAAATACGAGCATTACGAAGGTTTTTTTTTTTTTCCTTTTTCATACATCCACGTTTATCAGACTTGATTCTTTAACTTGAAAAGCCGACTCGATCACCAAACACCGCACCAAACACCAACGCAGAACGCGAACAAAATCGAGCACAGAACGCAAACAAACAAATCATTCTTGGTATCATTGAGATAGCGGTTCTAACGAAATCCAACCCAACCCTGCCAACAACATTCAATCCAACCCAACCCTGCCAACAACATTCAATCCAACCCAGCCAAGCTCATCACAAAACTCCGTCACAACCCAACCACCCCGTTCATTAAAAGGTCGTATACCTGCATCCCATCCGATCTCATATCCCGCTTTGCTCCCTCTCTCAACCTCCCCCTTCATCATCAACCTCTCACGTTTGACTCCCTCACAGGAAGCTCACAGCCTACCCCCTCGCAGGAGGCTGCTCCCCCTGCCCAACTCCCGGCCCCGACTGCCCCAACTCCTGCGGCGGCGCCTGTCCCTGAGCAGCCGCCGGAGGAGGCGTCGGCTGCACAGACGGCACCTCCGTCGTGCCTGTCTGCGAAGGCGATGGTGTTGGGAAATAAGGCGGGTGCGGACCTCCTTGGGGGAACTGACCCTGCTGACCCTGGGGGAATGGCTGCTGCTGCTGCGAGGGGTCAAACGATCCTGGCGGGGGCGCATAGCCCGGTTGAGGCGGTTGCATGTACGCGCCTGGTGGTGGTTGGGGGTATCCTTGAGGTGGTGCGAAGCCCGGTTGTCCCTGTGGTGGGTAAGGTTGTTGTTGTTGGTATTGATACGGCTGGGGCTGACCATAAGGGCCCGGTGCGTAAACCGGTTGTTGCTGCGCAAAAGCCTGTGTCTTCTCCGATCCGTCACCTGGAGGAGGAGGAGCGCCGCCCGGTCCAGGCTGGCCAGGCGGAGGAACAGGAACCGCCATCACAGCCGGGTTGTTCCCATCAGGATTCCCGAGTAACTCAACCGGGTACCGCCAGCGGAGGCCGTATTTGAACCAGTACTTGATACGCGTCCCCGCGCTGAGAGTGGCCCAGTACTGTTTGAGGAGGACCTGGTCTTCGGGGCTGCGGGCGTGGGATTTGCGGGTGAGGAGGATGAACCAGAGGGAGAGGATGCACCAGAACACGGTGCCGAGGCGCAGGGCGCTTTTGCCGAGCATCATGCGCCGGAACCAGAAGTAGGATTCTACCCAGCCGAGGAGGAAGAGGAGCGGGAGCAGGACTGCGATGACAATGATCCAGGTGGCGAGGGCGACGCAGCCTGTGTAGGCTGAGCAGACTGTCCAGTCCCAGTCGTCGCTACCCCCGCTGCGGCTACCACCACCGCTGCTGCTGCCGCTGCCGCTGCCGCTGCCGCCGGCGGTGTAGGTAGGACCCCAGTAGTCCGGGCCGGTGGCGGTTGGGTTGCGGCAGTTCTTGACGTAGTAGGTGTAGTAGTAGTTGCTAGTGGGCGTGCCGGTTTCGCGGGACGCGGGTGGGATGGCGGTGGCGTCTATGAACTTGGTGAGGTAGGTGGCGGTGGAGTCTTCGCGGGTGTTGGTGTACACCGACGTGACCGTCGACTCGGCGGTGATGTAGGGCCGCACGTCATACGGCAGGTACACGTTCTGGTATGTTGTTACCTTGAACTGGGTCGGGCAAGTCGCCGGCGCGGTCCAGACCACGGGGACGACGAAGTCGGTGTACAGGTTGTCCCGGGTGGTGGAGGTCGGGATGGTGTCGGACTTGTCGACCGCGCCGGGGGCTAGGAACACGCTGACGAGTTCAAGGTCGTCGTAGGTGTAAGTGCGGGTGGTCGTCGACACGGGCTTGGCCGTGGGCGTGACTGTAGGGGAGACGGTGAGCGTGCCCGTGTAGGTGTAGGAGTAGCACTCATCGCCGCGGCACCCGTCCGGGTATATGGAGAGGGATTCCGTGTACACAAAGTACGACGTGACCGTGTAGAAGGAGGCCAGCGCGGGCTGCAGAGATGCGAGCAGCAGCGCAAAGACGGCCAGGCGGGCCGCCATAGGCCGTGTTGTCGTCACCATAGTCGGATAGTCCCGTGGTGAACGTGTTGAACAAAGTAGCTGCTCTAACGTTCCCCCCTCCCCCGAAGGGCTCCCCGCTGCATTTTGTACACAGGACTCAAAGTTCTCCCTGACCCGCGACCCAGCGAACTGGGCGCGTTCTGCTTCAGGCTTGACTGCTATTTTCAGCTAGCTCGACTGCGAGGGCGTTCGTTGCGCACTCTTAGCGCCATGGCAAGTGGTTTTCAACTTTTTGATTGCTATCAGATTTGCATGTGAATTCTATGCCGACGTGTTAGCGTCCCTAAATTAAGACAGCATATTAGCCCCTATCCCTGTGTGCGGCTGGTGCCAAGCTGCTCGGCTGCGTTTTTCTCCAATCAACGCCCAGCACCGCCACGGATTAAGGTGTAAGGCCGGCTCAACTCTGCGCCGGTTCATTCGAGCCTCAAATTTTTAAGATTGCGCGGATCATCTACGGGAGCTAATTGTCTGGAAATACCCTTGACGGTGGGAACGATCGTTCTAGTGTATTCGTCCATAATAGTCGTGGAGTAAATATTTCTCGCCGGAGTCGATAAAAACACAAAAAAATTCTACGCAAGGGTGAATGGAAACTTTAAACGGCTGTAGCGAGGGGTCGAGGAGCTATGCCCAAAAGGCTCTCGGCAAAGCTGTCAGCACCTTTTTGATGTGGAGGATCGGCATGGAACTTTCCTCATTGGTATGCATCGCTCTCCCGGCACGTGCTCTTGATTTTCTCGATGCAAACGTCGAGGTTGATGCGGGGTCATTGATGAGTCATCCTCGAGCTCATCAATGAGATGTGAAATGTGAGTGTCCGGTTGGCAGTCACCATGCCTCGGGAGGTATCACAGTAAATGTGACTTCTTTACCATCGCCCCATAGGGCTGAGGCTGCGAGTAAGTTTGGATTAAGCTCTGAGACACCAGTGTCGTGTAACACGGCAAGTTCCAGGACATCAACATTTGTTTTCAAGTCGCAATCCAGCCGCCTAGCGCTCGAGTCTAAAGTATTAAGATGCTGACCCCTCCATATCCTATATCCGGGAAGCTTCAAACGAGTGGTTATCTCCGTCATGCATCCCGGGTGGACGGGATACCCAAATGGGGCATCGGCCATCGGGATTCTAACTTTCCGTGACTCAACAGCCGACTCATCTTCATCCTCCCGCCTCCAACATCCTTTTGCGAAGTAATTGTTGTAATCCCACTCCTTGTGTCATTTTCAACACTAGGCGTGTCGCCTTTTGAAACTCAACATTGCCGTCACCATGTCTGTCCATGCTCTCGCCCTCTCGGCCAACCATGAATTCACCAAACCCCTCGTCCCCGAGATAACCCTCCTTACCGGGCTCGGCGTCGAAGGCGACTGCCACCTGGGAGCTAGTATGTTCTACTTTCAACATGTGTTGCCCATTCCACTCAGAAAATCACACATCTCACAACGACCATGCGACACCCCACTTCCCAAACCACTTATACTCCAACCAACTTGGTCTGACTCGCCCTAATCATAGCCGTCCAACACCGCAGCCGCCTACACATCAGCCCCCCGCCCCCCAACCTCCGCCAAGTCCACCTCATCCCCAAAGAAATCCTCGATCAAGTCGACCTCCAACCCGGCCAAATCGGCGAAAACATCGCCACCCTCGGCATCGACCTCCTGTCCCTGGGCAAAGGCACCAAACTGCATTTCCTCCCGGCTCCAGACCCCTCTACCACCTCCCCTACAGGGGTATACAAAGACGAAAGCCAAGAAGCAAACCACCCAATCGTAACCATCCAAGGCCTGCGCAACCCCTGTCCGCAAATAGACAAGTTCCGGCCCGGGCTGAAGGAGCGGTTTGTGGTGCGGGATGAGGAGAGGAAGATCGTGGGGAGACGGGCGGGGGTGATGGGGACGGTGGAACGGGGTGGGAAGGTGGTGGTGGGGATGAGGGTTGTTGTGGAAGAGGTTGGGGAGGAGGAGGGGGGGTTTGTGGAGTTGGGGTGTGTTTAGTTGTGTCTGGTGGACTGTCTGAGCGGCTTTGGGAGAGGCGGGAGGATATGTCAGAGGCTAGACTTGGGAGGTTGCATGAGGAAAGGTGTGCTTTTGTGTTGTTGTTCAGACGAGTTTCGAGAACTTACATTTGGTTGCGCGGTGTACTGGGGTACAAAGTCCTACTAGGGCCTCCTGGATTTTGTGAATAAATTGTTGATTAGTTCTCTAGTATCTGAGTCATTACAAAGTTTAGTCTCACGAAATCGAAGCACGTGTCTTTGATTTGAAGATTAATACCTAATACCTACCCATGGTATTAAGTTCACACCTGTCAGATCAAAAGTTCATCAGATCTCCAGATCTCCAGATCTCCACTACCTAGGATGCTCTGCAGGACAGGACGTGAGGAGTTAGGCAAAGCTATTGTTGGCCACCTGCTTGAGGCTAATGCATTGGTGGAGAAATTCCGCCCGATGATCAACATCTGCATTTGCATGTTGCTAAACTTATTTTTGTTGAATCACAACGCCACCTTGATCACGAACGTGCAAACGCCTTATTTTGACTTTACCTCGCGCTGAGAAAACGGTCTAATTACCTAACCAAACCAAATCTTTTGATCCCAAGCATAGGACCCACATCAGCATCAGTTTCACACTTACCCTCATATGCCAGCATGCACACTCTCTCAACACAGCCCGTCCTTTCTCTCAAGAACCAAACCCAAACCTTCCCGCCCACCTCTGACTCCCCCACGTTGATCTGTACCACCACGGCCCAACCCACCTCCCCCCCCGCATTCACAACCACGCTAATGCCACAACCCGTCTCCCCCCTCTCCGTTGTCGGGTCGGTGCATCCTGCATCCCGCCTTGCCCGCCCGGTACTCGGCACTCGGCAGTTACCTTGACTTGACCTGACCTCCCCTGAGACAGTTACATACATACATAAACGAGGAGACTAGTACGTACATTCAACCTAAACCCAACCCGTTTCCCGTGTCCTGTATCCGTCCCGGCATCCGCCCCGGCCGCGAGACCCGGATTTGGAAGTCTGATGCGGGAATATGACGCTGTGGTTGGTTGGTTTGTGGGTGAGACCGAGGCTGGTCCTGCAGATGCGGGCGCGGATGCGGGCGCGGGGAGTTTAGCCAAAAGGTTCCGGCCGGGAGTGGGGAGCGGGATGGTAGAACTACATACATATGTGCATAAGGTACGGACATGATTAGTGTTGGGGGAGAAACTTATAAAAGCATCTCCCGTGTCCCCCTCTCTATTCGGCTGTTCGCTTTATTAGAGGATTGTGGAGAGACTTTCGCTATGTTTGGTACTACCCTGACTGTTGGGTTTGATGCCGTGGTGATACTGTGTTGGCCAACACGCTCCTTGGCTTCTCGAATAATTACCCCTTTTTTCTTGTTCTTTTTTCCTTGTTTGGCTTATACGACCTTTTGACCTCTCCATGTATTCCGGAAAGGTCGGTCGGGGGAACCTGGCGTACAATGAAGAGGCAAGTTAGGGTGCATGTTGAGCAACCCGCGAGGAAGAACAGCCGCCCCCGGCGGTATTCCACGTTTGCTGATTCCTTAATCACTTGTTACTGGCCCCCCCTGTTAGAATGCTCACCCTGTGTTAAGTCTCTCTTAGGGTTTCGTTCTGCCGACCCCGTCGTAGGGCATTGATCACCGACACATGGCTAGATCGATGGGACAACCAAAATGCAGAACAACGAACCAATGTTAATCAACAACACGAAACCTCACATCGAAAACAGCAGATATATTCCCACCAAAACCCGCTAAAACCAACTCAACCCCCATTACCCCACTCCACTGCTCACCCGATAGGTATTCAGCCAGCCAACCCATTCCATCTGTTGAACAATCTGCCATCCACCTACCCAGTCTGCCATCCACCTCGCCCAGCAAGGACCGAGTTTAACAAAGTTCGAACCGAGATTCCCTTTTTTGTTTTTTGAACCAACCAACCGACCAACCAACCAGCGAATCAACTGACCAACCCACGCTTTGCTTATCCCCTCCCATTTCGCCATACAACGAGCGCAGGATATGGTATGATAATGATATCCCATCCCACAATCGTACATTTCAAAAAGGGCACAAAAGGAACACAAAAAGGACACCAAAAGAAGACCAGAAGAGAGTAGAAAACCAAAAAACGTAAGAGATCATGAATACATAAACCCAATGCTGCACTAATATGAGATATGAGAAGATAAAACCCCTGAAATACACCACCGGATTTCAGATTCAAGCAAAGCCCACACTAACGTTAACACAATGAACCAGAAAAAAAGACATAAATAGGTAACGTAATCATTTCGATGCTCCGTCCGGAAGACTCCCAGTCCTTTGGTATCAAACTCCCCTCTCGTCCGTTCCCTACACATTCAAAACCCCTTGCCCAGATATCATCTGCATCACACAACCTCCAACTTACTCCTAAACTGATCAATCCATAAGCATAGTCGGACTCTCCCCCGATTCCTCCCCCTGACTCTCCCCCATCCCTAGCACACCCCCTGACCCATTTTTCTCATGCCCCTTCTTCGCCTTCTTCCCTCCCCTCCCCCCGGCAACCGCAGCAGCCGCGGCGGCGGCCGCCACCCGCGCCTCGTTACGCTCCCTTCGGAGCCGGCCCTCGGTCTGTTTTGCGCGGCCGCGCTCGGCGCGGAGATACTCGGCCTGGGAGCGGGCCTCGTCACGTTCGACGCGCAAGCGGCGCTCGATTTGGCGGGCGGCGTAGAGTTCGTTGCGGGTGGAGGAGAGGTGCATGCGGGCGTCGTCGCGTTCTTGGGTGGTTTGGTGGAGGGTGGTTTGGAGGGAGGTGATGAGGGACCGGAGGTCGGCGGCGGGTAAGGTGGCGAGCTGGCTGGGGGAGAGGGAGAGGGGTGGTTGGTTGTTGACGGAGGAGGATGCTGGGCCGGCTGTGGCGGTTGTAGCGGATGTTGGGATAGCGGAAGAGGATGTGGCGCCCGGGTTCCAGCTTAGGCCCATGGTGTCGAGAGTGAGGGTATTGTGTTGGTCGGCCGAGACCGGAAAGCTGGTGGGCGCCGAGCGCGGGAGGTGGGATTGGTGGGCGTGGATGGCATGGTCAAAGACTGCTGGCCCGGGGCCGACGGGGTCGGTTGGGGATGGGAGATAGCCTGGGTGGGCGTGGAGAGCAGAGGACGCAGCGAAGTGTGGCTCGGTGGCCGAGTGGACGTGGAAGTCTTCTGGGGAGGAACCGGAGCCGGCTGCGAAGATCTCCTGCTCGGCACTACCCAGATAAGTGGTGTAGTCGGTGCCGTGGTAGCCATAGGTGGTCGTGTCCTGGTAGAGGCTGGCCATGGTATGTGATTGGGGGGTTTATTTTTTTCGAGGCGCGCAGGGCCGGCCAGGCGCACGTCGCGGGCAAGGCGACTGACTTGCTTGCTTCGCGGTCTCTTGCACGGTGGTGGTGGTTGTGGACCGCAGGACCGGGTGAATTTAGGCAAATGTGATCGCAACAACCTAAACCGAGCAGCTGGGGCGCTGTCAACTGGGGTGAGATGGCACCAAGAAACCGTCAGCTCCACTTCTTCCGGCGTCGGTTAGCAAATGCCGGCCTCAGATATTGAATGCGTCGCGTGTTAGTGTGCAAGCGGGTGTCTCTGTGATTGTTTGTCGAGAAGGTTGAGAAGGTGACGGGAGAATTCGGTGTGTTTTGGAGAAAGGCGATGAGCGGTGGACACCCCCTCGGCTTAGAAGGAAAGGGGCTGCAGCCAATGCCAGCACACACACAGCTTGGGCCTCTCAATGGATCCAAAAGAAGCCTGTCACAACCGGGGACAGGGGAATCCTGGGGCGTTGATGGAGCGTGCTCAGGAGAATAGGATGAGGCGTGGTTTGACGACGGTGAATTCCAAAACAGCAGGTATCGTACCCCAATACGAAAAATGAATTGAGGAGCTTGAGGAGCAGAGAGGAGCCGTCGGAGGCCGAGTTCTCGCCATCGAGAGGGGCTCCCCGTTCGGTGAGTGTGCAAATTTGCTCATGTGATCTCGGATGGGTGTCTCCGCAGAGCTAGACTCGTCAGGTTGGCTGCGAGGGTGTTCCCCCGGATTCTCGCTACCACATCTTGGCGAAGAGGTGCGCCGGGGTCAAACCTGGTTCACATGGGGATTCTGTGTTCGCAGGGGACTTGCCACTAAATGTCGGATGAGCGAAGGCGCGAGAAGGCTGAGATTTTAAGGGAAACAAGGACTGCAGCCAGATCCAATCCAAAGTCATTGAGAGTTCTGAAAAGCTCTGAGCAGAGGCTGGGAGATAATCACTTACCGTTCCCTATCTCCGATCTTCAGGCGAAGTCGCTCACAAACAACCAAGTCGGGGCCAATGCTACGACTCGCAGCTTATTCCGTTATGGGCAAAGCAGGAACACCCGTCGAAACAAACAATACGCGTCAGTTTGAGGTATCAATTGGAATGTTTTGTCAAAGAAAAAATTGAGACAACGCCTGCGGCTCTCAACACGGCATCTAAAAACGGAAACACACGGAAACAAGAGCGGAATTCACGAAGAATTTCTAGACCTCGTCTCCTGTGCTCTTTCCTTGACATGCATGTCGAGTCTTGGCGCCTGACCGGTTCCCCGCGGCTGTGGAGATCCGCCTTTTGGCTCTCTGAGTGGCCTCGATCTGGTCGCTCTTGCTGTCAATTAATATTGTTGGGGCAAAGTCCAGTTCACTAATTCGTTAGTTAGTGCAGTGGAACTATGGAGCAATGTTCCTCGTAGAATTTTGAAGCGCCGGCAGGCATTTTCTCCGAAAAGATTGAGACATCTCGGACGTGTCCAAACGCCCGACGCTCCCGAATCACACGATACTTCCAGAAACATTTCCCTTTTCTTCTCCTGCCCGTTTCCAGATCAGCCTCCGGGCCCCGGCGACGACGATCCTTCTCGAACGCTTCCACGCAGATCACTGCCGTGTTCCCCGCACAATCTAGCCGCAAAAGTGACGCCCGCAGCCGCACAGACGGGTGCGATGAGACATACACAGCGGTGTTTGCTGTGCATGAGCACGCTAACGATGCGAAACCATGCTGTTTGGGGGGGAGAGAAGGCTTCTCGAACACTGGAAAGGGGAAAGGCTGCGATGCGCTTTGGCGGTGGCGCCTAGTGTGGAATGGTTTGATGCGAGGTCCCGAGGGCTTACTATGGAGGTTATTGCGCTCTGACATACATGTGCAGTCCCAGTCTTGAGATGCTCAGGAACTGACAGGGCTAGGAGGAGATCATAGCGATGAGTGGCGACTGCGCGACATGGGACGACAATTGTTGCGCGAGGGGCAAGCATGAACAATTTGGAGACCAAGACGTCGCATCTAGAACTGCACTAGAACTGCAGCATTAGCGTAAGGAAGAAAAACAGACAAGGAGAGAACCCAACGCTCTCACTAAAACGATCACTTCATAGCCATCCCGGGGAGCATACCAAACCTTGATCGAAGGAATTAGTTCCCGTCAACGCGGTGGTAATGAACCACAGGACAGCTCGACCGGTAAAGGTGGAACAGGAAAAGGGAAACAAAACTCACATCCATCAACCTCCTCCCTCACCCTCTTCTCAATAACGCACATCTTCGCCTCCTCAATCCCCTGCGTCGCCACATCCATCGCCCTTTGCAACGCATCCCCCTTCCACCCAAACACACAATCCCCATATGATGCTGCCCAAAAAGCCCCGTCGTATCCCCCGTACTCAACACAAACGGCTGCACCCTCGAGTCCCCATTCGCAGGCTCCGGCCACTCTCCCCTCTCATTAAGCAAAACCCCTTGGTATCCCACCCAACCTCCAGCATCAACTGCGGGATCTTGACCGGATACGTTCTTGGACAAGTCCCCGGACTCAAAAAAGTCGACGCCCCCCCGGTCGGGTACGCAACATGGTCTTTATGGTTCGGTGAGCCGAGGTTGATGCCGTGTGATGAAGCAGCGGAAGCGGGATTGGGGGTTGGAGGGGGGTGCGATGGGGGGGGGGGTGGGGGGGGGGGGGGGGGAGGGAGAGGAGGGATAGGGGGGGTGCGGGAGGGGCCGCGAGGGCGCCGGCTGCGAGGAGCAGGAGGGCGGTT